TATGCGACACTATTTTCTAGCTCATCTCTCAGGAGCATCGTCTGTTATCGTAATCATCCATCAAGTGCCAACTGCTAGCAGGTACATGGCTTTTGTGATACTATCCAACCATGTAAGACAGCGTAACTCTAGTCGAATGTTAATATCATGTTTCTGGGTATCTAGGAACTCTGCATTTGAAGTGGGTTGGGTTGCATTTGTTGCTTAACTGGCACTCGATAGGATAGTTGTCCGACTGGATCATCATCAACACTTGTCGATAGATAAAGCAATTGACAATGCTAACAATAACAAAGCAACACAAGCCGACACAAAATATACCACAGACCACTTCAGGCAGGCTTTGAGGATCTACTTCGCGTATACTGCACTCGGTCGTCTGTTAGGGAGCTTTTCTGGCTTCTGGTATGAGCCTGATCCAAGTTGAATCTAAGAGGTCGACTGGAAAGAAGGAAAAACACCAACCGACACCTTCTCTGAAGGTCTTTCGTGTATTTGATATGCAGTTTATGTGATGGAGGTCACCAGCATCTTCACCAACTGTGCCTTGCGGTTCCAACAAAAGGTTCATCATGCGTGCAAGACAGTTGTGTTCAATTGTTTCCGAACCAGCTCCTGATCTACACATATCGTAGTAGATGATGCTAGCGGTGACAAGACTATCAGCATCATTAGCTTGGTCCAAAAAGATGATGATAAAGGTGTTCCTGCCCTGCCAACTGTAGACATCAACATATGCCTATGGATGACTGATTACAACTTCGGCTGTATGTGAAGGTAGCTGAATTCAAAGCTTTGTTGCTCTGATTCGGCAGATTATACATAACTTTGTAAGCCTGGCCTCTATACAGACTCACCAGACACAGCATGGTTTTCCAGTTGCTTCTTTGAAGCCCGGCAAACCGCCGTTATCATTCAATGCTAGGCATCTCAAAGTCACTCCACTGGCGTCTGCCAACGCATGCGGCGATCACGCCGACGACTCATATGTTAGAGAAGTATGTGATTTCCCTTATACATTCGAAAAATATCCAAGTTTGGGTATCAAGAAACCAATGGATCTGGTCACTGTTTGCAGCTTTCGGGTTGGGCAACAAATGTTAATTGCATTGATGTAAAAAGCAGGCCGAAGACCGTCGCCAAGAGCCAAACAGGCGTCTCGAATGCCTTGCCGTCAAGCCCCCAACTATGTGGCAGTGACAGCAGTGGGATTTGGAAGAGATTGAGCATGCTCATGAGAACTTTGATGCATATATCGACACCAAGACTTGTCACAAGGTAGACATACTCAGGAGTCTTGTCGGCTTCTTGGACGAGAACACATACGCCCGACTGGAGTGTACGCCGATACGAATTCCTCGGGCAGGTTTTACATATTTGACTGGGCGAAGTGTCAATGGTTCTGCATACGTTGCACACCAGCATCATGGGAAAGTGATGATATCACCGTCTCATCCGCTGGGCGTAACCAAAAATCCTGATGCGCGCGTGGCGCAGAGTTCAGATTTACTCAATCCTGCCGATCTCGAAATGGGCCTCCGTGTTTACAATACAAGCCTTTTTTCACTGGGGCTGATGATGGAAACAGGTCGATCTTGTTCAGTTTCGCCCGTCATGACAAACCGCCTTGCCAAGGCTCACATCAACGAGCAACCCCCTCCCGCTAAGCCTATCTGGAGTGATTCTCGCATGCCCAGCCTGGCCATGTCGTAGGGCTGAGAAACCTCCCAAGAGAGCATTCCGGTCTTCCGCCGCACACTCAGCCGCTTAGCTTTGCCTCTACCGACGCCCTCATCCGACCAATCACGTATATTGCGCCTGGCGGTCATTCGTAAAGCAAGCCAATGACATGCCTAGATAACGTAGGAAGTAAACGGGATCCTGCGGCTCTCCTTCGTCCTCAGGGTCCCGAATCCTCGCGTTTTCCCCCTCTTCATATCGAAGTTTCGCAACGACGCGTAGGCGTTCTTCTGTGCAGATAACAACCAACCTCCCTCATCGACCTCCACAAGCGCGGTCACGCACCCAGTTGCTCAGTCCGCGGCAATCTCACTAAGAGCCCCCTCCTTTACCATTAACGATCCCACAACAACAGACAGCAAACCAGAAGTCTTGCCGGAAAGAGAGAGAGTAATCAGAGGAGGGGAGGGGGGTGTAAGCGGCAAGGCAGCTGACGTGCGCAACCACCCACGAACGATCCTACACATTAGAATCTCCGTCTCCGCCTCGAGCATGCAGCTCGATCCCCTTCCTCACGACCTGAGTCTCCGTCCGTTTCACTCCTACTCCTTTTCGGCTCCCGTCATTTCGAGAAACCCGATGCTTGTCAAACACGCAGATGCCAAACGTGGTCTGGAGATCGACAGCGGCCACCAAACCGATACAGACAGCTCCTGGAGCCCACACACACACACACACACACCCCTCCTCCTCTTCTTTACTCGCAGCTTCTCGTTTTAATTATCCCTATCAACCCGTTCCCATCTCCAGACAACCCACAACGGGTTCGCTGATCATGATCCTACACACCACCACCATCACCACCAGGACGGCTCAGAATGATCGCATAAAATGTTACACGGCAGTCCATCGTCTGGAAAGGGATAAGCAGAAAGAGGATAGATTAATTCCAAAGACGGCGGAAGCCACACACAACCTTGAAGAGGGAGATGAAGTCTACCTCCGCTCCAAGTCTTGGGTCGCGCAAGGAGCATGATCTAATGAGCATCTTTCGATCCGCGGCGGCAGAGCCACGCCAACATATCCGCTCAGTAATTCCTTCGTCAATCAGTAAACATGGCTCCTGCCCGTCGTGACACACCCCCAACGACCGTACATCCCGTAATAGTCTAAACGAGGTGCTCGCCCGAGGCGAATACAGCAAGCAGAGAGAGAGAAGATCATTCCTCCATGCTACTACACCCAGTATTCCTTTGGGGGGATGGGAAAGGGGAGGTTGAGCAGCAGGCTGAGCACCTACTTTGAACAACAAACGAAGCTCCCTTTCGTCTCCCCACTCGCAGCTACGTTTTGGCTTGTCTGGGCGGAGGGGGTGTGATTTTCTAGAATGTCCCGAGTATGACGTGAGATCGGAGGGGGAGGGGGTAAACGGCCACATCACGAACAGGGGTTCCGGGGTTTTAGAGTTGGCAACAGAAAAAAAAAAACACAACACAACAAGTCCAGGTACAAACTGCGGCATTACGGCGCGGAGGAGCTCTCTATTTTCTGTCTGTTCTCCGAAGGAGGGGTGGTCTTCACGCCGCCAAAATTGCAATGAAATAGGAAAAAGAGGTCGCAAAATAGCCATTGCGCTCACTCACTCACTCACTCACTCACTCACTCACTCACTCACTCAGCCAGCCACCCCCACCACATACACACCCTCCCCCCCCCCCCCCCCCCTTTCTCCGAAAATCCAAACGAACTTGACGCCCCCTCCTCTTCCCGGCCCTTTTTATTCTCTCTCTCTCTCTCTTTCTCAGCTACATCCTCCATCAGTAAGTATCCTCATGCGGCCAGTCGGCGGGAGAAGACTCCGTCATGCGGACCGAACGCGTGCGGGAAGGGCAGCCTTCTCGGTGTTGTTCTCGCAACTGATTCACCCTTTCAACACCTCACGCGGGAAGAGGATCCCGAATTTGTCAATATACTCCAACCTATATTTTTTATTTTCTCCGTTTTTTTCTTTTACCCACCTTTCTTTTTCGCTTCTCGCATCCCATCCATGGCTACCGAGAACATGTCAGGTCACCCGTGATCATGAAGGACGCGATGATGACACACGTCTTTCTCTTCTGCCTGGTGAGGATTTCCAGACCGGGGAAGACAGACGTGGTCACATTGGTGAGCAGGATCCCCGAAAGTTCCGATTGCGGAAACAAAAAGGGGGAGTCAGCTTCATGGAAACTATCTATCTAATTAGTCGCCTGTGAGCTAGGATCTCGGGCACGTGTCCCCGGCAAATGCCTATCTGATGATGAGGTAGCATGGTAAGCAGGTACGCGGAGCTGGATGCGAGTGTGGGCCTGCAATGAGGCTGTGACCATCGGTCATGATGATGATGATGATGATGATGCTTGATGCTCACAGATTGTATTCCTCCTCCTCCTCTCTGGCATTATTCCGGGATCCTGCCACAAGTTATCTGACGCCGATGACTCCTATTGATCCCCTCCACATGACCCTTAAAGTCTCTCCTCGAAACGGGCATACGAGGACACGCATTGATATCAAGTGGCCGGTATCTACCAAGCTCGCCATTCATAATACTTACCACAAGCCAGTTGATGTAAGCCAACATGTGAACGAAACGGTTCAGAGCAGTCTGTCTGTCACACGTCAGACGGAGCTTCCTCTGTCCAACGCCAGAAAGGCATCATTCGTACTCAGACTTACTTACACACTCAAATACACACACATACACTTCACTCAACCGGGCTACCCGAGCCGCCTAGAAGAATACACATACACCCCATCATCAAGGACACCCTGAGCTCCCAGCATAAGCTTGGATCCGGCTAAGGAAAAAAACCGAAATCATCATAATCATAGAGTCATAATGCGTGAGAATTGAGAAGATGAAGAAAAGAAGAAAGAAAGAAAGATCCAAACATGAAAATTCCCACCGCGACATGCACCCGCCCCCCTTTTCCCTCAACATTACGCCTCTTTCTTCAGCACCCGAGTAGAGACCTCAAGAAACAAGAGAGATGAGAGGGGAAAAAAAAGGATATGCCAAACTCCTCGTTGTGGGAAAAACAGGAGAACCGTAGGGAAGAAAATAAGATATCATGACGTCTGAAATGCTGTGAAATGAGACCCTCCCAAGTAGAATTGTGTGTGCCCGCCCATTTTGTCCTGCCCTGATGCTGAAGCCCCTCCCGCCCTTCTATCATCGCTCTACATCCGAGAAAGAAGAAAAAAAGAATCAACCACTTCGTATAGACGTCCTTATTACACCATATAACATTCATACCAACAACAAAATTGATATTGTCTTAATACCGCTTTTCTTCGGGCAAAACGTTTTCGCCGTAGAAGCCGCCGTGGTGACCGTCGTTGCCAGATGCTTCGCAGGCGAGACAGACGCCGCCTCCATACACCCTTGTGTGACGCTTCCAACCAAACCCGCTGTCATCCAACATGGAGATAATTTCGCCGTGCACCTTCACCTCACGCAATGTGCCATCCTCGAGGATTTCTCCGTGAATCGGGGGAGGGCCCGGCAGATATGGCGATGTAGGCGGATACGAAGATGGAGAGAAGGCGACTCCAGCATCATCAAAATTGGGGCCTACTGCTGAAGCTGGAACACCGATGGGCAGTGTTCTAGTATAAGACCTTCTCCGGGGTGTGGGCGATGACCGAGTAGTCTGGACGCTCTGAGTTGCCGTGGTCGTTGCTGTCTCTGTGGATGACATGTAGTCCGGATTAGGCTGTTCGAAGAAGGATGCGTCAAGCTCGGACACACCACCAGGGAAGCTTCTTCTGCGGTCATCATATGTGAAGACTGACGGAGACAGCTCTGGAGGGGTCAGTGGTGGCGGAGGTGGTGGTCTTGCCAACATGAACCTCGCCGAAGTGAGGTCTGAGAGTCTCCCAGGACCAAACATGCTGCCCCTTGATGGCAAATGTTCGCTACTCTCGGTCTGCTGGTAATCGCCTGATTCTTTCTCATGCCCGGCCACAAAGTTAACATTTGAGCCTGGTATCCCATGGAATCGATCTTCCGCAGCTGTGGTATTGCTGCTTATTCCACGTGACTTCTCATCCATCGTCCAAGCCCTATCGTGGATGAACAAGTGGTGAAGCTGTTGCTGATTGACCAATTGGTCTAGGCCGTCACGGGTTTGTCTGTGCCGTTCAATCGTGTTGATGTCCTCGTTACCAGACTTCGACCGGGAAACACCATGTGCTGCAAGACACAAGATAACGAGGAGGGCCAAGATGGTAAGACCGGTGCATATATGGAAAGCTGAAAAGTGGTGGTAGAGACGGGTAGTCGACGACGGCCCGTCCATAGCCAACTCAGCATGCGTGACGGCGGGCATGGTTGCTTAAAGGATCGATTACGGCAAGTGATTAGGTTTGGTTGGCCGTAATGGGGGCCAGTCTACCCTTCACCAAGGTAGAGGTACCTTCGTCAGTGAGCTTGGGATGCGGTGTGGTGGCACGTCTGGGGTATGCCTGTGTCTGGCGACCAGGCCAAGACCTAACGGTGGCTTGCGAGCAATGAAATGGCGCTGCTGGACATAAGCGACTAGGGGGTTGGGATGGTGGGCCTTGGCCACCGCATCTGCCGTAAGTCGGGTAGAAAAAGGTGCCGAGGAAAGGTCCGGGTTGGACCGATTGCTATGTGGGTTTGGTCGCAAGTGACCGAGGGGCGAGGGATGACGAGGACGAAAGAAAAAAGAAGGCAAGGGGGGAGGGCGAGAGTGAGAGAGAGAAAGTTGCGGATATCTATACTGATGAAGGGTGTAAGTCCTTGACGCTGCTATTTCGAGTGGATGCCGCGCGCTAGGGTGGTGGGAGGCTCAGTGTGCCGCGGACTCTGAAACCCATGGGCAAAGATATCAATGGCTCCATGCGTCACCGCGAGCGACACCGCCCAATAAGTGTGTGTATAAGATGGCAAACTTACAATGAAGCAGAGGGTACGCTCAAAATTTGAGGTGGGTTGAAGGCCCGGTTCCGCCCTTGGCAGATGCAGGTCGTAATGGGTGAAGGATGAGACAACGAAGGGGTTCGGTGTCTGTGCAGGGCTTCCCGATGACAATGGCTTTGTCCGTCAGCGACAACAACAACAACGACGAGATTATTCCTTTGTTGCCCGACGACACAATCCAGCAAATAAATGAGGACCGAATGACGGGGCTGAGGATTGGGAGACGTAAACGGAGCGGAGGTGGGGTGGAAGGATTGCGGGCAAGATGGGAAGGATACCGTATCATATATATAGACCCGACGTCGATGCGCCATGTCGCGGGAGACGAAGCACGATGGAGACCGACTCGTAAGTAGACCGCATCGCCAGATCTGGCTCGGCAGGGAATGGGCTGGAAGAAGGAATGAGATAATGAGATCAAAATGAGAAGGGGTTCGACGCCATGGAGGGTGTGTAGCATAAGGGAGGTGTGTGGTGAGGCGTCGGACGGCATCCTGGGGCTTGGCAGGCGCGGAACAAAAGTCGGCCATCCCAGGGTTCCCGTTTTCAGTGCGCCGTCTTCATCCTCAGTCAGCCTCTCTCTGGGGTAAGCGAGGGTCTGGCGCAGACCAATGACACTAGTTGGGACACTCAGGTACACCAGTTCAGTCACGATGGGTGACAATGCTTGCCTCGTTGTTTTCTTGTTTGTTGCTTGCTTATTTCTCCTTTTTATTTTTTCCCCTTCCCTTTTCTGGCCGCAGGTCGGCGCATGCAGAGGTGTGCGGGTAAACGCTTCAACTGGTTGTCTTAAAAGCTGGAGACGCTTCGACGTCAAGCCGTGTTGCAGAAGCGGGCGTGAATGGGCTGGCCATGGATGCGCCCACAGGCGCAGGGTGGGGACGAGAGACCTGGATGAGGTGGACACCATGATACTCTGAAGATGCGGTCATCATGTATGTTGGAGAGCGATAGACTTTGCGTCTTGGGTTGGGTAGCGACAAAAGACTTGTTGGCCCCTCCCCTACGCCGCACGCGCTCAGGTTCACTTGGGACAGGGCTAGAGGGGTGATTGTGTCAGCACCAAAACTGGTAAATGGCAAGGCAATGTTGCCCGGGCGCGCTTCTGATAAGGGCAAGCTTCCTTGAGTGGGACAGAGAACGAGACGCCAGATGGATAGCGAGCGAAGGCGGTGTAGAGGATTCCCACGCCTTGACCGCAGATTTGATAGGCAGCCGCTGATACTTGTCAAATTCGAAATTGACCATAGTTCGGACTCTTTGTCCTGGTTGCTACATTGTTGGCGGCTGTTGCTCCTTCAGACGAGCGACATTTGGGGGTCGATTTTTTCCTCAAAACGGCGCCAGGGGGATTGTCCAGACAAGATCCCTGTCGTTCAGCCCAGCAGGATCCTCATTCGATTGACCCCGTCCGTGGGTGTCCATAACAAAACTAAATGTAACTAGAGGACCAGACCAGCTGGACTGCCCCCCGGTCTTGGTCTTAGTGCCGTCGTGTAGCTGGCGAACGTGGAGTCTTTGGTAGATCCACCACATGGGCGCAAATCTGGCTTCGTCGTACGGAGTACATGGCACACTAAATCGGTACAGCATTATCCGTACACAAGCTTCAACGGAAAGTAGCAGCATGGCGAAGGGAATTTATGGCGGGCAGATATGTTGATTGGGCTGATAGAGCAAGCTGATATTCAGCGCACAATGACGGAGCCAAGCCCTTGTTTCCCGAGCCGAGCACGTACGCCGGCATGGTCGGTCGCTTTTAGCAGAACTAACAGCGAGGGTAACTTGGACACTGCTGACCTATCCCACCTCAGTTTACGGTACGCAATCTCCAACCCACGGTCGCGGCTCGGCGACTTGTTTTCGTTGTCGTTTTGCTCGGCTGATGCCCGTGAGTGAGGGTTTTTGGACGAGCGATGGGGACGGGACGCTGGGAGCGCAGATGACCGACCCATCAAGCGTCAAGCGCGAACAAAAGCAAGCGAGGAAAGACATTAGGAACTGGGAAGTTTGTTGCCAAACGAGTTAGCGTGGGCGAGTGGAACGGGGGACCTGTTCAGCTGAGGTGAGCCCTACAGCCACGCCATCTGGATCCCTGCCCTGTCTAGTGTCGCAGACGCGGGTGCCATAATTGCGAGCTTGTTCCTCTTCTAGGCCCATTCCATCGAACGATTGGTTCGTCAGCCAGCCCTGTGGTGTCGATCGATGTACACCCTCCAAGACAGCTTCTCTCTCTCTTTCTCGCTCAATGAGCCATCATGATGATGCAGACAAGCGACGTTAGCGAGGCACCATGAGGAGACCGGAGCTCAGCTGGCTCGCGGCCCGGGAGTCTTCACCATGAAGGGACACGACGGCATGTCGTTACGGCGAATGGGTTGCCGAAAGTCTGTATGCCGAAGCACGGTGTGATGGATAAAGGGCTCACACCTGGACGCGAGTCTGCATGACATGGCGCATGAACAAGTACCGGGGCCTAGAAAATAGGTAATGCAAGATGGTGATGGAGCGGATGCGGGCTTCGGCCATCCACGTACGGCGGGGGCAAGGCGCGCTTGGATTTCGAGTAACGACGGTCATGAGCGGACACAAAACTTTGGAGGATAGATCCGAAGCTGAGCAGACGCTCCGTGACGGCCGGAACGCAAGTTGGAGGATAGAAGAGATCGCCAGCCATCGAGTAGAATCCGTAAAGCTGCACATGGGGCCGACTGCTGACATGTTGTCAAATGTGGGCTGGTCCCATATTGCTTTGCGAGGCGTCCCTTGCTTGATCGACGAATAGAGAGATTTGAATGATGATGGCGTGTACTTCTGAACGAAGGAGACAAGGCAATCTGTAGATGCTTAACGAGTATTTGCTGGAACTCTTAGTAATGCGAGGCAAATGGAAGCAATACAACGTCAAGGTGTGTGGGCGGCGGAGAGACAGGCGAGGCAGAGGCGAAAGCGGAGAGAAAGAGAAAGAGAGAGCGAGAGACAGAGAGCTAAGAAAGAGGCTGAGGTAAAAAGGCGAGACCAGTCCTGAATAGGCCAACACGATTAGCCAGGCATGACAGACCAGACCATGCCGGAGATGGTGTGGAGTGCGATGGGTGAGGCATTGGTGATGTATGGGAGCGGGGGGGGGGGAAGACAGACGAACGACAGCCAGCCAGCCAGACATACAGACACACACACACACACACACACACACACACACACACACACACACACACACACACACACACACACACACACAGAGATAGAAGAAAATGATCCAACGAATTATTTTGGGGCCAGGCTCGGCTGGCTTGAATGACTGGGTTGGCTGGTTGGTTGGTTGGATTCAATTGATGATGCACGTCAAGGGCTATTTTTTTTTTTTCAGCTGCTCTCTAAGCGGTAAAAGCACCTCATTCGCCGTTTATTTGGATTGTGGTGGAAACAACGCAACGCTCTGCGCCCTCTAGACTCACCTTGTTTGCAAGAACCACACGTATAGTACCTCGCCTGGGCAGGTAGGCAGGTAGGCAGGTAGGTCGGTAGGTTGGTATCTACTAGTGGACGACTTGGATGCCCGTGACTGTAAAACTCCGTCTTTCCTTCCCGTTGTAAGTCAGTTCATTCCTTCCTACAATCATAGGCTGCTCTACTAGTAACTTCCTCAGCCACTGCACCCCTCCTTCCAGTTGTCAACAAGGCACACCCGTGTACCTATTTTTCCTATCCATTTTTGACAAGCACCCGCCACACACCATTGCAGCAAGGAGCGGCTACCCGTTTTGGGGTCTTGGGGAGGGGTACACATCTTGCCAGGGCGTGCCAGGGGCCAAGATGGAAAGAAGGATCCAGTCCAATCAATCACCTCGGGCAGACGAAGCCCCACTCCCCACCCAGCAGACATTCAGGGAGTTGCAGGCGATCACCCGCTGTATTTTCAGCGCCCCAAGCTTCTAGCACGTCAATGGCGGCTTCTCTGCCATGTGACTGACCCATTGCTCTTGGCTCCTGGGCCTCCTCCAAGTCTACCCTATCCTATCCGTCAGTAGCACTACTCTGTACTATGTGCGTGCCGCCTACCGGTACTAGTTCTACAAGGTATGTTAATAGCAACCTAGCCTGGCAGGTTGGCTGTGGGAAGCAAGGAAGGCACCGTGGGGAGGTACTTTATTGTGGGGATACGGTTTTCCAAGACCCAGATGACCTGCATCCAAGAACTGAGGAATGTTCCTGCCTACTTCAACTTACCTGCGTTATTGCCCATAGCAGGAACGCCCCCATGGTTACTGTACCCCAGTATCCGTATTTGTACTAAGGAATCAGAAGTCTAGCCAAGTCTTCTACTGCTCCTGAGACCCTCTTTCTCTTCGGTCTTTGCTGTATTAGGAGGGAGCTACTTGCGAAGGGAGGGCCCTTGGAGGCCTTATGCACGGGCTATTTCTATGTCCGTGGCCGTCACATCATTCATTCAATCTTCAGATGACCAGGCTCTCCCACCCCTCCATGCCTCTTCCAGGGCCGCCCTGTGTCAAATGCGTCGCCCATGGCCTTGGTTTGTTGGTGTTTTAGAGTGTTACACTTTTCAGCCTCCAACGTAACAACACCGACCGCATTTAGTCTTTGGCAAGAGATCATCATCTGCCGTTGCGCCTATCGGGCTTGTGAGTCGTCCTGTTGCCCTACTCTGTAGTTGACTAATCACCTAATCTGTCTGGTCTGCTCACTCCTCTTGCCCACCAACCACAAGTTGTTGACACAGCCCCAAAGCTGCTCCCTTCTTTTTCGCCGATCGCTTCCCAAAGCATCCTTCATTCTAGAGTGTCACCGATGGCATGGTAGCAAATCATCGCTCCCCGGCCATAACTAAGCGGTTTTTTTTTTTTTTTCCTTCTGCTTTCTGGCCGAACTAAAGACACGATCGACATTTCCGGTCGACTGAGACAACCGGCACAATGCATTCTGGTTGGCGTATACTCTCAAGCCGGCGTCTCCGTCAACGGGCCGAAAACTGAGGAATGGGATACCAGAGACACAAAATCTCCGAAAGGGGACGCCGAGTCCCGGAGCCGACGCGGACTGGCCGCCGCTTGAAGGTCTGTTCCAACGTAGTACTGTCATTGATAGTGTTAGAACCACCACGAACACCGTCCACCAGACGACCAGGTCTATTGACCAACCGTTGGTTTTCCATTATTCGTCGTCATTTTCCCATGTCTCCATTCTTCTTTGGTTCTTTCCCGGCCCTCGTCAATTGATTACTCACTCCATCATCTTATTGAAGCATTTACGAGACTAGCAAGGAAGAAAATGGGGGCGAGGAAAGAAGACAAAAATAATCAAACAAAAAAACTTGCTTCTTGTCCTCGCCCCCTTACGAATCCCACCATCGCCACCGCTGTTGGTGTCGTTTCCGCCCTTTCAGCCTTCGCGATAGGAACAGCACATCACACCAAGCCAAGTCATGCAAGTCATTAATGTGCAGTGCTGGCTGCCGAAATTGAATCTTGACAGAGCCTGCATCGTACCGCATTCTCAGGTGTACTGCGTCAACCATTCGTCTGTTCAGCTCACTGGCTTCTCGTGCCGGCCATAGATCGTATCGTGTGGAATACGAATCGGGCACACACACTAACTAGTACGCCCGCTCTATGCGCGAAGATTGACCACAGTATAACGCACCTATCAACACCAACGCGCGGCCCAGTGTAGAGGTTCCCCCCTTTTCTGTTTTTTTTTTTTCTGGTGACGTGCAGGGGGTCACGGCCTGGGGTTGAGACTATACTGGACAATACGGATGTATGTTCCTGATTGCCACCCGCCATCCGTCTCGTATGCGTACCATACATCAGGGCGTATGCAAGGCAAGGTGCATCTCTCTTCACCACATTTGGATATCCCACAACAGGCACGCGTAGGCTCCGGTTCCCATCGGTGCCAAGGGGCATGACAGCAGTACTGCCGCTCCGTATCAGGCTCGCACATGGTGACTTCGTCAGTGCTTACCTTAGCGATTGACGTTGCATTTTTAGGCCTCCAACTACGGTGCCCATCACGCATACCATAACATGCATGAAATCTGCATTTCCAGATGTGTCATATTCAACCTCGGGGCCCCCATCCAGGCCTCGTGTCAGGCATTGCCAGCGGGCCAAAATCGACGTCAGTTCTCCTGGGCGCGTTTACCTTGACCATTCACGCCGCTTTGCCATCAGCCTCCCTGCTCTTTTTTGCAACCAATTTGCACCCCGAAACATACTCCACGCCCCTTCCCAGGCCCCCAACAATGCGAGGCCATTCAGGGACCCCTCGCTCGTCCTTCAGCCTTACGAAGATCCCGGCTTTCTGACCTGCCCTCCTCGTCAGCATGTTATTTGTCCCACATCCGCTAGCGTCCTCATGGCCTTAGACGCATCCTGGTCATTCGCAATCCATTGGCTGACATTTGAGAACAGATTGCCATACTAGCACCCAAACGAAGTGTCACTGTCCAGTTTTGCTTCGAAAGGTTGGTCAGTTTGCCGGATTGCCTCGCACTTTGGTCATCCAGTCATTCCTTCAAGGTGCCCTTGGAGAAACGGACGCCGCAACCTCCACTGACCGCCTTTTTCTTCTTGTTTAATCTTTTCGCCTTTCTTGTGATTATTTTGCCCACCGGACATAATTGTCCGATTCGTCTTCTGCCCCATGCGATGCGTCCAAGTCAAAATACGCCCCGTGCAAACTCGACTCCGCCATCACCAACGTGCACGCTTGGCCGTGAGAACGACCAACAAGAAAAGTTTTCTTCTTTCCGGCTTTTCGCCCCGGCCCCTTATTTTGGCGGATTGGAATTGTGGCGTTCGCCCTATTGGATAGACGATGTACTCATACCCTTGAACCTTGACGTTGATTATTGACGAGAGTCGTCATCCTAACTTCACGAGTGTTGGTTACCTTTCATTCTCGAATCCTGAGAGGCCAAGATACGACCAGTTCAGCCTTGGCTTCTCTGCGCACTTGATGACTTCGACCCTCTGCTTTCGGTGCCTGACTAGGATTCAGAAGTTCTTCCTTTACGTTGGAACTTGCGCCAGGGATAGTCATCAAGCCAAGCTTACCTCAAGGCCGCCAGCGCAGCCATCTTGGTGATCGTTCTTAGCTAAGGCAACGCCTTGTCCACCAGAACTAAACTGGTCCTCGATGTCGGGGTCGTGATTTGAAAGCATCGACGAACAGATATCAAATCTCCGGCGAAGGTCATGTTGGTTCGCAGACCACAAGCGCAATCCACAAAGCCCGACCCCTCTCCCGCTTACATCACATTCTCTCAGCCTTGAGTCAGCCGGGAACCCAGACCCATGTAAATTTGGAGGCTCCTCTCATCACGCACCGTCGTCGTCATCATCAGGATGGAGACGATTGGGCCTCACCGCGAGCCAAATTTCTTTTCTTCTGCTCGTTTCCAACGGAAAACATAGCCCTCATGATTATTCGTTGCGGGATGTCAAACGAGATAGTTGCCTAGAAGGCGCAGTTCCGCTCATACTTGCAGGGCGCGTCAGATGAAAAAAAAAAAAAAAAAAAAAAAAAAAAAAGTCAGCCGTGACCATTCTCTAGAAGACGTTCACGTCTTTGCATTGTGGAAAAAACTGTACCGGCGCTAAGCTGACAACACCATCTAATCTCATCACAATCCCATTTCGCACCATTAACCGAAACGGGGGGGGGGGGGGGGGTGTGAGGGGGGGAAGCACACCCACCTCCGTAGAAACGGTGATATTCCCCTACTGAGTAGCTTACCAGTCACGGCCGGAGATCGTGATCACCATCGGGGATCATAATCACCTTTTTGGCTGAATCTGGATTAAGGGGGGAGTAGGGATATCTGGCTGACTGAGCTGGGCGAAAACACATAAAAAAAAAAAGAGGGAAGTCAGCAAGCCCAGACCGAACCCATGTGGAGATATTTTCGTGATATGTCTGGGTACATGGCCGGCATGACCAATTTGATAAACTTGAGAGGGTAAGTAGAACTAAACCGGGTACTTCAGCCGGGCCTCGCCGTTTCTTTCGTCTGACAAACTCCGGGGGGGAAGACCACGGCGAAACAAGGATGAACCATGGAAAGCACACACACACACACACACACACACACACACACACACACACACACACACACACACACACACATACACACACATGCTTTCAACGCGTCTCTATGAGTGAATGGGAAAACTTGACCCTAAAAGTACTGCGCAGGAAACATCTGCATGGGAGTCACCACATTGGAGAAGAGGGTGGGGGAAGGAGAAACTTGGATTGCATGAGAGGGTTGAAAAAAAAAGGTCTCATCAGTTGCGCGGAGTGTTTTCCGCTAGACATTATCAAAGACTAGGCTTAGACAAAAAACACGGGGATCAAAATGCCTGATTCCCAGTGTGCCCAATCCACGATCCAAGCCCACGCGCGCTCTCTCTCTCTCTCCTCTCTGCTCTCGTGTCGTCCGCCCTCGAACGCCAGTAAGAAAGGCCTGAAAAGGAAGAAAATGGAATAAACAACAAAACCCAGGTAGACTCTGTTCGCCTTGCCTGCCCAAACCCCGTTGAAATCATCTTTTTTCGTCGTGAATTTAGCGAGGAATGGTCCTCTAAGCGTAGAGAAACCATGAAGCCCTTGCAGAACCTGCTTTTTGTACATGTGATAACCCAAACAACACCGGAGAGATTTTTTCCTCTCCCAAGAAGCCATGCAAAAAGAGTTTACCATGACGACTAGTCCATAACCAATAGCCATCCGCTCCAAGCTTACATGCCGCCGATGCCGATACCAATGCCCATTCCGACGTCCAAGGGCTCAGGACCGGCAGGCCCGTCCGACGGGAGGTCACGATCTTCCTCCATCATCTCGATGAGGTTATCCAGGTTCTCGTCGAGGTTCTCCGCGTCGGTGGGGTCGAGACATTTGCGTAGCAGCCGGCGATACTTGTCAATGTTCTCGCCCGTGCCTACCATGCTCAGCGCCTCGACGTAGTCGTTCTCGGACTGTCGCTGCTCTGAGACCATGGCCTTCAGCTGTCTCGCGAGGGCCAATCTGTCCTCGTAAGTGGCTTCATCAACGTCGCCATTGAGCATGCTGATCTCCTGGTCGACGGCCTGTTGTACGTGCAGGCGGTTCTGGTGTGTGATGAGAGACATGACTTGGTGCTTTGCAAGGTTCGCCTCGCTCATGATCTGTGCGGCGCCGTCGTCCGGCTCGAGCTGAGCTTCAAGCTCGGCCATCTGCTGTCGTACGGCGGCGAGTTCCGCTTGAGTGTTGGAGAGTATGCGGCGCGCTTCCTTCTCGGCTTGGTCTTTCTCGCGGATCTCTTCGTCGTAACTGCCCGCAAGGTCCTGGAACTTCTCCATTATGAGGGGCGTGATACGCGATTGTACCGTGTTGGCGGCTTCTGAGTTAAAGGAGGAGATGGCGAGCTTTTTGCTGCTCGTCAATCTGTCAGGCATGGCATCCCGGAAGGAGACATAGCGCTGAGAGTCGGGGGCAAAAGGAGAAGATGATCGCTGCGGACCACGCTCCTTCTTCGTTGCGTTAAGCTGAGCGATAAGGTCTTCTGCCCGAACGCCCTCGTGATTAGGGATATTAGTTGAGGCCTGGCGGCCGAGAAGCGCCCTGATGCATTTTCTGGCATTCCGCTGCGCTGCCAGATGGAGAGCAGTGTTGCCTTCGTTGTCCTGGGCGTCGATGAGTTGCTGTACATAAGCCGGGTCGTGTGTCTCTTGGAGTTTGTTGAGGATGTTGTCAAGGTAGTACCTTGAACATGAGTGGCTAACTACTCTTCCGTTCTTCATCACTGCGGCGTGGTGAATGACTGTGCTACCTGAGTGATCTCGGGCGTCGACGGTGTCGAATAGTTCCTTCATAACCTGGGGGAACGTTTGCTTCTCATAGCAGTTTGTAAAGTGTACAGAGCGCATAAAGGGAGTCTCTCCCCGAACGTTCTGCACTGACAAGCTGGCTCCAAAGCGGCGGAGCTGTTTTATCACGTCCAAATCACCCATAGCCGACGCCCAATGAATGGCAGTGTGTTCCTCCGAGTCGATGATCCAATTTGGTTGAAAATTCGGTGGAGGCTCAGGGCGATATGCCGGCTTCTCATTTCTAGAGAGAAGAAAGTAGTCCAAGAGCTCATCGCCATAAACGGAATGCTGCTGCTGCGTCAAGTCCTGGATGGCCTCTTCCCTCTTCCTCTTTCTGTGGCCTGTTGAGTGGTGGGACATGTCAAAGCGGTCGTCATCCATATAGGAGGCGGAAGCGACAGTCAAGTTATCCGGGGTATCATCATCATTCATTAGAGTGTCGCCGACCTCGTATTCTTCAGGTTGTGATGCGCCTGGCAACGAGTTGTTAACAGGAGGCTGAGCTACCGACTGCTGCTGGAAGTTTGTACTGGGCCACTTGGGCACAGCAGGCTTCTTCGGTGCCTTGGGTTTACTGGTATGCCGGGGAGCCGGCGGAGGGCTCTGGTTGCCAGGGACGTATTCGAAGATGGGCCGTAGACGATCGTAGACGTTGTTGCGCTGGGCGAGAGCAACGCCTTTATCAAGAGGAATCCATGTGCCCTGGTATTTTCCGTAACCACCCTGAATCTTCTCGTGTTTTTCCTTTTGGACCTCTCGCTCAAGGATACGTGTTCTGGCGGGTTTATCAAAGCCGGCTGCTTTCAGGATATGTGTCGCATTGATCCAGTCATCCTGTCGCCTTCGCATAACATGTTCTTTGAGATCATCTCCGAATTGGAATTCGTAAACAGGTATCTGTACAAGTGGTCCGTCAGCAATTGAGGCTTTCCGGTGTGCGACAGAGGTTCAGCGATCCAAAGGTGCCGTTCAGCATCATGTTGCAAGAGAAGTTGTCCCCCCTTGGCGCTGATTTAAGCGCCCACCTTGGCCGACCAGTTGAAGTGGAGTGAAGAAGTATCACGACGCTTTTCAACCCAACAAAACGATTTCCGAATCATGAAAAAAATCACTTACACCACTGTAGGTAGCACTGTAGACACCGGGGAGTGCAGTGCCCTTAACCATCGTCAACTTCTTGGAGCAAGGGACAGGCCCTGCTTTCTCGGCGTGGATGGTTCAGGAGGCACTTTGGCAGTTTGCTTTGGGGCAGCGAGGAAGGGTAACGGCCGGGTATTAAGGAATTGAAAACGTCGTGCGGCGTACCGTTCGGCAGGTGGTTGCTGGCGAGGGCTCGGTGAGGCTCTTGGTGAGGTCCTGTACCGGATTCACGGATTTTCTTTCACCAGAGTTGAGTGGATGCTCTTTCGTCGTCTGGGGGAGGAAAGGACGCGGTCGCGGCTTGACGCGCCTTCCACGCGAAGACAATTAAACGCGGGGGCCTCAGGCGTGAAGCATGTCATGGTCCAAGCGTCTTTGCAATAAGTGGACCATCGGATCTGTCTTTCATGTCACGTGATGGTCTTATGAGACTGGCCCAAGCTCAAATTCATTGGGACCGAAGCATGTGTCAGCTTCAGTCAGGTTTCTACATAGTTAGCAGAGGCAGTCAGATACGACTAGACATTTCAGCATAAGTTGATGTTGACTACCAGTCTCTTGGTGCTTGGCAAACTATACATCAAACCCCGACAAAGATGGTATTTCTTTGACTCTAGTCAATAAACCCAAAAACTTACTTTTCTTCAAATACAAAGACATAGAGCACCTTCCGTCGCTAGAATATGCGTATCCTCCAAGTGTCATTGTTACAAGTGATAAAGGGGTAAAAGAAAAGGACACTGCCTGGGGGCCGTCTAGTGTAGTCCATCATGAAGATGTCGTGATAATTACTGCGTATGCAACTAGCTGACCTAGTCTTTTTAACCGGCACTATTCCCGTCAAATCCGACACGTCCCCATGCCATCGGGGATAATTACATTAGTAATGCTCCCGACTCGGATAGCAATGACACCGTGACGTCTTCAACTGTCGCATATCTTATTACCCCACCATGATGGCGGGGTCCAAACGCTCGAAACCCACTCCGTGGTTGTGGTATGAGTCTATCTGATCACGACATCGCTTTTCGGACCAAAAACCATTGCAACCTCCTGCGGTCGATATCGGAGCAAAAGCCCTCATATATAGGCACTCGTTGTTTATTTGCTCACCCTAATTTTTAGTGATCATCTGTAGCAGACCCAAAGGTAATACTCCTTATCCTCGCTCTCGCCGTACTTTTCTCAACTCAAGGATCCCCAGTTTCCATCATGCCTCTCGTCGCTTCAAACCCCAAGGACCGCATCATCCTGGGTCTCATGACCTTCGGACCCAAGGAGTCCGATGGCGCCCGAATCACCGACTTGGGCACCTTTAACAAGGCCCTCGATGTCTTCCAGACCCGGGGCTACAATGAGGTTGACACGGCCCGCGTATACGTCGGCAGACAGCAGGAGGCTTTCACTCGCGAAGCCAAGTGGAAAGAGAGAGGATTAACTCTGGCCACCAAGGTTCAGTACCCTGGCACGTTGGGAGACCACGCTGCTAGCAAGGTAATTGAGTCTGTTGAGACCAGCCTGAAGGAGCTTGGCACCGACTGCGTTGACGTGAGTTGATATGAAACCGCCACTGATAAAAGTATTGTGCTAACATGTCACCTTAGATTCTGTACATCCATGCTGCTGTATGAGTTACTCCTTATCCCGCTAAACTTGGGCATGCAATTGATATAAGCTTACAGGACCGCGCAACTCCGTTTGCCGAGACCCTTGAGGCCTTGGACAAGCTCCACAAGCAGGGCAAGTTCGTCAAGCTGGGCCTTAGCAACTTTACCGCTTTTGAGGTGGCCGAGGTGGTCATGACGTGCAAGTACAATGGCTGGGTCCGTCCTACCGTGTACCAGGGCATGTACAATGTCATTACTCGCAGCATCGACGCGGAGCTGATTCCGGCCTGTCGCCGCTATGGACTGGACATTGTCGTTTACAACCCCCTGGCTGGCGGACTATTTTCAGGCAAGATTAAGTCCAAGGACATTATCCCTACCGAAGGCCGCTTCTCAGACAACCACGGCACGGGCGGAAACTATCGCAAGCGCTATTTCCGTGAGAGCACGTTCAAGGCGCTCCAGACGGTCGAGGCTGCAGTGGAAAAGCACGGTCTCAGCATCATTGAGACGGCGCTGAGATGGACGGTGCACCACTCGAGCCTCAAGATCAAGGACGGCAATGACGGTATCATTATCGGTATCTCCAGCGTGGAACAACTCGAGGACAACCTTAACCACCTCGAGAAGGGCCCCCTGCCGGAGGAAGTTTTGCAGGCGCTTGACCAGGCGTGGCTTGTCTCCAAGGCTGACACGACTAACTACTGGCACCTGGACCTAGAATACAAGTATGACACCCGGGATGTTCTTTTTGGCGCGGGGGCCAAATGATCGGGCTAAAGGGGGACCCGATGGGAGGGAAGCTTTCAGATCTGAAGGGCAAACTGCCGTAGAGATACAGGCATCATGGCAATTTGTATTTGATACCCACGTCAGAATCTGGACAGATGGCCCTATCAGATGTCAAAACTCAGCATGTGTGTGATCCTCAGATGTGATGTCGGATCTCGGGCGACTGGAGGCATGTTGGATGTAGAGTGCCTGTGTGTGTGTGGCAGCGGGCCTTTTCCCAGTCATGCGACTGCATGCGTGATGGCGTAGGATGGCCCGAAGCGTGCTTTTGAGGCCCTCCCGAGGCCTTTTTTCGTACCGCTGCAGTGGGCTGCTAGGCCAGTAGTACGTCGTAGTAGTGCGCGCTAGGATTCCTGCGGTGTAGACAACTCGAGGGTTATCGGACCCAGGTGATTGACTTGTCACAACGCTCATGACCGTAACCTGTGACGGGCGCAAGTTTTGGCGGAAGGGTGTGGTATCGGGGTACTTGATTCGTACATTTGGCAAGGCTGATAAGGCAAGGGCGACCGTGAGTTGAGGTTTAATGTGCTAATTAGTGAACAGATCAGAGGGAGAGAGTTTGTGTCACTGCGGCATCTTAAGCGGCCTTGCTTATTTCTGGAGGGTGTGCATGTGGGTGAGACCAGGGAAGCATATCCTGTACTAAGAGGCATAGATGGGCAAGGTGAAGGGGGGGCTGTGTGGTGGTACGTGGACAACTACATAGGGCACCTAAAGCACAAGTGTGGGGGGAAGGAGAGGGGGGAGGACACATGCATAGTGTATACGGGCTTGACGGGGGCCAGGAAAAGGGAGGACATGGAAGGTGGAAAGGGAGGAAAATAGGCAGGAAGGGTCTTCCGCGCCAACCGCCCCTCCTTCCTCTCCCCAAGCCCGCCCTTTCGGCAAGCACCAAGTCGCCAAGTTAGCAGTGTCTCGGCGGAATGGACCTCGGCCTATCAGGAGTTACAATAGCACTCACTTAGGCGATCCTGACCCCCCCCAATCAGTGGGTACGGTTGGTATCATTACGGTACATGGCACGTCCCCAGGCGAACTTAACGTGCTGCAGGGTGCTCCACGTCCATTTGCCCATGCCATGCTGCCACTGCCAAACTACGTAGGCCGATGCATGTCGGGTGGGTCATTAACCACTTTCCAATGCAGAAGTGTCCAACTGGCACACTGTCACTGTTTCTTGATCAAGCCAGCCTACCTTACCAAAAGAATTGCGACTCGCATACTCAAGCCTGTTTCTTCTTTGCAGTTTCCTGCAGTACGGCAGCGATTCCCATTCAAGTCCCTCCTTTGTAACTTTTTTAGCCTTTCTTCTTATCTACCTCCGCTTCCCTACATTCCTCTTCGCACCCTCCTTTCCAAATCTACCTCTTATGCCTCCCAGACTACCTACCGGGCCGGACGGAACCCTCAATATTCCCCATTCCCAAGTCGAACAATCCCGTCCTTCGCCGGGTCCGTTAACTGCAACCACATGCGATTCCAACATCTCCGATTACATTGGCAGCGGATCTGGTAGCCCTGGACTTAGCCCTGGGCTCGACCAGCGCTTAGCCGAGTTTGATGCATTGCGAAACGGCGACGACGATTACTTCGAACGCGATTACGACCACGACGACGACGACAACATGAGTGACTCTCACCGAAGACCCCCTCTCCTCCGAAACCACGACTCTCGCTCCGGTCAGCCTCTCCTTGAATCTAAATCCGACGATAAAGACCATTCCAATGGCGACCATGGCTATTCCACTCGTTCTCGGGGCGGCAGTCCCTTGCTGACCCCTAGCCGGCCGGCCTTCTCCCGCCGCTCAACCCTACGAAACCACTCCCCTTCGACCGCCAAAGCGAACGCGCGCAAGAAGTACCTTTATGCCGGCTTCTTCCTCATTCTCAGCTTGTTCTCCTTCGTCATTCAGACCGAGCTGTCGGCCTACATCCAGCAGGAGCTGGGCTGGGATAAAGCATACTGCATGCTGTACCTTACCCATGGCTCCTGGGCGATGCTATGGCCTGTTCAGCTATTGATATTGCGCCTCCAGAACCGCGGTGTTTCCTGGTCCTCTTTCTGGCGCCATCACCGCGATCTGCTTCACAGCACCGCCGTAATGGTTCAGACACAGAGCCTCGACATTTCGCGCCACAATACCCGCCCTCGTTCCTCGCCGCTAGCTTATCTCGTCAAGACCACTGCCTTTGTTACAACAGCTCTGACTATTGGTGGTCTTAGCTGGTACGTCGCCGTGAATTTAACGACTCCTGCTGACCTGACGGCCATTTACAACTGCTCGGCCTTCTTTGCCTACGTCTTTTCTGTCCCTTTGCTCAAGGAGCCTCTACGCCTGGACAAGTCTATCGCAGTGATTGTAGCTATTGCCGGTGTGCTGATTGTTGCATATGGCGACACGAGCCCTGGAGACGACGACGCTGCCCACCAAAAGGCCGCTGGCGAGCGCCTGACTGGCAACTTGGTCATTGGTGTCGGCTCCGTGCTCTATGGACTGTACGAGGTACTCTACAAGCGCTTTGCGTGCCCGCCCGACGGCTGCTCTCCGGGCCGCGGCATGATCTTTGCCAACACATTCGGTTCTTTGATTGGCACTTTTACGCTCACTGTGCTCTGGCTCCCGCTGCCTATTCTTCACTGGCTTGGTATCGAGACTTTCTCTTTGCCAACAGGCCACACCGCCTGGATGCTTTTGGCCAGCGTCATTATGAATGCTACATTTGCTGGCAGCTTCTTGGTCTTGATCAGTCTGACGAGCCCTGTTCTGTCCAGTGTGGCCAGCTTGTTGACCATTTTTATCGTGGCAATCACTGACTGGATCAGGACTGGGGAGCCCCTCAGCTCCGCCGCTCTTCTTGGTGGTGTCATGATCATGGTTGCCTTTGGAATGCTGAGTTGGAGCACATGGCGTGAGATGACGGAGATCGAGGCCACAAAAGCAGTCGACCTGACCGACAGCGGTGACGATAGTGACAGGGATGAGCGTGAGGATTAGAGTTGAGCTCGGTATTCTTTACATGGTATTGGAAACATCAATGGCGTCTCGGGGGTGTCGGTGGTCAATGTGGTCTTTGATTGTTGTTTTGTGTGCGTTCAATATGGGCATTTGGCATCATTCAACGGGGTCGGTTGCAACTCGTTGGCATTGGATTACAGCATCATTTTTGATCATGACGGACTGGAAAGTCCATCACAGTGGACCACGGGAGGAGGATACGGCATCATGCCATTAGGTATAGTCTCATTTCGCTGCATACGGGAGCTCGGTCTCTCTGTTCACACTGGGTGTTCTTGGCTTAGTTTTCATTTGCGGCATAGACAGTGTCTTTCTTTTTTTTTTTTTTTGTTCAGGGGCAGAATCAGTTTCTGATCCCGTTAGAACGCAACGAGATACCATTTATGGACGTTGCTGGACTGGAAACCAAAACAACACCAATGGTATTGGGATTATTTTTGCTGCGTCGCAGCTCACAGCCGTCTTGAAAAACATTTCCTTGATATTTCGACCATTCTGCTAAACTCACCTGTCGCAGTTCTCTGTTAACGGCGCAAATTTCCTCCTCTATTTCCACTCTCTCCATGTCATCCACATTTACAAAGAGATTTCTCTAACCATAGGTTCACGGTAAACCAGAGCTTTCATGGACCACGACTAACGTAACCGGTTTGACTTGAAACAGGGGCGGCTCCAGCGATCAGCCCGCAACCCGAGATGAAGCTCCACCTTCCGACCCCCCTGCTAACAACCCCCCGTTTCCCGAGTTCCGACGGCATTTTAAGCCACCCCATTGCGCGGCATGCCATGACTTGATAAAGGTAAACCAATACGCGTATGTCTAGCTCATAATCCAAAGCTTTTCGTGAGAAAATGTGCCGGCGAAGAGAACTTGCGGGTTGACTTACTTACATGAGCTATTGTTTGCGGTGCTTACTTATTAGCTGCTGCAAGGACTTCACCTGTTTCGGACCTTGGAGACACTCTTACATAGGCTGTCACTGTTGTCGAGACGAACTGCAGAATCTACTGAACACCAGCGTCACCTCGGGCACTGGCTAGAAATAAGAATCTAAGTACGCGGTCCAGCTTCGAAAATCTCGTGGGCCCATCCAGGTCACCTACGTCTCGCAGCATAGACCGATCGATGGGTTACATGGCCAGCATGCAACTCCCGGCTTCAAGTGATTTCTTGCCATCGAAGCTCAAGGCATGTCAGCTAGACGACTTGCAACGTTTGGCGGATGACTTTGTGCCGCTTAGCTTTGTGCATCGTGTTACTTGCGTCGATTTGCGATCAGAAAGCTGTCGAGCTGGAAAGAAGTTAGCGGGAGCATAATAAAGATGTGCGACTTCTACAAGGATGTTGTGGATTAAAAGATGTGAATTGGGAATATGGACTAGTATGTAAGTGTGATCTTCTTAAATTAATTTAAATTGATAAAGGTTATTGCAACGAATTTGACTCATGACGCAACTGAGGCTTTATAATGCTTCATTACCTTACTGTTCAATTAAATCCTTTTACATGACTAACATGCATTCATAAAAAGTCGATTAAAGTTTGATTATTGCGGTAGTTATGAAGAAGGAAGACGCCAAGTAAACTATCTTCTGTATTTATCTGATGTCTACACCTTACTTAACAACAGATTAGACTCTGTGATAATTTCATGTAACACGGAGGTATTTAAATAGGCTGCTTACCTTCTTAGAAGATAACCGCATCCCATTTGAAATTGCAAGTTCTTCATGGATGCCAATACCTAGCCTACAGCGGCTTCTGCCCATAAACTACGTGACTGTGAAGCGGTTAGTAACACTCAAGCGAAGCAGATGTCATGAATGAGATAGGCATACATGTCATACAAAGCATGAAATGAGTTGCTCTTCAACTCATTCCGCACCGATGCAAGCTGCACCAAGACCTCCGTCTCGGTCTTTCCCAGAACGCCACAGAATAACTTCATGGAGAACGCCTCCAGCCCATCCAAAATCTGCGCCAGATTCAACAAGCCGATTTCTTTGTAGTGGGTATGCTTTGCCCAAGGACCGATGGGAACCTTGAACTTCTGGTGTGACAGATTATCGAACCCTCCGTGGCCTCTGACCCAGCCTTCGAGCTGTGGGCCTGGGCACGGATCTCGCCCTATGCTCTTCAAAGTATTGACAAAGGTCTGATTCCACTCGTGAGTAGCGTGCTGGGGTGTGTAGGTCCCGTCATCGGAGTAGTACTCGACGCTCATGTCCTGGAACTCGGCCCAGCCTCCGGGGTTGAGATTACTGCGGCCATGAGTTAAAATACTTTTGAACCAAGGAGAATATACAATGGAAGGCTGTTTGCTGCCAAGCTTACTCGTAAATGCTTTTTACCAACTTCGGCCAGTCGCCGATGGAAGCGGCCATGAACCGGCACATGATGTAGTCATACTTCTTACCCACCCAGGGACTCTCAACGTCGTCGATCTCGAACTTGACGTTTGGAGGAACCCTGATCAGACATGAGGTGAGCTCAAACTTTGAATACGATGGCGAGACTTACCATGTAGGTTGAATGGCGCTCAAATCGTTTCCAATGACCTTCTCAAATCTTAGTATTGCCGGTACTTGAAAGTTCGAAAGTGAAAGAGTTGAACTGACTTCAGCGTTAGGGAACATGTCACCTGCTTCAATAGCCCCTATATAGAAATGGAATTAGTAAAGGAAGTGATTACCGGCTACGGCAGAGGGATATGTTTACAAATTCCAGTGCCAGTCCCAATGTCGAGTATGCGGTGGAGCTTGTGCGACTCGATGGGTGCTAGGTAAAGCTTATTGCCAATCACCTTGGTGATTAATGCGTGAGCCATATCAAGTCGTTCTGATTCTATGTCGTCGTTTGGCAGCACATATGCTGAAATTGTGAGCGGTTCATCCACAAAGTGGTAGCTCCTTAAAGTGGACCAAATTGAAGGTCAGGTAACTCACAGCCAGACCGGAAGGCATGATAACGCCTGCCATATTCTGTGGGATAGTCGATCACGCTGGACGTCAGCGAAGAGGTGTAGTTTGAGCTGTGATACCAGGATTGTCAACACTTCAACCAAGCACTGGCTTTAAGGTCGAGTTCATACATTCGGTCGTCAATCGACGCGGTGCCGTCCGTCTTTCTTTAAGATCAGCAACGTCTGGCCGGGAGAAACTATCCATATTAAATTGCGTAAATTACCTCTCCCTCGTCAGCCTCAAGCGCGACCTCCGCTGTGTTGCCTTCCGGGGACGGCTCGACTGCGGTATCTCCTCTGGAGGAGCCGGCCGCCGGCCCTGTCGCTAGCGCTGAACCTTTTTGCTTCTCCGAAACCTCGGCCATTTCAATTCAGAAAAACTTTTCTTCTTCAATGACAAGGAGGTTTAATGGCTGAAATTAGGTCACGAGGAAAAGGGGATAATTCAGTGCCAACGAAATGAGATTGGCTGGGAAGGGGATTTTGTACTGCGGTGAGTCTCCCCCAACAAGGGCGTTGTGCCTCATTTGTTGTTGTCGCATTGGGCTAGGTCTTTATGCATTCGGATGCACAACAATGCAAGCTAGAAGATGTCTCACATTTGCGGTCAGAATGAGGGCACTTGAACGCTGAGCCTTTGAGCATTCCAGACCAGTAGAGGCGGGGCACACAACGCCTACGGAACGTCTAGCCGATGAGCCACGTGAGCCGGTCAGCGTTTGCTATCTCATAATTTGGGAGCTGAGATCGATGGGCGTTGAAATCAGCATTAGCTTGGATGTAAATGCAGTAGCTAGACATGTGCCCTGCTGGTGGATGCCCCTCCTCGGGGGTGGGGGTGCTAATCATGGCTTTAATGTTGCTGTTAGTGTTTCTGACAAGAAATTGAAATGGAGAAATGGTGCATTGCACATATTCATCGCTTGCTTCTTGTGTAGCAACTTGTTGTTTCTTCTGACGAGTAGCGTCGATGGGGACTGAGGAGACATTAGTTTAATTTCACATGTTGCGACTTTGTTTTCGGGGCCTGGATGAAGCAGTTGAAACCCTTTAATAAGCATCCTCGCAACGATTTGACCTGAGATAGAGGCATGATATTATCCAGCTGAAGACTGGTTCATAGTTGTTCCTAGTATCAGGAGGGCTTTGCGACTGAAGCATTTGACTTATCACGATCGCTAAGATTGTGCTTTATTTCTATCGGAGGCGTGGTGCTGGATTTAGAGTATTCAAGTCACCTAGAAAGACAATTTAAACTTATGACAGGTTCGCATGCTATGAGAAATATCCCGAAAATGATTCTCATCATGGATGATCTTCCTGATCAGACATAACAGAATCTCGCCTACGCCGGTAATATTTTTGCGTTACCTGTTAACAGACGGACTGGCTTCTCTTCAAATTTTCAAGTCTGAGACTGCCCCTTCGTAGATCAGGCTGAGATTCGAAATATGGGAACTCAATGCAACCTGTTTTTGTTGTTCGTGCCTTTTCTCGTACTTTTACCTTGTGTACGCCCCAAGTTGCAGCAAGCATTTCGTGTTGTTACGGATGAACAAACGCTTTGGCAGTTTCTGGTACGACTCATTCCCGTTTGGAACGTTTGCGATTCTGAAAAGCGGTTTGGTAGTGCTTGCCGGAGTCTGTATTGTCCCTCTAGAGCTTGTTTTGACGTATCTCTATGACTCGCTCACCTGCTAAAGTCAGACTAATGACAACCAATGAGTTTATGATGGAGATGGAGCACCTACTGGCAAAAGACAGCGACGACTTAATTGACCTTCGGAAAAGGTTGGAAAAGAGACCACCGCAGACTGTAGCGAGTTAGAAGAATCATCACAACACAAAAAACCTGGATGGCCATGATCTGGTCCGTGGCAGACTGTGCAGTCTATGGTATTGCCATCTCCATGTAAGTCCTGCTTACTGGAGGATCCGGCATGATTGATAGTTTGATAAGTTCATGTTGATAGCAACGTGCGAAATTAGGCGATGTCCAAAGGGACTCTGGCAGCGTGAGATCTTCTCAAGGGGGCTGAGCTGCATATCTACAATCGCAAGAGTACAATTCAAGCCGTTGGATGTGCCAATGACCATGGCCCCGTTTAAAAAACCGCTTTTCTCCGAAAATAGCAGAACCAACAGAGAACACAATTGCAAAGACCCTTATGGCCATTGTGCGAGGACACTCAAGCGGGTCGCTACTTCAGTGATTCCCAATGGCCCATATAGGCTAACAATTCGTGGCTTGATCCTCCACTCTGGATGACTAGGGTTTCTGTCAAAATCGTCCAGTATCTCTGCCTCCTGCAATGGACGTAAGAGATTCCCCACTTATTGTCGATCCAGCCCTCAGTTGCTGTGCGCTGGCAAAGAAATATCTTGTGATGAAGGCGAACAATGGAAGTCTTGGTACACTGCATTATCGTCGGTTTATTAGCCCAATTCCTTCGTGTTGATTTGCGTTTGATGGTTCTATGAGCCATCAGATACTTGCGGTTTGCTTGTACTTCCATACTCCCTAAGGCTTTCTACCCATGCTTTGGAATCACAGACGCTGGTACGAAGAACAGCACTAAATTTCTTTGTTTAAGAAGTAATATAACAGTCAGGATTGTATGATGCGTGTTTACCTTTTCTCGAATTGTTCATGTTGTCAAAGTTAATCCGCTGACAGGACAAACAAGGTGCACTTTTGCGCGGGGTGCCATGCGACATGATTACCATAGTAACTTTTGGCAAAGCACCTGGTGTACTTTAGTTGCATTCCTCGGTTGAGTGTGAATAAAGAGACTATGGAAAGGCGTTGAGAAACATACCTGCATGCATATTTTGAAGCCCTTGATGCAGTATGAAATGTTATAGAGGAGATTTCAGTATATATCTCTAGTATAGTTTGCGTAAGCTTATATCTTTATTAAAAGCTTTTATATAGTGCTAGTCTTAGATCGTATAGAGGTTAAAAGAAAAGAATTGTCTATTTGAAACCGTTCAATAGATTTACTAGTATATTTCCTATTTAATCGTGCTAGTTATTTATATTACCTGATTTAATCGGGACTTTTTCTACTTAATACTAGTTTTAACTACTAGCTTTTGTAGAATTACGTTTGATAGTTTCTCATTTTTGATTAAAGTAGCCTCCTCTTCACTCTTGCTTTTGTCTGTTGATTCCTGGTTTGTTTCGTAGAACTCGGTGATTGACTTTGCTATTCCTCTACGTACCCGCCCTCTCTTTGAAGATACTTGATCAATATACAATTGAAAGAAGAGAATTGTAAAAGTCTAGAAAAACACGCCAACATTTTCCTTGTAAGTCTAGATTTTAAGGTCCTTCGTCCTTGAGGACTTTCTTTACACGCTGACATCGACGCCTTCCGAGCCGGAAACGTTAACTGAATCTCATTTGCATCTGGCTTGTAGCACCTCGGCTTACAAAACCTATTGTTGAGCCATGTTGGTGATGAATGGAATATCTCATTGACTGGAGGCGCGGCAAAGCCGGCCGTCCATGAGCTCGATCCAATCCTCACTTCCAACGCATCGAGGACACCACTGAAGGGACTCAGGATCGAGCTTCTTCTTTATCTCTTGCAGTCGAACATAGTTACGACCCCAGAAAGTTTGTTGCCAGTTGGGTTCATGCAAACTAGCCTATGTAGACAGTCAGTTATTTCGTTCGGTCATGAATGTTGCTTTCATGGTGGTAAGTCTCACCTCATTGATATAAGCACCAGATTCCGGCGCCAGGCTACGGAGGGCATCGCCCACTCTGTTTGTCATGTCGTCGAACACATGAGTAACTTCGGGGTATGAGGCGGAATCGTCCCAACCCCTAGTAACATAAAAGTGGACGACTGCGTCCCTCCATGCAGGGTTAAGAGCGTTGTCAACGGGTACCTTGCTCGCAATCATACCACCAGCGATAGTTGGATTGGAAATCCCACCCTGCCAGAGAACAAATATTAGTTTGCTGCCCTCACCGAGATTAAGAGAGGTAACGTACCACAGGCCCTTCAGGTCGAGGTCCTACGGCTTCGAGAATTTTAGCAAGCTCTTGCGTGTTGTTGGTGAGGGGCGCAGCAGGGAGAAGTCTCGAAGCCGTTGCGCCACCCCCACCTCCAGCACCACCAAGCGCTGCCATCGGTAGGGAGTTGTATACGCTGATCCAATCACGAGACCATATCACGTTTGACTCGTGTGTGGCCGTAGAAGCGGCACCCTCCAGAATGGACAAGAACGATTTGGTGAGCGCTTCCGCTGTTCCATTGGGTTTGTTATAGAGGAAGAAGAAACCATAAAACGTTAGTGAATCGTAGGACGGAGGGCCTCCAATGGTATAGAAACCCTGGAAGCCGCCCTCCTTAAGGGCCGGAAGCTGATTGTGAAGCTCAGCTACGAGAGACCACCAGCTCTTGAAGGTACTGTTGTCAGTCTTCGTTACAGAAATAGTCCAAACTGTTGCTTGCGGCATAGGGTGGGCTTTAACCGTTAGCTCAGTGATGACACCAAAAGTGCCGCCACCGCCGCCGCGAACAGCCCAGAAGATATCGGAATTTTGGCACTCGTTGGCTGTGACAATTTCACCACCGGGTGTGACAACGGTGGCTTCAACAATGCTGTCTGCCCCCATTCCGTATTCACTAGTCATCCAACCGTGGCCGCCAGCGGTTGCCCAGCCTACAAGGCCGACGTCCTGCCAAGGTTGAGTGAGTCTGGAGGTCGTTATAAGGTGGCTATGATGGTTTTGATTGGTAACTTACCGCATTTGTTCCGCCAACAACAGCTACTCCGTACTTAGCAGCAGTCTTGAAGGCTTCATCGTCCTGGATGCCCGCACCAAATGTCACGGCCATTTGGTCTGAAACGTTGCTAGAGTTGCCATTAGGGCATGTCGGCACGAATTCTTTGTGAAATTCATGTTGCTTCAGGTTATGCGTCCAGATACTTGAGTCAATGTGTTAGAAAATCCAAAGAGACCTTTTAGGGAAAGGTAGGGGCAACATACGACAAACTTCCAAATGCGGTGCTCCTATGATAGACGTTATTAACGAGTGTTATACATATCCCCCTTGATGATCGAAACTTACTTGGCGCCGTTATGACCCGTATTCTTTACGTTCAAGCGCAAGTTGTGCTCAGCGGCAAACTTTACAGCGGCCTGAACATCCTCGGCTCGGCTCACGTTGACAGAGTATGCGGGATATTTGCCCAAACTACAACCCCGAGAGCCTGCTAATGCATCTCCAGCTGTGCTGGTACCGTTTTCGTAAATTGGATTACAACTGTTGTTCGCGAACCATGGGGAGTGAACGCTGACAGGGTCCGAAGAATGAAAGGCCGGAGTGGACCAGTTCGATATGACAGTTTTGCAAGCAGCTGCATCGTAGTTTGGCTGGTCCTTGTAGCAGACTGAAGGAGCAAGAATTGTTTTCAGGAGTCTTCCGGACAATGTTTCGTTGAGAGATGACCAAGTTTCATCTGATGGCCAGCAAGGATCGCCTGGTGCCTATGGGTATCACATAATGTCAGTAGTAAATCACTTGTGGCTTCCAACTCCCCTGTATGATATGTACTTACACATTTGCAATCTAGAGCGATTACAAACTTTAAAGCGCACAAGGCTCCTGCGGTGATCTTCCAAAGCTGCATGTTGACTATCTTTGCTTTATGATAGTAGAGTAATCTGCAGAAACTAACGTAATGAGATTTCACAACCAGGTGCTTCTCCTTGAATTTCCCAAGGAAGCTTGCGATATATATACATTTACTGTAGTAAAAATCATTAATTTTGACATCATAGTACTGACATACAAGTTAATATCCTCAAATACGAAGGCGAGGTAAAATAGGTGCTCGTGTAAATACACGTATCCAAGGAATGGGTCAGAGTGTACCGTGAGTTACCATTGGCTCGGGGTTCCCCGAATACACGTATTTGCTAAATAGGGTTGGGACTCGGAGTCCATAGTCGACGGCATTGATCACTGGTGACACCGGGCACGAATATAAGACTATGCACGTAAGCTTAGTGGGTCTTCTACGTAAGGCTTTGTAGCTTGACTCAGGCTTGACGGCCGCGTTGAATACATGTATTCAACAAATTCGCTGTCCCAAGACTTTTCACACATACACGTAAAAACCAGTCGCATACTCCTTGGCCGCAAAATATCTTTTCGTCATAAGCTTAATTTGCACAATCACACGAGAACTGCACCAGGTGTTGATTTGCCCGAAAGTCCTTCACGTCATCCAAATTCTAGAGTCAAACCATCTGGAATACGGCAACGGTCACATGATGTATCGGCGCTCCCACAGAAAGTCTCGCAGGGGTTGCGCGGAATGTAAACAACGCCACATTAAGGTATGTACTATTGAGCTAATTCTGCCATTGATCGTCTCCCTGTTTGTGGCTAGACGAAGTGTCAACGCTGAGGGAACCTTTATCCAACCGACAGTGTGATGAGACCCAGCCAAAATGTGTAAACTGCACCATAGTGGGTCGGGCGTGCGTATTCCCTACACCCGCGAAGCCCAAACACTCGAAAAGCTCGAAAAGAGTCAAGGGTTCTTCCACTCTTTCTTCTGGAGGAACTTCGCCGACAATCGATACGGCCCCCGGATCCTCAGATGAGCAAACTCCCGCAGCCATCCCTGCTCCAGAATTGGTCCACCTGGCGCATCGCTCGCGCGATGTCTCCAATACACTGTCTTCATCCCCGGATGTCGCAGTCAACATGTACCATATGAAGTTGCTGGTCCATTTCTCGCTGGACCTTGCTATCCCAGAGCTTGAACATAATCTTCTAGAGCAGAGCACCCGCCTTGTATTGAAGACCGGCGCTGAGGTACCCTATCTTCTTCACGAGATTCTCTCCTTATCATCTCGTCATCTGTCCCTGATTGAAGTCGAAAAAAATTCTGAGTACCTCAACCTGGCGGTTCAGCTGCAGACCCAAGCAATATCTTTATTCAATGCCCAGAGAGTCTGCATCAATGAGGTCACATGCGTACCCATGGTTCTGTTCTCCTCAATCCTTGGCCGCCACCTTTGCATAGACGCCCTTGCATTTCGCAGCCCTGACCTTGGCGCTTTCCTCAATCATTACGTCAGGTTCTTCCAAATACACAGAGGGGCGAAAATGATTGTCAACCGGGCGTGGCCTCTCTTGAAAAAGTCTGACCTATGCCCTCTGATGGCCTGGGGAGTGGGGCTCGGTCGTCTAAGAAGCCATGGACATCATTGCGACGGCATACTAGGGTTGCTTTCCGTCTCAAAAGACACATCCGCCGCCTCATTGGAAACTTGCCGTAAGGCAATTGAGTTTATTCAGATTGCCATGGATGATGTGGCGGTTCGGATGTTCACGCAAGCCAAGCATCTGTACCAGATTGTTTTCTCATGGTCCTTATTGGTTCCCGAGTCTTTCGCTGACATGCTTGCACAGCGGAGACCAGAAGCAATCGCGGTCCTGGCACATTACGCAGCAATTTTACATCTGGCCAGAGACTTATGGCAAATCGGTGATTCAGGTGCATATCTCTTCGAGGTCATTTCTAAACACCTCGGCGCTGCATGGGAAGAGTGGATTGCATGGCCACGAAGTATTATATGTCCGAATACTGCTGCGCTATCTGCTGATGAAGGCTAATCGGTGCAAATATGATCCTATCATATAAACTTTGTATTCAATTTGAACTTCAAAATAAATAGTGCAGCAAATCTAGAAGTGTACGCTGTAATAGCATGTGTCCCAATGCTTCTGCAACAGGCTTGGTGGCTGCTATGCCCTGACAATGGGGATTAGCGAAAAGAAGATATTATATGCTTACCATACAGAGACTTGTGAACGATGCGTGTTCAAAGACAGAATATTGTTTTAATTTTGACTTCTGCTTTTCTTTCTTCTTTCTTCTCATTAAACAGGACGGTCCGATTCATTGTTACAGCACCCATGCCTAGAGCGCTACCCTACCTGACATTGCTGTCCATCTGAATGCATTCGGATTGCGTATTCACTACATGTAAACTTGAACTTGATGTATTTGCGTTACTTGGACCTTTCTAGACGTATGAGGTGTCAAACCCATTGTGCTCAGGACTCGGTATCACTAGGGTCATTTTAATCGTTGCTATTTCGGCGTAGTTAACGGCACTGCCTGGAGCAAGCAATACAAGGATGGTATTGCCGACGGCGAATGTGAAAGGCTCATGCTGTGTGAGGCTATGCACCGGGGAGGACTGTCAGAATATTTCTGGCATAGCATAACTCCACTAGAACCTCAAGTAAAGCTTGGCCCGCGCTAGCATCTGGAAAAAGCATTGGATTGGCAGCAGATACTAAGTTGACGACCAAAGCCTGCACAATTTGATTGTTAACAGTAGTCACTAATGTGCAGCCAGCCCGTAATGTGAGTATATAAGCGTATCCGCTATCGGTAATGTAACAAATATACTCGGAATACTGCGCAACGGCGAATTTACTGTTGATGACAGAGTTACCAGGACTGGAAGCCTGTAAATTGTAATCAACAGCAGCCACAAGGCAAGGAGTAGGAGAAGGAACCTAAAGCATAATCAGTGCCTTGTTCTTAACACAGATATATATCCTGGGTCTTACAGCAGAGCTGCTAGAGCGGCGAGAACTGGTAGTGGTGATAATAGGGCTGCTGTAACTGCTAGACGGCGTGGTACTAGTGCTGCTGGAAGTACTGGTGACTGTGATAGAAGAGCTGCTCGAAATAGTAGCAGTGGTAGTAGAACTGCCTGAAGCGCTGGTAGTGTTGGAAGAACTATCTAAAGTACCAGTAATTGTAGTGGATGCTATTGTAGTGTTCTCTATTATATCGTCTAGCGGACTAATAATGATAGCCGAAGTGCTGCAGCTGCCGCTCGTGGTTGTCACTCAGCTAGAAGCAGTGGTAGTCCTTGTACCATTGGTACCAATGCTAGCCGTTGTGCTACTGAGAATTCTCTTACGTGTAATGCTTCTGCTGACATCTTTCAAAACCATTAGCTCCGGAATAAATTGCTTCTTGTTGTTTAAGATGTCGAGCGAATTTTCTTATTTTCTATATCAATGTCTAGAATGCAGCATGTATTTATTTCTCCTCTGCTTGAGAGGCTTCAAATCGGCCACGTCAAGGTTCAAAGCTCACCGTTTCTTGGGGCCTCTGGGAAAGTGTAACAGTAGCCATAAAATGATGTTTCGGCACGCGAATTAAAAAGACATTCCTTGATGCCTACAGACTGCCGAGTCACGAAATCTGCGATGAATATGAAACCTGCTAAAGGCCTAAAGGTGTATGATTAATGCCCTCAAAGTCTTCGTGTACTATGTATTCCAACTCCGCGCAAAGTCTGAAATGTGTGCTTGCTTGTTCTACGGGTGCTCTTGGCTTCAATTGCTTCGGAACCAATTTGATACCTTGAGCCTATAGTCTTTTTAAGCAGATATTCAAGGAACATTGAAGGGAAACTGTCCGTGGCCCACCTGCGAAACCTTGGAGTCATGCGTTGCTGGGGCTAAGTTCGGCAGGGTGCCGACGACTAAGGATTTGTTGCAGGGACCACCGTGTTACCATGTTTGCATCCCAGGCTTACAACAAATCTCCAACCTCATTCTAAGACAAGAGAATCTTGATAGGGAAAGATAAATTGGATGAAATTATGAGTACATGGAGTTTTACCGTGTTTTCGGAAGTTCGGACTGCAACTCAGACAAGCTGGAGGCACCCAGAGGCCAAGACGCCCTACTATTAGGAGCCAAATCCTGGCACCAACAGCCAGTCAATTAACACGCTTCTTTAAGACCACGCTTTACAATCTGCTGCGCTCATAAAAATATATCAGGCAGTGCCCCACAAGAATAAACTTCCTTAGCATTGCGGCACGTGTTGTAAATTGGACGAACTACTATCACTCATAGCCTCTTACGTTGTCTTTGTAAGCACTGGTTCATCTACTTGAGGTTCGGCATTTGATTTTACTATTCTCCGTCTCAAGCTATAAGTACACCCAAGCTATGTGATCACTACGATCTCAAGAACAGAACATTCCATTATTGCACCAGCATATCGAGCCAAACTTCCACTCGTTCTAATTCACAAACAACCTAAGCTATGCGAGCCTCCTCAATTCTTACTCTGGGCGTCAGCGCCCTCGCCTGGGCAAAGAGCGCGGCGACTTTCCTGCCACTCCAAGGCTCATCGGCACCTTACTGTCCGCCTCGCCCAGCAACTCCTGAGGAGCAGAGAGCTATTCTCGGTGAATTTATTCAGGCGTTTTACGAAGAGAGGAATGCGACCAAAGCTCTACTAAATCACGTCGCGGAGGACTACATCCAGCACAATCCGAACGCTCTCTCCGGTCGTCAGAACACGCTTGCCGTTTTGGCGCCTTTCGTTTCCCCGAATACGGTTAAGAACAAAATCATGAACCAGGGCCTTGACAACAATATCGCATTCATTCATTATCGCATGGATCTTGCCGCAGGTGGAGAACCTTTCGCTGTGGTGGATGTCTTCAGGTTCAACGGAACTTGCATAATGGAGCACTGGGATGTTGCACAGCAGCGGCCTGCCAATGCGACTAACCCCATCGCCATGTTCTAATGATAGAGAGAAGAAGCATTGTACTAGCGTTACTGATGAAGCATGAGTTTTCTATAACTTTACTCTGTCCGTGACAATTGTATAGGAATTCAGATACCAGGGCCAATCCGAGTTTCGTAGACATCCGAGAGGCACACTTCAACGTGTACTGACAGAAATATGATGTTTCATGGAAAGCAGTAGAGTCATTAAATCGACAGACAAAATGTACAAGTAGCATTTGACGTTCACCGAACTTAAGGGGGAAAGTACAAGGTGATAAATGAATGCAGATGAGGTGAAAGAAGTTATTCTGTTACTCTGAATGCAAGGGACATGGAAGTCCTACTAGATTCTGTGCCAAAAAAAGAAATCATGACCCAACATAATGTCGGGATTCACATTCTTAAACGTTAGCCAAGCTTTAGATGAACAGAGATTATTGAACATATGAGTAGTTTTCAGAAGAGGTTCAGCGGAGTTGAAGCCTATCTTTTCACTTCATTCTTACTAAATACCTTGCTGGATTGTGTCCTATCATCGTTACTTTGCATGATTCATTCCACTATTTAGAAGCGAGACAATAGCAGGTTTGCAAAGTCGTCTGCCTGTTCCTTTCGTGACTTGAAAAGACTCAGGTACTGCTCTTCCGGCCCCACAGAGCCAACAATCACGTCCTCAGCTCCAGCAAGGAACTGCTCAAAAGCTTCCTCGACAAAACTCTGAACAGGCATACCTATAGCTCGACCGCGCTCTTTGCCCATGTAATCGTGAATTTCAGCTGCTCAAATTAGCATTGCCTGGCCAGTTTATGGGCTGCTTTTACTTACTTTGAACTGCAGGTGCCCAAATCTCAATGACTTTGGTGCTAGAGTCTCTAAGTTGCTGGCGAAGACAGTAAACGAAAGAACTAAGAGCCGCTTTTGATGCAGAATATGCCGGCATTAGGACGGCCGGAAGAATAGAAATATGTGTTCCTGTGAAAATCAAGCCTGTAGGATATGACTTCTTCTGAAGCTCCGGAAGAAACTTCATAGTCAGGTCTGCAACGCCAAGGAAATTGGTATTGATTTCGTTTCGAAATGCATCCATGTCGACAGTCTCGGGCTGCGAGAGCCTTGCAATACTTTGAATGCCAGAGTTGATGAACACGCAGTCGATGTCCGGGAACCTTCGGATAACCCTAATACTGTATCAGCTTGACATCCATTTCTCTTGCTTCAACTCCTTGGACAACTGACTCATTAAAGAAATCATTTAGACCAGCCCTATCCGTTATGTCGAACCGGATGGAAGCTGCCCTTGAAGGCCCATGCTTGTCAACAAACGTATCGAGCCGTTCTTGGCGACGGCCCACGGCAATGACGTTGACTCCCTCATCAACAAGTTTATCTGCCATTGCGGCACCAATTCCAGATGTGGCACCAACCAGAAGGACGTGCTTGTATGGGAAGGACATATTTCAAGGTGCTTTGTGTGAATAGACAACTTGTTGGATGAATGATATTGATCTTGTTTCAAAGTCAGTTGGGGCAAGTCGACGGCGAACTGCGGGAAGCTGTCATTCATATGCCACTCCCTTTACATCTCCCTGGCTTCACGGAACCTATTAAGACAACTCACAATAGGCGCCCGGGCGCTGCTATGATTGAGTGTTGCGGCTTTAACAGTATGTCCGGGAAGAGTAATTTGTTATCGGATTTACCAATGACTTAGAGCCGAGGGAAGTTGTCGTTCTTATTGGTGATGCGTAACCCAATTGCATCGTTCCGGTCTAGTTCCTTAACCGAACTGTGCCACTTAGACACTTTAGTCATTCGTTAGAATCTTGTGGCGTCGGTAAATCCGACACTGGTGTAAGGCTCCGCGAGAATAGCAGAAGTAGAAAAGAGTGAAGTGAAGGACACAGTAAATGGGAAGAATGTATACGTCATGAAAGTAAGTTTTATTGTTATTTTCATGGTAAGATACACCATTAAACCGACTGTTTTCCCAACAAATATATGTGTTGGTTGAATGATTATCAACCAAGCACTTGGCCAATATCCTAGCCCTTGGCCGTTGGGCGTTACGCCTTTTGAGATCGATGTTGTCTTTAGAAAAAATATCATACCTGTTACTTGTCTCACAGAGCTACAAGACTTATGCTTACTGCCTCCTTGCGATCTAGAATCTGTCAAGTCTGAGGATAGATGTGTAATTTGCACCCCATGTGATTTTGTAGCGTGAGCCTCTTGCACGCCAAGAAAACCCCGATTATTACCAAATGTGGAGTTTATAACACTGTCATTTGGTGTTGCATCAAGCTTCAGCTGGGTTCTCTTCGGCATTGTCTTGTACGGGACCTTCTTTGCCAAGCGGCTCCAGGATAGCTACCCTGCCTACCGTAGCGCAATAACGTGTCATGCATACAAAGGCGAACCGTTTCACAGTTATTTGGGTAGGAAATAATGGTCTGTTAATACACCAGATATCGGCAACGTCTTTGTGTCCTATCATGAGTGCAGCATGACATGCAAAAAAGGCACTATTCATAACTCCACAGCTCCTCTGCAGCAGATTATCACTCCCCCACATTGTCACTTTCCATCTAATTGGTTTAACGTACATCTTTAGATCGCAGTCATGTATAGCCCCCTGCCTTCATTGCTACCTTAGCCTTTCCTGAGCGTTGTGGACAGAAACTTGATACCTGCATCGGGCAGTGCCCAGATGTTAAGCTGTAATGCCCCCAGGCCTCCAAACCCTCTATGAACTACTTGATTTCGGGAAAGTTGCGTTTAGTTTACATTTGTCAACTTTGATTGTCTTCCAAAGACCAACCGGTCAACTGGCCGGCTCTGACCCCAACAGGTTTTGGCAGGATTATGCTGGCTCAAGACTTTCGCACGTAATGATGACTTGGATATGTAAGCCAGTTATGTGCTTATATCAGTCAGAACATCGAGAAAGGGCTTTGAAGGACTGAGAACTTTTAAAATAAAAAGGAACATATGAGTGGCTGCTCGATTAGTTTGATGCATAGCCTAACAATCTTCGATATATACCTCAAGCCCCGCAGTCTACAACTCATTTGAAACTTGAGATGAAAGGATAACTCTGCCTATCATGTGAATACATCTGGAATTAATGTGGAAACTCTTGTAACGTTATTTGCACCCTAGCTACCTTGATTTTTGTATACCCTCGTTGTCGCATCAAACATCTGTGTTGAAGGCGTGGAGCTCTAATATACCAGAAGACACCCTTTAAAACCAAACCCACCAAGTTATTACCTCCAAAGCCATGGATTTACGCAAAATGAAGCTGATTGAAATCGAGAAGGCCAATAAGTGTGCACTGCCGCAATGCCTAGAAGTCTTGATATGAAAACCCGGCTTCGCCAAGGTCATGCCCTGGTAGTACGCAGCTCTCCCTCCCAACTTCTGTTGCATGAATCGCCTCCATGATTTCCTTCAACAATAAGCCATGCACCCAAGGAGAATTTATTATCCGTCTGGACGAGACGTGTCGGTCGGCAATGTCACAAGATCCTTGGGAGATGGCGGATATAATGGCAATGTGGCCAAGTCCTAATTACAGTGGGAAACTGCCAAGCACCTTATGCTGGCATATCCGTCTGCTTTCCGAGTACGTTTTGCGTACAGTAATCAAATCTCGCTGAGGCCTGGACATGCATTCTTGGCCTCATCGACTCTTCTGCTCCAATGTTTGGCGCCGTGGAATTAGCTACAGGAAAGTTTCAATGCCCAGAAATGCCAAGTCAAGCTCTCGTTACTTATGGTCGGATGAGAATCCCAATTGACCTGTCGGCTCCGTTTCCCCTCTGTGTGCCAAGCCCAGGCCAAGATCAGTGAGCGGGGAGAGCCTCCAAGACCATCCTATCCCGGACTCTATTTTTCCACGTCTCGCTCATCACCATCAGGCTCGCTTCTCCCCATGTAAGTTGCCTTGTTTGGATTGAACCTCGCATCGAACTGAACTACTATTGACAAAATCCTTCTAAGTCGGCTAGTCAACCCCCCCTAGTTGTGCATGTACATTATCTTACACCATAGAAGAGAATCTAATTTGTCCAACAGGCCCACCGATGACCTCGCCCTGGCCTGACTGCCAATTCATATGTACATTACCAGTGGTGCAAAACATTGGTTCATCCTATGCCTCTGCCTTTGGTGTTGTGGAGACACCTGCAGCTGAGATGCACACCTTGGAGAACTGTCCCTGGTACATGCGCCTGCAGCTTCCAGGCACCATGACCCGACCTCAATTGAAAAAGTTCGGGAGGCCATGAACTGTGCTATTGTTATAAAGGCGACCCGCGCCTCCCAGGTTATTTGACTTCTTGCCCAGCTCAAGAGATTCGATCCCTGCAGCCGATATACGTCAAGATGAAGCCTGTCTCTGCCCTCCTTTTTGCCTCGGGCGCCGCCGCGATGGCCATTCGTCAGAGGGGCATCGATGAACCTCTGGCGGGCCGCGTGATTGACTCTTGGATTCTCAACAACAACGAGCCCCAGCGTGACTACTGGTATGGCCGTGCTGCCCTGTACACCGGTGTCGAGGCCGTATACGAGCTGAACAAGAACGAGACCCTGCTGTCTTGGTATCGGTCTCGCATCGATGGCCTCGTTGTCACAGAGAACGGTACTATTCCCGGCTTCCGCGAGGACCATTACTCCCTCGATGACTACCGCATTTGTCGCAATATCCTCTACTGGTACCAGCGCACCGGCGAGGAGAAGTACAAGATCGCGGCCGACACTATCCGCGGCATGCTGGAGAGACACCCTCGTACCCCTACCGGCGGTTTCTGGCATCGCTCACCCATTTACAAGAACCAGATGTGGTTGGATGGTATCTACATGGCTGATACCTTCTATGCCCACTACACCTCCCTCTTTGACGCGGATAACACTACCGCTTGGGACGATATTGTGCTCCAGTGGGACAGAATTGAGGATGTTATTCGCGACCCTGAGACCGGTCTCCTATTCCACGGCTTTGACGAGGGCAAGGAGGCTGTCTGGGCCGACCCCGAGACAGGTGCCTCTCCCCTCATCTGGAACCGCGCTGTCGGTTGGTACTTCATGTCTTTGATTGAAGTCCTCGATCTTTTCCCCAAGGAGCACGCCGGCTACGAGCGCCTGCTCGGATACTACACCACCCTTGCCGCCGCTCTCAAGCGTGCTCAAGACCCTGAATCTCATGGTTGGTGGCTGGTCATGAACGAGCCCTACCCCGGCAAGGAGCGCAACTACTTCGAGAGCTCTTCCGCTGCCATGTTCACCTGGGGCTGGCTTGCTGGTCTGCGTCTCGGTTACATTGACGAGGCCACCTACCTTGAGCCCGCTACCAAGGCCTACACCCACCTTGTTACTGATTTCATTACCAAGAACTGCAACGGTACCCTCACATGGACCGACACCGTGCAGGTTGGCTCTTTGAACAGCAACGCTACGTTTGAGGTATGAAGCTCCAATTTCCTCACTCTCTTAAACACAAATGCTGACTTTGACTTTTAGTACTATGTCGGTATTCCCGTGGTCGACAACGATACCCGCGGTGTCGGCCCCTACCTCCTCGCTGCGTACGAGTGGGAGCTCCGCAACAACATTTCCGCCTAAGAATGCCTCATTGTGCCATAGACAACAGGTACTACCTGTTTAGAGGATAAAGGGGCTACGTGGAAAATAGTAGAAGTTCAAGCCGAACCAGATGTAATGGAAGAAACTGAACTCTGCTTTACTTTTACCTCTATTTCGCTTTCTGCATAAAGCTTACGTTGGCGTGCAACCAATATAAACCTATATAGAAGAACCTAATGATGAACGTACAGGGTTGATGGTAGTACTGCTAGCGTATTAATTGCACTTCTATAGTATAGTGAGATTATGCTAGTAGTGTTCATATTTGCCCATTGCCATCCATAGTGAACATGGTAGAATCAATTGGGAGGTTTGGCATCAGCGAGCGTACGATATAGCTCAAAGGTTCAGATTTAGGGTACGAGATAAAATTAACACATTTGGAGAACAGAACTGGTCTAACCCCCCTCCCCCAACCCAAGCTTTTCATGGTCGGGTGGTCTGTGGTATACTACGCTTCTCATTTCTACTTTAAAGCGAAGAGCGTGTTTCAGTGGTTGTAATAGATTATTGGCAGTACCGAGATAAAACCCTGTAGTCTGGCGGCTCGCAATTTTCTCTTTGATATTAACTATTTTAATGAGAGTTCTATATCGTCGGAAATACGCTGTTTGGTGGGGTCTGACAAATGGCCTCTACAAAAGAGGTCCCGACAAGTGCTTGGAGAAAAGCACAACTTGGCACTTGGGGTAAAGAAAACCTAGCAGTTTCAGATATGGCGTTTCACAGATTCACATGTTAAGTAAAGACGCCAATGCACTATTATGCTTTGACCGTGATGTATTTGAGAAAAGTGGCAAGCAATTTCTTGCGCGTGGTCTTTTGCGCTACAGCCAAGTACAAAACCCGGTAAAAAATAAAGCTATCCGAGGATTCCAACCTATGCAAAAGATGGTACTGAGTTATTCGAGCTGATGACAGCGCTCATGATATCAAGGTAATCAATCAACACGTCGTTGTCCTTGTGCAGATCTTGCTGCACCCAAATAGACTGTATTGTGGTCTTCACCGCTTGGATACTTCTTATACGTTCATCCCTCGCTGTTCTTTCGATTAAGTTGATGATAGTTACCCTTTGCTCATCCTTTTGTGCTTCACAAGCGAGAATCAGCAAAGGGAAAAAGTGCTCACAGGTGCATGATCGAGCAGGCCCAGAGAACGCCGCATCTATCAAGGAATCAAGGTTTGCTGTCGCCTCCCATGGGCTCTGCGAGGCCCGCACGAGATACACTCGCGTTGCCATTTGGTAGAGTCCCACAGCGAAAATGGCGTCAGGGGTTGATTCAGTCGTATCTGACTGGATGGAAAGGCTTTCTATTCTTCTCTCGATATCCTTCAGCCGAAGTCGGTATTCCTCATCTTGGCTCCTGGGGTCCCTCGGATCAATTAGGGTGTCGCAAACCTCGGAGAGCAGGTTCAATATTGCATACGTAGGATTTGCAGAAGGCAGGTTCTACAAAGATATTGTTAGCGTAGGGTTGTAGGTAGACTTATATGATGATCCCATACAGGTCTATGTCTTGCTAAAGGCAGATACTGAAGGTTTTGGATCGTAGAGGCTTTTCTCGTTTTCATTGGGACCAAAGACTTGTGGCGCCAATGATGCATAGTAAAGCGAGATATCACTTCGTGATACTGGACCCAATTAAGAAGGTGGCCAGTATCACTTCCGTGCGGTTGGTCGTTGAGCTGAGTGGCCCGAATCATGTCCATTGCTCCCCAAGTGTGCCACAACCACTCTCCCGAACCTTCCAATGGTTGCATGATCTGTATATCATGGTGAGAAGTCTACGTTTGTGAAGGAAAAAATTGTCTATAGCCCACCTCAAATGACCCCAGAAGCATGGAGGCAGCAACATGCTGGGCAGCTGTCGCTGCTGTCAGGGGCTTACTTTTTACCGCGGCAGATAGAAACTGGATTGCTTGTATTTTTAGATTCAGTCCCTGCTTATCAAGTCCATGGCGGTGGAGCGAGGAGAAGGCAAGTAACGCGTAGAAAAGAGCGACCCCGGAAACAGCATCATGTGACAAGGCCATGCTCAAGAGTACGCCTCGAATATGGGAAGGTTCTTGACCAAACGTGACCAAAGAGAGGTAGGCGGTATGGTAAACTGGATTATTTGTAAACAGTAAAGACTTGAGCGCACGGTTTGGCCTTACAGTAGTGAATAAGATCCATGTGATCTGTATATTGTTGATGCTGCCTCGACAGGTTTGGAGAATATCCAAGCGGCTGATACAATGTTGTCTGCCCTGTAAGATAGCCATACAATTCCAGATCCTTGAAACTTGTATTGACAAAGAAAAGGCCGCTGGGAACCTCAATTGATCGATGTGGAAGCGATATCGCCGGCGGTGTGTTAGTCCCCGTCAGTGCACGTTTTTTATCACCGGCTCTAGGCCATGATAGACGCAATTCGTAACCCTGGCATTCTCGCCGTGATCGAACACACTTCTTACAGGCTGGTCGGTCCCCGTCGCACTGAACCTTACGAGCTGAGAAAGCATGATTAGAAACCACCTCAGCCCAGGTTCGGGTTTACGACCAAGACTGCTACTAACCTGCACACGTCCAACAGCCTTTTCGCACCTTCATTGTGATGACGGATGAGCCGGCATGATTTGCTTACGGCAATGTGGTTGCTTGCGAACAAGAAAGGGAAATGATCAAGTTGTCGGTTGATCTTCTGCGTCCAGAGGGCCTCGGAGAATGTTGCCTCGGGCGGGTCGCTTACGTTTTGTAGGTTGCGCTTATATGCGCCACCTCAAGACGGCCATTTGTCAGCGTCCTCTAGACGTTTTCGAGGTGCGTTACCCAATCGTCTGCGAATCCTTCCCGTCAATAACTGACCCCACCCAAAGCAACTTTTATCGAGGTTAAGAGGTGTATGATCCGGCTAGCCTTAGTTGGGTCATCTTGTTACAACCAGATTCCCTTTTCCTCTGAAATCAATCTGCAGAATGATAGGCACCAACATAGCATGATGAAACGTGGACGCAAGGACGATTACAAATAGAAAGCAATGGAATTGTTTTTATATAGCGTGTCTGTGGTTGTAATCTAATATAAATTGGCCATGCTCGGCCCCTCCAGAAGTGAGACTTAGGAGCACACATACCCTATCCAAATTCACCTCGTTGTACTCTCTTCACAAACTAGATCAGTTCCCAGTATCGTCTTCAAGAATCACCAGAATGCCTACCTACTTAATCACACAAGCAACCGGTCAGCAGAGTCGCTGGGTTATCTCCCATCTTCTTGCGGCGGGTGGTAAAATCCATGCACTTGTTCGGGACCTCCAGAAAGTCCCGCCAATCTTGCAAGACTCGAATATCACTCTTTTCCAAGGCGAGAGCAAAAACTATGAAGATGTATTCCGAGCAGCAAAAGGATGTGAAGGAGTCTTCTTGAACACCGTTCCATTCCCAGGACTGGAAGTCCTGCAGGCTAAGACTGTTGTCGAGGCTTGCCAGGACGCTGGCGTCGAAAGCATTGTCGCAGCCACGACCCATGGTACATCTAACACGGTGATGTGGGATAACGATGAAGTCAAAGAAATCCAACTGCATGATTACTTCTCGTCCAAGGCAGCAGTTGAAGATATCGTCCGAGCCGGCAAATTCCAAGCTTACACCATTGTTCGGCCGGCCGTGATCCATCACGACTTCTTCCTTCCAGGCGCACTTGGCAACTTTCCTCGGCTTCCAACCCATGGAGAGCTAGATCACCTTTCCGAAGAGGGTGCTAGACTGCCTTATACGGATGCAAACGACGTCGGCAAGTACGCCGCAGCGGCTCTACAAGACCCAGCCAAGTTTGGCGGTCAAGAGATTGATCTTGGACATGAGCTACTTACCATCCATGATGTCCGCGACATCCTCGTTAGGGTCAGCGGCAGGGAAGTAGGGGTAACTAAGCGTACCCCGGAAGAGTTGGATGAGATGGGCATTAGAGTCCCTGGTCAGAACTTCTACTTATTGGCAAACATCAAGGATCTCAGCTGGACTGCCGCCATCGCCCAAGAGGTCCAGGGAAAGTTCGGAATGCCATTTACTTCACTCGAAACGGCGTTGCAAAGGGACCGGGGTTTGCTCCTGGAATGTCTGCCAACCAAACAGGTCTCTTAACTGGATGCATAGCCATTGTGAGAGGTGTTGTATCGCGATGATTCTAAGATTAACGGTGGAAACATAAGGGTTAGAGAGATAGTGCTAATAACTGTATAACGGTGCTAAGTGTTAAGAAGTATGAAATCTATTTCAGACTAATGATATGCATCAGTGAAGAAAGTTACTTGTAATTTGGATGACTGTGAGATCGAACTGCGGGTCTCGTTCAATTTTCAAATTGCTTAGCATGCGTTCTATTGTTTAAGCTGAGTTTTGTACTTAGGCTTCGAAGCGTAGATATTTATGTTACCGCAACAGGGCGGGTTCAAAGCTTCCTAGCCGTCGATGATTTGTCAATAGACTTGACAGTAAAGGTGTTGAGACGGTGCGTAAAGAGTCACTATAATGTTTATTTTCCTATTTAAGCATCGTATCGAGGGCCTTAATAGTTAGTCATTTTGTGTTAACTGGTATAATTCAGTCTATGAATTAAAAGCTTAGATCGTGATGGGTTATGTGTAGGCGGTGCTGATCGTTCAAAGGCTAGTTGAACTGGGTTGATGAGATTCGGAGGTAAGATTTATTAGTCTTCGTTACAAGCAAATGCTGTGAAACTCACATGGTTATCGGACTTAGTCGGACAGCGAGCCGGCAGAACCGCTGTGGGCCTTTTCGCGGCGGACCGTGATGACGTAAGAATTGTCTGAGCCGGAGAGCGAGTTGGACAGCGAGCCGGACAGCGAACCGGGCAGCGAGCCGGTAGAACCGCCGTAGGCATTTCCGCTTCGGACCGTGGCTTAATGATGAAGGCTGTCTAAGAACAAAGATGACGTAACCATAGACTATATAAGGGATGGACTATCATTTTGCGTTGGAGGGCCAAAGACACAAAAAATTGCCTTGCGCGTTTATTATCTCGTCAAGAATCCGCCGATCACCTCTCTCATAACCAGAATCTTCAGATTACTTCAAACTCTCGATCCGAAGAAAAAATGGCAATTACAATCGGCATTGCAGGCATTACAGGCAAATTCGCCAGCCTAATTGGGAAGAATCTTTTAACCTACCCAGAAGTTAGAATTCGGGGTTATTGTCGCAACGTTGGAAAGCTAGCGGAAGGTTTGCGCTTGTCCCCGCACGTGAGCGTTGTTGAAGGGGATGCTACTGATTTGGACTCTATACGCCATTTCGTCAAGGGCTGTAATGTTGTTATCTGCTGTTATCTAGGTGATAACAAACTTATGACCGAAGGACAAAAGTTGCTTGTTGATGCATGCGAGGCTGAGAACGTCCCACGGTATATTGCTAGCGACTATTGCCTCGACTTTACGAAACTCGAGTACGGTCAGCATCCAGCAAAGGATCCTATGAAGCAGGTCAAGGAGTATTTGGAAACGAAAAAGAATGTGAAGGGCGTTCATATTCTAATAGGAGTATTTATGGAGACATTTTGGAGCTCATACTTTGCTCTCTTTGACCCAAAAGAGTCGAAATTCTCCTATTATGGAACTGGTGATGAGGTCTGGGAGTCTACTTCATATGCTACCGCAGCAGAGTTTACTGCCGCCGTTGCTATGGATCAGTCCGCAGTGGGAATGTTTCACTGTTGGTGTCCTTTTTCTAAATGATAGGCTTAAGCTAATCAATGCTTAGTCCTCGGAGACCGAAAAACTCTTCGTCAGATCGCTGATGAATACACTGAGGTTTACGGCCAAACACCAAAACTCGAGTGTCTCGGCTCGCTTGAAGACCTCTACACCGCTATGCAGGAGCTCTTCAAAAAGGATCCCTCAAATATATACACGTGGATTGCACTGTGGGTGTTTCTTGCGATTTCATTCATATTATGAACTCATAGATCCTAACCTTTTGGCAGTTTCTACCAATTTTATTCTTCAAATGGCCAGGCTTACTTGAAGAAAGATCTCGATAACAGCAAATACTCTGCAGTCAAACCTGAGACATTCAAAGCATTTATGCAATCTCGAACCCCTAAAGAACTCAGTGACTCCTACAAGAACGCTGGGTCCGATGTTTAAGCCCACATTAGTAGTAGAAGCCTGAGCCACTCTGGAGGTGCAAGTAGAAATCTAGACTTGAACTGGTTTATTAGTCTGTAGTTTTTAACTTAGAAAAGCCCTCTCAAGTAGAAGATGGACTTGTAGCCATCTATATTCTATCTTCTGTGCCGTTTGAACCGCTGTTAAGAAACCGATGTCCCTAATGTCTATGCTAGAAACAGCTGTAAACATTTCTTACAGAAATGGAGGATAGATTAAACAGCGGGTACAACGAATTATATGAAGTAATTTAGAAACACATTTTCCTCGCTGCTATAGTAGAGTAAAGGAACTTCCTCGTCGGCTATGAAAAACACAGATTAAACTCTTAGGCAATAAGTAGTTTGAAGTAGTCCAGGTGTCTCTTGAATATTTCGACATAACACGCAACATCCTATAGACACAAAAGTGCGTATGTCCTCATGTACTTCATCTCTATTTAAACCTAAGTTACTCTTTTATATACATTTTAGTCTAATTGCTATATCTAGTTTATTGTACTATTTTGTTTCCTTAGATTTTTCTTATCCTATTGTTATTATAACTATCAACTTAGGACTACAACTAGCTTAGGTAACGAAACAGGTGTTGAGCCTATGGCCGCTCACAAACAACAAAAACACGGAACCCACACAAATCACTACGTAAAGAGCCAATAATGCCAGGAGACGGTTTGCCATTTTGCAACCAAAGACCCAGAAACAAAGAAAACAGTATCATTCGATAGCTGTAGGCATTCGCAGATCTAAACAAAAGAGACGAACGAAAAAGTTCAAAGATTGACGTCATAATTGCTGATTTTCTAAAACGAGTGACTGATGGTGATAATGATCATGCTGTCAACTACCGTGTCTCCTCCTGTGCCCTCCAAGGTCAGCTCTCACGCGCCGCCTCGTGCCTCCATATGAGTGGGCCTCATACGCTCTCAAGCCCCTCAGTAGCCACGCCCCCTAAGTCCTATTTTACTATGATTAACGCACGCGGCTGGTATACTAAATATTACAAAGAATTCTGTGATTTCTTGTGGTGCGGGGGTGCGCCTACACTAAAGTACTAATGCTGCATATGTCTATCTTACTTAGGTAGCCTCATTAAGAAGTTTAGAATTTTGACTCAGTAGTCCTTACGGACTGTCTTAACCTGCTGGCTGAGACGAGGATTTACTAATTGCCTTTATGCGTCTGTAAGTCTCTAAAACCGCATGTTATTTGTCCACGGTCTTTAGGCATCATATGATCTCCAAGGGGACCTGCCATTGCTGGTCTGCAATAGCCCAATAGATTGTGTTATAATTGAACCTGTGGTGGTAAAAGTGGACACACAGTCACCAGATCGTTACTGTGGGCTATTTGGCCATTACGATAGAACCAATATCCTGTATCGCTATGTAGCCCAAAACTATTCGATTAACTAACAGTTAGGCCATTCTTTTCCAGCACGCTTTTTATGAGTCTAAGGCATGTTGGATGATAGAAGTCGCGGTGCTTGTAAAATAGCTCCAGTGCCAATTCCTTGTCTACCGATATCAAACCCTCGAACCTACAGTATATCATGAGAAAAACTTCCGCGGTATGTGAGTAAAGAATGTAACTCACAATGGTTTGACGAATTTCATTCGACCAGTTTGGCCGAGCACTGCTTCAGTCTGTTTCAAGACACCGCTGTTACCCGCTCGCAAGGCGATACGAAGATATCGGCTCACCACCTCCAAGTTGCTGGAATCTCGCAGACCATACAGAGATCCCAATTGTTCGGTTAGCTCCAGGGGTAGTGGATCGGGACTGTCAATTAGTAAATCGAGGAACACCAGTATCTGTCCGACACTCCAGCCCTCGACATCCCCGGCGGAAGGCGTAAATGGAGATCCTTCCTGGTGCTTGCTCAAACGTTGTGCCAGCGACAAGCAGCTTTCATAAAGTTTGGATTTGAATTCAGGTTTCGGCGGTGCTCCTGGCTTGTGGTACCAGGCATCCCAGTCAACGGAGTTCAATGCCTCTGTGGCATCTGCGTCGGACGAGAAGAAATCATATACACATAACTTGAACTGCTCAGAATTCAAACTTTTCCCAGAAAAGGTTTTGAAGTACTAGGTGGTGGCTGTCAGCATGGTAATGGAGGTCTGTCGATCTGGGTCTGAAAACATACGTGAGGAACGAATTTGCGCCATTTCTGTCTTCCCACCTTTTGTTCGAGGTAGCAGAGGAAGGTGTAGCCCTTTTCGTAAGATATTTTAGACATGATATCATCTGGTCTTTTACCTTCAAATTGAAGAACAAGACTAGTGAAAACGCTTTCGTTACCGCCGTAAGTATCGATGTTGTAAAGCAGGTCTTGCCATCCGACAATGGCTTGCAGTTGCACCTCTTCCTCTCCACGGAGATTACGAAGAATGTTGCGCTCGATATAGACAGTCCATCCCTCATTCAACCAGAAGTGCTCCCAAGAGTCGTTGGTAACAAGATTACCACTGTAACTATGGGCGAACTCGTGAGCCACGACTGAGATATTTTCTCGGTCTCCGGAGACAACTGTAGCACTGTAGAAATTGAAGATCGGGTTCTCCATCCCTCCCAAATGAAAAGACTTTGGCAGAACAACAAGATTGTATAGCGGCCATGGATATTCGAAAATAAGGTCCTGAGGATGCGGCCAGATTTGTTAGAACTGAAGCTTTTGATATGGTCTTGAAACAGACACTCACCTCTGCAGACTTGATGATCGCTTGCAAATCAGGTTGAAATTCCGCCTTGCAAGCCTCGAGATCCCCGGGTGCGCAGTAGACGTAACTTTTGGGTCCGATTTTCTCACCAACAAGATTACTAACGATCATCAATTAGCCACTTTCAGAATGTTTTGCGGTCCAGCACACTCACCCGCTTGCTACTGCAAAAAGGTAATTTGAGATGGGAATATCTTGTTTGAACTTGTACACGGTCTTCTCAAGAGGCTCTTGCACTGGCGGGAAAACTAATTCTTTCTCGGGAATACCGCTGGCCACAACGGGTAAAATTGAGTGGATTGTGATATCAAAAGTTGTCTTGATAGATGGGGTGTCTTGGCATGGAAACATGGAACGAGCGTGCACCGGCTCCCCCTGAGAGACTGATTGACATTAGTGGACGCTTACAGTCGAAAACCATGAAGATCATGCTTTAGCAACTTACACATGAAAGGGTATTTCTTATCATCTGTTTGCGATGCGCTGAACCACTGAAGACCTGTTGTCTCTTCAGTAGTCTCGAAAACAATCTACCAAATCAAAGATATCTGTTAGCTGGAAAGCTGCCACCAACGCGGAAAATGAGATTCCCAGCAACGCACGGTAAGTTCAAAATTCTCTCCAAGCCCATAGGATCGATCCAGTTGAATGAATAATGGGTTTCCATTGTTGTCTTTTGAAGGCTTCAGCTCCCAGCGAACTGGCTTGTCGCTAATCTTGGCCTCTTTTATAACCAAATAGCTTGTGTCAAGTGTGATATCATTGAGCCTCTCAATTTTTGACTCGATTGTCAGAGTTGTCTGCCCTATAAGAGCGGTGCGTTCGAAGTCGATGGTGAGCTCAATATCAGTATGCTTAGTAACTGCATCCTTGAAATTTGAGTTTGTATTCACATCCGTGACGGAGTTATTCAAACACATGGTGAACACACGGGCTGTTTGGGGTTGGTGAAATTTCCGCAGCACACTATGATACAAGATGTCGTCTTTTTTCTTTACTAGCTGCTGGCAAGTGAAGCTTTTTGTACTGCTGTTGGATTCGAGAGAAAAGGAAAAATGCAAAAGCGCGATTCACAGATTTCTAGCTCTTGTACTTGTCTGGTGTGAAGAATGCCCCACATACCTGATGCCCCTCATTCTGGCCGTTCAAAATTCCCTCTTTGGGCAAGTCTCAGAGGCACCACAAGGCGGCTTGTTTTACGCTAGCTTGTGCAGCTCCACCCCCCACTATCCGTTGCCCTTGAACCTCGCTGCAGTTGCCCCACACTAAACGTCCTCCGAACAAGCAGGCTCCCCCAGAGTAGTAAAGCACATTTAGTGAATAACATTTGATTGCATACCATTATAAGAGATCGACTCTTAATTCTGTTTACAACTCAATCAACGTTCCCAAAAGAGTTGCCGTGGCTCAAATTGGACACATTGTCAAAGACAGAAAAAAATACGCAGATGGATTAGACCCCCTTATTTTTGTCCCACAAATTTTGAGCTTCCTTCAGGTACGATCCGTACAATTTGATCGCGTTGATACTGCCAGGATGTTAGCTTTGTGGACCTTGCCAAACTTTGGGGTGAGAGTACATACTAATTGCTCTTGTCTAGCTTTTCTGCGATATGGGTATACCCGGTTAGTGGTTAAATAAAATATTGGAGAAGAGGAGAAGTACCGTTCACAGAATGAGCTCCGTCAGTCGGCCGTCCAACAGGAAGGAGAAGAACATTCTTGTTCAAGATTTGCTTGAAGTCCAGAGCAATGGGGATGCTATTAATAGAGTGAGGAGTGAGACTTCTGTTTGATTGCATGACCCAATGTAACTAACCTTCCACCTTCGCAGGTAATAACGGGGGTTTTGCCCCAAACGTTTTTGGTTGCCTGGATTGCAGCTTGGTAATTCCAATGGTCGGCGCTCTCATAGAACCAGTCGCTTTCATGAGCACAGTTGATTTCCAAGTCGTTCTTGCTGCCAAGGCTCTTGAAACGATCTTCAATATGCTTGTGAACCAGCTTATTAATCTCCGCGGCTTTCATATTGGGAACGGTCCGAATGCTGAACTTTCCAACTAGCTTGGCTGGAATCGATGTAACGGCCCCTGCACCAGGTACCGCGTTCTCAATTCTGTGAAGGCTGAGAGAAGGCTTCTTCCACCTATGATCAAAGTCAGCTCGGTCCTCTTTCACGACGAGGAGGGAACTAAATACCGTGCTATTAAAGCATCGGCCTGGCTCTCATGTAGACTTCTGCCACCAGTCCCTCCGAGTAAAGAATGATGCGAGATTTCCAACTCATTATAGCTTATGCGCTCCTCCTCTGTCACCGGCTGTACGGTATCATAAATCCCGGGAACTAGGATGTTGCCGTTTGAATCAACAAGTGAAGACAGGATGTTGACCATGTCAGTCATTGGCTCGGAGATCTGTCCACCAAATCCACCACTGTGCGCATCCTGGTTGGCACCAGTGATAGTGAGCAGGTAGAACAATATTCCTCTCAGGCCTTGGGGGATGCTAAGTTGTTCATCGCTCACCCAGACGACGTCCGTAATGCAGACCACGTCAATGTCCGCGAAGTAGTTTTGCGCCTCTTCCTCCAGGGCTTTGCGAAGGCCCAAGGATGCGGATTCTTCCATGCCCTCAAAGCAGAAAACCAAGTTTGCAGGGACATCGATGCCCGCTTTCTGGAATGCCTCAATCATATTGAGCCATCCTATTAGTGGACCTTTGTCATCTGAAGTTCCTCTACCACACAGTCGGCCACTCTCCTCAATCGTCATCACCCAGGGATCATATTTCCAACCGTCTTCAAGAGCAGCAGGTTGAACGTCGTAGTGGCAGTAAACAAGAACTGTTGGCTTGTCCACATCAGAACCGTAGCGTCCCAGGACCAAAGGTGGCAAGTCAATGTCGGTTCCTTCTTGCTTTCCCAAAGGCTTTAGTGTAACTTCGATGTTGAGACTCTTCATTTTCGAAGCAGTCCATTCGGCCATCTACTGTAATTTCAGTACATAGGCTATACCATGGCTTTCACAGAGTAAGCAACCAACTTTAAAGACATCATCTCGTCGTTCCGCATAAGCGGAAATTGAAGGGATTTTGACAGCCTCTTCCAATCCTGTTTTACACAAGAATTAATAACTAGTCTCTTCAATGGGGGCGCCCTATGGTGCATATCACTGACTTTCGAGGAATAGGGTTTCAAGTTCGTCAACCCTGATGGCTGATAATGAGCCAGCGCGATCGCACAACACACTTAGTCTTCGGTTGAGAACTTACTTGGAATAGAAGGCGCCCAGGCCATCATCGATAGCGTCTGACTTGTTTGCAGCCATGATGAGCTCGGGGTTCTGTGTTAATCACTGAACCTAATTTACGGTGCAAGTTGCCTCAAAGTATCTTGTCAATTTCCGTAAGACAAGACGCTAATTTTCCGACTTGAAAGAGGGGAAGATGACGATTCCCAGACGAGTCTAGCCCTCACGGCTCCACGTTAAGCGACATCGGATACGAGACGGAGTTTTACAGGCAGGGTTTATCAGATCGGACCCATGAGCAATGCAGATTACCCAATTAGGAAAACCTTTACGAGATAATCAATACGGTCCATTGTACCAATTGCTCTAACCCACACGAAAGGAGTTAATGAGGATAATCGTAAAAGAAGTAGTTTTCGCTGGCTGTGGAATTTTTCATTGCATTCCGTATCAAAAAAACTCACACAAGAAATCGACGCAGCAGAAGCATCAATCATCCAAAGTAGTCTTTCATTCAACAAACTTTCTAATGGAGAAGATACTGGTTATAGGGTCGCCTGACGGTGTAGTTTTACCCGAGACTTGGGCCACCTTCTCTTCAAAATACACCATTGTCACGTACGACTTTCCTACCGTCAAAGAATTCCATGAATCAATGGCAACCGGCGACTGTCAAGACATTTCCGGAATAATGAGGATAGGTTTAAACTTCCCTGTTGGAATCGAGAGGGTTGGCCTAGGCTGGACCAGACGTGCCTTGCCATACTTTCCCCCTTCTCTCAAAATGATAGTCAATTTTGGACATGGCTTTGAAGAAGAAGACATTCAAGGTCTCAGGAAAAAGGGGATTGAGTTCTTCAACACAACAGGCGGCAGTGAGGCGACTGCCGTTGTCGCACTATACCTCATTATCTCGACCTTCCGCCAGCTGAGTCGATATGAGCGAATGCTTCGCGACGACCAGTTTCTAGCTGCACTCAGGCAATCTGCGCAATCCGCTACAGATCCGTACGGCAAAAGCCTTGGTATCATTGGAATGGGCTCGATAGGACAGACGATCGCACGCCAGGCCGCGGCACTAGGCATGAAGATACATTGCATCGACAGACCGAATCTGAGGAGGCTTCTAGATGCCGTAAGGGGCGAAACCGGCTACATCAGAGACCTCATCCCACCGATTATCCTCCACAAGGACTTGAAATCGCTTGTCGCTAATGTGGACTGCGTGGTCTTGTCATGCTCGTACTCTGCGGAGACACATCACTTGCTCTCACGAGATGTGTTTTCTAGGATGAAGAAGGGCGTGAGAGTGATCAATGTAGCAAGAGGCAAGTGTATTGACGAGGAAGCTCTGTGCGACGCCATAGAGAGTGGAATCATTTCAGGAGTGGGACTTGATGTTCATTACAACGAGTAAGCATATTCTCATCTGGGCTGGGCGAGCTACTGCGGAAAAATGCTGATGTTGCGTGACACCAGACCACATGTTAACACGAAGATGCTGAAATACGACTGCGTAACCCTGTTACCGCACCTAGGAGGGCTAACAAATGACTCAATGAAGGTTTGTTTCTCACCCAAGCTAGTCTAATTGAAATTTTGCTGAGAAAAACGAAATTTTAGAATCATGCTATGATGGCTATGAGGCGCGTGGATGATTTCTTTTTGCGTCGTTAAAAGATTGGTTGACGTACCAACACAGAGAATGAGTGACAAGTATTTTCAGCATGTTTTGCGTAGAGTAGGCCCAGATAATATCAGTACAGTGTTTTTAGACTGCCTAGTATTGCAAAAGGAGTTTTAGAATTAAGAGGACCGCGCTATTTACATATTGCTCTTCGAATGCTGTCTTTGAACTCGTTATCGACGGACCAGTTTTTAACCACGTCATGCGTATTTTATTTCCAAGTGGCTCGATCACAATATCCCAGTCGTCCTTTATTGTGGAATAACAAACAAGTTGCACGATATTTGTGAAGAAAGAGGCTAGGCATCCTCGGCGTCTGTGCGAAGAAATGCCTGAGATCAAATGCACCAAATTCTTGTAGTGAACACAGCAACATCAAGGCGAGGGCTGGACGTGGAAAGTGTGAGCTTTGCATTAAACTAGATGATTACTGCTCTTCAATGACGTATCCCCATTCATGGTCAATCCTCCCGTAAATAATGTCCTCAAGCCAGGACTTGATGACAGATGAATACTTGGAGACAGGCACTTTTCTGCCATCCTCAGTGACTGTCATAGGGAAAGTGACGTCTACTTCTCCATAGCGAATCATTGATACTGGAGTTACGAAAACCTACATTGATAACAAAGTTAGCAAGCTATTTTCAAACGATCTTTTCCGAGGACAGAGCTCACCGCAGTACCAGTAACAAACGACTCAACAAGCCTTCCCTCAACGTGAGCCTCTACAACCTCGCTCATGGTGAAAGGCCGCTCAACAACTGACAAGCAGGCCAATTTCGTAGAAACAGAGGGGCTCTCCTTCGTCAACCGCTCTCTTGCGATATCCAAAACGCTCCGTCTAGTGATACCGTCTAACACGACTTGAGTATCCAGCGAGCTGGTTACGAGCTCCAACCCGCCATCTCTATTCTTCCATATCACAAAGAAGTTGCTCGCACCAGCCTCTGTTACTTGTCTGTCTTCTCCGAAAAGCCAGAGCGTTTGGGTACACCCATGAGCCTTAGCTGCAGCATGAGACACCATCGCTGGACCATAACTTGCACCTACCTTGGCAGACCCAAAGCCACCAGGCCATGCACGAATATGCTCTGGACTGCTGGCGAGCAGCTTGAAACCGGGATGCGGTAAGCTAGAGGACTGTGGGAAGAGGGCTGCAAAGAGGAAAAAAAGGGCCTCGGGGGGCTGGTTGATGCCTAGAGCTGAACCACTGCCGACCATCGCTGGGCGGACGTATATGTTGGAGCCTTGGTCCGGCAGCCAACGGCGGCATTCAACGGATAGGTAGGCGGCGATTATCTCAAGAAGTCGTTCCGGATCGAACGAGGGGAGACCGACGCGAGCGTTGGAGTTGACCATGCGCGCGCAGTTGAGCTGTGGTCGAAAAAGGCGAAGTTTGTTGTCGTAGCCCCTGTAAGCTTTCATTCCTTCCTACGGCTCCATCGTTAGAGGAGTTGCTTCGAAGGCATAGGCTTGACTTACAAAAGACTCTGTAGCATAGTGCAACACACTTGCCGTTGGCTCGAGCGCAATTTTACCATACGGGATCATCACTGGCGTGCCCCAGCCAGTCTGGACTGACCAGGGAACTTGAACCATATGAGCCGACGTGCAGTTCTGGCCAAACCGAACGGGATCATCGAGGGCGGGAACAGGACGCTGCTCGTCCTCCGGAATCAGAGACTTGAGCATTGCGGAGGCATCGAGTTGTCCATATTGCTGTTTGTTTTCGATTTCAATGGAAGCCGGCGTGGCTGTTCCAGGAGTAACAGTTGTTGCGCTGGGACTCATTTTATTGAATATTGATTGTAAACAAATATCCGAGGATGAATGACGGTACAAATTGAAATGAGCTGGAATTAAGTTATTTCACAGAAAGAGAGCGCACTAGAAATATTAATAAATATTACTTTCCGTACAAGCTTGCGGAAAATAGATAAGAAACTATTACTTAAGTCCGACTGAGGTACTTCAATGCATGAGCTACAAACGCCAAATGGCCGGCAAGAATTGGCTGTGTGGAATTTGGATGCTCTCCTGTTGGGGTGGAAATTTCCCAAAATGGCAAAAAGAAACGAGTGGGTACTGCTTCTTTCCATAGCAAGGCACGAACGTGACGGAGCAATTAGTATTTCATTAGCGTGAATATTTGCCAGGTCTAATGTGTAAATATGCGTCATCTCATAATGTATACTAAGGTAACGTAGCAAACGTTTTCATTCTTCTGGAGAGCTGTCCCATCGGATAGTCTGGAGCAAGGCCTGTAAGCTCCCGAGTCTTGCTGGGTAATACATATGGATTGAAAATCTCTCCGTCAACAAACCTTATATAATCCAACGCTACAATTTCTGTCTCAAACTAGACTGAGGAGCAGCTTTTCTGGTAGCATGTGCGAAGATTTACGACTAGAATGCATTCTTTGTAGTTTCTGTAGTACTTTCAAATTTTCAAACTTTCTCCCCGTTTCAATTTGGTTTCCTTGCTTTTTTTTTTTTTTCTTCTTTTTTCTCTCTTTAGGTATATTTCCTCGTTTGATATAGGTGTTTCTTTACTGCAACGGCAGCTGATCCCAATCGCCTGGTTTGGGAAAATTCGACGACTCCTTCTTCCAGCTCGCTCTTGAAATGGTCACAGATCTTGTGGCTCAAAGTTCTTTCGGAGCTTTTCGCCGTGTCTTATCAGCAGCCACGGGATTAAAATCAGAGATAGAGCAACGAAACCTAGTAAACTGTTGCCCCATCCAATCCCCAGCTCTCCATACATGGGCAGACCGGCCATGGGGAGGACTCCCCCAGCCAGCGAACGAAAGACGGCGTTGGCCGCCACAGCACTTGCCGCAAACGTATCAAAAGCATCAACCAAGTACAGCTGTACCGCGATGAAGACAACAACCATACCAAAACCCACGAGTGCCATGCCTGCCACTGGGGCCATCCAGTGTACACGATACTCGGCCGTCCAGCCGTAGATGAATAGCCCCACGGGGATCAAGGGTGTTGCACCTCGGAGAGGGCGGAGTCGGTCTTCCGGCTGCATATCAAGAATGCCGGCGTCGGTGCTTTGGCCGTGGGCTGCCTTCTTCTGTGCGTCGAGTTTCGAGGCTACACCGAAGTACACTAAACCGAGAATGGAGCCGGCGCCGATACCCAAGTAGATCAGACCGACGGTCTGGGTAGTGAAGCCATATATAGTCTCAAAGGTCTCAGGGATCGACGTGAACATCAAGTACAGGTACCCATAGACAACCCCCATGTAAAGTGCGAGAACAGCTGATACTGGTGAGAAAAGAAGCAGTTTGATGGGACGCTCCAAGCCTCGCCTCAGTAACTTGGTTTTGTCCCGGAAGGAGGAGCGAGGCAATGGCATTGATGTCGTAGAGTCTGTAGACGACAAAGTCTTACGCGCTTCGAGAACAGGCCCGTACGTCTCGCGCATCAAGACGGCCATGAGGAATGTTTGCGCGGATCCGATGATGGCAAGTGTCCAGAAAACCCAGCGCCAGCCATAGGCATCTGCGATGAGACCTCCAATCACTGGGCCAATAACAGGGCCCAGCAAGGGCCCCAGGGCGAAAATAGCCATGGCGGCGGCGCGTTTGTCAGGTCGCACTATGTCTGCGATCGAAGCTCCTCCATTAGACAATGGCGCTGACCCAAAGGCGCCAGCCGCGAAACGATACGCTATCAGCTCACCAAGTGACTCCGCGCGTGCGCAAGCGGCATTGAAGCCAACGAAGCCCGCCCCGGACACCCAGTACACCGGCAGCCGTCCCCACAGCTCACTTGAGGGTGCCATGACCAGTGGGCCGAATGCAAAGCCAAGGACAAACACGGAGACCACAAATGAAGCCAGAGTAGGGCTGGTGCTACCGAATTCTTTCATCAGTTGTGGTACACCAGGCGCGAACATAGCTAGCCAGAAGGTAAAACACAATGTTAACCATGGCGGTCTTCTCAGAGGCTTGGTCAAAGTCTTCTCAGAGGCTTGGTCAAAGTCTTCTCAGAGGCTTGGTCAAAGTCTTCTCAGAGGCTTGGTCAAAGTCTCTTGGTAGAGTAAACTTACATGATGCCAGCGGAGTGATAAAAGTGAAAGAGCTGACCAGCCCGATGTGAATAAATTTCTTCGTTGTCGACCAATCATAGGGAGTTTTAGGGAGACTGATGTAGATTGAGGCATAAGTTATATCGTGAGCGGCACCATGAGAAGAAGTCAGCTCCTTTTCAAGCGTTTTAGCCATGGCGTGTTGCTGATGATGCCTTGCAGTACTAAGACTTAAGAAGTGAGCTGAGTATCTTAGTGAATGAGAGAATTGCAGAAAGTGCTCGACGTAACACTGAGGTTCATAGCCGGGTGGATTGTTGCGCAAAGCTTTAAATATATGCTAATCTATAAAGACAAAGGTAGTAGTAGTGTTAAGCAGAAGTGGAAGGATTATGACCAAGTAACGTAAGAGAAAGTTAGATCGTAAGCTCGGAGTTCGACAAGGCCTGATCAGAGATATACTTTACAAAAAATGATTCAAAATGAAGTTATTTCAGAGGAGACCTGTGTTGGTCACCATCGCTCATCCTTTCATAGCCGCTCCCGGAGTCTGGAATGTGGTGGCTCTGACCGATTGAGATGTCGAGTCAGTTTTGATTGACTCGACTATCCATCCGACAGGTGGAACCAGTAATTACCGCAACCCGTCCAGAAGTTCGAACCGGCGAGTCATTTCAAGCTCGAACTTCGTCCTCCCTCCTGTACGAACAACAAGCCGAGTTCGTACTAGGGTGTGTCAACTATGAAAACAAAAACCCAGACCTTGTCAGCAACAATATCTGTGTTAAGCTTCCATCAATCATAAGAGGGTTCGCTGAATATCAACACAATTGGTACACGATTCAACTTAAGTTTTAACTAAACTGGTTAGGTGTGTTCATTGGTCTCATTATCACTACCTAGATCATATGCTAATTCTTATGGTCTTATGGTACATCTATCCCCTACAGATTGTGGGCGTGTTAGAGCCAGAACGAAACTTGAACCACGCAGGAGCTGAAGGTACAATATAATAACATGAGACACGTCGGAATACGCATTGGATCATTCATGTACTAATTGAAGCGCGGAGAAAGGGCCAAAAAGTAGGGATTTTTAGTCTTGGGAAACCCGAGGTCAAGTAGCACTCAATGGGTTGAAAATATTTCTACCTGGCCTTTCTGAAAACAACCAGCCGTCGGATCAAGGAAGCCCCCAAATCGACTAATCATGACTAAAAAAAAAAAAAACAGCTTGCAATCAAGCACAGGTTCTCCAGCTGCGGGGGGTTCAATGCATAGTAGACTCCGCGGGAAGGTCAATCTTAAGCTTCTCAAACGCGTACCGCAGCATCCAATTCGGGGTTTCAAATAGGGCCTCCAGCTCGTCGAGCTCACGTTGTATGGATGACTGTAGGTGCACCAATACGAGTCGTGTTTGCTCCAGACTACCGCTGCGCTCCATGATGCGCAACACATGCCGCTTGAGCTCAGGCGTCAGGCCTCCGCGGAACTGCCGCTCGCATAACATGCTCTGCAGCTCGACCTTGTCTCTATCGCTCGAGTGTTGCAGTGCATGAATCATGGGAAAGGAATATTTCCCCTCGTCGAGATCTTCACAGAAGCCCTTTTGTGCTTCGTACTGTGAGTCCATCCACCCTGTTAGCTTTGATCCTACAGGGAGGTTGCGACAGGAACGCAATTTGTCGTACCTTTGCACACACAAGATTGTTCCAGTCATCACGGATCTGAAAGTATCTGCCGGCAACCTTTACAATCCCTTCAAAGGAAACGTGACGTTGCTTTGGTGCTTCAGCAGCGAGAAGCCTAGCGAGAAGAGAAAACAGGGCGCCCGTCTCTGATGTCGTGAACTATGGTTAGCTCCATTCACTCTCTTGGGACCGCCAAAATTATTTGACCATAAGGGACGTACTCATATCGACCATTTGCAGGTATTCTTCCACAGACGGGCATTGCATGGTGCGTGTCCAGTACAAGTCGTGACTCTGCCCTATTTCCATGTTTTTGACCTCCTCTAGTATAGCCAAATAGCAGTCAGCTCAACACACTTGTGAACATTTTACATCGATGGACCGGTATAATAGAACTTACCGATGAAAATCCGAATACACTCTGAGTTTGAAAGCTTAGAGACGCTCTCTAGAGCAAGGACGTAAAGGTAGTTGGCTGAGTTAATAGCCAGTGGCACACCATACACAACATGAGCTGCCGGCTCTCCTCGGCGGAGAGGAGATGAATCTTCAATGTCATCCAGCCTGTTTATTGTTATGGCATGTTATTTCAAGATGCAAAAAGCACGGAAGATGGTACTTGCATGATAGAGGATGAATGAAGCGAGTTCACGATCTCCTTGATGGTCTCCACAGTCTCCAGTGGCACCCCGAGCCACCCATTAAGAGCATCAATCAAATTCTCACGGACACGCTTAGACGGCAAACTACGAGTGTATTCTGCGGGGCCACTGACAAACTGGATATGGAAGTCAGTTCGCAAACTCCTCGCTGTGCGCATCCTGTACGTCAGACTCTGGGGTTTTCGCTTACCTGCTTGCTCAGTTTCTGCTTACACTCGACACCAGACACCATTTTTGGGTCACGCCAGCCGACTGATGCGACATTTCTGCTCCCATTAGACCACTTCGGGCCCTTTGTGCCATTAAATGCAGGTGTATTTGGCCCATTGCCTAACTGGACGATGCTCTTTGGGGTCACAAGGTTCACCCCGGCATCGTTTTGGCGCCGATAACCATCCTTGGCCCCGTTGACCTCTTCTTGCCCGTAATCAGCCACACATGAGAGCATTTTGATGTCACGCTTACGTGCATACCGAGGGCAGACGACGCTCCAGCAGAGGTTTCCCACAATCATGTGGACAAGCCCGTCAAGTACAAGGCGCAGCTTCGGCGGTAATACGGCCTCCTCAGCCTTTTTGAGCTGGAGAAACTTGTCTTCATTTGCGTTGATGATTTTCTTGAGCATGTTCTTGGCATCTGCGACGTTCAGCTTTTCGACCTTCATCAGCACGAAAACACCGTTGGCCATGGTATCAGCGTCCGGGTGCATCTTGAAAGCCGCGTGTTCGGCCTCGAAGCTGAAGTAGTCATTGGCCAGACAGAGTGCCACATAAGCCGGCCGTGTAATGTGGCTGATGGTGTTCATCTCCAGAGGTGAAACGGGTTGGGCCAGGCCCAAGTTCATAAGCTGGACACCTACCCTAACTAGGGCGTCAGATTTTTCGGAAAGAATTCGTCCATAGATCGAAGGATACTCACTCTGCGCCGGAATCAATGACTCTATAGTCAACGTACTCGTGGAAGGTCTGGAAGCTGTGATGTTTGTTTAGTTTGTTGCCCCCCTTGAGAGCCCATTCCTTCCACGCAGTGACAATGTTCTCTCCGCAGGCGCGGTCGATAGAGAGCAGCTCAAGGACAATCTTAGCCTGGACTTTCTTGAGACCGGCATTGCCGTGCCGAGATGCTTTAGTATCGGCTTTAAGACTGCTGACAAGGTCGTCGGCAACGGCCTCCGTCTAAACCCAATGTCAATGATACCAACGATTAGGAAATATGGAAGGTCAGATCTATTCTTACGTCCGACTGATCCATGGCTTCCGCAAAATCATCTAAGAAAAAGATACCTAGGGAACAAATTAGAATTACCATTTGCTTGCCGTTGTCTGGTTTTGATACATACAGTCCATGAAGTAGGCAAGACTAGCAACCCGTTCTGGGAGCGACTCAGGCATGGTAAGGCATACGAAATGGCCGACGGAAGAGCTACAAGCACTGTTGGTTTTGCAAGAGCCTACCAATTTCACCCAGTCGCTGGCGGCCCGGGCTGATCCATCTGTCGCCAACTGCTCGGCCCGGTGGCAGCGTAGCTGGTAGGCGGAATCTTGGCAGAACCCGGCTTTGTTGACTAAAGACGGTTCGACTAGCTTGGAGAACTGGTATTTCATCTTTCGAGAGTGTTTTTTATGGCAACTCACTTAAGGAATTGTTGGCTTAGAAGGTAACGGGAAGATTTCTCAAGACGTGGAATGTGGGATCGTTCTGTAAATTTTGTTTGGAGTGCAAACATGCTTTTATTACTACGAACAAAAACCTCTGTCTGGCTTTGGACCGATGATCTTTAACGGATAAACCAAACATCTTCGGATCATGCAGAAAATATTTGTTAATTACAATGGTTGCACATAGTCTTTCACGCATTTGCACCCATTAGGACAAAGTGACGAATTAGGGTTCCCGTTTTCCGTCTGTAAAAGTCACCGAGATAGCCATAAGAGCAACTTGGATTCCCTAACCTTCTCACTTGTGCTTGCATGAGTCATGTCAGTTGTGTGGCGTATCTTTTTATCCATCCGTAGAAGCCTTTCCTGCGGAAATCAAGCGTTGTGACATTGTTCGCATAGCTTTCTTAAATTGAAGCTTTGGTAATAGTGCTGCACTCAGCCTCTCTTCTGCCCCCTTGCCCTTGCGGACTGTTGGCATGGACCTGGCTTCGACTCCGGGAAACAAACTCACCTGCTTCAACTGAGATCTCACAAGGTGGCTGGAAGCTTTACTGAAGCTTGAGGTCTCTACAATCAACTCCCCCTCTTCTGGGTTCAAGTTGCGTCTCAGTTGCTTCTTGACTCAAGCTCATCCAATGCTGCGTACCCTCGTCCTCGGACCTCAGCTGGCTGAATGAGTCATTGTATCTCCACAATAAATGTCAAGCGAAATGAGAGCTTCCTTCAACTTCATCTTTCCAACAACTCCGAAACTTAAACTTTGCTGAGCTAAAGACTATCATAATGATAACTTTAATGCTTACCGACTATACCAAACTACGGTAGCCTGCAAGAAGGACTAGGTCAAAACTCAATGATAAGTGGGGTTTGACTTCAAGATCTTAACAAAGTCGACCCTAGTTCCTTGTAGTTAGAAAACCTCCGGCTTATTTCCAGAGAAGCCTACACACCCACTATAGCTTAAGCCTACAGTAGCCTACAACAGCACACAGCCCATAACAACACAGCAGCTTGAGGAGACCCATATCTAAAGCCATAGTAGCCATAGGAAGGCTTTAAGCTAGGTTATCTCTCTACATATATGTAATTAAGAAGAACGCAACTCGCTTTTGAGGGGTAGATGTAGAATGTAAATTGGAGTTTCGACCTAGTCTTTCGTGCAAGCTGCTGTACTGCCAAGCCCTGTTCAAGTACACGTATGTTAACATTGACATTACGCTTTTGGTATGTTTGGCCGCGGGTGTCCGCCATAAAATCTGTTCTCAAATCTAATCACTTTTCATACCTCTCCCCACATAGCGTCACATTCATTAACGACATGTGTTCAAGAAACTTGTGTACGAAGAACTTTGATTTTCCGACTTGCTCTCTTCTCCTTTGAAGAGAAGATTCGGTCTGCATAAGCGTGTTTTTGAGTTCAGTAGCCGATTTGTTCGTACTCGGAAGAACACCAATATTTCAACATTAACAAACGAACAGATGCTTGTCTCTTGCAACGCTCATCCTGGATGTTTGACAAATGTTTATCACCCAACTACCACTAACTAATGTAATAGTCCAGACCTCTCAACCTAAAGAAAAAGCACGATTCTCACGAGTAAGTCAAACATGGTCACATTGCTAGGGGAAATTAAATTTTCTCTTGCAAAACCTTTGAAATCTTAAGGGTCATGATTCAGAGGTTCGTAGAATAAAATTATGAATACAACTGTGGAAATCTTGACTGGTCATGCCTCTGAAGCCTAGGAGGATTTATCCTACTCGTATGGAGATAGTTTAGCTTTGATCCCGCTGCCTGTTAGTCCCCATGACCAAAATTCGTTCCTGCCATTCATCCTGATTATCTGGCACGCTTTTTTGTGAAAACAACATCACCTACACAGGCTTTGTCTTCTCGTCAAAAGATTTTCACCTTGATCTGTCTCTAACTTCGTACACAATGACGTTGCTGCCAGTGCTTCTGAGTTCTCTATACCCTGGCCATTTGCTATGGCTCTTCGCCCTCGTATGTGTCGTTGCTGTTGTAAGTCTTCAACAAGTCTGTGTTATCGCCAGGTCTTAACATTAGAACCTGCAGTACCACTTCTCTGTTATTGCTTACAACATCACCTTCCATCCGCTCCGTAAGTATCCGGGATCGTGGTCAGCGTCCATGACCCCAATCCCGTTTGTGTATTACATGATAAAAGGTGAGATCAACCAGTGGCTGGGCCAGCAGCACGAGCGATATGGCGAGGTTGTACGAGTTATGCCAAACCAGTTGAGCTACACGGCGGCAGAGGCGCAAAAAGACATCCACATGCCAGGTCGCGGCTTCAGGCACGGCTATGATAAGGATCCCAAATTCTACATGACCTTTACCGGCAACAAGGAGACGCCATCCACCTTCACTGCCAACGAAGCCGACCACGAACGACAACGTCGCCTATTTCAGAGCGCCTTCTCAGACCGCGCGCTCGAGCGGCAAAGTCCGATCTTGATCAAGTACGTTAACATGCTGATCGACCGGCTACGCGACCGCGCCATCACAGGCGCGGCAACCAACATACTAGACCTTTATATGTTTATTACAATCGACACACAGGCAGACCTGCTTTTCGGTGAGCCGTTCCACCTGACAGAAAACGACAAGTACGATCCTTGGATAGCTTCGGTGCTATACTACATCCACGTAGGCTCTCAAGTCATGGCATTCATGCAATTCGTCTCATTTCGAGTCTTCTGGAAGCCAATACTCTGGTGCCTACTGGCCGGAAAGCTGGAGTCTCACTACCGCCACACCAGTATGCGCGTCGACCGCCGACTGGCCATGAAGACACCACGTGATGATATCATGAAGTTTGTGCTGGAGGAAGGGGACGCGAATCCCAAGCGCTGTCTCACTACCAACGAGATTCATTCCAATGCCGCGCACTTTTGGCTTGCCGGCAGCGAGACCACCACCACAACTCTAAGCTCTGTGACCTATCATCTTCTGAAAAATCCTGACGCCTACAAAAAGGTTTGCCAAGAGATTCGCTCACTCTTCTCGTCCGAGGAAGACATGACCATGAAGGCTCTCGGCCAACTTCGCTACGTTGACGCATGCATCAAGGAGGGCCAGCGTATGCACACGCCTGTTCCATTTCCGTTGCCACGACGGGTGCCACCAGGCGGGGCCACCATAGCCGGCCGTTTTGTCCCGGCTGGTGTGACTGTCGCCGTGGCCACCCATGCTGCCCACCGCTGGCCGACCAACTTTACTATGCCTAACCGCTTCATCCCGGAGCGCTGGATGTACGGCACAACCGAGCATACCCCGTTTGCCAGTGACAAAGCAGACGCCTCGCAACCGTTCTCTCTAGGACCCCGTGGTTGTATTGGCAAGAAGTAAGGATTGCTAGTCCATGACATAGAAAGTAACTTGCATTCACTGACCAACTTGTAGCATGGCCTACTTCCAGATTAGGCTTATCATCGCAAAGATCTTTTTTAACTTCGACATGGAGCCATTGCCTGTGTGTGAGAATTGGGACAACCAAAAGGTGTATGGCATGTGGGAGAAGCCTCCGCTTCTTGTACGAGTCACTCGGCGCAGGGATATAGTTGGTCGGGGAGAAAGGACAATTTTGCAAGACATGGGAGAGGGTACTTGTGAGCATGAAGGCTAGGCAGATGTATTTCAGGGGGTCATTTAATGTTCTATGTACGTACCAACAACAGAATGGTTAGGCAGCGTAGGCATGACATTTTTCTGAATAGACTTTCGTGGAAACAGAGCAGAGTGGCAACACCTCATCCATCCACTTGCAGGACCGGCTTGGGAATGGCCTTTTTAAATCCAGGCAGATAAGACCATGCGAACACCACGTAAATTTGACTTTACGATATACTCGCTTCAAAGTGACTACCGCTCTGAAGTTGCTTCCTGCCACTTATTCTGTGTCCCATACTTTTCGCAACCTAACATAAGCCTGTTGCGGCTTGTAAGTAACGCCTTCAACTCCTTTGTAGCTCGATAGTTCCTCAGGGCATTGCAACAATTCAAAGTTCCAGATTATGAGAGTTACGAAAAGGCGCATCTCCAAATATGCCAGTTTGCGCCCATAACACCCTCGAGTGCCTAAGCCAAATGTGAGAAGGGGCCCAGAAAGCGGGTTAAAAGCCACGCCTCCGTCATCACCCTCAACAGGGTGTAGCCAGCGTTCAGGTACGAAGGCTGCCATGTCAGTAGTCTCATCCCAGGCGCGGCCATACCCAACAGCAGCGGCCTTCTGCGATGAAGGGCTGCGCAGATTCTCATCTATTTTGAATGCTGGCTGGCACATACTCGGTCCCATCCCTAACATGTTTATCTGAGTACCTTTTGGAATGAAGTGGCCAAGGAGCTTTGTATCAACAACAGCCACGCGTTGTATGGCTGAGGTAGTCCCACAGCAACGAGCAATTTCTTCTATGACGGCGTCCAGATATGGAATTCTGGTATTGGAAACGATTTCTTTGAACGTAGGACTTCTCTTTTCGGAGAGTGCCGTGCCATGCGCAGTTTGGAGGGCTTGACGAAGAGTTTCTTGCGCGGTAGGGTTATCCGCCAGCATCTTGACGCCCCAGAGCAGGGTGCTACTAGTGGTGTCGTGGCCACCAACAACAAGGACAAAGATCTGTTGTAGAGCACTTGTTAGCTGATGATGAAAAAAGTTTTCTAAGTTGGGCAGCACAGCTCACTTACTTCATCTAACATGGTATTCGAGAAGTAGTCTGGTTTTCTTGCTCCTTTCTCAGCAGCTATCAATTCCCTTTGAATCATAAGGTCGATCGCTGATCGTACAGACGTGCTGGCATCTGATTTGGCTGTAAGTCGGTCAACCGCTTGCTCAATCTGTCGTAAAAAGAACTTTCTTCTAGTATTGACAGCACTCCGAAGCGATTGGTCGAATCGTTCTCGAAACCTCCATGTCAAGCGCGGTATTGGACTTGACGCCTGAACTTCTCCAGCGGCAGTTATTGTCAGTATAGATTGGAGATCGTTATCAATTAGGACATCGGGGAATCCAATTGGTGTCTTCTCGTCTAGTGCGTGATACGCCCCGCTAATGAAATTCTCTAGTACCACTAGCTGAGGGCGAATGGCACTTTGTAGAAAGTCCTTGCCGAAAGTAAATGCGATTACCGCATCTAAGGCCGTGTAGAACAAGTCATTTTCTATTTTAAAAGGTCGTTCATTCGCCAAATCAGCCTTTCGACTCCATAACTTGATGAAGACCTCCGCTTTCGTATAGATAGCAGGGCCGGCGACTTTGTCGAGGAAAGCAGGCAGCATCAAGTCTTGAAGGAGACGTCGATGAGCTTTCCACTTTGCATCTGAAAGGAAGTGTACGTGACCATCCGGAACGGCACCAGCGAAAATGTCTTTCCAAAAAGGGGCTCGATCAAACTCCTTTGTTCGACGCAAACAAATATCCTGCGTTTCGCGGAAATCGGCGAGGATGATCCATGGGCGTGAGAACGGCCGAGGGAAGATTTGAACTATTGGTGAGTTGTGGATGTGAATTTGAGACAACATCCAATTATTAGCGGCTCTATCTCTGGCGACGGCCTTTGAAAGGCTAGGGATATCTCCAAGCAGATTCTTCGCAGCCTCTTTATTGTATGGAATCCCAGGGATTGGCCTCGGTAGGAGCTTTTGATATAGCAAATAAACAAGCAGCATAAGCACGGCTGCCGTACTGCAAATTTGTGACAAGTTGTACATTTTGCATACAATCTTCTTGTTGAGGAGGATGGGATGTGTTTCGATGTCAAATTGAAATTGGTGGATTCCTTTCTGCTTTTGGCTAGCAATTCTTCCTCGACAATTTCACTCTTTGTTTTTCTTTGATATCGCGACCGAAGTTAATACAGACCCCAGGGCTCTTTTGGTGGACAAAAAAAGCTCTATGCGGCTACCGACTTACCTACTCTCGGGTTCCCGCGGCTGGCGGAAACAGCAAGCTGCTTTTGGTTGTTTTACCGCGTGGCTCGGTCTGGATAAATACCTTTTAAACTTAAATTCCCTGGAACAAATGGTCTGTCAAGAGCTGCCTCAGCTATGTGCGAAGGTTTATGCAAAACAATCCAATTTCATAGAAGTTTAACATTGTCACAAGGTCACTTCCAATGACGAAGGGAGAACAGTATCCCAAAGAATGCTCATACGCTACAGCATCAGCTGATCTTTTTGAAGGTTTCAATTCTGCATACACTGAATACTGCAATGCACATGTTGAGAAAAGTCGAATTGCTGATTTCTTCTGGATTGGTTCCCTCGCGCTCTGATTGTAGCCTAGTAACACCGGATGATGAAATCGTGATTCTTCACAGTAGCAGACAATGTCTTCGCGGAGTATATGATGAATTAGGTACGGCAGGACTATCTTTGTCTCAAATTTACAGCTATTTTCCAGCTATTCAGATCAGCAGTATACATCACATAGAGATCCACACTGGTAGACTACTGAATTACATATAGTGCATCCTTTAGCTTAGAATTACATCACGTATTCATCGATCCGTAACTTTCGATGACGAAAGAAAACTTATAACTTCTAATAAATGTTTTATCTTCTCGATAAAGTCTCTAGCCGTAGACCACCAGACTTCAGTTGGGGGTGCCGGAACGGCTCCTGGAAGTTACAAATACAGGTTCTGATCCAAATCGTGGCAAACTTTGGTTGCACGCATACTATCTGAACTTAACTAGGTACGCTGAAGTCCAAATGGCTATTTCTACGTTATGGTATTTCGATAAAATCAATGCTCCATCCCCGCTTACATCGTGAATAAAGCTCAACCGAGAATCTGTCGGGATCCCTCTCCTCATCGTCTTCCCGCGGGGTAGCATCATCTTCGAGATCTACCATGCGCACCTTGATGATCTCCCAGTTGTGTCGAGAACCACGGCGGGTGTATTCTTGATCCACGTAGTTCAGCACTCTGTGAGCATGGCGAACATGCCAAATACCCTCCCTATCCCTCGGAAACCCGGCAATCCATTTCTTGACCCAGTCCTTGACGCCCTGATCTTCCGACATGTAATATGCGTTCATCATTGCAGGAAGCATACCGTGGCCATAAGCATTTACCGCCGCGCAGGACGAGTACGGGACGCCAGCTGCTAGCCTGCAGACAAGGCAGACGATTTTCTTTGCATTGGGAGGCAGCTCCCGCCCTGCACCTGGAAGATACCGTGTTTCAAGTCTTAAGAGAGATATCAGGTAATGCATAAAAGTAGTGGCTGCCTTGACAGGCTCTTGTGCGCGCGGTAGACTGAGTGGTCGAATAACAATGCCTGAGCCTCCGTCGGTCGTATCGTAAGGGTCCGCCATCTGTTCGTATAAAGGCGGGACGTCACCTTCGTCCAAATTCTGTCTCCATGCTTTCAACTCTTTTATGAGATCTTCTGCCTGTCCACGCCAAAGCAAATCATGTTGTGGATTACTTCGCCACTCCTCCTCAAGCTTGATAACGCGAGGCAGAATGTACAGCAGTCGATCGGCAGACTGCGGTGAGTTGATCAATGATGTCGTTAATGAAGCAGAAACCTCAGCTGATACAATGCTATACCTGACAGAGTAGGCCCGGTCGAAGATATCTAAAAGGGCGGCAATTCGGGAGAAAGAGCGGATGAGAGACTCGCCGACTGGCGACTCTTGTACCTGAGTGAGGTGTTGTGAGAGGAATGTGACTGCGGCCCGGCTGTGGATGTACCAGAGCTTCATTTGCCCACGTTGGAGCTCAAAATTTGCAAGCAAAAGGACAGTCGCAAGCCATGATATGGCGTTGTCTTGATTTGGTGTGAAGCCTGTGGCAACACCATTATCGTCGATTTGTGCCATGCGTACTGTGCCGAGGGCGGCAACAAAATGATCTAGCGCCTGGAGCGCAGCCTTGTTGGCAAGAGTGCTAGATGAGTTTGACTGTGATACGTCAAGTGCTGATAGTGCCAGAGCGGCATGGAAGAAGGCTTTATCCAGGCGTTCCGCCTGAAAGATGTCGTTGAGTGATAGGATGGACAGGATGCCATAAGGTGAGTTGTCTCGAAGATGGTGGTAGTAAACCATGTCTTCGGTAAATTTGGCACTTTCAAGAAGGCCGGCAGGGATGGTCGTTATGGGAGTCAACTGTCTATTTACCTCTTCAAGTTCGAAGTCCCAGACTTGCGGGGAGTTCTGGGGCTGGTATATTGGTGTACAGCTTGGTGTTTGCAGACTCGGATGGGCTAGTGTTTGGTCCTCACTGCGAAAGTTCCAACTTTGACAGCCCTCGTTGGAAGCCGTTACCAGAGATGGATCTAAGGGGTCTCCATATGATGGAGGAGTATTACTTGTGGCCTCACAATTCCCACTAGAGGCTTCCCGAGGTATTCCCTCCGAAATCAGTGTCAATGACGTTGCCGCCTCATAAAGTGTCAACTCTTGAGCGTCTGTGGAGACGTCTTGGCTATCATTTGTCGAGAAGAAAGTGTCATCTTCAGCAGTTGCAACGAGGTTTGATGGAGATGACTGCGTTGCTGGCTCATCGCTTCTTGTTGGAAGAGGAGTTGATGGCGTCTGGTCACTGTTTTTCGACGTCTTTTTTGCCCCGCGTTTGTTGCCATGCTTTCGTTTCCAAAGCTCAGTTTGGTCCTTGAACTTGATAGGTGTAACGTATCCACCACACTCAAGATTGAGTCTGATACACTATCGAGTCGTTCTTGTCAGCTGAGCAGCAGTAGGGACGAGGAGGGGAAATGGTACGTTGTTGCAGCTTGGTTTCCCTTCATCACACTTCAATCTACGGGCGCGACAGGTCACACAACCAGTGCGATCTCGCGAAGTGACATTACGCTTACGAATGACACGTTCAGGCATAGCGAGGCATAAGGTCTCCGTAGTAACATGCGGTTCTGGCTCCCTGGGTTTCTGGCCTGGCTGGTATGCAACTGGAGAACTACTCGCGATAAGGTGAGATAAAAGAATGATTGAAAAGGGAAAAAGTAAACGAGGGAACGCGCTATGATACCATGCCTGTTTAGCGTGTCCCGCTTACGGGTGGGGTTATAATTGGCTTTTCCCCGCTAAATTCTTCTTACGGACTCCCTGTAGCCTGTCGTGATTGGGTTTCGGGGGCTGAGGACCACTGGTCCCGGCCAGCGCTCGGCTCGGCGTTGGTATCATGCCCCTTTGAAGGATGGAGTACACTAATAGTATAGAAGAAGTAATGAGAAGAGGCCCAGTAACGCCATGATAACAATTTTCCAGTTTTTGCATCTGTACTTATTCGCGGGGTTTTCTTTGACTCCTTGCAGTATGTCGCTGAAGCCTCTAGCTTCCTGTTCACCGCGAGTTAACGCATCCGTTGTAATGAAGGGGAAGCAACCAGCATTTGCGACCTAGGGCTTGCAATAATACTATTGTGAAAGAAAAAACGTATGATAACGGCAAATAGAAGACTATGCTACTAGTTTGAGCGCTTCAATGAACTCTACCTACCAGTTTGTTATTGGAGGGGGACGATTTAGAACACACCCAACCACATATTTCATTTACACGAAGGGAGGAATGCCCCCACCGGAGTAATCAACATGATAACAAGAAAATAAACTCAACGAGACTATATAATTATATTTCAAGACGTGTAATGTATGTCGTAGCGAGAATAATACTCCGGCTTGCTTCCCAAAAATGAGGCAATTTGTCTGCGCTGATGTTAATGCTGTTCCTGGAAAGCTTAACTTTAGAGTGTTGCATAAGTGGCTTGGTTCACGAGGCTAAGATGACTGTGAAGAATGAATATTTCAAAAATCACGCAGAAGAAAACGTTCGAACATGATTGCAAATCAACTCATGTTGTGATTATGGAAGTACACTTCATCTGCCGACATCCAATATCCTACAACGAGATGAAGCCCAATACCAAATACATAAACTTGGTCGCCCATTAACTGCACAAAGTGTTCAAGAACAACATCGAAGTTTCTCAACTAGCGCTTACAAGCACTGGGAGTAAAAGTCGTTCGCCTTGATGCAGGTATACGGCGCGACACACTGCTTGGGTCCGGTCCAGTTCTGGCCTCCGCACTGCTCATACTGCTTCGCAAGGTTCGTCGCCGAGGGAACTGGGGCGGAGCTGGTCCGGACAGTTGAAGTCGCCAGGGTAGAGGTGCTTGTTGTCCTCACAGTCGAGACTGCGCTGCTGCTTGACGGCCTGTTAGTCGATGTCGGAGTTGCAGAGGTCGACCCACCACCACCACCGGAAGAAGGAATCGATCCGGATGCGTAAAAGACGCCGCGGCCGTTGGTGCCGACGTGAACGAGGTTCTCCTCGTTGGCGGATCCGGCGAGCTTGACGCTGTCAATGGCGCCGAAGCTTTGGGAGCCCTGGAGGTCCACCCAGGAGGCGCCGAGGTCCGAGCTGCCGTAGAGGCGTCTGCCGGCGGGTCCGGTACCGAAGGCGTAGAGGTTCCAGTTGCTGCCTGAGCCCTTGCCGAGAGCGACCTTGTTTGTGTTAGTGAGAGTTGTGGAAACCAGAGTGAAGGAGGAGCCATAGTCAGTGCTGTGGAAGATGCCTGCGTTGGTGGAAACCCAGACGTCGCCGGCCTTGGTTGGGTGGGCCTCGACGTGGCGGATCTCGGAGGCACCAGGAAGAGATCCGGCGGTGGAGAAGGAGGAGCCGGTGTTGGTGGAGCGGTAGAAGCTGGAGCCGGATCCACCGTAGAAGACGGTGTTGTTGCGCTTGTCACTGGCAACGACGGCACCGGCGGGGATGCTGGAAACGACAGTCAGCGAACCCTGGTGCTGGGAGCGCTGGACGCCGAGGGTGGCCGTCGACCAGAGGATGGTGTCGGCGTCAGCGGAGTAGGCGACGTGGCCGCCGTATTGGGTGGTGCCGGCGGCGTAGTTGATGTTCCAGGACGCGCCGCCGTCGGAGCTGATGGCGAGTTGCTGAGTGCCTGCGGTGTTGCCGACGCGGACTACGTTGGCAACCTTGTTACCAGCGTAATCAACGCCAACACTGCTGGCCCACATGGGGTTGTTCCAGGTCGTTGCGGGCGAGGTGTCGAGGCTGCTGCGAGTCTTGAAAGTGAAACCGTTGTTGTCGTAGTTGGCGACAAGAAGCTCAGAACCACCGGGCGCACTGGCGAGGTCTTGGATGGACATCTCCTCGATACCGTCTGCCAGGGACTGGATTGTGACCTTGGCGCCGGTGTCCCAGTTGGTAAGGTCACGGCCTCCGAAGATGGTGAGGCCGGTTCCGTAGAGCCAGTGGTTAGAGTCGGTAGGGTCAATCTCGAGGGACTCAATCATCCATCCGAGATCCTTGGTGTCGACATCGAGGAAGTTGGCCTTGATCCAAGGGGCCTACTTGCAGTCAGAATCGATTCAGTAGTGTGAAATTTGACAGTTTATGATATTGTCAGATAGCGAAGCTGGGGGACTGGGTAATACCTTGGGTGTGCTTTGGGTGTAACCCAACACCATCTCAGAGTTGGCTCCCCATTGCCAAATCTTCTTCCAGGTTGTGCCGGAATCAGTGGACCTAAAGAGTTGGGCATCGGGCCACCAGCTGTTGAGAGTAGCAACGATGAGAGTACCAGGCTTCTGGATGTCAACACTCAATCCACCTTGAACGTCATTAGCACATATCCAAGTGAGGGCTTTAGATGTGAGAAGTGGTAGACTTACCGAAGCCAAAGTACAGATCGGGGCCAGGCGCAACAGGGGTGATGTCTTTCCAGGTTCCAGCAGTAATATCGTAGCGCCAGACAGCGCCAGAGCTGCCGTCGTAGGGACCGGTACCGTCGGAATAGCTGATGTAGAGGGCCTAGTTTGAGCGGTTAGTTACGTCAAGCTCATGTACGGAAAGTGTGATCACTAACCTTCTCAGTAGGTTGGATCCTGCCCTTGTGAGGGAAGTATCGGCCAGGTTGCCCGGCGACGGGGCTCCAGGTAGCACCGGCGTCGTTGGAGACATAGACAGAGGCAGTGATGTTGTCGGCAGTTCCGACGAATATCCGAGAGGTAGCACCGTTCACAACAGGAGAGGTCTCGTCAAAGGTGACGAAAGTGAGGCCCTGTTTGTAATTAGTACAGAGCTTGAATACGGGCACATTACAGGTTAGCCTACCTGGATGTCACCATTGTATTCATCGCTGGCAGGGCCAGGGCGGTAAGTGCCGACGCCAGTGAATGAAGAGACTTTGGAGAAGCTAGCACCTGAAAGCAAGAGTTAACATAGACTTCCGCGGTCTGAGAGCTGAATTTGCGTACCTCCGTTGGTGCTCTTCCAGAGACCGTTACCGCTTCGGGCGCCAAGGTAGAGGATGTTGGAGTTCTTGGGGTCCACGGCAAGACGCTCTCCAGTTCCTCTGTTGGGCATGTTGCCACCAACCTTGAAGGATATCAGTATTTTGAAGGTCGTACTATAATATGAGTCTCACCTTGAAGGGAAGGTCGGCAAAAGTCCACGTCGCTCCCTTGTCAGAGCTGCGGGCGACTTGACCATTGTTCGGGTCCCTTGGGCATGTAAGTAATTCAGTACATCATGTGGAGTAAATTATATGCCACTCACCAGCTGTTGGTGTACATGCCCAGTACGATAAAGACCTTGTTAGGGTCTTGGGGGTCCAAAGCGAGGGCATCGACACCCCACCGGTTCCAGTGGGAATCATCCGCAAAGTTGTTGGCATCCGTGACGGGGGTCCACGAGTCGTCGGCGTTCAGGCGGTACAAACCACCAATATCAGTCCTAGCGTAGGCGACGCCCTTGGTCTTGGGGTGGAAGACGATGGAGGGGACGAAACCGCCGCCGCCGCCGATACGGGCATTCTTCCATGTGAAGGCAGCCTGGATCGGCGCCGCAAGGGCGGCCAGGAGGAGATTGGCGTACTTCATCTTTGAAGAACCGAAGGCTGTTCACGTCCTCTCAGACAAGGACAGGGCCAGGGGGGTTAAAGATGGGCTGGGGAACAAAACAGTAGCCTCTGGGGATCTATATCAGGACTTGATATAGGACCATGCGGGGTGAAGAAGGAAAAAAAGGGAACGAGATCAACCGGCGATCGCCCCTACACCAGCGATATAAATGCTCGCGCCCATTCCGGTTCTTGGGGTTCGGCCTTCTCGTCGTTACCCCCCAATGAAGCACGCACATGTTCGCAAATTCTAAAGAAAGGGCGAAGCGGATATCGGGAACAAACTAGTGTGGAGATGAACAAGGGCATTCATCGTGGCATCGTGGCTCCGCCACCGGGGAATGAGTCGAGTCAAGAGCGTCACTTTCATAATTTCCATCAATCAATCGAAGCCGACGACGTCGATTCGTACGAGACTTACGAGACTTACGGTCTCAACGATCCCGACGGGCCGGACGAACTACCCCCGTTTACTCACGATGGAAGGAAACCCTCCGCCTGGGAGACCCAGAAAAGGGGAGAAGCGAGGGTTGGTTGTTCATCACCACACACGCAGGTCCCAGGAACCGCAACGCAATCCGAGGAGGCCACTCACCCACCGCTCCCCCAAGTTGACGATTACCAAAAACGGAAGTCTACACCTTACATCCGATTCATCACATGATGACCACCACCATTCCCCCCCCCCCCAAGAAAAGGCCAAGCAGCTGGTGTCATTACCAGGGTGGCGTGATGCAAGGGGCATGTTTCCCTGGCATTTGGGTCCCGACAGCCCTCTCTCTCTCTCTCTCCCGTGATGAAGAAACATCTGGGGACATGCTTCCCGTGTTCCCGTTTCTGTAGCCGACGCGGTTCGGCAGCTGTGCCAGTTTCCCCAAAGAAAGTTGCGCGCGGGGAGCGGGTTTCTGCAAGGCGGGTCGCACGCGACTTTGAACACCAAGGGGTCGGATCCCAAAGGATCGATTTCCCCACGGGCAGGTAAGCCCACGGGACCAGGCGAATGGGCTCAAATTGGAATGCGGTGGATGTCTGAATGGGGGAACAGATGAATCGGGACGGACGAGAGGGGAGGGGGGGGGGAGAGGAAATCGGCCGTGGAGGAGGGCGGGAATGGGACGCATCGATTGGCGGATCCCCGTCGGCATTGCCCTTGGTGCGGGTCGCACCGGTTCGGTGTAACATTACCGGCAACCCCATCTATCCGCTTTCACTTGGCGGGATGTTGACTAAAATCTTTGAAAATGCACTCAGAGGATTAAATGACGTGGTTGTATCTTTAATTTCGTATTGGTATTATATACATGTACGTTCATGACCAGATGGTGGGGCTGTACAGCCAGCCCCACGCAAACGATTTATTATATGAACTCAGGAACACGCACTCCAAAGACCAAGGCTGTTTAGATGCCCGATGTGGTCTCGCCAACGCCAACGACGTTTCCGGCCTCGTCGACGGAGACCTTTGTCTTCTTGGTCGACTCTTTCCTGGGGTTCTTCGCCTCGAAGATGTACTTGAGCTCCTCAAGAGTCTTGCCAGCGGTCTCGACGAAGAAGAAGTAGATGATGGCAAGCTCAATGCACTTCACAAAACGTTAGCTCTGAGGACAGCAAAAGTAAGTGTGGTATCAAAGAGGGGATAAACTTACAATCCAGCCAATGTACACAAGGTACAGCTTCCAGCCAATCTTCTCCATGGCCACGGAGATACCGTAGGTGTTGATCATGATGGCGACGTTGAGGAACATGAAGGACGCGGCGGAACCCTTGGCACGGGTGCGGTTCTCGAGGCACTCGACGGAGTAGAGGGTCTGCAGGGGCGTGAAACCCCAGGCGAAGCAGATACCGAAGACGTAGATGGACACGATGACACCGTAGGACAAGTTCTTGTTGGTCTCAGAGCCCGCAGTGAAGCCCGTGAGCATGCAGTACGCAGCAAGAGAGCCGAGGAGACCGGCAATCATCATGAAGCGACGGCCGAGCTTGTCGAGAAGCGAGGCGCCGTAGATGGCGCCGATCATGGAGAAGATGGGGTTGATGGCGTTGAGGAGCAGCTGGGTCTTGTCGTCCTTGATACCTGCCTGCTTGAACATCTCGGGCTGTCGGGGTTGTCAGCTGCTGTTGAATGGCGAGGAGTAAGATAGGTTTCTTTAGACATACCATGAAGTAGCTGACGACGTTGTTTCCGGACCACTGGCCGATGAAAGCCCTGTGGCTTGGTGTTAGTGAATTGCTCTCCGCGTTGCGGCAAGTTTTTGCGTAGTGACTTACATGGCGACGACCATGAAAAGACGATAACGGGCAGCGCGGGTGTTTCCGAGCTCGCGCATGTCCCACCAGGGGTTCTCGTTCTTGGTCAGGCGGTTGTCCTCGACGATCTCGTGGTACTGGAGCTGGACGATGGGCGAGTTGACGTCACCGTCACCGTGGTACTTGGCCAGGATGGCGAGGGCCTCCTCGGCACGGTCGTGGGAGATGAGCCAACGGGGCGACTCGGGGAAGAACATGATGAAAAGCATGGCGACACCAGGCATACCGGCCTGGACAACGGTGGGAATACGCCACGCCCAAGAGTTCTGAACGTGAAGGTTGGATCCGTAAGTGGTCCAGCCGGCCAAGATGTTTCCAAGCCACCAGAAGTTGTCTGCGAGCGATTCATGTAAGTGAATGTCCAATACAGTGGCGAGGCGCATTGTTTCGTATATCGAATCGGGGGGTAGAAATGAACAGGGCTCAACTCACTGTACATGCCGGCCATGAAGCCACGGTACGCGGGGTGCGCAAGCTCGACGGTGTAAGCGGGACCAGCGGCGGAGGCAACTGTAGCTCATGGTCAGTATATTTGCATCATTATCGACGACGAGATTTCACTGTCACTCACGAGAAGCACCGAAACCAAGGACGAATCTTCCGGCAACGAATTGGCCGAGGCTGTTTGCGGGTGTCTGGATAGCGGTACCGATGAGGACGATGAAGCAACCGACAGCGATGCACACGCGACGGCCGTAGCCGTCAGCGAGCCAACCACAGAAGGGGAAACTGCAGATCTGGCCGACGTTGTAGATCATGAAGACGATACCCGTGGTAGATCCGGCACCGGAGAGACCAAACGTCTTTTGGTAGTGGGGCATGGCGTTGATGGCACCCATCAAGGAACTGTCTGATCATGGTGTCAGTAACATACCGTAACGCACAAGCTGCCTGATATCTCAAATCGGCTTACCGAAACCGTTCATGGTCGAGACGAGGTATCCGACGGCCATGATGAAGTACAGGCGGAGCATGTTGGGAGACCAGATGTTAGGCTTCCTCTCGGCGATGGCCGCGGCCAGGGCAACGGAGGCGGCGTTGACCTCCTTGACACCGCCATGAGCGGCCTTCTCGTCCATCGGAGCATTGTCATGCTCGACTTCGGTGTGAGACTTGTATTCATCTAGAGGCGCCATGGTGAACTTGGACAGTAGAACAACTGCGGGCGGTTTTTGGCGATAAGAGAGGCAAGGGGACAAGAGAGCAACCCACACGCGTCGCAAACGCGGGTGACAGCTTGCCTCTTTAAAGGACGAAAGCAACGCTAGACGGCCGCCGATGCATGGGCAGAAAATAACAGACAGACAGGCAGGCCCGCCCGGCGAACGACGGCCCAAGAACCGGGGTCGAGACTGCGACAACCGTTACATGACGTTCCCCATCCTCCCTCACATGCACCACACACACACACACACACACACACACCCCGGTCCCCAGGATATAGGACTTCCTCGTGGATCCAAAACCCCACACGCTGGGAACAGTCAGGCAATGAATGGGCTGGCTTTCTCTCATCGGGGAAAACGGAGCCGCCGCACGTGGCCTTATGTTGCTGCTAGTGGGAAAACAAGTATTATGGAGAAGCGAGTAGGCTATAGCCATATAGCGATGCTTTCTGTAAAAAGCTGGTCCCTACTAGTGACCTGAACATGCAATCAAAAGGTCAGGCTAGAGACACCGAGTACGGCACAGTCGCGATGAACCTGACGGATCTCCGCACAACCCTGTTTTTTTTTTTTTTTTTTTGTCGCCTCCTCCTCATGCTAAAACCCCAACACGGGGGAACCATCGGGGCCCCAGCATTGAAAACTCAGGCTGTGATTCGCTTGGCTGACGGATGTTTATATCAGATGCACAAAAGGGCCGACGGGGGGCAGCAAGATGAGGGGAATTAGTCGAAGCAGGTTGCATGTTTTGGCCTGTTGGATGGCTGGTTGGAGCTGCATGCGTTGCCGATTTGGTCGGCCGAGTGGCATCAGCCAAGCTTTTGTTGGTGCTGATTGGGGAACATGTCAAGGGGCCGTAGACGTGATGGTTGCATGCCGATCAAGTGTCCGGGGCGATGGCCGGTGATGGTGCCGAGGCTAAATGTCCTCTTTTTTTTTTTTGGTCTTCATTTTTTTTTTTTTTTAATTCTCATTTGCTTGACGTTTCCTCGGAGAATCTATGCATTGACTAAACACAAAAGACGTTGAAAAATGCGGCGCAGCACCATCGTTAATCGTGCATCGCGGGAAGAGATCGGGGATAATCTCCTCAAGTGACTAGCTAAGCAGCCAAGATGCTGTCAGAAGCAATTACCGAGGGGCGTCTTGGTATCGACCCACGCTAGTAATGTCACGATGGGAAAAATGCTTATACGAAGAAGAGAAAAAATCCTCTGGAAAAAAAAAAGGGAAAAAAAAAAGGAAAACAGCAAGGGATGAAGTCCGTGGCGGAGAGTACCGATCCCCCAGACGGGGGCGAAAGCCGAGGTGCGCTCTAGACGCTAGGCCGATCTGGGGAATTGTGGTTCGTGGGGTTTGGCCCCTGGCGGTGCATTCCGCGTTCGATGGAGATGGAGGTCGATTGTGACTGGGTGAGATGCTGGAGAAATTCTCGGACGGTGGCCGAACTGACTCGAGAACCGGTCTAGAACGGGGGAAAACGGTTCGTGTGGGAGCATGGGGGTGGGCTGGAGCAGTTGGAGATGGTGGTGCGACTACGGGATACTAGTAACTAGCAGTCTAGAATTTGAAGCAACGGCCAACGCTAACGGCGATTCGAACCACCGCGGTGGTGCATTAACGTCGTCAATTGCTCGGCGTACCGATGCTATCCGGCTTCCTCCTCCCGGGGCTGGCTCGGTGGCAGCACCCGAGGTCGCCGATTTTGTCGTGGTAAAAAATATCGATATTAAACAATAAATAGGCCTTGGCGGATTGGTCTCGTATTACATAAGTGATATGGTGACATAAGCAATGCTGTGACAGAAGCTTAGGGGCCCTCACCGTCTTTGGTGATGGTCAGTCTCTGTTTCCATTGCCATAACGTACATGATAAGCGAGTGAGACAGACAAGCGAGTGAGACAGTAAACCGCGACCGTCGCACCTTGACGCGACCGGCACCTTTTCCTCTACAATAAATCATGGAATCAGCTAGTATTGAAAGAAGGTTACAAATTGCCCTTCAAGCAATGAGAAATGACCCAAAACTTAGTGCTCGGGCCGCAGGTGCACTCTATACAGTCAGTCACGCAACATTAAGCCGGCGACTAAAGGGAATAGTCTCACGACGCGACAGCATGCCTAATTCACGGAATTTATCAGATTTAGAAGAGAAGACAATAGTTGAGTATATTCTCGACCTAGATGCGCGATCATTTCCTCCCCGGCTGAGTGGTGTGGAAGAAATGGCCAATCGACTTCTCGCAGAGCGCGACGCGCCTCCAGTTGGGAAGCGCTGGGCTTCTAATTTCGTCAAGCGACAACCACAGCTTAGGACGCGTTTCTTTCGCAAGTATGACTATAAGAGAGCTCAATGCGAAGATCCAGAGGTGATTCGTGGCTGGTTTTCGCTTGTGAAGAATACAATTGCGAAGTATGGTATTGCTGATGCTGATATCTACAACTTTGATGAGACCGGCTTTATGATGGGCGTTATTGCTTCTGGAATGGTTGTTACAAGTGCTGAAAGGCGTTCAAATACGAAGATGACACAGCCTGGCAATAGGGAATGGGTTACAGTTATCCAGGCTATTAATTCCCAAGGGGAGAGCATCCCGCCATACATCATCGTTGCAGGCCAGTATCACCTCTCAAGCTGGTATACAGAAACCTCTCTTCCGGGCGATTGGGCTATTGCAACGTCTGAAAATGGATGGACAACAAACGAGAGAGGTATTGACTGGATCAGACACTTCGACATTTATACAAAACCACGTACGTCTGGGAAATATCGCCTCCTCGTTGTTGATGGTCATGAAAGTCACCACTCCGCAGCCTTCGAGCTCTTTTGTCAAGAAAACAACATTATTACACTGTGCATGCCGGCTCACTCGTCTCATCTACTTCAACCCTTAGATGTTGGTTGTTTTCAGCCGTTAAAGAATGCCTACGGTCGGCAAATTGAGAATAAGATGCGGCGAGGCACAACCCATATCTCGAAGGAAGATTTCTTTGCAGCATTTCACGAAGCTTTTAAGCAGTCTTTTACGAGGAAAAATATCCAGGGAGGTTTCCGAGGAGCTGGACTTGTCCCTTTGAATGCAGAAAGTGTTCTCTCAAAGCTGGATGTAAAGTTCCGAACGCCAACGCCTGAGGAGGGGGTCCCTCAGACACCAGACCCTTGGATCTCTAGGACGCCGAGCAACCCAAGCGAAGCAAGATCACAGTCTACTTTTATTAAGAGTCGAATCTCACGCCACCGAAGCAGCTCTCCAGCATCAATTTATAGTGCTGTGAGTAAGCTAGCCAGAGGGACAGAAGGACTAGGGCATCGGGTAGCATTACTAGAGTCAGAGGTTCAAATCCTTCGAGAGGAGAATGCAATATTAAGTCGGCGTCGAAGGGCTAAGAAAACACGTCTACAGAAAGGAGGAAGTCTTACTATATCTACTGGAGAGGATATACAGTCGCAAAGAGAGGCAGACACGCAACTACAAGAGGAAACGCGACGGAGTAGTGGTCGCAAAGTGAGGTCTGAGACGACTCATCGTCGGTGTGGCGTATGCGGGAATACAGGCCACAACGCGAGAACATGTCAATTTATTGAGGAAACATCCGAAGAACAGGAATCCGAGTAGTATTAATCAATCTAAGATTTCTTGTTATAGATTTCGATATTATTGTCGCGAAGGTCTGGTTTACTGTCTCACTCGCTTGTCTGTCTCACTCGCTTATCATGTACGTTAATCAATGTCTGTGTACTCAGTATTATATCTTCTGACTTGTATTTTTTAGGAGAAAATCTGCCGTCTCTTTGCTGTTTCTCCAATTCTTAACTGCTACTTGGATGGCTTACTCCGTAACTGTGCTTGACCCTCTCGATTGTTAGACCCAGTCTTCAGCCCTGCAATACCAAGAGCCTAAGGTAGCCTTTCTTGTTTCACATGAAGAAATGGAGACGTCGACTTTCCTGAATATGTAAAAGCGAATCCGAGAACGGCAGCCACAACTTGAAAGAATCCAATTAACGCACTTCTTCAGTCCCAGGCAGATAGTAATATTGAACATGAATGTCATGATTGTGATAATGGAATAGGTACTGCGTACAACCACGACTGTCTTGTTGTAGATGAGTGAACAGGGATCTCAGAAACATGCCGATGCTAATAATGATGAGTTTCATAGTCGCGGTCCATATCACCCATCGAGGCGAAGAGAGCTGTGATGATCAGGGTACCCCAGAATCACACTGTTCTTGTAGCCTAGAGTGGATTTGAAGCAATGGCCAACGGCGGAGCTGCATTCGAGTGTTTGACTGGATGCGGCGATTGGAACCACCGTTGTAGGGTCTTAACGTCGTTAGCGGCTCAATCTGGTTGGAGTACCAAGGCTATTCGGCTTCTTCCATGGGCTAGTTTGGGGGTAGCGCTGAATGTTGCCGATTTACCATTGGCTGATACCAATATTGAAATAATGAGCCTTTAGCAGACTGATCTCGTATTACATAAGTAGCTTGGTCTCGTAGCATAGAGTCTCCACAGCTGTCACGTGCCTCTTGCTTTGCTAATGTTTGGTTTCTGTTTCTGTTTCTCCTTCTTTCTTCAGCCTCAGGCCGAAACAGGCAGGTTAAACTCCAACTCTGATCCGTTACCTAAGCTAACTGTGGATCCCCTCCAGCCAACCAGCGTCGTGTTCTCTTCCCCAAAACCTGCCCCAGCGCCTAGGGGAAAGCGGTCCCTCGTGATTCCCCCGCACTCCCTGACGTTGCGCCGTCTCAGGTCACGTTCACGGATCCTGATACCAAGTCGTTCGAGCACCTGTTTAACCTGTTTGACTACTCCGTATTCTACCTTTGTTTCCATCTTCCAATTCCACCATTGCAGGTCTGTCGTGAGACCATCCATCGAGACACTACACCACATCATCGTGATCTTGTGCGCCAGCTGCATGCCCATCAACATAAATCACCTCCATTAATTGCTTCCCCACCCCCCCCCCCGTTCCCTTTAGTTCCGTTGTCCGCCGGACCTGAGCCCACATTCCTAAAAGACTCCCTCCCGGTCTCCGTCTCCGCCTCGGCCCATCGGCGACTCTATGTCAACCATGTCCGACATCTCCGATGACTATGTCACCATCTCGCCTACTACCGACCTCCATCTGAGTGTCCACATGGAAAAATTGGCCCATCGTCGTCGGTTGGGTAGCACCTCAAGTGAGGGCTCATCCAGCGCCGGCCCATCTGAAGAGGAGGCTCCAGTTACCACTGTCGTGGCTCCCCCAACTCATGTTCATCCCAAAAACGTCCCGGACTGGAGCAATCTGAAAGTTCTTCATCGTAACACTCTCCCTCCTCGGAGCTACTTCTTCCTGTATAACAATGAAAAGGACGCCCTCACCAGAGACACCACCAAATCCAAATCCCTCCTCCTCTCTGGAAAGTGGAAGTTCCATTTGACCCATTCTCCCTTCGCTGGACCCCGAGACTTTTATGAACGCGACTTTGACACGTCCAAATGGGATGACATTGTTGTTCCTGGCATGTGGCAGTGCCAGGGGTATGGACGAGGGCCACAATACACCAACCTCAACTTCCCCTGGCCCGTCGACCCCCCAAACATTCCCTACGATGACAATGAGTGCGGCCGACATGTGACCAAGTTCCACGTCGGCAAGGACTTTGCAGAGCACCAGCTGAGGCTCCGCTTCGAAGGTGTCGACTCGGCCTTCACCGTCTGGGTTAACGGAAAGGACGTTGGGTATTCTCAGGGAGCCCGCAACCCCAGCGAATTTGACGTGACGGACTTTATCGAGATCGACGCCGAGAACACCCTCGCAGTAGAGGTCTATCAGAGATGTGACGGTACTTACCTCGAAGACCAAGACCAGTGGTGGCTCAGTGGCATCTTCCGTGATGTCTACCTCCACGCCTTCCCCAAGTTCCATCCAGAGGACTACCACGTGCACACCATCCTCGATGACGACTACAAGGACGCCACTTTCCGTGTCGATATCACCATGAACAGGGGCGCCTACGTAGATATGAAGCTGCTGGACGCCGATGGCAACATCGTCGCCAAGGGCATGGACATCTTTGACCGGAGCAACCGCTTCGAGTTCCGCATCAAGAACCCGCACAAGTGGACCGCCGAGACGCCGTACCTATACACGCTGGTGCTCAATTTCCAAAGGTGCAGTCTTGTTCAACGTGTGGGATTCCGACGAACCGAGCTTATCAAGGGCGTTTTCTGCATCAACGGCGAGCCTGTCAAGTTCCGCGGCGTCAATCGCCACGAGCATAACCCCGATTCAGGGCGTGCTGTGCCATACGAGTTCCTCAAGCGGGACCTGCTTATCATGAAGCACTTCAACATCAACGGAATCCGTACGTCTCACTACATCAATGACCCGCGACTTTATGACCTCGCCGATGAGCTCGGCATCTGGATTCTTGACGAAGCAGACCTCGAGTGCCACGGTTTGGGAGTCGTGGGCGTCGAGGGACACAAGCTTGCCACGGACAACCCCGAGTGGAGAGAGGCATACGAGGACAGAGCGAGGCAGATGGTCCAGCGCGACAAGAACCACGCCTCTGTCGTCTTGTGGTCGCTGGGCAACGAGTCATTCTACGGTAGCAACCATCAGCACATGTACGATGTCATCAAGAGTCTCGACACCTCTCGCCTTGTGCATTATGAAGGCGACTGGAACGCCCAGACTGCCGACATCTACAGCCGGATGTACACCTCCGTGGACGAGATTGTCAGCATGTCGGGCGAGAAGGACTGGAGGAAGCCTCTGGTGATGTGCGAGTACATTCACGCCATGGGCAACGGGCCCGGCGGCATCAAAGAGTACATTGACGCATTTTATGAGCACCCGCGGCTCATGGGAGGGTTTGTATGGGAGTGGGCGAACCATGTAAGTGATGAACGGCAGTATTGGCCGACTATGACCCGTCCGTAAATTGACAATCGCAGGGCCTTCGCACCAAGACCGCCGACGGTGAAGAGTACATGGGGTACGGAGGTGATTTCGGCGACGACCCCAACGACTACAACTTTGTCTTTGACGGCCTCTGCTTCGCCAACCACACTCCCACCCCCGGCCTGGTGGAATACGGAAAGGCCATTGAGCCCGTGCAGACGCTCGGAATCGACGGCAACGAGGTGACCATCATCAACCGCTACGACTTTGTCACCTTGGACCACCTCACAGCTACCTGGCACGTTGTTGCCGACGGCGTCGTCATTGGCAGCGACCAAGAAGTCGAGATCCCCAAGGGTATGTCAGACAGAACCTCTCCTATCTGCAGCTTGCCGCACCTCACTAACACCAATCCCACAGGGATCAAACCCCACACCAAGGCTCAACTGAAAATCAAGGGCCTGCCCAAGGACCTCACTTCCGAAGCCTACCTGCACATCGACTTCGCCCTCGCAAAGTCCACAAACTGGGCCAAGGCAGGCCACCGCGTCGCCTTCGGCCAGGTCGCGCTCTCCAAGCCCGCCTCCATGGCCCGCATCCTCGCCACCCTCTTCCACCCCTTCGTCGACCCGGTCCCCACCGTCCAACAGACGGACGCCTCAACGCTTTCCATCACTTCTTCCACGGGTCGCTCCACCTGGGGCCTGGATCTCACCCTCGGCACGATGACTAGCTGGAAAAAATCCTCCCGCCCGCACCTAGAGCTGCTCACGGAGCCGTTCGTAATGGACTTTTACCGCGCTCTCACCGACAACGACCGCGGCGGCCGCTTCGGACAAAACTGGCAGGACCGCCGTCTGCACCAGACAAAGCACCACGTCAAGCGCGTCGAGTGGCGCAAGGAGAAACACGGCCTCGTAGTCAACGTCCAAAGCCGCATCGCGCCGCCCGTTCTCGCGTGGTCGGTCGACACCTGGACCACCTTCACCTTCCACGGCGAGGCAGTATACGTCAAGATCAAGGGCAAGCCGACCGGGCCGTTGCTGCCGGATACTTTTGCGCGCATCGGTCTGACGGGCGGCATCGCCGGCGTGGAGAAGGTCGCGTGGTGGGGCCGCGGACCGGGCGAGAGCTACTCGGACAAGAAACAGGCGCAGGCCTTTGGGAACTGGGAGGAGACGGTCGACGACCTCTTTGTCGACTACGAGTTCCCCCAGGACGGCGGCAACAGGACCGACGTCCGATGGGTCGAGTTCCGCGGCCGTCTGCCGGACGAGAACGGCGTCGTGGACCAGAGCAAGCCTCTCGAGAGACTTGTCCGCGCGCGTTTCGGTGACTTGGATGGCGCGTCCTTCTCCGCCATGCACTACACTACCAAGGACCTCGACGAGTGCAAGCACCCGTACGAGTTGCACAAGCGCAAGAGGAAGGATACCGTCGTCAGGCTGGACTGGAAGCATCACGGTCTGGGTACCGGATCCTGCGGTCCGGCAACGCTGCCGCAGTACGAGCTCGCGGCCAAGGAGTTTGACGTCGAGCTTGTGTTGGACTAAGTGTGTCAAAAAAAAGTGGATTGTATTGAATTGCAGCCGAGAAATTCTGGTGCCCAACATCAGATTGTAGCTATGTACACATGTACCGTTTCGTCATGCTAGTTGACTATGGAGTGTTGACCGACCAAAATTGTAAGAAAGTGATGTTGGTAGAGAATGATACATCCTGGAGTTGTAGAATTCCTCGAGTGCGGTTGAGAATTTGTCCTGATGTGTTTGTTGAGACATGAAATGATTGGTGGTTCAATACTGCCACGCTCCAATCTCAACCTCACTCTTCTGCAATTCCAGTCCTTCCAACCGTACGCAATCACCGTTCAGTGCCTTTGACTTCTGGCCAGCTGCTGCTAACAGCCATGTTCGTTCGAGATCCGGGTTAGGACAGGCATACACGCCTTCGAGGTCGGCGTTGTCGGCAGATAGGAAGTCTAACAGCTGCGTGTGTTCCGCAGAGCATGTAGACACCAACGTCTTCTTATAGAACCCTTTCTTCGTAGAACCTTCAGGTATGCGGGTGGAGTGCGCGGCTGTGTAAGAGACGATACCGTCTGGAGCTATGAAAACTGTTTGGCCGCCGGGTACAGCGACCTGTTTCGTTCAGTCAGCATCAACCGAGCTTATTCTTATTGACTTCCAAATTGCGGGATGTGGGGAAGAGAGTAGCTCACTCGTAAATGGGTAAGGTCCTCGTCGACTGTTGTGGATGTTCCTGGAGGACATGTTATGCCAGGGATACGTGGGCAGAAGGACGACGGGGCGTCGAGACCGATTATGAAGCGCTGGCCACTTGCGTGGATGGCCTTTCCGTGGATTATGGGCGATATTGGGACATAGGCTTTTAGCGTGAATGAATCGGCCGCTGCAAGAGCTGCAGCAACGGTGAGAAGAATCAGTTTGAGGCCCATTAGAGCTAGCCGTCTTGGTGGGTTGAGGGGGTTGATGTCAGGTGTTCTGGGAACAAGTCAGATGGATGCCCTCTGTGATAAGCGGATACCATGTTAAAGAAAGAGGAAGTTGCGGCAAAGCTCACTTTCCAATTGGTAATGAAGGAAGAGGGGGGGGGGGGGGGGGGGGGAGTCCAACCGATGCAGAGCAGAATGACGCTGCGCCTCCCCAATGAAGAGAAGGTGCGCAGGTGTGGCAGAACTTAGGCAAGAGCCCACGGCTTGCTCAATGCGGAAAGCGACACTAATCTTGGTTGTTCCTAACTGAGACCTTCCTTGAGACGAGTTTAAGAAGTGGTTGCACGGCCGTAGAATGAGCGAGGCTGCCAGTTGAACATATTATTCTTTTTTAAAGAAGTCGCTATGAGAATGTTCTGCAAGATGAGGCAGGCTCATGTTCTTTCGCATGTTTAGTCTTATGCAGGCAGTCTCTCTACATGTTGCTGCTGGGTGCGTGAAGATGTTTGAGCCACCTCAGAAAGAATATGTTCTAGGGGCAATCGTCTCCGCCGGATGACGACGGTCGTACAGCAGCCGGTGTCATGGTCTAGACCTCATACACCAAGACAAATGTGAATGACTTTTCGGTAGTATTATCCAATAGTGAAATACACGGCTCTCTTTTTGTGTTCCAGCATTGAGGCAGTATGATTTGAGTAGGGGACACAATATTTCACGATGTTGTGCTCTCGTTGGATAATGATTCGTCTATAGTCTGAGGATGTATACGATATTCAGATCTTACCCTTTCAGAGCTGCACTTCGAAACATCATGAAAACACCTGTTTGAATAATTTTGATTCGTAACGTAAAAAAGGTACGTAACAGGTCGCTCGTCTACCCGCTCTACCGGAACCAATGCACCAAACGCCTGCTGAGCCCAAACCCCCATCTATCGTCTTGACCTGTCCCCCATTACAGCGACTCTTCCTTGTGAATCTCAATACCCGCCGGTGCTCCCACTAATGTCTTGCACTGCGCGTAAATGACAAACTGACCGGCAACCAGACCGCAAGTCATGACGATACGCGGCCCCAGGCCTGTAAGCAACAACCTCTTGGGACCGAATTCGCGAGCGAGCTGGAACATTCGGCTTGTGGCACCCTGCTTCGGGTCGCCCGCGCCCTTGTTGATGGCTGAAAGCAGCGTATCGGCAGGATGCGAGAGCACAGCAGCAGCGACACCGGCAACAACACCTGACGCCAACTCCACGCCTGTCGACTGCAGCTGCGTCATCTTGGCCTTGCGTTCGGGGCCCATTGTTCGGTAAATCACCTCCACCGCCGCCTCGTGGACGGAGAACTGGCCGACGGCATAGGGAACCTGTTTGAACAGCAACGGCACGAAGCCCGAGTAGAAACCCTTGAATCCCTCCTCACGCGCAAGGCGCATGAAGCCCGACGTGAGACCGTTGGCGAAACCTCGCTGCGAAACCAGTCGGATACGGGTCGCCTCCAAGGGACACAGCAAAATGTCGGCAAAAAACTCGGCCGTCGCACTCGCACTCAGGTAAATTGCGGTCCGCTTGTTGGTGGCCTTCTCTGGACCGCCGGCAAAAGTGATGAATTGCTTTTTGAAAAACTCATAACCGGCAAACTTTCCACCTCCCTGCACGAGGTAGCCGACAGCCGTGGGGCCGAAGCCGGTCAGCAGCGCCGATGCACCTTCCTTCGCGACAATGTTGCGGCCAGCGGTGATCATGTTCAGGCCCTTCATAGCATCGTCGACCTGAATTCGCGTCTTGACGACGTCGATTGGCGTTGCGGCCTGCGATTTGTGTGAGCACGTGAGAGCCTCACCCTGAACGATGACGTTAGTGACAACTTACACCGTGTGTGGAGGTCGCCGCAAGGGCGCCAGCGCCGAAGAATTTGGCATAGTCGATCGGTGAGAAGGTCGGGACTTCTGATTGTTTGGTATTTAATGCGGCCATTTTGATAATTGTGTTTTTTTTCTTTTTGTTCCAACCCCTCTACCTGAAAGTTTGAGAAGCAGAATAAGGTCGGTTGTGGAATCTTTAAAGTCTTGTCACCAAGGACACTTGCCTTGGCAGCATTCCGGGGGGTGGACCTTAGTCATCGGGGCCTGAGCACGCTATGACGTCGACGTTCCGTCGTGACGGAGTTGCCGGAGTGTTCGGGAATCAAGCGCTAGGGAACGCAGCCAACTAGCTGGGCCCTGTTTTTTTCTTGTTAAAAAGGGAGGGATTGGGAAAGGAGCATGGAATTGGTGGGCTTGACGACATGACCGATCACTAAGGGTCCCCCCCAAAATCACATGGAATAAGAGGCTTTATGTGCCGTTCATCCCGACTCGCGCCCCGACTCGCGACGCGGGAGCAGCCGTTGATCCTATCGCCCTCATATGGCTCCGATACCGCGGTGACATCATCCCAGACTCGGAAAATTTTCTAGCTTTTTTTGTCGCCATCGGCTCCGATGCTCTTTTGGATGATCACGGACTTCGGCGCTGGCGGCTGAGTTGCAGTGTCAATCTGATGTCTGCTGTAAAGCTTCAGTGTAGCAACTAAACGGACTTCGAGCGCATTTCATTTTCCATGATCCTCTCTCCATATTTGGCCGCTACTGCCTCTTGTTTTTCATTCGCTTCCCAGGTGATGAGAAAGAAATACCAACGTTTGTTGTTTCCTTCATAGGTGAACTAAAAATCACATCAATAAAGAAGGCGCTATGAAATAAACGGTTCGTGGTTGATAGGAAAGCGCAACACCACGGAGCAGGTACGATGTTCAGTGCTCTAAAAAGGCGAGAGGGTACTACTTACTGAATCAAGATGGGAGGCACTGCTAGTACGATGGCCTTCATAATTCCTTCCGTCTCATTCTCAATGGCAGCCAACCGTGTTGGAACCCCAACCAGCTCTCCTTCGTATTTGTCTCCCCTGGTTGTTCTCTTCTGCCGGTCTTCATAAACAATCATCATCGTCTTGACTTCGTCCGCTTTTCATCCATTGCAACCAGTTTTCCACACTTTTTTGGAGAAATACACGTATACCTCATATTACTCCCTTGACAAAGGGTTTGGATAAAGCACCATCATGTCTCCTGAGCCGACTTCATCTCCTCCCACCATGCATACTTCCTCGCCTAACCCAAACAGCCTCCCGCCTTCACCAAACGTTTCTTCTCCCTCCCCACCGAATGAGCCTGATTATTCACTCAATTGTTTTGATCGTGCCGGTAAGATTCTTTTGAGTCAGTTCTCTTCAAAGCTAACCATATCAACAGCACGTGACGAATACAACACCTGGTCCATTATTCTAGAACTAGATGACCATTCTACGCCTGCCGTCATGCTCGTCACCCAAGATATTCGCACTCGACTTGAAGGGATTTTGACCTTGTTTCCTCCGCTAGGTGGCCTTCTCAAGCTAGACACTGACGGGTTACCGACTCTCCAGTATCGGCAGCCTCCTGGTTCAAAATTAATTGATTACGAAGAAGAGGTATTCCAACAGGCTATCCATGATCAACTTTGCGGCCGCCTCCCCGATGACTTACTAGAACGGAGATTCGTACCGCAATTGCTTTATGACAAGGATCTTTGCTTGATCCCCCAAACCGACTTACAAACCGGAAAGCCACCATTCACCTTGAAAGCGAACTTTCTCCGCGGAGAGACTTATCATGTCTTCATCTCTTTTGCAGTCCACCGCTTCCTGGCCGATAATCATACGGCCTTGTTGATCATTTCGACCCTCGCGGGCGGCTGGAAGATTGGTGACTCCATCCAGAGCCTATTCACTGGGAAGCAAGCTAACACTTTCGTTTCGAGACATCCGTAGATTTCAGCCTCGAAACTTACACCCATATGTGCAATCATTTCCCGCCAAAAGTTTCCCCGAATGGAATTTCGACCAGTCTAGTCCAACCACTCAGACCAGGGACCTGATATCCACCCTTTGCACTCTGACAAACGATCAAGTAGAACGATTGACATACGCCATCAATTCCCATATCGGTAGTAGACACGAAGGGAGGTCAATCTCTCAACTGATGACGAAGGAATGCCTGGCGGCGTTGTGCTGGGCTGCCATCGTACGAGCCAGATTGCCAAGAATTGGGCTGGAAGCAGATGTCAAACTCACCACATCCGTGGAGTCTCGTGCAAAGCTGCAACCTGAACTGCCTCAAGACTACTTCGGCAATATGGCAGTCGACGTTGTTGCCACTACAAAGACTGGAAGACTGTTGGGGGTACCCAGGTATGTCGCCGCCACGGTCCCCACACGCAAAATACTAGGGTTGGGTAATACCCGCGGGTACCCGTATGGGTAGTACCCAAAACTACCCGTGGGTAGTTTGGGTAAACCCGAATTACCCACGGGCAGTCCCACTATATTTACCCGCGGGTTGAAAGGCCCGTGGGTAAAACGACCCATGGGTTACACTACCCACGGGTAATTTTGCTACCCACAAGAAACGCGGGAAATACTGTAACTAAGATAGAAAGAAAATATAACTAGTTAGTTATAGGGAGAAAGAGTAAGTTACATAAAACATAGATGGCTAGAATAGATTACTACAAATATAAGAAACTAATAGAGAATAATACGATAAAGTCGGAGTGAAATCAGAGGAACAATGTATATTTAATCGCTATCCTCGTCAGGAGAGAGTTCGACAAGATCTAGCCGAGTAAGTCTCTTCCTTTTGCGACCCCCAAGCTCGGAGAAGTTTGGGAGTTCTTGGGATACAGAAGGCGTAGGTGAGTTGCTAAGTTGGGAAACTTGACTCGATAGTTTTGGCTGTTGAGAGCTAGATAAGGATGGCAGCTCCTCATCTCTATCGCTAATATCCTCCTCTTCTACTGAGACTTCGTAAGGAGGCGGGGAGGGAGCATCTCCTGTAGCAGTAATAGAGATCTTAGTAAGATCATCAGAGACCTTCAGATATCTCTGAATATCAGCTTTATCCAATAGAGAAGAGTAGTTAAAAGCTTCTCTAATAATATGCTGGCGCTCTTCAGATGCTTCAGTGATATTCGTGTCATCTGGAACTTCCTCAAGTGTGGTTTGGGAAAGCCAGGCCTCATTATTCTGGCTAATTTTGATAGTCAAAGTATCAAAAATAGTATCAGCCGAAAGGTTGAACCGAGCGTAGTGACAGATATGGCGAGCAAGGCTGAATGATCGCTCTAAGGGTATTGACGTCGGTTGAATAGATAAGAAGTCTCGAGCCATGCGACAAATACCATGGAATCTGGGATAGCTATTGTCTAGGCGGACCCAAAATTGCTGAACAGTTTCATCAGGGAACATAACTAAATATAGTTATTAGCTGTTAAGCCTAGTAAGATATGAGTCTTTATCTTACCAATATTAAAAAAGTCATTACAGATATTTCGTGCGTCTTGGGATGATGACATTTTGCCCTTATAATAGGTTAGTACAGTGAGTTGCTACAATAGATTGCTACAAATACCCTTTTCTTTGGACTGCGTGATAGTAAACTATGCAGAGTGTATCGGAGTCCTTCAGTTGCAGCTTTTTGAGTATTGGTATGGCGTTCCGAATCTTGATGGTACTGCTTTGTATATACCTCGATAAATTCTTGCTGTACTCGAGTTCGAAGTGAGGCTGAAGAAGGAAGGTATTCGAAGTAATTTGCGAATTGGAATCGCGTGTCAAAAGTACTCGAAACTGATGTCCCAGCTTCAGGGGTAAGGAGAGTTGCAATACCATATACCTTGAAGGAATCCTCTTCAATTAGCTTTTGAACGTATTTTTCTAGCTTCTCTTGGCCCTTTTTCGTAGCAGCCTGAAGGATTGATATCTAAGTAAAGTCTTTGCTAGTAACTTTATCTTTAAGTGCAGAGGCGCAAAAGTATAAGTGAACTGTTGCAACTTGTAATAAAGTAAAGGTATGACCAGGGGTAAGGTCATTTAACCGGCTAAGGATGTTTGTAAAGAGTAAAAACGGGCTGGTGATATCAAGCAGAATATCAAGAGCCTCCCAATCGGTCTCCACAAGAGAGAATTGTTCCTGTAGAGAGTGCTTTTCAACCCAAGCTGAAATCGTTGTTTTAAGCTCTCTTGCGCGGAGACACATAAGTGTAGTAGAGTTCCACCTTGTCTTAACATCGCGGAGGAGGCGTAGTGGTCGCTGGCCAATGCGAGTCGATTTCTGGAGGTCGAGAAACTCTTGCGTCTTCTTACTAGAAAGCTTAAGGGAAACTGCGAGGTTACGAATCTGGAGGTATATATGTTAATATAAAATCTTATAACTAGGTGAAGTATCTAACCTTTTGAATAACAGCTCCAAAAGGATTTTCCCCAGCAGTAGAATCTTCAGTATCAAAATCATCGTCAGAGTCCTCTTGATCTTTAGCTCGAGTAGTAGAAGGCTCAAACTCTGTAGAGGCTTCTACCATCGAAATTCGAAGAGCCTCAAAAATCGCTCGAACAACAAGGTTGAAAATATGGGCTAAACAGCGAATATGATATATCGGCTGTACTGTGGATGTCGACCCTTTTGCAAGTTCTTGTGCTAGGACTTTTGGCTTAAAAGAACTTGCGTTGTCTGCAGAGACTGTCTGAAATCGAATTGTCTTCTTCGTCCTCTGGCGAATATTTTCTAACAGAGTCGATAAAGCCGTTGCTTGCTTAGAGGCTGTATGACCATCTGTCATATCAATAGCACCAAGAAGAACCTGTTGTAACCTCCAGTGCTTGTCGATAAAATGGCATAAAACACCAAGCAGTGAATATTTTAACCCAGGTGTACTCCAGATATCAATCATCAGAGAGACATAGCTACCAGGCGGAATTAGCTGAAGAGTATGGTGTTGAATGCGTAAGGCCTCCTCGGATATCCAGCTTCGGAGCGTCTTTCGAGATGGGAGGTGGTAGAGAGGATTCAGGTGTGAACAGAATTGCCGGAAACTTAAGTTGTCAACAGTATTAAGCGCTAAGTTGGATCCAACAATACAGTAAACTAATGCTTGATGCTCCGAGACTGCTTTCAATTGGGTACCCTAGATTGCGATTACTACAAATGATTGCTACAATGACCTGTAAAACTTACAGGCACCTGGTTTGCGCCTAAACGTCGAGTCTTACAAGACTTTGCAGCGAGGTGTCGTTGCATAGCACTTGTACCAGAGTTTTTGATTGTTGGATGATTGAAAACTTGGTGACAGTGCTTGCAGACTAATTTTGGCTCCCCTGATGTCATATGGTAGCCTTGGTGAAAGTGATCCCAGAATGATACTCGGCGTTGTAAAGTCCATAAGGATTTGGCGAAGCGTTTTCGTTCAGGTTGAGGGGATTTGGACAACGGTATGTGTTTGCCAAGGATTACCCATTGGAGATACCATGGCAGGGTTTTGAAAAACGAGAGAAAAGTCTGGAAAGTCTTAATAACAAATAAAATGATTTCCGACTGTATCTGTAAACCAGAAGGTGGAGTATTGATTGTTGGAGTCTGCGTAGAATTTACGAGCTCGAAAGCAGCAGAACAATCGGATGCAAAAGGGTCTGGCCCAAAAGGGTCAGACGCAATTGAGTTCGACATCATACGTAGTAAGAATTACCTTTGGTGTGAACAGGAAGTAGTTTGCAGGATTACTACAAGATGAATACAAACATTTGATTATGTGGCCTTACGTAAATTTCTATTTTAGGGTTTCTGACTAATACGTTTCGTACACAAATCTAAAAGCTCTGAATTCTCCTTCGACTTGTTTTTTCTCCCACTTACATTCATCCTTCAATGCCTCGCTTATCAACTAGCCCTGTGTCAGATCAGAGCTCTCCGCTAACAGTGGAGGGCTCTTCACCGCCAAATAGTTACCCCTCATCATCAGCGAGGGGTAATCCCCTGAAACAGCCAATTACAGAGATTCGGGAGACTCCGCCAAGAAGTTCAAGTCATGCAACCTACTATAGCCAGGCTAGCCCAGACCTGAGTCAACCAGAATTACCACCGCTGAAGCGGAACTTTGCGACGAAGTTGGCGAGACGAACAGATACTGGCCAACCACCAACCATTGCACGGAAAGATCAGCTGAACTTCGCGCCAAAGAAGCAGCTAAAAGCTGCTCGAAAAAAGCCCGTCCAGATCACTAAACGCTAGAAAGTTCGTAGATAGAGGCCTGGTAGTAAGTAAGAAGTAACTCTTTATTGTTTAATTACTGAAATGTGAAGCAAATGCACTTCGTGAGATTCGAAAATATCAAAAGACCACCAATCTTTTAATTCCGCGGAGCAGTTTCGCAAGAGTAGTTCGAGAAATAACACTTGATCTTCCACTAAGAAACCGCCATAAGATCCGCTACCAGTCAATGGCTATAGAGGCTCTCCATGAGATAAGCGAACAGTTTCTAATCAACATGTTCGAGAGTAAGATATCCTATCCTGATCTTCAAACTATTATATTAACATGAATATTAATAGATGCAAATCTCTGTGCTATTCACGCTAAAAGAGTAACTTTGCAGAAGAAAGATCTTGACTTAGTTAAACAGTTAATGAAGAAGATGGGAGCATGGAGTGCTAGATTGTTTTAGCAGCTGTAGATTACTACAAACGATTGCTACAATACGAGAATCAGACTAGAGAGAATTCATGTCCTTATTCATGCTAGCCTTATTGCTAATTCTTAATTCTTAATCTGTCAAACAAACCCTCTCGCTATGCTCATCTGCAATTATAGAGAAAAGTCAAGCAAACGAGTTAGCTTCTGAGCCAACTCATGGACCTGACGCCAGTTGTATGGCGCTTTATCCCGAGCAAGGTCAAGCTTCAGGAAGAATGGTATCAGCTTTAGTATAGCTGAGAACTTCTTATACATCGCAGATAAGATGTTGGCTGTTTTATCGAGAGCAGTAAACTCTTCCCAAACTTCAGCAGGGCCCAGAAGCTCCCAAACACCTTTCTTGATCATCGAGTCACTGATCTCAGAGAACATAGCCTTCACTGAAGGCTTTGGAGTGGAGGCATATCGGCGCTGAGCTGTAGTGAAGAGAGATCCTTGAATCTTGATGGCTGGGCGGTGCGCGAGTGCGAATTGGCTGAGAATATTAGTATTACTACAAAGGATTGCTACAATTAAGCACTTACGTCTTCTTCTTCTTGACAGAAGAATTAAGAACCAGGCGTATCTTCTTCTTCTTAGACAAGCGGTTCAGGTGCCAGTACTTGGCGAGTGCAAACCAAAGAAGCACTTCCTCTTTGGTGAAGATGTCGCCAGCTACTGGAAATTTAAAGCCAGGTCGAATGAAGCTATAATCCTCCATCGCAGCTAGGGTAAAGGCAGGATTGCTGTTCAGCCGCTTGACCTTGATGTAAAGTATCTTAAGAGTCATCTCCCAGGTATCACGGAAGAACTGGTATTCTCGGATCTGGTTTTCCTGTCTGTTTGTTAGCTATTGCTATAGTAATTAATTATAGTCATCCAGTTACCTGGATCATCTTGTCGATAATCGCATTCGACTGCTCAGCAACATTAATGGTCGGCAACTGGTTATCAAGGTCAACGTCAAAGTTGAGCATGCCCTCAACTCCATCCAGGTTTTCCTGGGTAGCCTCATCAATCTCATTCAAAGGGATATCCTCCCAAGCCTCGTCTTCATCGTCATCGACGATATTATAGGAGCTAGACGAGACTGGGCCAGTCATCTGAGCTAGCAGCTGGTCTGGATGGTTGCCTTTGAGGAAGCTAAAAGCACTTGAGCACTGATTTGAAACACCAAAAGAAATAAAAAAGAACTCACTATCGTGCATCAACTTGCTGGATTTCCCTAGCCTCAAGGGCCGCGCGCTTATCAGCAGACGCACTGATGTAGGAGCTTTTAGCCCTCAAGGCTTTAAGCTTGCGGGATTTCTGCTGGTTGATCGACTTCTTCGAGCGATCAAGTGCCTTCTGCTTCTCAGTCATCTTATCGATGCGCTGACGAGACTTCTTGGTGTGCGCGTTGTCGGAATAATCCTCTTCAGCTTTACGCTTGGCTCCAGCACCAGATCCAAGCGGTCGGCCTAGAAGAGATTAGTACAAATGATTGCTACAAAGCTGGTGTGAACGTACCGCGATCCTGTCCTGAGGACATATTTTACTACTGTTCCCTAATTGATTTAATAAGTCAAAACCAATAATTGTGAGATCAAAGTATCAAATTACCTTAATTGAGAGGCTTGTCGGTGCGGCTGGGTGTTAGTGGTGGAGGTAGGTTGTAGTGTTGTCTGGGGAGAAGTTTTCTGAAGCTTCAGAACCTCACAAAAAAAAAACAAAATACGCCAAAAAGTGGTCTGTGCGCAGCCGCGGCTTCTTGTTTTTTTTCTCAAAAAGAATCTCTTTGAAAACCTCTGTTCAGTAGTTATCTGTAAAAGATTCTATATTGATTGGACCTGGACTTGTGTTTCTAGGAGTCCTACCTGATTCATGGTTAACTTTATAATATGATGCCTGGCATAGCCCGAAAGACTATGCCTGGTGCTAAGGAGCAGCAGAAACGCCGTTGGCGCCCTGGCAGTAAGTCTAGATTGCTACAAAAGATGGCTACACACTAACCCTAATACCTAGCAAAAGCTCTCCGGGAGGTCAGGAACTACCAGAAGACATTTGACTTCCTGATTCCGAAGCCCCCATTCCAGCGACTCTGGAAGGAAATCTGCGATGACATCGACCCCTCCAAGCGCCTGCGCTGGCAGGCGACTGCTATTAGCGCTCTTCAAGAGTCTTCGGAGTCTCTTCTCTTTGGTGTTTTCGACAGTAAGCTTCACTTGCAAACTCTTATCGAGTTGAACGAACTATCTAGTGATTAACTTTGCTGCGATCCACACCAATCGCGTCACCATTAAGCCGAAGGATCTGCATCTCGTCCAGGCTATCTTGAAGGCCGGCAGAGTCCACGGAGACAAGTGGTTCGACCCCGAGTCTGGGAAATGCGGGCGATTAATTGAAGGCATTCAGGGCGTTCGGAAGTTAGGAGTAACAAGGTAGCAGGTCTATTCGTTGCGCAATATATCCACTCTTGAGGCTGGCTACTACAAAAGATGTCTAAAATTCGTGATGCATACTTACTGAAATCTACCCACGGGTATACACCCGTGGGTACCCAAACCCGTGGGCCCCCCTTCAGTTTACTACCCGTGGGCTTTTTTACCCAAACCCACTTTACCCATGGGTACCCGTGGGTAATAGTAAAACTTTCGGGCACTACCCATAACTACCCGACCCATTTCGCGGGTACCCGTGGGACCCGCGGGCCGGGTAATGCCCATGCCTACAAAATACAACTCTCCAATGCCCTTCACGTGTCTTTTGAGTCTGTGTCAATGTACTGATCATAATGAAGTTGGGCCTATCCCAATCTCCTCGCACCCAATGACATTGACGACCATGAACTTCCTCATCAAGTCCCCGTTCATGCGCTAGCATCGGCTGCAATACTGATACACAACGCCATGAGAAAGGTTTCTCACGAATTCGTGGGTCGAAGACTTGAGGCTCTTTCACTCATGAGACCAGAAGAAGTCAAACAAGTCCCTGAGGCTTCTGCAAGAGCTGCCGATATGGCCACTAGCGGTATCAGGTTTGAATCGCTTGCCGACCACGGCGCCGACATTCAATACTCCACTATGCCACACATAAAAGCACCCGCGTTCCCCCTTTTTTGTCGAAAGCATGCGGGATCGCAAGAGGGAATGGCTACCATCTTGCCCCGCAAGGGCGGAGAACTTGGTGATGCCGATTGGGAAATTCAGATTTGTCTGCGTCGTCCGGACTCGGAAATACTCGCGACAGACAACATGTTCAGATCATTGGCCTAAGTAACGATGCCTTCATGAAGAAGCTTTTAGCCAATAGCTAGAGTTCCCAGCGAATGGGCTTTGCGCATGTGTTGCTCATAAACAACAGGCTTGGACCCCGAGATTCTCCTTAGAAGCGGTTGTTTGTCGAATATTATTATACCCTACGTCGTTATTAATGTCCGAGGAGAAGACTGCCAGTCTCAACACCCACTTGCCGAAAGGGTGTAGACACGAAGGTTGTCGCCGCCGTTACGTACTTTTCTGCCTGGAATGATTGAGAACCGACTGAAACTTTATAAAATAGATGAGAGTACATTAGAGACAGCCGAATGAATCAATGATTGAAATGAGCCATTGAGCAATGACAGAAACTGGAACACATTTCGGCTCAGAATACCACTCATATTCCTCAACCAGTGTCGCGCAGTTCAAGATATATCACTTATCAGCAAAGGGCTGGAAATCTCTGGTCAGATAAGCACTTCCAATTTTATCTATACGACGAGGTGGCTGTGTGGTTTAGCTCTAGCCAAACTAATAATACCCAAATATTTGGAAGCGACCGGCCACTCGGTGCCCGCGCCCTCCGAGCGGGATCCCGGAGCCATTCCCGTTGAGTGAGCCAGCACCGAAAGGGCCCACAGCAACAAAGAAGGGATGAAGCCCCTTTTTCAGAGGTCGCGTCTTGGCGAAGCGTGGCGCAAGACTTCTAGTAGTTACCCTGCGCCACGTACGGGATCAAATTCTGTTCAATGCATACGAGCCCGGTTTTTTTTTTTAAATAGCATAAGGCTGAAGGAGATACGAGACTGCGCCCAGACGTAGCCCCCAACCCAAAAGAGCCGCAAGAGATTTTTGTTCATGAGACATCTGTATTTATGTGAAGGGAAAATCCTGACAAATTTACACTTTCGGATCTGCTCAACTCGAACATATACTCGGAGCGGAACGAAACTCTAACAAAACAATAGATTCTTCGCAAAATCATTGCGGACGTATAATGTCACCAATCAAAGAAATTAGCTCTTCGGAGCTCACGGAACTGGACTGCCGGGGCGACGTCGTCTTCGTCGTCGGCTCGGCTACCGAGAACACCCCTGCTCGGAGGTTCCGCGTCTGTTCCCGGACCATGGCTCGCGTGTCGCCCGTCTTCGACCGCATGCTCCACGGCAACTTTGCCGAATCGAAACCCACAGCCACCGACCCCGTCACGAAGGCCGCCACGAGCGACTGGGTTGTGGAGCTGCGCGACGACAAGCCGGACGCCTTCGACCTCTTTGCTAGCATCGCACATTCCAAGTTCCGCCGCGTGCCGAGGACTCTGTCGGTTGGTAAATTGTACGACTTGACGGTGCTGACGCACTACTACGACGCCACCCCGGTGCTGACGCCCTGGCTGCAGAGCTGGGTGTCGGGAATCGGGGAGACGCCTGATGCCGGCGTCGATGGCGTGTTGATGCCGCAGCTGTTGTGGATCTCGTGGGAGCTGGGGCACAAGCAGCTTTTCGAGAGCACGGCGAGGCGGATGGTCATGGAGGGCCGCGGGGATATGTTTGGGGAGGAAGCCGGTTTGGATGGGCTGGATATGCCTCCGGATATCATCGGTATGTTTTCGTCCTTCTTGTCCCTCTTAGTATTCACGTGTGGTGCGCATGCGACTGACGCAGAGAGAATACACAGAGAGGATCAGTGCCATTCGCATACAGACGATCGAGCACATTATGGAAATGTTCCGCGATATGGCGGACAAGCTGGTAAGAGTCGACGAGGGACCCCGGTGGTGCCGCCACGCCTCGTACATGGGCCCGCACCGCTGTGAGAGCATGATTCTGGGGAGCATGACGTTCTGTCTCACGCGCGCGGGGCTCTGGCCTATCCCCGAGGCGGTGGACATTGAGGAGAGCGTGGTGACGCTGTACTCGACCATTATGAACCTGGTGATCCACGACATCGGGAGGCCTGGGGAGAAGGGCGGTGCGGACCATACAGAGTGTAACCCGCGCGCGTTCCTGATGGGGCGGATCAAGGACATATTGGCGGAGGTGCCGAGCCCGGTTAACGAGGGCCATAGGAAGCATTTGGATAGACAAATACAGAGGCTGCTTGTTTGATTATTGCATGAGAAAGCTTCGATGCTATATATATTGATTATGTGATGTAGACGAACTGTCTTGCAACTGTCACTGAGGCTAAACTAGCTAAGAGGCGTTTGTAAACTGATCGAGCAGCTATCCGGGAGGAAGGACCTCCGTTGCCAACGACTATTTTCCCGAGCCGCTTGGACGTTTGCCTGGACAACTACGATTTCATCACTTAACCGGAAACGGGCACCAGACCTTGGGCCACACGTGGACCATTTCCAAGGTGGTGCAATCGGTCTTCTCCAACAATTTGGGATCCCTCTCGCACTCGAACGCGTCGACGTCCTGGCACTGGAACTTGCCGTACGAAGTTTTCCAGTCGCCCTTGGTATACTTGCACTTCTTCCGCCCGAATATGTTTCTGTCGGCGCCGAAGCTCGGGGGTATCTTGCTCGGTTTGAAGAAGTTCTGCGGCTTGGAGCCTGACTCTTCCGCTTTACACACTTCGAACACTTCTTTGCTGTCCAGTTTCCGGGGAATCATCACCCACAGTTCCGCTAGAGCTAGGGCCCCGCCGGACCCATCCAGCATCTCTTTCAGCCAGATGTACACTCCCTCTGATGGTTTCGGAGGTGACGGACGGGAAGGGCCGGGAGGGACACCATGGCCTGGAGGGAGAAGAGGGCCAGGACGGAAAATGGGGACGTAGATGGAATTCGTTTTAGATGGAGAGATACTGGTGCTGGGTATGATGGTCGTGGACGTAGTTGTGGCTGTTGTGCTACTGGTTTGGAGTGTAGAAGATACCCAGGGCACCACGACGGTCGTAATTCCTGTGCTGATGGTGACTGTCGTAAAAGGTTGGAGCGACACCGTAAAGGTTGGCGATGGGTAAGTCTTTGAGCTGGACAGAAGGGACGAAAAAGTGGCGTGTGTAGAGTTGATGCCTGTCGAAGTGGTACCTGTAGAGGTGAAGTGTGTAAAGTTCATGCCCGCAGAAGTGATGCCTGTAGAGATGAAGCCTGTGGACATTACGTCTGAGAAAGCCGACGTTACCATCGAGCTTGCGTTCGCAATGGTCGTTGCTTTTGCCGGAGAGCTCGTTGGAAACATTGCAGTCGTAGTGAATAGTCCCTCGGAGCCACTATGACCACCTAGGGTTGTCGGCACTGCCGGCACTCCCTGACCAGTCGAAGTGGCAGTCATGGTGACTATCGAACCATCAGTACCGGTGGTGTACGTGACGTTATGGTCTCGGCGTTGGCAGGCTTGCCTGCGGACCGCGCCTCCTCTAGCAGCCCCCCTTTGAGGTGCGATTTGATAGTCGAATGGCGGCCAAGGGTGTTGACCCTTGAACCCCTCTTCGGCCACCCACATCCGCCACATCGCCGGCCCGTTGCCGCACGAAGGCGCCGGTTGGTATTGAAGAAGGGCCTTGCCTCGAGGGAAATCAGACGGTATATCCAGTAGCTTTTCCGTGACGTCCTTGTCGCTGTAACCTACCTCGTCTCTTTCCCATCGCTCTTTATCATGCCTCGTCAGCATAGGTGGCGGATAGTCGATAACTCGGATCGGCAAAGGACCGAACGTGCGCACTAGATTGTTGCCTATCCATCCAATATGGGGAGACATCTTCTTACCGCGGTTTATCTGAGCAGATTGGATCACTGGATCCGGGACCTGTACGCCGTGGTTCTCATACTTTGGTCGCGGCCGGGGCGTGATAACGTAAGCTGTTATGTCCTTGATCTCATATGGGTTGCTGTTATCACCAAGGAGTATGCCGAGATCCCCCAGCCTGGGGTTGTTCCGTAGTTGGTCCATGCCATACTCGTGGTATTCACGCAACGGATTACCTTCTTGATATCCAGTATGGCAGGTCTCGATGGCGAACTGCAAGAGGTACGGGTCCATCACACTGTGTTCGTAGTAATGGCATGCAAAGGCTCCTCGGCGCGTTACCAGAACGACCGTGGTGCAGCCTATCAACCCTTCAATGGCAAGAGACTCGACTTTATCCTTGAATAGGATCCATTGCGACGAGACCGGAAGATTCTCTGCTACTGATTCCGCAGTGTCGTCGATGTCGGGGAGATATGTCGGTAGGGCTGCGAAGGGCTTGGGTGCGACAGGGGCACGCCGAAGCCGCTTCGGGGCGGACTGATCGATCCCGAACACGTTTAATGACTTTCTTATTTCCTTTGGCAGGAATTCCCTGTACCCGTCAGGGTAATCTATGGGATCAACCCATTTCCCTTCCTCCGGCTTGCCGCGCTTCTCGAGATCTCGAGGCGTGACCTTGGTCGGTGGCTGATTGTTTATCGGACAAGAACTGCCGCCGCAGATTTGCGGTACACAAGAGGGGTGAGATGGCTTCGCGGTACTGGCTCTCGTTGTCGTCACCGTGGCTACAGAGTTGAATACACTGCAGCCGGTGACTGTGGTGTAGGCGCTGGTTAGACATGTTGTGCTGACACTTGTATGAGGACGACTACCGCCAGTTACCGCTGCGAAACTCAGATTAGTTGACGCTCTGATAGAGGGATATAGATGGGGTTGGCTAACCTTGTGTTACAGAGCAAAACACTGTTTTGTGAGTCGCAGTGACAGTGACAGTGCAGGAGGATGTCGACGATGAAGTGGACGAAGCCTCTGACTTGGACTTGGTCATAGACTCGGGCTCCTCGGGCTTTTTAGAAGCCTTGTCATCGTCTACTTCTCCATCAACGCCTCCACCACCCCCGCCGCCGCCTTCGCCGCCGCCTCCTCCACCACCACCATCTTTATCTGGGGGACAGCTACCGATTTTCAAGCCAAAGAGCTGGATGCAGAATTCAGGTGTCTTGATCGCAATGTTGGGAGGAAACTTGGGGAAGCAGCTGAAACAGATGACAGGAGGACCTGAAAAAGGAATAATCACTACGAAGTGTTAGTTTCTGAAACTCCAATACATACAAAATATCTCACCTGGAACAATGGTGGGATCAATGCCGCCTGGTGAAGTGGTTGTGATGTAGGTCGGGGAAGTATAAGCCCCTTCAGTCAGAGTTATGAAGGATGCTCCGGGTGGTGGAGAAGTAAGCGTGGCCGGTGGATCTTCTGTCGAAGTCGACGAGAGCGACGATTCTGAGGGGCTAACCCATGGCACCGTCCATATGCCAGAGGTACCCTTTGTCGAGATCGGTCCAGGAGGTAGTTTTGGCGCAATCTGTGAAGCGGAAGTACTACTGGTTGGAAGCAACGCGGTACTGCTTGTTGATGGGGCCTGTGAAGGGATGATGTCTCCGGATGGTGAAGCAGTTGTGATCTTGCTCGACTCGACTGGCGTGACAAGTGTAATGTATGTTAACTTGGTTGTAGGAACGTTGGTTTGTGTCACTGAATCTGGCGTTGAGGAACCGTGTGTTGGCTTTGATGAAAAGGTCATATTGTCGCGTGGGCTCTCTGTCGGCAACTCAGATAAAGATGATAAGACGGTGCTGTTTCTCCAGGAAATCACATGAGATGCAGTGGCTGTCATTGTCCAGGTGTGATTATGCCAGACAGTAGAAGTCACCACATCCATCGGAGTTGACTTCTCACAGTTAACTCATGGCATATCATGCAGACTTGCGAAATCTTACAGCAGTAATGGACGTCGCAGCAGTGGGGTTGCAGAACCCTGGGTTATCAATGCATATCCGCCGCGAAAAGGGGATCGATGAGTTTTCAAACTGAGGGAAACCACGACTCGGCAACTGACCGGTTATGGCTTCTACTGGGCTTATAGCCCATAGAAGGGCTGCAAAAAGGCTCAAGAACATGGCAATGACATTAGTAAGAGGCTATCGTTTGTATTGCCGGGCTTAGGAAACTGGTTTGAAACCTTTGTGTTTACAGCCCGTGTCGAGTGAAGATCGGGATGAAGCTTGTTCAAGGAGGGTTTTACTGTTGTTGTTATATCTGTCAACTGGCATTGTTTTCATCAAACGATCATGGGTCTACTTGGCTATACGTACAATCAGCAACTCCACGTCGTAATTATTCAACGTTACATGAAGGCAAGCGGTGTTGACCGCCACATCCGTATTACTTTGTGAACAAGGTTGACACTCTAATGAGTTATCAGGGTGCTTAGCTGCAGTTCTACCTGGAAACAGAGATGTCTTGCTGATCAATCACCCGTGCAGGGACTGGCGTTTCACCAAAGGGAGAAAGAACATCACTCATTTGTCTTTGAGGCACCATTTTTTGTGTTTCCATACACCTCCCTTGGCAAACTCAGATCAACTTCTATACCTTTTTGCATATGAGAAATAAGGCAGATATGGAAACCGACGAGCTACAAACACGGTAGTGTGTTAATGCATGACTCTCTTTTCGGCCGAGTTGTGCCTAAGTGTGTACGTGCATGTGTATATGCTACTTTGGCGTGGGCTGCTATACAAACTAACTACTGGGACATCTCGTTCAGTTAATACTGGATCCTATGCAAACCTGCGTTGGTGATACTGCAAAAATGCGTGCCAAGACACAGCGAAATGGGCAGGCGAACTTTTGCCAAGTGCATTGCGTATACACAATTTTGGGAAACCAACAAACGTTGAATCATGGCAAACTCACAGAGAGAAAATGGGAGGCAAATAACTCGGGAGCACAAAGAACTACTTTATTTGTGTAACGCCTCATTCTCGCTGATGCATGGTAGCATCGAGGAGATGCGGAAGATTTATCACAAGCTCACATGGGGAAAGCCCACACCTTTGCGAGTACCATCAACTCAAATGAATGTCCATATGTTGCTACGTGACTGGAAATCGCGGTGTTGGAGCATCAACCGAGTTAGATAGAAGCTCTGCGCCGAGTTGATAGTGTTTGCGGACTCTGCAGCCAAGCAGTAAATGCACGAAACAAAGCAGTCATTTGGACGAGACAGGGAAGACCAAGGGCGATGACTGCGAATTTGATGAACAGGTCAGGCACAGCAACAGGAAGTCGCGCTGTTGTGACTCGTTTACTGTATGAGCCATGTTCTTGATCACGTAACATACCTACCTTAGACGATTTTCAACCTGAGCGTGGGCCTATCTGGGTCTGTACGCAGAGAGGCAAGGGGTGCTTCGAGAATTCCAATACGGTGAACAGCCCACGCAAATGTATCCACTGCCGTCTGTAAGTATACTTCTATATTTATGGGAAAACATTCAAAATATAAGTAGTAAAAGAATACAGTAACTGTACACAGCTGCTACTGAGAGAGTAGAACGCAAATCCAAAAAAGAATACACCCTCGATGAAATCGAAGACATCAAGAAGCAAAAGTCTGCGCCGAGGGGGAATCGAACCCCCGGCTCCCCGACGCTGCTTGATGGCAACGGAGAATTTTACCACTAAACCATCGGCGCTGATGAAGATCTAGATTGTTGAGAACCAGCAGCTGCAAATTTCATGAAGACAGGTGTATGTGGTTGTGGATCAACATGGGACACTAGGGCTAGATCAAATTGTAAGGGTCAACTAGAACATGGGTCACGATACCCTCATTGTCACTAAAACGGGAAGCTTATTTAAGTGGGGGTCTGCCGATGTCATCAAAGTTAATACGGGATAATCTTGGGGAATTGTGTTATTTAGCGTTCAATTCGGAGTTGAACGAATGTAATAAGGAAGTCAAGTTCTGCTCGCGTGCGAATACACACTCGGTTTCCTCTGGAGTGTCTGCTTGGAATTCGCTTGACGCTTTCCTTGCACTGCCAGCACGCTAGCATTGGCTATCTTCTTCGTCTTGATCTCCGAAATGAGTTCAGCAGCAGTGGGGCCAAGAGTCTTGCGTGGATCTACGACGCTGGATGACCCGTCTATCTCGATTTGCGAAGTTTGTGACGCCGCAACTGACCGACCGATGATAAATGTAGTAGCCCTCGGGTCTGCACTTTGCAATTCAAGAATTTCGGTAATGACGCTCGAAGGGGTAGCATTCTTGGCGGCGTCGATTTGGCTGAAGATTATCCGATTGGCAATTGAATCTTGAATGTTGGCCTTGATGCGAACGTATTTCATGTTTGCAGAGGCATCTGGGTCAGCTGCTTCGGTGATGGTGACCTCGAGATTCTCATTTTGCGCAAGCTGCACGCCGAGCCTGACGGCGAATATATCATCTTCAGTGCCGGTGTACAATACCCGGATAGACCTTTTACCTCGTCGCTCAGCAGAAAAGAATCTGGCCGCGGAAGGGTCCTGGAGTTCCGAAAGACTAACACCAGAAACGTGCCTCTGAAGCTGTCTGGGTCTCTTAACGCCTGTCTCGGACGTGTCAGACTTGTTCAAAAGTGTCGCATCGATGAATGTTGCCACGGCAGAAACGTTCTTGGCCTCGTCAAAGATACTGCACATAAGATTAGAGAAATCGCCGCTGGTGAGAGGGTCCCCTCGCATCGTAGCACTGTAAAACGATGGCAGCTCGGAGATCGTTCCAGTTTCGCTCCAGGGAACGAGTATCAGGTCAGTGCCTTGTTTAGCTGCCTCAGTAGCCAGTGTATCGGCAAACGAGTCTTCGGGGACCACGGCAATCTGACCAGAAATCATGACGTCTCTGGTTGTGTTGTTGGCGGATATGCCAAAAGCCTTGATGATGGGGTCATGCCCGGCGTAGTCCTCAATTTCCGAGACCTTCATGACAGAAGAGTTGCGTTCAGTAAGGCCGACCAGGCGGCAGCCGTGAATGCGCAACAGCTCCTGTGGAGGAGATTCTGCCTCCGGACCTACAGCTGCATGTTCGACGAGGCCTTTTTCGCCGCTACGATTTCCGTGGATGTCCATGGCGGAATTCTTAGAGTTTGAAAGACGTTGGCCACTAGTAAACATGGAAACGGTAGACATCAGACTCGAGAGACCATCGGTGCGGAGGTAGACCAGCATCTTGTTGGCAGCCTCTTTCTGATCATCTTCGACTTCGCCATCAGCATCGTGAGTGATTGGGGTCCCGTCCCAGTTGATCTTGCCTCTCTTCCAAAGGTCCAGTTTCTGTTGGTAAGAAGGTGGATATAGCCACATGACTAGGGGAGATGTGGCGAAGGTTGTGACAAGAGCCATGACGACGAACATGGTGAAAGTCCTAGTACTGAGAATTTTGGCCTGAAGGCCAATATTTAGAACAATGAGTTCGACAAGTCCCTTACAGGACATGAGGGTTCCAATAGTAAAGGATTCCCGCCAAACCAAGCCGTTCATGCGAGCACCAGCGGTGCCCCCGATGACCTTGCTGAGAAAAGCTACAATAATAATAGCAATGACATAGCCCCAAGTGCGTCCACTGTCCAGTAGGCCCAGGTTGGTATTGATTCCTGAAAGCGCAAAAAACAGGGGCACAAAGAGAGTCGATATCAAATCCTCAATTTTCTCAGTCAATTTGATGGCAAAACCACCTTCATGGGGACACATTAGGCCGACCATGAAGGCTCCGAAGATTGAGTGTACGCCGATAATGCTCGTGAAAAATGAAGAGCCCAACACAAGAAGTAACGTCAAGGCGACAACTCCTTGAGTAGGGCCGTTCTCTAAGCTTTTTGTTCTGCGAAGCACCCACATGAAAGCTGGCCGAACAGCAAATCCGAGAAACAGGGCGAAGCCAATGGAGACCAACAGAATCCATACCGCTGTCAAGCCGGCACCGGAGTTGACAAGGGTGACGCAGAGTGCGAGGAGAACCCATCCGACAACATCATTGGCGATACCAGAGGTAAGAACGATGACTCCAACGGTGGTGTTGAGTAATTTCAAAGAGGTTAAGATGCGGCACAGCACAGGGAATGCAGTAATAGCCATGGCCACGCCAATGAAAAGCGCGAAAACTCCAAAAGAAATCGGAGCGATGCCAGGTTCGTCGTGAAAATCATTGTACAGTCCGTAGGCGACCGCGACGCCCAGTCCGAAGGGAATAGCCATGTCGAGAGTCGCGACACTGATGGCGGTCCGCCAGTTACTGAGAAGATACGACAGATTGATCTCAAGACCGACGAGGAATAAGAAGAGAACGAGGCCAATATTTGCTGCCAGTCGGAAGGGCGGCATGGAGTTCGGGGGGAATATGGCTGCGGTAAAGCCAGGGATTCGACCAAGGACCGAAGGCCCAAGAAGAATACCCTAGGTTGTTGTGTTAGATATCATGTGAAACCAAGCAGTATGAAGCTAATAGATTTAATAGGAGACTTACAGCAATAACTTCTGCGATAACTTTTGGCTCACGAATCTTGGACAAAGGCCAGTACAGTAGCCTCGTCAAAGTAATGACGATAGTTGCTTGTATGATAAACAGTATAATCGGGTCTGCTGGGTTGAAGACAGAGGGGTTCATGCCCTCGAAGATTCCACCCTGTGAGGGGGCCCTATCGCCAGTAGGAGTGGGCGTGGGAACGACCGAGGCTGTCGCCCCTGCTACGGTCGACATAGTGATGACGAGTTCGATGCTTTCAAAGGTGTTGTATAAATCCGAAGTTTCAATGATAACAAGGACCCCAATCAGATTGGCTGCGCTGAAAAGCGGAGGTGTGGATAATCAAACGGCGTCGCGGCTGGAGAACCTAACTGATGGGGTGCGTAGAATTTAAAGAAGAGCCCCCAACTTTTTTTGCGCCAGACTGTAAAGCTACCCTGGAGCTTTTGGCCTCAGAATCCTGGAGGTATGCGAGCACACATGCTACCAGATCACATCATGGCATGACCCAAACCATTCCGCTTTCAGTGGTTGCTCTGGGGGCGTCCAAATCCCAGTTAACAAACTGTAAAGGCAAGCGGCTTGGCAGCTTGGAGGTTCAGTGGTGGGTCGCATTCCGAGAGGCAGCATTGCATCTCATGCCGCCTTTGGGTTGGCGCCAGGGGTCTTGGAAGGGAGTATTCAAGGGCTTGGCACGCTCAAGCCAAGGGTTCAATGAGAACCTTGTGAGAGAACAACAGAGAAAGCGGGGAAATAGATGACCACGAAGCTCGGTCTGCTGCGCTATATTGTATTGGAAATCTTTGCGACTGCAAGTGGCAGTGCGCCCGCCATATTGCGGCAGCCGCCGCAGCAGCACACCAGAACTACGCTCGTACTCCATGTGCTGCAGCTGCATGGCATGCTAAGAACAGCATCCTAGTCAGCCAAGATAGCATGGTTGGAATCCTCTGCTGCCGGTCACCTGTTTGCCGACGAATGCCGCGCAATCTCAAGGTAGACGAAGTGGTCATGCTGTTTGCTGGGTGGCTGAAGGCCAAGCAACTGCGGAAGTTGGCACATTTGAATTTTGTTCCTATTAAATCATCTTTGGCACACGTGAAACTAAAGTGCATCTTGAAGTCGCGCTAGGTTAATCAGTAGACCTCTGAGAAGGGTGTATCTAGATCAAGTAAATCGGCCGACGCAGCCGGTTACCAGCCGCATGGGTGTGAGCAATGGGTCTAGACCGCTGATCTCCAGTTACTGGGTGCGTCCGCATCTGCTGTTAAGCGACACATTTACGAGTGTTTGCTTAAATCACCGCGTGTGAGCCTGCAGGACGGGTTGGATAGGCATTTTATCACCTGCCCAAAGTAACTTTACCAGCGGAACTCCCTAGTACCAGAGCACTGGTGAAAGCCTATTATAGAGAGGCCCCTGGCATCCTCTTAAGCGCCTAGTATTCAACTCCATATAAACCCTGATCCAACACCGCTGACAGGCCCCTGCTTATCCATATTCTCGCCCACTAGGGGACTCGGCTACGCATGCCCAATTAGCTAACCGTTGTGCAATGCACTTGCTGCATGTAGGTCTTCCCTGAAGCGGCCGCAGCAATGAGTGGTGTTGGCGCAAAAATGCCCTCAAATGTATCTTTCTACTTACAACAACGGCCATTTCTCGGCCGAACCAAGTTCTGGCAACCTTTGGGCCAGGCGTTAGCGATAGTAAATGATTTTCTAGCGCTGAACCCAAGCCTACTAAGATTTTCTAGTTGCTGCTGGTGATGAGAGTACTTTGGAGTTTGAATCCGCATGTTACAACAATAGTTTAATATCAAGCGATGGAGGAAAATGTTTCTAGTTGTATCATCGACTACATGTTACTAAAAAACCCCAAACAGTTCATCTCAGCCTTATAACACATGTCACCGCACTGACTTAGGTCTGCTTTCCTCTTACATCTGAAGCAATTAACTATTTTAGTAGTAGCACGGCCAGTTAACTCCAAAACCAGATTGTGTACGTCTCCTTCCTCTCCTCGCACGCTTGATAGATAGCGTCTCGCGTATTCTCAAAGTCGTGGCCAAACTCGGGCGTAAAACCACCAACCGTACTCAGTCGCACACAGACAAGGGCGCTTCCACTTCGGCCAAGTTGCTCCAGTAGCAGAAACGAGGTGCAGTTCGACAAGACTTTGACCAGAAAACCCTTGCTCTCCATTTTGACAGCTTCCTCATCCTCACCAGTGTTAAGAGAACACTTGTGTCACTTCTCATACATCGAATCCTCTCCAGCTCGATGTCTTCTTCAATGTCAAACAAGCATACCATACAGTCCGTTGTTTTCGAGTTTTTGTTTTTTATCGAGTCTGTCGTAGAGGAATACCACGATGTTGAACATTTAGGCTTTCACTGTCAAGTTTGGTGTTTGCATTCCAGGTCCAGACTGGTTAATGCTAGCATCTATGCTTGTTTTCAGGTTAGACTGAGCTCGGCCTAACGTTGACTCTTGACATAAGAAAACAGCATCTATGTTTGAAGCCGCGAGTCTATCAAGGCTTTTCGATCGCTGTTGCTGGGGACTAATTCAAGCATCCGAATTGCTTGAAAAGATTATGATGCCTTAAAAAGTCCTCTTGTAATAGTGGATATCTCTGCGAGAGCGATAACCTCTGACCGATGTTTGGTTTCTTTTGCAGTCCCAGACAAACCTTAGAATTCATGACATTAATTCTCTGCATTCTTACTGTGACTTTGATACTTAGACAACGAGACATCAAACTCTCCTTTTAACACTTTGCTTTCCACCATACGTATACAGATTGCGCCACTGGATAGGATAGACACTACAACAGCTTTTCAGGCGTGGACTTTCTTAAAACACAGTATATCCCCACTTTTCCATACAACCACCTACTTACTCTCTACTACCGTTAGACATATCGAAAATTTGAATGAAACTCTTATCTTGAGACTAATAGACTGAATGCGGAGTAATTGAGGGTTGTCTTATGCTCTGTAGGGGCGCTGGCACGAGCGATTTGGCCGGACACCAACTTAGTCGCCCTGAGGCCCCAAACCATCATCCAATAGGATCCACATCCTCGATAGTCTAGTGGTGAGGATATCGGCTTGTCATTACACGATTCGCCGGGGACCGGGGTTCAATTCCCCGTCGAGGAGATATTTTTGGTTTTGACCTAATCATCAATTAACTTCAGATCCATTGCTTTATCGTACAATTCTGTCAAGAAGCACAACGTTGTTTTGTCCCCTTTCGATGAATACAACGATGTATCTATCTAGTTGATAGCGACAGTGGAAAAAGACTTTGCGACACTTGCAATCCGCTTACCCAGTTGAAGAACCCTTGGGTATTCCTTAGCCCGAATACCCAATCAAAACTAGGTACCATCAGGGTTATGAGATTGACGGAAACACTGCAAATCGAGTCTGCTTAATGCTGAGGTAGTACCCTAACGATGAGATTCACAAGAACAGGGGCGTGATCATCAACAGCGCAGTTAGACTGATGATTTATGCGTCTTATCTTCATTGTATTGTTCATGGTTCGGAAATGGGTTCGGAAAGAACCTGTAGTTCCGAGTGGTTTCATGTGTGCTTTTTGAACGGTTTCTTGTCTTAATTCTCAAGCCACCTAATGGCTGTATTAGAAAACTGTAGGCTAGGCTTCGCTATTCAAACTTCTAGTACTAAAGGTATTCAAAAAATGATCATACTGAATACTACGTTGTTACGTTCACCTTGGACCTATAACAAGGGTCTTCAATGACTTAGTCTGCAAAGTCACTCCAGCAAAAGGCAGGCGTAATTTCTGATGAAATCGTCTGTGCCCCTTACTTTCCCGACGTATGCTTAAATCCTGGAAGAAAAGGGGTCAGAACTGACTCGCTATTGCGTCCTATTCGCCACAATTTCGAAGCAACCCCACTTGCCTTAGATGTAAAACTGAAGAAACTCTAGCGTAAGCAATGTATGACTAAGACTGGCCTGTGGCTGCAACCCACCAAGCCGAACGCCGACGTGATCGCATGTTTTTTTCACTCTATCTAACCAAGATATTACTGCTGTTTCTGGCCACCCCACGCCGAACGAGGAGTTTATCTCATGTCATCTAAAAAAAAAATCGAAGTGTTTTATGGCCAAATTGTGTTGAGTCATTAAAACCCCGCCTTAGATTCACGCAGTCGGTTCATCCGCAATGGCTACTCAGTCGTACCGTCGTTCTAGACACGGTCAGTTTAGCACCTTAGCAGCAGTCCGATTCCCTTGTTATCGCATGCATAGTGTTTGTCTATTTGGAAAATCCGCTAATTGTTGCACAGGCTGCGTTACTTGTAGATCCGCGCGAATTAAATGCGATGAGACACAGCCACACTGCAAGCAATGCCATCGACGAGGCGTGAAATGTGGCGGTTATCAAGTCAAGTTGAAGTGGGTTGAGATCTTCGATGTTAGCCCAGATAATCAGGCCACGGGTAAAAGTGTTATCAAGCCGCGGAGTTCCTTAGCAATTTGTTCGTCGTCAAAACATTCAAAGCAGACCCAATCCAAGGAGACCGATCTCTCAACCTCAATAATACGGAATCCATCCACTGGGCCTCGTCTCCACTCTTCATCAGATACATTTGTATTCTCACACTGGGCTCAATCATTACCCGACTTAGTGTATCCAAATCCAGAAGAATACATCAGCATCCGAGAACCTTACTTAGCATTTGTATGGCAAGAGGACTCTATACTTCTTCCAGCAGCTTTAGCATCCGGGGCGTCACATCTATACGCTCTTGGGATCTTATCGCAAGCCGACGTCCTGGAACGGAAACAACGGGCTCTGAGTAAGATAATATCTTGCGTACAGCAAAAGAAGTTGCTTTCGGAATCCCCGAACACAAAAGACATACCGATGTACATCAGTGAAGAAGCCATCGCGGCGTCATTGGCCTTGATTGGCCTAGAAGTCATGCAAGGTTCAGACACGGCCCTTATTCGGCCCCTTATTCGCGGTATGAGAGCTCAGCTGGAAGAAAGGCAACGGCTCTTGAAAGAAATGGACCAAAGTTTGCTACACCATAAGCCGACTCCGATGATGTCTGTAAACATAAAGATGATGGCTTACATGGACGCATTATCTTGTGTTCCTTGTGCAAGGAAACCAGTCTTGGATCGGCAGTTTTGGCGAGAAACGGTCTTAATCCACTTCAACAAGTCTCCAAAGGGCAGCCCAGACGTCGTCTTCGGTTACACAGCAGATATACTCCCGCTGATAGGAGATTCTGCGTCCCTAGTTAACGATTTCCTCAGTGGAGCAATTGAGCCTGAGGCCTTCTCGCTGTCTCGATGTTGCCTCTTCCAGGAACTTACCCTCTGCTGTAGAGATCTACCTGCAGCAACACAACAGCCATGCTCAGAGGGAGATACTAATGAGTCGCCTGAAAGCTGCAAGATAAGAAATTCAAATGCCTGCATCGCAGCAGCGCTGGCACATGGCTTGGCAACGCAGATATTTCTGCTCCGTGCAGACGATGGCGACTCAAACAAAAAGACTAACGATTTCTTGGGTCACCCCTTGGCGTTGGTTGAACAGCTTTCGAACGCGATCTCGGCTGTGCCTCATGACACTTACGCTTCCACGATGATGATTTGGCCCATGTTTGTTCTCGGATGTGAGACGATGCCATCTAGTTCACGTCGGCACACGGTAGAGTTGATGTTTGAGAAGATGATTGAGAAGCACAGACTTCTCAACATATCAGTTGCTCTTGAGCTGTTACGGAACAAGTTATGGAAGATTGGTGACACCCAGAAAATGGGCAGCTCCGAAGAAGATGTATCACTACCCTCGTGGTCTTGTCAATATTCGTCAAGCGATTGGGTCAGGGCTTGCTGGCGGGAAAAGTTACAACTGTGCACTGCATAAAACTCGACACACGTTGTCGGGGTCATCATGTTCAGGAAAAGCAACGGGATTTTACGATAAGAATGAATACTGTATAGATATCTATCTTAATTACATGATTTGTACAAATGTGAAGGATGATGTGACTGGCACACATAAATATAGAGACATGAAGGAAAAGGGTATCTCGCCAGTGTCCGCTTAGTACAAATGATTTCACTTTCCAACCTTTTTCGCCTGCTCTTCCAATGTCCGAATGAGTTTGCTTCTTTGCCGAATATTCTTGCCCCATTTGAGAAAAATGAAAGGAATCGGCATCAGCACGACTTCGGCGACGCCGATTGTAATGCCAGCGATGCGCGGGGTGAGCGCTGCATACATGCTCTTGCCCACCAGAACCAAAATGGCGCCCAAGATCGACCGGAAGACCAAGTTTCCTGCAGACGCCGAAGTAGCGTACATGCCGAAAACGTTGGAAATGTAACCGGTGCCGTAAATAAACACAAGGCCAAAACCGTATCCGAAAGGAACTCCTGATAATATGCTCCAGTAGAAGGGGATTTCGACGGGAAGCGATGTGAGTGCGAACATGAGTTGACCCAGGGGTTCAAGAACTGCGCCGATACAGATGAGAAGCACGGCGGCTTCTGGCTCTGGCTTCCCGGTCTCGGGGTTCTTCGCTTGACGCTGAACTAGCCTCCGTAGCAGGGGCTCTGTGAAGAGGACGAGGGCGATGCCGACGAAAACCCCAAGGAATGCAAGACCTGACAGGGAGGTTTTCCAACCTCGTTCATCTTGAAAGATGATGGGAAATGCGACATATGCCAACTGGACAATGGCATAAATGACTGAAATGTAGACGTTCCAAAATAGTAGTACAGGTTCGGTAAAAGACAGAATAAAAGGTCGAGAGACAGCAGTGCGGATTCTGCGAAATAGCGGAACGGTATCGTCAAAATCAGACCAGTATCGGAAGTCTTGTTCTTCTTTTCGCTTTTCTGCCGCCATCTTTCTCAGGAGCGTGGGACGGTATGTTTCAGGGACTGTCATGATGAAAAGAGCTCCAACGGCTGTTGAGATCAAAGACATCCAGTTCAATGATCTCCAACCCCATGCTTCAACAAGAAAGCCTCCCTATCAAGGCACGTTAGCACATGCTGCGAACGGGAACGGCTTCCAAAGGTTTATGTGGTACTCACGACTAGAGGTCCAAGCACTGGTCCGTTGAGGGGCCCAAAAGAGTAGACGGATATCGCCAAGGGGAGGTATTTTGGGTCGGTGATATCGATGATGGATCCTGCCACGTTTGAGAGCATGACACTTCCTGCAACAGCCCTATCGCAGCATTAGCATGCAAAACCACGGGAGTAATCGCTCTATGAACATGGACACAGGCAACTTACCCTAAGAAGCGCGCGACAATAACCATTGTAAAGTTCGTCGCGAGCGCAGCAATTGGAATAAGAGCCAAGAAGACGGTGAGACCACCGATGTACATTGGTCTTCGACCGAAAGTCTCGCTTAGCGGCGCCATGATAAGAGCGCCCAGCGCCAGGCCAACTAGGTAAAGCGAGATGCCGAGTAATGGTAGCGATGAGTTGGTGATTCCGAGCTCTTTGACCATGTCGTTAATACCGCTTGAGTAAGCAGTGGAATAGATGCCTGTGGCGAGAGTGGTGAAGGCAAACATGCCGATCACGAGCACTCGGTAGCGGATAGACCAGCACTTCGGGTCGCTTGGGTCTCCAGGATAAAAGTCAACGCGGAAGGCCTTCAGTGCCGTGGGACCGTCGTCATCTTCATTATCCTCGTGTTTCTCAAAGTCTTTGACGTCGAAGTCGAAATCCGGTACGTAGAATGACCACCGAGGCGGCAAGCTCGTCTTCTCGTTGAAGACTCCATCAATGTATTCGTTAGCAACGGGGAAGTAGGACAGTCGGCTTAGGCGTGGTAAGCGTGAATAACGGTTACCAAGGGGTGCCCGTTGGCTTCCCTTCATCCACGAACTCCGGGCATTGAGAAAAGAATGCCGCGCTGGAGGCGGTCTGGGTGGCAGAGGTGCAAATCTAGTCTGCTTAGCTTGATTTGGAGGGTAGAACTGTAGCCTGTCTGGGTCAGGCACCTGCAACGACATGATTGTTGGCTCCTTGGGTGAGAGGAGGGATGTTCAGTCACAATGGGCCTCGTTGAATGATAACTAGAGATGCCAGGTCAGGAGCCTGCCAATGACCCCCGCCAGACCCTATCAGAAGAAGACAGGAGGTGTACCAACGGGGGGCGTGTCAGCTCTTCTCCTTTGCAACGCATGTTTTGGATGATGGATGATGGCGGCTAATACTTGCCTCCCCTCCCCCACAAGGGAGTATGCCAGACATTATCGATGTAGTCGTGAAGCTCAGCGTGGCTAATGATTTCCTCCTGATCTAGGAACCCCGGCATCCAAGATCGACGGGGGTCTCCTTTCTGACGATCGGTGGCACCGCAGCGGTGTCCCAAGCACGATTAATCTCTCTGTGAGGTCCTGAATCAAATACGTACTCTGCTCCACAAAACGTCGTCCGTTAGCCATGTCATCCCTTGGGCTACGCGTCAACCCCACGTGCCGAGAGCACTTGGTGTGATGACACACTGTTTTAAGGACTGTAATCGGATATGCCGTGGGTCCTGTTGATCGAATCAATGCGACACCGAGGAGCTTCAAAGAAGGTACAGGGAATCCCTGTCCATCAGTAATCCCTTCCTTGCCAATTTTCCTGGCTATGCACGGACGATCATCTACCAGGGTGAGCATTGACTGCAACGTTGCGAGTTACTCGCAATGAGAAAGAAAACAAAGGACATTGTATCCTGGATGCCGTGTTTGGGACTCTGTTGGAAAGAGATTGCAGTGAGTTCTAGAAGCGAGGGCCCTTTATCGGTCCTAGAGATAAGTCAAAACGGACTTATGAACAGAGTCGAGGGCATGTCGGAATTATGACCATGTCTCTCGGGGAAAAAAGGAAAATCAAACACCTACTTCATACACAGGTTTGTGGTCTACTCCACAAGAGGGACTATTTTGTTTTGAATATCCGATTTCGGGTGCTTTGAAATGGTGTCAGAATACTCGACTATGCTTTATCGAAACACACCAGCAGTAGAGCAAGGCATTTCCAAAAAAGCAAACGCAGAAATGAATTGTGTTTAAGATATTGAATCAAACGGCTGCATTTCATGGCAATGTGGTGTTCCAAAAAAACATGGAACGAATTATCTAGGTTTGCCAAGCACGGGTTCTTGCATCTAAGGGCCGCTGCACTATGTGTGTTGCCGGCTAAAGTTTCGCGGTTGGGCGCTTGAGCCGCGATAAGGGACAACTCTAATAAAAATACAACACATCGAGGCTCGTGCCTTGCGCATTGGAGGTTAGCGCACTTCAGCTTATTATAGTGTTTAGAGAGCATCAACCGATTGTTGAGCATGATGCGATAGTGGTCAGTTTGCAAATTAGTTTAGGAGTTGAAAGTCTATAATCGTGGCAAAGCTGACTGTAGCAACACAAAGAACGTGGAATATGAACTTTGACTGGACAACAAGACGCGCAGGAGTCAAACCTGTTGACAAGGCCTCGCAAACAACTTCAGGAGCAAAGACAGTAGGAAGCAAATAAAAGTTGGCAAGATGAATCAAAATCTAATTGATGTGATATATGGTATCCAAAAGTAAAGAACAATCCATATAATCAAGTAAAGCCTCATGCATAACAACAAGAGGTAAATATACATGTGAAAGAAAATAGACTACATGAGAGCCTTGTGGACTGCGCCCACCAGAACAAGAAAATTTGTAAATCCGAAAACGCCCCGCCTGTCAAAGAAAACGATGTAAAACCCAATCACAAAGACCAATCGCTCATTTTGTCTTAAAGGCCTGGCCAATAGCGCCGCCAGGGTGATTTTTCGCAAAAACAGAAGAAACTGAAGAGTACATCTCCTTGGAAGCAACATATGCCAAAGCATCACCAACGGCAATGGCCATGGTGGTGGAGGTTGTGGGGGCAGAAACGCCAAAAGTGTCCTTCTCAGACTCGGGGATCGGCGCGGGGAGGAGGATAAGGTCAGGTCGAGCCTTTGCAATCTCGCATGTGTCCATGCGAGTTGGCGAAGTGAGAAGGATGAGAGGGCAGTTCTTGTTGAGATGCGGGAGCAGAAGCATGAGTTCCGGAGTCTTTCCAGAGAAGGTAATCATGATGAGGGTGTCGTAATCACCAATGATGCCAAGGTCTCCGTGAAGGGCCTCGGTGGGATGAAGAAAGACAGCTGGAAGTCCTAAGCTGCTAAAGGTGGCAGTGAGCTTCTTGGCGATCCAGCCAGATTTGCCCACACCGATGAAGACCACTTTGCCACGGTGGTCCCGATGGCGTGTGAGGACTTCGATAGATCGGAAGAAGCCATCGCGGCAGACACGCTCAGAGGAGTAGAGCTGTGTCAAGGCCTGCAAGGCATTCGCTTCAGTGCGAAGGACGTGGATTGCACCTTCGAGACGGTCTTCGTACGAAGCACGACTAGTGCGGTCTTCAACGGTCACATCTCTAAGAGGAGATCTAGGCATGGGTGACTTTGGGCCACGGATCTCGTATGATTTGGCGAGGTTGATGCTCAATTCTACTGGGCCACGGCTGCGCATGCCCATAGAAGATCCAGAACGAGGAGGAACCATCTTGACTTGTGGGTGGATTCTAAACGGTGAAGGAGAAATTTGTTTGTTTTGGAAAAATGTAAAGCAGGCGAAAAGAGACCTGCTCTGTGGAGATCAACCCTGTTGATGTGGGAAAGAAAAGGAAATGGAAAAAAATGCTGGTAAGTGGATTGCTGATGATCTTGAAAGCGATAATGCCCTTGGTCAAAGTGAGAGCACCTGTCTTTAATAATGATCAAAAAAAAGGAGCTCACTCTGGGAGTACTACCATATCGATATCTTCAGTTTCGGCTGGAAGGGTTGGTCGTTAGGCGTGTGGCGGATCTGCATATCCACGCACAGGGAAGTACCTAGTCTGGGTTCTCAAGGGTGATCTGCCGCCAAGTTCACATTCTCGGTAGTCACCTTCAGATGATAGCAACGGTCGTATTCTAGGTGAACCATGCTCACCGTCGGTATGCAAACGCGGTCCTCTAATTTACTCAGGACATGCACGGTTGGGGGGGTGTACGGGACGCTGACGAAGTTACGTCTCGAAATAGTCCACAATACGCGACGGGGCAGGGCCTGCAGCCACATGTCAAATGGCAACCTGACGCGAGGGCTTGTGCTTCCAGTAGACAGGCCCATTCCGCAGTATGCCAGCATGATCGTAGCTACTTGTGCTTCCGCGGCGATGGTGTTTTAGTCTCCACCACGGGTAATTAGCTCGATTCGTCAAAAGACGGGAAGTGGAAGCAAATGCTGAATATGAAATATGGGTATAGCCCCTCCTCATCCAGCCTCAACCTCGTCCCTGCATGTGCGATTAAGGGGAACGACAGGCGGTTTGCAGGCTTCGCCCTCCTCTTGCGCTGGGCTCATCTCCGTCCAGGAGGAACTGCTTCTGGTCTTGGCCAAGTGTATTATCTACTCCTGACTTGAACCGAACTTTAATCTTTTAACTATGTGTGCTAATATCATGTTTCCATGAATTGCTTTTTGGGGTTTCCAGACGCCCGTAGAGCTTTTTTTGTTCAAAACGCTTAGGAGCGCCAAGATAGCCGCCCGTTGGACGTATATACAAACGCTTGGCCGTCGGTGCTCATGTAGTGCATACCAGGAGGGGAAAATGATGATTGACATTATTTTGTGACAATTCCCCGACGTGTTTGCACAGACTTTTTCCATCTGATCCTTTCAGATGACGATATCTTCGGCAGTCACCTTTTTCAGCCTTCTGGAAGGAAATATTCAGGCTGTCTGAGACTGTTCCTGTCTCAACTGCCAGGGCTAACGAACGTTGCAACGAATCTCAGCCGCACTAACGACAGACGACATAAGATGGGTTGCCTGTGGTATCCACACAAGACTGGCCAGGCGATGAATGCTTGAAACGACATTTTGGAGCAGATTTTGACGCGCGCGCGCTAGTTGTGGGTGCCGTGTTCCCCGGTGGGCGTATAGGAGTGAAAAAAGGAGCCGCAATATAAAATGGGGCATTTACAATGTGTCTGGAACTGGACAACGGACTGTGTAATCTGGTGGGGTGTCAAGCTGGGAAGAGCAAGACTGGGCGTAACCCAAGGAGGAATATTCGCTCTTTGAGCAGCTTTAACCGATAGATAGCGCCCAGGAAGCTACAACTGCATGCTGGCTTAACTAAACACAATAGCTGGCATACCCATGTACATCAGCTAACAGAGGAGAGGGAGGAAGAAAAAGGAACAAGAGTCGGTTTCAAGCCCCGGCTGAATAGGCCCATCCCGGCCGGCACTGAATTCAGGGGTGTTGCATACATCGACAGGGAGTATGTGGCTGGACCCAACTCTCTGGTCGGGAGGGGCCGTCCGTGCAGCTTTTGGTGCAAGGGTAGGGTGCCGGATCCAAGATGCGCCCCCAAAAGATCAATCTGAACCTCTGCCAAGCACCTCTGCCGAGAAATGGTACACGCATGCGAGCGCTCTCAGCGAAAGTGCAAGCCTCAATTCAAAGCCACATGATCGACTGTGAGAAACTTTCTCTCAGCTTGGCGCCTTGGCCGTTACATCGGCCTATCTGTTTACCCTGTTTCTAGCCGGTCAATATATTTATTTGAAGCCGTTGATCTCTTGGTGTTGCACTACATGTCTTTACAGTCTTATCTTGGAGTGTAAATCTGCATTAAACTAAGAAACTCATAGGGTATCGTCCAATAACTGATTTTTCTCTGCTTACTCGAACCGATTTACAAGATAATCCGAGCCAGTACGACAACATCCTTGCTCATTTCATTCGAGTCAGAGCACTGGCGCGACCATGGAAAAATAATAGATTGGCAGTAGAGATGCCAAAATTGGCAGCTAAACGCCTCATCAACTGCCGTCGCAACTTGTTACATTCTTCGGACATGCCAGAAAGACAAGGTGATACTGATACTGACGTGGTGTTGTGGTTCGGACGGAATCTGCAGCACTCTCGCTCTCAGTTACCTTGTTCTTCAGTATAGTAGTACTCACTGGCGACTGAAACATCACAGTTCAAGTCGGCTTGAGTCCGTCTGTTTTTTTGTTTTTTTTGTTACTGTTAGAGTCCACCCTGGCGACAAGACTTCAAACGGACGCAGAAAACCGGAGAGGTAAATTGGAGAAGTTATCTGGGTTCCTGATGTATGGCACACGGCATGTGCGTCAGCTATTGGTTGGAGAAATGCGTATTCTTGTTGATGATGGGTCCGCTTCTCCACTGGTGAAGCTGTTACACTCCACCAAATGTCACCTAGTCGCACCATCACATCAGTCCGTTTTCTTTTTCGTGATGTCCTCCACAACGGGCTTCAACTGTCTTTCAGACGTCAAATTGATTATGTGGCCTACGTCTTGCATTTTGATTCCGGGGTGACACGTCAGTCCCACATTCTCGCCTCCGTAGTTATCGAACCTGGGGCACGAGCTAGCAGCGGCCTAGTACAACGGGGCTCCCGAATCTTAATGAGAACCCATATCAAAAAGAACGAAAATGATTTGTAATGGCTATACTTCTCTTAAATATTGTCGATGTGGTATTGAGGTATATGCCGTAGCTTTTGTATGACTCTGTTTCGATCAAGTCAAATTTACGTGCTTGGACGATTAAGGGCGTTGAGTATAATTGGCATGATAGGGATGCGGCACTTCAACCTTCAATCACATGGGAATGGAGGCTTTAGCGAATATTCTGACAGCGTATCTTTTTTTTTTTTTTTTCATGCACCGCTTTGATCAGCTAATCCATCCTATCTGCCGGGATGTGGGGGTGAGACCGATAGGGACATGAACAGTTCGCCTTGACATGACGAGGAAAAGGTGGCTCCCAAACACCCAACCACTTGTTTCATTCCAAAGATCCACACTATCAGTAACAGCTTTCGCTCAAACTGAACCCACAGAAGAAGAGAAAAAAAGAAAAAAAAAAAAGAGAGAGAGAGAGAGAGAAAAGCAGGAAATGCAGAGAAGGATTGGTCGATAGGTTCGATATGACAGCTTTGGGGGCGCTATCTGTACGTGTAACGACGACGTGCGAGTCAAATTCCTGCAGCTTCCCAACCCCCTTTCAATCGGTTGCTCGCTATTGTCTGGGAAGGTAATATTGCCTCAGCCTCTTATGGCTTATGTCAGCCCCACCAGCGGTACAAATGGTTATTAATTCGAAAGACTCGGCAATTATGAGCCGGATCTTCATGCAAGTTCAAGCCTCCAATGTTAGAGTTTATTGTTGTTTACCTGAATTGTTATCATCTCAACATATCAGATTTCGTCATTGCATATAGGAGCAAAAATAGCCAGTGCCTTACAAAGTAAGAGTATTTGATAGCACGGAATAAGGTACCAAAACATTAGCCCATTACCGCTTTTGGATCAATTTTGATGATTCATCATCAATAGACGCACCAACTCACGCCATTTCTGTATCACAACATCTCTTACAGTGGCACCTCACGTCAAGCAGATCGTGGCTTAGTTATGTATAATAAGCATGGTGATACTGGGCTGGCAAGGGTAGTAGAGTGCCGTATTACCATGAAATAGCATGACTTGAGGCATACAACGCCTCTTCTTAACTCATTGATGCACAAAACGATACAAATTGTTTTTTTCTTCTTCTTTCTTCTGCTCTACCTTTTTATTGAAACTCAATATGCAAAGGCCAGGTCACATAAAGGGGGTTTCGAAAACCAGTGCAAATTAAGGGACGACGATCTGGCGATCAGACTAGGGTTGAACCTACTTCCTGAACGCGATGGACTCGGATGCAACGTAAAACTACTTGCCCTCCCGGTACGGCGATTCCCTTGTCAATCCCTGCAAGTGTTCATAAAAAAAATAACAGCTGCGGTTACGAACGTAGGCTTCTAGAACGAGGAGTGAGCCAGCTACCAATATAATTGACAACACGCCAAGCGATAATCATTGCATGCATTGGTGCTTTCTGTTCTACTTGAAATATTATCGCCAAGGATGCGGGGGTTGGCTTCTACCATAATTCCTTCTACTGTTCAAAAGAAATGTCAAACTTTGCGAATGCGGCACGGAAAGAGTGGTGGTATGTTGTCATTTCAGTCGATTTACCAAGTATACAGAGATAAATTTGATTACACATTTAAATGCACCGTTGTTCTATATAAACTGCGCTCTAGTTTTGCAAAAAAAAAAAAAAAAAAAAAAAAAACCAATTCTAACTTGCTGTAAGTTGATCTTAGGCTTTCTCTGCTTGTGGGCGGAGTCCATAGACTGTAGTACCTCGGCCAGCATCGTGTCTCGTCCTCTCAACCTCTTCAAACTCCAGAGAAGGCGAGTTGGGATCCAGGACGTGCTGGCGATGCCAGGGCCCAACAAACAAACCATCAGGGTCCGCTTCGTCACGAACCCGTCGCCACTGCTTCAAGTCATCCCCATACCATTGCTCCAGTTCAGTGTTCTTCACTGTAAAGTTCTTTGCCCAGTGAGGCTTGCCGCCCAAGTCCCGCATAAGCCATTCAAAGCCCTCGAACCAGCGCTTCAGACCGGGAGGGTCCAGGTCGTAGGGGCGGTACATGGTGGCGTTCAGGTTGAGTGTAGGGCCATCCTTGATGGTGCTGTCAAGCCATGGGCGATTACGCTGCTCGGCGCTAGTGTGGACAGTGGCGTCGCACACCCGCACTTCGACGGGAGAGTGGATGTAGAGGCCTTCCGCAGAGAACGGGATGCCATGGTCGACGTAGTAGGGGTCTCCTGGTTGGAGTTTGTTGATCCAGGACCCAAGACGCATGAGGGCTTCTGGGCCTCTGTGGAGCGGGATGGCCCACTCATTCACATACTGGCTGTACAAGCAATTCATCCACAGAGCTTTGTCCATGGGCTGGACGGCATCTGTCGTGTGGCCATCATTAAAGCCATACTGCATGCCAAAGACAAACCTGGAACAGTCAGCGCCTGCGTTAACTCGCTTAATTTGTGGTGGTGGGTTTCAAACTTACCATTCAACCCATGGCAATATCCGTGGAATGTAACGGGACAGGTAGAGAAGATTGTGGTAAATGTGGTAACCGAGAGATCCATCGTAGTAGCCCACTGGCGGATCCCGGTTCTTCTCCTTGCCAGATGCGAGGTCCTCCTTGGTCACGATATCGGCCTTCCAAATGACTGCTCTCCTGGTATATGGAAGCCACCATACTCGTACAAAGTCAGACTGGGTCCATAGTTTATTATTCTGGTTCCAAGAGTCCAGCATCTTGGAGTCGGCCTGAATGGTTTGCGCCCACTTCAAGCTGAAAGCAGGGACGGCACGGAAGCTGACTTCGGTGATGATTCCCAGGGCGCCCAGGGAAAGAAGAGCACCGCGGAAGAGATCTGGATTCTCATCCGGGGAACAGGTTACCGTTTCACCGCTTGCAAGGGTAATTTTTAAGGAGGAAATGGCTTCTGACAGCAAGCCGTATTTCAGGGTGCTGCCGCGGGTACCGGTGCTAATCACACCAGCAATGCTCTGTTCGTTCACACTGCCAAGAACAGGGAATGATAGACCGTGTTTGTTCAACTCCTCGGTCAACTGCCATAGCCGGATGCCGGCTTGCATGACCACGAGTCCCGTACTCTCTGTTCAGATTAGCATTGCAAAGATTAATGTAAAGGGGTAAATGCTTACTATCCACGGACAAGACTTTTCTAAAGTCATCGAGGTTGACCAGCCAATTACTCGTGCATGTCAGGTCTGATGGGGAATGGCCGCATCCGACAGTGGTAATGCGCCGCCGGCACCTTCGAGCTAGCTTGATCGCTTTCTCAACTTCTTGCTGCGACTGGGGTTGGATGTACAGCTCCGGCAACGAGGAAAAGGTACGCGCCCATGTGGTGTGGAAGTGAGCTGGGCGAGCCCTGAAGGGAATGCCATCGGCGGCTGCATTCTCGATGATGCTGCGGATGTGCGGCTCCAGAGAAACGGCGGCAGCCATTTTGTTGGGTTACAAAAAGTGTGACGATGTCAAGTAGAGAAACTTTTCCTTATTCTGAATCAAAACAAAAGATATTCAACTTCAAAGATGTAAGGCGGTTTGTAGGGTTCCTTGCTGGGGGAGGGGAACCTGAAAAAAAAAAAAAAAAAAGTATGAGCGGCAGTTTGAAGCCACGTTCGAAATATTGAGGCTAACGACGGATTATATTACAATCCTAGTTAGCGCCCGCTATGGAGAATCAACGATTTTTGGTTCGATTTGCAGGGATCGGGTTTTGTGGTGGATAACGAGACAAGCAACTTGTTGCGTGGAGGGGCCCCGTCTCAAATGAACATGGATATATCATGTATTCTCAGCCGCTACTCATTGCTAGTTAGTAGTACCCGCTGGCGAGGGCCGATAACCTGGTCGACCGTTTGAGGGCCGCACAGAGCAGGGAGCGACCTATTTTATTTGTGTGCTTCCCTCTCTTTTCTTTATTCCCTTGTCGGCTCCTATTCTAGGCCCTTGTCAACCGTGATTATCAACCGTGGCAAGTAGACGCGAGCTGACACGTGCAATCAGTCGATATATGTCAGACTCTTGGCCCGGCAGAGCCACGCATGAGCTCCACTCACCATACAGCAGCGGGAGCAGAAGTTTGAGTCCGGTGGAAACACTACGCGGCTTGGCCTGAGCATCCCGGTTGGCTGCAGTTTTGAGTTCAAATGGACTGCCGGCGGCCGGTAGGCCCAATATGCCCACATATTGGTTATGGTTAATAACCGATTGTGCCTAGTCAAGGAGCTTGGAGGGTCCGGCCATGCTACTAACTTCACACTTGCTCACCGACTTATTGAGACCCTCTCATATCAAATTGCAGACATTTTAACATTTGGTTCCGGTTTGGATTGAGGCCCAACGTTGTTGGTGAAAGACCTTACTTCTAATCTGACCATTATTCCCTTTTCGATTCAAGTTGTTGTTCTAGCCCGTCATCAGCTCTTCATCAAGTTGTTGTTCTAGCCCGTCATCAGCTCTTCATTCACATCCACATTATGCAAGCCACTACAAGCCAGGAGCCGGCCTCTTCGCCCAAGATCTCTTCTATTATCCCGCCACTCTTATTGGGTACGGCAACTTTCAACACCCAACATGTCAAAGATCCCCTTCAGATGCCTTACAGACAAATTGTCTCAAGGGCACTCGAACTGGGAGTAAATGGCTTTGATACATCACCATACTACGGACCTTCTGAAGTTCTGCTGGGTGACGCGCTGGCCGCTTACACCGCAACGACGAACATTCCAAGGGAATCCTACGTCTTGGTCACAAAAGCTGGTCGCATCGCCGGCAATGAGTTCGACTACTCACCCGCATACGTGCGATACTCTATCCTTCGTTCTCTCAAACGTCTAAACACCAATTACCTAGACCTCGTTTACATGCATGATGTCGAATTCGTTTCCCCTTCCGAGGTTCTTGCCGCCGTTCAAACGTTGAGAGCACTCCGTGACGAAGGAAAGATCCGCTATGTTGGCATCAGCGGTTTCCCGGTCCATGTCCTTTGCAGTCTCGCGGAGATGATCCTAGCAGAGACAGGAGAGCCGCTTGATGCAGTTTTGAGCTACGGCCACTTCACTATTCAAAACCCCACACTCGGTATGCCTGAGGTTATCGCTGGTGCCGACCACACGGATGATCAGAGCCCTCTCAGGAGATTCCGTAATGCCGGTGTGCAAGTCGTCCTCAACGCCAGTATGTTGGGCATGGGCTTGCTTACACAGGTTGGCATCCCCACGGACTCGGAACAGTCTGAAGACAAGGCTGGAGTTATTGCAAAGTGGCACCCTTCACCTTGCGAACTTCGCACGGCTTGCAGGAAGCTTTCCGTCATGGCAGGCAAAGCTGGCCAGCGGTTAGAGACAATCGCCATTCAATGGTCGCTTGAGGAGTACGCCCGTGTCGCTGCCTTGGCCGGTCTTGGGGTGCAACTGCCGGGCCAGGGAGGTTTGAAAGTGGGCAGCAGTGTCATGGGTGTAACCAGCGTTCCTGAGCTGGAGCAAACAGTTTTGGCCTGGAACAAGGTTCTCGGTGGCCTGACTGCTGGTGGTGAGGCCGATTCAGTAAAAGATTATGAAAAGCTCAAGACACTGGTTGAACAAGATATGTGGCCTGCACTGGGCGAATGGAAGGGGTATAGCTGGGCGAGTCCCGATGAGGGATTCCAGAATGAGAGAAGTGCTGAATTGATGGGTGTGATACCTGAGGAGGATGAACTCATGAAGATAGTAACCAGAATTTCTAGCAATTTGTAGGCCGTCTGTTATTTGTACACTAGCATGCCATTGAAATATCAAAAGTTGAACCTGCACTGCTATCTTTCCTTCCAGCTCACTAGGAACACCAAATTTGAGGTTTTTTTCAGTTGGTAATCAGAAAAAACGTACCTACACAGGACAGGGAATGTTATTCATTAGGCCACCACCTTCGTCTATTTTGCGCAGCAGTTTCTATGTACATGAATGTACCCCAACATCCTGACTTCGCATCACAATCATCACTTAGCCTTGTACTAAGTCGAGTTCGCGTCCTTGCAGTGGCCACATTTGGGTTTGCAAAGGTTATTCCTCTAACTATAGCTGTAACTTCTACATCTGGTAGACGGAAATCTTGGAGCATCTTTGAGATGAGTTTTGATCATACTGAGAGGCTAAACTGATGCTACCTCTAAAAACCACATTATCTAAAAGGACATATATTGATAGTACATAGCTACGCATGGCAGCATGCAAAGAAACAATCCGTCTGAAACTCCCTTTTCTGTAGACACCGACCTTTGTAGCTGCATCTCAAACCATAGAGGGAATGATAATGCTTTGCAGAAACTGATATTTGGAATTACCACAGGATTGGAGCATCCTGAATGAAACTACGATAGTCGTTTTTTTGAGTTAAAGTCGAATCAGCTACAGACGACACACTCCCTCTGCCCAATGCATTTCACGTCTTGTGCGCTAAATGTAACATCGTTTGATTGACATATCATCAACCTAGACTAATGTGTTTCTAAATGATTACAAATATTACTTGAGCGTCTAGCAAAGAAAGCTAAACATTTGGCGGTGTCCATTTGAAGCCAAAGAGCCTCCCACCGACCTTTTGTGTGTTCATCACCTTTCCTGTCCATGTCCGATAGCAAAGCGACGTCGGCCCCCTTGGCATAAACAGTTCAGTAAACGCCCGGCAGAATCCTCCACTTCACAGTCTTCTTATACTTCTCCCAGTCCTCGCCATATTTCTGGGAGCAAGCGACATCATCTCGGCCCTCCCGATGGATAAGCAGGATAGCGAAGTACAGGACGTAGAAGTAAGTGAAAATCATGCCCCAGCCACGAGCAGCGCCTTGAACCACCTCGCGTCCATCGAGCATCGTGATAGCGCCGGAAACAGCACTGCCTGCAGGGAGAATGAGGTAGCCAGCAACAGCAGTAGGCACGCTGAAAGGCGTGGCCTGGAGCCAGTCACCAAAGTAGTTGATGTGACGCGACATGCCCCACCATCCTCCGGTAAGCAGCCTTGTTCCGCGCTTGGTCTGGATGAATGGCATATCCTTGACGCTGGGGTGATCCGGCTCGGTGCGGAAGCGTTTCTTCTGACTGTTGGAAGAACGGAAGATGTACAGACCAGTGGCAAAGATTGCGGCTACGGAAGCAACGCCAGCCCAGCCTAGTTCAACGGGATAAACGGAAAGGTAGCGTGTCTGGGTAGAGTAAAGGAAAGGAACCCAGGCAATATCACCGAAGGAAAGCATGAAACCCATGCCGTCGGTGATGATGTCCATCATGGTGAGCACACCAGTTTCATAGTATTGACCTTCGAGGACATAGTATGCCTGGAACGCAGTTGTAACAACAATGCTGTCAGACAAGTATCCGTAGTTGCGGTATTGCTTGGCACAGAAGGCTAGGTCGAGAATGATCCAACCAGTCAGACCAGGACGAAACTCGAACCAAGTCTTGATGTCAATCTCGCCAAAGAAGGGCAGCGTGACGCGGGGGTTCAGCTCGCGACCGATGTAAAAGTCATAGATGAGATTACCAGTATTACCGCCGACGGCAAGCTCGCGGTTCTCGCTGTTGCCAGGCTTCACGCTGAAACTGCAGACATAGCAGTAAACAGACAGCAAGTAGCCAATGATGATGTTGGATGTCAAGAGCTGGAGATAGTTGTCAGAGATGTACGTCCAGACAACAAAGTCGGCGCCCTTCAGATAGGTTCCAACGGCCAGAGCGGCGAGTTGCAACACCGTGGCGCTAAAGGCTGGGGGTAAGACGTTAGAATCATGTTGTCTGATATCAGGGTCTGGACGTCTTACCGTTAAAGCGGTACTTGAGTGGCTTGCCAGACTGAGCCAGCTTGGTGCCGAGGACCTCTTGAGCGGGAAGGATACGGTGAAGGACCAAGCTTAGGAAGTAGTAGGCCAACGTCCAGCCGAAAACCTCCCAGCTACAGAAGCCCCAAATGCCGTTCTCAGGCCATGGAATTTCGCTCTTCAACTTTTGCAGGTCCAGCGTCTTGGGGCTGAGAGTAGAAGGAGCTGGGCAGCCCGTCTTGTCATTGCAGAAGAAAAAGAATGACCACAAAAGCACGGGAAGGCCAAACACAATGGCAAAGGCACCCGGACTGAATGAGGCAAATCAGCGACAAGAACATCGATGGGCGGTGAGATGAGACTTACGGGCCACCGAACTCGTAGCTGTGCTGCTTTTTAACAGCCATGATGACTGCGAAGCTTCGTGTGGCTACAGCAAAGCGAGTGCTTTACACCCGAGACTAATAAGTGTCAAAACGACTGCAAACCAGTCCGTGACGTAGTAGTCGGTATAGAAAGAACGTGATGAAGCCACAAAGCGTGTCCGGGTTAACCCCTTATTCCGTTGAGGGAGAGGGAAGCAGATTTTGAGCGGTAGGCCCGTGCACGAAGGCCAATTTCCCGTTGCTAGGGCACGATTTACAACGGAGCTCACTCCCGTCTCCGGCCCCACATTTCAGTCGTATTCGGATTCTCGCTGCATGTTCGAGACAATCAAGCATGATGAATTAAAACATAATCTAGTGTTGAAAATCATTTAGGCGCTAAGAAGCTTGTTTGATGTTTTCAACTATTACATAGTTAACATTATCTTCATATCTCGTAAGCTGCTTGGCAACTATCATCAACTACTTTACACGCCCATAACCTATCAGCTTGGAACGAATTCAAATATCCCCCCTTAATATACCTTCTTCTCGTCGTGATGAGAGCACATCTTGCCGTGGCTGGAGTGCTCAGCCATCAGCTTCCAACGGCGCAACTGCTGGAGGACACCGGCACGGCCACGGAGGGCTGGTGAGGTATCAGCTCGGGGCGGGACGCCCTCGAGCGAGTGAGCAAGTGTAGCAAGAGCCCGGCCAGCAGCCTTTGTGTTTACCGTAATGGCGTCCCAGTTGATGTTGTCGAGGGTATCGCAAGCCAAGTGGTAGCAGGGGTCATTTTCTCCCTCGCCGGTGAAAATCGACGCGGTCGGGATTCCAAGAGCGACAAAACCAGCATAGTCAGAACGGTCGTCAAACTCAGACCAGGAAACAGTCTTGCCCTTGGATTCAAGATAATCCGCAAGGAGCTGAGGGCCAATTCCACTGTTGCTGTAGCTGGAAAGCTCATAGATAGGGTTGGGGGAACCAATCATGTCGTAGTTGAAGTAGTACTTGATCTTATCCGCCTCCTCGGAGCTGAGATTCTCGGTGTAGTAGTAGGAGCCCACAAGGCCGACCTCCTCGGCACCCCACCAAGCAAAACGAATCTTGTGAGGGAAGCCACTGTACTTCTTAACGGATCCCATCAGCTGGAGCAGACCAGCAGTGCCACTTCCGTCATCGTTGATACCAGGGCCCTCAAGGACACTGTCAAGGTGAGCACCAAGCATGATAACCTTGTTCGGGTCACCCTCCTTGGTCTCGGAGATGACGTTCCAAGTCTCACGCTCCTCAAAGATGGCATCGACAATAAGAGTAACGACGACTTCTTCACCAGAAGCGAGAGCTGCAGACCAGGCTTCACCAGTCTCTAGGGTAATAATGCCCAGAGGGACCAGGAGGCCAATGTTCTGGGCTTCGAGAGTAGGCTTGACGATGGCGTCACCGGGAACTTGGTTGTACAAGATGACACCAAGAGCACCGACAGCCTTGGCATTCTTGATCTTCTCGGACACAGCACAAACGCCACGCTTGATAAGAGCAAGCTTTCCAGTGGCGTCAATGCCCTCGAACGAGCTGGGAAGGCATCCGGACCCATTCACCTCGTCTACAGGGGTATCGATAAGAGGAGCCGTAATGCCGCCCGGCAGAGGAGTGGCGGTATTGTATTCAGCGCTGCTGACGATGACCTTCTTGCCGTCGGGACCCGTCACGGAAATCGCCAGGGTCTGTTGGTAAGTGTGGTTGAAGGGCTGCACCCAAGTGTCCATCTGCTTGGCGAAACGAGTTTGAGCGCGTTCCAGGACGAAGTCAACTGAAGCTTTGTAGCCCGGGGTGCCGAAGGCACGAGTGCCGCCATTGTCACAACCGATCTTGTTCAGGTTCCAGAGGATACGCTCGAGCCTGAACGACAGTTCGTTAGCCAATCGAGAACTTTTCAACGGGGAGTACTACAGGGAGATGAACTTACTCCTCCGTCTTCACATCAGCCTCGACCTTGTCAGCAGTAAGAGGGTCATTTGCTAAACAAGTAGACGCCAACGCCAGAGCGAGGGCCGAGAAATAAGTGGTCTTCATTGTAAGTGAGTTGATCAACTCGGCAAGACCATGAAAAGAAGAACCAGGAAGGAAGCAAAGCAGGTTGAGCTTCCAATAGTGTATTGCATGCCTGGCCAGCAATGTCTCTCGCCCTTTTATAATAATCCATGGTCCAACCCATTTTCTTTGCTCAATGTCTTTATCTAATCTACGATAGCTAACTCCCTCCACGAGAGATGTCACGCTGCACGGCAACTGGCGGAACCTCATCCCAAGATCCAGCTCCAGCTACACTTGGCATGCATCGAACTAGCATGGGTTGAGGCGGGGAACATTAAGCCTCTGAACATGATTGCTCAATCACCGATAAGAATTCTGCCCAGTTGGCAATTCCCAACAGCCCGTTTAGCAATATGATGCACCAACGGATCAATTTCCACAACAGATGGAGCTGGTGTGAGGGGAATCAGGAACGGACCACACCTTTTTCTCTCTCCAGAAGCTGCTTGTGTTGTGTGAGGTTACCTTGCAGACGCGGGTCACAACATATTGTACGCCACGATGTAACCTTAAAGGGCAGGTGCCAAGATAATTAAAGACGAGGGTAATGGACTCGAACCAACTACTGCACGGCACATGCACCCACTCTGAAAAGGACCTGCCCATCTTGCTCTTCTACCGAGTCAATATGTCTCGGCAACTCGAAGCTGCACCTGTGGTCTTGACCATCGTCTTAGCCCATAACAGAAAACTGTACCGTGCTACATGGTAGAAACGCCAGGTATGTTAGTAAGTTGGTTCTTTCGGCCAGACCGCCCTGTACCTGATTTGCTGGGATCCGCTGAACTGCATTGCCAAGATCGTTCACGAAGCATTTGATTACCAGACCGGCACGGTCTACCGCGCTGATAAACACAACCGGAGATAATGGTACCTTGTCGCAATGCAGATGCAAAACAACGTAATTAGCAGTGGTTTTTTCCCCTTCTTTTTTTTCTTTTTTTTTTCCCCAGATTGGCCAGGACTGGAAGATTTGGGGACTGAAACGAAACATTTTTAGTTTCGTGTAATTTGCAGTGACTATCAGACAAAGTAAAGTGCCTCATTTCAATCGAAACGGTGAAGTGGTGTGAGAGGATTTCAGCATGCGGGCCGGCAGCTGTTGAACTGCAAAACACAACACGCCCACGGCTCACGTCACCTTGCAACAATCTTAATCATCGTTAACGTGGATTTAAGCGACTCAAGAATAGAGGCTGTCTGATCTATAATTCCCAGCCGTTTAGTTCCTTCGTACTGTTATATGCAGTGAAATCCAAGAAGTGTCCAAGTCGAGTCCCGCCTCTTGCAAAATTCTCAGCAGTTACGTTGCGTAAGAATTGTGAAGTGGCGTCAAGCCTCCTGGGAAACCGCTTATCCAAGAGAGTGTACAGTTCCTGGGGTGTATAGTAGTCCAGTCCTTTCGACTCTACTTCACACTGCCAAAACGCCAAGTACTCCCGAGTATACTCAAGATTCCCTGTTCTGTCGAATGATTCGTTTGAAAGCGAGTGATCTGGAATAACAATTTCAGGGTTCAAGCCTAACAGCAAATCGAGTGTCGATATCCAAGAGTCAGTTAAGGCCGGCGTGAGCATGTCAGCCATAAAGAGGTGAACTTGACTGCTGTAAACAGTATCTCCAGCGATCAGTGTGCGAGATGATGGTAGCCAGAAGAGTGTTTCATCGACAGTGTCGCCTGCTAGTGGTTGGATGAGTTGAATGGGATGATTGGAGTCGCCATGGAGAGCGAAGAAAGTGAAATTATTGGGCACCGGAGTCGTGGCGTTCTGGACGATTTCGGAGGAACCGAGAACAGAGGTCCAGTATGCGGACTAGATGTGCATGGAGCGGTTAGCGGGGTTGACTGTATCTGAAGGTAGAGTGATGGGCAAGTGCTGAATCGCAAAGTAGGACTTGCAGTTAGAGGTGCACCAATTGTAATCCCTTCAGAAGCCTTCGGACTTGCATAAAAAGTTGCCTTAGGAAAGGCATCGAGACAGACCCGGGCGCTGAGGTAGTGATCTGGGTGGTTGTGAGAAGAAAACAGGGCCACTACAGGCTTGTCTATTTTTTCTCTCACCAGACGATTAGACTCTCGGCACTAGAAATGGTCAGAGGTAAGTCAATAATTACAGCCGCTTCGGAGCCAATGATGAGCGAAGACACCATATTGAGCGCAACATCTTGGTGCACGAAGGTTGCGACATGTAAGGGTGTCATGGCGCTGCTATGAACTGATTGCGGATCAGTCATAAGACAGAGGAAAGAGAGGAAAAGATGAAGTATGGCGAAGTTTCTTTGACGGGATATCGGATCAGTGAGTGAAAATTGATTACTCTTGACTTCGAACCATGGATCTCAGGTCCTGTGCTACTTCGATCTCTTGATTCCGTAAAAAAGCCCAAAGTATCTGCAAAAAGAAGGCTTAGTAAAAGGAACCTGAAAGAAAGTGCCTTAAGATTATAAATCCAAGATGTGCTGATTATCTTCAGATTCGGTGTAGCTCTTGACAGCTTGTTAGTGATCAAGTCACCGACAAGGATACGGTGTTAGCTAATCTCTCCCAGAGAGAATTGCCTCGTAGAACGCGTTATCATACTAGACATTGGCCTCAGAGGGTCGGTATGTTATATGATGAATTTAGAAGAGGGACGTTTGCAAGCAATCATGGATCTGACTACCTAGCTCTTTAGACTGGGCTTGATGTGTCTGCGTCGCAACTGGGGCAGAAGCTCAGGCTTCCCCTCAAAAACGCCCCTGGAAGGGGACCAAGAACCAAATCCCAAGGAGACCCAAGGCATTGGCCATGATAGCAATAGTACAACGATTAGGCCCTTGTTTTAATGGGGATCCGGGCTCAAGGTTCCATGGTCGCTTCTCGCGTCGCACAGAAGCAGATGCTGGAGTTTGCTGCACACAACAGGATCAAGCCAGTAGTTGAGACCTTCTCCATGTCACAGGAGGGAATCACAGAGGCTTTCGGAAAGCTTGCTGACGGAGAAATGCGATATCGAGGAGTTTTGTTGCCTAGCCAGTGATAGAGCCATTATTCAATAGCTTTAAGGGCAAAAAGACTACAGTTATCCCCATTCATTTGGCTTTCGTAAACATATACCTAGAATTTGATTAAGGGGTTAAGAAATAGCACTGTAATTTCGCCATTCACAACCGCCAGTATGCCTATCTATATTGTGTGGTTTGGAGTTTCTTCCCCATAAAGCAACTAGTACACCAAAGTCTCCTCATCTTTTTCTCCCCCATCCCTCCACTTTTTAAGCACCTTCTTCATGTCCGCCGCGATATTCTGAGCATACTCAGGTCCAGCGGCCCCGGCAGGCAAATCTGCTGGGTTACCCCTCACCCAAGCAACAGGTTCTTTAGCAAAACCCGCGAATTTCTTCTTAAGCTCTTCAACTTCCTGAGGCTCATAGCCGCGACCGAAGATTACCGCGCGAGGAGGCCGGCTGTAATCGTGGGTGCCGATCTCATTGGGGGTCCGAGACTGCGGATCGCGACCTGCAAGCAGTTGTGGAAGCTCAGCCTCTGCAGCCTCATATGATAGGATGAAGTGGATGACTGAGAAGAATTAGCACCATAATAGGTTTATTTCAGGAATTTATATTAAGAACCTTCGTATTCTGATAGTAGGTGCTGAGAGATTGATTTCCCCATCGCGGGTATTTTGCCGCAGGCAACTACGGGCACCGGCTGAGTGAATGAAGACATATTGCGAGAGTTTTACGCTGCGAATGAAGTTATTGTTTAGTACTAGGGATGAAGAATTATAGAGTAAGCTGAGGTCAATGATTCAATTTATATTCCTCGTTGCGGCACGCTCGGTCTTGACCACGAGAGCTCATTATCTCCTCCTCCAGCCAATTTCAAAGCCACAATAAACTTTGGGTGCAGTTCGGGTCAATTTTGGTGACGCACCGATTTTTCGATTATTCAACAGTCCCGGCGCCCCGACCCCAATGAGTAAACAGCAGGCACTGCAGGCCTCGACGGTGCCCCGAATGTAGGTCGTTCCTTGGTTCTTCGGCTGGGATACATTCAGTACATTTAAAAAGTCATAAATAAATCGCATCCCGTGTTACATATGTACTTGAGTGTCTCCCTACTTCTCGCGCGCATCGGCCTTTGGTTGGTCATCAATGTTCCTTTGAAACCCCATGTAGCTGCTTCCAAAGGCAGACCACCGCCGTGTCTCCCCTGACAAGTTTCTGGTCCTTGATCCGGAGCTGTCGATTTCGTTCCTTTACGTTTTCTTGTGCATGCAGGATGCCTTAATCTGCGGAAGCCGGCCTACCTTTCCGGACAGGACGTGATGACGGAGGACGTGCAGAGCGTCCAGCATGTCTGTGCTGACTCTAAACGAGAAGCACTCTAGGGTAACGAGGTCGAATTCCAGTAGAGCCACCACCGCTTGCCAGATGAGCCTATTACTCTCAAGTGTCCTAAGACATCTGATAAACCCAACTACGCTGTGGTGCTCCGCTGAGAGTTGTTTGCGACTTCTAGCTTTTCCCAGTTCAAGTCGTCCCCAACCTTCTTGCTGTGCTACTCAACCAAAGTTTGCCTATTGAAATACCAAAATGAAGCGCACCATAGAAGTTACGCCAGATATGAATAAGATCCAGCAGCAAAATCAACAAAACATAGAACTAAAACTGTCACGTTGCATACACAGATACCCGACCGCCATGCACGGTATTTGTCTTGGAAGGAGTTACGTTCATTATGTGATTGGTCAGACGATTACTAATAGCGGCGTAACAATTGTACCGCAGTGATGTACTTTTGGCAGCCAAGAAGAAATATGTCTGAATGGACTGGAAGTGTTTAGAACAGCATCGGATAGTCATCCATACTTACAACAATTGTTCCTTGCAAGGCCATATATGTAATGATCAGAGACTTTGACAGCAGACTGACTATTGCTTTAACGCATGTACTGGATTGAATGTGGGTTTATACTTGTACTACCGTAGTTGTATCAAATAAGCCTAGCCACCCTGGATATATCTCTAATGTTGATAACGAGTCACGAGTGTAAGTCGGGTGCAGCTAAACGAGACACAACAGTGAGTATTGAGCAACTTAACCAAAGCGTAGCACTCCACAGAAAGTTTCTTTAAACCCGTGTACTGCAGAATCTGTCGAGTTATTGTTTTCAGGCCCTTCTCGGGGAGAGTCAGATGAGTATTCCAGATGCCGCTGTCCACAACAGTATGGCCCGTGAGGGTATTTTTTTTTTCTTCGAAAGCAATAGCGATGATCAATGCCTCTCAGACTAGGCTTTTCCTTCTGCTAGCAATTTCAAACTGGCTGCCCAAATATCGACTGAGTTCTGTTCAATAGTTTTCTATTTTGGGCTAGGAAACTTTTCTCATGCAGCAGGGATATCGGGCTGAGTTGGTAATAAAAGATGTAACAAAAATACCGGGTAAGCGGTAGTATCAAACTACTTTAGTACAGCAAGAATCGTGTGAGTGATTGCGAGGAGATCGTTGCAGTAAGCGTCATCTTCTGGTCGACAGCAGTGACTGTTCGAGCCACAAGATCAACTCTAGCAAGTAGTCCCTGGTAATATGATGACCCACTCAATCGAAAAAAAAAAAAAAAGAAGAAAGCCCAATCACTAGACCAGTCAGAACAGCTAATTGTATTTTACTGGTATTTCTCATCTCTAACAAAGACACCGTCAGCGTCAAGTGGGATTACGTGCGTCGTTAAGTCGGGTCCCTATTTAATGGGAATGAATCGTTGGACGACCGTCGCAATGGCAACTTCAATGACCATGGCTTGTTTGACGAGAGAATTAAAATGCAACATCATTGTGAATGCATCTTGTTCTTTGAAAATATGGAGAGCGGGTCAGGGTTGAGTGGTTCTTGGATATCTCACTCTAGATGAGGCTCTATTTCTAAATATAGAGAAGACAAGATAGTAAGATATCTTTCGCTCACGTCGTTTAACACACGGATCTGACGAGAGATAATGCCTCAAAGGGGGCTATTGAACACCACCGGAACATCACGCCCGCTGTCTTGATAACTGAAAACCCAAACTCCATCCAACATACAATAAGACCTCCCATGCCCCCGTTTCAAACGTTTGGTCAAGCCCTTGTATAGGGGTCATGGTCCAACTGCAACCCATTCTTTTGTTCAAGTCTTGTTCGTGTATATTTTCTGTTCGAAGGTCGGTCTGTACTGGCCATATCTATACTAATACCGCACCTTGGCTCTGCAGCTTGAATCATCTCCGGTCGCGCCGTGGTAAAGGCACCATGATCGGAATATACAGTTATCCAAAGCTGATGAACCAAATATACCGAACCGATAATGATTGCACTCAGTGTAACCTTGGTCCCTGATAATAGGGTATCCGTCGCAAGCCTTCATTGTAATGTCATCGTTGGGTGTGCAGTCGGCATTATAACGATGGCAGTATTTGTACCGGGCGCATGCTTGAGCCGTCCAAGATAAGGAGAGCGCGACTAAAACTGCAGACAACTTCATTTTCAAGCTGGAAAAGTTAGATACGTGGTTTTCTTTGGTTCTGCGTGGCTTACAGTACGCTCGTGATGCGGTGACCCGATATTGCTTTTCTTTGTAGGTGGTTTGTGTCTTTGAGATTCGGGGTTTCTGAAATGGGAGGTCGGACTCTGTGGATTTATAGAACTCGATATTTTGACGATGATTATTTAGATAGAAGTTGGTCGTTTTTCACTTGCCTTTCCCCAGACAACGCAACGGCACATGTCTATCCTCGATGGGTTATCCCCGGTAGAAACCACTTTGTAGTAGACCAGACCTGTAGCAGGAAATTAAGAGCCTGCTCTTGCAAACTATCTTTTGTCAGTAATACCCTATGAATAGATGATCTGTGTTTTCTCTAACGCTATTCAGTACTCAATCTGATGTTCTGCGTACACCGATACGATGATCCCTGGGCCCCACTGTATAAGCAAAAACTTTGCCTAAATCGGTATCACGGGTAAAAAATTCCGCTTTCAATTCCTTTACCTGTCCCATCAAGGTCCAGTTGGCTACAGGTACATCCTCGTAAGGGGATCTAGCCACGCAGAGGATAGCCAAGACTTCTTCAACCACCCAAATAATTAAATTGAAAGGTACTTATACAACGTGAAAGATCTAGGTTTGACACAGGTATCCGCACTACCAGAGTTACAAGAATGCAGCCTGGAAAATATATTGCCCAATAGCTTACAGCTATGTATCCCTGATATGAAGGGAAAAGAGTGGATGTAAATTGGGGACTACGTAGCTGTAGCCAACTGAACCCTGATGGGATATGAAGCTGATTATAAGTAAAAAAACCCTACTCGATCAGTCTGACGTACATGTTCCAACACACAGTACGGTAGTAATCAATGGGATTGTTGTATGAAGAAATTAGTGATAGACCGAGACAATACATAGACTGCCCAGGTGGTCACAATGTCTCTTAAGTTATGTTCTTCTTCAAAAACAGGCGGCCTTATCATCATGTAGAATACCTAGCCAGCAAAAAAGTGATTCGTTATAATTTCCTCCACTCCCAGTTGGCTTTTTGCACATGCAGCTACATCCTTGACAAAGTGTGATCGGGAAGCACAGTGTTCACCGGCGTTGCATAGCGTTATTGTTTTCAACTTTAGGTAAGTTTTTTACAGCTTGTACGAGCGAACACCTTACTGTAGCATAATGCAGATCGAAGTCAATTTGAACCATTCCGTCGACTGCTAAATGGCTACAGGTACAATGACGTGAGGAGAAATATCCAGTCAAGGACTAACCCAGACTTTGTCTAGCCAACCAATTAATACAGTTCTTAAATACTTCTGTTGTCTATTCGTTCTGACTGCTACGGAAGTAGCTGTAATTATCTATGCTACAAATCAGATGCTGCTTTGACCAAGAAGCGAGGGGCGAACGGCGATAGCGTTGTGTGTCTCTGTTATCAGACGTGAAAAAGCGGATATGAAACCGGTAATAATATACCTGTAGCCATTTAGCAGTTGATGGGATAAAAGGCTTATGCGGTGGCTTGTGAACTCAAAACTGTGCCCGTTACATTTTCCGTGATTAATTCCTTACACTGACTTATACTTTCACTACAAACGTGGGAGTAAGGATCTGAACCGGAGAAGATCTTCAGTGTCCCGGAATCGATTTAGCCCCCGCATTCCGAAACCCATCTCGGGATCGGTTTCAACGATTAATGGATAACCGAAGGATTTGTTATATTTTGATCGCCGCTGCTGTGATCTTCATGAAATCTCATTATGACTTTTCATCGCCCTTTTCAGCTGGCCTATCCTAGCTTCGAACAAGCATACCATAGAAGCGGAACCTTAATCTTCATTTTTATATGTTTAATTTGTAGCAGCTGTTGAGCTTCCATGCTCAAAATTCTTGCTTTAACTAAGAATAGACACTCACACATGCCTCGGCGTATTCTGTTCCTGACATATATAGACTGGCTGCAATGTAGAAGTGTAGAATTCGTGCGAGAAAGAAGGCCATGTCGTAGCGAGCCGCCAGCAATGACGCCAGAGCCACCCAAAAAAGGAAAAAGGAAATCCAGCGGTATAGTTGCTTAGAGAATTTGAACCTGATTGCTTTGACACTGCTTTTTTGATCAGATCTTACTGATATCAATTGAGGACGCATTATGGGCAAGATTTCTTGAATAAAGTGAGCTTTCAAAGGAGTAATGACCATGTAGACACAAATCCTAGGTACGATGAAGTGTCGTAGATATAAGCTCCCCCAAGCGCGGCTTTAAGCGCTATTGTTAAAGGCAACAGGTGTGCTGACGTATATCGTCCTTGAACTAACTACATTCCTGTATTAAGCTATGTGATTAGGGCCTAGCCGGAACTATGAGTGTTTAGATTCTAGACGGCACGAGGCAAAACAAAGTTTTATTAAGTATCGAAATCTTCTAGACTTAATTTAGGTAGGTAGATCAAGTGTTGTGCAACGTCTGCAGACTTATCGAGGTAGGCATCTGTAGTTCACGTGTGATTGGACCATGGAAAGCTTACACTGATAGTCGTTCAACTGCCCCTCTCAACATTTCAGACATTTCTAGCGTAACTGTGTGATTGGTGACTTGGTAGCAAAAACAGGTGAGGTGATGCAAGCCAATTTCAGTATTTGGACGCAGATGTATACTTGCTACACTACGCTTAACATTTTTGAAGAAATTGGCGTGCTTGTGCTCAGAGGGACCCCTGTCTATTGCTTCTTTCTCTCCTTTTTGTTTCATGATAGTTATCTAGACTATCTGACTTGCCTATGGCCTTCATGCATGACTGAGGGGGCCCGAATCGCCCTGGAAATGTAATTTCCCTTTCAGGGCATGGCATGCGTCATCAGTAATAAGCGGCTCACTTGATTCTGTATGAGCTCAGATCAATCACGTATTCCTTTTCTTATGTGTACTTTTCTTGCATACTAGGTATTGCGCTTTCCTCGGCACACACTTACGTAGTGGTGCAGAATTTCCATGCACCTGTGGTGTTGGCGAGCTGGGCTTTCACCACTGGCCCAGAAGGGAAAGTAACGGCTGTAAGGCACCTAATACGGAAGGATAAGTCGAATGTCCAAGTTTGTTGCGATTTTTATTTGGGGTTAAGATCGGCTAACCATGTCTTGCTCCCTTAGCGTGCCCGGAGTCAACGGCAGTTTGCTTGCACTGTCAGATCATAGCCGCTGGCAGGCGCGAACACCGTGTCTTTCGCCCTGCGTCTTAGTATTGACCATTACCGGAATGGGTTTGGTGAGACAAGTTAGTGAGTCGGTATGCAAAAGATTTAAAATCCCTACACTTGATTGGACTGTACCACATGCATACATATTCAGAAAGATGTTTTCTGTAGGGGCCGACTCCTGGATGGCGTGGATGTCACCCAAAAAATAGTGAGCAAGCGAATTGATAATATGCGCTTTTGATTTGTTCGCCAAAAGCTTAGGCTGGAACGGTGATGAGGGGAACTCAGGGATCTAGCGACCGGGGTCCTCTCTGCAAGGTATTTAAATCACAGCAGAGCAGTGCAGAAGCTATCTCGTGGTTTTCAGCCTATAACGTCTACTAATGTCAGGTATTTGAGAAAATGGGTTCTGAATCTTTGTATGTCACTCTCGGCGCTGCCATTGTAGTGGTATTCGTGATCAGCAGACTCGTCAAGCATGCAGGTCGACCTCCTCTGCCGCCTGGTCCAAAGGGGCTTCCTCTTGTGGGAAACTTGAATGACTTGCCCAAACCTGGGGAATTTGAGGCTCACCATTGGTTCAAACACAAAAATCAATACGGTTCGTTTAGTGCATTGCCCACGTTTCCATGTGGACAAGCAGCTCATGTTAGTGTCTTAAAGGCCCCATCAGCTCTGTTAGGATTCTTGGGCAGACTCTTGTGATTATCAACGATTTGAACCTCGCATTAGAGCTTCTAGAAAGACGGTCTGTGAAACATTCCTCGCGGCCGAGGCAGGTATTTTCCGCCGAGCTGTAAGAAAGAGCCTGATCTGCACCCACATGCGTGTGCGAGGTGCTAACGCGACATTAGGATTGGCTGGGCAAATACTCTCGCGTTTTTACAATGCAATGACCAATTCCGCAATTACCGCAAAAATATGAGTCGGGTCATTGGATCCAAGGCAGCAGCAGCCCAGTTTGACGGGTTACAAGAGGCTGAAGTTGGTCACTTTTTACTGCATGTGCTTGATAACCCCGATGGTCTCTTGGATCATATTAGAAAGTGAGTTGGACCATCAATCTCTTACCGTCATCAGTAGTCAAAGTCAATCTCAACTGACAAATCTTCAGAGAAGCAGGATCTGTTATTCTGAAGATTGCCTACGATTACAATGCGGAACCATTCAAGAATGATTATCTTATTGACAAAGCTGGGCAAGCAATGGATGAGTTTACCCGTGCCGCTGTTCCTGGAGCTTTTCTCGTTGATACCTTCCCGCTTTGTGAGTCGATCTTAACAAACAGCGTCCTTGAGACACTGCTCTAACTTGTATTCGAAGTACAATATGTTCCTGATTGGTTTCCTGGAACCGGCTGGAAGCAGGTCGCCAAACAGTTTGGAGAAACCGTGAAAAGCATTTCGAACAAGCCCTACGCTTTCGTAAAGCATCAGGTTGCTCAAGGAAAAGACACCTCATCGTTTGTTTCTCGTATAATTGGCGACGGAAATGTTACCCCCGAGGAAGAGTTCACTGCTCGATGGTCGGCATTGTCATTGTACACAGGAGGGGCGGATACGGTACGGCAACCGACGAACTGAGCTCCTTGTGAGACAGAGGCTAGTTGCTAACTCTTTACAGACAGTTTCCTCACTCGGTTGCTTCTTTCTAGCAATGACGATGTTTCCTGAAGTTCAAAGAAAGGCGCAGGACGAAATCGATCGAGTAGTTGGCGGCAACCGCCTTCCAAATGCTTCTGATCGTCCAAATCTTCCATATGCGAATGCTATCGTGAAGGAGGTCCTCCGATGGCAACCTGTGGCTCCGATGGGTCTTCCTCACACAAGTTCAGAAGATGACGTGATTGAGGGATACTTCATCCCTAAAGAAGCTCTGATCATGCCCAACATTTGGTGGGTAATCTCCCTACTGTTAGACCTAGACTTGTGAAGCACTGATTGCTGATAACCAATCTCATGTCTTAGGCACTTTACTCACGATCCAGAAGTTTACGAAGACCCCGAAGAGTTTCGCCCTGAACGATTCTTGGGTAGCGATGACGGTGACTCGGCAACCGACCCTCACAAATTTGTCTTTGGATTTGGTCGTCGCTTGTGTCCCGGACGCATCCTCGCAGACAACGCCTTGTTTGTCAACGTTGCTCAATCCCTCGCTGTTTTTAACATCAACAAGCGTGTTGTTGATGGAAGAACAATTGAGCCAAAAGTGAAGATGACTCCTGGTATTGTAAGCCATCCGGAACCTTTCGACACTTCTATCAAGCCTAGGTCGCCACACCATGAGCAGCTTATACGCTCAATTGAGAAAACCTATCCATGGAAAGAGAGCGATGCGAAGATTCTTGAGGAAATGGATCTTTAACGGGCTTGTTTCTGTTCAATTACAGAATCCACTCTTTGATATGACTCTAGCGAAATTTAAACTCTTCTAACCATCATCGGAGTATTGAACAAATGTCAAGCCAGTGGGAAGACATTACTTGGAAGCGTGTCCCAGGGCCGCCCTAGATCCGTGCCGGCAACGCCCCGGGTCCGTCGCAGAATGCCAATGCTCAGGTCTCTTCTATAGACACTGGTGCATTTTAATGGTTTGATAGTGGAGACTAGACTTATTAAATAGAGTAACTCACATCCGACACAGTCCAGACGTGCCTCCCTCGTACTAGCAATTCCCTTTTGGAATACTTCCTTCGTTGGAGAAGTATTCCTTAACCCTTCCCAGCCCATTTATGCTGCTCCTGTCTTATCTGCATGACTAGCTTTTTCACCTTGCCGCTGAAAAGGATGACAAATCTCGTCCTCAACCCATTTACCTCAGTGATCTAGTGATCAACAATCTCATTGCAATTTTTCTTCTTTTGCCATATTCCGCGAACCTCCAAGCATACGCCACAACCATACAGACTCTTCAGCATGTCTCTTCTTTCGCCTATCAGCTCGCAAGAGCTGATTAATAATCTCGCCACAGACCTCGAGGCCAAAGACCACGGGGCCGATAGTCTCCGGAAGCTCTCTCGATCTAACGAATGGATTGATGAAGAAAAGAAGATTCCCGACGACTTCTTACCAAAACCTTTTAAGACCAACAGGGTGTCTACAGGCCTTACCACTGGGGCTGAGATGGATGCCGCTCAAGTGAGGAGCTGGGAGCTCGTCTTGCAAGACAACTGGAATACGAATAAGCCATTCTACAAGCCGGAGCTTGTCCCTCCTCTTACAGCTCAACACGACACTATTTTAATAGGCCTTCTAGATATTGATGCAGAGATAAGCAGAAAGCGCAAAGCTGATAATACACCGGGCGCCACAAAGTCATGGAGAGCAGCAGGCGCAGCAGTCTTCATCAAGGTTAACACTATTCGGGAGCAAGAGGACATCACCTTCCCACTATGAGATATTAGGCATTGCAACTTTGCTGTAGACATCAACTTTACAATGATACCTGGCGTAAAACTAAGCCAGGTCAAAGGAGACGCCACAGCGCAATAGGATCGCGCCGAGCTCCGCCGCATTAGCCACATTGATGGAGGCGTTTAGTAGGAAGTCGAGCCAATCGAGGAAGCCCGGACAATGGAAATTTTCCGCTTGCGAGAAAATAACAAAATATGAAACAGACTGAAAACGAATAAGTGACGCATTTTATTGACGTTTGCTTTGGTAAATGTCAAAAGTTCAGTCAGATCAGATATGGTCGTGGCAATGCACTCCCCTGTCCTACTATCCTATCGAGTGCCACAAGACGCCATTTTTGCCAAGCCAGGAAATTTCTATCTAGAGCTGCTGTCTCTCCGCACTAGAGGAAGTACATTAGTGCGTTAGATACCTCCTTATCACTTATGGCTTCAATGTAGTATTTTGTGTTGATAGGGCTCCCACGACTTTAAGAATACGCAGAACTCAAAGGTGATGAGTGTACTTTAGATCTCGGTGTATAGTTCTATTAACTCGTCAACAGAAGAGCTCTGATTAGTGCTACTCCACCATTGAAAAGTATGGCTTCTTATGGCCCTCGGCGGCATAGTCAATGCTTTCGGTCTGCTACTGCTGCAAGCCTCTGTTAATAGTTCTTTATAAGATGCTAGGCTCACGCTCTTCACCCTACTCACTCTAGCTCACCTATATCGCGCGATCCTAAGGCGGCGGTGATAGAACGACAATTATGTCAAAAAATGACGATCTGCTTCTTCACAGTATCTCATAAATGTCTTTGATATTTTTCAAGACGTAAGATGACATTCGCAGTATTGTGCGGCGTAGACTAGATATGAATAGCGGCTACTCTCAATAGCTGTATGGTTACGTGTAATACGTATCTAGCAATAGAGCTGGTTAAGGCATAGTATGATCTGGCTTGGTGGCCTAAAGCGTGCCTCGTTCAACCCCAGTTGTTATGACTAAGAACAAAAAATTCATAGAATGTATACTTAATTTATGTGCACAAGAAAATTGCTCTTAAGTCAAGAGTCTTGGCTAAAAGAGTGGTACACAGACTCCCATATCGTTACTCACGTCATTGAGGCAGAGGTGCTGAGCTTGACCCGTAGTCATAAACGACTCTGATTGAGCTTCATGTCTCCGCCACAGCTCTTCCAACACATTGGAAACATGACTCAAGTGCTGTATCTGAAAACTTTCTTGAATGAGCGATATAAGTTGACTGACTTCGTGCTGTGTTCGATGGTCGCCGCCACACTCGTTACCTACCACTACAAGTGGCCAGGTCATCACGTTCAGGATTGTAATGCTGTCATTCTCCAAATACGTAAGCAGTGCCCGGTAACCGAAAAGCATCTCACGTATAAGCTTTGATACGAGAACGGTCTTCTCGGCGGGAAGAGGGGCAAGAATATTCGCTCTGAAACCCCCACGCCAAAGATACAAAAGCGCGGCCTTCCGCATGATTTCCCACGCGCCTGCCAAAGCAATTGACACCATTTCAGGAAGTCTTTTAGGTATGTATGGAGGATTCCAGAGCGTCAGTGCAGCATCCAGCTTGTTGAATACCCCAGGAGACATCCCGATGCCGTCTTCGTGGCTCAACTCAGAGCCCGCGGGCCAAATTGGCTGGCAAAGGCCACCTGTGCTGTTTGAATATAGTCTTTCGAGTAGATCAGATAGAATGGGCATCGTATCCTCATCAGGGCCGTCAAATATAGCAGACAAAGTCGCAATAATTGTTAGGAGAGATCGTGGGTAGCCCACAGCCACCTCCAAGGATGTGAAATCATCGGTCGGAGGCGTTTCGGGAGGGTGTATGTGCCACCTCAGCCAGGCGTTCCGAGATTTTGGTGGCCGGCCAAGAGAAAAAGCTGAGATATCCAAATATGCAACAATTTCTTTGACCAAAGTACCGAGAACGGTGGCGTCAATGGCACTGGGGCCAAGGGATTCGATGAGAGTAATGAGGCCAACAATGTGGTGGGACCAGGCAGTGCTGTCCTGGCTAGATCCCGGAAATCCGGCGATGGTGAGGAGGAGAGCCGCACCCAAAACCTCGAGCACGTCTGCATCTGATGCTTCAGAGACGTCAAGGATTGCTATTCTTTCTCGCAGAGTCTTTAAGGCGATGTGGTAGCTCTCGAGTGCCACGGCCGAGGAGGATGATACCGACCGACGTGAACTGTCCGTACGGAGCACCTTTGCCAGAGCAAGTAGCGCATTCTTAATTGTGGCGAATTGAGTTGCCAGTGGCAGCAATTCGGTCAAGAACGGGATGCCAGAATCGTTGATTGCCGTAAATCTCAGCTGCGAGCTTCGAATTACTGCCCAGTGTGTTAAGCACGAAAACCCTCGTAAATAGAGGAAGCATGGGTATACATACGGCAGCGAACAGCTTGATTGTCTTCTCCGGACAGGGATATATCTAGTTTTTGGATGGTCGATGTCATAGCCATCATGGAGTTAAGCGCTTGACATCTATCCATCGTGTTCACAACAGAGGATGTTACTTCCAGGTTTCTGAAGCCAGGCATTTTTAGCGAAGCGCTACCCCTAACTCCCTAGAACAGTGTGTGAGAATTATGTAAGCAACTTGCTATCCTTGGCTCCCAATAGGTTCACGGGTACCCGTGCGTGTAAAATTTCACGGGTACCCGTGGAAATGACTAAGCAACCTGCCCACGTCAATGAACGCGTCTTGTGTCATACACCTTTCACGCGTTATTTGCATCCAGCACTTCAGTCATATATTCTTAAAAATGGAAATAGCTCTCAAAGACTCAATACTCACATTCCCAGACGACAGTCTCCCCCCTGAAAGCGATCATAAATCTCGCGATGAGCTTTTTATGTTAATCAACAACTGGGCGGCGACAAAGGGATACGCATTCACTACCGGGAGATCAACAAAGGAGAAAAGCGGACGACGGACGATTACATATTCATGCGATAGGTCGTGTCATCCGCCAAGCACATCAATAGCGCGGCAAAGGCAAACTACTAGTAGGGGGACTGGTTGTCAATTTTCCGTCCTTGCTAAGGAATCTTTGGATAAGAGCACATGGAGCTTGAGACACCGGCCCGATAAGCGTTTTTCTTCTCATAATCATCCCCCAAGCCAACATCCGTCTGCTCACCCAACGCATCGCAAGCTATCTGAGGAGGATCAAGCCAAGGTTGCCGGTCTTTCAAACGCTAGCGTCGCACCCAGGGACATCAGAACATACATACGACAAACGACAGACTCTATAGCGACCTAGCAGGATATCTATAATCATATTGCAGCCGCTAAACGAGATGTTCGTAAAGGGCAGACCTCGATCCATGCACTTGCCAATCAACTTGATGAGGAAGGCTTCTGGAGTCGCATGCAGTTTGCACCAGATGGCCGAGTTACGGCTGTCTTGTTCGCTCATCCAGATTCCTTAGCCCTTCTCCAAGCCTACCCAGACATCATGTTACTAGACTGTACCTATAAGACTAATAAGTATGGTATGCCACTTCTTGATATAGTTGGCGTCGATGCTTGCCAACGGTCGTTCTGTATTACGTTTGCATTTCTTAGCGGCGAGGCAGAAGATGACTATACCTGGGCTTTGGAGCGGGTCAAATCCTTGTATAGTCAGTGCAACGCTAGCCTACCTGCGGTTATCCTCACAGATCGCTGCTTAGCATGCATTAACGCTGTTGCAACCATCTTCCCCTCTTCTGCATCTTTGCTTTGCCTCTGGCATGCGAACAAGGCCGTTCTTCAACATTGTAATCCAGCTTTTGACTCTACTAAGCCAAAGACAGTCAACAATCCTGCAGCGCTCAAACCTTCAACTCAGAGCTGGGAAGAATTCTATAACTCCTGGCATTCGATCATCAGCTCGCCATCTGAGGTGGTTTTTGAGGAGCGCGTTTCCCAGTTTGAGGAACGCTATCTTCTAGACCATCTCGAAGAAGTCGGCTATGTTACGTCCGTTTGGTTGAAACCATACAAAGAGAAGCTAGTGAAAGCCTAGGTCGATCAGCATACCCATTTTGGCAATATGGCTACTTCGCGAGTTGAGGGTATTCATACACTACTTAAATCGCACTTGAAACGATCTATATTAGACCTTTTTGAAGCTTGGCGAGCAATGAAGCATGCTTTACTAAATCAGCTATCGGATCTAAAGTCAAATCAAGTTAAATAGCAAATACGGATACCAGTTGAGCTTTCAGGGTCAATGTACGGCGTAGTGCTTGGCTGGGTATCGCATGAAGCCTTGCGCAAAGTAGAAGAGCAACGGAAGCTGCTCACGAAGAAAGACACAAATCCTTCCACAGCCTGTACGGGGATGTTTTCTCGAGTATATAGTCTCCCATGCTTACACAAATTGAAGACTTTACAAGAACAGAATCTTGTTCTTCTACGTGAGCACTTCCATGCACATTGGCATTTGAGGCGTGATGGAGCGCCGCAGCTATTGCTAGAGCCTCGCCAGCGCATAGAGCCCAGGTTGCAATTAGAGAATCCCAGTATTCCCAAATCAAGCACTAGACGAGAGCCTAGCGGGTTCGAAGTTGTTAAAGTTGCTTCACGGGCCCCAAGCAAATGCAGTAGGTGTTATACAGTTGGCCATACTATGACTTCAAAGGCGTGCCCTCTGCGATACACGCATTTATTGCCTGAACCGACACCTACTCCAGATCCAGCTACAGTATCAACTGCGATATTTACCGGGACGACGACAGATACACAAGAACCTCCTTCAAACGCCGTGCAGGACGTACCAGAGTTGGTTCAACCGACTATTGCTATAGTAGTAGAGACCAGTATATCACCACCTCGGGTATTATCACCATTTGCGCATTCGCATTCACCTTCGCTGCCAGGATACGATTCACCTTAGGCGATATACGGACGGTACTATGCAGCAAGAAGCGCCTAGTACGGTGCTCAACCTCGTAGGAGTGTCAAAACAAACCAGGAGTATCGAAGGGCAATAGGACTTCCGCTACGTTATGACAAAAAGTGTTATAAGTAGTGTCTTGACTATAAGCAGATGAAAGGACGCTGCACTACCTCACACGGGTCAAGGGATTGGACGAAGGAGGAGATGATGGCTTATCTGGACTGGGATAGGGCTGAACACAAACGGGTCGATGAGCTGATTATTGCGGAAGATGGACAAAACCCCTTTAAAAACAGTGAGAGAGGTATGAGCGAAGTCTGGAAACGAGTCGAGCAAGATAAGGCAGAGCAGGAGGCGTTATACGCTGGTAGTAAGCCCGAAGAGTGCATCGTAGTAAAGTCGTAAACTTTCCGGATAAGTTTGATGCAGGCCGTGCCTCTCATTGGCTCATGAGCCCCATATCAGAGTTGCTTAGTCATTTCCACGGGTACCCGTGAAATTTTACACGCACGGGTACCCGTGAACCTATTGGGAGCCGCTATCCTTGCGCGGGTTTCACGCTTCGGATTCAGATTGAGTTTTGTTGACTTGAACACAACAGATGAATTCTTTTTAAAGTAAAAAATGGGCTTAGATTTAAAATACTTGTTTTTATTAATTTTCATGAGACATTTGATTAGTTCTAAAGTCAGTCACACTAACACTACGTCGGCTGCCTAAAATACTGAAGTCACAGTATCCTTCGACATACATCTATCTAGGTAAGGTACTAGAACAGCAGACCAATAATAGGGATTTTGCTAAGAAAAGAGCCCCCAATTCGCTGGTCTTCCATGGTTTCTCCTTTTTTGAAGGACGGCTTTGTTGGATCTATTGAGGATCGGTTGGCGACGTCAAAGGGAGGATACCGCCAAACAGTGAACCTTTCGATCCACCCAGGCACAGTGACGACGCTGCGGTTGTGGCTAAACGTATCGAATCCCCATTTCCCATGGAAACATCCATACCCTGAGTCGCCAACACCGCCAAAAGGCGCCGAAGACACATCTGCATGAAGACCGACGTCGTTAATCGTAACTCCGCCGGACTGTGTAGAATCCAGAATATGATCAATCTCTTGTTTTGACTCGGAGAAGATGTAAAGGGCTAAGGGATGTGGGCTGTTCTTGAGGGTCTCAAGAGCCGTCACCGTATCCGCTTTGATGATGGGAAGGACGGGTCCGAATAACTCTTCTGACAGCAAGCTGTCTGTCATCTTGACATTGGTGACAATTGTTGGGTAAATGAGCTTGTCCTCGCGGACATGGTCACCACTGAAAACTACTTTGCCTTCTGTCTTTTGAATCAGGCCTTGAAGCCTGTCGAAGTGTTTCTCATTGATGATCCTGCACAGTGTGGCTGTGCCAGACTCAAGCAGCTTCTTTGCCCAGTACTCGACACGAGCAGTGAACTGATCGTAAATTTCGGGATGTGCGAAAACATGATTGACGCAGATGCACACTTGTCCCAAGTTGGACAACTTGGCGTTGACGATTCTCTTTGCCACGAGGTCTAGATCGGCGTGCTTGGTAACAATGCCGGGTGCTTGGCCACCTAGTTCCAAGGCCACTGGGGTAATGTGCTTTGCCGCTGCCGAGGCAATTATCCGGCCGACCCGCGTGCTCCCAGTGTAAAATATGAAGTCGAACTTGTGATCTAGGATGAAAGACATCTTGGCGGGTGTGGCACGGATTAAGGCGACAGCGAGGGTATCCATGTACCGGGGCACCAGCTCACTGAGCAGCTTTTCGGTATGTGAGGCCATTTCTGAAGGTTTCAGTATGACGGCATTGCCGGCAGCAATGGCTGCAATGGCAACATTGATCAGGGTTGATATGGGAAAATTCCAGGCGCCGATGATAAGGACGAGTCCTCGAGGCTCTTTGCGGATCCAGGCTTTTCCAAAAGTACCGTACACGATGCCGGCTTTGGGGGGTGCATTGCCTTGAGCCCAGGTCTCAACTTCGCTGACGGCTTCCAGAATGGCATTTTTGGCGTCGTTGATATCGGTGAGAAGTGATTCAAACTTGCTGCGATGGAGGTCGTTGGCTAGACTCGTGAGTAGAGCATCTTCATTCTCGTCGAGAAGCCAGTAAAGCTGCTTGAGCTGCCACTTGCGCCACTGGATTGACTTGGTTTTCCCAGTAAGGAAAGTTGAACGCAATTGCTTGTAAATTGCATCAAACTTTTCTGATGTGATGGATTCGTCCATGATGAAGTGTTTTTATCAAAGCGTCAAACAAATGATCGGCGTGCTGTATGACGGAATCAGGAATCACTTTTTGCACGCAAGGGTAAGATAGAATAAGAATAGATGTAAGTTTTATGTTCTCACTTTACCTCGAACAAAGGGTCACGAAGAGTTATATGGACTTTATTCATGGCTTTCGGTCGGTGGTAGATATCTCTTTTTACCATTTCTGGTTATTTTTGTATCATATCTCGCTCTACCAGATATCAACTATGGCTCTGTAGAAACCTTCGGGTCCCGCGCGTGCCGATCCTACTTCATCATTTGGAGTCGTTTGTTCCTATCCACGATATTCGTCGAGGTGTTTAACTGAATATGCCAAGTCCTACCGAATGCGCCGACGGCGAATTCTTCTCATCCCGGTATGTTACGGAGATCCCCCACGTTTGAATGGTGCGTCGGCGCCGAGTGGGTCTATCTCATGGCAGGTACATGTACCACATCAAACGGAGGCCGGAGTCTCCGCAAAGCTTTGTTGAGAATGCGATGCGATGTATGCAGACTATTGAAAAGCGCTACAACATGGCGACTTCTCGAAATCTTAAATTTATTGCCTTGATTCACATTCTACCTTAACGCTTTCCCATATGCATTCTTCTCGATTTTATTGCAAAGGGCGTACAGTTTCGTTTGTCGAGTTTCCCAACATGACGACCAAGTTTGAGCCTATCCCGCAGCCTCCGACCTTACCTATCATAGGGAATCTCACTGATATTGATTCAAGAAATTTCAATGAATCTATGGTTGACCTTGTCAAGAAGTATGGGCCGATTTATCGTTTGACCGTTGCAGGTGAAAGCTTTGTTGTGGTGTCAAGCTGGAAACTAGTTGACGAGGTATGCGATGACACTCGGTTCAAAAAATCAACTGAAGGCGAATTGGAGGTATTCTTTCATCTTTGTTTAATCTCTTTAAATGTATGCGTTTATCTGACTTATTCTGCGAAGGAGCTGCGAGCAGCTACAAATGATGGACTGTTCACTGTATGGTCATTGTCCCCCGGCTGACATGCTCTGTCCCTCTAATTAATCTGGAACAGTCTCGAGGAGAAGAGGAAGTCAACTGGGGTATTGCACATCGTGTGCTGATGTCCGCATTCGGCCCAATATCTATTCGAAATATGTTCGACGAGATGCACGAAATAGGCACCCAACTAGCACTCAAGTGGTCTCGACAAAGCCCTTCACAAAGACTGGATATTGGCGAAGATTTTACACGTCTCGCCTTGGACACTGTGGCTCTTTGTTCCATGGGATTTCGATTCAACTCCTATTATCGAGAAGATCTGCATCCCTTCACTCGTGCAATGTATGAAGTGCTTAAGGCTGCAAGTAAAAGGTCAATGCGATTTCTTCCTTCCATCTTTTATCACCACGAGGATCGCAGGTTCGCAGAAAATATTAAGCTCTTGCGATCAACAGCCCAGGAGGTATTGGACGCCCGAAGAAAACTTGCAAAAGAGGCTGTAGATGCTAGAAAGGACTTGTTAACTCAAATGCTATCTGGAGTTGACCCGAAAACGGGTCGCTCAATGACGGATGAAAGCATCATCGACAATCTCATCACTTTTCTCATTGCCGGCCATGAGACAACCGCCTCAACACTTCAATTCATCATGTATAACCTGTTGACGCATCCCGAGGCATACCGAAAGGCTCAGCAGGAGCTTGATGCAATTGTTGGAACCTCTGCTTTGACTCCAGAGCATATTCCTAAGCTCAAGTATCTCAACGCTGTGAGTGTAACTCTGCTACTGTATCACCATTTAAGGGCGATTTTACTCACATATTGCTCAATACTAAAGGTCATACGCGAGACCCTGCGGCTAAGCTCGCCCATCTCCATGTTTGCCAGGCAACCGCTCAAGGATGAGGTTCTTGGGGGTAAATATGCGATCAAGGCGGACACTCAGCTTGTTTGCTTTTTGGGAATGTCTCATCGGGACCCAAATGTATACGGCCAGACAGCAGAGGAGTTTCACCCGGAAAGGATGCTCGACGAAAACTTCAACCGTATTCAAGAAGAATTTCCCCATAGTTGGAGTCCCTTCGGAACCGGTATTCGAGGCTGTATAGGCCGTCCTTTCGCATGGCAGGAGATGATGATAGCTTGTGGCATCCTTTTGCAAAACTTCAACTTCTTGATGGATGACCCCACCTACACCCTGCAGATCTCTGAGAGCATCACCATCAAGCCAAAAGGATTTTATGTTAAGGCAATCCCGCGAAACGGAATGAGCCCCTCACAGCTAGAAGCGCGACTGTCTGGGGCCTACAATGGAACCTACCACAGCACTGTACGTGAGCAAGAGAGCGCTTCTGAGCCTTTAGGGCAGCAAACGAACAACAATGACTCGCATAACAAGATTGCCATATATTATGGCTCTGACGCTGGCACATGCGAGTTCATGGCGCAAAAGCTAGCTTCAAACGCCGTCTCTCATGGTTATCACGCTTCTATTGATCAGCTTGATGCGGCTAGGGAATCTTTGCCAAAGGGCATCCCTGTAGTCATCATCACATCCACATATGAAGGACAACCGCCACAGAATGCAAGACACTTTGTACAGTGGATCGAAAGTTTGAAAGGCGTGGAGCTCGAAGGTATAACATTCGCTGTTTACGGCTGTGGTGAGTTCCCTTCAATACGAGGCAGATGATCGGCCCCTTCTTGTCTTGATGCTGACTGTCGACTAGGCCACAGTGATTGGGTCAAAACTTTCCAGCGTACTCCCAAATTGATTGATTCTACATTACAGAAACTTGGCGCGGAGCGGCTCACCTCTGCTGGACAGACTAATGTGAAAGAGAGGGACACGTTTTCGGACTTTGAGGCGTGGGAAGATAACTTCCTGTGGCCGGCTATTGTCAAACGTTTCGGTGATATAAAGATCCAAATCAACGCCACAAGTGCACTTCAGGTGGCCTTATCTACCCCGCGAGTGCTAAGCCTTCGACAAAAGGTTAAGGAAGCTCTCGTTACCGATGCCCGCCGCCTGAGTAAGGGGGATGCCAGTGATGAGAAACGACATCTCGAGCTTCAACTTCCTTCTGGCATGTCGTATACCGCTGGCGACTATATTGCCGTGCTGCCTTGTAACCCAAAATCATCCGTCGACCGTGTTATGAGACGATTCCATTTGGCATGGGATGTCCACGTCTTCATCAAGGCCACTGGGCCGACAACGCTACCGCTTGATGTCAGCGTTCCCTTATACTACGTTCTGAATGGATATGTGGAGCTGGGTCAGGTCGCAACTAAGAGGGTGAGTTTTACAAGAAGTACACAAGTCACAGTACAGTGTCCCTAACCGATCTAGGATATCGCAATTCTAGCCCAGCACACGGATAATGAGGAGTTAAGGGAAAAGCTCATTCACATGAGCGGTGACGGCTTCGAAACTTTGGTGAGAGGCAGAGCACTTTCAATTCTTGATGTTCTGGAATCCCATCCGACGCTCCGGCTTCCATTGCAGCATTTCCTCTCTATGCTGCCACCCATGGCCACACGCCAGTAGTATGTCACTCGCCCGCGTTCTTTTGCATGACGGCGCACTGATGAATTCTCTAAGCTCGATTTCTTCGTCCCCTCTTGCTGAGGCTGGGAAAGTGACGTTGACGTATAACGTCCTTAACGAGCCTGCACTGTCCGGAGTCGGCCAATACACAGGTGTAGCGTCCAATTACCTCTCATCCCTGTCTGTTGGCGACAAAGTTCAAGTCACAGTTCGCCCGGCTGCCGGAGGCTTCCGTCTGCCACTAAAGGCGGAGGAAACTCCGCTAATTCTCATCGCAGCCGGTACGGGAATAGCCCCTTTCCGAGCTTTTGTTCAGGAACGCGCCATTCGGGTAGCTAACGGGCAGACGGTTGGCCCCGCAATGCTGTTCTACGGTTGTCGCCATCCCGAGATGGATGACTTATACCGCGAAGAGTTTGATGATTGGGAAAGTAAAGGCATCGTTACCGTCCTGAGGGCTTACAGCCGGAAGCCGGCGGCCTCAAGCGGTTGCAGCTACGTCCAGAACCGCCTGTGGCTCGAGAGGGAGTCGGTTGGCCGTTTGTGGAGCAAAGAGGCGCGCATTTACGTGTGTGGATCGAACAAAATCGAGACCAGTGCCAAGGTTATCCTAGTCAAAATTATACAGGATGAGAGCATGAGGCATGGTCGGCCTATGTCAGATGAAGCCGCCCAGGAATGGTTTGAGAACCAACGCAATGAACGGTTTACGACAGATGTTTTCGATTGAGTGAGATAGTTCACGCAATAATTCCTACTTAACGCTCGGATATCAACGTATGCCGGAATCCAGTTTAGAAACTAGCACCACCCTTCAAATTGAGTCCTTGAAGGCGATCCCTACCTAGATACCTTGGCGCACTTCCACTTTTTGACTCTCAGGCATAGAGAAGAACTGGAAAGCTAGCTATAAATCCTGTAAATTTTACTGAATTGTACCTGCAATGAATTATTACTGTTTCTTGTCTTGGTAAAGTATCTATGTCGACTTTTACTGCTCTAATTTACTGCTTTAAATGCCCAAGCTGTTTTTTGCAATCTCCACAATTACCAATGCTAATGTAGGCTACAATATGTTGAATTGCGTGATATCGCAACATCCGGAATGGTGTAATGGTCAACATTTGACGCTCTCATACGAGGGCTCCGTCAGGCTCGGGGTTCAATTCCCCGTTCCGGAATGTCCTTTTTGTTAATTGCGTCAAATTCTGTTTGATTTGATGTTTTTTCCCATCTTTGTCTTCGGCTGCACTCATTTGCTCTTTTGTAATCGAAGTCGTGTTACATGACTGGGCTTCTAGTTCGCGTTTGTCCCGTGTAGACTACCTTAATATCGGTAAACCCAAAGCATAATCGAAGCTCTATGGATTGCTTTTCGTGCCGTCCTGAGTCGTGCATATCATGTAGTGGAATTGCAAGCCATTCCACCGTTTTCACAACCATGTTGCAGAGAACCTTGCAGCTATCAACGAAGGCGGAAGGTTTACGCGACCAGCCCCAGGCGATGTTGAGGCGGAGATTCACCCGAAGCTCTGAAAAGAGATAGACAAGTAAGATATCAGCGGGATACACAGCTGAGGTTCTTCCGCTGATCCAAAGAAGTTTTTCCTCGGGTTCCGTCCGTCCCATCTTTCTCGGGTTCCGTCCATTCCGCCCCCGGCCCGTTTGCATTCGAAGTTGACAGGCCTCACAGGAAGAGGGTATGCCAAGATCTGTCAGTCGTGGGTCTTGCATACAACACAAGACGATAAATCGCCGTCGGCCAATTATCCCACGATCCTCCCAACACAAACTGCGCCGGGTCTAGATTCTGCCAGGTCCGCTCAAACACATGTGCGATCACATTGTCAATGTAAGCTACATTTACTGATGTTCGTGCACCATGTGGAAAATACTCCACTATTTCCAGTTCGTATCTGGACTTATTCACAGTCTGAAAATGGCCGCGGACAGCGTTCTCATCACCTGAATATGCCGATGTTGTACCCTCATCTTGGTGGCTGTGCTGCCTCAAGCCAATATATCGCGCGATTTACCAACGAAGTGTGATGTCTTTTTGAGATCGCCATTTGAACTGAGCCAGAAATACATTTTATAGATACCAGAGCGAGTATTTAAAAACTGAAGAAAAAAAAAGTTCCCGCTTCTTGATCTCTCATGCTTGACCACGCGCTTCAGCTGCAAAAAAACGAAAATGACCACAAACAACTATTGTATTCAATCCCAGTCCAACATAGTTACTACTGGTATCGATGGCTAACGTGCATTCAAACGGACGCAGCTCAGGTCATTAAGACGTACATTACCCAAGACCCAGGTTTGCCTCGTGCCAATCCGACGGCATCGTACTGGCAACATGTTCCTCACGAACTCTCTAATGTCAAATCTGCACAACTGCCAGCCGATACCGATATTGCAGTCATCGGCTCCGGTATCACTGGCGCTAGCGTGACCAAGACGCTGCTGGAAAAAGATCCATCTGCCAGAATCACTGTCTTTGAGGCGCGTACCCTCTGCTCGGGTGCAACTGGTCGTAATGGCGGTCAGCTGGCGACCAACGCCGGAGAAGCCTACTTCGAGCTGAAAGAGCGATTTGGCAGCTACATGGCTGGGAAAATTGCCGCGTTTACTTTCATGACGTGTGATAGGATGCGTGAGATCATTGCGCAGTATGCACCTGTTGACAGCGAGTATCGGGAAGTAACCAAGGTTCGGGCATTTCTGGACAAGTTGTCCTTCGCCAAAATGAAGAACAGTATTGCGCAGATGGAAGCCGATCATCCAAGCTTGAAAGGCGTTTACAAAATCATCGACAGTGAGACTCTACTAAAGGTTAGTAGTTCAAAGGCACTTCAACCCAGTTCACAATCGTACTAATTGGCGAGACAGACGCACGGCGTTCATGGCGCGGTCGGCGGAGTTACGCTCCCTGCCGCGGCGATGTGGCCGTATCGCATAGTCAGCAACATATTCCATGCTCTTCTCAGCGAGTACCCTGATCGTCTTAGCATTGAAACCAACACTCCTGTCATGTCAGTGGAGCGCGTGGGCGGCAAATACATTCTGACCACTCCGCGCGGGCAAACCACCGCGGGAAAAGTTGTTTACTGCACCAACGGCTACACTGGCCATCTCCTACCCAAAATGAGAGGGCTTCTGTTCCCAGTCCGTGGCACGATGAGTGTCCAAGATCTCGGGCCAAATGTCCCCAACAAAGGCGCCTCTGAGTCTTTCGGCTTTCACTATGAACCGTACTACGATGAGAAAAGCCAGACGCTTGCAGATGGCCTGTGGTATCTTACCCAGAGCGCCAAGACGGGTTATTTCTTCTTTGGTGGGGAAAAGGGGACCATTGACGATACTTTGACAGCAGATGACACCGTCCTCACCGGTCATGCGCTACTACACCTCCAGAACATGTTGCCGAGGTTCTTCAATTACACGGATGTGAAAAAAGACCAGCTCGTCAGCGCGTGGAGCGGTATTATGGGCTTTACTGCAGATGGTGCGCCATACATCGGCCGGCTTCCGTTCTCAGTTACTGGCCGCAAGGGCGATGAAGAGTGGCTGGCTGCCGGATATTCTGGGTACGGTATGCCATACTGTTGGCTAGCTGGTGAGGCACTCGCCAATATGGTTACTGGACAAAGTCCTGTGGATATGGACTGGTTGCCGGAAGCGTACCTCATCAAGGAGGAGCGACTTTCGCCGACAGGAATCGAAGACGTGGCCGAAATGCTTGCTTCTTTCAGGTGAAAGTGGAGGCCTCGTTTACACATTAAAGCATTTAGGTTATGCTCGTGAGAATGAGACATTTTATAGGGAAAAAAGAGATCAAAGAAAAGGAAGAGTGCGCGTGCAATCTATCCCTTAAAGCATGTTGTGCTCGAGAAAAAACTATTTTGAATATAACCTATAGGCTCTTATAGTCGTGGTTTGTTGAAGATATTAGTTACAGTGGCTCGAGACGAAATGGACTAAATTGACTTTCACCTAAAAGCAAGGAGGACGGTCTCTTTCAGAAAGGCACATGATATTTCATTACGATGTTCAATCATAATGCCAAAAAAATCTCTGTTAACGAAGTACAAATCTGCATTCCAAAAGGTCTTGAATCAATGTCGACAATAAATTTGCGAGCAGGCCGTCAACACACCCACCAGTTATGCTACTCTGCAGTATCCTGTCTCACAATCTCAACAAAATCAGCCCCCTCGTCCGAATGGCGCGAAAGATGCCTCCATCTCTCGAGAGCATCTAAATCTAAGCCCTGGAATTTCCAGCCGAGAACATAATAACTTCCAATAGCTACAACTATAACAAATAAGAAAACAAACACTTGCACCGGGGGAGTCTCTCTGTCAGATGGAAGGCAGCGGGTGATGAGGAAGTAAACAGAGCACAAAACCCCAAGGCAATGTGTTGACCAACTGCAGCGACCCAGGTTAAATGGGCCCGGAACCCACCTGTCTCTCGCAATTAATCGCAGGGATAGCGGGATAAACCATATGATTAGGTTGCAGAGAGTGGCCATTGCATAGATAATGTCGCTCGCATTGCTTGATAGCGCGGGTAGGAGAAAGAGATATGAGAGAACAACAAGAAGGAATGCGGCGTTCAGCGGCATGTTGGTCCGTTTGTCAACGCATCCAAGCTTGTCGCTATAAGGTAATCCTCGGTCGCGAGCGAAGGCGGCGACTTGCGTAGCGTACGTCAAGATCATACCGCTGCCGCCGATCATGGAGAACACAGATCCGACGAGCAGGAAAGGCGCAGCCCGAGACTGTTCCCAGTTCTCGAACAAGACCGCAAAAAGGGGATAGCCACTGTTTCAAAGAATACTGTTAAGCTTGTTTCGCCACAGATTAAAAACGCCTACAGGAGGGCCTGTGGCTAGGTTGCATTGATGCTACAAAAATTGACTCACCGGCGGTCGTGTGCGATGGCACTCATGTCGTTGATGCAAAACGCAAAAGCAAGGCAAATTCCTAGACCAATAACTGCCGTGGCGATAAAGGACTGAAGCATAGCTTTCGGCGTCTCGACTCTGGCATTGTGCGTTTCTTCTGCGATGTAAGCTGGGGACATCCAGACTGTGTTAACAAAGAGGGCGCTGTAGAAACAAAGTGGCACAGCGATAGCTGTTTCGTGCCACGACGAATAGTTTGTGAATTTGCCAAACACGTCAGCAGCAGATGCAAATGGAAGTCCGAGTTGCGAATGGGTTATGGGTAGAGCGATGATGAAGCCGATTGAAGTGGTAACAAGAAACGTTGCTTCAATATACAGGTTAGAAATCACGCCATAGTCACAATCATTTATAACGTTGATACTCACCGGTAATTATCATAAGGATGCTCACATTTTCCAAACGGAGCAACATGAGACTGGCCCACAGCGTAACAATGCCAATCGCAACTCCCATGACTTGTGCGTTTGTGAAGGTCAAGCCCTCCTTCGCGGAAACGATGTTCTCAGTGAAACCAGCCGCAACAGCATAGGCAAAAGCGGCCAACGAGGTTGAAAGGGCCAGCACGTTACACCACCCGGTGATGAACGCGATGGGCCGGGACAATTTTGGAGGAGCTAAAGCTGCAGCCCACCAATAGAATCCTGCGTTGACAGGCATTGAGGAACAAAGTTCACATATGGCAAGCACCAGAGGCAGCATCATGACATTTGGGATGATCCAGCCCCTAAAGGACATGTTAGAATTAGCCACAAAGACAAGAAAACATGAACTTACCATGAAAGTCCCCAATACCCGGCGTGATAAACTTGGTAATGGCCGGATACGATGATGGCGCCCAAAGGACTGTAGGAAGGGATTGTTATTAATTATGTAGTAGGTAATACTTAACTTCGGAACTCACGATGCAAGCGACAAAACGACACAGAAGTTGGCGAAAGCCCCAAGGACTCTACGATAGGCTGGGGTGTAGCCGAGAGCTGTAATCGTGGCATCTTCCACAAAGTCTCTACCAACAGTGCTTGTAGTAATGCTCTGTCCTAGTTCTTCATCTGGTAGATCTAGGGCCGGAGTACGCTTGCTGTTTGTGAGTTTCGTATCGTTGGGCTGAGCGGACATGCTTGTAGATGATGACATGTTAATTTTCAAAGTAATCAGAATGGCTGTCTCTTGGTGTACGCAGAATAGTTTGGGGTGTCAGAAAAACTCACTGCTTGAATCCATTGCCGAGTTTATGTCTTTGAGGAGCTGTATATCGGAAAAAGAGCCGAATCCACCAACTCGTGACGTGTGGCACAGCCCTCCAGAAAGTAACCTGCAATCGCTTGTGGCAATAATGATAAATGTAAATACTTGGCTATCTATTAAGCCAACCTATTCGACCCCGCATATTGTAATGTAGTCGGCCTTTCTCGGCATACTTATTAGCCCCGTTTCGGGTCTCCAGTTCTGAAGCCCCAGGTTAAATCACCGTCGGCGAATTTGATGCACAGAGGGAGTGGAGAAGTAACTCCATCTCCTTACTTGGTATACGAGTCAAGCTATTCAAAGACGAAGCCGAGGCAGAGAAGTAGTCAGCTCGTCGAATAGAAAAAAAGCCATGTAGACCAACTGGAGACGTTAAAGACGCTGGGAGCTGATCATTCGCAATCAATACCACTCAAGACAAAAATTGATCAACGCTCACCTTGAGCCCCTTGGAGCTTTAACACAACCTGTTACGGCGGTAGTCACAGCGTCACACACTATGGCTAATGCAGCAGAAATAGACATGCCGACCTGGAAACAGATCGCCAGCAGCAAGCAACATGAACGTAGTTCAGCACTCTCACAGTGGTCCCAGAAATTCCTCAACAAGCCGAAACCCTGTCTTCCGCCGACAGATATGGTCTCAGTCAGACACTGGGCGGCACAGAGCGGTGACCTCAACGCCAAGCAGCTGGAGATCACAAAAACCGTCCCCAGCTGTCTCTTGAAGAAGATAGCCGCAGGTATCTGGACCGCCGAGGAAGTGTTTATCGCGTTCAGCATCCGCGCAACTATCGCACACCATCTCACAAACCCGCTCTCAGATGTTTTCTTCGACAAGGGGCTCTCCCGGGCTCGCAAGCTCGATGCGTGGCTGCGGGAAACGGGTCACGTCGTGGGACCGCTGCATGGCCTTCCTCTTAGCCTGAAAGATTTGATGAACCTAGAGGGGCATGCTACGACCTTTGGGTTCGTTGCTCTAGCAGACAACGTCAAGTCTAGCTCTGACGACCTGGTGACGCGACTTCAAGAAGCCGGGGCCGTTTTTTATTGCAAAACCAATGTACCGCAGTCCACTATGTCCGGAGAATGTAACAGCTTCTTGTATGGCCGGACAAGCACACCCGATAATCGGAATCTATCTGCAGGTGGCTCCAGCGGTGGCGAGGGTTCCCTTATCGCTCTCCGGGGTAGCCCTTTGGGAATCGGCACGGATGTTGCAGGGTCCATACGAACGCCAGCAAACTTCAACGGCATCTACGGTCTCTGCCCAACTTCAGGCCGCTTCCCGTGTCACTCTGTCGGAGAATCCTCCCTTGACTACATCACTGGCGTTGCAGGGCCTCTTAGCAGCTCCGTTGATGGTCTGGAGGTCTATGCAAAAGCCCTCCTGTCTCTTAACCCATGGGATTGGGACGCAACCTGTATTAAGATGCCTTGGGACGATCAGCTCTATCGGGAAAAGAAGAATCAGAAGCTGTGTTTCGGTTTCGTGATGCACGACGGTGTAGTGCGCCCACATCCACCCATTCAACGTGGTATGGACCTTGTTAGGGAGGCACTCGAGCGAGCAGGCCATAGTGTTGTTGACGTCGATCTTCTTAGAGCATCAGATAATCTTTGGGACACAGCTGTCCGCATCTTCTGTGCAGACGGGGGCGAGGCGTTGCGAAATATGTTAGATATACTCCCTGAACCCCCGATCCCGGAGATCTTCATCCCTCCAGCCTCAATGGCTCTTTCTGCCACCCAGATGGGATCTTTAGGGAAGAAACTTCTAGGTATTCGTCAAGTTTTCTTGGAAAGATGGCAGGCGACAACAATGATTACAGCGACAGGTCGACCTATTGACGTGTGTATCCTGCCCTCCGGCGGGCACGTCGCGCCTCCTCACGGCACGATGAAGTATTTCCTTTACGAGGCTATTTCAAACATTATCGACTGGCCTTGCGCGACGATTCCTGTGACCAATGTTGACCCGGATATGGATCCAAAACCTGGACCTGACGATGACTTTGTGCCGTTGTCGGACGAAGATCAGGAGAACTACGACAAATGTAAGTCCCCTTCATCTATGACTGCTGCATCCACCTGACATTTTATTCTTCTGAGAAAGACTCACCAGAGGATTACAAAAACGGCGCTGTATGCCTACAGGTTCTGGGTCCTAGGTTTAGCGAAGAGGTAATACTGGCGGCGATGAGGGTTATTGATGGAGCGCTTGGGAGGGGCGACGACCACATCGAGTAGGCAGATACAATGATCATCGTATGGTAGCAACTAACACTTGATTGTTAATGACATCAAAATTATTGTTTTACGGATCAGGATAGAACATGACGCGATTCTTAAAGCTTTCAGTTGTAATGCTGATAGTCAAGAATTGTTTAGTCATTATGGTGGATCTGAGAAGCTCTTGGTGGGATAGAATTTCAATCAGAAATCTTCACAGTAGTGAACACAGAGCTATAGCTATATCAAATTTCAAGCCTGTGTAGAGGCTGCCTAGATATTATACAAGAACGACCTAGGGAACCAGTCGAACGGAGTCCAGCTATCATCGTTTTTACCATCCAGGTAATGTAGAAGTCTGTCTGTGATGACAGTAGCGCAGGCGAAACAACGGCCCATGCCTTCGCCGTTATGGCCAACGGATATGAATTCACCCGGACTTTCCTTAGACCACCTACCTACCAGACTTGCACCAGTCTTCGTGTGGCCTTGTACACCTGTCCATCGGTGACTGATATCGCGCTGCAAATCGATCTCCCGGAAGCTTTGCGGGAACCCCTTTTCAAGAAACTCAGCCATAAGATCGCACGCTGGAGGCTTCTGGTTGGCATCCAGTGGCAACGTGGTGCTGTCATCGTAGTCTCCAACCTTTTCAATTCCAGCCCATCCGTATATGAAGGGGCCATTATCCGGTCGCTGAATAATATAGTGTGAGAATTCCTCGAAGCCGAGACCACCACGGAGGCCCAATGGTGTGTTAGAGGATGTAGCTGACACATTTGGGGTGACTGCGATGCATTCTGCTTTGCAGCCTAGCACGCCTTCCCTCCCTTTTAACGACGGAATCAGGTAGCTAACGTAGGCGTTCGTGGCATGAACAACCACGCGACTACGGATTGTGCCCCTGTCCGTGGTCACAGTATAGGACGGTACAGAAGCCACCTCTTGTCTGGTCACTGATCTTACAGGGTTGGAAGAATGGATGGTCAAGCCAGGGATGCGTTTCCTGGCGTCTCGAAGTAACTCAGCCACGAGCTTGCGGGGAAAGATACTGCCCGACTTGTCAATGCAGTCGGATCCGAATTTGCCCCATCCAGATGAAAGGTTGCTTTCCTGGTGATGGTCAGCGGCTGTGTCTTAGGCCGGTCTGCTTCCTATTACCTGGGCAAGCTGTTCTGGGTCCAAGTAATGACCCTCCAGTGAAATGCCTAGAACTTTCGCAAAATCCATTTCGGCATGGTACTCCTCTCTCTCTTCCTCTGAGGCGAATACCACGCGCGTGCCGGTAAGGCGCAGGTCGACCTTGTCGCTGATCCCCAAGTTGTCAATGGCGGCGAACATCAGGTCGCGGTTACGCGTGCCAAGCTTGGAAAGGCGTAGAGCTTCATCTCGACCCACGAGTTCGACCAAAGAGCGAAGGCTTGTACCCTCGGCACGGCAAATGTGGCCTCCATTGCGGCCTGTGGCGCCAGAGCAAATACCTCGAGCTTCAACAACAGCGATCTGAAGGTCTGGTCTTTGCTCTGCAAGGTTGTAAAGGACAGCCGCAGCTGTGATGCCCGTGCCAATGACTACAACGTCGACCTCTTCGGGCAAAGTGGCTGTGCGGCACTCATCTTCAAAGTCGATTGGATATGTCTCAATCCAGTAACTTTTGCCCTCCCCATAGTCAGAAGGACAGGGTGCAGGTGTGGTGATGTGGATGTTGGGGGTGTCGCCCAGGCTAAACTGCTCGGCAAACTGAGAGCTTGATAACCAGCCTTCCATGGTGAAATTCAACTTGGTATGAAATGACGGTGCGGAATGTAGGATAGTTGATCCCAGATGCTGCAGGTGTTATGAGACGCGTCTTCGAGGCATTATATCATGTTCATATATTCCGGTACCGTGCTCAGGTAAAGAAATACCTCTCTACGGCTGCTGAAGATCTCTCAGCTCTTTACACATTCTCGTGGACCTCCTAGTGGCATTCTGAATCTAGGTACTAACATGAATTTTCGGACATCGGAGTCTCGGCCCTGCCGGATCCCGCGGCCTCCGCAGTCACAACGTCGTGTATCCCCACCGTAGGCGTGTTTGTTTATTACACCGATGGACCTCATAATTCAGCGACGGCCAATTTTTGTACGCCCACTCAACTCCGATAATCTATGGCGGAGACAGTCTCTTCCTCAGTTGAACGAACTGCTCGGCGGGCTTGTGATCGATGCTCCCGTCTGGTGAGTCCATTCTCTTTCCCAGTTGTCATGGCCTGAGGGGACCTGTCAATAGCGAAAACTGGAACTTTTGTCCTGCAGAAGACACAATGCGACTTTACCGATCCTTGCGCCAGGTGTAGGCGTCTTGGATTGGATTGCACAATGCGGAGACCAGTCCGGCAACGAGGCCGCCCTAAGAGACGAACCGTTGGCGGGTCAGAAAGCCGCACCAACGAGGTTACGTCTCCATTTGACGTCGAGGATCAGCTGATGAACGATGATGATTTGATTCCTCTGGAAACAAATTCGAATAGAGCTCTATCTCCCGATGCCATCAATTCTGTACTTCGGAAGGACCCAGGCTCAGATGTGAATCCTAACTTGGCTGCAGCTCTTCTGCAACGCCTGTTCTCACTTGGTGAAGGACTAGGCATTTACAGTGTCTTCTTCACGGGTGTCGAAGCTTCGCTAGATATCCGTTCTTCGGACTCTGAAGGGCTTTCTGGAATTGAAATGGATTCGGAGGTGGTTTTGCATAAAAATGACGCTCATCCGTGGACTCCTCAGTTGGTCTATGGCCTTCTAGCAGTAGCGCTCGAGATAAATTCTCGTTCCGTCTTGGACTCTCGATGGGAATCATCACAGCTGGACAAAGACTCTCTGAGAACAAACAGTTTGAATTTACTACCGCGTATGACTTGGATTTACCAGCCATTGGTTACTGACGCCCTTGTCTTGTTGTCTTACAGTTGGACTTGGTGTTTCACTGAACACCTTTCCCACATGTCCTTGCGATGGTACATGATGGCGCGATTGATGTTCGAAGAAACTGGTCGGAAAGACAGTCTCAGCTCTCGGTATGTATAAGAAGTCCAATTCTGGAGAACATCTTCGAGCTTCGAAAACCGTTAGGCAGCACTTGGCTGACAATGACCCCATTGTCAGGGTGGAGATAGGAATGGATGTACAGGGTCTGTAAGTTCAATTGAAACTTTCATTGGTTATTCGCTCCGTAATGTAACAGACATTATTCTTCCTAGATCACTATCACTACTCCTCTTTCGGGATGACCTGTCAACATCCAAAACACCGCAAATTTCGGTACCCGCTGAAATCAATGCGGCTCATCCTCCGTGCTCATACTGGGGCCTTTTTCGCTGCTTGAGAAGGTATGAACATGATTTCCTAAGCTTGAAAACTTTCCGCTGAGACATCCGAAAGTGCCTTTGGTCAAGTTCTCCAGGAGCCTGTGATAGCCACACGCACTTGGCATGAAGCGCGTATGGGACTGGAGGATTTCTTTTTTGACTTCCCCACCAACCTACTAAGGTTTGACAACATTGAGAACCTCTATCAAGCCGAATTCATGGTCTGGATGCACGGCCTATTCATCCTGTTATGTATGTGGCACACAGATTGCAGGCCCAAAGATGGCGTACTCATAATCATAGACACCAAACGAGACCTTCTTGACATTCTTCTGAACCCCAGCATTCTGACTGATGAAACCCTTCCGCGTGCACTTGACCATTCCCTCTTGCTGGGAGAAGTAAGTAATTATCTTCCGAGCTGCCCAGCAGCCGAAAACAACGTGCCACGTGACGAACAATAACCCTCACTCATCAGGTCCTTCCCACGTTTCAACGACTCGAAAGCCGCATGGAAATGCTTTCTGCAATTACTGTATACTTCGTCCTTCTATCATCCACAGTTCACGCGGCAGCTCTCCTCAGCTGCTCGCTCGGAGACGAAGCTTCAACGTCGGGCGAAGCAGTCCCCGTGCCCCCAAAACTTGCAGGATCTAGCTGGACACACTTAGGGACGCTTACTTTGATCGAAAGCTGCTGCAAGAGGTACGACCTTCCTATCGTTGGGGAGATCCGCAAGTTACTTGCCGCTGCCTATGGTCGAGCGGTTCACGGGTCGCACGGGGCAGACGGGGTGGACGCAAAGGTGCTTATGTTGTATCGTTGGAAGGGTCGGGGAGCTGGTATCCTGCGCCTGGATCCGGATACGGCAGAGTCTGAATGGGGATTCCCACAGCCGCCGAACGTAGACATCCTGGGGCTCGTACCGAGACATGGGTCCCAGTGCCACCGGCTTCTCGCCGAGCTGTGTTCATCCAAAAGCCGCCTTTCTAAACCGGGATACTTTGATATGAGCATACTTGTTTGAGTCGCACTGTCAAAATGGGAATGGTGGACACATTGTCTTGAAGAGTCTTGAGAAGTTTGCAACTGACCCAGTGCGTCTATGTGATTTGGTAACTAGAATTGAGACTCATAATTTAAGGCTTTGATTAGTACCAAAGGTGACTTCAACATGGACCTATTGGCATTGCCAGAATATACAATGCTGCTTCTCTTATCAAGCGAAGTGAATATTCCCGCTAAAAAATGACCTTTGTCGCTTCGTGGCTAACCCGTATACCAGGACGTGATGTGTATCTGAGATTCTTTTAACTTACCTACATCAACACTAGCCAACCCTTAAACCAGGATCGTGTCAGGTTTGCTAATTGTGGCATGATGGTTATCGTAAATCATCCGTAAATTTAGCCCCCAGAGAAGTGGAGATGGTCCACGGTACTTTAAAAGCGCCGACGGTCAATTACTACTGCGTGGTACTAAGGTGTGCCATTCACCCAGGCGTATCAATTCCTGATGCATGAATATCAAAGATTCAAAGCTATGTACCTTGGTGAAATAAATAATGGCCGAATAACCACTTGATCCAAGAACCATTAGTTAAATCTAACCTTAGCACATTTACTTCCGCATACACCCGAATATGCCTCCCAGCATTGCCGTCATCCAGAACGCCGATCAGGTTGAGCCGAGTGTTCATGATGATGCAGGTGTTTATCTGGATTTCATTGGCACTAGGTAAGCCGGTTGCTCCCTGTATGGGGATTAGACAACATTATACTCACATTGAGCCGCTCCCAGCGAGACCTCAGACCACCCTTTGGCAGTTGGTGTCTGGGACATTTACGATTTTGAAGAGCCAACTCCGTCAGGAATAGCCGAGACCACTGAGTGCAAATATATCGTCAGAGGTAAGAGGCTTGAATAGAATGATTCTTGGCCGTAAGGCTGACAAGCATGGAATTTTCCTGTAGGCGAGGCAGTTGTTAAGAATGAATGGACCGGGGAAACGCACGATTTGAAGCCTGGATCCCTTCTCTGGATCCCTGCCGGCGCCAAAATGTCTCTTGTCAGATCCAATAACTGCAGAGCTATCTACGCGGAGGTGCGCCAGGTTAGTAACACGACCGACACCAACGACGGGCGCGCTGTTACCTTGCAAAGCCACTTAGACCGTCTTATCGGCGCCTTTGTCGCTCGCAATCCGCTCTCTAAAAAAGCCATTGAGCGAGCGCGGGTAGGAATTCCCAGTGGAACCACACGCTCTGTCTCTGTCCTTGACAGTGATCCGTTTCCTCTCGTGGTCAAGTCTGGTGCGGGAGCGACATTGACAACGGTCGACGGTGAAACGCTCATCGAGTTCCAGTCCGACTTCACCGCCGGACTCTTCGGCCACTCGAGCCCAGAGTTGCGGGACTCCATCATTGCTGCGGCAGAGAATGGCTTCAGCCTGGGCGCTGTCACAGAGCTCGAGAGCGAGCTTAGTGAAGCTATCAGACGGCGGTTTCCAAGCATCGAAAAGGTACGCTTTTGTAATTCAGGTACGGAGGCCAACATGTACGCCATAGGGGCGGCACTTGCGTATACAGGCAAGCGGAAGGTGCTCGTTTTTGACCATGGTTACCACGGCGGTACTCTGAGCTTTGGCGATGGCCCCAACCCGCTGAACATTCCCCATGACTTTGTTGTCGGAACGTACGATAGCATCGAGAAAACGCGTACGGTACTCAGTGGGGACATCGGCGTCATTCTAGTTGAGCCGATGCAGTCGGCCGGAGGGATGCGAGCCGCGTCCCGCGAGTTCCTTGCATTTTTACGCAGCACAGCTGACACGCTCGGGGCTGTACTGATTTTTGACGAGGTGGTAACATCCCGACTCGACTACCACGGCATGCAAGGCCAGCTCGGTGTGAAGCCCGACATGACAACACTGGGGAAATACCTCGGTGGAGGGTTGCCCTTTGGAGCTTTTGGGGGTACTACAGCGGTGATGGCGCAGTTTGATGGCGGAAGCGGGAACGCAGCAAAGCTCTCACATTCGGGTACATTCAACAACAACGTCTTCACTATGAGTGCGGCTGTTGCGGCCGCGAAACTTGTTACGGCGCCTGCCATTGACAGGATCAACAGACTTGGGGACAGGATCAGAGAGGGCGTCGCTGCGGCGGTGAAGGCATGCGATAAGCCTGTGGGGATCATTCCCTTGGGTGTGGGAAGCTGTGTAGGCCTTTACTTCACAGGCTCTGAGGGCGACACACTGCGTGAGATAATGTTTTTTGAGATGCTTCAGCAAGGATTGTGGGTGGGACGTAGGGGATTCCTCGCGCTCAACTTTGCGCATACAGAGGAGGACGTGGATATGTTTTTGCGAGTTTTCGTAAAGTTCCTTGACTTGTACATTTAGCTAGCTAGACAACACAGCGTGTACATAGCCGCTTAAGGGCACGAAAACGAACTAGCTGTTTCTGATAATCGCTCATGTGACACTGCTCATTATTGAAATGCTCACTGTTTTGGTTTCAAACCCATAGAAGAGAAACCTTCCCTAAGATATGTAAGGTAGTAATGCGTACAAAGCTGTATCCGAGCTTCAGGGTTAATGCGTCTTCTTGTCGGGTAGCAATAGATTGGTGGCCTGTTTCCACTTCTCATCTGAGGCCGCCAATTCTCTAGCTGCTGCCTCGGCATACTGAACGGTGTCGGGTCCTAGGAGCAGCCTAAGTGGTGGATCCTCAACTGTGGTGATATAAAATATAGTCTCTGCGACTCTGGACGGTTCAGACCAGTTGGAGAAAGCCTGTTCCCTTGCCTTCTCCATCGCTCCTACAATAGGCACATAGGCTTCACTGATGTGACCATGACCCATTGAACTGCCTGCCCAATCCGTCTTCATTCCACCAGGCTCCAGTACGGTGATCTTCACCCCAAATGGTGCGACTTCTCTTGAAAGGACTGTTGAGAAACCTCCAACGGCCCATTTGGCACTTTGATAGGCCCCGAGGCCAGGGGATCCGACTCTTCCTCCGACTGAGGAAACTTGTAAGATGTGCCCAGAGCCTTGTTGACGTAATATTGGGAGGACTGCTTTGGTTACATTGACCACGCCGAAGAAGTTTGTCTCCATTTGTGCTCGGAATGACTCCAAAGTCATGTCCTCGATGGGAGCCGTCTCCGCATATCCTGCATTGTTCACAACGACGTCGATGCGGCCGAACGTGTCCTGTGCCAGCTTTACAACTTCACAGGCATTCTCTGAGTTTGTCACATCCAGAGCCACTGGTAGGATGCGATTGCTTCCGTACTTTTCCACGAGGTGATTGAGTTGTTGTGGGTCTCGTGCTGTTGCAATAACAGAGTCGCCATTCGCAAGGATAGTTTTGACCAGCTCCAGACCTAATCCACGGGAGGATCCTGTCACAAACCAGACTTTCATTTTGTCGACTATAATCGGTTCAGATTGGAGATAAGAGTGATTGCGAGAAGAGATGCAAACACATAAATTAATAATTGAAATCCTGACAATGCTTATATATGATTTGGCTTTCTACTTCCTACCTGGTGCTCAACATCCAGTTAATCTCCGCAAACTCCGAACCAGTTCCCTTTGTGTATTAAATTCCATCTCATCACGTGTTTGAAGTTCAAATGGAAACCAGAAAGTTTGGAAACCTTATTTTTTCCCCGTTAATTCCGCTCTTCCTCCGACACAAAACCAGTGCACTAGTGAGTGCTGTATGCAGCTAAGTGGTTCGGAGTTATTCGCCGCTTTGATGCATTATCTCCCTTGGCTGCAGCTGTCATCATAAACTGCTGGACAACTTAGTCACTCCACGATGGCCTGGCAAACTTCCCATGTTCCACTTTAGTCAGCGCTGCCGACTTATCCGTTAAGTATGCATGTCTAAATTTAAACAATAGAAAATTTCATTCTGTTATGAACTGTAAGAGTGGGAGGTAAGTGGCATAGTTCTCCATTACAGTTGTCTAGTTCCGCCTCGTGAGAGACGGTGACGGCTTTTCAGTTAAGACGTGGATTATCCTTTATCTATAGGGGTACCTATGAAACCCTCATCTACTCCTCTCGGCGTTGCGCTTGTAGTCTATGGGTCATAGGGATTTCTCTTGCTTGAAACATATCACTAGCATCTTTTTTTAGCTATCGATCAAGGACGACGGTCGATTTACTACTGAAGCTTTGTTCTAACGATGTTCCTCTTATGCAAGATGAATAGCAGGTCCTTTCTTGTCTGCCAAAATCTGGGTAATTTAATACGCATCTCTTCAAGACAAATAGGCACTTTACCACGTTGCGTCATTTTTCAATCTGGCTGTGGCTTCCTCCTTCAATTCGTTACAAAGCTTTCGGACTATGATCATGGAATACTGACCATCAAACCTTTTAACAGGCACTGACTATCCTGCCATATAATCTTATGGGAACGATAGTTAGGAATCTTATATGAGAGCCCTAGCAGGTTGCATTCCGATGCGCAATTTTCAATGATCAATTTTCTAACTCTAATGAGCAAAGAATGTTCCAAGCATGGGTTTCGAGTCATTTTGCATGTGTTTTGGCGTGCAGTTGGTGTCCTGTGAATCCCGGGGTCGCCCGCTATCAGACGTAGAGGGATTAGATGCTCTGCCCATGTCTAGTATGAGAAGCATGCATGCTAAAGCGCTGCCTCATTCGAAAGACAGACCCACCAATTGCGGCATGCATCAGCAGGAATGAGGTCGCTTAAAGTCATCTTTGTATTGGGCTGAGAGTTCTTGTAGCAAGTGAAGACCCTCACTAAGTACATGGGTTGCTGGAGTTTGAGGAAGGCTTATGGCATTGTTCAGATGATTACTGCTTTTCCTATTTGGCCATGATATAATTGGTGGAGCACATGCTTATAGTTTACCAGGAATGGGTCTGTCATTCACTATGCATGGCGATCGACATTGATAACCCTGCAACTCCTACAAGGTATCCCCTGATGCAAGAGCGACATCCCTGCCACCGCCTGCCACCGCCTTTTGGATGGGAGAATGGCGTAACTCTTGCCATACAAGGAAAATATGCAATATGATAGTATGTACGCCTCCGGTGAACGGCTGTAAGAAGTTGCAAGTATTCTCGTAGTATGATTGTCTCTCATGGTTACTTAGACTAAGCTGAAACCGAATCCCTAACGCTTCTTACATACTCCTTGTTTATGATGTCAATGTAGCGCTTAGGATGTACTAGTCATGCCTTCTTCCCCCAAACATTAGCTCACCGTGTAATGAGTACAAACATTAGAAGTCAAACCAGTGACTCTCGGCGTAACCTCCAAGTCTACAGCGTCGCTCATAAACCCCGTCGAGTCCTTCGCAGAAGAGAACAAGGCTTTATAAGCTCCAGAGTCTCTATCCTGTAGAGACTAAACCAGCGCTGCTGGATCGCCCGTGTCATTAAACAGTAGACTAGGCACACCGCGCTTCTAGTAGTTATTAGGGCAACGTTGAAGCGTGGAAGAAGCGGCGACTCTACGACCACATCCGTGGTTTGCCATGGAGTAGCAAATGCCATTAGCAGCTAGACAATTTCGGTCAGTAAACTATCTAAAAAAGAGTCTTCCTGGGTTTTACATACTAGCACCGCCGGGATCGGATTCTGTGTGGACCACATGGGCCTCATAAGGAGTAACGGTAGGGTTAGAGCAAGCTTTGTTGGTATTCACATCAATATGTTGCGTCTTTTCACCATGTTAGCAAACTTTTGCTGCGTGGCCTTGGCGTACACTACTCACAACAACGACACCTTTGTCAACTGAGAAATGGGGCCTCTCCCAGAGGAAGCAGACATTGAAGGGGCCACAAGTGCCAGCATAGCTAATGGCAGTAGTAACACTAGCGTAATTGGTTAGTTTTAACAGGACATAGAGAAAATGAGAAAAAGCTTGTAGTATTACTTACCTGTCAGGAGTATGAGAGATAGTCAGTCCAAAAGTACTGAAAAAGGTTGACAGAACCTTTGTCCACCCTTTGCCAAACTATAAAAGTGGTCAATAAACATGTCGTGCTAAGGATGAAATTTCTGGTAAAACCTACCCCGGGAATTTGGCCACTGCCGCCAATCGTGACACCAGAAACATGAGTGACGGACACAGTTTTTGTGATGGAACCTGTTCCACATAATGAACCAGACTGGTAATGGTAGTACCCGTAGACGTTGCTGTTAATCGATTGTCGAACACCACGTGAGATCAGCTTGGTACAGGCACTATTGCAGTGCAGCCTGGAGTCGTAAAAACAGCCGTCCGGGAAAGCTCTCTTATCAATATGGCTGGGGAGAGCAATGCTGGTGTTGGCATCAACTGCAGAAGCAATCAAGGTCTCTCTATTGATTCAAAGATTAGTGACACAAAGTTACCAACTTGTATCCTGAAGCAATGCTCTTACTGGTAGGCTTGAGCGCCCTGATCCGAAGAGACCAAATTGCCCTGGTCATCTCTGAAGTCAGATGTGGCCATGACATGCTCTTTGAATTGGTCTAGGCTGAGTGCGGATATGTCAAAGTCTTGGTAAACGAAATCTTTGCCGTCTATGACAGTATGTTTCTCGACCATGGGGACGTCCTTGTACAAGGAGTTATCGGGAGTCCAACTTTCATAGTCGAATGCTTTCCACGGCTCATAACTGGCGTCGTTTCCGTTTCCGTTTTTGACAAACAACTGTGTTTCGGAGCCAGGGGATGCTTCTGAAGCCGCCACTAAGTGGCCGAAGGCCAAAGCTAGAACAAACGATCCAAGCATATTGATGAAGTGTAGTAAGGATGAATGATAAGATGAACGCTTGGTTTGATTTCTGGATTTCAAGTTCAAGTTTTTGTGTCTTATTATATATGCCATGGGATCACCATCATGTCAACGTAGTTCTGAATCATGTGAGGAGTTGCCTGCCGTGTATGCCGTAGCATGAGTCGCACAACTGCAATCCAATATGAGATAAGGCATGGCACGAGTCGTTCAACTCTAATCCAATCTGTGAGAAGGCGCGGATGAAAGTGTGGGGTTCGTCTGTAGTCTGACTAGAGTCAACCTTTGTAAAACAAGCTTGGATGGGTCTGAGTTATGAGTCCCACCCGACGTTTACAATCTTAATCAATGGAAGCTATCCAAACTCAAAGTTGCTCTATCACGTGTAGGCCTTGATTTTAGTTCAAAGGTTATTAAAGGAGCACAAGCTCATTATTGAACTTTAGCAAAGATGTCTAGAATGCAATAGGCAGGTCAATATAATTGAAATATTATCAACGTCAGTGCATTACGATGATTTTATCTCTTTGATAACATGGACTGACTAATGACGTGAATACCTTGATCGACTTCATGCCCTTGACTGGTAGCCACGTGCTTTGCGTCACGGTTATTCGGCTTTAAAATGATAAGGAATACCCTAAAACACACTACGTTATTGAAATTCGTCTTTTGATTGGAGGATCTGTAATGCAAACTCAGTTATATCCCCTTGCCAAGAAATGACAAACATTAGAGTAATTCAAATGATCTTGGGGACCAACTGAATCATTGGGTCTCAAGACAATTAGACATAAATAACCGTGAGTATTCGCCATAAGCTTATGTTTGTTATCATCAACCTGTCCCAAATACATCATCGTCGCCACCAATAACAGCAACAACTTCTGCCAAGCATGGTTTCTATCGCATCTACCAACCCCGGTGGCCGGGTTTCTTCCTTTTTTCTGGCCCTTCTCTTTTTTCTTGGGTTGGCAGGGTATTGCAATGCAGCTGTTCAGTGCACTATCATCACCAGTGACAACTGTGGTCGTACTAAGCATCGTTTCAACCACAAGTTGCCTACCAGCCTAGGAAACACGTTCTATGCTGATGGCTTTCATGGTGGCACCATGTATGCCAAGTTTCAGGCAATGCGACAGTCTGTTACAGGGTAAGTTCCGTGTGCGTGTTACCAACCAATTCGTGCTCTAACTTCACGGCTTCTAGCAACAATGACTTTGTCGACGTGACTTACAACTTCAACCTTGGTGCATATGAAGGCACATACTGGATCCAGCTTCCAACATCTTTCGGAGGAGGCACCACGTGTTATGCGGTCTACAAGAACTGCGACGTCACTATCAAGTTCTGGAACAGGAGGGATTCTCTTCCAAGCACTTATGCTCTGGTGTAGATACTCTAAAAGTAAGGAAAACTCGTCTTCGCCCTCGTGTTGTGTACTAACTTAGGTTTTAGGCTCGAATAAATCAACACCTGTCATTGACCATCCATCGCGACACTGTCTTCTGAGCTCCTGGGTATCAATCAGTGGGAGCACGGAAATTTGATCGACAACAGGCACTGCGATTTTGCTTTTGAGAAGGGCATTGCCAGGGGAGTGTCTCCGAAATACGAAGGCCGGTTCAGGTCTCAAACTGTGGCAAAGGCAGTTGAGCGCGGGAATTCGCGTAGAGAATCCCTGTCGCAGGCTTGATGCTCTTTGGAAATTATTCCATCGTGTGCAGGACGAAGCGAAGAACCTGCGCCAACACTTATAGAGTACAACCTTTTACACATAACTTTGATAAATGGAAAGCTTGCACGGCTCTATCCAAACATTTGCACAATACCTGCGTGGCAAAGGAGACATAAATGCATAAAATAGATTCCCCTAAGAAATCAAACAGCTTACGGGGCCACGTGCAAGAAAAGATTCCCCAAAAGATTCGTCTTCCGTGACTCTTTAAATAGAATCACCTTTATTTCGTGGTGAGTTTGAGAAGAAGCTAGCTTCAGATACGCACTAGTCAACCATTGCTCATGATGTCGATTTTTGAATGTTGGGTGCGTGTGAAATGCAGACGTGCGGAAAGGTTCAAGAGACAAGCCTCCAAAAGGGGATTGGAGTTACGCGGGTGCATCCTAGACCCTTGAAACTAGTAGATAAACGTGGTCGCCAAACGATTTTCTGACCAAATGAATTTCGTCAGCGCATTCTGCCTCAACTAATTGGGTTTTGTTTTTGGCTACTTGTATACGATATTATAATTGGCATGATCCATTTAGCATTTGACTGTTGTGATGGGGTGGTGAGTACGTAATAGTAAGTTTATATGCCAGGTAATCATTGCTGGCTCGTTCATCACAGGATAAGCACTTTAGCTACACAGCCCGTCCATGCTTAAAATCCCCTTTCTTACGCAATAAAAGTAAGGTGGCCTTGCGAAGTCTTTGAAAAACAGTGCTAAGATTGGCGAACATTGCTGTTTTCAAAAGACCTTCCCAAATCAATCTTCATAGAGGCCAAATCAGTCGAGCAAACAAAAAGCTCCGGCTTTAATCTTCCAATCGTGGGGCAAGCCAATGGAGATTGAGATTTAAGGGGACTGGTAGGGCGTGCTAGTGAGGCAAATCAACGAGTCAAGTGATTATGGTTCTCGTACGGGGGCGACTTGTCAGCTGCAAGCTAACCGCTTGTTGATATATTAAGTGAATGACATTTCCACGAATGTGGGCCAAAGCTGGGGCGAAGGAAGTGTTGTGGTATGACAGCCATAACAACCAGGTCCACCCTTTGAAAAACAAACCATCCTCCAAACCTAAATCTGGAGACTACTTATAGTCTTTAAGCCTCATCCAGGACCCTTCCCCTAAGCCGCTGTTCTCTGTTCATCCTTCCCAACTAAACGGCTTTCATGTTGTCAAGTTTCGCGTCCTCATGGCCCAACTAATCTTCTTACATTCCACGTATGCTTACTTACACAGCCAGGTATTCCCGCATTTTGGTCGCCAACTAATGCCGTATTCCCCGCGCTCGGCACCTCTGCCGCCATCTGTGCTGCAACAGGCATGGTGGCACTGCAGATTCCCCCACAATCCTGAATCCAGCACCACGGCACATGGCAGTACGGATGGTGTGCAACCAATCAAAGCATGCGATGACTTCAATCAAAATGCCGCTTCGCTTACTCTCGTCGCCCTTTTCTAATTAAAAATTCTCATAGCGTTGGACTGTAGTAGTCGCGATGGAACCCTCGCCGTACTTAATTGGTGGAATCCCCGCTAGATGTTGTATCAATTCTGAAATTTTGCCAATGAAAGCGGGGGAAAGCCGCACTTATATTGTATCAGCCATGGCGCTCGCTCGTCTGGTTCCGATGTTTCCTTTTATGTTGGGTTCCCGTTCCCGTGATGAGACGTTATGGGTGGGTAGGAGCCGTGCCAAGTGTGCTGCCTTTCATCACGGTGTGTTGAATTGATGGTGTTGGGCAACTAGAGTGATGGAATGAATTCTCAAATCACGAAGAAAAAGCTGCTAAATAGTGTCGATAAATATCATGCGTCTTCCCAAGTAAGAGAATATTGTTGTGTAGTTTGCTTCGTGTCTCAAAATACTTGCAGGTTGCTGTCCTGTGTTGCAGAATCCTTGGTGACCCTCCTTGATCAACGATTTTCTTGCCTTAGTTGGTTCCAATAAACTTCTGTCAAAATGAAGATCGCTGCCTCCATTCTTGGGTTCGCAGCCCTGGTTGCTGGTCACGGATATGTTGATAACGCTACGATCGGCGGAACTTACTATCAGGTTTGCCTTCCGCAATATGATCCTCAAAAGACATGACGCGCTGACTGTAATGTAGTTCTACCAGGTAATTCGCTTTCCTGTGGACTTTGGTTTCCAGACTGTTCTGTTGCTCTACATGACTAAAACACGAATCAGCCGTATTCCGACCCATACTACTCAACTCCGGTAAGCCTTGCATGCCTCTCTATCAGTCAAAGTGCTTGTGGTCAAACTAACACCCTTCAGCCCCAGAGAATCTCCCGCGCAATTCAGGGCAACGGTCCCGTGGAAGATGTGACCTCGATCGACGTTCAATGTGGTGGATATACTGCGGGAGGAGTCGTCGGCTCCAAGCCAGCGCCGCTGCACGCCCCTGCTGCTGCCGGTTCAACCGTCACTCTGCGCTGGACTCTCTGGCCTGACTCCCATGTAGGCCCTGTGATCACCTACATGGCCCGTTGCCCTGACGCTGGCTGCAACAACTGGCAGCCCGGCACTTCGTAAGAAAATTATTCGGTTGTTCAAAGAAAAACCAAGAAACTAACGTCGTTCGTTCCAGAGCCGTGTGGTTCAAGGTCAAGGAGGGCGGCCGCACCGGAACCTCCAACAACTGGGCTGCTGTAAGTTTTTATCCTAGTCTTCCGCCTCTCAAAACCAGAGGTCGACGACGCTGACATCTGCTTATGCAGACCCCTCTCATGGTCGGCAACTCGGGTTACCAGTACACTATTCCATCATGCCTGAAGCCCGGATACTACCTCGTCCGCCACGAAATCATTGCTCTTCACGCTGCGTACGCCTACCCTGGTGCCCAGTTCTACCCCGGCTGCCACCAGCTTCAGGTCACCGGTTCCGGAACCAAGACTGCTACCTCGTTGGTTGCTATCCCGGGTGCATACAAGGCGACTGACCCCGGTGTCACGTACGATGCCTACAAGGGTATGTTAACTACCGTCCAGCCATTGCTATTGCTTTCTAAAGTTTTCGTAGCCACGACGTACACCATTCCCGGTCCTGCTGTGTTCACATGCTAGATTAGCGCCATTCATTGATGATCGACGTGCCCACGCTTGATGCTTGCATTTGCATCTATCCAACAACGTTTTACCTTCTTGTAGATAGTCAACTATATCGCACACTTCAAACAATTTACCAGCTCAAGTGCTGTTTTTGAACTACAAACCGTACAATGTGAAGGCTATAGTGAAGCACGCGTTTGCAATGCCTGGAGGAATGAAGTTCCGAAAGTGTTGGTATCACAGGATACCCGTAAAGTGGGATAACTGAAGGGGAGAGACTAGTCTTGTCTTGTTTCTAGCCTGCCTGTCTTTCGGAATTAGTTCCAGCAGAAGTGCTGGAGGAAGTGGCTGTTGGTCTTACTGCCGTCAGTCGGTCTGCCCGTCACGTGGGCAGCCCGGGTGCCGGCAGTCCTGCCAGCGACGAAGCCACTTCAACCCGGAATTCCGGCTATTCCAACAAAAGGATTCCTCTGCTCTGCGACAGTCGAATTAAGGTTTTTCACCCTTTCGAAAAAATGCCGGCGAAAGTCGAGTTGGTTAGCGTCGTTATCATTGTTGCCAACGGTAAAAATTGCTATCAGGACGGAAAACGCAAGCTTTATGGAATCGGGAAGTTGAGTTTGCGGCCTCAAGAGAAATCGAAAGTTCAATTCCTGCTCCTGGTGACTATGCTTTCACCAACAGCCGCCTGCCGCCAGGGGTAGGTGCCCCGGCGGCGGCGGCGGCGGGGGCGGCGGGGGCGGCGGGTGTTATATGTTATAGTTTTGCCTTTGTGACTATAATCAGTCTGGTTTTTTGCTTCGTTCCTCCAGGCTTTTTTTCTAGGCAAAGCACTTGAAGACGCTTTGTCTATTCTTGTAATAGCTTGGAAAGTGTAATTCATTCTCTCTTAACTCTGAGAGTCTGAGAACTATAATTGAGAAACTATAGTAGTAAAAAGCAAAAGCGAACATAACTTTGCACTAACACATATTAAACCAATAGGTCTTTTCAGTTACTTGGACATTCAAAGCATTCTATAGTAAAGGCTAAACTTGGAGGGTTGTCACTTCGACATGGAGCACAAGTTCGCGGTCGTAGCAACCAGGCGATTGATGAGCCTGTTGTGCATCGCAAACGCCAACCAATAACATCCTCGATAGTCTAGTGGTGAGGATATCGGCTTGTCATTCTACGATTCGCCGGGGACCGGGGTTCAATTCCCCGTCGAGGAGATTCTCTTTTGCACCTGCGCTCGGCTGCTCTCACTTTTTTGTCTGTATTTTGTCTGCTCCGATGACCATTTGCCATTTGTGGAAATTAAGGGCGGGGGCCAGTGTAGAGTGTTCAAGGATACCATGAGAAAAAGCCCTGTTTTAGTAGGAGTGGGGTTGGGAGTCGTTGGTCTTCAGCGGACCTCAGCAAAAAGTGGAGGCACTAGGCCTCAATTTACAGAATAAGTCACTGCATCTAGGAGATTACATCCAAGCAAACATTTGTGATTGATTGCTATGTAGAGAGGCCCCCCCCCGAGACATCATTGGAGGGGCGTGAAAAGAAATATTATGTACACGAACGAATCATTTTGTGCGCATAGAGATCAATTATCCGCACAAAAGTTCCCGATTACTCAAGTTCCAGTTGAATATCGCAGCAACCTCACTAGGGAACTAGCCCTGGGAAGCGTTGCCAAACTCATCTAGAGTCCAAGGGGTACCTGCGTCAGCAGGGACGCCCTTCAAGCTGCTAAGTGCATTTAGCAGGCAGCACCGCTGCCGCTGGGGATGCCAGAGCACTTGGTGGACTTCTTGCCACCAGTGACGCTGACGCCGGACCACTTCCAGTTGGAGCAGGCACCGGAGGCGCAGAGCAGGTAGACGTTGGTGCCGGAGGAGGCGACGGAGCCGGTGACCTTGTTCAGGGTGAGACCGGTGATGGGGACGCCGGCAGTAGGCTTGCCGGTGGGGGAGCCGTTCTCGTAGTCCTGCTCGATGACGATACCGTACTTGGCGATGTTGGACAGGGTGATGCCGGAGTACTCAATGTCGGAGACGGAACCAGTGGCGCCGTAGACGGTCTTGATGCGAACACCGTTGTCAGAGTTGGAGATCTTGGAGTTGGTGATGCGGACGGTCTTGACAACGTTGTCCTTGCGGCCACCGACGGAGCCGATGGAGAGACCGTGGCCACCAGAGCAAGAGCCACCAGTGAAGGTGATGTTAGTGCCGGAGTTGATGGCGAGGCAGTCGTCCTGGTTCTTGACGGTGGCGCCGGAGATGTAGACACCGGTGGAGGAGCCGACGTCGAAAGCGTCAGTGTTGTGGCCTCCCTTGGAGTCGCCGAGAGAGTTGTCGAGGGTGACGTCGTAGACACCGAGGTTGGTGACGGAGTTGATGCTGAAGGCCTGGACAGGGGTGTTCAGGGCGTTCAGTCCCTTGATGGTGGACTGCTTGAGGCTGTGGGCGAAGAAGAACTTGGGCTTGGTCTTGCCGCCGTTGCCTCCCTTGCCGTCCCACCAGCGCTGACCCTCGCAGTCAATAGAGTGACCAGCGGCACCGTCAATGAGAATGTTGGAGCCAGAGAAGGAGATGAGAGGTCCCTCCCACTCCTTGTAGCCGAAGGTGGTCTTGCCCTGGAAGGTGACCTATTTGGGGAACGACATCAGTATGTGAAGATGGAAAAGGCGAGCTGATTAGGCAAAGGGGGTCGTGGGGAACTCACATGAGTGCCGGACTTGAGGCCGGTCAAGTCAAGGGTGGTACCGGCAGGGACGGCGATGTCCTTGAGGACGATGGTGGTGCAGCTGGCCTTGCCCTTGATGGCAGAGGCAGCATCAGTGAAGGTGCAGCCAGCGCGAGCCTGGACGTCAGGAACGGGAGAGGCGATGGCAGCGGAGGCCAGGGCGCCGAGAACGAAAAGGGAAGAGACCATTTTTGCAGTAGTAGAGATGTTTGGGTTAAGAGAGTGACTTGCGATACGCAGTATCGTAATGTATAAAGTGGAAAAAGGAATGTATCAGGTTAAGGAAAGAAGGATGAGCCAAGACTCGAGAATGGTAGTAGATTGGTGGGTTTGATGTCTTGGAGATCTCTTGGCTCTCTGGGGGAGGATGCCATGGCGGTTTATATCCAAGTCGTCGGATCTCTTGGCAAGGCTGGAAGAGATGGGATGCCAAGGCCTGTCATCAGCCAGCAGTTCGCGTCGTTTCCTAGCCTGCACTATTCGATATCTTCAACAGGCAGGTTGGAAAACACTAGCCGAGTCAGTTAGATGGAAATGATGGAGCTTGGGGCTAGGAAGATGACCCCCTTGCAGAGAAACCAGAATGCTGGGGATGCTCCCTGCACAACCCATGCCCGTACCCCACACCAGCTCCTGAAATTCATGAACCACACTCCTTTCACGCCGAAAACACCTGCCACACGGGTTCCATCGTCTAGATTGACATAAACAAGCAATGGTGCCATGTCGAAGGCTAAGGCCTGTTGAGCAGGCCCCTCCGGGACTTGTCCCGATCGAAACTAGCCGTTCATGCTACGTCGAGTTGCCGAGTTCCGTGCCGTCTTTTCCAGCCTCAACTGGGGTATTACAACAGGTCGATATTGCAATTGCAGCAAGAAAACAAGCACTTTTGCAAAAAAAAAAAAAAAATAGGGGTTCATGTTGACCACCAGTGACGCGTAGCTGTTATGTCGGCCGTCCAGGGATGTGTTTGACATTCACACGACAGGCCGAATGGGTTGGTGGAAGTTTATGGTCAGACAATTTGACTCTTAAATTGATCAGAGTTCTGCTAAAATGAGATGCCGTCCGCTTGACGTGGTGGCCCAAGCCCGAACACGTATAGCTCGAGAACTTATGGGAGTGGGGTGCAGCCGTTGGCGTCAGAAGAGCAATAGAATTGACTTTCGGAAGAAGCACCTTTTCATTCAGACGACATCCATGGCTAGAATGTTTACCCTCCATTCATTGGCGGGAAACCTCCCAACAGCCTCCGTGTTTTGAATCATTCATCCCGTCGGCAAGCTCCTCACCTGACTGAGGAGTTAACAAACTTCATCGTCATGCAGACCACCATTTGTCGATCACACAGATAGACCTCATATGATCTCCTTAATTGACGATTCTCCCTCTTAACCTAATCCGTCACGGCAGAATTTCTCCTGGGCCCGACGATGGATTCAAGATTAGAGTTTGGACCATCTCGTGTTCACGCGGCTGAAACAACAGGGTCTAATACATGCAATTCTGATCCCATTTTGCACCAGTCAATTGATTACGTCCAATTTCTACGTCGTATTTGCTCGGATTTTTCGTCCTCCCGCTTATTGCGTCGAGAGTTTTCCATCTCACGGGCCGTCTAAGCTTAGGTTAGCTCTAGTCGCCAAACATTTCCAATGTGCATCCATCTTCAGAGAAGACAGAATAGTAAGCACGTGAGGGTCGCTCAGAGACATTTTCATCGGCACACATCTTATCAATCTGGAATTCGCACCCTTGCGGTAATATGGAAAACGGCACCGAATGTCTGACAGATGCCATCCAAAGATTGCAAAGGGCGGATGAATGGGGTAGCCCAGCGGGATCAAACTTGGTGGCCATTATTCCCGAGTCAATGTGACGCACGAGTTGTCTCTTCTCTCAAATGCGGGCATCCACTGTAAAAGAAGAAAAAATGGGGCATCTAAAGACTCCTTTTCATTTTCTGCCCATTCTACAAGGAGACAAAAAAAAAAAAAAAAAAAAAAAAAGGTGACCAGAGAAGGCCTAGATCGCGGCATTGAGGAAATAAAAAACAATGGAGCCAGAGTAAGCGACTGGTGAAGAATCTGATGGTCTAGACCTGTGTCTTGATTGCGGAGTGATTTGGAAATGGGACCACACCGGCCACGCATGCCCGCCCCCCATGGGTCGTGCGGTCACTTGAATAGATCCAGTTAGACCAGGACCCAGTTTCTCAGTCACTCAACATCGCCGCCTGTAAAAACCCCCCTGTGTAGAGGCCTAAATTCAGCCTAGCTTGCTACACTCTAGGCCCAGAGTGATATGGTCATCATATGCGCAACCATTTCCTGGTCATTTCTCGATCCCCTACTTTATGTCCGCATAGAAAGAGAAATGTTCGGGTTCGCCTACGGGAAAAAAAGACCAATTAGGAATCGGCGGTCTGTCCTAGGTCACTTATCACATTCATCTCGCCTTCACCGTTGGGGGGGAACAAGCGCAAGTGCCGAATGTTGAGGAGCAAAATGATGCGATTACAAGAAAAAAAGGAGCCGCAAAGTTGTCGTCACTTTTACCCACATCAAAGGCTTAAAAATGGGTGGCCTCGAGTAGACTGCGAGTTGGAAGTACGACGTGAGAAGCCGAAAACGAGAAATCGGGTTGCAAGGGTCTCCGAGTTATCGAATTACCCACATGGCACACACAATCAATCTGAACATCGCCCGGCGTCGGATGCAACCCGACGTGAGAAACGCCGTTTGCAGGGTTTCCATTCTTTACGGCTCTTCAATAAATACTGTTTACTAATTTGATTCGCGGAATTGTCAGGCGTTGTATTATGCCGATTGTAACTGTACGCCTACCCAAAGTTCCCTACCCAGATACTGTCGTCTGGCCGAGCTCCTTTCTCAACTCCAGGAAGGGAGCAAAGCCTCCTTTCCTCCTCGCTCACTTGCCATTGCTTGGCCTCCTCAACCCTCGCCGCAATCACCATCATCATTCCCGACTCTCCGTGCCATGCATTGTGGCAGTGGAACGCCCACACACCCGGATTATCTAGGACAACTCTGACAACAGCCCACCCGTACCCCTGGACGGTAACGGTATCCCTTCTTAACGGATTCTCCAGAGCACCAGTCGTGATAAGGTCGTTTTCTAGCTCTTCCATGGACTCTGGAGGGTATCCAGTGGGAGATTGTTTTAACACAAAAAACTTGTGTCCGTGAAGGTGAAAGGGGTGAGCTCCGTCGTCAAAGTTGCTAATTATGATGTCCACGGTTTCGATTCCTACAGTCTGGTACACGAACTCTTTTTCCGCATCAAACATGACTTCGTTTACTCCAGTCGTATGGGGCAAGTTAGTTTCGTTGTCAGCTTGCGCGGCGTCAAAGATGCGATAAAGCGACGGAGACGTAATGTTCCCATGCCAGGTTGACTTGTTAAAAAACCCACGCGACAAACGCCAAGCTCCGATTTCGAAATTGGCGCGAAGAAACATGGACGATGTAGTAGGTGGTGCTGCTCTGGCCTCAACGGGCCGAAGGGTAGTGGTGTCCAGATCGCGACAGTCGACGTCAATGGCGTCGCCCCAACTTTTGCTCTTCGGTTCTGCCAGGGCTCCAGCCGCAGCACCAGTCTGCGTCTCACTATACCGGATGATACCCCTCACTTCTGGATCAAGATTTGGGTTCTCCTCTGCGAAACAATGTGTAATCATTCGTGCACGCATCCAAAAGGCATCTTTGGTAGTAACATTAGTGTCGATAGCCACACTGTAGCGTTGAGCTGGAAGAATGTTGAGACGGTGGAATGGCGCAGGCTCAACCATAGTTCCATCCACTTCTGTTATGTAGAATGGATGCTCGTCAATTTCGACTTGAAACTCAGCAAAAGCACCGGTATTGATGAAACGGAAGTGGTGTCGTTTGTTTGGTGTCAAGTCGAACATTGCTAAGGACTCTAGCCGAGAAGCCTTGTTTTCGCAATCCCACCCATCGAAGTCGGCACAACTGCGATAATTTTGTCCATTTATGAGGCCACTAGACGGCACAGGTTCATCATTCTCCTGGTCTGGCTGGAGATAATCCATCAGTAACTCGGCAGATGTGTTGTGATAGTGGTCCTGGATCATGATCACGCGATCGCTTGCGTAAGTCTCCATCAAGCTCTTCTCGTTCGGAGAATGAACAACCATGGGACCGACTAGCCCATCCGAAGCTTGAACACTATGATGCGCGTGGTACCAGTAAGTTCCCGACTGGCCATTGACGGTGAACTGATAGGTGAAGGTCGTATTCGGTGCAATCGGGCACTGTGTGACTCCGACAGTACCATCCATAGAGTTCGTTCCGTTTTGATACATCCCATGGAAATGAATGGCTGTGGCGTTGATTGCTTCATTTCGGACGTGAACGACAATAGTATCCCCTTCATTGCACTCAATGAGCGGCCCAGGAAACTGATTATTGATGAGAATCATCGGCCGAAAGATGCCATCCGGGTTGAAAATTGCATCTTGAATTTTCCAATGATATTCTCTGACCCTGCCAGCCGAGGCGAAGTCCCATGAAGAGTCGAGGACATAGTCAGCGGGATCCCTTAACTGCGGTATAGATGGATTTGACTCTGTGGTTTGAGTCGGTGTGGCTGGGTCCAGGCGTTGAAATAATGGAACAAAACGGTCCAAAACGAAGAATAGAAGGAAGAATATGAAAACCCCCAGAAGACTAGCTGCTGCCGACAGACTCCTTCTCCAGGATGTAGTCCTTCGAAGTGTTTTTAGATGATGTCTGTTGTCTTCGGATTCACCATGTTTGAGGAACGGAGACTTCTCAATGTCATCGTCTGTCACTTGGCTGAAGAGCGAGGAATCTCGGTGGTCATGGTCGCCCAGGTCGGGCGTTGGACTCCACTGTCCATCATGTTCAGTCTGTCGCTCAACTTCCATATCGTACACCATTTGTCATCGTTGTATTCGATGTCAAAAAAAGGTTTGTCGAGCACACGTTGAAGTAGCTGGCTATTGTCACATCTAGCTCCCCATCAAAGGAAGGTCGATGTGGTGGAGAGGCGAATTGCATGCATGTCACCCTACTCGGCTCGGTCGGCATCACTAGCTGCAACACGTGCTCGAAGAATAAGCCACCGCTGGACCAGTCAATGTTCGGTACCTGCTGTCGGAGACAAAGAATGAAAATGAGGGGAAATGGTCACCGCAAACGCAATTCGGGTTAAATGCAAATGTCTCTCATCCAGATGTGGATTGTAGCTGGAACGCCCGCTTGGCTCTGTTCTGGCCTGGGGGGTAAAATGTGCTAAGCATCTCACAACGGTGCTTCACAACTCGCTGTAGGCGAAATGGTGACTTGTTTCTCCCTAGTGCACACATTCCCAACCAGGTTCTATACTTTTCTTAATAGATTGATTTTTCAGCCGCTTGGGGGGTTTGTTTTTTCTAACGCCTTTTCCATTGAACTGGAAATTTGGTCCGCCCGTCAACTGAAATTTTTCCTCTACATTCTCCGCCAATCGACCTTTTGGGTTAAATTCCAGTGTAAATTGACTCGCGGGCTCTGGAGGCCGCGGCATCCTTTAACTGCCCAGGGTGTATATGAAAAACCTCAGCGTGTCAACATGACCATTTGCAACAGCATCAAATCTGGTATTTATTACTTGCATGAACTTTGACACAATTATGTTTTGAGTTTCAGAATGATTTGAGACGCGAAAGCTGAATGTTTTGCCAGAACCTTATTTACCTTTTTTGCGGATAAACACTGCAATTTCAGCACATTGTGATCAACTTGGCCCTTTTTTCCGCATCTATCGCAAACTCATGGGTCATCATGATAAAAGCATACCCAGGGATACCCAGCGCATTTGTTGCTAGCTTTACTCCGCGTTATTCTCTACGGTGTGTTTTGCTTGTCTTTTCGAATTATGTCATGTGCGACACATGACTTGGAGTTGTATACTTTCTAGGCGAACTACTATGATCATTTCCTACGACTAACACAAGCTCCTGGCTAGTCTCTATCTTGGAACTAGAGACATTTTCTCATATAGACACTTTTGACTGTCTCCGTTCTGGGTTGCCAGCGAATAAGATACGTTACTTGAGCAGTAGATAGCCTTCTATGCACGCATGTCTCATTCCACTTACTACCTATGTCATAATTGCAAGCGTACCTGCCGTTATAAATTTCTTTATAAAGTTGTGATTGGCTCCAGCCTGCCTTTCCATTTCCATATCTTTTGCTCAGGCCGCGCTTTACAATTATGTCTGGGCCTATACCGGGGCAAATTGCGCTAGAACACGCTACTTATACCTTCACAGCTCATTCACTGTCATAAGAGACTACTATGAATGGAATTATAAGCATATACAACATGGACGGAAATTAACAGTTACAGAAATGTGTATATTTCTCATCATAGGGGCCATCATGTTAGATCACCAGTACAGCTCGTATGTTGTTCGCCTCTCCACAGTTGTTCTTATAATTACTAAAACACATCTTAAAAACTAGAACATACGATAGGTCTTAAGAAAGATGGTAAAATCAACTCGTCTACCTCTCTGAATGAGTTAAACCGAAGTGCAACGTCTTTACCAAGCTAATTAGCCCATTTAGGATGGCCTAGACCGCGGCTTGCGCTGCAAACACCACGTGGTTAGACATCGACATTCATTGGCCCAGATTCAAGACAAAAATGCCCAGCAATCACAACCCAAGAGGCGAATCAAAAGCCGCTTTCACACCCAACGCCAAATCCTGTCTGGACTCTGCAAAAGTGCCCACCCCACCCGCCGTCCCGCCCCGCTGACCCCGAGCGGCAAGCTGGTCCCGCTGCACCTGGATAGCAGAATGTCACCCGTCAAAGGCTGTGGCTCATCATTTTTTTACGCTGCCGGATTCCCGAGAGCGGTAGTTGCCGCAGCTGAGGGAAACAATCATAACTAGCGTCGTGCTCTGCTTCTCTCTTGCTCCCGGAAATGTTACCCATCCCTCTCAGGTCCTCTCACTCGTTTGAAGGCTTCCTGGCATTCACTAATTCACGATGCGTTGCGTCTCAGTCTCGACCTTGTTCTTCACAGTTGGTGCACACGCGGCCGCTGTTAAATCCAAGGCAGGATGTCCTACCGGCTGGGAGACTTCATACACTGCCACTGCTACAGCTGCGGTAGCTGCTGCTGCTGCGACGGCCAAGACGAGCAGTCCAACGAGCCATGTCAAAGGCAAAGCTTTTGATCGATTCGTCGTGATTTGGAACGAGAACACGGACTACGAGAAGGCACGCGGTGATCGTAAGTTCAACCCACACCCCACCCATGCTGCATATCATGATGCTGACACCTCGCAGCCAACCTGTCGTGGTTGATCCAGAGGGGTATCCTTCTGGATAACAACTTCGCCGTGACCCATCCGTCGGAGCCCAATTACTTCGCGGCAGTCTCTGGTGACTATTTCGGTATGCAAAACGACAACTTCAACCGCGCCGACCGCAACGTGTCCACCGTGTTCGATCTCCTCGACACCAAGGGTATTTCTTGGGCTTCCTACCAGGAGGACATGCCCTTCTCCGGCTTCGAGGGCATGGCTTGGGTGAACCAGAAGAATGGCGCCAACGACTACGTCCGCAAGCACAACCCGCCCATCTTTTTCGACAGCGTCACGCGTTACGAGCAGCGCCTGTCGCAGATCAAGAACCTCTCCATGATCGACAAGGGCGCCTCCATGTTCCACCGGGATCTCAAGGAGAACAAGTTGCCTCAGTGGATGTTCATCACGCCCAACATGACCTCGGATGGCCACGACACTTCCGTCACGGTCGCAGGCACGTGGACGAGGAATTTCTTGGAGCCATTGTTGGACGACCCCAATTTCATGAGCAACACGCTTGTGCTCGTCACCTTCGACGAGAACGAGACGTACAGCCACCAGAACCGCATCCTCGGTATCCTTTTGGGTGATGCGATTCCGAAGGATAAGATTGGCACCACCGACTCCAACTTTTACAACCACTACTCGGAGCTCTCCACGGTGCAAGCCAACTGGGACCTTCCCACGCTTGGACGGTGGGACGTTGGCGCCAACGTCTTCCAGGTTGTCGCTGACAAAACCAAGAGCGTGCTCAGACAGTGGAGCAGTTCATCCAATGTCCCGGATCGTTTCTGGAACCAGTCGTACGCTGGTTTCTTCAACGTCAAGGCCGCGAGACAATACCCCAAGCCGAACCTAGCTCTGGAGAAGAACGCAGCCGGGAGAAAGATCCTCGAAAGAGTGAAGAAGATCTGGGAGAAGAGCGATGCGCCTACCTACTACCAGGATACCATCCAAATCCCCGATGGTCTTAACCCACCTGCTGGATACGCAGCTTAATCGAGCATTAGGCTCTAGATTCATCCATCATAGATAACTGTAATGACCTTACGTAGAGTCATTGACCTGTAATGGAATTTTCCCACCTTGGAGAATATTGAGTTCCCTTGCAGTAACATTCACACGTATTCCCACCAAAGAACTTCGCCATCAAGGTGACATGGATGACAGCCTATCACCGGTGCCGAATTGATCAGCATTTCCCTCGAGAATGTATGTAAACGTCAACATCCAGCCACTCGGATGAGCCGTTTCGTTTCGTGGTGTACAAAACCAGGTCGTGTGATGTCGTTGACTTGCCCCACGAGGAATCATACGCGGGCGACAGGGGGGAAGCACTTGGAGTGGAGAGCGACCATCCACCTCCGCCCCCTCAAAAGTTGCTCCCTCAGGAAGGTGGGAAATGCCAAGCTGCTAATTGGACACTCGACAGGGGACCATTTCCTCCGATATCCACCCACGTGGGCTGTCTTGGCATCGCAGCTGGGCAAAAGCTTGGCCTTTCTTTTGCTCTCTCTCCACGTCCTCCACAGCATCGGAGAACTAAAAAGGTTCAATAACTCCACCAGATATCACTCCGCCTCACGGCATCTGATATCCGATTACTGAGGTGTTTTTTTTTTTCGTCTTGGCTGCCATGCTTGGAATTTATGATTCCCTCGTTGAGTTGCCACTAGAAACGACAGGAATTAGCGTGAAAGAAATCGGTGTTGGTTTTGGTTAGTGTATTTCGTTTCGCGAGGGGGTAATCCTGGTCCAGAACCTGAAGCCAGAAGACGCAGACTTCTCGGCGTCTGCTTCTGATCGCCAAGGGTCGGGGCCTGTCTTTTGGAGTTCTTGGGCGCTTTCTCAACTTTTCCACCCTTTCATCACATTTTTTACGCTTGTGTCTGTTAGCATAGCCATTCTCACAGACTTCATCGCTCTGGCCCAGGGTCCTCGCAGTCCATACAACAATGGCATGACTGCCGTTACACTCATGATCTTTTTCAAGGCCAGCAACTCCTGAGACTTTTTCTGGTGAAAATGGCGTCTGCAAACCTTGCCCGATTTCTATCAGACTTCACCCTTGGTTTCTCCGATGGTCTCACCGTCCCATTTGCTCTGACCGCCGGTTTGAGCTCCCTCGGCCGCAGCGAGACTGTCATTTATGCCGGACTGGCGGAACTCTGTGCGGGATGCATCAGCATGGGTATCGGCGGTTACTTAGCTGCGAGAGATGCTTCGCGTCAGGACCTTCAAACGCCGTCGCGTGAGTCTGAAGAGGAGCAAGGCATGCTTCTCACAGAGCGACATAGCGAGGAAGAACAAGAAGAAGCAGAGGAAAAGAGTACAACAAACACGAGTAGCGAAGCTGAAAAGGATGTGCGCCGGTATCTTCATCCGCTCAATCTCCCGGAATCGACGATTGCGACGGTTATCGAGGCCATTAAGTCTCAACCACAGGGAACCATCTGGGCTTCCAAAAGGATACGAAGCTCCGAGTCTTCACCAGAGCTCAACGACGCTGTTGCTCTTCAAAGTGGTTTCTTGGCGTCGCCAATCTTTTCAGGCTTGTCCATTGCGCTGGGTTATCTTGGCGGAGGCTTGCTGCCTCTGATTCCCTACTTCATCGCGTCGAATGTAGGGCAAGGCCTCCGTTGGAGTATTTTCATTTGTCTCGTTGCGCTATTAGCATTTGGTGTTGGTAAGAGTTGGGCTTTGGGCAGCAGAAAAGACTCTTGGAAGTGGTGCTTATGGGAAGGTGTTCAGATGGCGTTCTTCGGGTTTTGCGCTGCGGGCGCTGCGGTGTTATGTGTGAGTATCGTAGATCAACGAGCCCAATGACATTTAATATGAAGATTTCCAATTGGAAGAGCAATGGCGGCTGCATCATGCAAGTGGTCTTTTTTAACTGAATTATTTTTTGATTAGATGTGATTGCCGCTGCGCGTCAACGCACCCCACGCGCTGAGTAATGGTTGAATTGGCGCTGTAGCGCACTAAATGTGGAATGGGTTGGACTTCGTGATTAGTGAACAGCGGGGATTTCCGACCTCGGACACAACTGATCAGTAAACCTTCCAAGGCAGCCAGCCAGTTGACGATAGCGAGCAGTGGGCCTTACTAATCAGCCACAATCTCAATGAAACTTGTGCGAATCAAAATTTCTACCATCAACTTGATTATATGTTTTGCCTATCGAGTTTGTTGTCGTGGTTTTTGAGACCTGCCAGTTGCTGACATGCATGACCAAATGCACATCAGGAAGCGGCTAGTTAAAGGGTCCAATGAAAGATTAGTGTGGTTTTTTTTATTGACTGCAGGCTAACTACCTAGCATAACCTGCCTGTTAGACCTTGACAGATAGATATACAGCAACAAAATTTAGCAACTGCGAAACGAGGGACTTTGAAAGGACTAAATTCCAGAGGAATGCGAATACTATAATTTCTCCTTCAAAGTTGCCGATACTACTCTAAGCAAAATCCTAAATATGTGCTTCCATCGATAATTCGTGTTGTGGTGATGCATCAACCTATGTGCGTCTCAAGCGCCTTCAGCGACAGACCAAACGTCCAAAATGATCAGTGCCTTCGAACAGCCACAACCCCATCGCCAAGCATAATCCACTTGTTGCTTCTCATTCCCCAGTGTTAGGTACGTTTCAAGCCGCATAACGTCATTATTAATGCAACCTACGTGCTGGATTAGCAAGCTTTCTGCAAGCTTCGTTGCCAAGACCGACCACGCCGCGGACACCGGAATGATGGAAGCTCCCGACTTATTTTCCATTCCCAATCATCCCAAGATTCACAACTCTAATACTGTAGTTGAATTGCATTTAAAGACGTGACGTCTTCCTTTCCATCTGTCTTTACATTCCCACCAGCTCATCGAAACATATCACCCCAAGCACTCACCCTAACCCCACAAAACAACACCAGCATCAGCCAAACCAAGTCCACCTCACAATGGCTTCCAACAAGACCTATCTCATCACCGGCGCCAACCGCGGCATCGGAAAAGGCTTCACGAGCCTGCTCCTCCAGCGCCCCTCAACCACTGTCATCGCCGGTGTCCGTGACCTCTCCAACGATTCTTCCCAAGCCCTCACCTCCCTCCCTAAAGCCGACGGCTCCAAACTCATCCTCGTCAAGATCGACTCCTCTGTCGAAAGCGACCCGAGCACGGCCGTCTCACAGCTTCAGAAAGAGCACGGCATAACATCTCTGGACGTCGTCATCGCCAACGCGGGAATCTCACACTCCAGCTCTCAAGTCCGTGAGGTCCCCGTCGAGGCTTCGCTGGAGCATTTCAAGGTCAACTCCATCGCGCCCCTCCTCCTCTTCGGCGCCGCCGCCCCGCTGCTCAAGAACAGCGAGAGCCCAATCTTCGTCGCCGTCTCCTCAGTCATTGGAAGCAACGGTGCGCAGGAGATGCTGAACCAGGGCTTCCCAGGAGCCAGCCTGGCCCCGTACGGCGCGAGCAAGGCGGCCCTTAACTGGCTTGTGCGGAGGTTGCACTTCGAGGAGCCCTGGTTGACTAGCTTTGTCTTCCACCCCGGTCTGGTTGAGACGGATATGTCTGCGAAGATGGGTTCTGATTTGAAGGCTGCGGGAGCTATCAGTGTCAAGCAGAGCGTGGATGGGATGGTGGCTACCATTGATGGCGCAACCAAGGCGACTAGCGGCACTTTTAAGAACCACGACGGCAGCGATTTGCCTTGGTGATTTAGAAGTGCTTCTTCTTGGCGGAAATCTTTCCTTTGTGGTATTAGGCAGTTGAGGAATGATGTGTCTGGGGAACAAGATGCTGCTTTTGCCCACACTTTGGACTCTTTTAGTACTTTGTAACGCGTTCAAATGCAACAATTATGAAACTAAACTAGTTTGCTACCACTTGTGAATACCAATAAGTACTTCTCAATTTGTAAAGTGTACTGCTAAAGGATTCAAATCGGCGCCCTTGTTTTCAACACAAAGGTTTTAGACCTTCGGGCTTGTTTAATTTTGGTGGAAGAGGATACGTGTGAAAAGAGGCAGGAGAAACTTCCGTAGTTTACACTCACTGTACACTACAGGCCGAAATTGAAAGGCGGAATTTCTCTGCTTCAAGACCCTTAAAGACAAGGTATCTTCCTATTGGGAAAGAGCTTCTTAAGTTCATCAAATCTCGCCACAAACTCCAATATCTTTGCCCTAATGATGTTGTCCTTTGATGTATCCGTGATGCTGTAGATGCCCGCCGTCGCCCAGGAGCCAAAGGCCAAGAGAGGGCCAACCATAGGAACAAGACCGCCAACACCAATCACCATCATTAAGCTACAGTGTCGAGTCACTCGCACACGTTCAACAGCTTTAGAGCGTTGAAAGAATAAACGCCCTATCATTCTCGCAGATCTCTTCGTGTCGATCGCCATGTGGCTCAAGAACATCGCGAAATGCTGGCAATTCCATAGAATGGGTAAGTACTTCCCCCATCTTAGACACATTTCAAAACCTTTCTCTTACATAAGCCCCTCGTTTATCATGAAGTTAGGTTGGATGCGGAACTCACCCCGCTGTGAGATCCAGTCGTTTGACCACTTCGTTAAGCCAAGGTCTTGGATAGTGGTGATGCTCATGACCGAGGCCGCTGACCACCTTGTACTGTGATGTACATCATCATAGCTGTGGCTGGTAGTTGAGAATAAAAAACATGCTTTTTGAGATTTGTGAACTCCAAGGTCGAAATAATCAGCGTCAAGGAAGATTTGCCGACACGTGGGGCTCGAATAGTCGTATTCACCACTTGGAATGACGCATAACGCCCAATGTTGACGGATAGGCAATACGTCGGAAAGACTGGGTACCGCTTGCCCCTTTCCTATCACACACCAGTCAACACTGGTAGCAGCTTGCTGTTGGGATGCTAGAGGGCACGAAACGAGGAGACACCGTCGAGCTGGAAGTTGATCAAACGGATCAACTGTTTTGTTTGCGCCCATGATGGTTGCATTGATGGGTCCTGTTCTGTATTAAACATCAAACATCGAATCTCTGTAAGAAGGAGTTTCCGAATCTCAGCATCTTTTAACGTCTGCCAAACAGCTTGTGGATGGTGTTTTGATCTGGCATTGGACCGTAATTCGTCAGGCAGCAACGAGAATCGCTACCCAGTGAAAAGCTACTTCACAGATGGCTGCATGCTATCTTTTAACCAAGAACTAGAGGTTCGTCGAGACGTCACTGGTTTGTTCTGGCGGATAATGACTTCTTTGATCTCTCGCAGTAGTGCGAACTTGAAATCATCTTTGAGTCACTACTACAAAGGCACTCTAGCTGTCTCTACCTAGGATCTATGACTTTACATTAGCATGGACTGAAACTTCTGGAAAAGTAGAGTGAAAAACTGGAAGCAAGTTCGTCTTGACAGAAACTCAAAGATGACGAGGGCCACGCAGATATTGGAACTTCCAGGATGCACCATGACTTATCTAATGGTATTTCGAGAACCAAGATGGTTGCCCACATTTTCATGTCAAGGGAACAGCTGTGGCGGTTTTCTTTTTTTTTATGCCTCTGCTGGTTTAGTTGCAGTTTGCCTGCTTTCAGTGGCGGCCTATCCCATCGACTGCGGCAATACGCCAATTACCCCTGAGCCCTCCTTCACCAGCTAGTTAAGGTACTTGGCACATTGAGCCTCCTTCTTTTGAGTGGTCATCTGCGCGGCGACTTCGCTTGTGGTATGAAGTACAACTCGCAAAATCTGACGACAGGGTAAAAACACCCCGTTTAGGGCTTGAAAACCGATTGAAATGATTTTTTATTCGCGACTCACCATGAAGCTATCAGTTGCGATGAATAATAGGATGCTCTTTTCGCTTGATCTGGTCCATACGGTGGAAAGGCCCGAAAATGTCTGCCCTTATGCCTCCGCAGCTACTATTGACTGCATGATGCACGAAATTAGTTCCCATGCATGCGCGGCTTGTTCACTTTGCAGGCCCAAAACGCCAGTACTCGTGTCCAGCTGACAGCTGTAAAGTATGTCTGCCTTACATGCCCAGGAGCTTCGTCCATGGCGTAATATGATTGGCGCCATCCAATGTGTAGCCTGATTCAGTATTGTTCTTGCATTCATCCACGGTACAACGATAACCAGCTGCAGGACCCTGCCAATTAGGCAGCCGATCTGTTTTGACGTGGCATACAGCTGTGGCAAACGATTCGCTTGCAGCAAGCCTGGGCGTCCTGCGAAATTCCATAATGCTAATGCAAAAATGCCGGAGTCCCTCTACAGAAAGGCGTCATCTTCATCCCATCTCTCAGCAAAAGTTGTGTGGAAGACGATAAACTAAACTGCAGCAATACTTTGCAAATACTCGTTGCCAAGTCAACTATGAGGCATCTTTCCGCCGTTCATTTTTACCTTCTCCTATTTGCTTTTGGGGTCGGAACTGCGTATGCAGGTGGGTGGGATGATTTTTCAAACAACCTAGCCACCGATCTTGCGCCAATTCTGGCCCTGTTCGGTGAGCAAGTCACAAAACAGTTCCTAAGCGAGTCTACAACGATATGGGACAATGTCATTTTCGCAATGGCACCCTTAGGTGTTATTACGGCAGTTGTATCCGCGATCCGAGTCCGCGGCGGATCTTCCTTACGCGCATTCATTGGTCGAGCGCAGGAGGGAGGCGGTATCGCTGAGGCGGAGCTTTGCTCGTCTACCAGTCGCGATGTCTGCGAACTATACAACAACGGCGCTATCGTTAGGGTATTTGGACACCCTAAGATCCTTGAGATTATTTATGATCGCAAGGCCTCAGAGGAAGAATTTTCTAGGGACGACCCAATACCGTCGGAATGCGGCATTTACCTTTCTCGAGAATACCTTGGAAAAAGAAGGTTTGGTACCTTTGACGAGTATGAGAAAACTGCTTTTGGTACTTGGGCCAAAAAACCATCTGATGATGATGAAGAAACCCAGGCACTCGCACCTGACAACGCATTTGCCCCAAACCCCAATCTCTCATTCAATATAGGGATAAGAAGATCGCCTGAAAAGCTTACGTGGCTAGGAGCTGCTGTTGCATTCCTTGCGCAAGCATCCGTCATAGTTTTTGGAGGTCTTGTCACATCATGGGGCTGGAAGAAAGATGAAAATGTGCCGCCCCGTTGGGCCTTTCCTCTGATGTCATTCGGAACAGTCGCATTATGCGGCGGAATGTTCTACTGCGCGTTCTTGGTGGAAACCAGCACCGAGGAAAAGATGTTCCGCAGGGTGGTCAGCAAAGATAATGACGTGGATGCAAAAGAACATTCATCCACTTCCACTCTCTATGTGGTTCAGCCAGGAAACCAGACTATAGGGGATCAAACTTTCAACTCGTTCTTGTTTGACGATTCTACAGCTCCGATAAACCAATACATCACATCCCGGAGGGCACCGAAACAGGTTGACAATCAGCTAGGAGTATGGATTGCGATTTCCGCAACGATTTTCGGTTTTGTCCTCCAGTTTGTGGGCCTGAGAGCCATGCATTCGGCCGTTTCTGTTCTTCAACTTGGGGTGATTATAATCGTCAGTCTTATCCGCGCAGGATTGAGGACACAACGCTTGCGCAACAAACACAACCTCTTGCATAATCGTTCAGACGAAGTAGAGGGCCATGAGCTGGATTGGCTGGCTTTGCAAATGGGAAAACATGGAAAATACAAGGACAAGCACTTTAGCTGGGTCGTTAGCAGTCCGGTCTCAAACGTGGACTCCGCCGATAATCACAAAAATAGTTCAGAAGGCAACGGCATCGATCATGACAACAGTCTCTCCAAGGAGCCCGATCAGTATTCTCAGAAGGACGTAAAAGTCGACAGAGAGACCAAGATAGCCTCAAAAAAGAGTTCAGAACTAGGCTCAATTGCAAGAACGTTCCACCTCCGATCCCGGTTGGCAGAATTGACAAGCCATACAAGGCTCAAAAAGTCAAAATCGTCGACAGCATGGGATGATCGCCTGGTGCCTGTGCGGCAACTGGCTCAAAAGTTGAGGAACGCGATTGAGAGTAGCATCAAAATTCTTTTGCCGAAAGAATCACGCTCAAGTACCGAATCACTTTCGTGGAATCTCTTTGTGGCAGAATATGTCTGCGGAGAGTCCTCGTCTAGCACTGAAAGAATCTCGCTTAGTATACCACTCCAAGGTAGCAACGAGAAGCCTGAGGCATGGGACATACTGCAACGGCATCTAGAGGCCGTTTTGGGCCTATGGATATGGTCAATCATGTCCGACCCTCGGTTGGAGGAGCGTGACAAGTTCGACTACAGGGTATCGAAAGCGTCGGAATTACGTTCTGCTCGCATCATAGCCATTGGAACGACTGAGGAAATGAATCGTGCGAGAATAGAAATAGGCCTTTGGACTGATGATTTTCCTACAACAACAGAGAGGGAGTTGACGGCGGAGAGTGATCGGATGCAAAGGGGGCCAGACAATCTATGGAAGACTCAGACAAAGAAGACACCAGACGAAGAACAGATTCACAACTCACTGGAAACGTCAAGTTCAGTAACCTCCTGTACTAACTCGCTGTTGCGCCTCTTCGGTTGGCAACTCTCAACGACGCCATCTTCCAACTGCTTGCCGACCGAGACGTATGCCTTGACAGTTAATCTCAACCATTCCATTTCTACAGCTTGCGCCCACGACATATACCAGTCGTTCCTTTGTGCCGCGGCAGAAGTTCTCGATTACATTGAAGGACCGGTACAGTACTCAAAGGGAAGTAGAGGCTTCTTCCTTGAGCATGAAGTGATTTCCGGTCTCGCGGAATGCTTCCAGAAAAGTAGCCTTGGTTCCTCTGAAGATGCTTTATCCGTTATCCTTCCAGCGCTACGATACCGATCCAAGTTGCCTCCTGTCACGGCCGCTCTTCCTAGGGTCTACAATGAAGCTGAAGACCTGAGGAAAAAGAAAAGTTTCAAGGAGGCGGAGGATGTGCTCAAATGGGCCTGGGAAAACGCAGGGAAAATGATGGGGGAAGAGAGGACTGCCGGATTAGAAGCAATTATGCTACAATTCGGTGAACTTTACCGGAATGCGCTATTTTGCAAAGATGAAGCCCAAGAATTATTCGCTAAAAAGGGAATTTCCTGGATGAATGAAGAATCACACAAAAGCTCACACGACTCGCTTGCGATGATTTCGGATCGCTACGTAGCGCTCTGGCAAGGAGAAGTGGACAAGTCGAAGCAAGTAAAAGCCGAAGATATTATCGGTCCACTCTCAAGGGGCGATAGAACGAATACTCTAGCGTTGATCAGCCAAGCCACAGAACTCGTATACCGGGATGGCGACGGTCGCACAGTTCTATCCTGGGCAGCTCAGCAAGGTTGGCCAGAAGTTGTCAAAGCAGCTATAGATATTGGCTCAGCGATCGACTCCGAGGATAAAGATAGAAGAACCCCATTGAGCTACGCTGCTGAGCGCGGGCATGGCGAGATAGTGAGAATTTTGATGAATAATCGGGCCCTCCCAGTGGATTCATCTAATCGAACTCCTCTTTCGCATGCTTCTGCCGGTGGTTATGTGGCTGTATTGGGCGAGTTGCTCCCTGATCCTCGTGTGAACATCCACGAGACTGACGATAACGGATACTCAGCCTTGCACTGGGCTGCGGAGAAAGGTCATGAGAAAGCAATCGAACTGCTCTTGAAGCATAAGGCCTACATAGATGCATTCGACAGGAATGGCTACACCCCTTTGATTGCCGCGCTGCTCGGACGCCAAAAAGGCGTTGCAGATTTACTGATAGAAGAAAAGGCAGATCACAAGATCAAAATCGATTCTATTGAGGCGTGGCGTTGGGCTATCAGAGAAGGGGAGTGGATGTGTGCTGAAAAACTACTCCGGCTGTTAAATAAGGAGGACCAGAACAGCACGTCGAGTATCAAAAGGAGAAGAGCTATTGTATTGAAACTAACTCACCGGGATTTACCTCTCAGAGTTAGAGAGGATTCTCCGGTGCAAGTGCCGGAGTCCGTCCTCTCGACGTGTATTATTGATGAAAATGGTAGACAGGCCTCAATCTCCGCCGACTCAGTCCAACTCGCCGTCGACAATCGCTACTATGTCAATATCTGGCTGTACGAGGTTTCTGAAGGAGGACAGACATGGAAAAGCCTTGATTTCAACAATGAGAGGTTAATCAAAATAGTTGGTTGGCTGTTAAGTGAGGGTGGAGAACAAGTCAAAATCACGCAAGACATCGTCGAGGCGGCCGCGAGAGACACTGAATTCGGTGAGGAGCTAATGAAGCTATTGCTTGAGGAACGAGGGGATGAGATTACGATTACAGAAGAAGTCGTCAAGGCAGCTGTAGGGAACCAGGCTTATGGGGAGTCTATATTCAGGCTATTGCTTGAGAAACGAGGGGAGATTGCGATTACAGAAGAAGTCGTCAAGGCAGCTGTAGGGAACCAGGCTTATGGGGAGCCTATATTCAGGCTATTGCTTGAGAAACGAGGGGAGATTGCGATTACAGAAGAAGTCGTCAAGGCAGCTATAGGGAACCAGGCTTATGGGGAGCCTATATTCAGGCTATTGCTTGAGGAACGAGGGGATAAGATTGCGATTACAGAAGAAGTCGTCAAGGCAGCTGTAGGGAACCAGGCTTATGGGGAGCCTATATTCAGGCTATTGCTTAGGGAACGAGGGGATGAGATTGCGATTACAGAAGAAGTCGTCAAGGCAGCTGTAGGGAACCAGGCTTATGGGGAGTCTATATTCAGGCTATTGCTTGAGGAACGAGGGGATGAGATTACGATTACAGAAGAAGTCGTCAAGGCAGCTGTAGGGAACCAGGCTTATGGGGAGTCTATATTCAGGCTATTGCTTGAGGAACGAGGGGATGAGATTACGATTACAGAAGAAGTCGTCAAGGCAGCTGTAGGGAACCAGGCTTATGGGGAGCTATATTCAGGCTATTGCTTGAGGAACGAGGGGATGAGATTGCGATTACAGAAGAAGTCGTCAAGGCAGCTGTAGGGAACCAGGTTATGGGGAGTCTATACTAAGACTATTGCTTGAGGAACGAGGGGATAAGATTGCGATTACAGAAGAAGTCGTCAAGGCAGCTGTAGGGAACCAGGTTGATGGGAAGTCTATACTAAGACTATTGCTTGAGGAACGAGGGGATAAGATTGCGATTACAGAAGAAGTCGTCAAGGCAGCTGTAGGGAACCAGGCTTATGGGGAGTCTATATTCAGGCTATTGCTTGAGGAACGAGGGGATGAGATTACGATTACAGAAGAAGTCGTCAAGGCAGCTGTAGGGAACCAGGTTGATGGGAAGTCTATACTAAGACTATTGCTTGAGGAACGAGGGGTTGAAGTTACGATTACAGGAGATGTTATTGAGGCGGCTGCAATGAATTCTATGTCCGGAAAAAGGATAATGGAGTCATTGCTCAGTGGAAAGGCAGAGATCAAAGTCTCACATAAGCTTGTGGAGGTTCTTGCCCGCACATTTGAAGAGGATTGGATGCAGTCAATATGGTTGATGTGGTCACAGCCGTCCGAGGATAGTCAAGAAGCTAGGGAAGATATGGTTAGAGAAGCCATCTTGAGGAGGTTTGCAGGTAGTCAGGAGGAGCGCGACATGAAAAGACCGCCTACACACTTTCTGAGTGCGTGGCCATAAATAGGCACCATAGATTATCATATTATCATTTGAGAAAACCAGTTCCTCATATGTAGACACATATCCGACACAACGTGCTCGATCTTCAATCCATCATTACATAGACCTAAAAAATTGCTCATAATAGTAGCAAGTAGGTTGGAGAGACTCAACATCTGCCATCGCGGGTACGATCATTCTTTTTTACTGAGTGCATAAGTGGTTGTGTCATCTGGAAGTCTCTCGATGGCTCTTCTACTACATGAAAATGTGTACGAGCTGTGTGGCTCTGATTTCATCCAATTTTCGTCGCATGAGCTATTACTGACCCTGGTGATTTTTCACCTGTTTTATTCATAAGAGAACTCCTATTATCGTGGATTTAGCGGAGAGTTCGCCAAAGGTAAGTGGAAATTCATCCTTGAACTTCAGGTTAGAGGTTAGTCGCAACTTCTTTGGGTTTGCATAACCCGCACGTATTTCACTGGATACAGTCCGCCATGTTCGATATGGATCGTACTTGGATTCAAAACTTCTTTCAGCTTCATCATATCGCTAGATTTTACCAGATGCATATCATTATGATCGTTGCGTCGTATTGAACGAAGCTTGAGAGTCCTTTCTTAGAAGCCACGTCTAGTCTTGTTCTTGCCACCGTAGAACTCATCAACCCAAGTCTTCAGCTGTTCAATCTCAGCGTCTATAACAGCCTTAAGGTCAGCATTTGCCTCGGCATTTCTCATAAGCATGTCGTTGCAGTGGCGGGCGCCAGGGATGACGTGGACCGGAGCACCGGGGCGAGACTGGAGTGGACCGCCGGGACGGAGCTCACTGGAGACGGAAGCCGAACGCCAGGGGTCAAATTCACTATGCGGTGTTAGTTACAGTTTTCATCAGTCAAATCAGGGCGATTGAGGCCGGGAAAGCCATCAAGGGGCTCACGTACCCATTCGACCAGATCAAGCGAGTGGTGTTGGTGAAGAACCAGCCGCCGGTCTCCTTGTTCGAGTCCTGGGCGGTTTTACCGTGGTTTGAGGCGTAGGTGAACTCTCCCTCCTTGGGGAAGAAGAGATCGCATTGGCGCTGGTAGTACTCTGGAGTGACGAGGCGAGAGACGATAGAAGAACGGTCCTTGGGTGCACCACTGCATCTTTGTTAGCGGCTTTTTTTTTTTTTTTTAGCTGATTGACGGAGTGAAATCTTAAGACTTACACCTGCCAGAAGAAGAAAGGCTCGTTGCAAAGCATCCAGTACCAGGGGCGAACTGGGTTTTGGGCGGTCCAGTCGGTGTATATCGAGCTTGTGGGATCATAGCTGCCGTAGCAATCCTCGATTGCGGTGGAATTCTGTGCTCGAGAGTCATAGTCCGGGCAAGCTATTACGGTTAGTCTGCAATCACAAACAGCCGGGTAAAAAAGTGCGTACCCCCCGGGAGGTAGGACGAGGTCCACCACTTGGCAAAGTTGTCGAGTGCTTTCGGAAGGCCGACGCCGTCCGCGCCGGGTCTCGTTGCGTTTCTTGTAAAGTTGCCCGTGAAACCTTCGACTGCATCACACATGACGAAGAAATCAGAGTAGCCAGAGTCCAGCTGGATTGATTGCCAGAGGCCAAGAGGGCCGACAAGAGCACTGCAGAGTGTCAGCTTCTGGCCTTCTTAACACCTCGGATATATAACTCACCTGGCAAAGTCATCGTTGTGTGAAAGATCCTGCATGCCAAACTTCTTCTTGAGCTGGTAGATCTCATCATCCTTTCCGGAAAGCAGGACGTTGTCGATGTGGTCGATCATGCGTTCAAAATCCCGACTGCAGTTTTGGGGCATGCCCTTTTGAATCGGAAGGAAATAGCTCCAGTAGTCGTACACAGCCTCGACAGGGGCACTGCTAGAGTGATAAGCCCAGAGAGTTCCAGGGGCCAACTTGGCGACGGCAGCGGTGAGCATGCCGGAGTACGATCCACCGGTGGTAACCCAGGGCTAGAAATCGATTGTCAGAGTGAGCCTAGAGTAAGCCAGTCTGTAACTTACGGCTTGCGGCGCGTTGCTGCTGTGGTTTGTGTCGAAAGGAAGTTCAACGGTACGGGCGAAGTAGGCCAAGTCCTTTACGGCGTTCGCCATTGTGTGTTGCTGGAGAGTCTTGGAGTTTTGAATAGCGTAGGGTGAGGAAGTGCCCCAGTTTCGATCTGCTACTCATCAGTCTCGTCTATTCTAAAGAAACCATGATGGCAAGTCTGATCCGTACGTTCAATTATGATGGAAGCACCACCGACAGCCTTGGCAATCTGTCCCGGCAGGGCGCGGTCTGTGATGTATCCACTGTATGCCTCTGCCGCGACTTCACCGGGCGTGAAGAGGACGACCTACATCGTCTCAGTCCATGACACCAACAAGTATTTGGGAGTAACTTATACCGGCGAGCCAGGTCCCTTCCAATAGGTAGCGTTATACCAGTACCGTTGCTGGAAGGTTCCCAGTTCAGGAGCATCGTGATCGATGAGCTGTTCGAAGAAACCCGCCGCGCGCTTGGTAAGAGAACCATCCTCATCTTCGTTTCTCAGAGGAGGCGGGATTGGGATGAAGGCAAAGTGGGCTTGAACGGCTGCCACGCAGCTAAGGAGGGCAAGGGAGACCTTCATGGTGGCAGAGAGGCAGCTGAACTGGCCAAGACGAATTCACACCACAGGACGTCTGCTTCACAGGTTCCTCGCTACAAAAACACACACTATCGAAGAGTCACGGCGAAGGGAACGGCATCTTTAAACGTTGCACAGCATATGGGGTTCATTGGGCCGGCCCATCTCTTCCAAGGGGTCGAGGGGCGATAATCGGTGCAGGCAAATCACGCCAATACGAGAGCACCACCTCCCGTTTTGCGACTCCCGGCGGATCAAGCTTTCCAATGGTCGGCGGGAGAGCCTCTAGCCGGGGCATGACCCCGGCCATCGCATGGCGAGAGCGGTTCTAGCGGACATTGGAAAAGAGTGAAATTTATATGCGTGGGCCTAGGGGTTAGCCGTAAGCGGAAGGTGAGCATTGGACATTGCGGTAGCCCCCAGTTCGGGTGACACACAACAGCAATCCATCAGGAACTTATGTCTCCGGTCAGTGATCCGACCTGCACCATCAGGAAGGTGAACTAGATACGGCAATATTTCCAATGCTGGCGCGTTGGGCTACCTCGGAACCTGTTGTCGGTCAAGGGCCGGTGGGGGGCGAGTGGGAATATGATAGGGTTATAGCGTATTGTCCAATCAAAGATTTGACAAACGTGAATAAATGAATGATTCTGCTCAGATTGACTTTGAACATGCGATCCTAAACTAGAGTTTGGGAACAGTTAACCGACTTGTATTCCTGGTGTGAAGTCAACTCTAAGGTTTGAGTTTGCTAGCAGGGCTAAGAGAACGTGAATTTGTACGAATGTTTTTCCCCCGAGACATTTGTACTTTAAAGCGACTTCAATTACGCTTAAATGGGAATATTGAGTGGTGATTTGAACTGCAAAGGCGTTCTTTAAATGACATTGTGTTCTTGGATAGATGCTCCATTCAGAAACCTCACAGAAGAGCAGTTGAGCAGTTAGTGAAGAGTTGCGAACCTAGAAGAGTAAATCCCTTAAGAAAAACAGCAATAGTGCACTATTCTGACAGCAGCACCTTATCTTATCTTCAGTGAAGCCAGCACAAGCCAGCAGTCCACATTGGCCAATCATGTTGCGCAAAAGGTAATCATCCACGAGGCAGCCTAACATACAAGGCTGCCAGGGAATTCCGTGGGAAGCTCCACACTCCAATCCAAAGCTCCGACGACATTTCAAGATCCAATTGACCAACGACGACGACCTCACTTATCCTCCCATCACAGACCCCAATTGCCGTCACAATGGCCGGAGACTCAGCACCCAGGGGTTCGTTCTACGTCTGCCGTGCTTCATGTATCCCCGAGATCGCTAACGTGCATGACAGAGGCGACCCGCGAGGAGATGCGGGATGCCAAACTCCCCCTCGCCTACCGTGACAGCTGCGCCGGCCTCCTCATCCCCCTCAACCGATGCCGTGCCGAGAGCTGGTACCTGCCCTGGAAGTGCAATGTTCGTTGCCCCGGTGTTCCTCGACCCGCCGTCCGCCGCGTTTTCCAGTTGCCGAACCGTTCCGTGAGCCCTCTGCTAACATTTGCCTTTTCTCCCCGACTAGGACGAGCGCCACAGCTACGAGAAGTGCCAGTACGACGAGTTCAAGAAGCGTGTCGCCAAGATGAACGAGCTCCGCGCGGAGAAGGGTACGAGAAGCAACTAAGGATGGACGACGACAGCCCGGGGCGGCCGTGTCTGTGTACATAACCTGTTATTTTGAAGGACCGGGGCAAAAGGTCGAAAAAGGGATTTGGACTTGCTGTCTGGGTCATAGAACAAGCCGAATTCACGTCATTGCGAATGTTCACTGGAACCTCCGATTTCTACAGCCGTGCGTCTGGTGCGTTGGGACTGCCGTGGTAGGGATGGCAGGTGGGCTGATGCGGAGACGAAGTGGTCGAAACACATTACCGTGGGCTGGGGGCAAAAAGACGGCCAGAAACGGCCAGATACCCGTGAAAAGCTGTTCTGGAAATGCCAGTATGACCAGGGCCGCGGGAAAGATTGCTTGAAATGGGATGGGCTGCTGGTACTGAAGACTGTCTATACACCCTCATGACGGCGACGGAACAAGTTTCTCAGTTCATACCGTTCAATTGACAATGCTAGGTTTTTATAACGCTATCCGCGCCCGCTTATCCATGCGTCTTTGTTCGATCTAAATAGTCCAGCAACCGCTTCTTGATCGCAACGCCCAGAACCTTTGCGGTCTCTGGCTCAAGAATGATCAGATATCTCGGGCCGAGCTTTGCAAACATCTCAAGAACATACTCCATGGGCGCCTCGGCATTTACTGTCAAAGGCGTCCGGTCTACTAACTCCGACATGATGCCCGATCTCAGATCGACCTCCTCGGCTTGGTCTTCGGCCTCGAGGGCCACTTCCAGTTCTACTTCAGGCAAGTATCCAAACAACAATCCCGAGTCGTTGACCAGCACAAGACCCGCATCCATCAGACCTCTCGCCTTTAACTTGCGCAGCTTGTCGGCCAGCACATCTCGGCGTACACGGTACTCGCTACCTGTGTTCAGGGTGATCTCTTCCATGGTTCCCGGGGGTGGAATCAGCTCGCGGGCCGTGACTTCGCGATGCTTGACGACCTCGTAAGCTTGTTCTGCGTCCAAAAACGGATGGCCCAGGAGATGTTGCGAGAGGTCATACACAGACTCCATCGATATGGCATCTGCAACCCACTTGGCGGTGAGAATGGCGCACATCGTGGCTGGGATGTACGTCACCTCGCCCGTCAGCTCGAACATGATGACCGCCAAGCTCACAGTCATCCTGCAAACACCAGCAAGGAACGCCGCTGCGCCGACCATGGCAAAGATACCGGGAGATATGCCCCCGACAAGCTGTCCTATCAGTCGACCAAACAAAGCACCGCCGTCCAACGCAGGGATGATGATTCCGGACGGCACTTTACATCCGAATGTGATGATGGTCAGGAGCAGCTTGACCACCGTTCCGCCTCCCAGCCAGAGCATGTATTTAGTCTTGTCCTCCCTTGCCTCCTGCTCGCAGATCCATTCACCCGTGGGGTCTCTGCAGTCAACCAGCAGTTTCGAGAGGGAAACGTCACCGGTATCCCGGATCAAAACGTTGGGAAACTGTAACAACGCTGTAACCAGCACGACGCCGCAGAGCTCCAACACCGGATGCTTCTTCACGATGTCATACTTGCGGAAGCTCTTGGACCATAGGAAATTAGCCTTGCAAAAGATTCCACCAAACACACCACCACAGAGGCCGAGAAACACGAAACCGAGGTAGTGTACGGGATCGTAGTCCACGCCGTAGTTCGTCTCGAACAGCACCAGCTTGCCCGTTCCCGTGGGGTTGAGTGCCTTGAGGGCGATGGCCGCGATGAGCGAACACAGAAACGCCCTCCAGAGCACCCGACGCGGGAAGTAGGTGCTGATTTCCTACGCTCGACAAGTCAGCCAACACACCCATCCAGAAAGAAACACGTGTGGGACGGGAAACGCACCTCGTAACTGAACAACACACCGCCAATCGGGGCGCCGAAAGCGACGGACAGGCCGGCGGAGCATGCCACGCTGAGGATCTCGCGCATCTTGCGCGGGTTATCCCGGTACTTTGGGAACCAGTTGGCCACGAGCCACCCCACGCACGTCGAGATGTGTACGAAGGGGCCCTCTTTACCCAGACACATGCCCGTCGACACGGCAAAGGTGGCGCCGACGGCTTTGACGAGGAGAACCTTCAGATCCAGAAAGTGCGGGATCACGAAACCTGACAGAATGGTCTTGATCTCGGGGATGCCGCTGCCGGCCGCCATGTACATCGTCTTACCCTCCGCCGTGACCGCCGCGCCGTCGTCGGAAGAGACGGTGACGGCGGGCAGCGAGGCTTTCGTGGTCATGGTCACGTTCCCCGCGACGATGCCGAAGAGCAAGGCGAAAAGGATGTAGACGGCGTAACTGGCAAAGTACCCCCTCGCACCGTCGTTTTCTTCTATCCACGGCTTCCATGCCGAGCACGTTTCGGTCTCGGGCACACCCCAACAGCACCGTCCCCGGTCGAGAAAGACGTTGGGGCGGCAGTAGCCCTCCTTCCAATCGCTCACCGTCGCCACGGATACGTCTACGACGAAGGCGACGACGGCGGTCAGGGCGCCGATGACGGCCGCCGCGATCCAGCCCTGGCTCTGGTCGAACCACCGCGCCAGCTGGCCGCGGATGCCGGGCCTCGCATGCAGACGGCGTGCGCGAGACGCGTCCTTGGTGAGGTCTCGCAGCCAGTCGATCGTGGTGTAGTCGTTGTAAGGGAGGAGGTCGCCCAGCGGGGGCGATTGGCCCAGGGCGTAGTCTGCTTTGGAGACGACGGACGCGGAGGACGAGGACCTGAGGAGGAGGGCCCGGATGGAGATTCTGCTTTGGGACGTTGGGAGGAGGGGGCTTGATTCGTCTGGTCCTGGTGTATCGGTGGCCATGACTGGGTATAGTTTACGACGGGGTTAAGGAAGCAAATACACATATACACGCACACGCACACGGTTTTTTTTTTTTTTTTTTTTACTCGACTTCTTCCCCCAGATTAAATCTTGCGGTCAAGTCTATATATCTTTCGCGATAAACCCCCCCTCCCCCCCTTGACTCGCCCAGAGATAAACCCCCCAGAGTCATGGCATGCACAGTGACGCGCGTGGTGTAGATAGTGGGGGAGGCGTGACAGATAAGGTGCTGGGACGGGATCTATGATAGCTTTAGGACGCATTGATAAGGTCCCGCTGGCGGCAACACGGGCATTTTTTTGGGGGTGGTCAAGTTTGTGGGGGAATGGGAATCAGAATGGGGGGGTCATGTGCTTACACTTAAAACGCCTGGTGTCCCGATGATCTCCAAGCGTCACTAGGTTGGGTTGTTGTTATTCCTGTTCGTTGCTGTCAACTCCGCGGAACACTGCAAAAAGGGGAGAATTGGCATGAATAGAGAGAAGGTCAGATGGATTGCTGAAGGGAGGCAGTGTAAAGATTTGAGAAAGCTGACCCATGACGATCAACTATAATTTTTTTTCTTTTCTTTTTTTCCTTTCTTGGTTGGGTGTTTTTTTATTTTTGGCAGTCTGCCGGGTGAGGCGGCTATATGAGGGGGTATCTACACTAGACGTACAACATAAAAAAGGGGTCCCGGGGAGACGTGATGCCAATTTGAGGGGTCGGATGTATGCTTTCTTGATGGTGATGATGGTGGTGGTGATGATGAAGATTTCATTGTTGACGATTCCGTCCCAAACTCCGGATATTATGAGAGAAACGCCGTCAGGTGCCAGCACTGCCAGACATGCAACTCTTTGAACCATTACTTTACAATTTCCCACGCTTCCCATCCCGATTAGCGAACGACTGCATTTTGTTGATGTTGTGTGATTTGAGGCGAAGGGGACGACGTCCCGTCAGCATGTGACCTTGACCATGGGCTCCCACGGCCTCGCCGTGTTCCAGAGGTACGTGTCCGGCGGGAGACCGTCGTCGGCGGCGAACATGTACTTTACGAAGACGGGGGCGACTTCGGAGGGCAAGGGAGCGAGGTAGTCCCGCTTCTCGTCGACGTCCATCTCGTAGTCATAACCGTAGTCGTCCTCGTCGTACTCGTAGCCGTAGCCGAAGTCGAGGTCGTCAAAGGCGAAATCGATGCCGTAGTTGTGAAAGTCGAGGTCGAGAGCGAGCTCGCCGCGGCAGCTGATCTCAGCGAGGGAGAGGCTCGCCAGGCGGTCCATGAAGTCGTCGACCTGCTGCTCGTAGACGTCCGGCTGGCCCAGGTGCAAGTCGTTGACTACGATCTGGAAGCGCACCGTCTGGATGTCGATGACGACGCGGTCGACCATGGCGGGGAACCCGTAGGAGCAGCCGGAGCTGACGATCCACGACTCGCGGGTGCGGTCGCCGTTGCTGTTGCCGTCGTACCAGATCGCCGTGCCGGCGTCGGATGTGTCGCGGACGATGAGGCGGCGCTCGGCGTCAAAGGTGATGTGGCAGTGCCGAGGGCTGATGCCGGGGAGCTTGGGGAGGAGGATATCGCAGCCCGGATCGGTGCCGAGGACGAAGCCGGTGTGGTTTTTTGGGGGGTTGGTGAAGGAGAGCTCGAGGGCTGGTCTGGGCTTGGAGAGTGATGAGGCCGAGGACTTCTTGGAGAGGAGGGAAGGGTTGATGGTGTAGCTGTTCGGGTTGGGGGTTGGTAGGGGCTCGAAGGCTTCGGGGATGGCGGCGATGCGGCGGTTGATGTTTTGAGGGAGACGGACTGCTTCGAGAGCGGGCTGGTTGGTTGATGAGGGGAGTAACCAGGCGATTACGGTGTGATGATCCATTCTGATGAGATGTGTATTTGAATATGCTGAAAGAGAGAGAATAAAAGACTGAGTTTGACGCCGGGAGAGTGAGATTTGGACCGGTAAAAGAGATGGTGTGTAAGACGATCGATATTAATGAATGAAGACAAGCGATGAATGTGTGTATATGTGTCGCTCCGTATAGACCTTGCAGATTACTTCTGATCCTTTTGATCCTTCAAATGAACGTTTTTTTTATTTTTACTTTTAATGAGTTGAGATGGTTGTTGGATTTGGTTCTTAAGGAAAAACGGAAGAGATCGTGAGACGGAGGAAGCCACTTGATCTTCTTATACACACCACACCACCCGAACGGAGACAGTTGGCGATGTTTTTGTGCGCTAGGTGCGGTGCAAGGTTACAAGGTTGCCGGCCTCCACTGGATGAGCGCAGCGTGTTTTGTTGGCCACACACATAGACAAAACACACAAAACAAGAAACCGACAGCCACTGGGCTGCCGACTGCACGGTGGAACCTGAGCCAAGGAGAATTTTCCCCCTTGCTTTCTTTGGTGTCTGCACTCGTTCAAAGGTAAACAACAAGGGGAGCCTCTCACAACGGTGCCTGATGATCCCCATTCGGCATGGAGCTACTGAAACGGGATGCAGAAGTGGTTGCAGGGCCCGTGGCAGCATCGCGGGAGCGCGTCAGCCAATGGATGCCACGCCACTGACACGGGCTGTTGGCACGGCATCTGCAGCTGTTGGACGGGCGAGGCGCGACGGATGAGTGGTTCGTTAAGAGAAGGGATGGTTTTTTTACGCGCATGGGTTCGCTGCGGCTGTGACTCACTGACAGCGCACACACGCGACGACGACAAACGTCTGGCTGGCGAATGGCCTAGTGTAGATGTCATGGATGCGGCCGGGGTATACTATACGTAGTATGTTTCCTGGCGGGCCTCACTTGAGGTCTGGAGTTGGAGTCCGAAGGAATAGAAATACTAGCTGGCTGCTACTGAGTATGTGGTAGCTTTCGGGAGGCCGGGATGATGGCCAAACGGGACAACGGGACAACGGGACAACGGGATGCAGGAACCCGCAGAAGGGGGAGATGGGGGGGTTAGTGTTCATGGATGACGCTGGTGGACATTTGAAGTTTCCGAGTGCGACATATTGCGCGCATGAGGAGGTGTTGGCCTTTTTGTTTGCTGTGCTGTGCTGGACTATGCTGCAGGTAGTAAAAGAGGCATATCCTATGTGATGACTGTTGGCTTCAATTAGCTTGGGTTGGCCAAATGCGCCGAATACACCGAATGCACCGCGCGCTTGATTTTTAATGCTGACTGAGGAGTCCAGGAATTCCCAGTCGGCGGGGCATTTTAATTGGATAAATGTTTTCAGGACTCCACCTCGGCTCGCTCCTTGGATGGTACGTATCGTTTGAGTTGCTGTCTCGTCAAGTGCTTGATGAGTTGTAAATGATTAAGATATAATTAACCACAGAGAGAACAGGTGTTCTTAGTAAGATCGAGTGAGGTTGAAATATGACGTTATAAAGAGTCACGTATGTGCCAAAAATAGAGGGTAAACACGAACAGATAAGGCAACGTTGAGAATTGAAATGATTTGATGATAACGTTGTGTATAAATCGACTCATCCTCAGTCCATAAAAGAGCTACCCCATACCTACGGGTGCTATCCATTGTTGAGAGCATACACCATAAACAAAACATATTCTCTTAGAGGCTAGATTTAAAATAAAATAGAAAAAAAGTGCTTCTTTCTTTTATTTCACAAACAACACCTGAATCATGTTATCCATGTCACTAATAAAGAAAAAAGAATAAAACACAAATAGTCGATTAGCCGTTTCCAGGTTCTGATGATGTAATCACGCAAACCCCGCCCAACGGCCGGCGCTCCCTCAGCCTGGAAAAAACAGCCGACCCCGCTACAGAGACCCTGAAATCCGACTTTGAGACGCTGGAAATCCTGCCCCGCGCGCGGCGCTCTGGCTGGAACCTCGGCGAAGGACCGTCGAACGCCTTAGCCAAACTTGTCCATACACCCGCCCCGGCACACACTTACTCCCGCCCTGTCATCATACGTCTGCATGACTAATTGAGCTGCATTTCACCACCTCACCTTTCGGAGCGGAACCGGTCAACCCTCGATTACATGTACTTTACCACCTCGACTACTCCGTACTCTCGCCGCTGTCTCCGACACCTCCCACTTTTTTTTGGCTCGCTTCCTTTCTCCCTCAATCCGAGCATTAATTCCATTGTTCTGCGCATGAATACCCATTGGAATTGGTTGACCATCTAGCATTACTACTACACCTGTCATTATCATCCCTCCCCCCGCTTGCGCAATTCCCCATAATCCCCGCCATGCCTGACTTTGAAGCGAAGCCAGAGGCCGGCGATGCGCAAAAGGATTGGCGCGAGGAAACCAACCAGCTCCCTTCCTTCTACTCACCCCGGACGAAAGCCCTCGATCGTCCCTCCAACAATGCCGAGGGAGAAGATGCCGCCTCCAACCAGGAGGCCGAAGAACTAAACTTGTCCGACCCCGCCGCTCCCGTGAGCGCCGAAGACGACGCCGCCTCCACGACGACCACCAACGCTCTGCCTCCCCCGCCCTCCCTCCTTTCGCCCGCTTTCACACCTCCCGCGACCCCCGGCACATCAACGCCACTCACCGGCACCGAAGCCCCGCGTGGCGTGCCCGTTGACAGCTCAATTCCCTCGGGTGGCTGCGGAAGCAAGCGGCCCCGCCTTCTCGAGACCTTGCCCGAGGTGCAGTGCATCGTACGAGCTCGCATCCCCACCGTCACCGGCACCGAGATGTTCCTGCACCTGTACACGAACAACGTCGACAACAAGGAGCACTTGGCCATTGTCTTTGGCCCACACATCCGCAGCAAGTCTCTGGATGCGCCGCGGCCCGGCGAGACCGAGATGGACCGCATGGTGCGCGGCGCATACACCGGCCGTCTCTTCCCTGGTCGGACGACCAGCGGCATGTCTGGCGGCGTCGCCACCCCCGTCGGCGAGGAACCCCCCGCCCAGCGCGGCCCTGCGCTCGTGCGCATCCATTCAGAATGTTACACCGGTGAGACGGCGTGGTCCGCGCGGTGCGACTGCGGCGAGCAGCTGGACGAGGCCGCCAGGCTGATGAGTCTCCCCGGCAACACCAGCGGCGGCATCATCATCTACCTGCGCCAGGAGGGTCGCGGTATCGGTCTTGGCGAGAAGCTGAAGGCGTACAACCTGCAGGACCTGGGTTCTGATACCGTCGAGGCCAATCTGCTCCTGCGCCACCCTGCCGATGCCCGCAGTTACGGCCTCGCGACGGCCATGCTGCTGGATTTGGACCAGCACGAGGTGCGGCTGCTGACGAACAACCCCGACAAGATTCGGGCGGTGGAGGGCCCCAACCGCGAGGTCAGGGTGACTGAGCGCGTGGCCATGGTGCCGCTTTCGTGGAAGGGCAGGGGAGGATTCAGAAGCCAAGAGGTCGAGGGCTACCTAAAGACAAAGGTATGTTGGTCGGCAAATCTCTCTGGTTTTTTTTTTTTTTTTTTTTTTTTTTAATTCGTTGCTAACCCCGTATGGCAGATTGAGAAGATGGGTCACATGCTTGATATGGGCGGCATGCCCTCATGAGAGGGTGTTTTCTCAGAGGGTAATTTGGGTTGCTGAAATGGAGACACGAGGAGGATTTGGTTCATAAGCATAGACGGCGTTCGGATTGACCACGAATACCTGGGAACGGCGTATTGGCATATTTTGTCATCGGGAATCTCTGGCATAACTGTCGTGTCCCATAGTACCTACTGTTGGTTCTGGACTCTTCACGGATGGCAATTTCACGGAAAAGAAAAAATTCACTGAAATGATGCGTTGATGTCGTCTACATATATTTATTGTATATTTATATATATACCTTGGATGTTGGCATCAGTCAGACCTATAAGAGACAAAGAGTAGTGCAGTTTCAACGGGCGTGACCGTTAGATTTTAAACGGTCTGGAAATGCGAGCATACAGTCATCATTCCGTTTGCATTATCGAATACCTTCACTTTGAATTGTACTCATGAATGACATTACCAGGGGAGGCCCGGTTCAAGGTGGGAAGCCTGGAATGTATGCCTTGTAGATCCCCAGCGCACCAGAAAGGTCCCCTGGCAGCCTGGGGACGGCCTCGCCCCACTTTCCAGATTTTGCGTCAGTCGCGCGCTTGGAGCTTCCCCCACGCGTTGCTTCCCTTGCAGCACTTTACCTGGCTTTCCTTTTTCTATTGTATCTTTTTTTATTTTTTAATTCCACTCCGGCAAAAGGAAATACGTTTACCGCACTTCACGTATCCATCTGGTTATCGTTTGTTCAGACCTCGCCGTCGACAAATGACCGGATTCATGTATTGATCACACTTTATCCCCGAAATATCAATAAATCTCGGCGGAGATGGAGAAAGACTTGCGTTTGCGCCTCGTGGTCCGGCGCCACGGCGTGCCTGACGTCAAGCTCCTCTGGAACGCGACTACCAACGAAGACTTGACCATCTCGAAGCTCGTCGCTCAAATAAACGAAGTCATCCCCTTGGAAAGCGGCGAATGGGGCCTCGAGGACTACGCCGTCGAGCTTAAGGATGCCTCCGGCGAGGGCTTCGAATGCGTTCACTACCACCTGGTATCCAAGGTGCTAAAGGATGACGATCAAGTGCTGTAAGTTGAATGCGCCTTTCTCTCCTGGTATTAAGAAGAAGAAGGAAAAAAAAGTCTGACCGGGCATTAGAGTTCGACCTCTCCTAACCGACGACCTCAAGCGAAGACGACTGAGCGGCAGGCATCAGATATCGTCCGATGGCAAGCACCTGGTAGATGGCCTCGCATATGGACGTTCCTGGCTCAAAGCCCCCCGAGACCGGCCTGTTGTAGCACTTCCTCCCAGAAAGAAGGCCCGCATCGCATACAGCAGCGACGACGAATACGATTCTCCCGCTGAGAACGACGACGTTGCCGAGCTTCCGATGATTGAATACAACTCGACTAGAGCTCAGCAGGATCCGTCGAGCGTCCGGCTTCGCGCCCGCTTCTACGATGCCGAATCAGACGGTGACGATGAAGACGACGATGAATTCGAGCCAGGAGACGACGAAGACGACGAAAATGTGGACTCAGAAGATGATGATATCGAGGAGGAGTTGCGTCTCCTCGGCGAGGACAACGCCGCTGTCAGGAGAAACCAAGTCATTGACGAATACCACAAGATTAAGAACACGGCGGGTTCAGATACCAGGCGCGGCAGATCTCCTATTGCGTCGGCCAGAAATGCTCTGGTCAAATCTGCGACTCAAACAGACAGGCCTGATTGGGACATGCACTTTCTCGACAAGCTCAGTGCTTTGAAGGTCGCATTCCCTACTGCGCCTGTTTCCGTCATCGAACAAACCCTTCGAAGATGTGACAAGGACTCTGCAAAAGCGTATCGCAAGCTTGGAAGACGTTTCAGCACCCAGATTGGTCTACACCAGATGCTGGAATTTCAGGAACGGAGTCTGTCCAGCAGCCCCATTCGGCAGACCGAGCCGAACGCGGGACAAGAACTTGTCCGGAGAGACAGCAGCCCGGCCGAGCGCGCTAGTTTTGTGACGGACGGCTCGGACGAGAGCGAGGAAGCCTCTTCGACGCTCAACCACAATGCCCATGTAGACCAAGAACATGAAGAGGGCGACCTAGCTTCAGAATCTGACTCTGAAGCTGGTTCTGGATCAAGTAGTTCGGAACCCGACTCTGAGGCTGACCAGGAAATGGACGACTCTTCGGATGAGCATTCGGGTGATTCCCATGAAGCTTTCGAAGTCATTTCCTCGGACGATTCTGGCGAGTCTGGAGACGAGTCGCCTGTACAGGATGGGCACAGTTCGGAAGTAACTAATCAGGAAAAGCTGGACTCTGATGACGACTCCAACGCGGATGGCGATGCAAGCTCTGATGAAGCAGACTCTGGTGGTTCTAGCACTGGCCACCCGACTAGGAACGAAGCTGCTGTCGACGAATCTTCATCGGATTCATCTTCCGAGTCTTCTTCTGAAAGTAGCAGCAGCGAAGAGTCCGATTCCGACTCTGAGCCGGAGGAGATACCGACCAAAACAGCCACCAACCAACGCTTAGGTCTGCACGGTCGCAAGTCGGTGCTATCGGATTCATCTTCTGATTCATCTTCTGAATCCTCCTCAGAAAGCAGCAGCAGCGATGAATCCGACTCCGAGTCCGAGCCGAAAAAGCTGCCTACCAAAACCTCCGCCGACCAGCACAAGGCTATGGATGCCTTCAAATTACAGCTACCGCCCATGACATCCTCGATTTCTCGAGGCCAGCCGTTTCCACCCGTCCCTCCCGGCCAAGGGTTGTCCAAAACGCAGAAAAGGAATGCCCGGAGGAAACTTGCCAAGCAGATGACCTCTCAGGGTCGTTCCACGCCAGGGCAGAGCAGTGCAACTTCTCAGACATCAGCTGTCGACGCTCATGATGAGCAGGCAGCACTCCTGGCGAGAAAGAAGGCTTTGCTTGACGCCATCATTTCAGACGCACCAGCAGAATCTCAAGGCCAGGAGGCGTCAACTGAAATCACTGGGTCTACTCAAGACTCTGCCCAGGCACAATCCAATAGTCCACAAACCTCCACCACCCAAGGGGACGCGTCTGGCCAACGTCGAATGAAACCTAATGTCGGTGCCGCAAGGCGCATGCTCATGGGCTCTTTGGGCTTGAAGAACCCAAAGACCAAAGCCGACGAGGAGAAGATCAAGCAAGACCTGATGAAGGGCGTGCGGCCACACACGAATGCCCGTCTGGAGGAGGCAAACCTGCAGGCTGGTGAGTCTTCTGGGCCTCAAGAATCATTAGATGAGGATCCAGAGGCCTGGCGCGAGAAAATCACGTTGCGCGGCGTAGAATGCTGCCATGACGGTGTTGTGCTCTCGGAACCGCCCTTTCCATTTGTCCAGCGGTGGGACCCCCAACAGCAGGTGGAGGTATGGTTTGGCACAAACAAACGCGGCGGGAAGCGTAAACGCGCACAGCGCAACCAAGCTCATTTCTATGAGGGCGGAGAATCTCAGTCATCCAAAAAGCGCCGCGTAACCGGCGATAGCGCTGTGACATTTTCGGATGCGGTTGAGTCTATGGAGGAAGGAGATACAACCCTCAACTACGACGATCCTGTCGAGGAACCAGAGGAACCAGAGGTACCCAAGGCCCCAGTTGAAGAAAGCCAAGCTACGGACATGGAGGACTTGCCTTCTCTACCGTCAGATCTCACCACGCTGCCCCTTCTTCAACCAGGAGAGGCCAAAGCCGGCATGGTCATCACCTGGAAGCAAATGGTTCTATCCATTGCGACTAATTGGCAGCCCGAGGTGATCAATTTCACTGGTGTTCTCGTCAGGGTCTTTGACGAGAAAGCCACCGATTTCGAGTTCTTGTTGGCTCGTCGGGATCGCAACATTGACCGGAACGAGAAAGTCTACGACGACTATACGGGCAAGCGGGTATACGACCGCTTCGAGGCCCCAGATGATGACGATGATGAGGACGATGAGGGAATCGACGATGGATATCGCAAGCTGTCTTATGCGGAATTGATCGAGCCCAGGATCCTGCAGCAACCGTTGGCTGGAAAGGAGACCCCGAACGGCATTACAGAGTCTGGCAACGCGGATTCCGGCAGCGCTGTCTCCGAGAGCATAGTTCGTGAGACTGTTTACGACGAGGTCCAGTCACTTCAAGTTGATGGAGAGAGCCCTGGCCAGTCAAAGGTGGGTGAAGATGGAAGTCAGTGGCCAGTCATTGCAACGGATGTTTGAGCAGGGGCTAACGTGAAGGACAGCTCCGGGACAATGAGAACGATGATCAACTTGAAAGTGTGTCGGGACACGAACGACGGGGCTCGGATGAGCCGCAGGCCGAGAACAATAGCAGAGCAGCCGCTGTTGAGGACGGTATTGTAACACCAAGAGCAAAGACAGACGCAAACATCAATCACCTAGCCACCGAAGAGTCGACTTCACAACAATCAGGACCAGGCCAGGATGCAGCTGCTTTGTCTGTTTCTTCAAATCGCCACCGCGAGATTAGCCTCAGTATAGAGGAGGTAGGCCTTGGGAAGGACCTGTCACACTCAATCATGCGACGCAAGACTAGCAGCCCGTCTCGGCAGTTGCTGGAGATGTCGGGTGTGTTGGGCACTCATCGTACTGCTTCAAAATCTCCCCTTGAGATGGATGCGGCTGATGACAGTGCATCTATCGCCCCGGGTCACGATGCTATCCCGCCGTCTTCTGAGCATAGCGTGCGCAGTGGTCGGCAGCCAGATTTGGACTTCAACCTTGATATGGACGGTGAAGATCTGCCACAGATCAACGAGACTATTGTTGGCTCTCCTATCTTGGGAGAGCCGTTATCGAATACACAGGACCAAACCCCAACACAGAACAGGCAGGCGTCAAATGAGCCATCAAGTTGTGACTCGCTACCGTCGTTGGACCTGATCTTTCTCACGGCGACGTCGCAGCGAAATACCCTCAGCGACGAAAGCCCTTCAAAGTCGCAAGTTCTCTCGGAGCTCAACTCTGGCAAGTCGGCTGTGCCGGTCGATGAGGAGTATGAAGCCGCAATGCGCCGCATTGACAATGAGGAAGATGACGTCGAAGACGAAAAGGCGCAAGATTTTGGAAGCACTCAAAAGCAACTGTTTCCCAACTCGAGTCAACCAGCTCCGGAGAGATCTCCCGAGTTGCCGGGTATAGAGTTGGGTGTGGATCCCATTTCCAAGACTGCGCCGTCTTCTTTCAACGAACTGGAGAACGAGTCTAAAGAAATAAAACCTCTGTCTCGGACACGGAAGCGCAAGAGTTCTCCGTTCGTCATTCCGACTGGCTCCCAGGTGATATCTTTGTCTTCCAGCCGGTCCAACTCGCCAGAGGAGGAACTCAGAGAGGTTTACGCGGAAGACGCCATTGATGGCGACTATCAGGAGAGCAGCAAGAGTCTTCCGCGTGGTTCAGGCGGAGTGACGGAGCCGCGCAGGATCAGCACACGGGCCAAAAGCATGTCAGCGGCTCTCGCCGCTGTTAAACCGACAGACAGAAGAAAGTCGGTCCCGTCCAGCACGGCGCCGGCCAAGTCGACTGCGAAGCCGCGGGGACAGCGCAAGTCTTTACCTTGGTCTTAGGAAACGCTCAGCATGAGCAGTATTGTAGGATTGTATGAAGTACTGGTGGATTTCATGTATTTTTATTCGCAACCGCGACGGACCAAGTCCAAGAGCATCAATACCCGTACCTTGTGAGGTACCTTGTTAGCGATAAGGGAAGAAAGCAATGAACAATTTTCGCTTGTTATTAGGTTGACTTTCATAGTGCATAATGAGCAGCATCAAATAGCCGGGACTACCTCGATTGGCACGTCTCGGCATATTGCGTCGCAAGCGGAGCACTCCGTAGCGCCAAGCAGGTTGTACGATCCCAGTGCAGATGTTACCATTTCTCTTGAAAACCGCAATTGTCCAATTACGCACGCCATCAATCGAGCTCGGTCCCGTATTGCCCCTCGACAAACCGATTACTTCAAGGTTATTCAAATGGTGTTACGAGAGCTCTGCCGGTTCATGCCCCAAATACGCTTCGCGGACCTGGCTCTTTCTCCTCTTTAACCCCTGCCGGACATGAACGTCACCTGCCTCGTACGGTGTACATCTACTCGCCAAGATGTTGCACTGCCGTAGTCGGGGAGTAATGGCCACGGCGTGATGATTGACGCGATGGCGGGGACGGCTCGCACCATCATCCTTTCTCGGGTAGATGTGATGACATTTTTTTCGATGTTGACGTTGGGATCCCGCCCGGCCATTCAATTGAGGCCGTTCAGAGCTCGTTGATAAATAATAGCTTGGTGTCTTGGTTTCTGTGCTTCTCAATGGGACAGCTTCCAACCACCGGAAAGCCGTGGTGTTGACTGGTTATAAATCGCAATCGAGTCATCCCCAAGATGCGCGTCCTCGAAAGTCTGGCGCTGAGCCTGCTACAGGCAGGCTTGGTCTCGGCGCAGACCAAGTACGCCGACAACCAAGTCACCGTCCGTCAAGACGGCGAGCGTGTAATCCCCTTGTTCCCCGATGTGGACATTGAGCTGCTCTCGCCCGCATTCACGAACCCGGAGACCGTCCCCGCGGGGTGGAACAATGGCACTTCGGGACCTACGAATCAAGACACCCTAGGTAAGGACTCCAGACAAACGTCAGGGAAATTAAAAGTACTCTTTCACTAACGCCCCCCAGAATCCTTCCTCAGTAGCCTGGCGGATAAACACGGCTGGGCATCATACCACGTCCCCTCCTTCACCTCGGAAGACGGCCGCTCGGTCCCCTACGTCAACCTCTCCCTGTCATCCACCTCGGAGCGCAACAACGGAAAACTGCGCATCTGGCTCCAGGGAGGCGTCCACGGTAACGAGCCGGCAGGCGACCAGGCCATCCTCGCGTTCCTGGGGAAAATCAGCTCCAACGAGACGTGGGCCTCGTCCGTCCTGTCCAAGGCAGACATCCTGGTGCTGCCGAGATACAACCCGGACGGCGTGGCGTACTTCCAGCGGGAGCTGGCGTCGAATTACGACCCGAACCGCGACCACGTCGCGCTGCAGCGCAAACAGACGCGCGACATCAAGAAGCTGCTGGCGGCGTTCGACCCGCACATCTTCCTCGACGCGCACGAGTTCACGGCGAACCAGAGGATCGGCGCGCAGGGCCAATGGGTCAAGAGCGAGGACGTGCAGGTCTCGCACGTAAAGAACCCCAACATCCACCCTGCCATCCGCGCCCTCGGTGAGGGTCTCTTCCTCAACTCCATCCAGGACCGCGTGCGAATCCACGGCCTCCGCACCAGCGCGTACTACACCTCCTCCAGCGGCACTGACCTGCCCGTCCTCACGGAGCCCAGCTCCATCTCCCGCGCCGGACACAACTCGGCCGGGTTGCTGCAGGCGGTTTCGTTCCTCACGGAGACGAGGGGCATCGCGCTCGCGGACCAGCACTTCCAGCGCCGCGTCGCAGCAGGGTTCATCGCCGTCGAGACGCTCGTCCAGACTGCCGTTGACAATGCTAAGGAGGTGTACGACACCATCGAGGCCGCGCGGGAGGAATTCGTCGCGGGGACGGAGGACGTGATTGTCGTGGACCACGCGCGGGTGACGGAAGTGACATGGAACTTTATCGACACGCGCAACGGCAGCATCATCCGCGCTCCGGCGCAGTTCCGCAACAGCACGCCGACGCAAGTGGATCTCGCGCGGGCGCGGCCCGAGGCGTACGTGTTCCCGCGAGCGTGGGCCGACGTCGCGGAGCGTCTGGAGGTCCTCGGCGTCGAGGTCGAGACGCTCTCGGAAGATTTCGTCGGCGAGGTCGAGGTCCTCACCGCCGACAAGGTGCAGCTGAAGGATTACAAGTACGAAGGTATCGTCGAGGCGACGATTTCCACGACGAGCAGCCGCCGGACGGTCCGGGTGCCGAGGGGCGGGTTCAGGGTGAGCACGAGGCAGAAGAATGCCGCGTACGCTTTTGTGACGCTTGAGCCGGAGAATAATGCTAGTTTTGCGACGTATAATATCATCGATATCGATGAGGGCGATGAGTATCCCGTCTTTAGGGTGCTTCAGGGACAATAGGATGATGTTCCCGGGCCCGGGGGGGCTCGGGCTCGGGCTCCGGGGGTGGGGCCGGGTCGGATCGGTGAGACAGGTGGTTTTCTCGTCTGGGTAAATTGCACCTCCGGTAATGGTATCATCTATGGTACTTTTTTTTTTTTTTTCTCGGAAGAATGTCACTGCATTAGTACGTCTCGATTCTCATCCGTCCTTCTCCAATGAAGAAAGAATTGTGGTTCTGGTCGTGTTGCAGTATTGATTCTCACCCAATCATCCACGCCACCTCCCACCTCCCCAAAACATCCTCCACCTTTGCAAAATCCAGTGAAGTGGAAAACTACCATGACGACCTCACACATCTCCTATCTCTCCCGTAGAAACTTGATCATCCACACTGACAAAAACAACCCATGCAGTCGCCAAACAAAGACCAAGCACGCAAAAAGCGCACGCAAACACCACACCGTTCGAGAACCCCTTCCCTCTTCAAACAAACTTGTCCTGTCGCCCACTAGAACGCGCTGCTGCTGCAATGATGACTCCTGCATACTACGCGGAGGGAGGGTTGACTGAAGCCAGTCTTTCCCCCTTTTTTTTTCGTGAATTTTGTCTCTTTCTTGGTGATTAATGAACTATGACCCCCAAGGATAAAGACACGGGCATCTCCTCGTTTCCCGTTCTAGTGGTCTCTTCCATAGTTGTCGCGTCTTTTGTCTGTTGGAAATCTAACGTTCGATTCTCTTCCATTCTCTACATTCTCTGTGAGATATACTTTCACCTTTTATTAAAACGAGCTGGACTCGCTTTTCCATCCACAGTCTCTCTATCCTAGCACATACACACACAGCAAAAATGCATCCCCTCTCATTCCTCCTCATCCTCTTCTCAACAGCCGCAGCGCTCCCCGCAACACCAGCAACACCAACAACACCTCCTCCATGCACCATGAAACCGCCAACCTCGCCTCCACCGCGTCCATGCCTCCCGACCGGCACCTTGCAGCCCATAGACGACAACGACAGCAACAAAGCAAACCCGACCCCCCCATCACCAATCTACACCACGATCCGCTTCCCCTTCCCCTCCAACTCCTCCGCCAACGCCTCCGTCCCCTGCGCCTCCATCCGCAGACCTCTCCGCCTAGGTCCGGCCCGTCTGCACAAAAGCCAGCCCTCTCCGACATCAAACGACAACGACAACAACCAGGACAAAGTAACACCGGCAGCAGTGGCAGCCGCGGTCGCTGCCGTAGAGACGCCAGACGACGGACCCCGCGACTACGCCTCCCTGATCCCGCCGGCCCCGGGCGTCACGCCCCGTCCGGAGCCGAATCTAGCGGAACTGGGATACTACCAGACGACGTACTACTCCTGCGCGACCCGCGGCGTGTCGGTGCACTGCGGATGGCACAGGCCGATCATGGTCGCTCCCGCCAAGGCGAGTGAGGCCGCTGCGGCTGCTGGTATAGCCGGTTCGCGGGCGGTACTAATCACGGCGGTGATCGGGGTCGTCGTCGCCCTGTTCATGACCGGATGAATTGCCCAAAGCAAGCAAGCAAGCAAGCAATCTATCCGTCGAAAGATGATACAATTTCTTCTCCCGGGGGACAAAGACTAGACTTATTCGGAGTAGTCTGTTCGCACGGCGTCGTCGGGCGTATTAGTGCGGTTTGCATATGACCCCCCCCCCCTTCGGCAGGACCCATGGCGGCGCCGCGCCATGCTTTTTTTTTTTTTTTTCTCCTCATCCTTTTGGGCAAATTATTCTTTTCCCACGAGGAAATTCCCCGGCGGCGGGGAGATTTTCAAAAAGGGGGGCGTGTCAAAGCGACTCCTTCAATTTTTCCAGCCCTTTTTATTCTCCTGGTAGACGGGGGCGCAAAACCTAGCTGGCTGGGTAATGATTAATGACCAATAAACGAGAGTGCCTCGCGGCGGAATATGACCCCGGGCAGACTCTATCTGTCAGTAAAACTCTCATTGTGAACGAAAAGACATGAAGGGAATAGGGGGTCCGGACAATTTCTTGTATATCATTCAGTACAGCTATGGAAAGGGGAAGAATGAACACTACCACTCGGCCCTGCCTTGCCTTGCCCGACCCGTCTCGTCCGTCCCGGCAAATAATGAGTTACAAATAAAAAGAGACAAAAAAGAGGCCACGTTCTTTTCTCGCCTTCTAAGAAGCTCGGGTATTTCAGAACACACAAACATGGACTAGAAAATAAAATAGTTTGCTGAAGAAACACAAACAACAGTAGAAGTAGCAGTTACAGCAGCCCCGGGGAGAAGAAGAAGAAAGCATATGGTGTGAGTTGGTTTTGTTTTGGTGGCCGCAATCCCGTCTGCTGCCTCTTCTTCGTTTCCACCTCCTTTATCAGCGTAGTTAAAAGGTGTTACATCAAGGGTTTTGGGGGGTTTTTAAAAAAAAGACAAGATCCACGGGGTGGATTGGTGGTGGGAAGGTCCGTTTGCTGCCGAGCACACAAGGCGTGAGTGAATGAAGCCCGCTTTTCTGTTCTGGCGAGGTCATCGCTCAGCAGCGTGCTACTTGCGGAAGGGGCATCTTTTCCTGCGTCCATTGCCCAGGTCTCGAAGGGCGGGAGTGAGTGTTTTGTGGCATCTACAGCTCACTCCCCTCCCGACGGGACAAACGGTTTGAGGACGGTCGATGCCTCGACGTGCATCCTGAAGTAGCATGCGGGATCGGAGATGGCGAGGAGATGAGGCGATGATGAGGGATGTTTAGCGGCGGGAGGTGAGGACCAAGCCGGTAGGGGTCGTCGTTGCAAAAAGGAATCGGATGGCGGATGGATACATGGGGTTGATGTCTTGGTCGTCTCGTCGTTTACTTCTTGGCCGGGGCAGGGGGTGCCTTGACGTTGTTGGACAGCCAGGCCAGGCCTTCGAGCAGACCCTCGCCCGTCGTCGCGCAACTGGGCACGACGTACCAGACCTTGTCTTTTAGCTTGGAGAGCTGCAGAGCCTCGGTGACTTCTTGCGGCTTCATGGCTGTTTTGCGGATGCGTCGGTTAGTGCACGTCTCTCTTGTACCCCTGAATGCGCGTCTGCACAGGGATTCTGCCGTCGTTGGAACTCACCTCCATTGATATCTTGCTTGTTCGCAAACACCAGCAGCAAGCTGTCCTTCATTTCGCGGTCGTTGATGATTCTGTGCAATTCCGACTTGGCTTCCTCGATTCTCGCGCGGTCGGAGGAGTCAATGACGAAGATGAGACCTTGGGTTCCTAAGAAGAAGAAGAAGAATCGTCAGCGCAGCTCGTCAAATATCATATTCCCGGTTAGGGGCCTAGAGGAAGACTCACCGCTGAAGTAATGTCTCCAGAGGGGACGAATCTTGTCCTGGCCACCGACATCCCAGACGTTGAACTTTACGTTCTTGTAGGTGACGGTCTCGACGTTGAAGCCGACTGTGGGAATGGTGGTGACGTCCTGGCCGAGCTTGAGCTTGTAGAGAATGGTGGTCTTTCCAGCGGCGTCAAGACCCAGCATCAGCAGACGCATCTCCTTAGATCCGAAGATCTTGCCCATCATCTTTGAGAGTTGGCCACCCATCGTGATTGTCGGGTTTTTGTATCGAGGAGGAAAAGGAGTCGGAGGGTGATTGAAGGGGTAGATAGATCGTTATCGTCGAGGCAACTGGTGTGTTTGTAGGTCGTCTGAGGTGAGGCTCGAATGAGGCTCGGTTGTCTGTTTCGGAAAGGGGAGAGGTCGCAAGGTATGAGAGATCGCTCCTGGATTTGTCGTTGAAGTCGAGAAGAATCAGCGATGGGTATTTGATTGTCTAGCTCGTCGCGCGCACTCGAATTGTGCGGTTGTCGAAGGAGAAAGTCAAGGAGTGTGAGGGTAGGATAAGGGTGGGATGCGGTGTGTGTAACGGAGAGAAGAGAAGCTATCGCGCAAGGGCAGGCAAGAAGGAAAAAAAAAAAAAAAAAAAAAAAAAAAAAGCAACTATGCGATCTGTTGCTGTTTGCCGAGTCGGGGATCGGAGGTTGGGGTCGAAATGGAGCACCAAGACCGCTGCTCTTTCAGTTAATCGTCGCTGCAGTTGGCTGTAATGGGCTCTAGTGCTCGGGCGTTTGGCGACTACGACGGGGGGCTTACTGGAGACAAGACACTGGCTGGCTGGCGCCAAGGCGGTAGGTATCGAAACGGGTCACTGACCAGCTATATTTGGGCCCAAATTAATGCTTTCCCATTTTCCGAAACGAAAGGTTGGGCAGAGGAAGAAACGGTGGTACACCTGGTCGTGTTCGTGTGTATGTCTAGGAGTACCTTGCTACATAGTATGGTAAGGTAAAAGGCAAGGTAAGGCCATGTACATATACAGCTCTTGGTGGTCAGTCTGCCTTTTCTGCTCTTTGGATGGACTGATCGACATGGGATTTCTCATGCGTTTCAACTGAGCTGCTTCAGGACGATTCATAGTGTTTGTATCTCTCACTCAGCTTGTACCAGTTCACAATTCAGGGGGATTCACTGTCCTAGCACAACCTGTAGCAAGTATGGCTCAGCTCAGCTCAGTGCACTTTTACCATCTGATCTCTCACATCACCTCACCACACAACCAATACTCCTCATATGGGGATGGGGAAGAGGGAGGGGCTGACCAGGAGAGTGAGAGAGAGAGAGCCATCTGCCCATCTGCCCACTATTCATTCATCATCTACTGTCCACTTTCCGGAGATTCATACCTACTCTCTCTTTCAGGGACATGAGCTACGGAGTGGTAAGGTGCGATATGCCCAAATCCAAACGGTCGCCCCCCTAGTAAATTGCACCCTACCAATCAACGGCCCTAGGTCCCTTGTCTTCGGTGGGTTCTGGACAAACAAGGGGTCCCTGCTTTTATTTCCGCTCCTGGACTAGCGCCTTCTGCACGTCCCCTGGCTGCTCTCTATCTCCAGGCTCCCTCTTCTCTTCTAGCGCACACGGAGTATTGGGCCCTCTCTCACCACCCACTGGAAACACTTGTTTATGCCCTGTCTCCTTTCTACTCGCCCTGATTGCCAGCCAATGGGCACATTTAGCGAACGAAATGCAGGTACAAACAAACCAGCGCGGCATTCGCCAAATGCACGTGCCGCCATGTTGGACTCAGGGGGCGTAATTTGACAGTTGCGACTGACACGTCTTTTTGATTGCAGAGTCACTTGGCTCTGCAGACAAACCGCCACCCTGCATACTAACATGACATTACAACCGCCAAAAAGGTCAAGTGAGGAGAGGAAATATTCAGCCGCCTGACCAGTACGAGTAAAAAGGTACGGGTACGGGTCCGGGTACGGCTACAGGGATATAGGTATGACATACCTAGTAGCCACACAGTACAACTGTCAAGCACATGCCATTCATTCATACCACACTGGCACATTCACACACCGCATATACGCGTAGCCTGCTGTCAACCCTGCCTTAACACACCTAGTATCCGTACTATGTAATCGTTTAAACTCCGTCCGGATCCGCCGCGTCATGAGCCCCCATTGTTTGTTTAATGAGCCATCACTCGCATAAGACATCCCCGGGCCGTTTGATCTCGGCCAAAACCCAATTCGCGCCATACTGCTCGCAAACGAGCGCCCGCTTACGGCTCTCGCTAAATAAAATCCATAATGTCTTGTTTCCCGCTTGGGTCCAATATCCCCCCACGCCCATCTCGCTCCCCGCCGGCGAATATGCCCGATTCATGGTCGGTACTCTAGCACGTAGCGACGCTCCACCTGATGCGTCGTCGATGAGTCGTTCTCCCCGTGGAACTTCAGGTTGACCGTCTTCCCATCGGCCTCCGTCCCCACCACGTCCGCCGCGTAGAACGCCGTCGTCTGCGGGTATAGCCCGAGCACCATCTTGCCCGCTTCCAGTTTGGCGAGATTGTGCGTTTGATTTTCCGGCGGAATTGGTATCATACCCGATGCGAACGTCTTATATTCCTTCGGCTTGACATTGTCTTCCGGCTCCACGTCCAAGCACTTGTACCGTCTGCTCTTGCCTTCGCCGATGATACCCACCACTTCACCTAGTATCCAGTCGTACGGCGCCTCCCCCTGTTGCGGTTCATCTTTTTTTCGCTTGAACGCGACCTTGTCTCCTTTGGAAAACGATATTTTGCTCCGGGCCACAGAGCCGCCTGTTCCTAATGCGCCCGAGGAGGACCCCGCTGTGTTGCTGCCCGTTGACCCTTGCGGCTCAACACTATCTGCCTTGGGTGGCATACTGTCGCGATTGCTTCCTCGGTCGCCGAACTTGCGCGAGCTTCCGCCAATGGGGCTCGGTACGGGCGAGTCACCTGCGCCATCAAAATCGTAGAGTGCCGCTGCCGCGGCGGCGTCCCTGTTCCGTGTCGAGCTACCAGTGCGTGATGATGTAGTTGTCGTAGCAGGTGCCTCTGCAGCTTCCTTAGCCTGCTGCACGGCCTTCAGAATTTTTAGCTGTTCGATCAGGTTCTTGATGTTGTTCGAGTTGTTCTCCGAGAGCTTAACGCCGGATCGACAGTACTGTTCCATCTTGCTCAAATCGCCGCCTGAAGGGTTGCCGCCATCTTTGCTTGCGATGGCCGCCTTTTTGTCCATCTTGATGAGCTCGGCGAGGTTATCATTCTCCTGGTTGACGCCCGTAACGATCTCGTGAAACTTCTCCTTTGCTGACTCCCAAAGCTGGACCTCCTCGCCATGACCACTGCCATTGTTCCGGTTCGAACCGCGTCCGCTTCGATTCCGCTGAGACATCTTGACTTGGAGCGAGGATGTAGGGGTGGGCTGAGTCTTCCTCGAGACGTTCTTCTCCTAGACAGACTTCTCGAAAACAGCTTCACACGGCGAGGCTTTGGCGTCACGGTAGGGAATTTCGATGTCTTTGGTAGAGGGCTCCTTCTCCTTCGGATTCGACGGAGGCTTTCGAGAGCCTTTGAACTTCCGTTTCTGTGGCATAGTAACGTCAGTTGTGATGTCGTTGCTGACTGTCTGGGTATAAATATCAGGTCGAATAAAAGGTGAGGTGAAGATTCCAAAGTTGGTTGAAGAGGTCGACATATCTATAGCTTGGGGGAGAAGATCCGCCTGTCGCAAACTTACAAGGAAAGCGCAACTGGCAGCTAGGAGTTGCGCCTGCGGAACAGATCGGGTCGCGTCAACAATCAGGCAGGAACAGCCTTCCTAGGAATGGAGTGGGGTATCTAATCGTAACAAGATGCTATACAAGAAAAATAATGCACATCAAGACCTCAGCCCATATTGAGCTCCAAATAGTAAAATAATTAAGCTTTTGGCGCAGCCTGGTTCTAAGGAACCATTGCAGACGCGCGCAAAGGTGGATGGAGGTGATGCAAATGGCAGAAAGCGGGCGGTATCGCGGTATCGGGACACCGCACCAGCTCCAACCTCATTGGCCATTGCTATTGGTCCTGTTGCCAAACTACGTATCTTTCCGAAGTGGACCCGGCGGCTGCCATTAGTGAGATCCTGATCCAATCACAGCTTGGCCACTCACTGAGCGCATAGCGGCCCGACCACTCCCCCGGGGCCCGTGCTTGGGTATCCTCCCTTGGAGGGGCTTGTGGTGTGTCCAGACCTTTGCGGGCACGGCGGGGTCCCTCCGTACCTCCCTGACGTCAAATCGATGGTGGGGTGAATAGAAGCAATCCCAACCTTATTACTACGACATCACCGTCGCGTCTTTTTCTGATAGCTTCAGTCCTTTGTCATTTTTGTCTATTCCTGAGCTTTGCATAGCTCTGTCTCTAAAATGGTCTTGCAAGTCCCCTTATTCAAGCTCCAATGCGGAGTCAACTCGTACGAATGGGGAAAGAAGGGAGAGGAATCAGCTGCTGCTCGCTTTGCGGCCACGACACCAGCTGAGGGCTTTAGCATTCAGTCTGACAAGCCCTATGCGGAGGTATGATAGCATACTTTTGCTTTCAATCTTCAATTCACTAACGCCTCCAGCTTTGGATGGGTACTCACCCTTCTAACCCCTCGAAAGACGTCCAGTCCGGTCGTACCCTTCTCGATCTCGTCCAAGACAACCAACAACTTCTCTCCGCCCCCGTCTCTTCTAAATACGGCTCGAAGCTCCCTTTTCTCTTCAAGGTGCTGTCCATCAACAAAGCCCTTTCTATCCAGGCCCACCCAAATAAAAAACTCGCCGAGAAGCTGCACGCCCGCGACCCCAAGAACTACCCCGATGACAACCACAAGCCAGAGATGGCTATCGCCATCACCCCATTCGAGGGCCTGTGTGGCTTCCGACCCCTTGCTGAGATATCCCATTTGCTCTCCACCATCCCACCGCTCAAGAGCCTCGTGAAGGAGGACAAGGCCGACGAATTCATCAACACTATTAAGGGCGAGGAGGATAGCGAGTCTCCCGAGACCAGGGAGCGAAACAAAACAGCTTTGCAGCACGTCTTCGCCTCCCTTCTATCTGCCACGACCGAGGAGATTGAAAAGGAAACGGAGCGTCTTGTCTCCCTTGCCAAATCAGAAGGCAGCAACTTTGCGGGCGGCGGCGCCGGTCCTAGCGATGGGGAGACCCTTTCGGAGCTGACGGTCCGTAACCACGCTGCCTTCGGCGCAGACATTGGTCTCTTCGTACTCTTCTTCCTCAACTACGTCAAGATGGAGCCTGGAGAGGCCATGTTCCTTCGCGCCGACGATATCCACGCCTACCTTTCCGGAGACATCATTGAGTGTATGGCCGCTTCTGACAACGTCGTCCGCGCTGGCTTCACCCCCAAGTTCAAGGACGTGCCTACCCTCGTCGACATGCTCACCTACAATTACGCCCCCATCGACGAGCAAAAGATGTCGCCCTCCGAGTATCCCTACGCCACTCTCAACCGTGCCGCCTACAGCTCCGGCTCGGCCGTCATCCTCTACGACCCGCCCATCGAGGAGTTCAGCGTTGTGCGCTCGCTGCTCAAGGGTGACGGCGCCAAGGCCACCTTCGAGCCGCTCGAAGGACCTAGCATCGTCATTTGCACGTCAGGCAAAGGCACCATCGCGGTGGGGCCCACCGTGGAGAAGATTGGCGAGGGCCATGTCTTCTTTGTGGGGTCGACGGCAGAACTGGTGCTGCAGTCCGAGGGCGGTCCCGAAGACGAGTTCGTCACGTTCAGGGCATTTTGTGAGATCGATGACAAGGCGGAGGGAAAGTTATAAAGCAAGGGAGGGCAGCTAACACATACATTCAGCACGGCGAGAAGTGGAAATAATTCATACCCAGTTTTATAGCAGGTTTGGCGAGCGCCAAAAAATAACACAATAGCGATATGAGAGACGGCAATACAATTCAATTCCCCTCTATAATCAGCGTTATTTCAACCGATGCAGTTATTCATGTGATGTTTTCTAGTCAAACGCGTCATGAAGACGTATCCCACTCCTTCGTCGAATCACAACTGAAACCTCCGGCCATATCAAGGCCTCAACTGGCTCATAACCTCAGAAATCACGAACAAAGAGCAGCATCACTTTTGTGAAGAGCAAGAAGTTACCCGTAGGTGAAACAACTTTGCGTTGTGTGTGTGTGATAAAGAGACGCTAACCCCTACCCCTCTTCGCGGGGGGAGGGAAACTAAACTTGTCAAGACAATCTGTCGTACCCAACGCCATGGTACAATGACAAAAAGACGAAGAGGGAATCCAGCAACACCAGAGATAATCCCAATTTCCGATCCCTTCCATCAACCCTATCCCCATTCCCCATTCCCGTGAAGAAGAAGGAAATCTCGATTGATGATGCCCGCATAAGTCATGCCGAATATTTTGTGTATCACCCACCATATCCAGTCCCCGTTTGCCGTCCCTAATACCAAATTCGTTGGGGGGGTAATAACGCTCTAATAAGCCAAAACCCAAAGATATCACCCAAACCCGACACCGCCTCTCCAAACCGACAATAGAAAAAGGAATCAAGAGCAAACATGCAGACTCTCACAGAACTAGGGCGTGACCACAAAGGTAAAGCGAAAGAAAGAAAAAAAAATCAGGCTTGGGTTGTGAAGAGAAGGAAGAAGATCCAGGCGCGTAAGTCGATGAATCAAAAGACCGACAAACAATATGCTTGCAGGGGGAGAGCAAAAAAATAACTTTTTTTCGGATCCTACCCAATGATATCTCGGACCAATTTTTTTGTTATCTTACTCCAGACGTCAGTCACCCTTTCAGCGCCAGCCTAATCCTGGGCGGCGAAAAGATCTGAACCACAGACGGCGTGATTGGCAAGGCGGCCAATATCCTACTTTTTTTTTCCCCCAAAGATGGTGAAAGTAACCGATATGCGAAGAAACGGCAGGGGTGTTTGAGAAAAGACAAAGAGAGTACGAAAGTCCGTACCTGGGTCCCCCCCCCCCCCCCCCCCCCAAGCCACATCGGAACTTGGAGGGAGGGGAGGGGGGCACTTTTGGGCAACACGAAAGGAAGGACTCCCGGCAGATTTCTTGTTGTCTCCGGGCCCCACAAGCTGGAACGGGATGGAGGGCGGGAACGGGACGGGACTGGACGGACGAGGGTGACGCTCTGAGGCGGGTGTCCGGGTCGGGTAGCTGCATGAGGCCGCCCGGGGGTACGGAGATGCAAGTCATGGTCGTTGGCTTGTCTACCTCCCAACGCCCAACACTCATTCCAACTCAAGGAAACCCCCCCAAAACCCCTTGCATCCCATTCCGGAGTGTTGGGTCGGGCTGGCAAGTAACCACACAAAAGGCCAACCCAAAAAGTCCTATCTGCCAACGCCTCGACGTCCGGCATGTACGGGAAGCCACTCTGCAAGCCGTCGAGCTGTCGTCACCCGGAAAAACGTTATGTTTCCAGTAAATGAATTACAGGAACGCGTTATATCCAGTGATGCCTGATCCGGAAATGGTCAAGCTTAAAAGGCTTGTATTAAGGATGAGTGACTGGCACAGTTCTGGCGTTGGGGGTGATGGTATATTCATGTCGCACACGTACTCGAGTGCATCTTTTGAAACAACGCCACTTGCCTCTCAGCCCCGTGTTCTCGACGTTGGAGGGTCAGATAAGACGCCTGGAGGAAGCTCTTTTGGTCGACAATATTAATGATTGCTAAAAACAGATAAGGCGGAAAGAAAAGGACAAAAGCCAATGATGCAGAACGTGATATACAGATGGCGATGTGGAAGCGGAAAGGAGTCACACTCCAAGTCCTACAGCTCCGGCTGAAGTGTGATTTAGGAGGCAGCCAAGCTACCCGCAGGCCTCCGTCCTGAAGAGTGGTGGTGTGCGTGTTGCTGCTGCTGCTCTACTTCGTCCGAGAGGAGCGCGTAGGCCCCTACATGACGATGTCGCCCGTGGCTTGCCATTGAGGCCGCATACATGGCTGACGAGGGTGTGGTGACGGTATAAGTCTGACCATTGGACAAAGAACCTCCAGAGCTCGAAGTCTCGCCGCTCCCACGACGACCGCTTCCAGTAGATGAAGTCGATGAGGCGTCAGTGTACTTGTAGCTCAGGTCTGATGCGGACCCTTGCGTGCGAAGGCTCGCCTCTGAGGCGCTGAAGATGGAGTCGCCGCTGCTGCTTGTTGAAGGCGGGTAACCGCTCATGTCGCCTGCGCCAGAGAGACGGTGATGCATATGGGTCATGGAGGGGAGAGTGTGAGAAGGGGGAGGATAAGCTGGGACTGAGGCGTTCTCGTAGCTCGTTGGCACTTCTGATTCGACACTCGAAGGGGAAGTGTTCGAGGGCGTGCTGAGGGAAGATGTTGCCGAGTTCGACGTCGTGTAAGGGGCTGTCGAAGACGCATCTGTGCGGTAAGCGAGGACATTATTTGTGCCCGACAGGCGAGATGGATGGGGAAGTAGACGGTCGCCGCCCGAGTGAGGCAAGGAAGCAGCAACGTTGGAGAGAGAGAAGTTGGTCATCTCGGCTGGCGAGACTGTCGCGGATGCGGGGCGGTGAACTAGAGCTGCACCGCCGCTACCGTAGCCGTATCCCGTTCCGTCTGTATTGACATACAAGTCCGCATTAGGGGCAGCCTTGGCCGCAGCTGTCATGCGGTAGAGGTATGCCGGATCCTGGCTATGGTAAGAGTATGGGTACCCCATGGCGCTGTAGTCGACGCCGGTGCCATCGTCACCAGGGTAGGTGGCTGGCGAGGTCCAGCTGGGCATGGTTGGGTAATACTTTGCCGTACCATACGAGGGATAACCTGCTGAAGCCGCCGAGTAACCTCCATGTGCATTACGTTGAAGGCCGTCTTGGATATCGGATGCGTAGTGTGTGGGAGAGGTAGTCAGGGGAGAACCTAGGGCGTGGTGGGCTTGGTATGCCCTTGCTGCCTTGAGCTCGTATGAGAATGCCTGGTCTGTAGGTTGGACCCAAGGTGCTTCTTGAGAGGCGACCTGTTGAGGATGTAAGGTATGATTCTATTAGGTCTTGTCGAATGACTTACACGTAGGAACATGCAGTTGTCTGCGCCCGCAGCCTTGCAGTTCTGGCATGGCAATCCGTTGCCAGCGTCTCCGCTGCAACGAATCTTGCGCTTACGGCACCGACCGCACTGTAGATCTGTCAGGTCTTTGCTTTTTCCCGGTGATACATGGAAGCTCCATTTCCGGTCCCTTCAGCCAAGCCATACTCAAGTAGGTTTGTGTTTGGGGCAAGGGAGCTCTCACAAATACATTACACTTAGGGGAAAACAGACTTTGAAGACTAGACGTTCAAAAAAGACATAGATTGAAAATGAACAAGACTTACAGCAACGGCAATGCGCTTGCGGGGCGGAGTATCGGTGTCGGTCTCCCGTTCAGTCATGTTCGATGTCCGTACTTCAGAAGTGTTGGAGTATCGTTGCTGACGGTCCGAGTAGACGTAAGGTGGCTCGAGGCGGCTATATCGTCGTCCTTCAGGGTAGCAACTCGAACTGGCCATTGTCGGTACGGCTTGCCTTGGATGATGTTGGTCTGTAGAGGCGAAGGAGGAACTGCCCAGAAGGAGGCTGTTACAAGAAGCGAGAATGAGGCGGTGCTTTGCCCTCCCTCAAGTTGGTGTCAACGGCGATAGACAACCCCGAGATGTTGTGACAGCGTCTCGTTTCAGCAATATGGGGTGTAAATCGCTATTTTTTGACTGGGACTCAACTCGGATTTTGAGTAATGGGGGAAGATTGGGATTAGAGATCTTATGACTCCTCCTTGTCAAACGTTGATGTTTTAAAGAAAGAGGATCGGTGGTGGTTCCCTCAGAAACTAGGAAGCAAAGACTCTTTTATGTTTCACATGCAGGATGGAAGGACGATGTAAAGGTGTTAGATGAGATAAATAAGAGAAAGGGAGAATACCAGAAGACGACGAAGCAGCTGCTGCCGGCGATGTTATACTATCTCCGCTGGGGCCACGGACTCTTCTGAATTCGATTCGGCCTTGCTGATATTGCAGTGTGTGCGTGCCATGTTTGTTCTCTCCCTCCCCCCGCTCCTCCATTACAATTTTGCCTACATTGATATGCCCGCTCTGCTGGAGGAATGACCAAGATAGACACGGGCCTTGAAATTGCTGTAAATCACTCGCTCAAACATACACTCCCTCCTTGGCTCGTCGTTGATCGCGCGCCCCCTCATCCAAAGCCACCCCTCGCTCCCCTCTGAGTGTCCCCCATGGATTTTAGGAGCAACAATAGCACGACAGGTGTCATTGGGCGGGTTCAAGGCCATGCAGCTACAGCAGCAACAGCGGTGGAGGCGGGCTGGTGGAAAAGAGGGGGACAAGGAAGTAACCGATGTGGTGTAGAATTTTGGCAGCGAAAGCGAGATGCATGTTGGGGTGGCACCGGCCGGCAACGTGCAGCGAAAGGGGGATCGAAGGGTCCCAATCCCAGGTGCGGCTTCTGGCAACGCCAAACAAGCATGGCCGTGAGTGGAGGGGGGATCAGCCAAGGAGCCTCTTTCTTGCTACCCCTCGCCCTTGTAGACCTCACATCGATATACATTGCCCCTCCCCTGCTTGTCGAAGGAGGCATTACAAACGGAGGAGACAAGAAGGGGTGGGGGGATGAGACGGCAGGCTGACCAAGGGTCAGGGGTAAGATCTATAGGGCCAGCAGCATGCGATCTGTACCATATCTTGGATGAGAGTTCTGGGTGGCCTAGACCAATCTGGGCCCGGGGAAATCTTGCGTTGCGGCTACATGGTATATGTGTGAACTTTTGGGGCAGAAGGATTGGTAGAGGTGGCTAAGACCTTGCTCGAGACTCTGTCACTTCTCAGCGCGTACTTGGACTTGGCGCTTCTCGATATTCGTGGTCTGGTTTTAGAGACAGATGAAGAGAAGATGTTGTTATCGCCACCATCGTAGCAATCCCCCGGCTTTCGGCTGAGGCGAGACATAAACTAGATTGATTAGAGCAAGACAAGGTGATATTTGATTGCCCTTTCCCCCCACACAATCACACACACAGACACACGACCGCCGTCGCTGGTCATGGCTGAAGAACTGCCGAATTAGGCACAGTAACAAGTCAAACGGCGTGTCGACGGTTGGTACAAGTCGTCCAACGATGAGGCTGGAAATGTATTGGGTTGACGGGCGCTCACCACGATAAGCGTACATGTATGATGAAGTCAGCCTGATTGGCTAGCTGGGTTCTTCCCTCCTCAACCACTTGTGGTTATTGACTCAACAATTGTTATGAAGGAATGAAAAAGGGAACACAGGTTCGATGTCTGTTTTGAGAAACAGCATATTGCTAAAATGGGAAGAGGTGTCACTCTCTCCAGACAACACTAGGGAAGAGGGCTCGACTGCAAACAGCCCCCCACTCGATGATGTTGGGCAGAACGGAACATCTCGGTCCCACTGGGGCAAGCTACGATTGCCCGACCCTCTCACGATGTACCATCGAGCATGTCTCTCCCATACATACGGGATCTAAGTGATGGGGGAGGGGGAAGAGAAAGTGACATTACGTTCCCATTGGCAATGTTCTCAAGCACCCTCTGAACCAAAGGTTGCCCCAACATACAGAGACGCAAGAAACGTAACGACTGCACTGGAAGAGGGTTACGTGACGCAAGCCATCGTCAATGAAGCATGCTTGTGGTGGGTATCGCCGTCTTCTGTGTCACCCTGCGAAGCAGCAGAGTTCTTTGCTTGCATTGTGGACAGGAAGAGCCGAGCGGAGTGCGAGGTCGAACCGGACAGCTCCCCCCAGTAAGTCAACAAGAGACATGGAAAAGAAAAAGCATGGAGCATCAAAAGGTGCCAGCATAGTTTGCCCGATTTCAAGTGACACCGCCCATTGCTGAAGAAGAAGGAGAAGAAGAAGAAATTTTCGATTTGCTGTTTGGGTTGAGTGATGTGCAGATCCTTTCCTTTTTGCTGCTGTTCCGTTCGCCAAACATGGTGACATATGTACATGTGTGAGTGTGTCCCAGTCAGTGCTGGAGGAGGAAAGGAAAAAAAGAAAGGAAGTCGATCTGCGAGCTTGAAGGAAGAGTTGTCGTCAACTCGCATGAAGCCAGACCGGAGAATGCATTATTCAGGTATATGCCGGCCACTTCCGCAAGAGAAATCCTCCAAACAAACAGCTTCACAACCCGCGAAGCAGGCTGCGAAGCAGAAAGATTAAGCAACTGTGAAGAGAGACAGCATTCATATTCCGTTTTAGTCATAAAACACGCAATGTTTGCTATTAAGCGATCGGGCCGCATGAAATAGGGCCGCCACGAGGACAACCAATTTTCAAGAAGCAAAAAGGGCCACGAGAGGCCGCCAGTTGGCAGAAATGAGCAAATGAAGCCGCCAAACAAAGTCATTTCCGTTGCACCATTGTCATTTTGGAGCAGGCATGGCAAAGACGTGGGTTTATGCCGTCGTGCAGCCTCCACCATCTCTCCCTCCTTTCAATGTCTCGTATGTCTCCAACTTGAATGCCGGTTCTGCAACCAAAGAGCCCGGGACTGCCCGCACTCCTCCAACTATCCAGATCTTGGCAGCGTGGGTGCATGGTTGACCTCCACAAACGTTGCAGTCCCCCGAGCCCCGGCGCGGGAGGGTTCCTGATGAACAAGGGGGGGAGCGGCGCGGACAACATTCTCGACGCACGACACACGGAGTTGAGCAACGGACAGAAATAGCAGCAAACGGGAAGCGGGGCGGCGCGGCTGAAGGCACGAATAAAGAAGAGAGGTGGTGTATATGTGTGGGTGTGCGTGGGCGTGTGTATGTGGCTGGCTCCCTCCCGCCCGCCTGCGCTGCCGTTGTGATGTGTAGCTTGGTCCGGAGCGCGGCGAGGCCCACGTACATCCGTCAACGTTGACAGGACAAGGTAGGCTTGCAAGCTTTTTTCTCCTCCTCACAATGCGTCCGCCGTCTGCGTCCGGAAGGACACCATCCTCAGAGCGGTCAGCATTGCGGCAAGAGGGGAACGACAACGATGATGACGAAAGGCAAGCCCAGATGCAATGCTACGTCGCCCGGATTCCTCTGGCGTATTTCGAATCAGGGGTAGATAACATGCATGAGCTAAAGTGGGTTTACTATGTTCGTTGGCGGCGTGGGAAGAGTACGCATACCACTTCCATTTTCTCCAGGAACCAGGAGAAAACCAGGGATGAATATCATGCCCATGCTCGAAGCCGACGGGTAATGTCGGTCATCCGGGGGCCATAACGTCCGTAAGATTGGGTGCGTTGTCCAGGTCTGTAGATTCTCCCCCGTCTCATCACCAAATATGAAACTTTTCATATCAGACCTAAGCAGCAGCACGAAGTGTATGAGACATGATGCCCTCGTCGTGCCATTGACATCTTGAATCAATAGGTTTTACGGGTAAACCTACAGCCTTTGATAAATCCTACGCCGTAATCCTAAGACAAAAACCACGATATGCCTCGCTTAAGGGTCCAGGAGGGAAGTTCGTATCGAGAGTCGTCTGAGCAGCCTGCTTGCGGCGTCGTACAGCGTCCAGAACTTGATATCATGCCTGAATATAGGCCCGGCGAGAGACGAGAACCGTCCTGGCTGACGATCAGGCTGTTGCAGGTTGCATATCCATCTCCCTTAACCCCTAACCATTACCATAGCCGCCACCACCATCACCACCGCCGCCGCCCTTGCCATCCTTCCATGCCGGACATTTCTTGCGTCGTGCGTGCCTGGCTTTCATGACGGGGAAAGGTAGCTGGCAGCTGCCCACATGGCATCATAACCGGGACTGTCAACGGAAAATTCCTAGCCAGCCATCGCTCGGGGCGCTGCATACACCTTTCCCCGTGTCAATCGTAGCCAGAGCCGGCCGGCGCCTCTTCCTGCAGCTATCCGTTGCAACCATACACAAGCCCATTAAGCGATTGGCCCAGATCCAGGGGACACAGTGTCATCTGACAATCTCTAATGAGAACTGCCACGCTTGTGGCAGATGGATGAAGGACCTCATACAGAACCACAGAGGCAACAGTCAGAAAGAAAAGAAAAGAAAAAAAAAAGCCACAGGGCCTGGCATCAAGAGAGGCGCAGAGCACGAGCCGATCCGACTACCTCCACTACCCGTTGGGCGATGAAGAGCGTCAGGTCCAGGATGTATGCCCTTTGGAGCGTGTGTACCCTGGCGTTTGGCCTTCAAATACTGCCCAACGGAGCCGGTAGCCCCTAGCCTCGCCGGCTGAAAGTCTAGACTTGAAAGGAATCGATCTGCCTCTGCTTGTCTGGACCTCATCACTACCCGACGACTGAAGCCCGAGGAGTGACACAGCGGATGAATATCTTGCCATCATGTCTCTCAGTGAGAGACCTTTAGTTACACAGGCTCGACGATAACTGCAACCAGGGGGCAAAAGAGAAAGACAGGAAGAAAAAAAAAAGAGATTATATTTTAATTCTGCAGAGGGACTCGACATGCTGTCACTTTCAACACCCTGTACAACTTTAGTAACCGGTCCTACAGGATATCAGGGTTATGCGAGGCCTAATACCTGGCAAACCGCAATATCAAAGTATATCAAACATCAGATATCGCCCCCCTCCTTACGATGTAAGGCATTAAGTGCTCCCCGGGTGTAAGTGATGAGACCCAACTACTACTACTCTGGATATTGATTCCTCGCCTGTCGAGACAAGCACATGCAGACAGGAAACTGAACCCCAGACCATCCCCCATGTGGCCAGATGAAACTTTGAGAGAACTGCGAGCGGGAGCCCAAGACCTGACAGGTCGAAGAAGCCGTTGTTACACGCATTCCAAGGCGGTCGCAGGGGGTTCTACCGGTATGTATTCTACGCTACCCGTCGCCAAGCAAGAAAATACCGTCGCTCACATAAACAACACAGGGCGCAACAAAAGAAATGGGCAACCTTTTGAAGATGTGACAACTGACAGATGACACCTCTCATCAAACGGCATCGTACTAATGTAGCCTCCCCGTCCGCCAGACCGGACCAACCTTCTGGCGTGCACACACACACACAGAGAGAGAGAGAGAGACAAATATACACATATACACACATATACACACGCACACACACAAACACACATACATATACACATACACATACACATGACACGATCCTCACCTTTCCGCGGTTGGGTCCGAGCCGCTTACTTGCAGACCGATGGCAGTTGAAAATGCCCTTGCTTCATTCTGCCACCCCGGGGGGGTTTAAGGCGAGGAGGAGAGGAAGAAGAACCAGCAGCAGCAGCAGCAGCAGCAGAAGAAGAAGAAGAAGAATGTTTGCAACGGCGAAATACCGAGACATTCCAATCTTCTTCTGCTTTGAGCCAGGTACCCACCCCATTTCTGGCCCTCACCCAAGCAAGAGAATGTGAGACAGGAGAAAACACTCCATTAGGGCCCTGCAGGCGGCGATAGATTCTCTCTTCTCTCTCCCCTCAACTGACCCCTCCCCCCCTCCGAACCCCCATCCTTTTTTTCTTACCCCCATATTCCGACGACGCCTGGCCAACAGGATATGCATTGAGATGCTTTTGTGCAGCTTCCCGGAGGGAGGGGCCCGCATCGCGGCAGGTCAACGAGATTTCATGAAACATGAGCCTTACGCAGGCGGCAGTGGCAACGATCGTTGGCGTCACTTTGCAAAGTACTCTCTCCTCACTCATATGGCTCGTGTCTGGTTTTTTTTTTTTTTTTTTTTTAACTCTTGGTAATTTTACACTTCTTTTTCTTTAAGGTGTCTACGTCTGATCTGTCGTCGACCGTGCTGGCTTACAACCCTGGACAACGGTGACTGGGGGTATTCTTCTCTGCTCTCCTGTTGACGTGGACGAATCAAAAAAGGGAACTTGCTCTATCTTCCTCTTCCCCCGTCATAATCCCTGCCTCGATTCCGGTTATCATAATCTCTGCGGTCTCTACGACCCGAGTCCCGGTCATTACGTCGCCGGTCGTGGTGATCATACCGTCGTCCGGCGTCCCGATCGTCGGATCGGTGATGAGGCCTATCTCCCCTCCTGTCCCTATCCCTGTCTCTGTCCCTGTCTCTGTCTCTGTCTCTGGGCCGCCCGGGGCTTCGGCTTCGTCTCCTTTCCCTGTCTTGCCTGGGCCGATCTCTGTCCTGCTCTTCGTCTCCCTTTGGTTCAGGCCGACGGTGGCTGTCGCGCTCGGCCCGGCCCTTCATTTCCTCCTCTCCGTACACGAGATCGTACCTGTCGCCTTTTCGGTCGTCCTCGTCGCGGTACTGCCTGCGCTTCTCGAGCTCGTCGACGCCTCCCCATCCGCCTCTAGATGCGTGCTTCTTGCGCTTCTTGTTTGTGTCGTCTCTCCACACCTGACTCAGCTTGCTCACACTCTGTGAAAAGTCCACGTGGATGCGGCGGTCGTCAATCAAGACATCCTGCATCTTGAAGTACGCAGCCTCGCACGAGGCCTTGTCTGCATACTCGATGAAGGCGTATTGAAGACTGTCGCCGGTCTTGGCGTCACGGATGACCTCGCAGCTCAGAATCTTGCCGAAACGGCCAAAGATGAGCTCCAAGTCGGCATCCGTGGTGACCGGGTTGAGCTTGCAAACGAACAGGACGTTTTCGGGAGGGGCGACCTCGGCAAACGGCAAATCACCCATCATTTCCAGAGTGAGAGCCTGAGCCCGCGCCTCCCTCTCCCTCCGCCGCTTCTCAACGGCCTCCTCGTCCAGGTCGTCATCCTCGTGCAGGGCGGCCTCGTCCGCAATGCGAACGGTCTCAAGCTGCGCTTTGCTTGGAGGGGGCGATCCGCTGGGCTCTCGCAGCTCGGGAGGGTCGGGGTATGGGTCGTCGAGGATGATGGTGTGCTTGATACGAATATCGAGAAGCGGGTGCCCCTTGTCGTCGACGATGGCCTCATTGATCTTTTCCAGTACATCAAAGCCCTCGACAACCTTGCCAAAGATGGCAGCCTTGCCATCCAAGTAGTCCGTGTCCTCACCCAGGGTGACAATGAACTGTGATGCCGCCACACGGGTATCCGGGTCCGACTCGAGGGGCGCCGTAGCCATGCTCACGGTGCCACGCTCGACGTGCTTGAGCTTCGGGTGGAAAAACGCCGGGAACATCTTCTTCTTGTTGTCGCCCGAGAGCAGGCCCCATATGGAAGTGCCGCCATCAGATTCTTTGGATAGCGGGCCGAGCGGGTCGCCGGTCTGGAAGGAGAAATTCTTTTGGACGGAGTGAACGGGCGAAAAGTTGTAGTACTTGACTTTGCAGAGCTTCAGGAAACTGTCGCACTTCGTGGTTAGCTGAGCATGAGCTTGGTAGCGGCGCAACGAGGGGAGGGGCTAGCTATCGACTTACTTTTCGCAAAGCTTGGGGGCGTAGTCGACCAGCAGGTCAATGACAATGTCACCGGAGCTGGTCTCCAAAAGGACCGACATGGCTGCGGCGGCGGTTGGTGTCCCGCAGTAGCTCGGACAGCTGAACGAGCGTTGCTGTGGATGCTGATGCCGTTATTGCCGTATGTCGTGAATTGCGTCGTGGTCGCCGACGGAGCTTTCCAGAACCTCAAAGCTTTTTTTTTTTTTCCTTTTTTTTTTTGCTTTTGCGCCGCTGACTGATCCTTAGACCAGACCCAGCTGGTTCGACGGTTGCGGTTTGTCAGGAATACGAGAGTCTGCGCCTCGAAAACCTTCGTGTTCGCTCGGATTTGGGAGGCAATGACAGCTACGTAAGCAAAACGCAGGCGGCGTCGGTGGGGTGATAGGTCGTGTGGTCGGGTTAGACGATGTTTGCAGTCAAAGTCCAGGTGGGAAGCAAACACGAGGAATCAGATTCACGAGGCAACGCAGAAAGCCATTGTGTTACCACATAATTTGCGCCTCATCACCTTACATAGTACCTTACGTAGTAGCAGCGCCGCCACATTTGTCAAGCCTTGCACAGCCACATGCACAGACTCTTCTCCCGGGGAGTGATCGGCAAATCAAAATGAGAGGCTGGGTACTTGAAGGGACCCACAACGGGCTCCAATAATTTGAATTTGGGGCGTTGGAGCTTGACCGATTGGGAGATTTCTCTAATTATTTTTCCAAGGTTATTTTATTTGCTTTTTTCGGCTGGTGGCACTAACTAATTTCCCCCTCCCACCTATACCTAATTTTGGCTTATCTTCTGCCCACCGATTGTCGCCGGGTAAATGGTACAGGTACAGAGTCCACTGGTAGGTACTCCGAGAAGCTGCAGAAAGTAAGGTCAAGTCAAGTTCAACCCGCATGCATCACGAAGATCTCCCGTCATGTCCCGTCATGTTCCATCATGCTCGAACCACGTCCACGCGTTTGCGGATGGACAAGAATGAGGGAACAAGGCTTTCACTTTTGCGGTGATTTTCCAGATAGAAAAAGAATAGTTTGGTAAAGTAGGTAATTTGGTGTCGTTTCGGTCATTACAAGCTCTATGTCTGTGGTATCCTACAACCGCCAAAGAAACACGCAAAAAACATTCTGAAAAGAAGAGGCAGAAGGTAAACTGTCGAGCTGTGCCGATCCAGTCCTCGCCAGTGAAGAACAAATAAAAAAATAAAGATAACCAGGTATCCCTCGCGCGAACGCTAATAAAAAAAAAAAACGATGAAAATCAATGTGATTTTCGCCAGTCTGCACCCAACTTTTGCTTTCCCGTGGTGCATTGCCATGCAATCCATACCAGTTGTCATACCTTTCTCGGCAGACTTGGTTGAAACCCTCCAAAACGCCATTTGATAAGGTGAAAGTTTCCCTTTCCCTTCTTAAGCCAATTGCCGGAAAATCGAATGTTCCTTTGTTACGCCGCGTTGAAGTCGCTCTGTCGATCAAGAGATTAGAGGGGGGAGCTCCAAATCAAGGGGCGCTCTTGCGTCGTCGCTCGGAGCGAAGCTCCTTTTCTGTGTCCATCAAGCGGCACTGAACCCACATGCGGAACGAGCTATCGCTCCGCACCTGTTCGCAGTTGAGGAGCTCCATCAGGGCCCGCTTCATGCCCTCATTGACGTCGAACAGGCGCTGCTCCTCCTCCGCAACGGCCCAGATGGTCGTCTCATCGGCGATAGGGGCCAGCGAGCTGCTTCGCCGTGTCTTGGGTCCGCTGAGCGACGAGCGCCGGCTGTGGTGTCTTCGCGCGCTGGGGTACTGTCCGAACGGCGAGCAGGTGCTGCGGGTGGGTGAAACCGACGGTGACGAGGTGAGAGATGTGCTGCAGGTGGTCATGGGCCGGATCTGGTCCAGGTGCTGTCGCAGCTCCTCGTGCTGGGAGTGCAAGGCAAGATATCGTTGAAGGGCAAAATTAGAGGTCTGGTCCTGGGAGGAGAGAGAAAGCGTAGACGGCGCCGCCATTGTTGATGATTTTGTAGGTTGTGATAGTTGTAATTTGCAGGTAATATGTCTCTGGGCCATTGACGAGCCCATCGGAAATCAGTGTGATTAAAAAGCTAGAAAGTCTGTGTTTGAGAAGATGCGAGTTGTGTGGGCTGATTGATTTGTGTGGTTTGGAAAATGTGGTAGACGAGGACGATGTTCGGAGCTTCGTCGCTAAAGTGTGATATATATGTGTACCCTGGCGAGATATGCTTGAGTTATGACGAGTGTGGGTAGCGAGTCGATGTCGTCAATGGTGGTGTTAATCGACACCGTAGTGGTTCTCAGCTGGGTAGATATATATACTGGTTTGCCTTGGTTGTTGTGTGAATGGATGGTATGTTTTTTTTTTTTGTGCAGCTAGACGAAGAGGCGTCTGGCGTCTGATAACGAGTAGAAAGAAACTCGATGGCGAATGGCTTGAAGATGAAGGGCGGTTTGACTCGTGGTCTTGTTTGGACCGATAGTTCGAGGAGCAGCGTGTGCCGAGTACTAATACCAAGTACCTTAGCTCTCCCGCCCTGTCGATGGTGTAGATCACGGGTGGAGCCAACCTCCTTTGTCTCCTTTCAAACGAACACCCCCGTTGGCGTGCAAGAGAGCGAGATGCAGACTGGGGCGGGCGTTGGGGCCTGGTTCGACTTGGGTTGCGGGGGTCTTGCAGCGATTGTTCCCCTCAGCTGTCGGCAATATATGCAAAAAGAGGAGAAGGGATGCAACAACTGATCAAGGCGTGGCAGGAGTAAAGCAGATGTTTGGTCAGAGATTGAGGCCCTTCTGGGGAAACGATCAGGTAATATGTAGGTAACGTATGCGTGTGCCTCTTTGCAGTTTGCGGTGTGCACGTCCGATGCAAGATATGGTGTGCTCTTTTTTTGTGTTTCTTGTAGGTGAGTGAAGATCCTCCTCTCCCCACTTTGTACTGGGTTCCTCAACTGAGCGGCGAGCCAAGTAGCTTCCCCGGTAGTCAATGTGTGCGTGTGTGTGTGTGGTTATTTTTCTTTTAATTAGACCGTAGCTTTGTGGAATACCAATACCACCCGGAAGGGAATAAGCGGAGAGTGTCAAGAGATAGGGTATTGCGCGATGACAGGGAACCAGAAACTTAACAGAACTGGTGCGAGATGAGAGACAAGACACGTTGATTACCGTGCCTACCGAATAATCAATGCGTGGACTCCCTCGTGGGAGAATGCCCGTTCAGAGTGGCGCCTCGGAATAAAAGCTGAAAGCCACAGGGCGTTTAACACACAAAAAAACCACACACAACGACTGGGATGTTTGAAGATTCCAACGTGATTGTGTGTATGGTCGACGGCCAGCTCCGGTTTGTTGTGCGTCCCACTGCTAATAAATACAACGTGCGGCGTATCCGCGTTGCGAAGGGGGTGAAAAACAGACAGGGTTAGGTACCCAAACTAGGAACGCTGGTAGTCAGGAGTTGAGCAAGATGCGCAAGCCCCAAGAGTGGAATAGGGATAACACCAGCCGACAGCCGAATATTGTGGTCTGGATGCCTTTTCGGTGGCCACTGATACTTTGGATGGAGCGGTTCAGGTTTGTCGTTCAAGAGTCAAAGCTCAAAGCTAGTCTTTGATATAATAGTGTTCCGTTGTCCGTGACAGCAGACGAGAGACTTTTTGGGAATGGAGGAGGGAGACCTAGACTTAGGGAAGCTAGGACCTGGGCCTGTGTGTAGGTAGGGTATGTTTGTGTGTGTGTGTGTGTGTGTGTGTGAGTGTCTCTTGTGTCTGTCCGTCGTAGTGGTGGTATTGACGGGAGCCCAACTACCTAATAATGGCGGCCGATAGCGTAAGACGGGATGGGAGATGGGTATGGGAATGTCTGGGAAATGGTGTGTGGAGGGAGGTACTCTCCACTGCCCCTGGTCCAATTAATAGACCCGGTCCAGCCCACGATGGGAGGAGGGTGGGAATACGAAGGTACTCTGACAAGCGCGTGCTGCCCTTTTTTTTTTTTCTTCAATGCGTGTGTGGACTGTAGACGCTGGTACTCTCCAATAAGGGGGCCCAGCCAGTGAGTACAATAACGAGTTGGCAGAAGTGTGGATGCGGTTCGCTGCCGGTGGTGCAATAAACCGGTTCAATGTTGCGCTATCCAACCTGGAAAAAAAGAGGGCAACATGCAACTAACGCCTGGAATATGCAAGCCCTGGTGCCCAAGGAGAAGTTCAGTTGGTCCACGTTGAAGGCTAGACCGTGTTCTGCTGCTTGCTTCGTAGTATGTAGGCCACGGATATGACTGCGCTATCTTTGGCGCACTCCGGGATTACTGGGCTGTGTCGTTGTGGTTTTTTTTGTTGTTTTCCTTTGGGTCTCCTTTGATCAAGCTGGGTCCCTGATACGGGTCTACTACCCAAATAGGTTACGGGATGGTAATGCGCAGGGTCGCGTCGGCGTGGCGCTGTTAGTGCAGCCTCAAGAAGAACGTGATACCGACGATGTGGTTGATGGCGGCGATAACAAAGTTCGATGATAAGGCGAGATTGCCCCTGAAGGCGAAGTCGTACTATGGCGGCTAGTGTGTGTGTGTTTGTTGTCGCTCTCGCCGTACTGGTGACGATGCGAATCCAAAAAGTCTCTGGCGAATGGGAACCGGCCTGCTGTCAGAACCTGTCCACGGGGATCAGAGGCGAGGAGGTTCACAAAGCTACGGTGATCGTAGTGACGTCGCTGGGGCGGATGGCTGTGCGTCTTCGTGTCTGCAAGATTAGGTGCCTGTTCTCGTGACAGTTGACTGCTATGATGGTGTGGATGATGTTGGTATTGTTGTTGTTGTTGTTGTTGTTGTTGTTGTTGTTGTCCGTGTTCAGGTTTATGCTGAATTTCCGGATGTTCGGGGGTGATCCAGCTTATATCGCAATGATACATAACAGTGCGACAATATAAGATTGCTGGCAATGTTGTTATGGTCGGACTTTTGTTGGGTGGAGCGGCTTGGTGTTGATGATTTAGGTTGCTCAAGATTGAACAATGTCTCGGGGCTTGACTAGAATGAGGCTGGTGACATTTTGTACTTCCAATCAAGATGAATTCAAACACAAGTGACGTATGTGCCTTTGAAGGGCCATGTGGCTCATCAGCGCTCGGTGTCTCACGTATCGCGATCCCACGTTTATTCCCCCATTGCTTTTGCCTCGATGAGGTATTCACCTGGTAATGATGGGACCCTGGGGGCCACTGTTTGGCTCACGGGCCCGCTAACGCTCATGCTTTTCCTCCGATGTCCTAGGAATAGAAGCTCCTTCACCACGGCTCCGGGGAGTGCAGACCTATCTACATACTGTGGCCAATGCCATTACTGGACAGAGCCGTCCGATAAGGGGATATCCTGTTTCGTGCGAAAACCCCATATACGTCTTGCGGGAGATCCATGGGGCGTCTGTTCCGGTCAGCCATCTTGGCCTATGATACCAAGTGCAGCCTGATTTTCGAGACGGCCTGAAGTATATCCGCACGAGAGACAAGAAGACAACGGTGAGCGATAAGAAGGGTGCACACACACACACTACGTATTCTTCGGGCGTTGACATACTGTAAGAGTCCAAAAAAGACCCTCCTTGCCTTCCCTCCCGTTTGTGTGTGTGTGGGTGCTTGTATGTCAGTACAACACCACCACCGCCTAAAGTGGGTTTGCAAACGGACATACGTCCGGAAGAAAGACGACTTCAACTCTCGGTTCGGGCTGGCGCCGCCTGGGCTGCAAGCTGACCGAAAATTGGGAGGCCTTGGGGGCCATCGTCAAATCATCGGACGCGATCAGAAACTCCATAACAGTCCAGGCTTTGTGCGTCGCCTGGTGTACGCAACCGCAACCACGAGACCCCCAAGCGACCTGTCGTACCTTGCAGAGAAGCCCTTTGAACCCAGTATATGGGAAATGGGATTAACGGGCGATCCCAGGATTCTTGACAAGCCATAGAGACCGCAACAAACAGCACACGCTCACGCTTATTCCCGCGCTAAACGTCTGATAGACAGACCGGCCTAATGATCTGAGCCTTTTCGACCCTCGTCTCCCCTCGAGCGTGATGACTTCATAGCTCTCTTCCCAACGTCTCGACCCTGGCCTTGCTTGTCCCCGCCTTCCTCTTCCCCCCTTCTCTTGATCCCGATCTCCGCGTGGCCACGCAATTGCAGCTGCCAAAGAAGGGCAAAGACGCCCCCAGCTCTGAGCTCCTACAGATGGCCAGACCAATCTCCCGGTGCATTGGCAATGCATTGTATTCCAAACTGGATGCCAACTCACCCAATCATCTAGCTGCCCAGTCACCTACCACTCTGATCGATGAGCAGGGATCCACTCCTTCGTGCGAGCCACACGACCTCTCACGTCACTTCGGTCAAGCTTGCACATTTTCGCCATGATTCCCATTCTTTCTGAGCAATTCAGCCACAACTCCAAAGCCGACAATATGACGTCCATCTCTCCGCCATGGCATTTTTACACGTTGTCAACCGGAGCGTCGCCTCCGTGAGGAATGCCAACGTAGCCTTACGTAAAAGCCATCCCCACTGCACAAAGCTTCTTTTCACGAATTGACTTTATGGAAGTTCCCAAGTGGTAAGGCAAAAAAAAGGAAGGGGGTAAAAAGGTTAAAAAAAAAAAAAAAAAGAGGAATAACAAGTCTTGAACTCTTTCCGGCGTTTGAGACTGCCGAAGCGTCAGACCACATACTTCTTGGCCCCAAGAAATGCGGGGAAGCTGGGGAAGTATGAAGCTGACAGGCAATAGGCCTGACAATTGACTGGTCCGCGGATGTCCCATTTGACTCTTTTTGGGGATGGCATGATGGCCGGAAACTTTGGGGTGCAGGTTCGCGCTCATGACCGTAGGTTACTTCATGAGCTGACTTTCTACCCCGACATTTCATCGTCCGGCGTTTGGCGGAGCTTGCCATTCGCTGCTTCAGGACGCCATTCACTTCAGAGTCGCCAGATTCCCCTCCCGGCTGCTGGAGCTTCTCGGGTTTCGGGGGATTCCCATCTACTAGAGACACATCAGTTTCCAAGTTCAGCCTGGACCCTGCTTTTTCCCCATTCCATGTTGATCCTTGTCAACCTTGTGAGCTATCCCTTATCCTGAAGTAACCTTTGCGTATGTCAGGCCATGGATGGTTCAGCCTGCATATGAATACTACTAGGCATCATGGTTCACTTGTTTGCTGAGCTTGATAGCTCCCTGTCGGGCTGGTTGCCGAGGATTTATAGTTTGCAGTCACTGCGTTGGTTTAGCCTACGCTTTCCGAACGACGTCCATCTGAACGTTGTGAGTTTTCCATGCAAAAGACACACCAAAGGGGTCTAGATGTTTCTGTGCTCGAGAACTGCATTTCCTCGACTAATTCGTATTCCGCAAGTTGCATATGCACGATGCCGGAAGCAAGTGACATGCCTCGAACAGCTGTACATTGCTGCAGGTGTTGACGTTCCCGCTGTGGCTCGACCGCGGCGTGACCCGATCCGAGCATCACGGTTGGATCGAGCAAAGATCTCACCACAGCACGCCTGTATTCGGGGGTGCAGACACCCGACATATCCGAATAGGGACGCTGTCGCTGTAAAAGGGGCCCTTTTGCCGTGCTCTGGGAGGTATGGGGTATTCTACATAATCCAAACTCATGCCACGTTGGCGGCAACGGCTGCAGAACGCTTCAAAGGTAACTTCGTTTCGTTGCGTTGCAGATATAAGGACTTCCACTTTGGGAAATTTGGAAAACAGCTCATCGAGCGTCGCGATGAGTGCCGGGATGATGCTCTGATCGAAGGTAATGTCGGCTCCAATGACAACGTCGACGCTCTCGCCGTTGTTCCACTGTTGGTCCTCTGTTCCCACCAGCGCGTGTCCCCATCTCAACTCCATCGGCCTGACAAGCTCGCTGTCTTGTAGACCGTTGAGGAAGAAACTCTCCGGGAGGTTGTTGATAACATCATCAGACCCATCAGAGGCAACAACACTAGTGGCGGCAAGGTGCTTGGCACAGAGAACGGCTAAGTATCCGGTGCCTGCGCCGAGTTCAAGAATTCTCTTCCCAGCAATGATATGTTGGTTGGCGCACAGATATTGACCAAGGTGCAACGCAGCTTCCCACGTTCGAAGACCCGTGGTGCCGGATGCTGAGATCAGCGAGCGTGATTCAAGCAGTGTGATGTCAGAAGCAGACAACGACTGATCTGTGGACTTTTCAAGTCCACTGAGGTTGTATGTGACGTAAGACTTTTGTTGGACCGAGGACGCCTCGGATGGGATTGGAGTTGCCAGAGATTCAGACAAGGCTGTCATGAGATCCTCTGAAACCTCCTGAGAATGGTAGTTAGAAGTTTCCATATGGAAGTGATGTATCTTTTAGCGTCACAGGTTGAGTGGCACTTACATGCTGGTCCCAGTCTTCAATACTCGACTCAATTCTCGCAACAAGTTCCTTGAGAACACGAAGTCGGTATCGAGCTGGAGGTGCATAACGTGGGCCTTCGTCTGAAAATAGTTTCTTGTAAAGTGCAGCCTGGGCCGTTGATTCGCGAATAATGTGGCCGGGAGGGTAGTCGAGTGTTGGCTCAAGTTGAAGATATTGGGAGCAGAACCGATTGACGGAGTCGTCTGATGTTAAAAGAGTCATGCTGGGCTAAGTAAGCACGTTTTGCTTGGTGGATGAAACTTTGGTGGTGTTGCAAGTGAAGTTATCGTGTTGCTCGGTATGGTGGGGTATGGCGATGGCGGTATGAGCTTTAGCAGCTATGAGTGAGTATCTTTGTGCTCTATATTCCGTATCCCTAGACCAGACCTGCAATATAACAGAATGATGAACAGCTGCAACACTTATATAGAGCCGATCTTTCACAAGCGATAAGCAGAAAAAAATTGTTCTCGACAGAAATAAAAGAAAGCGTTAAACCATTATCATGACAGCGTCAAATCAAAACCATAAAAAAACATTGAATCGTGATATCCATTCTGAGAAGGACCAAGACGCACTACTCTTGCTGAGTCAGAATTAAAAATCGGACAGTACAAACACAGTGTCACCGGCCGGACCCCTCGTTCCTTCATTTTTGCCAAAATAGCATCCTGCCTGGAAGAATGGGGGGGAAAAAAAAGCCTACAAAATGTCAAGGTGGCGGCGCTAGTCACATGACTCTCGTGCACAAAAAAATTCCCAAAGGTTTAGCCCCACGTGACCCTGCCTCAAACGCCACAGGCCCGACCCTTCTGTGCGTCCTGAGGCACGGACACTTTCTAGGGCTTCCGCCCAATTAAGCGAACCAGTCCCCCTCGCGGAAATTTCACCTCTGGTACCCCATCACAAATCTCGAGACTTTGACGATATCACACCTCTCGACCTTCTGTCTCAGCGTCAACCCTCTCGACAGACAGATCAGCCCAACCGCGAAGATGGCGGACGTCGACACCCCCGTCACCCTGCGAACTCGCAAGTTCATCCGTAACCCCCTGCTTGGCCGTAAGCAGATGGTCGTGTGAGTTTGCCCCTCAAGATTACATTTCTCTGTTCCTCCCCCAAGAAGAAGAGTCCCGAAAGAAGAGCAAGAGGAGGAAAAGCGCACGATGCAGTACCACAACGCGACAAGTCATCAATACGACCATCGAATCACGAAACAACGTAGACGAAAGAAATTGCTGGCGCGAGTTTGAGGAGGATACGCGAGACGCGCGGGATTAATTTTTTTTTTCGGGGACCGGGACGAGAGAGTGCAGAAGAAAAAAAAGAGTCGAGACAAGAAACTTGTGTGCTGACTTGCCCGCGCACAGTGACATCCTCCACCCCGGCCGTGCCAACATCTCCAAGGATGAGCTCCGTGAGAAGCTTGGCTCCCTCTACAAGGCCACCAAGGACCAGATCAACGTCTTCGGCCTCCGCACCCAGTTCGGTGGCGGCAAGACCACTGGTTTCGCCCTCGTCTACGACTCCCCTGAGGCCATGAAGAAGTTCGAGCCCCACTACAGACTGGTCCGCGTTGGCCAGGCCAGCAAGATCGAGAAGGCGAGCAGACAGCAGCGTACGTCGAGTCCCCCGTTTGCCGTTGCCGCAGTGGCTCCCATGTCAGACCACCACCTCGTCTTCATGACCGGGAGGTCGAGTCTTGATGTCGGGCCCTGCAGTGGCGGCAAACAACACACGTTGTCCCAAGATGCAATGGCTGACATTCCTCGCGCTCAACAGGCAAGCAGCGCAAGAACCGCCAGAAGACTCTGCGCGGAACGGCGAAGGTCAAGGGTCCCAAGAAGAAGAAGGAGTAAGCGTGCCTTATTGCCTAGGGTCAGGGCGCATGAGGGATTCCCCGGATCATCCGCACCGTGGGCGGCGTTGGTGGAACATCAAAATGAAAAATGTCGTCGACTTGGGCTCGTGTGTTCCTTGGGGGGTTCCTTGTCTCATGGGGTCATCCATTTGGCTGCGGCTTTGTGCATTATTCGACAAGGAAACAATGCGGCTTTTGCATCATCCCTTGTGTCTTCGGCTGGGTTTGTCGGAGCACATAAACTACTAGAGTCAACGCGGCGTGAAAGGGGGAATGGGTTCATGATTCTCTCAAATATGAAATGCATCCAAAAACAAAACCGTGTATGCCCTTGGTTCCCTAACCATTTTTTTTGATATCCCGATGTTTCGAGTGATTGTCGACCGTGACCAGAACATGTTCAACCTACTGAAGATGGAAATCAAGGGTCCTGAAGTGGACTCTCTGTTTTCCGGTCACCCATCCCCATGTTCTCTCCCCCGCAACTAGGTTACGTCGTTGAAGTCGTGTTTCTGTTGGGCTAGTCCTCAGCGCTGTGTCCCCATCCACAACAATATGGAGAACTCTACCCTGAACCATCACCGATTACACTGACCTACCTTTCTGGACATACAACTCCTTAGTTATAGCGACATAGAACTTGCTTTCTCCAATCCCCAAGTCTGCTTCTTACTCACCAAAACGCATCTCTGGTGGAATGTCAGTATACAACTACGTACGACGAGGATATACGCCTCAACCACTTCAGAAATAGAATACATGCACTCACAGCCCATATCCTCCGTCTCACCACCCCCGACTTCTAGACTTCGAATGCGAAGGGGCACCTGGCCCAGGACATGAGATAGTAAGAGCAGACAGACAAAATAGCACCGTAACATACGAAGCAGAACTCGACTACACACGAACTTCTTACAGCAACGAAGGCAAAATGAACAGGATATATAAGACCCAAGATAAATCTTCTCGGCTCAGCCCAGAATCTAGGCGCACGCATTGATTTGGCAAGTTTGAGAAAGACTTGAACCTGCCACCAATTAAAGGAAACACAAGTTGCCAGACCATGCCATCAGTCCATTGGACACGAAATTCCTACACACACACCCACATTTTTCGTCAGGAACTTGAACAGCGGAGCAAACCGCACATAATCCATTCAACCCGAGATCCCACTCGATCAACAGAATTTCTATGCACGCTTTTATACAAAGGCACGAAGCCTAAAGCAATCAACCCACAACGCCGCCCCTTCTTACCAATGCTTCTATGCCATCCCACAAAAGACTCCCAAAAACGCCATCTTATGCGTAGTACATGTTGCCGCTTGCCAACTACACCTCCCTAAGTTTCTTAACAGGCCTAGCCAACGAATCATCAGGCAACCCACTCCTCTTCGTCCCCGGCAGACTACTCGTCCTGATGTCGTTATCATCCTGACTGACCCTGCGGTGTGGGTACTCGTTCTTCAAGCCCTCGAAACAGTGCGCGTTCAAGCGATCGCCCGTGGAGAAGAACGGGTGCTGCAGAGCCTTGGCGGCAGTCAGCCTCTCCAAGGGGTCGTACTCCAGCAAACTCGCAAGCAGCTTGTACCCCTCTGCACCGAGACTCGACAAAGGCGCGCCTTGAGGCGCAGAAGTGGCGCTGCTCGACGCCCCTTGGGAAATAGTGCTGTAGTACCACTTCTCGAGGTTCGAACCGTTGGGCGGAGGAGGGTGGTGGCCGTGGTGTCCCCGATGATGTCCGTGATGGTGCGGCGTCATGGGAGGCTGTAGTGTCGCAAGCTGGCTGTACTCTGGCATGGCTGTCAACAACGGCCAGCGGTCCTTCGTAGGCAAGCCCATGATGTCGACGATTTTTTGCATCTGGTTGCGTTGAAAAGGAACCGTCTTCTTGCTATCCATCTTTGCTTCTTCTCCCTTAAAAATGGGACGCAGTGAGAGCAACTCTGCGAAGATGCACCCGATGGCCCACATATCGATGGCGGGCGTGTAATGCCTCGATCCGAGGATGAGCTCAGGCGCGCGATACCATATTGTCACAACGACCTTGTCTCCGCTGAAGAGGGAGTGCAGTGGCTTGTCGAAGCGTCTCGCCAAACCCAAATCACCAATTTTGACTTCTCCCGCGGATGTGACCATGATGTTGGCTGGCTTCAGATCACGGTGCAGAACCCAGTTTGCATGCAAATACTGGCATCCGTTAAGCAGCTGGAACATGATACTCTTGACGGTCTGCGGGGGGATTGGATGCCTTGGGTTCTGCGTATGGTGGTGGATGATCTGCAACAGATCGTGCTCGGCATATTCAAAGACCATGAAGATGCATTTGTCTTCCAGGATAATCTCGATAAGCTTAATGACGTTGGCGTTCTTTAGCTCGCTGCACAGAGACATCTCGCGGATGGCAGACTGCGATATGCCCGTGTACGATACCTGTTCGCCTTCCTTGTCGGGCTTGAACTTCTTGATGGCGAACTCGCCGGGTTGGCCCTGGCGGCCGAGGGCCTTGTAGACGCGGCCATAGGTTCCGGAACTAATGAATCCGACGACCTTGTACCGCTCAATGACACGGACTTTGGGTTGGTAGTTGATGTGGCCAACACCGCGGTCTGCAGGGTCTGTGAGAGGTTGCTGGTCAGTATAACTTGAAAGTGATGTCCGAGGTGGAGACTTGAACTCGCGATGAGATCGGGACGGGGGATGTCAAATACAGGAGCTGTGACTGTGCCGGCCGCCGTAGCCGATACCCCTCCACATATTTCAGTTTGTATGTGGGATAACTAGGGGGAGCAGAGGAATATAAGAATGAGAAAGAAAGAAAAAATCCAGGCAGGACGGAGATTTTTCTCAATAAGATATGATAATGCACTCGCTCTACAAACGATACATGTCTCTCTTTCTTGATCTATGTCCTTCTACAGCGCAGATGATGCGAGGTGAGACTCTCACAGCGACACAGAGCTGATATGAGAAGAGACAATCACACGGGGTCGAGAGCACAGGACGGGTAAAGCAAGCCAGGCAAAGTCGCAGCTCACCGCCGATCTAGGACCAGGCCTCGGGACTGGGGGCTGAATGAGGCAATGGGCTGGATGTCGGGGTGTGGGCACCTCTAAGCTTTAAACAGCCAGAAAAGCAGCGGAAGAATGCAATCTGCCACCCGCCGAAACACACAGCTGGGAAAGTTGGGTGTGCCAGTGCCCCTCCCGCTCTCCGCCTGGGGGGCTCGTGTGATGTGCGAAGGGGAAAACGGGTGTGGTGGAGAAAGAGGCAGAAGGAGAGAAAAAAGGAACAAAATAGAGGAGCCGAGGCCGAGAGGCGAACGCAACGCAAGGGTAAGGCGCCCCCTAAAAAAAGGATATGCAAAGGCAAGTTTACGTCGTAAGCGGAATTCCCGCAGGATGGTGGAATAGAAGGGGGTGCGCGGATGGGATTAGCATGCGATAGGATCCCAGCTGGGGTTATCGATGAATGGGTGTGTAAGGCGTGATGAAATGACCAAAGATCCAACAGTTGAATGGCCTAACCCACTGGATGTTGGATGGGGTTGGGTAGGGCGTTACAAAATAAAAATAACAAAAAAGTCGGAAAATGTAGCCCAAAAGGCAAAGCGAGCCGGTGATTGAAACGCCGACTTGGGAGGGACCGTCGATCACCAAGAGGAGAAAATGTGGATAAAACAGAAATTATAAGGGAAAAAAAATAGCCAATGCGAAAAGGGAAATTCTGCGGCGCGGAGGAGATGGCGGTATGGACCTGATTGATCGGATGGAAGTATCCAAAAGATGTATAATCCGTGCCATCTCACACTTTCCCATCCTCTTCACAAACTTATCCATGTCATGCTTGACGAGTCGCTGCAAAGCTCGCTCGACTAATATTTTTTTCTTCATCGTGCATGTCACTTGACTCTTGCGCATGTCCGCTCTCGCCTCAAACGACACATTGACAATAACTCGAGTCAGGTAAGAATGCAAAATGGGGGATAGGATATCAAGACAAGGGGCGAAAACTTGCAACCAGACGAAAGGACCCGTTTGTCAGGTAAGGATAGGGTAGGTACGACGAATGAACCACAAGCAAACATCAAAACTCACCTTCAAACGCAGCCTGGACGCTTCTCTTAAGCGTGCCCGTCCGTACCGAGCTGGGGCCAGAGGCGACTGACGGCGGGTTGGTCAGGCTCATTATCCAACGGGAACGAACGTCTCGGTAAGCTGAAAGTAGTGTTCCGCAAAAAAGTCACTGAAAATGTGGGAATTTGATAACGCCCAGTTCCCAGCCGGTCCGGTTACCCCCAAGTTCCAAAACACCGAAACGCCGTTATCCGTGTGGTTCTTGTCTGTATCCTGCCTCAGGTTATTTCTCCTTGGGGCCCAAGGCCAATACTGCAATGTCAAGACCGTAATTGGGGTCTCCTGTCTGCCCCGTTTTTAGAGGCTAAACACTGGATGGAATTGCCTTATCCCGGGAACCTGGTCCGTTGATTGCGTCCCGTTGCAAAGAAAGCCCACCAGAGCCGTGGCGAAATGGATACACTCAATTACTTTTCCGGTGGATATTGTGTTGGCGAAACCCAGGGTCTAGGACGGGATACCGGTGTCAAGAACAGAATAGTAATATCCGAAAGCCCGTGTTGCTAAAAAAGCCAAGGCCAGGTACAATAAGATGGGCGCCGGCCGCAATTCAATAAAGTATGTATATGTGACTGTCTGCCAGTCAGTCTGCTCAGGCTGAGGGCCAGGGCCAGGCAGCGTCGTGCTTGTGCGCGAGACGGAAAAAGTGGAGGATGGCGCAATGTCCCGAGAAACCGGGCGAGTGCCTATGCTTGCTTGGTCTTGGTAGGTAGTTCTTTTTTTCCTGGTTTGGGGGGTTTGATTTTGTTCTGTTTTCCCTGTGCCGCAGGAGACCGGACACTATGCCCGAAAACTAGCGGTTGCCGCGAGTTTGGGGAAGACACACGAACAGAAAAAGGAATGGTGCCAAATAAACGGCTACTGCTCCTTTGCGCCCTCTGTATGGACAAAAACTGGCCCTGACACAGGCCTCGGAACTGGGCTGGGAATGGTGATAGGCGAATTCACGCGGGGGTTCCAGTAATAGCGCTGGGGGGTGTGCGTGTGTGCGCGGCGTTTTGCCTTGCCTTGAGTAGAGATAGATTCAAAGATCGGAAGCTGTATGCGCGCGTGCCACCTTCGCTCGGCGACTGGTAGGCACGTCGGCCGGAAACTCCGGGGCGCGGGCAGCGGGTATCTGTTTTGATAAATTGCCGAAGGGGGGTGTTTAGATGCGGGCAGTATATTTGATGCGCAAGTGACCCCGCGGGTTTAATATCTGCGGTTGTTCTATTCTGTCTCTGACTTGCGTCGTCTGTCCTGTATACGATGATCGGCGTCGCGCGTCCACACACGAGAGATTGTTTCGGTGTTTACTGTGCGTGATCACGGGTAATGACGATATGAAGTGCGGAGAAGCGTAAGGAGAGTCGCATCAAGATGGAGTACCAGGAGCGAGGTTTGAGCCAAACACGAACAGCGACCGAGAAAAGCGTCGACGCAGAACTGTTGGATTATAGAAGCAAGTAAGAAAGTCGCAATGGAGGTCGAGATGAGAGAAAAAGAGAGTGAGTTGAAGTGACGTTTCACTAGGAGCAACAGAGAGCGAGAGCGGCGTGCCTTCTACTCATAAGGGTGCCTGCCGCGCCCGTGTCTGGGGTGGCAGTTGGTTCCTGCCTCTGATATTACAGTGTCATTCCCTACAAGCGCTGCACGGTGTTGGGAGCTAGGGCATCGCATCAGCCTTTTCCAGCCAAACCGCCTTACATAATACAAATCATGTCTTTCCCGTCATCCCAACACCAGCTTTACCTATGACACGCGTTCTTGGACACGATGCTTAGAAGGAAGGAAAAAAGGGGGGGACGTAAAATAATCTTCATCAACTTTTTCGTCAAGAAAACAAAAAAATAAGAGGCTCTAAAAACCTGTCGCATGCATGCCACTCTACCAACAACAAGACCAAAGACCATTGTGTTATCAGCTTTCTTCAAGGATGATCGATCACCTCTCGGCCGCCTATCGCGGGCCAAGCTTCTCCAGCACACGGGGGCCCTGTTCATCCCACTCCTCCTTGGTCACCCACATGCTCTCCTTGTCCGCCATGATGTTCGCCAGCACCGCACCTCCGAGGAACACCATGTGTCTCCGACGAGGTGGGTCCTCTATCCGGACCTTGAACTTGTTTAATCTCTCCGGGTTACCGCCGAGCACCCGCGTCAACCACAGCTGCTTGAGCTCCTTCTCCAAACGCGAGGGCAGGCCGGGGTACATGCTGCTACCACCGGACAACACAATGGCTTTGAACAGGGACGAACGCACGTCGACATCGGCCGCCTGGATCGTGTTGAACAGGAACTCGGCGATACCGGGCTGCTCGCAGTCGACGAGGTGAGGCTGGAACAGGCACTCGGGCGCCTCGAAACGCTCACTGCCCACCCGGATCACGCGGCCGTCGGGTAACGTGTAGCTCTCCACCAGGACCGTCGTATCCTCGCTGAGGCGCTTGTCCAGCTCCAGGTCGTACGACACGTAGCAGAGCTTCTCCTTGATCTGCCGGACCGTCTCGAAGTCGGCCGTTCTGTTGAGCGCGTAGCCGCGGCGCAGGAGCAGCGCAATCAGGTTCCGCGTAACGTCTCGGCCCGCAACATCGAGTCTGCGGGTGAGGTGGTTCAGGACAACCGACTCGTACACGGGGACGATGTGGGTCACGCCGTCTCCCGAGTCGACGACGACACCGGAACTGAGACCTAGAACCCACCGTAATTAGCACCCATTGTGTCCGTAGCCACCAATTGAAGGCCATTGTAGAGTCGTAGGAATGATGACATACCTTGGGCATAGAGCGCCAGCACGGCCTGGATCGCGACGTAGACACCGCCAAATCCGTATCGGTCAAACATGACCTCGCACATCTGCTCGCGGTTCCGCAGGGGGTTGGCCGGGGGCTCGGTAAGCAGGATCTTGCGGCCGCGCGGGTCGACCTTCATCTTCTCGAAGAAGGTGTAGTCCCAGAGATGCTGCATGTCATCCCACTTCTTGACGATACCGTTCTCCATGGGGTAGCTGATCTGAAGCATCGTCCGGGCGGCGGCGGCCTCGTCACCGCACATGATGTCCTTGATAACCATGTCATGGCTGTCGCCTTGCTCTTCCGTTCTCAAGATCGGTCGGCCGACAAGGGAAGGATATTGGAATTCGGGGAAGTTCTGGCCTGCGTAGCCGACCTTAAGGAAACCGGTTCCTCCGTCGAGGACTGTAGTGGATCTTGCGTCAGCCACCTCCCAATCATCATCATTATCGCCATCATCATCCAGCCGAGCGGATAGCTGTCCAACAGTGGCTGCTAGGTAGTATCATGAGCATTGTGTCTTACCAATAGGGGCCTCGGCTGCCATTGTGAAAGCAGAAGCTGCAGGGTATGTGATTGAGCTTCTGTCGAGGGGGAGGGAGAGGTGTGGTTGGGTCAGGAGAGCACCCAGGAAGCTGTTACGTCTGTGTCGTCGATAGTGGGGTTGGTTGGGTTCGCTGCCTCCAGCTGTCCTACAGTGGATCGTCAGACGGCCGTGGCTGAGCAATTGGTGTCACGTGATACCCCGCAGCGACACCAAGCCTCTGTATCCGTAGTGATCAAGCAACTGCAACTGCTGCACCACACCCGCTGATATCATTCTGTCAGCGTTACCGGACCGGCAGGCCCCACCCTGACGGAACACTCCCCACTGGCAGAAGCCGCGACTCGGCAGCATGAACACAACTATAAGGCCGCGGAGTAGCTGTTTTTAATTCCATGAATATTCTTCAAGTGCAGTGGCCCTCCCCTCCAACTGTATACAGGCTTTTGTCAAACGGCCGCCATGACTACGCAAATCCTCCGTCGAAATGTTAAGATCCTTGTGATCAACCCGAACTCATCCCAAGCTATGACGAGGGGCATGGAGAGGGCCATCCAGGGAATGCCCTTGCACGATGTAAGCTAGGATTGAAAACCTCCAAACACAGTGATCACGAAAGCAAGAAGAGGGAAAAGGAAAAGAAAGAGAGAGAAAGAAAAAAAAAATGCATCACAGGCTGATACTTTGTTACGTCTAGTCCCTTGAAATACACACTTATACAGCACCACCTGAGAGCCCGGCAAGCATCAATGACGATGCGGATATCCAGCTCAGTACTGAGGTCGTGCTCAAGGACCTCGCCAATAGCGGGAAGCTCGACCAGTACGACGGTGTGCTCGTGGCTTGCTACAGTGTTCACACGCTCGTCCATAAGCTCTCTCAGCAGTATCACGCTTCTCTGGCTGTCACTGGCATCTTTGAGGCAAGTGTACTCACCGCAACGTCACTCTTACCTCACACGTCTCCCGGCTCTGTCTCTTCGAAATGGGGCGTCGTGACTACTGGCAAGTTTTGGGAGAAGCATCTTAGCGACGGCGTGAGACATTACCTCGGCCAGTCTGTCGATGCGGATAATGCCAAGTTTGGCGGGGTCATGTCAACCGGTTTGACTGCCGGGGACTTCCACCACGTCAGCCCGGACGAGGTCAGGGCCAAGCTAGAGCAGGCGACGAAGCAGCTGCTCAACAGTGGGGATGTTGGATGTGTGGTAATGGGATGTGCCGGTATGGCTGGCCTTGAGGAAATCATCCGTGCCTCGGCCGCTGAAGCCTACGGGAAGGAAAAGGGCGACCAGGTCTTTGTCGTCGACGGCGTCAAAGCCGGAATTTTACAGCTCGAGCAAACAGTCAGAAGCAGAAGATTATTCCAAACTTGAGCCATATAATAATACCCTATTGAACTCTGTAGATGCCGTTACAGTCCACGTTTAGCAAGAGAGAAGGTGAAGCTGTACAAGCTCCCAACACGGTGCACAATTTAGTCCAAACGACGAGCCCTTCCCCAGACCTCGTCGGCATCCTTCTTTCCCTTTGTTTCGGGAACCTTGACAGATACAAAAAGGGCAGAAAGCAACGCGAACCCGGCGAAGAGGAAGTACACCCAGCCTGCGCCACCAAACATCTGGTTGAGGAGGTTGTTGACAATCGGGAAGAACTGAGCAACCAAAAATGTCGCAATGTAGTTAGCAGCAAGGGACCAAGACTGGGTAGCGCCAACAGCCTCCTGTCCGACCAGTTCTGATGCAAGAATGAAGGGCACTGGTCCAAGTCCGACTGCAAAGAAACCAACAAACGACACAACAGAGACGGCGGAAACAATCTTGAATCCGAACTTAATCGAGAGAGCGAGGATCAGGGAGCTGGTTCCCTGGCCAATAATGGAGATCAGGATACACCGCTTTCTTCCAAGCTTGTCGGGCAACGGGGAGCACGCGGCGGTGGTGATCAGGTTGACAACAGAGATCAGAATCGTAAGCAAGGCAGAGCTGACAGGGAGGAGGTCCGTCAGGAGAGACACAGAGTACATGATGATCGAGTTAATGCCGCACAGCTGCTGGGCGAACATGATGCCAACAACAGCAGCGATGGCGGGTCTGTAAAGCGGATCCTTAATCACCTCGAAGAAGCCAAGATGGACGGGGGAGCTCTTCTTAGGCAGGCCAGGAGATGCGGGAGGCGTCGCTTCGCCCTGGGGGTTCAGCAGACCTTCTGTCTCGGCCACTGCGTTATCGGCGTCCCAGGCATCAACCTCTTCCTTGATGTCAAAGTTCTTGCCGCGGATGCGCTGTAGGGTGCGACGGGCTTTCGGCGCATCACCATTAGCAGCCAACCAAGCCGGGCTCTCGGGGACAAGAAGGAGGCCAGAAGCCTGAGCCAGGGCGATGAAGATGCCCGCAGCCAGGATCCAACGCCAAGCCTTTCCGTAGCTCAAGAAGAAGCCCAGTGTTTGGACAATTAAGATGCCGACGTTGATGGAAACCTGGGTCATGGCACCAAACAGGCCGCGTTCCTTGGGCGGTGCAATCTCACTGATGTATAACGGCACGATGACGGTTGAGGCACCCGCTGCGGTACCAGTGAAGAAGCGACCGATGGCCAGGGCAGGAGCATTGCCGGCGAGCGTCTCGATAACAGCACCAATGATGAAGAGGATGGCGGTGATTCGCATGGCCGGGCGACGACCACGCTTAGAAGCGAAGGGACCAGCGCAAAGGGCACCGACCAGACCGCCGACAGTGTAAATGGAGGAGACGGTTGCGAAGACAGCGTCTGTCATGGGGATACAGTCGGGAAGCCAGCCGTTCGTCTCGGGCGACTTGGAGTGCACCCACTTCAACATGGTCGTCTTGGCCTGAATAGACTTCTTGCGGCAGGTGAGAACATCTTGAGGGGCATTGAGTTCGGCCTAAACAATGTCGCCATTCGTCAGCTCTCGAGTTGCGTGCTATCAACCACGGAAAAGGGAGAGGAAGCTATTCTGCAGCACACGTACCAAATGGAAGCCAAACTGCAGGGGGCCCAACGTCGAGACAGCGATCAAGACAAGCAGATACGGGCTGACATCGTGCATACACTGTCGAAGGCCTGCGGGAGCCATTTTGGGCGTCTATCTCGCGGTGTTGTTATGGTACCGTCAGAGGTAGAGTTTGGAGATGTATGAGGGAAGAAGCTTTATACGGGTAGAAAAGTTCAGCAAAGAGGGAGGGAAGTCGGGACGAGCAAGCGAATCTGGGGATAGTCGCCGGCGGAGCCAGTGACAGCTGCTCATATACCACAGCTGCTACACATCACTGTTACGCAGTTGAGGTACCTGGGCGCCCCACGTTCCAGCTGCCGCGAGCAGGGGCCCGTGGGCGATCAATACTTGCGTGCCTACAGCTCTAAGTTTAAGTGCTGATGCCCGCCATGAATTAGCGCATCAAAGCTCCATATCGAACAGGTACCTCACATTTGCATCAGAGGAAGGTTACGGTTTGATGCCATGGTAATCCAGCTTTTTAATGCAATTCCATAAAGAATATTCTCCATAAATTTATTAAAAATAATATCAGCTCCATATGACTGCGTCGAGGCTGTAAACCGCTGGACATGTAGCGAAGGGCGACGCTCAATATTCGGCTTCATTCCTCACAAAGTGTACGCGCCGTAGTCTCACTTGAAATTCGAGAAAAGGGACTGTCCCAGGCCTAACGAATTGTCTCACTCCCATTCTGTAGTTCTAGGTACTAGGCCTTTCCCAATGCCCGTTGGACAGCCACTGTCAAAGTCTCAACATCGTTAGGGCCAACACCGATGCTCTCGTTGTCCGTCTTCTCGTACAGGGTACCACCCTCAGCCCAGATGCGACGCAGTGTGAAGATGGTCGCAAACGGCACGCCATCGGCCCACGCCTTCTCCTCGGCCTCCTTGAGCTTCTGCAGCGGCGCGTAGGATACCTCCCACTTGGCGCCCGTCTGCTTCTCAAACTCGGCCAAAATCTCCTTGGGTGTCGCCACAAATGACTGTACCTTGAGCGCCTTGTTGAACGAAGCATCGGGGTGTCTCAGCGAGGCCACCAGAGTCTTTCCAACACTGGATAAGGGGGTCAGCAACGGGAATGTAGGAGTAATTGAAAGGGAGACCTACTCCTTCATGGTGATCAAGCCAACCTTGCCCTCACCGTCCTCCACCAACACGGCCTTTTTGCTCTTCACGTCAAAACCGCCAGCCTCTGGCGCAACGGGTGACAGTGTCAGAAACATGTCCACGTACGGGCCCGTCACCAGGTAGGTGTACTTGAGCCGCTTGATGTTCTCACGGATGTACTTGCGCACTTTGAGCTTGGCCTGATGCGGCTTCTCATGGGCGCTCTTAGGACCATACTCGATATCGGTGCCGTACTCGGAGGGGAAAAACCACTTGACGGAATCTGTCTCCTCGGCCAGCTTGATAAGGTCGATTTGCTTCTCAATGACATTTCTTCCCAAGGCTGAAATGACGGTGTCGGCGTCCTTGTATGCCGCCTTGACTTGCTCGTTGTCGTCGACATTGCCGCTGATGATCTTGGCACCCTTCTTTTTCCACCCGTCCAGCAGGTCTGCCTTGTTTTCTACGGTAGACCGAGATGTGAAGATGGTAACCTGGTCGAATGCCGGCTTAGCATCCAGAAGGGCTTCGGTGATGAACAGGCCGATGTTGCCAGTTGCACCAAACACAAGAATCTTTGAAGGTGTGAACGACATGATGACGGTGATGTGGTGATTGATGGTAATTATAGAACATGCAAGAGTTGCAACGAGGGGGTAGAGTCACCGGACTGCTGATGAGGCTGTAGATGTTACTAAATGCTAAGGATAGTACTATTTAGGTACAGAGATGCAGCTGGATGCATGGTTCTTATAGCTTCAACTCGCAGGCAATAACGGCCTGTCAGTGTCACCCCGCCGAGGAAGTATTTGTAAGTAGAGCTCCGACCACTCGGGGAACTGACGCCATACAAAGACGTGCTTACAAGGTGGAGGGGCAGGAGGGGGAATCTGGATGCGAGAGCAATCTAAACTAAGGAGCCCCACGCCCTGTGGCCGATTGTGCCCGTCTGGTTGCTCGTCTGATGTCTCCAGAAAACACATCCCAATTGGTGATCTTCAAGAAACAGGAACCGGACCTCTCCACACATGCTGCAGCAGAGAGGTCCAGTAATCCGAGCTCCGCAAAATGAAACGGCTCTGTTTCTGTGCTTTTCATATTGATCTGTATGGCTGATGGCCCAGTACCTATCCTTATACTACACTTTGTACTTTTGTCTCACTTCAAGAAGCATGTCCGGATGAAGCAGGCGGTCAATACGCCGACCTCCCGAGTCAAGCCGGGCCGGGGTACGTACCTTTTAACCCTCCAAATACCCCCTGCTCGGACGGTGTTGTCTAAGAGGCTGGCGGGCCCAGCGCGGGAGACGGGCAACCCCACTACCGATCGGTGAACTTTCCCTCGAATTTTTTTTTTTTTAAGTCTGGCTGAACTTTTTCTGAACAATCGGGAACCAGCGTCCTCCGCGACCCGCCGGTGCGAGACTTTACATCAACACACAACGATACCCTCAGCACCTTCCACTTTAACCATGGCGGCAATTGACTCTCCCGTCGCCAACGGGCACAAGTCCGACAAGAAAAGCAAGAAAGAAAAGAAGGAGAAGAAGCGTTCGCGTGAGGAGGATACCGAAGCCAGCGAAGAACGCAGGCACAAGCGCTCCAAGAGCGTCGGCGTGACCAAGGACGACACCAACGACGACGACAACGATGACGAAACTCCCGCCGGCTCTCAGGACCTCTCCTTCGCCAATGGCGAGCCGTCGCCCGAGAAGAAGCGGAAACACAAGAAGGACAAACACAGCAAGTCGATAGGCGAGGCCGACGGGGACGCATCCGATGCCGAGCGCAAAGAGAAGAAGGACAAGAAGAAGAAGCGCAAGTCGCAAGGCGTCGAGGATGCTTCTGTCGAGGCCGAGCCGGCCAGTGAGAAGAAGGACAAGAAGAGCAAGAAGTCCAAGGCAGCGTCCCCCGGGCCCGCAGCCGAACAAGACGACGATGCCATGGATATCGACTCTACCACAAAGTCACAATCGACATCGAAAGCCCACCAACCCCCCGATGCGCCCTCCAAGCCCCAATTCCCCTTCTTCAGCCAGACCGTCTCGCTATACCTCCCCATCTACCCCATAGGCTGGGACACCCCTTGCACCGCCGCCGCAACGCAGCACCTCGAGCCTCTCGTGAACCGCTACGTCCCGGAGCTCAAGGGTGTGCTCCTCGCCTTCCGCAACGTCGCCCTCTCCGAGCAGCCCGGCCGCCGCTACGCCGCTAAATCTGATAGCGAGCGCTGCGACCTCATTGCCGTCGACGAGTTCGCTGTCGGATTCGGCTATGTCACCGTCGACGTCGACCTTTTCATTCCCCGCCGCGGCGCCTGGATGGAAGGCAGCATCAACCTTGAGAACGAGGGTCACATTGGCGTTGTGTGCTGGGGCAAGTTCAACGCCAGCATCGAGTCCGCCCGCTTGCCGGCCGAGTGGCGCTGGGTGCACGCCGACTCACCCGAGGCGGCGAACTACGTCAGCGATCCCTTCGCCGAGACTGAAAACGTCGAGGCGCAAGAGGCCGAGGACGAGCACGGCGCCGTGCGCCAGATCCACACGACGGGTTTCTGGGTCGACGGCAGCGGCGAGAAGGTCAAGGGCCGCGTCAGGTTCCGCATCAAGGCCTTTGACGTCGGCGTCAGCGGCGATCACGGATACCTCAGTATCGAGGGCACGATGCTCGACGCCGCAAGCGAGTTGGCGGCCGTCAAGCGCGACGCGGAGCAGGAGCGCCGGCGCAGGGTGGGCAAGAGCGCCGGCATCCTCAGCAAGGAGCGGCGCCGCATGCCCGATTTCAGCGTCACCAAGTTCGGCGCGGTCGAGGACGAGGAGGAGAAGGCGCTGAAGCAGGAAGTGTGGAACACGACGGCCCCCGTGACGGACGACGAGGGCGCGGGCAAGGAGGCGTTTGCTGGCATTTCGGAGGAGGCATAGGAAACTAGCTGCTCTGCATCTACGATTCCCCGCGGGGTGGCTTGTTCGGGCGTTTTGAGGGCTTAGGGAAAATTGATAATGATACACTGTACATCATCTGTGAGGACTGGTAACTCGGCCCAAGTCGTTTGTGGTCCAAGATTGACCAAATACCTTGTATGCCACGATTGGATCGATTGAAAGTTGCCAGGTGCGGAATGCTAGTCAGCCACATGGAGACAATGTACGTGCCATGTGCGAGCCATTCCCCAAGACTCCTAATAGAAACCAAAATAGAGGGTCATGGTGGTATAGGTTACACGGATCAAATCAAAATCTAGAGACTGTTAAAAGTCGTTAGAGCCTAAAACATGTACAGGGTTAAGGCCAGGAATCCATTTACATTCGGTGGGTTTTAATGGCCTGTTTCGGCTCTCTTTTGATAAGCGGTATTTACCAAGGAGAAAACCACGGATGAAGCATCATCTGAGAAGTACCAAGGAAGAAGCAAAAAAGCGAAGAAAAATGCAAGCCAAACTTTCAGGAAACGACGAAGCCCTCCGGTCTCAAAGCGCCTTGACTCTATCAAATGTTAGATCCAGGCTGGCCATCAGCAGGGGTAACATCCTGAGGATCCATTCGTTCCTCGCATTTGCCGCCCGCAAAAAGGTCGAGAACCCATCCAAAGCCAACAAGGTTGCCGTGAACGAACCTACACAATGTTAATAGGGCTCCTCTGCATGACTTTGAAAAGATAGAGAGGAGTCCCCACCAGAATGACGACTGGGAATCAGACTCGCGGCTGTGAGGTCGAGCAGAAGAGTATCCGTAAAAGAACGCAAGGCCACATGCTAAGATAAACGTAGTAGCGTTATGGCCGGCGGACATTTTCCGAGCAGGTAGTGGAGGCGGCGGCGTCGATAAGTTCAGAATAATATGAATTTTTTTAAAAATGTTTGCGTAGGAATTTATGAACGACAAGGTCTGTTTTACCTATCTTTCAACTGGAAAGTGAGATTGTATTTATCCTTCAGACTCACTGCATAAGGAAAAATCGCGAACTGGCAGCTTCTGTTTCATCGTTGTAGACCAGCAGCATTCTTTGGTTTCCTTCTCTGTCCGTGGCATACGAATAATCACAAAGAATATGCATGATGAGGGGAGATATATCTAGCACTCGGAATCAAACAGAACGCATTGGATGCGAAATTCTATAAACTTCCTGATATGTTAAACCGACTGGTTGGCTCCCAAAATTGACCTTCACAAGATGCAGTTCTGGCTATTGCTACTACAACCTAGCTTGGATTGCGCACCAGCTTCCACATCGAAGTCAGGAGTCATGTCCATGTCATTCCAAGTTCCTGAAGAAAGGAAAACAGAGAACCCTTCGGGACGAACCCGGCATAAAGGGACTGCCATCGCGCGGCGAAGCTACCTGTATCGGGGTTCTTAGCAGTGGTCAAACATAGGGAATCTGAGGAGAAAACATACCGGCAATAGGTCCAAATTCGCCAAAGCCAAGGACCTCGAGAACCCATGGGGAAATGATAGCCAAGACGCCGATGGCAACAATGGTGACGAGAACAGGGTGTTCTCTCGCAAACTCGAAGAGTTCGTGAGCAAGCTCATACGCTTTATCTATGGCGTCCTTCACAATCTGGCCAATCGTTTCGCCGTTTCTAACGAGGGTTTCGACTCCGTTAAGGATGAGCTCGGCGAGACTCTCAGTCCAGGAGGTGGTTGTCACGATGTTCTTGAGCCGGCGCTGCAGGTCTTTGCCGCTCTTCTCAGCCGTGCGGAGGATGTCGATGAATTCAGAGGCGGCATCTTCGTCTGATCTAAGTGGCTGATTGGTTATGATGCCGGATGGCTTCTCGTTCACAAGGAGTCCTTGTTGAGGTGTGGAAGTATGGCCTGTAAGGCAGTTCAAGAAACTCTCGCAATCCATATTGACGTTTTGAAGTGCTGCCCTCAGTTTGATAGTATGGGTTGGGCCAAGGCCTGATGTTATAGAAGCAGACACCAAAATTCAGTTAAGCTTGGATAGAAGGAGGCATATGATAGGCTTTAAATACATCTAACTGACTGGGAACGCCCGCATGCGCTTAGCTTTCTGCCTGCTTCTGACCAACATCATGCATGGTCTTAGCCCACGGCCCCCAACATGAATTTGCCATAATCATCCAGTCGTTTGTGCCGTCCTGCATGTCACTAGTTTCCACACCACATCCAGAAATCAACCCAATGTCATACCGAGTCGCTGAAACAAGGCAAACAAAGACCTTGCTGGGACGAACCCACCATAGTAGGTCTGCCAAAACGCGGCGCATGTGCCTGTGTGTGTTGGCTTCTTAGCAATGGTTACTCAATAACGGGGAGCCTGTGAAAAGAAAATACCGGCAACGGGGCCAAGTACACCAAAGCCAAGGAACTTGAGGACCCGTGACTTAATGAGAACCAAGGCGCCTATGGGAATGGCCATGTTGACTTATGAAGTACTTCTTCTCGATTTGTAGTGTTTGCAGTGAATTGGCTATTCAAGGGTATGAAAACAAATGTCTAAGTTATTTCAGCCCAACTTGAAAAGACGATGGTAAGTTGGAGACTTGGTGTACATCTGAATCTGAATTAGTTAAGGAAGACTTATACTATGTACGTCTTCGCCTTCCCAACTGCTTCCCACCGACATCCTCCCTGATCAGGCTGCGTCTTCCAACATCAATCTGCCTTGACCGTTCACTTATTTGTGCCACAATGCATGCCGCTCATCATACATCTGCATCTCTCGTTGGCTCAAGATGTAAACCGCCAACAAATTCAAACATTCGCGGGTCATGACAAGACCCAACCCCGCTCCACGCTTGTCTTTACTGGATTCTATCGCAGCCAAGAGCCTGCAGCCTCAAAGCATCGCCAGTTCTGGTACTCATGTTGGTCAGGCTGTGAAAACTGACCTGGATTAACAAGGGCGCCAAAAGCACATTCGACCCATCCATTAATGAGAGAAAGTCATCGTTACAAAAACAAATAGAGCAATCGTTGTAAACCGCAAAAGATTGGGCCCTAACCAGGGATCGAACCTGGGACCTCTCCCAGACTGAATTGTCGAAACAACCCTAAGGGAGAATCATACCGCTAGACCATCAGGGCTAATTAGATATTGCAGGCTTGCTGCTTGTTGGACCTTCTGCAAAACTTTTGGCTTATGGACCCTAATTTTCATCCGAAGTTCAGCGTCAACCACTGAAATCATCAGACGCCGTCATCCTAGATCCACTAAAGCACTGTTCTTCGCTGGAAGTCTCCTCTGAGAAATTGTTACGAAGAACCCGCATATTTTTGACTATCGCTAATCATAAAGCTGCCCCGTCTGGTAGAGCAGCCCAAAATACTGACGCACCCGCGAGACAAATACTTGGAGATATATTGTTCTTAGTGTGCATTAGGACAATGTGGCCAACCACATTGACACTTTCTTCTGCTCAGTGTGTTTCCTTCAATCTCTTCAAAATCTTTCTGCTATAGTGATAGAGTCAAGGAGACAACCCCCAATGCGCTTCCCCCAGACCGTGGTATCCGACCCCTGTCGACTAAAGACTGCCAATTCTGGAAATCTTCCTCGATCTGATTGCTGCTGCGTATACTGGGGCCTATCTTACCGGCTTTGGGGGTTATTGAGCATCTTTCTTAGACTTTGTTTACCCTTGGAACACCTTATTCTCAAATTTTCTCATTAGTCCCGTCTTCTTGATTTCCTCAGCAAGCTCAACGGGATATATGGCTGCAGAATTTGCTGCACCACTTCTGCTTAATGTGTGAAAGCAGCATCCACAGGTCCACAGTTATTTGACATTTAAAAACGGTTCATGCTCGTTAAAGTAACCCAACAGGCATCGCGATAGTAACTCCAAGCGTAGAGCTTCTGCGGGACTGCCTTTGTATCTCTTGATCCTGGGTTTCAAGCCCCATTGGTACAAGATGTCCTAGCTATGGTCCTAGAGCTGCTATCGTTTTCTTTACCCACTATATCTCATATTTCACATGCTTCTCCTGCCTTTCTTATATTATTTCCTTTGCTTTCAAGTCAAATGCTCAATACGAAAATGACCAAGTGGAGACGAGTCTGATTCTAGATAGCCTGATGGAACTACCGTTGTTGGGGGCTCGTGTTCAAGCACCTCAATTGCCCACTGTCTGCAGGTATCCCTTCAAGTCTTCTACCGAGGCAAATTTTTAATACAAGGTCACTCATTCGTCGGGAGCCTTGGGCCTAGGCACCTGCAAATGCTACCCTTGCCAGCCCGCTAGGCCTTACCATGCGGAGGGTTAACGTAACACTGAACGGATGTTCTTCTCCTCGACACTTGCCTGCTTCTACCACATACGATCCTGGTCTGACGTCGCTCATCATTGATACCAAGCCGGGAGACCCGAAGGATTCAATGCTTGATTAAGTATTCAAAGTGTTGCAATATTTACCGCCCAAAGGTAGAAAGTCTATATATCCCTGTCTCTAATGAGAACGTATAGTGCGTCTGGCTCGATTCTGGTCTTTTCATCTCTTCATTGGTCCTACCATGTTCTGCTGCTCTTACCTTAGCATCACCCAAAGTCACTCTTCCGTGGTTGCGGTCCCATACTAAGTGGAACTTCTCATCATCTGGAAGCTGCCACAAGGAAAGCCATAGAGTCCATCTTGGGAGTTTCTTCTACATTGGGAAACCGAAGCCATACCGCAACTTTTACACGTGCCTCTGTCCGCCATTTACTTGGATGTATGCAGACAGACCATAAAGACTCAAGTATAAAGTCAGCCTTCATCTCGCCTGGCCAGGACAGTCTTATCTACCCCTTTATCAAGTCAAGACAAGAAGACCCGTCGACTACAACCAAGATGCGCGTTTCCTGCTTCCTCACTCTTCTCTCCACCGCCTTCGTGGCCGCCGCTCCTGGCACTGTTCCCGCTGCCGACGCCGAGTCATATATCATTACGGGCCCGCTCCCTTATGAGGAACTTAAGGCCGAGGTCGCCAATCTCAAGAACACCGACGAGTCCAACGCCGCAAGAAGTCTCGACAAGCGCATCTGCTTGGGCGTCTACCTGTGTGACGGCACCAATTTCACGGGCGAATGTTACTACGCCTGCTATCCCGTTGGCAAAGGCATCTATCCCGACTCGTACTGGGTTAGCCGTATTACTTCTGTTGGACCGGACCAGGGAGGCCAATGTGACTTCTATGCCGCGTAAGCTTTACTCTCAATTTATCAAGTTTTGCAAATGCCTCGTTGCTAACATAAAATATAGCGGCGCCAACAGTGATCCCACAAAAGGCCGTCACCAGATCTTCCGCTACCCTGGCGGCAATCTTGCTTCAGGCATTGACAACAACATGGGCTGCTTCTATTGCAACCCCGTCTAAATGTCAAAAACGGACTAGAGGTAATAAGGGAAGGATGTTGCGGTACAGTAACCTCATAAGACGATTGTACACAGTTAGCAACTAATAATTGAGAGCTGTAACCGTTGTCCAACTAGTACAGCAACACCGAGAAGGTACTTTAATGATTTGGATAAGTAGACCCGCGCAAAAAGATGAAGTCTTGGTTGCAAGTAAAAGTAATGGCAAACTTAACAGCCAGCCGGGAGCTAGTTTTCGTGTTGTTCTCGAATCTATTCTTCGTCCCATGTTAGACATCAGGCAATAGGCCAGATCCCTGTGTGACACAGCCAATGGCGCCCGTAACTCGATCCCGAAAAAAGAAATCGTCGCCAAAGGATCAAATCCTAACCTTAAAGTTAAAACTGATGGAAACCATAGATACCTCGATTAGCAGGTTTTGGTGGTTGAAATAAGACGGGGTAATTGGGTCGCCGGCGAGTAGTGCGGAGAGAAGTACGAGGCGACGAAGCGTATTACTGATCATAAATTCCCCCAAGCCCTGTCTGCGCGGCCTCGCATACCTGACCAAGTCAGCCGCCTTGGCGGGCATTCTGGCGTCGATTTTGTGGCTGCGGCTTCAGGGCAGCTTCTCTGGATGCGAATCTTGGGCTTGCTCTCGTGAACGAGGACGCGTGTGCATCGTCATGATCACTAAATCTGCATCGTGTTATTATCGTGAAAGTGGTAAATGTGTCTCTTGAAAAACTAGGAAATGCGTTAGTGAGATGAGTATAAAAGCTCATGATGCTCTCGAGGATATTATGTCTGCATTCCGATCATCAAACGGGATCATAACAACATCAATCTCACCATCTATCCATTGAAAATCAATCAAATCTTTGACATTATGTCCAAGCTCATCACAGTCTACGGCGCAACAGGTGCTCAGGGCGGTAGTGTCGTGCAGGCCCTGCTCCGCGACAAGTCTGCTTCCTTCACTATCCGAGGCATCACCCGCAACCCCTCTTCCGCGGCCGCTCAGGCTTTGGCCTCTTCAGGAGTTGAAGTCGTCAAGGCCGACGGGTTGGACAAGCAGTCCCTCGTTGCGGCGTTCAAAGATAGTTGGGGCGTGTTTGCGAACACTAACTCAGATGACCCGGTAAGCCAGGTTCTTCATCTCGAAACCTAAATCTTCGAAGAAAGAATGAGACAACTGACAGTAGCAAAGACAATCGGTGAAGAAGGTCTGCCCAGCGAGACGGACGTGGGAAAGCACATCGTCGATGCTGCTGTTGAGGCCGGCGTGAAGGTTTTCGTATACAGCGGTATGGTGTCTGCCAGCGAGGTCACGAAGGGAGCGCTGCCAGTCAAAGCGTTTGAAGGTAAGATTACATGCATCAGAACTAATGAGAATTACCATGTTAACAATACTCGCAGAGAAACACGCCATCGGCGAGTACGCCCGTTCCAAGCCGTCGTTGACTGTCGTGGAGGTCAGTCCAGGATGGTACATGGAGAACTTTCTCCCCCCTGAGCTCGCCGCCGTGTTCGGCGGCCTGCCATACACACCTGACGCGGAGGGGTACATGACATTCAGCAGCCCACGCTGGGGTGGCAACGAGGAGGTGCCTCTCATCGGTATCGAAGCCGACTACGGCGACCTTGTTCACGGCGTCTTTCTCGCACCAGAGAAGTACAAGGGGAAGCGCGTTCAGGGCATGTCGCAGTCGAGAGCCATTGACCGGTTCGGGGAAGATTTCGAAGTCGGTATGCTGCTCATCCCCTTTTCATGACATTGAAGAATGTCAAGTATATAGCTGACGTGTGGTGAATAGCGACTGGCAAAAAGGCTCGATATGTCCCGATCGAGGACTGGAAGACTCTCGAGACTTACGGAATGCGGGCACTGGAGACTGTCAAGGGCATGTTTGGCTTCGTGCAGTATTCTGGCGGGTTGTACTATGGCGAGCCGAACGATCTCGCGCTTCCTGCGGAGCTTAAGGCTGCTGCTGTGAAGGCCCAGGGCAAGGGGAAAGATGACGCTGAGTTGATGACGCTGGAGAGGTTCTTCAGGGCGCACTTTGGCTGATGGGGTGGTGAGTCTGTTGTTGGCTTCGTTGGCTTTCCAATTAGTGGTTCTTTTGTGACTTCCTTACCGACTCCTAGTATAATGAACTCCATAATTGACAACAATCTTTACGCAGAAATATTCATTTGATTGCTGAGATTCAAGACCCAACACTTTTAACACACTTCTCAAACCTCTTGATATCATATCGCCCAACCCGTATCCTCCTTAAGAACCCCCCACTCATAGCAACCACCTCACTGAGGCGCAGACAAGTCCTTCAGGATTTTCCTCCCCCTCACGGCATCCTCCTCATGATCCGGCTCCCTCGCCGTCTCTGCAATTCCCTCCTCGATCCACTGCTTGACGGCAGGGTGCTCCAGCAATCTCTCAACATATGCCACCGCTTCGGGGCTCTTCAGCTTGAGCCCAAAAGTCTGGATCCTCGTCGCGGGAGGCGCGAAAAACGCATCAGCAGCCGAGAACTCCTTACCCGCCAACCACGGACCGCCAAACTTCTTGATACCATCCGTCCACAGCTCATCCAGACGGTCGAGGTCACGCTGCAGGGCCGCGTCAGGCGGGCCGCAGAGATCGATGCGCAGCGCGACGTTCATGGAGCACTGGTCACGGATGGCGTCGAAGCTCGAGTGCATCTCTGCGGTGGCGCAGCGGGCAAAGGCGCGAGCTGCCTTGTCCTGGGGCCATGCGGCCGGGTAGGAGTCGGCGATGTACTCGACGATGGCGAGGGAGTCCCAGACTGTAGTGTCACCGTCGACAAGAGTGGGCACTTTGCCGGAGGGGGAGAAGGAAAGGAAAGCCGGTTGGCGACGACCAGCGACAAAGGTTTGCAGACGCTCTTCAAAGGGGATGTCGAGGGCCTTCAGGAGAACCCAAGGCCTCATTGACCAGCTAGAGTAGCGCTTGTTGGCGATGTAGAGGACGTAGCCCATTGTGACGGTTTACAGCTTTGATCTCAGTTGAAGGATATGAATTTAAGAAGTCAAGATTTGATACAGATGAAAAGAAGGCATACGAAATCGGTCGCGGGATATGGCCAGTGTATATATATGCAGTCCGCACTAGCGGGTTGACTCATCTGATGATGCTCTATCGCGAGATATGTGTTAATAGACGCCCTACCGTGTGGTGGAGTGAAGTGTAAAGCAAGGGGCCTTCCTCTTTTGGCAGGAATGAACAATAGTTTAGACGAGACGTATTACCAATTCAGCCTCAACTAGACTCCAACTGCAATGCTAGCCAGCTGGATTTTGGGTGTGAAGCCGAGAAAAATAAGCATACCCGCACACCGACACGAGGGAAGTGGGGTTGGGCCATTGCTGAGCTGCCATGTCAATGAAAGGGCGCTGCGGCGATAACTCAATTGGGTAAAAATTAGAGGGCCAAGAAGCTAAAATGTTGTAACGGAGAACAGGCCAGAAGCGAGCGGCTTTACCAATCAACTGTGACGCGCAAGGTACGAGCCGGGTCATCTTGTTATGTTTGAATATGAAAGACTGGTGGTATTGGAATCAATCCCGCTCCTGCGAATCAGCATGATAGCTAATGCTGATCCAAACGGATAGCTGCATTGCGAAGTTGACATTCTAAAACTGTATGGCGTTAAAACCAGAGAACATCATCACCGGGAACAAGAGAGGTGGAGATGAAGAAATGCCTGGAGTCAGTGGAGAACTCCATCACTCCTAAGTCGAAAGCCATAGTCTGTCTGTATGAGGGATAGCTTCTTGCAAACGGGTACAGCCGTATGTGACTCATTTGAAGCTTCTTACTGCAAGGGAAGACACATTTCATCATCTCCCAGAAAAATAATCCGAATAGTGTAGAGTCATTCTTGTAATCAGTACCTGAAGTACGGAGTAGATAGAGTTGGACCGCGTCTGTTGATGGTTATCAACGCGCCGTAAAGCGGGCCAAACGGCCTAGACCACCGAAATTGCTTGCCTGTAATAGCTCCAGGCCGGTATGCCAAGGCCGATCGAATCGGCATTGGAACCTGGATTCTGTACTCGAGAACGGAGGAAACGGGGACCGTCTGTTTGAGTGATTCGTAGCTGGATCTAGTTTAAAATGAAGAAACAGGAAAAACGACACACAAACCCCTTGAATAGACCAGTAGCAGCTATTTCCTCATACAGTACCTGATTCCCTTAATAATTTCACTGGGAGCAAATACCACAGCAAATGATGTGCATTACGTAATCCAACACCACCCGATAATTGGACTGTTGGACTTTTGCGCCAGTGGGAACTTTGTACCTGAGCTTCTGTATTCGGCCAGCTTGAACTAAACTTTTTGGTGGCCTCATACAACTTCCCACTTTCTACCAAACATCACCATCATAATCCCGACTCGGCGACCGAGTATGCTCACGGCACCATGGGTTTGCCGCCGGTGCCTGGGAGGGCTCCTCAAGCCCAGGAACGCCCAATTCATCCGCCGCGCTAGCACAGGCAAGCTCCAGCCTGCCCATCAACAACGTCTTTCCAGTGCGCAACTAACATGACGCCCTCCAAGCAGATACCGCCAACACAAACCTGCCACCGGCCCTCCTTCAAAGGGCACGGAGTCTAGCAACAGAACACGAGGATCTCTCGCGCACACTCGAGGATAACTACGACTCTAAAACGGCCCGCCGCATCGGCGAGCTCTCGAGCGTCGTGACCGCCCTGAAAGAATGGGAAAAGGCACAGGCCTCGATAGCGGAGCTCAACGGCCTCCTCGGCTCCAAGGACAAGGAGCTCCGTGAGATGGCGAAGGACGAATTGGAGAGCACGACGGGCCACCTCGGCGCCCTCTCGCGCAAACTCTCGGCGGCCCTGACCCCCAAAGACTCCTTCGCCCACATGCCGTGCCTGCTGGAATTGCGGCCCGGCCCCGGTGGTCTCGAGGGCCGCTTCTTCGCCGACACCCTTTTCAAGATGTACAAGCAATACTGCACGCGCAAGGGCTACCGCGTGCAGGTCATTAAGTACGAAATGGCCGACGCGGCGGGCGACTCTTCTTCAGCGGCGGGCGAGCAGCCGTTGCAGGAGGCCATCATCGAGGTCCAGGACCCCGGAGCGTACGACATCTTCCGCGGGGAGGCCGGCATGCACCGCGTGCAGCGGGTACCGGCCACCGAGAGCAAGGGTCGCACGCACACCAGCGCCGTGGCCGTGTGGGTTCTCCCTTCGTTCCCCGAGAACGGCGCCGTGGAGGAGGACTTTAACAACCCGGAAAGCGACTTCTTCATCGACCCGCAAGAGGTCAAGATCGAGACGATGCGCGCGAGAGGCGCGGGCGGACAGCACGTCAACAAGACGGAATCGGCTATCCGGATGACGCATTTGCCGACGGGCACGGTGGTGAGCATGCAGGACTCGCGGTCGCAGCAGCGAAACCGCGAGGACGCGTGGAAGCTCCTGCGCTCGAGAGTCGCTCTGCAGCGGCGCGAGGCGAAGGAGGAGGCCGCGGCGCAGCTGAGGAACTCTGTGCTTTCAAAGAACAAGATCACGAGAGGCGACAAGATCAGAACGTACAATTACCAGCAGGACCGCGTGACGGACCACCGCGCCGGCATTGACGTGCACGACTTACCCGACGTCATCTCCGGCGGGGAGACGCTGGATAAGGTATTTGAAAGCGTACGGGAGTGGATGGTCTCACAGGATATTGAGGCCATGATGGCCGAGCAGGAGGCCGCGACGTTGATCGCGGAGAAGAAGGCGCAGAAGTAATGCGTCCCCTCCTCGTCTTGTAATACTCTCTTTGTATCATATTGTAGACCACCTAGAACAAAAAGCAAAGCACAGGACCAAAGAAAAAAGAGCCTGGCATCGTTATTCAGTAATGCTTCGTTGAAAGAGGCATCCTCGTGAAAAGCCATAAATGTTGTATACAAACCCGGAACACGATGCCGCGTCGCGTAGTTTGTTTTCTCCCTTGTCCAACGAAAGGGCCATGGAACAATCCCAGCCCACAAACTTTTCCCAACCGGGTGATGATGCGACCCCGACGTACGTACCCCGGATTCGTCCAAATCCCGCCCCCAAACGTGTGCTTCAGCAGATCACCAAGCATCTGGAACAACGTGTTTTTTATGAAAGATACCATGCAGGCACATCCTTGACGAGGGTAGAAAGCGCTTGGGTTCCCATGTCTCGCAAAATGTCAGTCCGAAAGGTGCTTGTGTCGTAGACCCCCCGTCGAGTTTGCTGACTTGGGTATGTCATGTCGGAGCGCCGGTGGAGAGTCAAAATGAGGAAGCGTTCGATGCGAAAAAACCGGTTGATTCAGCCAGCCACTGGCCATGTGAAATTGTGTTCAGTCACAGTGATATGATATAAGCAAAACCTTGAACATTGAAAAAAAAGAGCTTTTACATTTTTGACTACATCAAGTATCAGATACAAGAGAGGGGATGTCATACTGCGTCGGCATGACAGAGGGATCCCAAGTTTTGTGTGTTCTCCGTCGTGTTATCCGTTTTCCTTTTTGCCTGGATAACATCCCTCCAACCTTCAAATCAGCCATAAAGACGCCGCGCTATGGTCATATAATAATGTACAACAAGGGTGGGGTAAGGTACAGGAACGTGTAGCGGACTCGCGGACTGCCCAGTCGTGGAGACTTCGGGCTTCGTCAATGGTGTACAATGTGTGCTCTCCTCCTCAGTCCGGGCCACACGCTCCAGGTTTCGCAATCATGAGGGGGGAGTAGAATAAATCAAGCAAGCTGGCGTTCACGTCTCATCATCTCCAGCACGCCAACGACGCCGTTCTTGCGGAGCCTCTCGAGCACAACGCGCATGCCCTCACGGCTCTTGCCCATCTGGTCCTGCGTCTTGCTGGAGGCCAGGTTCTCGATGCTTCGCTGGATGCCACGGGCGCCAAGTCCGGTCATCCAGCCGGACAGCCAACGGCCTTCCTTCTGCTCCGGCTGCTCTGCAACACTAGCTGCCTGGGGCAGCTGGTCCTTCTTGCCGCCGCGAAGTCTCTCGCCGAGGCGCGACCTGTAGATGACAGTGGTTGTAACGTCGGTAGCTGCGTCGACGGGAGCGCCGGCGGGCAAGCGGAAGTCTTGCTTCTCAACAACAGAAAGCACATTCATGAAGTTGAGGTTGCGGCTTTCGGTGCGCATCCAGCCCTCACGCATGTCAACAATCGAAGTCTCCAGGATGTAGCTCGCCTTTTCAGCAGAGCCACCACCGGTGATGGAAGCGGGAAGGAGCTTGAAGACCGGGGCTGGCATACGCGACTTCTTCAAATGGATACGGGTCGTGTGCAGCCTGCCCGTCGCCGGGTCGAGGTGGCTGTCGATGGTATCGGTGCTGAGCACATGGGTGGAGAAGGGGTTGAGTTTGGGCGAGGAGTAGCGGAGGAAGTAGGCTAGGGTCACAGTCGGGAAGGGGTGGGAGTAGGTGTGGTTCGTCGAGTGCGTGAGGACCATCTTGGCTGCGGCAGCAGTTGATTGCGGTAGACGATGCAGGTTTCAATTGAAGTCTTCGAAAGTTGTTCGATGCGAGAAAGCGCTCACGTTCGTCTGGACGTAGGGGGTGTTGACATCGAGAGGCTGGCGTGGACGTCCCAGTGCAAATTCCGGGGGTTGTCTGAAAAGGGCCAAAAAAAGTGAAGCTATATCCGCCACGGAAGCTCGGCTACCGAGTCGTCGGTATTTTCGGTTTCGGGAGTTTGCGCAATGTAAGCTTATCGTAAATGAGGGATCCAGAAGAAGAGGCTGAAGAGAAGGAGGAGAGCGGCAGGACGGGAGGTCTGGGGGGAGGGTTAAAAATGAGGAGTAGACGGAATATTGGGGAGAGGTGAGGAGAGGAGGAGAAGGGCGGTTGGAATGATGTAGTGTGCAACGACACCGTGCGTATATCGAACGATAGGTCGATTGATTTTGGGGGAGAAGCTGCCGTGCGACTTTCTTTTTGAGGGATGGTATTGGTCGGCCAATGGCGTAGAAGACCCCAAGGCGGCCTGTCGGCCATTGGATATTTCCAGCCACTGGGAGGCTACGGCAATAAGCTTTGTCCATCATTGCAAAGCGCTCCGATTGGCCGGAAGATCTCATTGCGCCCGCTTTTGGTCAGGCGAGCTTGGGCCTCATCAGTGGCAAAATCACATGATGTGGAGTACACCGAGCTCACCGAGAGCTTGAATGAGCTGTCACGGTCAGTTTGAGCCTCACCTTTGCCCCACCTTGAAACTCGACCTCATTTCTGTAGTCTGTAGCCTGCAGCCATGTGGCTCTTTAGAGTTTCTGCATGAAACACAAAACGGAAATGGCGGAGCTTTGTGAGCTGCTTCCCAGCCAAGGCACCTTGATCTGTTCTTTGATGACAACGGGCACGGCTGCTGTCGAGGTGAGTGCAGGAGTTTCCCCATTCCTCGAATTGTGGTTTCTGATTGGCTCTGCCCAACGACATTGATGATTGAAGCGTAAGGGTAACCCCCATAACATGCATCAACATGAGTCGATGTCTGCGATGTCCATTCTTGAAAACTCGTTCAGAGCTGGCTGCAGTCTGTCAACTCATTTCACTAATCCAAGATAGGGTTTCTCATCAGACTGGCGTTCCCGCTCAAAATACCACATGCACTGCTTGTGAAGCTGGACTGGATTCTTCGTAGTTAAACAATAGCTGTAGATAGCTAGCCAACACGTAACTCAAAGCTTCTCAAGGCGAAACTCTTCTCGTGGGCATACAAGACGGGAATGCGTTAAGGTTCCCCAAATGCTTGTCGTGCCATGGTCTCGACTCGGTCACCAACCTAATCGGAGCTTCTCCAACAATAATAGACTGTTTCTCTATGACTAGCCTACACGTAAGGGCAGTACCTAGGCTATGTATAAGGATATCTCAATGTTTGTCAACCAACAATGCACCTTTGCAAAGAATCCAGATCCCCGAACCCATGGAAAAAAAAAAATTTCTAAATCACCTACACTGCCAACGAAAGCTTGGTGCTCTTGAAAGTGGTATCCCGTTATGTAAAAGGTCCCGAAAGCTACAGTGATAAATTCCGACTCCCCAGACTGTGAGATTGAACAGATGCCATTACTGACTTGGTGGCTTTACAGACTCCCCATCCAGCTCCGCTCGTATGTGCGGCTCCCCCGAGAGCTCTACAATATATTGCTGCGAAGCCGTTGGAACCATTTTGTATTTCACATCCTCGTTTACCGCAGCGTGCTGTTGTGTAGCGCCCATAACATGCATGCGTGATGTTGCGGCCTTCCTCTTTCTTAGATACCAGAACATCCAAATGGCAATGACGGAGAACGCTGCGCCTACGCCCGCGCCCACGGCGGCGCCAATGATACCGGCCTGATTGCTCCAGGTCTCACTGCCGGTCTCATTGCTGGTACCACTGTCACTACCGGTGGATGATACCGTGGGAGCTGGCGCGGAAGGGGCAGAGGCCGACAAAGGACCCAAGGTAGTCGTTGTACTGGTTGTAGAAGACGAGGCAGATGTAGAAGATGAAGATAGAGAAGACGTAGAAGATGTAGAAGATGTCGTCACCTCATCCTTGATTCTAACCCCTTGGCCCGAGTTACAACAGTCCGAAGCTTTCTTGTCGTTGCCACAGCAGTAACTCCCGTCTGCGCATTTGGTGACGAGGGCATCCATCCCAGAAGCCGGTACGCCATCTTGTACTGATAGGAAAGGTATCATTAGCAAATTTCCTAAAACGAAACATGGCATCAATCATAACAGACTATCACGGAAACCTTCATCTTTCAACAGACATCCTTTCGCAGCCGCGCTTAGAACTTACTATAATCGTCAGAAGCGCACAGCTTGATGCACTTCGGCGACTGCCAGGTCGGATCCGTGCAGCTCTCTCGCCAAGTAACTTTGCCAATCGGGTTCCAACAGAGGCCATTCGGCTGGCACTTGTCCCCAACGCCGGGATTGCAGCACATGCTGTGCCCATTGGCCTCGCAGGGTTCGTACTTATTACCACCAGCATTGGTGAGCGCGTGGCGGTTGGTGCCATTGGGAACAAAACATGAACCCTGGCCCGCCACAATGCTGGTGAATGTCACCAGAACAACCGGGAGAAAAACATGCATTTTTAATAGACCGTATTTTCGAAGAATGGAAGTTTGTGAGCAAAGGGAGAAGAATCGCGTGGAAGAAGATTAACATTAATCACAGCCAGGCCAGACTGGCGCACGGGATGTACTAGTGCGACACGACTAGACGCCATCAAGACTCAAGTCGCACCGCCACTTGCAACACCATGTGGTGGCCGTTATGAATGCTCCGAAATGTAAAAACCAATTTTCTGTTGTGTTGTGAATTCATTATCTGCTTTCCAGTCTCTGTGATGAAACCCTTCAATCATGGACATCTTGTTCAGGGACCAGAGCGACGCATAATGATGTCTGTCTTTGTTGTACGACTGATGTCAGATGGTGGTGTTTTTGGCCAAATTAGTGTCAAATCCCCCTTTTAGCCTCAGGGTTAGCGTGGTTGACGCAGCCTTATCCGTTGGAAAGAACGGCGAACCTTTGTCGAATAAGGATGGTGGAGATGATTCAGCTAGTGTCCTTGACAGTAAACTTATAGGACGGGGTAAAATGGTGCACTAGAGCACATGCTGAAATCGTTTTCACAAGCGAGTAGGCACTTGATGTCCTATGTTATCGACTACGGCCCGCCATCTCCCATGTAAAAGGTTACGCTGGAGACAGGCAGTGTAGCCACTCCATTAAATGCCATACGTCTAAGCTGACCCGGAAGTCTTTGGAACCTGTATTAGCAACTCCTCCAAGTAATTTAGAATTTACGGTGATTCCGGCACCACTGACTGAGACATCCCGAGGAGCGAACTCGGCCCGCTGTCGTTCCCCTCTCGCACGAAGACGCCCTCGCTTTCGACCTTCCATCCCTGGACACCGCTGAACTGCACAAACTGTACAGCCATCTCCCACGCCTCTCGATCCGCTGCGTCGCCGCTCTCAAAGGTCTTGAGCTCAAGCCAGGGGCTGTCTGGATCTGGATCGAAGAGCTCCCGGAAGAGCATTGAGTAGGATGTATTGCGCTCCATCCAAAGATCGGCGATATCGATGTTGCGCATTTCGTCGGCATCCTGTAGGATATCGTTTCGGGGTACTAGCTGCAAGAATAGACGATCGATGCGAGGAATGTTCTGAACGAGGGTGTTGAAATGGCTTGAAAGTGGGAAGATGCCGACGTAAGAAAAGTCACGGATCGAGGGAGCAATGAGTGAGGTGTCGTTGGGGAATTCTTCAGCACCAAGAAGCGCGCCAAGGATGGATGGTGGACGTTTGAGGTAGTATTCGTACGTCTTGTAGACGCGAGTCGATGAGCCTTCGTTGAGCAACAGAGACTGCCATGGGCGGATAGTGAACAGGTCACACGGGACACGCTTGCGTAGCGAGTCTTCGTGGGGTGGTGCCTGTTTTGACGAAGATGACGACGTCCTTGAATTGAATTTAGTTGTGACCACCTTCTTGTCCTTTCGTGAGAGGGACAAAACATGCTGCGGCATGTCGAAATTCCACGCGTCCCCCAAGAAGAGCATTCGCGACAGCAATTGCGCGAGTACTCGTGGTGATGCGATTATACTCAGCCGTGTGGGATCCACGTATTGAAATAAGGTCCTCCATAACCAGTTGTAGTCTTCACTGTAAGATGCTTTACTCGCGAACCCGGTCTCCATCAACTCAACGCTGCTTGCGCCATGAGTGGAAACGCTCCCCATGGCGTCCTCGACGAACATGGTCAAAGTATTGACGTAGTTTGTCAGATTATTTGTTCTAAGAAAAGAGAGTATGTCGATAGCGGATGCTGGGTCTCCTGTCTCCTCTATAAGCGGCAGCTCAAAGCGGTCGAACGTCCATATCACATGTCTGAAGAGTAGAGGCAGCACAGCACCCCGCCATCTCTTGCTTACGACTGATACGCTCTTGAGATCGCGATCGAAAAAGATATTTTGGAGCATCAAAGAGCTTGGCTGATCGTGGAGCTTCGAGTCAGAGGGCGCTGGCCGGTCCAAGTAGGTAAAGATATGGGCCAGAATCTCGTTCGGGAGATCGTTGATGGCCACAGCCATTGTCGATCCGTCGGGCATTCTATCAATATCTGAGTAAGTTTTAGCTAACTGAACAATGAAATGTTCTGAAGCATTAATATATATAAAAAGGTGGGTTTGGTCTAGGCTATGTGCCTCGATCTGAGGGACTGTTTCACGGAATGGTTTTGGCCGAGGCGGGTTTCAGATCAGACAAAAGGCTTGAGGTGGTTCAACAAACAGTTCAAATGGTTGTGATTGGGCCAGATTGATTGGGGTATCATAATAGTCTTTGGTTCTTGATGCAGATGAATCGCCAGTTCGATATGTGTGCGCTGGAATGTCTGGGTCTTGGATCGGAAGGATGGATGTAGCTTGAAAGAGAATGACTTTGGGGGGCAGAATGTCATCGCGGGGTCCTTTCCAGCCATGTGACGGCCACTTAAATCGCCACAACCAGCCCCACTCTAGCTTGCTGATAAGATAAGAGTGTTGATAAGAGCTCCAAAGCTTTAGTTCCCCTCCAGTCTGGACAGGGCAACTCGTAAGACAACAAACAAACGAAACTTTTCTAATGCACGCTCGTAATTACCATCTCGAGATATTACCAGTACAGTCAGCTATTACGTGTGCAGAGATTTTACAACGCAAGGTAACCGTTCTGCAGCTACTTGCTTTTTCCTCAACTAGTAACCCTCTGATGCGTCCGCCGGATTGCGGCGCATGCGGCGTTTCCTTTTCCCAAAACAACATCTTCTCAACACCCACTTGTACACCCTTGCTATTTAGCAAAAAATCCCACTAGCTGAGGTGAAAATGGACCACAACGAAAGACTGCGATTCAACGGCGGCTATCGGGCTTTTCCATTTGCCGTCTACTAGAGCATTGGCCCCCCGTGTCAGCTATGACAAAGGCGGGGAAAGCGGGGGCTAAGGTGGGCGGAGCGTCTCGATCGTGGTCATGAATTGGTATGACATCGTCCACGACGGAGGGGGGCGAGGGGCGAGGGGCTCAAGGGCTAAAGATTATCCATCGAGGGGTTGCTTACATGCATCTGACATCCCATGAACCTGGTCAAATTTCTCAAAATTTGAATTAGAACTGCCGAACTGCTATTCCGGTCGGAAACAAAGAGAGCGCCAAGCCGAGTCAATTGTATTAAAGCCAGCACACCATCCAGGAGCTTCCGACTCTCTTGGTTTCTGTTTCTGAACGATGCAATTCCTAAGTCCATCTGTCGAAGCGTCTCTAATGGCTGCCAAAAACCAACAAAGACCCCCCTTCCGTGCGGAGCACATGGGCTCGCTGCTGCGACCCAAGGCCCTCACAGAGAAACGTATTGCTCTGGATGAAAAGAAGGCAGTTGAAATTGCCGAGGACAATGAGCTACACCGTCTCGAGGAGGAGGGTGTTCGCGACATTGTCAAGACTCAGCTCGACCTAGGTTTCCATGCCATTAATGACGGTGAGTACCGTCGCCACCAGTTCTGGGGTAATTTCTTCCCTGGCCTTGAGGGCTTCGAAGAAGTTCCTGCTCCCAGTTGGGATATTTTCCGCATGTATGTGCCGGATATCGCAGCATTCAGTAAGTCCTCGAGATTGTTCTTTTTTCTTTTACACCTATAACTAACGATATTGCTTCTCAGTCGAGAGCGACCACAAGCCTGGCGAATCTATTCTCTGCACCGGCAAGATCAAGCACAAGGGTAGCACTTATTTGAAAGAGTGGGAGTTCTTGAAGAGCATCATACCCGCTGACAAGGTCAAGCACGCGAAGCTGACCCTGCCCGCTCCTGAATGGTACCACCTGCGATACAAGAAGGGACATGCGTACGCAAAGGATGTTTACGCCAACGACGAGGAGTACTTCGCCGACATTGCAAAGGCCTACCGCACTGAGCTGGATATTCTTTACGAACACGGCGTGCGCAACGTCACCATTGACGACCCCAACTTGGCGTGTAAGTTGCTACCATCCAAACCTTTATACCCGGACATTGGAATATGGGGATGCTAACGCAATCATCTGGTAGACTTCTGCTCAGAGAAGATGCTCCAGGGGTTCAAGGACGCGGGCGAGGACTCGGACGCCCTGCTCCAGTCCTACATCAAGCTTTATAATGACAGCATTAGCTCCCGACCCGCAGACATGCACTTGGGCATCCACCTGTGCCGCGGCAACTTTGCATACTCGCGCCACTTCTCCGAGGGAGGCTACGACCGCATCGCTTCGCGGTTGTTCAAGGAGATCAACGCCGACACCTACTTCCTCGAGTATGACACTGACCGCGCTGGCGGCTTCGAGCCCCTCAAGGAACTACCCGCTCACAAGAACGTCATTCTGGGAGTCATCACATCCAAGTTCCCTGAGCTTGAGGACCTCGACAAGATGCGCGAGCGTGTGTTCCAGGCGGCCGACTTCGTCGCGGAGGGCGCGGGCCAGACACGTGAGCAGGCACTGAAGAGAATTGGCGTCAGCCCGCAATGTGGTTTCGCTAGTCACCACCTTGGCAACTCGATTACACACGAGGACCAGACCAACAAGTTGAAGCTAGTGAGGCAGCTGGCCGACTCTATCTGGCCTGGCGAGCCTTAAAATTGATGACTGAATGAGCATTGAGTGGCGTAAAGGAGTAGCTGGGGCGAGGGTGCGGGTTGGTGGCGGCGTAAGTGATGGTGGGTGTGGTGTATATAATACCTTCACAGCAAGTGAGGGCTGACCTGGTGATGATGTATGGGCACATAACCGATCTTTCAGGTACGGCCACTCCATGCGGTGGTGAACATATAACTAGTCAAAAAATGCAAAATCAGGCAGATACCCGGCATGTTTGTTTGCAGGTCTCCTTTGCAGAGGACAGCTCCGACCTCTTCCATCAAGATTTGACAGTTGCTTAACCGTTTCAAATGCCAGTGTGAAAATGAGCTGTAGCTCCAAATTAGGGTATCTTTATGCTCAAGGGCCAAATAACTACGCCAAACGCCGCTCCCTATGCATCGAGGGCAACCCCTCTCACCGCTGCTCGTATGGAACACCTGAACAGTATAACGTCTAACCCAAGCAGAGGTTTAACGTTTATGCCCGTACAGCGCCAGGAATGCCCCCTTCTTTCCAATATACGACAAACACGCGCCCTTCCCAAGATTGCATGCTTCATACAGGCAGCGGTTGCGGGTTGTTGCCAACTGTCTTGTACAGCTCGCGCAGCTCAAACTCCTCGTGCCCTCCCTCGGGAACCTCGCCGACCACGCGAGCCGGCTGCCCTGCAACAACGCTGAAGCTCGGTATGACCATGTTTGGGGGCACGACGGTGCCTTCGAGGATACGGACGTAGTCCTTGACGATCGCGAACTCGCCCACCACGCACTCGCGGCCGATGTGCACGTGGGACCCGATCGAGGCGGCCTGGATGACCGTGTACTGGCCGACGAAGACGTGGTCTCCCATTCGGAGGGGCATGTACGTGAACATGCTATAAACAGAAACGAGTCAGCCGTCAAATTCACACGGACGAGCGCGACCGGCAGGACAGGAATAAAAAGTTGCTCTCACCCCTTGTACATTCGCCCCGGCGGTCGGAGCACAGCACCCCTGGAGAGGAAGCAGTATCGGCCGATGGCGACGGCGGTGTTGTTTGCCGGGGCGCCGCCGCTGGAAGACTGCGCGGATCGCGCGAGGTCGCCGCGGATCATGACCTCGGGCTGGATGACGGTTTTGCCGCCCAGCATGATGTTCTGGGTGCCGACCAGCGTCGCCTTGCGGGCGACCTTGTTGCCTGTGTCCTGCGGCGGTCAGTCAATCAGTTCACTCTCGGGATTGGGGAAAGATGCGCAGTGACTGCTAGGCACATGAAATGGGTGACGTACGGTCTCAATGTAGTCTCCCTTTGCCGGTCTTCGTGACATTGTGGGCGCTGCTGTGTGGGGAGTTACAAGTGGTGGTTAGAGGTTCATTGAAGATCTTGGTGATGGTTGTTGAGCAGACGCGTTTAGGTGTGACGTGGGTGCTGGCCCCAGCGGTCCAGGGGCGGAATTACAGCGCGCTGTCAGTTCACACTTCCGATGTTGGTGTGGCCCAACGCCTAATTCTTTTGGCTTACACCACTCACTCTTCTGCAATACAAATCCAAAAAATAGACATCATTGCTCGTTTGGTTAATATGTTAAAAAAAGTTATTTGCAGCAACAACAGTACCTTCAACTCATACTGATGTAACTTTATGTGTGGTTAGTCACGTATACCTCTGCCAGGATTAAATAGGTTAGTGCTGTCCCATGCTAACTGTTTGAGGTATTTGATGTTCGGTTTTCTCAGGGACCTTCAAGGCGGCCAGTTAGAAAATATTTACAAGATACATTTCGTGGCGATGGTCTCCGTATTTTTCGAGCCTTGGTGATGTATCTCTCTCCTAGTTTTCTATGGTAGGAACAATCTCGAGGGAACACTGGCCATTAAGAGCCTTCCGCGTCAAAAAGTGGAATAAGTCAAAAACTAACCTATTTAATCCTGGCAGAGGTATAGTAGAGCAGATAGAAGCTGCAAATATCCACAGAAGCTGGCATTCTAGTCACATCAAGTCTCGAAGGATCCGGTAGTCAAAACAAGCAAAAAGTGAAGATGCGGCCAGTGTGGATTGAACACACGACCTTCAGATTGATTGGATTGAAGTTTTCCAGGTCCGAGGACCCGCTTCAGTCTGACGCTCTCCCAACTGAGCTATGTCCGCCGATCATCTTCGGACTTCTGCCGATGTGTGCGGCATTGTGAACCCTGCATGCCCGACTCCGCTTCGGCGCAGATTGAGACTGGCCGCCAGATGTAATTTAGTCTACAAATTCAGTCTACATCCCAAGACTCTTTTGGTGAAGTCCCATAGTATCTATCCAGAGCTTGGATGTATTGTCACAACTGGTACTTCAGTGAGGTCAAAAATTCAGTACTGCCAACCGGCTTCAACAACTTTTATTTAAGCAACACATATTTTCTACACCTTTTTTCTAGCGATCTGACTTTTTCATGTTTTCAAATGTATCTATCCCCCTCGGAATCCCGCAAAAAGTCCACACATTGACCCCATTCACTTATGAGATGTAGATGGCGCGGAACTGGGTGTTAACGTTCCATCCTGTGCTCTCCAGCGAAGGGTTTCCCTTGTTGTAGCAAGTCTTGGTGACAAAGTTGTACACAATCTTGGTGCATCCCGACCGGCTGCGGCAGAGGTTGATGCAGGAGGTGTCGTTGGGGACGTTGTACCAGATGTCTGTGGCCGGGTTGTTCTTGAAATCACTGCTAGGGCAGACCTGGTAGTTGGTGTTTCCGACTTTGATGGTGTAAGTGGGAACCAAGCACTTGGTAAGCGCGGTACCGTCGGCTACCTTCACGATAGTTTGGAAGCCTTGATTAACCGCCCAGTTGGAGGCTGCCGCGCTAGGGCTGCCCTTGAGGTAGCAGATCTTGGTGGAAGGGTTGAACACAGCCTTGGTGCAACCGTTTGTGGCCTCACACTTTGTGGCACATTCCTGGTTAGACTGGTAGTTGTAGTAGATCTGCGGGCTAGGAATCTGGAAGTCGGTATCGACGCAGACGGCATACAAACCACCCTGCGAGCCAACAACATAGTTCAGTGGGGTAGGGCAGTCCTTGTTAAGCCCGGTGCCGTCTGATACCTTCTCGAGAGTCTGAAAGCCTTGGTTGACTGCCCAGTTAGAGGCGGCCACACTAGGGCTTCCCTTGAGGTAGCAGATCTTGGTGGAAGGGTTGTACACAGCCTTAGTGCAACCATTTGTCGCCTCGCACCTTGTGGCACATTCCTGGTTAGACTGGTAGTTGTAGTAGATCTGAGGGCTAGGGATCTGGAAGTCGGTGTCGACGCAGACGGCATACACAGCACCCTGCGAGCCGACAACGTAGCTGACTGGGTTAGGGCAGCTCTTCAGGGGCGAAGAACCCGTGTTGCTGGTTGCGCTAGACGTGGGTTTGACAGAGGAAGATGAAGCAGATGTGCTAGTGGTGATGGCCGTGGTAGATGTGGTAGATGTGGCAGCCTTGGTGCTGACAAGCGTAGTGAGTGTGCTGGCCGTAGTGGCAGGGGTGTTTGCGGAATCCTGAGGACAGACGAGGGGGCCAATATCAGCAGTATACGAGTAAGAGTAGGCGTACTGAATGGTGTAAATGTCTGAGCCGGAGGTGTATCCCGTGTTGGTTGCGTAGCTCTTATCCCAGGTACGCGAATACAGAGCACAGATCTGAGCTTGCGCAACACCATTCTTCACTAGCAAATAGCTGGTGAAGAAGTGGCACCTCAAACCATTGAAGGGGTTTGTTTCAAGTGCTTGAGCAGCGCAATCAGTAGCACACAGAGCAGGATCGTATGCCTCGTTGGTGTGGGCCTTGTACGTGATGTAGCTGTTGCAGCTTGACGGGGCGTTGATGGTAGCTGCGTCTGTGAAGGTCGCGTTGTAGCCGGTAACATCATAAACGGGTGCTGAGAGCTGGTATCCGTTTGAGCCAGCAATAACGACGACGAAGTCGTTCCTCTTTTGTCCGCTGTTGGTAGCGGTGGATGGGCCGATTGCAACACCCCAGAAACTACACTTGATAACAGTTGTACTCGATGGGTTGGGGCAGGAGACAGAGGGATCCTGGCTTGGATCTCTCTCGAAAAAGATGTTGAAAGCCGCACACCCAGAGATTTTGGCACAGTCGGCTGCACACAGGGCAGGGTCGTAGGTTGCATAGGTCTTGTAACCCTGATAGACCGAAGCCGAAGTGGCAGACTGAAGATTTTGGAAGGTCCGGTACCATCCAGAAGGAGTCTTGGCGCTTAGAGCGGCGTTTGAAAAGGCAGTATCACTCAGGAATGCCTGGGCTGTATCGACCAACGGTACAGGACCACTTCCCGCAGGAAGGAGAGCGCAATCACGGGGGGCCAATTTCTGGACATCCCGCTTGGAGGCTGATGCAGTCTCGTTGATTGGCACAGTCTTGTTTCCGAATCCAATCGGAACAGTTTCCAGGGTAGAGGCAGGAATGCTGAGCAAGTCAGAAGGAGTGAATAGCTGGGCTGCTCCGGATGCAACCAGCGTGGCAAAGAGAGTGGTAGTCCGCATTGTGGAACGGAGGGAAATTTAAAGAAAGACAAAAGTTGAAGTAAGAGGTCAAAGTTGACAATGAGTGTGAAGATGATGAACGAAAGAGAATAGCTTCCCAGGATATCTAGAGGGGTTAAATAATAACTCGGTCAGTAAAGCTATCGTAACCACAACTCGGACTTCCCGCCAAGGTGTTCCAAGCCACGAAAAATTTCAACACATAGCCTAGTGTATTTCCGGTGCTGTGTGAGGCGAATGGTGATATTGCCAAAAACGGCGTATGTAGTTTTACAAAGTCTCATCGGAGCATAAGTGCCGAAGCTCGGTTGGGGATTACTAGAACGTCTAGAACCAAAGCAGGACAAAGGCAAAGCCAGAGCAGCATTTATAGAAGACAGCGCCACAATGATTCTTTGTCTAGTAAACTACCTAGGTACGAAAACCAATCAAATTATCAGACAAATACGAGCTGCCTTGACATCGCCTGATTGTTGGTCCACTGAGCCTCGTTCATTGAACACTGGTCTGGAGTTGCCGACGGTAGAGCTCATCGGAACTTGATGGAAAACCCTCACCCTCAGAATCTAGGTGAATTTGAATATTGAGTATCTGAGTCGTAAAATACAAAGGTTTCATTATTATGGCCGATAGTTTGTGATTTAGTCTCATTAAACCGCTCGCCTCCCCCTTCCTCACCAGTCGTCGTCATCTCACTGAATCAAACGACGGTAGATAAATGGATGGATATTATCAGGAAGACGGTATCAGCTCATGATCAAATGATTTTGACAACTCCATAGCAGGTAACACGAGTTGCAATATGTAAGGACAGTTGATCAACTACCGTTGGAACCTGTTTAAGTATCTTCTACCCCAAAATGTTAATTCACACTTAAAGGAAACCCACTCTCCAAACAAGGGCGATCTTGGAGTGTAAGCTGCCAAAATTAACCTCATGGGCCCAAATGAGGCTTGGAATGGAGTCTCAACGAAACGATGTATCACTGGTGCCAATTACATAGAGAGTGATATGTCCAGTTAACTTAGAATCGAAGGTACGAAACATAGGGGCTCCTGATACTATAGTGGTAGTAAGACCAACCCATAAACACATGGAAGGCGGTACAGAACTATTCTAATTAGTTGCCAAATATTGGATGAAATCTGAATTGAACCGTTCCCTTGTAAATCCCCACACGCGCTGCAAACGCATCACACACTGTCTTTACTTCTTTGTCTTAAGCTTTATCAGTGCCTCATAGAGAATAATCCGCTGAGGTCCGACTAAATCTGCCATTCCCCAAAAAATGCCACCTCCGTTATTAAACCCTTCCCAAGCGCGGTGCTCTTACCTCATCGTGAACACGCCGGTAAAGCGATCATCGCAGACAACTCATTCCTGTCAGACCAGTGCTCTTGGTATATCATGATGGAATTTTGTACTTTTTTCTGCGTGTTCAGGCGGTCTTTTCGCGCGACCGTTTCGCACTGAAATTCTTCGGCACACGGGCTAGCCAGTACAGAAGCAGTGCTGCGAACAGATTGAAGATGATGTAAACCCACATCAACCCGTAGTTACGCCACCTCTTATCATAAGATGTAGAGGTAGTAGCCAAGAAAACGTCCGTAGTCGCCAAGGGACAGAACTGACACATGCTGGTGCTGCTAGGGTTGTAGATCCGGCCGCCGGCCATTTGCATGTACGGCTCCATGTAAGCTTCGCAGGTAATGTTGCCTCCCTGCGGTGGGTTGAACCGCAACAGTTCCAACTGGGAGCACTCAACATCATTATGAGCTAGCCCAGTCGACAGGAGGCCGTCAACGAGATATGTAAGTGGGGAGACTCTGTACATGAACTTCCAAAATCCTGGGAGCGCATCCATCGGAACGATGACACTGGTAGCGTTAGACACTAATGATCTCTATACAATGTGCGGAGGCTGTCAACTAACCCGCAGAAAATAAGGCACAAGGCAAAGAGAAGAAGGGACAGAGTTGCCCCAATCTCAGCAGTTGGTGCGCCGGCGACCATCATGTTCGCAAAGGTCGACTCGAAGAGCATGAAAGCCCAGGTGAGCAAGAACATCAAGCCACCCCGCTCCGTAACGCTATCAGTCGGAATGGCGTTTCGATACATGCCTACAAGGTAGTTAAAAGGGAAAAATATTACAAGAGCAGCTAGCGTGTTCCAGGGTAATTCCACAATGATGTTGGCCAACATGAAAACGTACCACGAGTACGCTCTCGAGGCTCGTTCCCTGGCTTCGTACTGCTCACGCTGGAGTATAAAGTTGGGCATTGTCTGGTAGACCAAGAAGGCAAAAACCACCAGAAGCATGAAGATTGAAAACATCTGGCTTTGCAGGCCTTGCATGGTGAGTGGCGCCTTATAGAATGACACGCCGATGAAGAGACTCTGCCACCTTATTAGTGTTGCTTTCTGGCCGATGCGACAATCAAGGGACTTACGGTACCACCAGACAAGATCAGCTTCGCGTAAATATACGAAGGCGTCCGCCAGTATTGCTCAAAAACTCGCTTGGTGCATAGAGCCAACTGTACATGGAACGGAGCTGCGTAGGTTGATAGCTCGTCGCTTTTCCCAGGAACGAGTGTAAATGGCGACTTCTGTTTCAAGTTTTCGAGCTCCCGTTGTACTTCAGAATATTCGTTGCTCTCTCTCCATGTTTTTGGCCAGTCTCTAGTTGATTTAGACCCTGGCGCGGCGCCGATAACTTTCAGCATCCACTCCGCGGGGTTCTCATGCTGGCCACAAGGAGATGCCCCGTGCTTCTCGAAGTAGCTTGCCAGTGACTGAGCATTATGTCCCATATCCCCAAAGTAAACTGTCTGACCGCCGCGAGCTAGTAGAAGGATGCGATCAAATTGCTGGAAGAGAATTGCTGATGGTTGATGAATAGTACAGAGAATCGCTTGGCCATTTTCAGACAGCTTCCGCATTAGTGAGACGATGGACCAGGCAGTTTGGCTGTCAAGGCCGGAGGTGGGTTCGTCGAGGAAGAGAAGGACCTCTGGCTTTGCAGCCAATTCCACGCCGATCGTGAGTCGTTTTCGCTGCTCAACATTCAAACCTATCAAAAATGGACGTCAGCTTTCAATAACCTACACTCAGCTTGTCTCTGGCTTAGTGGAGTCGTACCTTCTCCAGGCACGCCAACGACAGCACCCGCATATGCCTCCATCTCTAGAAGCTCGATGACCTCTTCGACGTAAGCATGCTTTTCTTGCACGCTTACATGTGCAGGTTGACGAAGCATGGCACTGAACCTCAGGGCCTCACGGACAGTGGCAGTTGGGAGATGTATATCTTGCTGCTGCACATAGCCCGTCTTCCGCTGGAAGGATTCATTTCTAGGGATGCCGTTGACCAGCATGTCTCCTGAAACCACACCCATAGTTACTCGGTCGGCTAGGACATCCAGTAATGTGGTTTTTCCTGCACCACTCGCACCCTAATATCGAATTCACCTGTTAGCCAACCTTATAGCCCCATGCGATTCGCCGTGCTTACCATCAAGGCCGTCAACGTCCCTGGCTTCACCCATCCATCTACATTATCAAGAATCCGACGGTCCTCGCCTTTGATCTTAATATCATAGCAGACGTCCTTCCAGTGGAAAACAGCCTGGCTCTTCTCAAGGGCACCCTGTTCAGTCGTCTGCGTTGCCGGCGAAGCTGTTCCCTCGGAACGGTAGACAGCGTCAGATTTTGCGGCTTCCACATCCGATTCTGAATTAACTCCAGAAGAAGGCTTGTGGCCTTTGCGGAACAAGAGAACTTCGCCCTTGGAGCGATCCGTAGTGATGAATTCCGCAGCCAACAAGTATATGACCACAAAAAAGATGATGAAGCCAATAAGAATGCCGAAGTTCCTATAATACATAAGTTGAGAGTCAAGCTTCTAGGGTTCAGGGAGTGTACCTCCAAATGTGAGACTTGTAGTACTCAAAATGCGCGTTCATGTAGATGTCACCGTCGACAAAGTTTGCGCCAGGGGCCGCCCCAGCAACGGAGCATGTCCTCTCTTCGGGGGCCGCATTAGGATAAGCAGGGACATATTGGACGCAAGGAAATTGACGTCCAGTAAACTCATTGGCCACCAAGCTCTCAAATGCGTAGGCAATGGGATTGATGTAGTTGATCCACCGTAACCAGCCTTTCATGTTAGTGGTTGGAAGGATGAAACCAGTGTAAATGATTAATGAGAGGATGAAGAGGGCGGCTGGTGTTAGAGCTTGGTGAATGCTGCGAGATGTCTGACCGATAGTACGCAATATCATAGACATAGACAACGTGGTGGTGAAGCTGAATAAAAGGAATATGAAGAAGGCGTCCGCCTCTTGTCGCAGGTTGGCCATGAAATAAAGTGGGATATTGAAAGCCAAAGTCGAGAGAATCTTGCTGGGAAGATCGCAGATAGTTGATGAAATGGCTTCTGAAAAGGGATGATACAAGGCGTATCGCGCGTGTTTCTCAACAATCGGCCTCTGCTCGTAGAGGGTCAGAATCTGTGTTTCTGTCAGTGTCTTTTCACTGGAACAAATAGATTACCCAAGCAGCATTTCTGCATCAACAATAGACCTTACCTCAAGCGCACTGCTCAGTCCGTTGAACAAGATGGCGAAAAACAGTAAAATGCAACGGGAGTTCATGCTCGATGCGTCTGATGGCAAATCAAAGAAAATGCTTCCCAGCACAAGCGAAATAACCAGATTTCCAAATACCGTCACAAAAAAGAAAAGTTTGTTTCCCAGAAGGCGTTGATAACCGCGCACCATGCAAAGCCAGACCTGTAACGGCACAGTAATTGTGTAAGGTGACTTGGAGGATCTAAAATAGCTGTCAGTTGTCAAGGGAAGTAAAAGCACCAGCAATTTACGCACATCAAAGGTTGCTTATGGGCTTTCCGCGTCTCCATGAATTTCTCGACCTCAGATCCTCCCATGGGATATTGGTCCTCGAAACCCAAAACTTCATCCATGAGACGAGCCCTTAGCTCGCTATTCTTCCACACTGCTGCGAACTCGTCAGGACTTCTGGGGACTTTGTTTTCAAAACCAGGCTGGACAACACGCTCCGCAGGATTGGTAAGGGATGTAAGAAAGTCAGCAGTTGTCTGTCGATCAGGACAGGCATAGCCCATATCAAGAAAGTACTGTTTTGCCAGGCCCGTCGGTCCAAAATAAATCTGTTTTCCTTGATAAAGAACGGATACCTTGTCAAAGATCTGCGTTACGTTAGCAGCTCGCCCATGCTTCAACAATATACTAAACGCGGCTACAAACCTCGTATGCTGAGTGCGACGCCTGATACATCGCGACAATCGCCGACGTTTTAGCCAGGTCAGTCGACAAGCGCAGGGTACGGACAAACTCGAGCGCGGTGGCGCTGTCGAGACCTCGCGTGCTATTATCCCAGCACTGGATTGGGCTCTGACTGAGTGCGACTTCGGCAATGCTGACACGCTTGCGCTCGCCGCCACTGACACCTCTCACGAAGTCATTGCCGACCTTGGTGTTAACGGTGTGCGAGATCCCGAATACTGCCATGACGACATTTCTCAGGTGCTCCGCATACTTCTGTCGGCTGACACCCGGCAATCGGTTCTTGGGTGTTCGGGCCAAGGCGGCAAATAGTAAGGTCTGACCAACAGTCAGATGTGGGAAGTGGACGTCTGTTTCGGCCTGATAAATGGCTTCGCCCCGGAATACTTTGTGCATCGTTTCCATTGGTATACCTATAAGTAAGTGCGTAAGCTTCCCGGACTTATATAAATGGCCCTTATAACTGAGAAGTAAATGGTAAATCACACACCTTGATAGCTTATGTGTGAGCTTGGTTCAAGATTAAGACCTTGCGTCTCGCCCGCGATTGTCTTGAGAAGAGTCGAGACTCCACTTCCAGGGCGCCCCAAGACCAAAAGCATTTCACCACTCCTAACAAGCCCTTCAAAGTCGGTCAAAATATCTACCTTTTGTCGTCTGTTGCTTAAGTATTGGAGAATCATCATGGGCCCTCGCAGGAGGACATTGAAAACATCCTTCTGGTAGTCTGTATCTGTGCCATGGCCGTAAACACTCAGGTTATGCCAGGAAACCCCAGCTTCAAGACGAGGATATTGATCAGGCTTGTGAACAGAGTGATGGAGGAGGGCTCTCGCCCATTTCTTTGCATTGAATTGCTCTGGACAGTTGGGATCCAAAGATGGGTGGGATGACAAGAAAGGATTGATGCTGTGGTCGAACCTAGATGTTGTGTGGACTAGCTCCATACTGTAGGATCGAACCATTTCGTTGATCTGAGAGCCTTGAAGTTCGTCGTCCATTTCATCTTGCTGGTCTGGATGTTGGGTGCTCTCATTTAGAGTAGAGTCGGAAGGACGAGGCCCGATGGGCCTCTTGTCCCCAGGCGCCAATACCATTATCAATGGTATAAAGAAGAGAACAATTGTTAGGAAGTAAATGTACTATGTAGGTGAAAAAGATAGAGATAATAGCTACGAGCAACTTGACATGGCCTGGCGTAGTAGAAGGCACTACTTATAGTTCCAATCTTCATGGAAAGGGAAACCAAAAGAAAACCCTTCGCCGAGATGAGGAAGTGCTGGCGCGTCTATTCAGAAATTCATCAGGGACCCGTCACCTCGCAAAACTTGAAATCCGAATAATTACTTCATTTTGCCGAACTACCATTTTGCGAGCCGAATTTCCTGTTTGTGTTATCAATGAGTGGTGTGTTGCACATACCTATACGTCCACACCAGCATGCAGTTGAAGCTAAGGTCGGCCCCGAAAAGTCCCACAGCCCCAAAAACACCAACAGTAACATCAATCATTCGCTCAAGCCTGTCGATCATTGGTCGGCGAACGGGCTTGCGGCAACCGATCTGCGGCCGGACTTGGTCAATCCGGTAGTTCGGCGCCGAGTTCAGGCCCATATGGAAGCTGAAGGCTTTGGTCAGCCCCACTTCCCTCAATCAAGAAATATCATAGTACTCGTTTTTCTTTTCGTCTTCTACAAGTCAGTCTAATCTTTTTTCCGAATGTCATATTCCCGTGTATTCAATCATCATCAAGTTTCCGAGCATGGATGATAAGCCTGAAGTTGGTCCTGAAGCCGCTGGGGCCCGAATCCATAAGTCTTGCGATGCTTGCAAGACTCGCAAGGTCCGCTGTCCTAGTATGTTCTTGGAAGCCTCTCCACAGTTTCCTTGGAGACTATTTGAGTTTGTTTAAAGCTTGCTAACCTTTCAGGCTCTGGGCTGCCCGGCCCTTGCGCCAATTGCGTGGTATGTCCCAGTGGCACATGTTCTCCAAGCTGCCCATTATTAACGATCTTTGGACGAGGAAGCGTCGTAAAACACAGTGCCACTTTAGTGCAAGGAAGGCGGCACATAGAAGAAAAGGCAAGCTTCCTTGGATTTGACCCAGCAATGCTGCCCCCCACCAGAGCTCATACATACCTAGGTTGCTGTGAAAGACGTTGTAGCGTTGCTGACTGTTAATTAGTTGCCAATCATAATCTCCCCACCAACTACAGCTTGAGTAATCAACAGATCCCCCATGCCCCAGATAGCAAAGCATTTTCGGACCTACCTACCATCGAAAATGAGGGAAAAGCAGCCGTGCCAGAGCTCCCAGGCTCTTCGGCCCCGAAGTCGCCACCTCATCGAATTCAGGAGCTCCACGTCGACCGCGTACTGGCGAGAGCGAAAAGGCCAAGAATGTCAAGTTCCGGGGACCGAGACGAAGCAATGTTTGTACCGGCAAGTAGTTTGCCAACACCTTGACATCAGTTTCTAATAAGGTCACAGAACAACGGCATTTTTGGTAATTGCAAGCAACATACCATGACCTCGAAATCATAGCTGATATCCGCAGGTGGTCGTAACAGCCTGACGTTCTTCTCCGATGCCAGGCTTCTTTCTCTTTCAGCACGTCTGCGCAACAACAAGGTGAATGAACTCGTGGGACGCATCTCCACGATCGTTGCCGGTCGGCTGGGGCGTGCTGATCGCCCGACCAGTCCGCGGCGCATTCAACAGCCCTATTCCCTGGATGATGCAGCAAAAGCTTCATCATACATAAGACGTATAGTCGATTAATTCCATAACGTAGAACTATCAAGCTGACTATGCATTAGTCTACTTCAAACATGTACATCCCATGTTCCCTTTTCTCAACAAGACAGTATTTGAAAGTACTGTTTCGGGACCCAACTTCTTCAGACTGCTTGAGCAAAGTAAACCATGGTCATGCCTCTATCACACTGTACTCGCTCTCGGCTCTCAGTACGAAGGCAAGGGGACCTTTGAGCCAGGAAAAGGCGAATCCTGGAACTTATTTTCAGTTGCTCTGAGGTGTTTTTCAGACCTCCTACTTCTTCCAGATTCACTCATTACACTTCAAGCTCTGACAGCAATGTCAGTGTACGGTTTGGGCTTATGCGGCCTAGCTGTGGAGCCTATCATCATGTCTGAGGCTACAAGAAGGGCGCAGATGATGTCAAATAACAACAACTTTACGGGCAGCACGGCATATGCTTACCAAAAGTCATTCTGGATTCTTTATACCATTGAAAAGATCACTAGTTTCTACATGGGAAGAAGCTCGGTAAGGCGAATGTTCCAAAATCTGTTCACAAGTATTAATATATACAGGGATTCGTCGACAGTGACATTTTGTGTCCAATACCAACCGTTCCCGAAGCATCTTTAAACGAATTCAACTGGTTCTTACATTTCATACGTTTTGGAAGACTACTTTCCCGGGCCTATACATCCCTCTTTTCAGTAGGCGTATCAGGCAACTCCAACTCATACTATCTCGACATAATCCACCAGTTAACTACTGAGTTAGAAGAGTGGCAATCGTCTTTGCCAGATAATGGCTTCAGACCAAAGGGGTTTATTCGTCCGCAGGCTATTACAGGCCATACAGAAAGGGCCATAGGACTCATTATTCATTATCTATACAACAGCTTTTTGTTGACTTTATCAAGAACGACACTTTCATATCTGCCAAGTTCCGGAGATAGCGTTATTTTGACGCAGAGAGGCTCCAATTTGAAAACTATTTCGGCTGCGTCTCGATCTATTTTAGAACTAACAACAATGATAGAGGTAGAACCGTACACAGTCACCTGGTGAGTAAACCCATTCTACTTCAAGTCAAATAACGACTGGTTAACCCAAACATGATTTGTAAAATTAGGATCATCGCTGGTATTCCACTTACAGCGCTGTTTGTACTGTTCGACATTGTCATCCACGATCCACGGCAGCCAGAAACAGGATCCAACTTGGCGCTCCTCGATATGGTTGCTGGCCACTTTAGTAGGATAGAGTATGCCAGTAATGGTACTCTCCCAGGGTCTCTTATCTCAGAATTCACAAAGATTGCACGGGATTACGTGAATGAGGTCCATTACTCTGGTAAAGGATCAGCAAGCGTTGCACATCCCGGGTCCACTCCACAAATATTAGCATCGACTTTGCCGGCTCATACAATCGACGGCAATAGCAATAGAGAGAGAACCCGTGGTAGTAGTGTTGGCCTTTGCAACGTAAGTCACACAATTTCCTTAAACGGACCACAACTAAAAGGTACTTAAAGGCAACATCCGAGCCCAGGTCTACGGTAGACTTGATGCCATCGAGCTTTGCCGACTTCTCTTTTGATGCCGGCTCAGACCCCATATCACCAGGTACGCTCATGGGCACTGATGTTATGGGCATCTTCAGTTACTTTCTTCCCGACCTTGATCCCATGTTCTACCAACGCGTATCGGAAGACTACTTCTCTCAAGGAGAGTAAGTAAACTTACGGCAGTAAGGTTTCAAGCGAACAATATGGATAATCGGCGTTTTGCTTGATCATCTTGGATTTTGTACCAGTAATCAATATCAATGGATATTTTTGAAAAGCGAGGCGAAGGTTGTCCTAGGATAGAAGCGACTATCGATGCGCATGCAATAATTATCGTGGTTTAAGCACCTTAACCTGGCTTTGCAACCAATTGATCAGCATCTACCAGCCAAGGTGATTGTATCATGCCGTTTTCACTTGAAAACTTGTGTCCTAGGAGTTGCAGCTCATGGGAGGTCACAAACCCTGGGACTTAGGCCCTACAAGCTTGTAAGTTACTTAGAATAGGAAGCTAGCTAGCCTTTTACGTGCCTAAGGTCTGGGCTCAAGGTTTGGCGGTAGATATGGCGTTCGACAATTACCAAGGTCTGCTATTCCTAGTGGCGAATTGCTAGACGCCACCCAAGTGGCTCAACTCAACTCCAGGTATAGGAATAGTGACTACAGCCATCTCCAAAATCCTGAGCACAGCACCCGAATTACCTCCTTGCTTGCTCACCTGCTTGAATTGTAATCAAAATGTTCACCACTCGAGATGAGAAGCACCCGAGCCGGGTGTCAACTACGCGATTCGCAGTTTAAAACTCCTTCAACATGGCAGTCACTAGAACAATCTGAATTTATAAAGTCAGTGACTGTTTAAACCATATACTATCAGTATTATATCTTCAAAATGAAAACAGAAGAGAATAATAGTAACAAAATTGTAGCCTCATTTACCAAGCCAAACTAAGCTCACTTTGTCTCCTGACTTGTATTCTATCTCTCGCAGGAGTGAATAGCTCAACCTATCATGCAACTTTCTCACCAGCTTCCAGACTTTTTTCTCTCATAGGTGCCTGCGGCTCTGTATATAAACAGGCGCAGATACTAGCAGTCATCTTTCCCGTCTGATTCGGTTTCCTCATGGGGCAGTTCGAGAGCTCGTTTTAGCTCTCTTAACCATTGTCGCACCGGCTTTTCTCCTTGCCTCAACTCTATATAAGAGGTTTTGAGTGGCTCTGGAAGCTGGCTTACGTCTAAAAGCCCATCTTCATGAATGTACAGTTCTACATACCCTACCATAGCCATTCCAAAATCACCTACACGCTTCTCTGAATCGCGTGCATAGAGACGTAAGAAAGCCTCTAGAAGCACGTGGGCCCTGGGAACCACTACTGGGCTACTGCCTAGCTTGAAAACACCTGACCCACGACCTGGCCGCCAAGATGGTAGGGAGGTATTGTCAGAGGCAAGTAAAAAGTGTTTTGGAAGTATAGATGTCTCTGGATGTAAAAGAGAGTCGTCGAAAGTTGGCAAAAACCACAGCGTCTCCGAGAATAGATAAAAGACCAACTGTAACTTCCGACTCTTTGATATGAAGGTGGTATGCCGGTGGTGGTGTATGTCGTTCCTGTGAGCTCATGGGGCAAACTGACGGATCTGGGCACAGTGTAGTGGTGTCTAAATCTTCGAGAGCTTTTGCGCCGGTTTCCACCGAATTATCCGGAAGAACAAAATCGACTGACTTGTACAATATCTGTCTCAATGACCCAGAGCATCTTGATCAAAGTGCACCTACCGCGACAATTGAAGGTACGCCGTGAACATTGAGCAGACAATGCCCCCAAAGAACGCAAGGGATCTGAGAAGAATTGAGTGCAGATGAAATAGATGTCACAAACAACTCGGAATGGCTCGACATTATTGTGGTTCCTGCTTCTCGGCTTCTTGTGTTGCTTGGTTCAAGAAAAAGGGGGTTGAGGAGGGGGCTTTCACTAATTTTGCAGACGTAGAAGGTAAAATACAAACATACTTGGTGAAGTTAAAGGGACATGAAATAATGCTTTTCGAGGCCTGGCTAACTGAAGCAGCTCTAAAATTAGTCCTACGGTGAAGTTTTGCTTCGCTGTGTGAGTTTGGTACTCAATCCTCCATGCCACTGGGGTAGGTAGGTACTCGTGCCTCTGAGCCTGGCGCCCCTCAAGCGAGATCCCTGCAGCAGTTGGGTATATTTTCCTACCCTACCGCCTTCATTGAATCATTAGTTTGGAAGAGGAAGAATACAAGCTTTAGCCTTTAGCCTCGTCCATTCATATCTTGTAACTAACTAGTATTCGAAAACCTCATTTTATCAATTTGGTAAGTCAGTGAATAATTGAATAACGCAGCCTCATCCAGACCCGTTAGATTATGCTGATGTGGATGGATGAGGACTAAGTAAAAGATAATGCAACAAAAACAGCAACCAACAAATGGCGGTCACATATCCTCTCAATAAAATCGCATGGTGACTTATGCCACACTTTTCCTGGTAGGTAACCTAAAGTCCAATTAAGGCGTACTGCGAGTTAGGCATATTGGTCGTTCGCCAACGACCATAAAGTAAACCTACATATATTTACCCCGGTAATGCAGCCGAGTCCAATCATATCGCGGAGAGGGCGCTCATCACACACGTATTACTCCTCATGCAAGCCGGCCAGCTGAAAGTGTGAGGGGGCTGTGTTCATGACAGCCTGATCATAAATCCTACGCTTGTGATCAACGTGTCTCCTAACATTCTACGAATGCCACCCGCTTCCGTCCGTAGCTGACATCATGGAAAACTCGAGCATTCAAGCCGACGCGACCCAAAGTCGAACAGGAGCGAAAAAGGGACATTTTAGTAAACTCAAGGAGAAGCTAAGTCTTGGACGACAAAAGGTCTCATTCGAAAGCGTCCATCTGAAGCCCCCCACTGAGTCTTCACGCCCAACTTCACGAGCTAGCTCGATCGGCTGCAGCTCCATCAGTCCAGGCAATGTTTCGGCAGAGACGGGCGATGAAGGCTCTCATGCGCCAGAGCCTAGTACAAGGCCGCTGTCGCAGACCGAGACTACAATAGAAGAGAATGGGGCGCATTCGAAACCCATAATGCGACAGCATGCTGTAAAGATATGGGGAAGCGCCCTAGAGGCCGTCACGAAAGACCCAAAAATGAAGGAGTTCATCCTAGAGTATGAGGATCAACTCATAAAACTTGTCGAACAAGGTCTGCCGTTCAGATCTTCCTAGACATCCTGATTATAGGACTAATCCACGAACAGACAACAAGTCGATACCCACCTTCACAACGTCGCTAAAGTCGGAAAGCCTAGAAGACTGCCTCAAAACGATAGGTATTACATTACAAGACGCAGGGAAACATCAGCAGGCCAAAGACACCACTCTAGGTATCCTAACAGTGGTCAAAGGTCTCAGCTCGTTCGTGGGTTCTTTGCTGTCTGAGAGCCCTCCTGCAGCTATGGCATGGGCTGGAATATGTGCTTGCTTGCCCGTAAGTGATACTTGCCCTGTACTGGAATATCATGTCCTAATCTACTCTCACTTACTAGATCATTGCGACGCCAATAGAACAGGACAAGAAAATGATCAGCGGACTAGAGTACATCTATGGCAGGGCACCTATCTACTTCGATTTACCTGATGAACTCTTGCAACATGACGGCAGTAGCACAGGCATCAGTAAAGGAATCAAGAATGCCATTCAGCCGTTGTATGAAGGCACCTTGAAGTTTGTCATGATGAGTGTATGCTCCATCCATCGGAGGAGGCTTCGTCGATTCTGGGATGCCATTTCAGACCAGGCTAGGTGGGAAAATCTGTTGGATGAAATCAAAGAGGCCGAAAAGAACCTTCAACTGGATACCCCCATTTACCAGCAGTCGAGATTGTTGTACGTCGCCGAAGAAATCAGAATGTCCCTTCAAAAGAACCATGATCAGAAAGAAGCCAAGGAAAGGAAAAAGTTTCTAGACAGTCTTGGAGAGACGAACTATCAAGTGCGTCTTGGTACTACCAAAAGACGGCTTGATGGCACCTGCCAGTGGTTTCGCCAACACCCTAGATTCAAGAAATGGCTGAATAGCAAGGATGGTTTATTATTGGTCTCGGCAGATGCTGGCTGCGGCAAGTCTGTCTTGGCTAAATACTTGATTGAAGAAGTGTTATATGAGGAGGATCCTAAAGCCACTATCTGCTACTTCTTCTTCAAGGACGACGATCCACAGGCTCGGAGCTTTACGAGTGCCTCAAAGTCGCTCCTCCATTGCCTTCTCTCATCCAAAGAATGTCTTCTGGATGGCTGCAAAAAAGAATTCCCCAACAGCCCCAGTGATATCTCTGGCTTTCGACAGGTATGGTCTGCATTTTCCTCGGCATCCAGGGAACCAAGTGCAGGATCAGTAATTTGCGTCTTAGATGCATTGGATGAGAGCGATCCTGAACAGCGAAAGGACTTTTTGAGCCACATTAGAATGTACCTCAACAAAGACGAAAGCGTACGTGGAGCAAAGTTTATCATCACGACACGAGGATACCCGCAGATTATCAACGAGTTTACTAAGTTTCCTTCTAGAAAAATACATCTAGATGGTGACAACGATGAAGAGAAAACCCAGATCCAGAAGGAGATCAGTATCGTCATGGACTATCGCCTGCAAGAACTTAAAGAAAAAGTACCCGACATCAGCGAGAGCACATTGGACATCATACGCGAAGGGCTATCGAGAAACGGGAAAGAACAGAGGACCTATCTCTGGATGCACCTCATGTTTGAGCTTGTCGAAAAAAGGCGATGGGGCAACCGTGCCAAATGGAGAGCCCTGTTCCAGAATCCTCCCGACACTGTCGCCAAAGCGTACGGAAAGCTCTTGGAGAGTGTTCAGCCGGAATCCCGCAGAGAAGTGCGCACGCTTTTGGCGCTGATCCTCGCTGCAGAGAGACCATTGACCCTAAAAGAGCTCAGCATCGCTGTTTGCGCCCGGACCAACACAGAAGAGTCTCAAAAGTTCGACTTTGACGATGTTCTCGAAGAAGGTGAATTCAAAAACTGGATTCGTTGGGAGTGTGGCTCTTTCGTCGCCATCCACGGCAGCAAGGCTTATCTTATACACCAAACCGCCAGAGAATTCCTCATGGAAGGCAACAACACAAATCAGGACTATTGGCAGGGTTCCATTACAGAACGTGAAGCTCATCGGTACATGGCTGAGAGCTGCATCTCTCTCCTTTCCAGCGAGCAATTCGAAGATCCAGTGTTTAACGACAACGCATACGAGTTCTATGTTCTTCAAAGACCAAGTGTGCAAATCGACGAAGAGTTTGAATGCCCTTTCTTGGAATATTCAGTTGTATACTGGTTAGATCATTTTCATCGCTGCCAGGAGCAACTTTCATCAGATGCTATGGATATCAGCGATATATCTGGCGCTTTCAACACGCGTTATCAAAAGCTTTTCCGACAAAATCATTCACATTGTATTTCGGAGGCAAGCAGGTTTATAAATGAGCAAGAAAGGAAAACTTCACACTTGGGGTGGTGTTACCTCATGATGAGTGCCCTGCCTCCACAACGATTTCCTGACGGCTACACAACGAGACTACGGATTTCTGGATACACTGACTATGCCACACCAATTGCTTGCCTTTTCGGCCATAAGAGGCTTCTCATGTATTCTTTGGAAAAGCCAGGGGACAACAAAGCTGAGCAAGGCAGTGCCAGTTCATGTAGAGGCACGGCGGAAGATGACGGTCGCCAGTTCTCACTCGTCCACTTAGCTGCTTTTGGGGGATCTGAGTGGTGCCTTCGATACCTTCATAGCCGTGGCCATGATGTTACTTGTGAAAATCCGGATGGCCTGACCCCATTGCATTTGGCAGCTGGGAATGGCTTAAAACAAACTATGCAGACCCTGCTAGGCCTTGGAGCTTCAGAGAATGCACTGGATGCTGGTCAAAGATCACCATTTGTCTTAGCAATGGCAACCCGAGACGGCAGATCTTACATGAAAAAATATATATCATCAGTTAAAGATCAGGAGAACAAGATGCGTGTGCTTCTGTATAATGCCGTCGTAGCCGAGGCGCCAGAAAAACTCGCAGTACAAACCCTGTCGCAGCGCACAAGCAACCAAAATAGCACGCATCGATATATCCAGGCACAAATTGATTCGACAGAGCCGGAATCATATTTTGTCGCTTTCAGGTTCACTTTCCCAGGACGACTGATACAAGCTTTAGCTCATTTTGAAGTCGATTTCGAATTTCGCTATGAAGGCGGGCTCACCGCCCTCCAAATTAGTGTTCTGAAGCCAGCACGTCTGGCCAATACCTTTTGGCTGCTACGTATGGGAGCGGATATGTGTGCCGCTGATTCTCATGGCAATACACCTCTTCACAATGCAGTCAAAGCTGCTAATTATAAGGCGCTGGAGCTGCTTCTGTGGTACGGGGCGGAAGTCGACGCAAAGGGAGAAAACGGCGATACACCACTGAACATGGCGTCCAGAGTGGGTAACCTCGTTGCAGCTTCTGTTCTGCTCAAGTACGGGGCGGACCCAGAGATCAAGAATAATGAAGGGCTAAGCCCGTTGGATCTGAATCCCCAGCTGAAGCCGAAGGTTCGATCAGCTAGTCCCATCCTGTGAGTCAATCGAAGCAAAATCACCCCTGCTTAAGAGCGTCGCGATGGCCCTACAAGCTTTCATGAATTGTCAGGCGTACCCATCTAGCTTTGTGTATCATAACATTCAACAAAACGATATATTTCCTCCAGTATGGTTTTTGCAATGGCTGACTTTTATGCGATATAGGACATATTTTCTTGACATTTAACCCGATGCCTACTGAATATAAAATTTGATAAACCATCCACCCTATCCGTGAATTTTTGATATCTTATTAATGTCTTGAAGACAACTAATTTGCGTAAAGACTGCTTTATGGAACGCGCACATAATACGAGGCATACTTACCATATGCGGATGCACAAGCTAAGGAACTACAAGTAGCATGGAAAACCAGTCCTAGTATGGGCATCCCTGAGGAAATATTGTACCAAAATAGGTTATCCTTTCAACGCATGACAAGCTGTGTTTGATTTTGCAATCACACGGTGTGAGGTATCTCAACTAACATTCAAACCTGCAAATCCTCACACCTTTACGCCAGCCCCAACCCCCAATAATAGCCCATAGCAATGCCATCTACCCACATCCCAAAACTAACATGAACAACCAACATGATGGTGGCATGAACTAGCGCCTAACCCCGCGTGGGATTCTGTTACTCCATGTTTACGACCAACAACCAATGATCAAACTGCCCAGATGAGACGAGTACACACCAACAGACCTACTAAGACGCAAATACACAGAATCCTACGTGTAGATGTGATGTTAAAGTCTCCAAATTTACACATCCTTATATTCGGAAGCCAAACACACGGGCTCAAATAAGCCCGCCGTGGCGTGGAAGGCAGATCAATCACCAGGCAACATATCAAAAGACAGCATCATCCGCACATGTACAAACTGCCTTGCGGCCAAAACCCAGACCCGGCAGAATCAAGCCCCTTTCGGCCCTGGGGACCCGGCACCGTTGGTCATCGCGTCTCGAAAAAGGGACCAACAACCAACACAGCCGGCCAAACGGTCCCAACAAGCGCAGGCGGAATCCATCATGTGAGGTGCGAGCGCGCAGCAAACGAGCAAGCGCCACGCAAGCCACCCAACATTGACACTTCCAACAGCATATATTTCCAAAAAAAAGTTGAAGGGCTGTTGGTTCCACGAGGAAGGAAAGGTCTCGCCAACACCCGCGTCTCTAGCGCCAACAGACCGTAAGAACAATAGGAAGTAGACTCGCCGCAGACCTACAGTCGAAAAGCGCGGTCATTCATTCCTTTGGGAACGAAGAGGGAGTAACGATCGAGAAAGGTACTGGCTGGAACATGGAGAACATGTATAAACCCAAGATTCCGCCCAGCTTCCTCCGCGGAGTCTACCCAAAGCAGCCGGACCCCGCGGCTGATGGCTGCTACCAAAAGAGGAAAATTTTCTCTAATTATCTGTGCTGATGGTGGGAAAAAAGAGAAATAATAGTAAATAAAATGAGCGGGCAGCAGGCGGTGACAACACACCGACATGGCATGCGCATTTTAAGCGCCCGACTCGTGGCCCATCAACTCTGATTGGCCGTCGGCCGCGATGCGCACCACGGAAAACTGGCCGTGTTGAGTGAAATTTGTGATTATGTGCAGCCGAGCTAAGGCAAGCTCTGCTTTAGCTCAGCTAGACGAGAACCGCCATACCGCGTTGTGGTGGTGGTGGTGGAGGTTGGGAGGAGCGCGGAAATCGCGTGATGGGTGCCGGATGAACCGCTTGATTGAGCAGGTTGCTTCTCGACCTTTCCGAAGGGGGATGTCGTGTGTCTTGGGGTATACCCGACTACTTCAGTCAAGATGGTTGGTAATCGAGGCGTCATTAAGTGCAAAGCAGGCTCCAGTGCTGGTGTGAAGGGGTTCATGACATCTGCCTTGACCTGCGCCGCATGTAACCGTAACGGTCTTTGCAGAATTCTGTTTAGGGGATTTGGATTATGGCCGAGGGATACCACTGTAGTCCCAACGGTCAGATACCAGGGGTCGGCAGGCAGGCAAATACACCGACGCAGGATCGGGGCACCGTCCAGGTCGCATTCTGGTCTACTCATCCACGGTCATGGGAAATCAATCGCGCCTCGCAGCCATGTAGTCGGCGAGCTACGCCTCTGACAAAGGTCAGTGGAAATGCTTGGCGGCGATGGGACGGTTGAAAAGGCCGAGTGCCGTTCTATCGGATTCATTGACAGGAAATCTTCAAACCAAGCCTGGGATATTCGTTGTACTTTGCCTGGCCCCTGAATGGTGTTATTACCAAATGCTGTCTTTTAAGGAAGGTTAAACCTCACTTGAAGCAACGTGTCGCACCACGAACTCCGTAATTCTTAGCCCTTCAAATGCATTGTGATATCTTCAGGGGCTTTCAATGACACAGTAGGGAGTAGTGGCAGGTCACAATCACACTTTTGTGACGAAGGTGACGATTGTCATCTAAATTCGAGGACGGGCAGCTTGGTTTGATCTCCTGCAGGTTGGAAAAAGTATGGATGAACTCAAGCTGGACCCGCTACTACGTATTAGAAGTCGATCCCTCCTTTCCCACTTTAGGGTGTTGGTTGGGAGCAACGTTGGGGTTTACTAGAGATCTAGATTGAGGGGATTCGGACCAGACTTGGTCTGTGCGTCACGGTCTGAAACGTAGCCTAAGTGGCTTGAAACGAATATCTCTCCTTGCTTGGAGACCTTTAAGGGATAAGTACAAACTCTCTTTTCGCCAATGTGAACGACCCACAAACAGTGAAGCGCAGATTGATAGAATTGACTTCTTTCTTGCAGCTTGAAGTTCATTGCCTGATCTGTAAAGGTGCGGGCGGCGCGGGAAGTCTGAGACGAGGGCGGACACGAGGTTCCATCCCATGTGGTTTGCGATCGACTCATGGGATAAGGTTGAAGGCAAGGATTCCAATTGAGCCTGTTGGTGCTCGCCTGTGTATGTTTCTGTCTAGGCCGCTTTGCGATGCGGCCGGCCGGGGCCGATTCGACAACGACGACAGCTTGACTGTGCTGGTGGGGAATCTATGGGTGATGGTGAAGATTTTGCGACCGGCTTTTGGTGATTGACGACAGTAAAGAAGTGAAGCGAACGCGATAGCACCATGAAACTGACGACGCTTGCAGCATCGTGACTCGGGCAGGAAGTTTATTCTATCGTACTACTTCCCACGGGGTCTCCGCGCGGCTCACCAATACGGGTCGCATTTAGAGTTTGCTAACCTGAGGTGAAGTTTATGACACAGGACTCATCGTGCCCCGTCACCGGTTCCGTAGGAGGATTTGGCCGACTCGCACACCAGGAACCGTTGGCTTTCCACCGGCGATTTTCGGAGTGTTTAGGAATAAGGCGCGCAAGAGCTTGCCATCAAGACGGGGCCCCTGAACGTAGGATGGATCTCAAACAAGGCAGGCCCATGTTTTTCGGTCAGTCATGTTAAAATATTGTCCGGACAGACGGTGTGTGGTATTGCAGATCTCCAAACAACGTGGGATAGATGCCCAAGGTTTCATATTCGAGATATTGAATCGCAACGGCTGAAAATGAGGTGACATACACCGAGATTCTGAGAAACAGGCGTAAACACGGGGTACTTTGTCAGGAGAATCGCGTTCCAGTCACGTCTGATTTAGAGTGCGGTTGCGAGGTGATGGGCTGTGAGGATCAGTGGAGCGGGCAAAACCGACGGCGCCGCCACTGTTCCCGTGGTGAACAGTGCGCCGAGTTGCAAGGAAACGAAACGTTGTGGATGCAGGGGAGTAGCACGCCGAGAAGTCGAGGGTCGAGACGGTCGCCAAGCCTGTCGGATCCGTTGGCAACGAAGATTACGGTCGCCAGCATCCGGAGCGGGCTGGCCTGGTGATTGCTTCCTAGGCCTAGCCACCCGGAAAGGGACCTTTCCTTCATCAAGGCCTCGACTATGATTTATTTTGGGGATAAACGTATTTTCTGTCGGTGTTCCCCAAATTAAAGAAAGACACTTGCTGGCTGTCAAATTTAGAAGCAATGCCGCTTATTGAGCCAGTTAGAGCGGGGTACCATGTGCTATGTGTGCTTTTCCATGTAAGGGCTCGGTTGAAATAGCAGCCGTTCTATTGTGAGCGTGCTAGCGGTAGCGTGGCAGCAGACTCCAATCCACCATCAGCCTGTCGTGGAGAGCCGAAGGAGGATTAGCGGGCGGGGAGAGAGGCGCACGAGGATGGAGTCCCGAGGATTTGAATTGTCCGCTTAGGCGCGCCCACCCGCGATGGCAAACGGTCGAGGAAAACGGAATGGTGAGGTGACATTCTGACAAGAGGTCATGGCACAAGCGAGCGCCACATTGCACATGACATTGGACGGGTTGCAGAAAGGAAATGAGGTACTTTGACGTCCGCGGAAGAATTAAAAGTCGTGGATCCTCAATGTCCAAGGGTCGCAAGTATTCCTAGGGCCAGTGATATTGGTTTCGGAGACGGTTGACACCATGTCGGCTATCTAAGACCAGGTGCTCGTCTAATGGGTCATGACCTAGAGATCCCTTCCCCGGAATATCGGCGGTGACAAGTGATTCAGTCGAGCCAAGCATGGCGGGGATGGCTAAGTTTCTTGGCTCTCGAGATCCGCGCGCTTTCAACCGTCCCAAGCATTCCAAGACAAAGCCCAGATTAGATGTCATCGACTCAACTTGCAGCCACTACTGCTGACAGTGCTGCGAGGTCTTGGTCATTTATTTTTTGCCAAGTACATCGGAAAACTGACTGTTGTGGGTAAGCACTTGGACCGGGAAATCAGATAGCCGCGATGCCGGTAGGTTGGTTAGACAGTTGGATTCGGGGTTCGAGTAATGTGGCTCGCGTGGCGGAGCATGAGTTCATGAATAATGTACTCACGAGCTTGAGTGCCGTGTTCCGATGGGCCCACGCAGTGAGAAGAATGGCAATCTCGGGGCATAGAGTAGCATTCGCAGAAATTCTCACCAGCCACAATGTTGGATAGGTAGAGATGTTGACTAGGTGGGCGAGTTAGTACGTACTAGTACGGGCAAAAGAGCAGAAGGCCGCAGAAGGAAGGAAACGATATGGTTGCAAAACGGTTTGTGATAACTGATGAGGAAACTGCAAAGAGGACCGGCAAAGGAGCCCTCCCAGCCACTGGCGGCCCACACCTGCCGTCACTTTTGGCAGCTGCCTTCCGACTAGACGCGCATGGCGCCAGGCATCCCCACAGAGACGTGATCAGGGGTCCATCGTGGTGGTGTGGGGCCCACATTGCTAGTATGTAAGTAGTACTACTGCATGGTAGTAGGTAGGGAACGGCAGACGGTACGTACCTGCCCGTTTCTCACTCTTTCCCACTTCAACCACGACCCCCTTCGTCTCAAGTGTCTCCAGGAATACCTCGTAAGGAAGGAGAGAATATGCTCAGCAACCTTCTTTTACAACCAGGTTTACGGAGTGATACACCCCTGCACTTTCCTTCTACGATACACAATGTAGCAGCAGTATTTCTGCTTGTGAAAGTGTCTTCTCAAGAGGGCACAGACGAGATTGCATCCTCACATACCACCACCCCCATCCCTCCTCCTGTTCCAACCTCAAAACCGGTGCTCAATGGCAGGGTATCGCCAGAGGACATGAACATGGACCGGGGGAAAAAGACTTGTGGTGTCCCCTCGTGTCTTCTTCTGTCTCCTACTATGACCCCTTCTGGATGTCATCGCGGCCTTCCCACCAAAGGCCCCTGCACTGCCTTGCATTCTGAAAAGGAAGCCTGCCTTGTCAGACCCAAACCGAATGCGCCTCGTTCGGCTGTAGGATGGTCGACCAGCCATATCCTAGTTCACAGCTCCCAGAGTCGAGATGCTGATATAAAGCCTGGTCTCCGGTTCGATCCCATCTTTTATCTCCCGGCCCATTCAGTCCAATCTCATTGCAAAACATTCATCTATTAGGATTTCCTATTTCCTCTTTATTTTCCTGCCCAGTCTTCCTTTTCCTCCCTACATCCACCTCTTCGTCCTAAACGTTGCTTTCCTGGTCTTGGCTTCTACTAGTCCTCCGGCATTAGTCTGTCTCGGTCCGCTGCCCCATCCAGACGCACGACTTAAGCGCCGTACCTAAATTCGGCCGCAAATTGCCCCATACCACCTCCAAACGGCCCGCCGCTTGCTTTTCTGTCTTCTTACTCACCTATCTTTTTTTGTTTTCTCCACTTGATCTAAGAAAAGATCTCCGGTCTCCGCGAATACTGCTATATATCTTACTTTGATCGCCCGGATTCTCATCTCAGCAGCCCCGACGATCACCACCATCAAAACATAAAACATCCAACATGCTCGTCAAGACCTTTGTCACGCTAGCCACCCTGGCTCTCGCCTCCGCTGGTCCAGTGCGGAGAGCAAAAGGCCCCGGTTGCGGTACTCAACCCACAAAGCCCACTCTCCCCGTCAACGGCAATGGTACGTACCCTCACTTACACCCACAAATGAAGCTATCGCAACTAACATAATTCCAACAGGAGTTGAACTTTCTCCTCCCGCAGAGAACCTTGTTCTGAAGCACATCGCCCTCGGCCACGGAATTCAGAACTATACCTGCACGGCCAACGGATCCGACATCGTCGCCCAGGCCACCGGTGCCCTCGCAGCTCTCTACGACGCAACCTCGCTGTACCCCAACTCAGGCCCTGGCGCCCTTCCCGTCGACGCCTTCAACGCTTTGACAACGAATGCTGTCTGGGGCACCCAATTGCCTCTCAACTCTGACGGCGTCTCCAAGTTCGGTGCCTCTGCCACTTCTCCGTTCCCCAACCCCGGCGCCGACCTGCAGCTGCCGAACATCAAGGCCCTCCCGCACATCGGCGTTCACTTCTTCGACAGCAACGGCGTTCCAACCTTCAAGGTCGGCGAGGACATTTTTGCCGGCGGCAAGCTGGAAGGCATCAAGGCGCCTGCATCTGCTGACGTCGGCCCCGAGAAGACTGGCGCCGTCGACTGGCTCCTCCTCGGCGACAAGGGCGCAAGCAAGGGCATCACCACAGTCTACCGCGTTGTCACCGCGGGCGGAGTCGCGCACAAGTGCCAGACTGTTGGTCCCAGCGAGAGCGTCCCCTACGCGACTTACTACTGGTTCTTCGGGCCTAAGGCATAGATCACCACCGGGGCACTTCTTTTGGACTACGGCGTTGAATATAAATCGGGTTTTTGGGCCCAGGTGGGCAATTTCTGTTATCGAATGGTAATTTCAAATGGGGCTATTCTTTTTCATACGTTCTCTCCAAACAAAAACTAGTTCGGATATACCCCCGGCGTGGATGACACAGGAGGGAGAGAGTTAATGGGGCTTTTTTTTTTGTTATAAAAGGGGATGGGTTGGCACGAGGCAAAGGGGGGAATGAAGCTTGCCGCGATAAAATCAACCCCTCCCGATTTCACATGTATTTAGTAGGCGTTACCCGGTGCATACTCCAATTGGACTCACTTGTCGCACTCTTAAAATCATCTTGCAACTGTCCGGTGACACTGACTTGACCTAACACCTAATTCAACTGACAATATAACAATGACTTACTCGAGTACCGTTCCACAAACTTAGAAAGAGAGAGGTTCCCCCTACTTCAGGATGAGATGGAAGTAAGAAACACCACCGACAGATGTAAAAAGGTTCAGAGGTCTTGATACCTTAACCTTATCCCAGGAACAATCACACCAAGTAGTTGAACCGGTGCCGCGTGCGGATAATAAACATCAATAACATTTGAACTCTCCCCCCCCCTGTGAAACTCGTCCAAACTCAACCAAACTCTCATCTTAACAAACTTATTCTTCAAGGGGGGGGGGGGGGGAAACAAGGGAAACCCCACCTCTCCCCCCGAGAACCAAGGCGAAAAACCGTACCCGACGACGGCGCGCTCTCGCTCTCGGCTATTGCTTCCGTCTGCCGACGAGACGAGACCACGACCAACCGCCGACGAAAATGACCAAAAAAAAAAAATTGACGATGTTATAAAACGGCCCATGCCGAGCTAACGAGATACATGGCAAACAAAAAACGTCCAGGCCAGTCCCGCGCCCTAAAAGGATGGAACTCACTACTCGTAGCCACTCCCAAGATTGCGCCGTAGGGAGAGATAACCGGTACTTCTCACCTGTTCAAAGACGGCATCGCAAAAAAAAAAAAAAGAACGATACGAGCAAAACAAACGCTACCTACCGCTGGTCTTCGTATGCCGTGGATTCAAAGGAACATTCGATGTCGGCCAAGACTTTGCCGTCCGTCCTCAACTGAAACCTGCATGGCCTCAACGGCGAGACCTCTCGGCAGGAAGTCAAGTACGACCTTATTAATCACTCATTGGCCGCACACTTGCAATCTCGTGAGACAGGGTTAAGCGCCGAAAGGCACTGCCGGGCTTAAATGAATCAACGCTGAGGCGCAAGGGACGTAGGAAATTAGGTAAATTTGGAACTTGTTCCGCCATCTTCATTGCCGTGTGTTCATTCCGCCCATTGGGTGATCCAGTCCCCCACGTTTCGTCTTTCTGTCTTTCTCTTTCTTCTCATCTTTTCTTCTTCACTAACCCCACAGGAGCTACCTTCCAAGAAAATGCCTACATCGTCGACCACCTGTTCAAGCCTCGGGTCTTCGAATATATGAGCGCGCGAAATGACGCCATATATAAACCTCAGAAAAAGTGACCGCCAGTCTGCAATCCAAAACACCGATTTTGCATGATGTGTGCCACTGAGGCCCACATAGACGATCTTTGACAACTCTTTACCTTCTGCCATCCAGACCACCGGCAAGGTCAGCCTCCAAGGGGTTGTTGCCCTGGACGTGGCCTCCGAGATATTCCTGCGGTCGGGGATCCGAAGAGGTCCAGCCGGGGTTGCCCGCGGGAATAGGCACCTGGCCAGCACCAGCCTGTTGGGCGGCCTGCGAGCCAGCCTGGGCGGATCCGGGAACAGTGCGGACGAGCTGGCGGAAGCGGTAGACCTCCTCCAGAATCATCTTGCGCATCTCGCCGACGTCATCAACAACCTCAAAGTCGAAATTGAAGGTGGTGGGGCAGTCGGGCTCGTCAGAGGCGTCATGCCAGATGTGCAGGTAGGGGTGCTCGAGGGCCTGCTCGACACTGATACGGCTCGAGGGGTCGAAGGCGAGCATGCGGTCGAGGAGGTCGAGAGCATCAGGGTTGGCCTGAGGGAACAGGCTGGGGAAGGGCTTCTTGGGCATGAATGGCAGGTTACGGACGTATTCCTGAGCACGGGGCGAGCCGATGCGGGAGAGAGTCTCTTCGTTGGGGGTTCCAAGAATGTGCAGAATTTGGTTCAGCTGGTCGACGTAGTCGCGACCCTTGAAAAAGGGGCGGCCGCCAAGAAGCTCAGCCAGAATACATCCCACCGACCAGACGTCAACTATTAATACGTCAGCAACTGCTCAAATACAACCACGCCAACATAAGCTGGGACAGATGGGAGGAGGGAAAACATACTAGCTTTGGTATAGCTCTGGAAGCTCAGCATGATCTCGGGAGCACGGTACCATCTGGTAGCCACATATTCCGTCATGTAGCCAGCATTCTCCTCGGGGTCGACCGAGAAGCCACGGGCCAAGCCGAAGTCGCAGATCTTGAGCTCGCAGTCGGCATTAACGAGCAGGTTACCGGGTTTCAGATCGCGGTGAAGAACGTTGGCGGAGTGGATATACTTGAGACCGCAGAGGATTTGGTAGATGAAGGACTGGAAGTGGGCGTCGGTGAGGGGCTGGCCGGATCGGATGATGGCCGCGAGATCACATTCCATCAGCTCTGGAGCACAGGAGAGTCAGTATATTGCCGCATTCGGACGACGGGTGTATCCAGAGGAGGCATACCCTCATAAAGGTAGGTTTCGTTGAAGTTATCAGGCCGGGGAATGTCCATATCGTAGAGGCAGGTGATCTGTTGTGCGTACTATCAGCATTTTGTCGGGTCATATCATCTTGCAGCAGCCGAGGGGTGGGGGCTTGGAGCTTTTGGCAGAGCTTTGGGGTAGGACTTTGTGTGTGACAAAGAACTCACGTTGCGGTGTCCCCTGAAGTGCTGGAGAAGCTTGATCTCGCGCAGAGCGCGCTTGGCGAGAATCTTTTTGCTGAAAACATTTGTGACCTTCTTGATGGCGACACCTTCTTGAGTCTGGTTGTTGACGGCAGCACTGCGTAAGGTGAGGAGTCGTCAGCTTTCTGGACGGAATGGCGGGGCAGCGACAACAGCAGTAGCAGTAGCAGCAGCAGGATGAGGGGAAGAGGGAGAAGAAGGTGTTGCACGCACCAGACAATGCCGTAAGCTCCCTGGCCGAGCTCCTTTGTGACTGTGTATCGCTCGTCGACGATGAAGTCCTGGTTGAAGACTTTAAAAACCTTGCGTCCTTGCAGGTCACCCATGGTTGCGATTTTTTGGATCGAGTCTGTTTTGAAGCTGGTTTCTTTCTTGTCGGTGGGAGATGTTGCTGTGTCGAAGGTGGTCGAGAATCGAGGGGTATCTTTTGCGAGTCAATCGAGGTAAAGGTGGGGAAGGGAGCAAGGAATTCGATGCGATGCGACAGTTGCGGAACAGACAGGGTAGCGAGAGCAAGAGGAAAAAAAAAAAGAATGGTCCGTTGAGCAGCAGCAATGACAGCAGCAGTGCAGATAGCTGGGCGAAATATAGTAGAGCAAAGTGGGCTCTAGGTGGAAAGTGGAGGGGCGGTCGGAATGCAGGTAGACGTTATACGGGCTGTACACGGAGCCGGTAACAACACAGTCGCAAGAGCGATTCTCGTCCTGTATCTCCCGGTCTTTTTTTCTCTCTTTCCCGAGGAAGTGGTTTCCTTGCTTTGGTAAAAGATCAATAACCCGAAATACGTGGTAGACGGCACTTTGAGAAGTAGTTTTTGGGTAAACAGGATAAGATGGGAAAGTTGGACGGAAAAGGATGGGATGGCCAGGTACCTTAAAGGCTTACTGGGGATGGAGACACTGAAACCCAAGGCAGGCAAAGGCGATAAAAGAGCTGAGGTCAAAGGCACGAGCCGAGGGGGATGGGAACTCAAGGGAATGGGAAGGAGGGGAGGGGCCACCGCAAACGGGAGAGCGAAAGGGGGGACAAGCTGCCACTGTCACACTCACAATGGGGAGGGGCGCGGATGGTGGGCATATGTGGGCTATTTGCCTATTGGGGGCTGCCCGCTTCGCCTTACGAGGTCATCTACAGCGGCGTAACTTGCCCAGTCCAGGCCCTGGCAGCAAGGCTCTTGCAGCCCTTGACCCAACTCTGCTGGTGCTGGTGTGCAGGTACTGGGGGCTGGGCAGGTAGGTCCTACTGCTTGTGCTACAGCTGCTGCCAAAAAGTCCTAGGTATCCAGATACCTAGGTTGTCCATACCTGGCTTTTCCCAGCTTACGGCATCTGCGTGGCACCAGGGTCAGGGCGAGCTTTGGGTGCAAGGTACTAGGTACTAACTGCTGACGTTAGGCCCAAAGGGACTTGGCGGATAGAGACCCCACTCATCACCCCGGTCCCGCATTTGATTTGCTGCCATGAGCTTTCTAAAGCTTCTCATTGGATCGCCTCGAATGAGAGCTCCAGTTGCCTCGGGCCAGTAACCGCTGAGCATCGTGACTGGATGTGCAGCTCTTGCAACCGCGCGACAATCACTTTTATTTAATTTTCCTCACGAGAATTGAATATGGATCCAAGGAGCGGTCTCGGATTAGAAAGCACCTGTGAAATCAGGTTTGTCGATGGGGATCAAAGTTTGAAGTCTGAAGAGCGCAATCTCTTCTCGTCACAGCTTACATAGCCGTGATGCCTAGCGCCCTGTATTTAGAGCTATGGCCTTGGGCATTCCAGTCAATCCTGCGGCGACCTGCCCCAAAAAAAACGCCTCAGTCCTTCTGCCACTAAGGAATCAGCGATCCAGGCGCAGCATTGCATACCTAGTATCAGGTACCCAGGCCTTAGTCAGAGTAGTATGCCGATAAGCGAATGTGTCAGCTTGTCACCCCTAAGAAAAGAAGAAAAAAAGTCCCCATTCGCGTGAGTTCAAACACGCCAAACCACGATGGAATCTGCCGTCAGCAGAGTTGACTTTTACTCTGGAATCTTCCTCCCACATGGTCCTACATGCCCATCCAACCGGCAGTGCAGCTGCATCTCAGGTATGCTCAGCCGCCGGCCGCTACGGTGACACTAGCTCGGGTCATCATGTCCGCGACCGTACCAAAAGAGCTCCCCCATATGTCTATAGGGCTGAAGAACCTGAATGCTTGGGAGGCCGCTTTCAAAGCCGAATCCTCAGCTTCCGTGTTTCGCTCATCATTGTGCACTTGGCCTGCTCTCAGTCTGTCCTATGAGGTCCCAAAACCGCTGATGCAGAACGGGCGCTAGCTAGGTAGCTATCGTCCCGAACCCATCTCGCTTAGGCACCTGGAGTAGTATGTTCATCGGGGGCCATTCATCTGCGCCGGGGGTGTTGTAGATGGTCTCCATCGTCATCTCAGCTCCTGCATGTTGACAATTTTCACCAGTATTCGACCCGTAAGTGTAAATGAAATCTTTTATACGTTGTCTGTTGCTGTGGAATCAAATCACGACACGCTGATATGCTCCCCCCCCCCATGCTTTGCCTGTGAAATCTGCAATGCAGCAATGCTCATCTCATCATGCGGCCGGCCCTTGGTTTGCCCTGGTGGCCCGCCCAATCGCCCCCTCCCCCCCGGTCCACTGCTACCGCAGAAGTTCGCGCTGCAGCCGTGAGCAAATTGTCCACCGGCAACAGATTTTTTCTTCCTTCTGTGGTGAAGAACCAAATTGCTGCCGCGGTTACTACCGCATATCTCCGAGGTATCTTATGAGCCCACGCGGAGGACCTCCCTTCATGTGCCCTTCGAAGACACCCAGTCTCAAAAAAGGCCCTGCCCATCTGCTCCGTTATGCTTTCGGGTCGATGTTAGGGAAGACGTGCTTCAAGAAGTTGCCGGAAAATCTTGTGCACTGCTCGTAGGCTTTTGCAAATCCCTCGTCACCACCATAGTACGGATCCGAAACAACCTCTGGCCTTCGGCCACCTGAGAACTCGCCAAACAACATCACCTTGGCCTTGGAATCTGGGTTGCCGCGTTGCTGTAGTCTCTGGAGGTCCTGTAGGTTGGATCGATCCATGGCGAAGATGTAGTCGAACTTGTCAAAGTCGGCTGATGAAACCTATTGGTAATGCGAATCCAGTCAGCGGCTGTCGGCATCGGCGGGCGCATCTGAAAACATGGCATAACAACATACCTTGCGACCAGCGTGGACGTAGTCCATAATGCCATGGTCTTCTAGTGTCGCCATGGTGCGGTCGTCGGGAGGATCGCCGACATGGTATGCCGCTGTTCGTTTCGCGGTTCGTGTCAGTGTTGTGTTGCGAGCTCATGAGGACATATCATGACGTATCGCGCGTACCTGTGCCGCAGGAATCCACCTTCGCGATGAGGCCCTTGTATGGCGGCTTCTGGGCAATATGACGGAAGATGCCCTCAGCCATTGTCGAGCGGCAGATGTTGCCGAGACATACAAAAAGAACTGAGACTGGTTGTTCTGGCATTTTGGCTAGTTCAAAGGCTGGTGTCGGCCTTGCTATGGTGTGTGAGGGTAGTATCGCGTTGTGGAAAGCTGACAGTTGAGGTTCTCGGATGGCTGCCCCGCGACAATTCGCTACCGGCAATCTGCGATGGAGGGGCAACTACGGAGCACATGTACTGTGAGATTGTGTAATCACCACACGCTCACACTGTGGGGGCCATCCTGCACGTGAGCTGTCTCTTATTTTCTTCTTCAGCAACCTTCAAATCCCTCAATAACCCACCGAGGTCGTCAATCCCTACACTATATGACCAACAAGCATATGTGCAACAGCGGATTTCGATCTGAGTGATCGTGGCAAATACATTTGTTCGGATTGTAATGATCTGCACAAAATTCTCTGCAGAGTAGGATGCTTCTCCGAGTTCCCAAACAAGATCTTCATTCGGACATTATCTTCGGGCCTGGGTGACGACCTCCTGTTGTCTTCTTGGTTAGGTAGTGTCCGTTCCGGCGGGGCACATACCAATGAAAGTCTCCGAAACAGATTCGATCCATCGCAACGATGGTCCACAAAGCTGGGTCTTCTAGGATTCTTCGAGGGCTAGTAGACGCAAGAATAGCCTTCTCGAAGACAGCCAGACCGCATTTTACACGGCAACAATATGCAGCCTTCTCTTTCACTTTACAATGGTGGGCACCGCGAAAGCATACGAAGCAGGCACCTCGAACTTACGTTTCATTCGGTTCCGAGCTGACCGGTGCAAGCCGCATCTGTTGTGGTTGAGGCCTGAATTCGACCCTACGATGCCTGTTTCCATTACAGCCTATATGTCTCCTACCTAGCCACAAGATCATCGTCGTCTTTGACTGCCCTAAGTAAGAGCTTCATGCGGGCAAGCGATATGACGCGTTATTGAACCATACGATTACTGACTCGCGTTACCTCATTGGGGTGAGAGCAAGCCTGAGATACAGCATCACAGATCCTGCTGAAAAACATCTAGTGAGATGCGGCTGGGCATTTGAGGCTAGTCGTGGCGAAAGTGCACAGCTTGGGTCGATGACCGCCATGCGACAGGGAGCCAACGTCTTGGATTGGCTACTGCATTCCTTCAAGTTATCTTCACATTCCGCTTGCGTCCCAAAACTCGCGTTCTTTTCCGAACAACATGCGTCGATATGAACTTGGACCTAGCTCAATGCGGCCAACACTATATTCTCAGCTTGACATAGCGGCCAAGGCATCTCCAAGAGTGTGAAAGCTGTTAGTCGCAGCCATTGCCATTTTTTGAAGACAGAATTTTGATAGATGGTTCATGTGCACACTCCCTGTAGCCTATAGCCTTCTTTGCATTCTTCGGTGCTCAAGCGTATTCAGGTCTACAAATCCATGCTTCGACCACAAGTCGATGCAGCAGCTCTGGCCATGTGCACTGCGGAGACGGATGCAAGAGCATGCCACTGCCACGCTGCCACATTCGACGTACCGAGCGGCTGGCCGGGTAATAGCAGAGCGCTAGAAACCTTAAGACTAATGAAAAGGATGAGAAATCATCACTACTGGCCAATAGACTCAGCTAGTTTGGCTTCGGCCGTGGCGGGCGGTTGCCACCAGAATGTTTAGTGCCACCCAAGCAATATGAGGGATTGATAACACTTCATTCCACAATCTGACCTCAAAGATTCTCGTTGTCTTTCACACGTCTAGGTCAAGCCGATACAACGGTATCACTGAAAGCCTCCTCGACAAGCAGTGACTGATTGAAGGGCAATAATATGCTGCTTTTTAGGGTCCCGTCCGTTCATTGGATTTCGTCTTGTCTGAAGATCAAGAGCCAGGCACGAGAACACAGACCACAGTATATTGTCCGGGCTAATGCAGGAGCAAATGTGTTCTGTGCGCTTTAAGACGGGAATGTTGATTGGTCAGGCATCCTACCCCCACCTTGTGGCCTGCATTGACAGGGTCGGATGAGCTTAATCGCCTCCCCTGAGCTTCCAGCATGCAACCCCAGATCGCCGACGTCAAAATCTTTGTCGCTAGAGAATAAAGAAGGATTTACCCGGAAGAATACCAGAACACTTGGGCATGTGGCTCAATTCCATCTAGACCCAAGGCGAAGTAGATCCTTTGTGCTTCTCAGGGCCTCCCGCTAACCCCATTACCAAGACGTTTGCAGAGGGCCATCTAATACCTGGGACTCACAACTCGTCCAGAGCATCATCTAGACCCTCTTTGTTCGGAAAGGACCATGGCACACCAGCCTAGTCTCTCCGGCTTGAAACTAGACTCAGGCAACAGGAAGAGAACAGGACGAGCCAGTCCGAGCGGCCCATTTCACTGAAATGACAGATTCTTCATGCCAAGTGACGCCGTGACCACCGATCAGCTATGAGGCTGTATGTGGATGGATCCTCTAGAGAAAGATTGCCATGAGGTTTGAAGACAGCCATCCGGGAGCCCCTTAGTTTGCCTGCCCAGAGCTGCCCATCACTGTCCCATCCGTCTTGGCTTGTAACCTAATCCGGGAGTACGACACACCCGGCCCGCCGACGTAGGAAGCTAGCCAACTACCCGGCTATGCATGGATGCTTTCAATGGTTTGCCTCACTGGGGGCCTATTCCGTTCCAATGTTGGATGACTAGTTACCCTGGACTTAAGCATTATCGACACTCTTAATAAGACCGTCCTCATTCCCAGATTCCCTCCCGACTGTTTCAGTACAGCAATCAACTCACTTCTTACACTCGCTCAACGTGGGATAATCCCGAAACTTCAGAAGAAACCCACCCCGGAAAAAACCGTTGCGCAACCATCTCCAACCGCTGACATGAAGTACACCATCATCACCGCCTTCTTCGCCGCCTACGTGGCCGCAGACGCGACCACGGAAGCCGTCAACAGGCTCGCTGCCCAGGTGCCCACCTGCGCGTTGACCTGTGTTACCAGCGCTGGCCAGTCTGTCAACTGCGGCGTCACAGACTTCAAGTGCTCCTGCTCCAAGGCAGACCAGCTCACACAAGTTTTCACCGACTGTCTCTCCAAGTCCCCCTGCAGCCCCGATGATCAAACAAGTAAGTCTCCGCCGTCTTTTCACTCCCATCTCGACGCCCTTCTCCTATATAAAAGCTACGTCAGAAAGCCTCATCATACAGAGTCTAACGCATGAACAACAGAGTCCCTCGAGGTCGCTCAGCAGATTTGCGCGTTGTTTGGCAACACCCCCGCGTCTGCATCGGGTGCTGCTCCATCGGGTGCCGCTGCATCGAGTGCCGCTGCTTCCGGTGTCTCGGCCGCTACAGCCGGGAACAACGCAGCTACCACCTCTCCAGGAGCCGCAGCCGCAACCAGCTCAAAGCCCGCCGCCGCCGGCAAGGTCGAGGCTGTTGGCTGGGCTGGCGCTATCGCCGCTGTTGCCGCCCTGGCTCTCTAAAGGATTTCCACTACTCATGGTTCCATCCGAACTGTGTCATCGTTAGGACCGTTATTCTTTGAGCCTTTTTTTCATTAGGGATGAGCAACAGGGCTTTGACTTGCGGAGTTTGGTCATAAAACAAGGTTATTAAACATATAATTAATGCTCGATCAATATAAGGCGTAAATTTACAATCTTGAAAAGTCTAAGTCTAAGTAAACAGATTATGACAGGTAATTTGAAAGTTGGCTGCTCGCCGTGATGCCCTGGCAATGCGCGTGCCAGGGGCTGTTGCTCTCTACCATCTAGTTTTGACCACAGTCCCCTCTCCACCAATTGGTATTCTTCTATCGGGTATCTTCACTCCTCACCATCGGGTCTTAGCCAAGTCCAAACTTGCCCAGGGCGCTACCGTCACCGCCATCAGCGCCGTCAAGCCATCCGTGGAGGTCATCCATGCTGGCGAACTGCTGCGCGTAAACCATGCCGTCGCGCCGTCTCTTCTCAACCATTTTCCAATCCCAAGCTCCGTCGTTCTGGACGTCGCTGAGATCGACGTCCTCGTCACCAACACCGTTGGCTCCGCCCTGCCAGCCGCCGGGTCTCTGAGGGAGCAACTCGCTCGCCTCGAGCGCAACGGCAGGGTGGACCGTCAGACGGCCGATCTTGAAGACGTACTTGCTTACGCCAGTCGCGTAAATCTTCTTCTCCCACTCCTTGCTGTCGGTGTTGCTACCGGGACCCCTGCGCACGCGCGCGGTGCCAAACTTGGGGTCGAGCCACTCGGTGGGACGCGCCGTGCCCTTGGGGACGAAGTGCGTGACGATGTAAAGCCACTTCTTGTCCCACGACAGGATCCTCGACCACATCTCGTACGGCGCGTAGGCCGTGATCTCGCGGCGGAAGGAGCAGTGTACGGCGCCCAGCATGATTCCCAGGGAACCCTTGGCGGGCTTTCCGGTCCGCGGGTCCATGACGAGTTTTGTCGTGGCGTTGTGCGTCAGCTTACGGAAGCCGGGGCGGATGAGGTATGTGCACAGGTGCGTGCGGGAGACGTCGAGGTCGGAGAAGTAGGTGGAGTTGGACTTGTGAATGTTGTAGTCGATTTCCATTATGGGCGCGTGGGATTCGGAGATCATGGGGCGGAAGAGGGAGCGAGGGCCGAGGCAAGGGGACTTGCGGATGAAGAGGTGGAAGATGATTGCGTGCCACACACGGTACTGTCAAGATGCTTGTTAGTCGGGATTATTTTCAGACAGCAAGATGGGGATAAGATGGAGAACGTACGGTCCAGACGAAGGGCATGTTCTTTAGGTTAAGAAGGGCGAAAAGAAGCATCAAGATACGGCTGAAGCGCCCCGGCCCCGTGAAGAAAGTGGCCAACACGATGCGCCAATGGATCTTGTACGCCGCGTACGCCAGGCCGCCGGCACCCGCGATGCGGATGAAGCGGAATACTCGGACGGGCACGCGGTCCAAGTCCGCCTCGGTGCGGGTTGCCTTTGCGATTGCGGACGCCATTGCTGCCGTTTTCTCACACCCCTTCTAGGAAGTGGACTTCACTCGGGGTCGCGGAGAGGGCGTTCTTTTCTTGTCCGCGACGGCAGCGGCTGGCCGTCGGGAAGGGAGGACGAGCTGGCGGATTACGCCGAAAAGGAGGACGACGAGAACGACGACCCAGAGAGGTAACGAGCGGACGTGGCACCAGAGAGTGCTGGAGCATTTGGCGAGAAGGGAGGGAGAAGTAGACATGGGGGTGGGCGGCTGGGATAGTTTTTTATCCCAGATTAATGATCCTCTCTCTGTCTCTTCGCCGGCCGGGTAGTGTTGCAACACACTAAAGATAACCTACCATGTCCTTGGAGCGCAGTATTGTGGTTCCCCCCACCCAACAGAGGTGTAAAAAACCGTCTTTTCTGTTGGGTACGTGTACGGAAAGCCGTGCGCTAGAGAAACAGTGACGATGCCGCGACAAGGGAGGGAGAGGGTCCGTAGAGACCCACATGGACGGGGTTCGGTGTTAATTGGCAGCGTGGGATGTCTTGTTCGATAGTCGGTGTGTCCAATTGGAGTTTGTAGGGGAAGCTGCTGTACCTCGGCTCAGCCTTGTCGCCCCCTGAAAATTTGGCACCAAAAAGATTTTTGGGGTTTATTTTATTTAGGAGACTGGCCTTGGCCTCGGCGTGTTTGGTCTTGGTTTATGCCAACGGACACCCGGTGTGAATTAATGCCCTTTATTTCGGATGTCTCGGTACCTTGCCACTGCCAATGCCATTGGCGTTGGATTGGCTGAGTCCCATGGTTTTGGTTGCTTTTGTGAGATGAATGCCACCATTCGTCGATCTACTAAGCAGTAATTTACCGCCGACGATACATTGGATTCGTGTAGAATAAAGTCAGCTGCTAGTCCATCAAGTCCTCTGGGGTTCATCTCTGGAACGTTCATAGTGATGCATTGCTCCGATTTCTAGCCAGGATCACAAGCCGAACTGACAACCCCTACAAACGCAAGGGTAGACTGTCCGGCTTCGTGGTCCGTGAAGCCCGTGCAGCCGGGCCCGACCCGGAGGTTTCGGCTCCAGAAAACGGCATCCTCCGAAAAGCAAGTATACAAGTTGTAAATGGGTCAAAACAAGCTTATAGCGGATTAATCTAGCGGGACTGCAACTAACAATTATCATGCAATCGTTGCGTACACTAAATCGGCTATGAAGATCCGTTGCATTTGCAAAGTCCATCCCAAGGCAATCCTGAACGTCAGCCCGGAAGAACATGATTGGGGCATTTCTGTCCGTACCTTGGCGTCAGCCATGGCTATGCTGGACTTGTTGGATGTATGGCGATTGGTCTGCCTTGCAGACATCTGAAAAGCGAGCCAGATCCACGCCATTTTTGGCCATGCTCGTGACGACAGATTCACTATTGGCGCCATGTCTAAACATCATCTTCAGGACCAAATTTCCGGGAAACAGCGCAATTTAAGCTTGTGTCCTGCGCGGAATCATGCGCTTCCATCTCTGCCTGAAACTAGACCGTCAGTTCCCCAACTTTCGGCGCCAAACCGTATATCTAAGACCTTATAGGATCTGACCGACACAGATGACCGTCGCAGCCTGATTTGACTACTGAGGCATACACCAGACAACAGCATTGGAAATTGATCCATTGCACTAATCCCCTGACTGAACTATGCCAGCGTTAGAAGAGTTAACAATTGGCTGGATTTGCGCCCTGAGCACTGAGTACGTCGCCGCGAGAGCACTACTGGATGAGGCCTACGAAGATAGTGAAGATCGCGCACCGGGCGATGATAATGACTACACCCTGGGGAGGATCAAGAACCATAACGTCGTCGTCGCTGTCATGCCTGATGGCGAATACGGCATTGCTTCGGCAGCAGGCGTTGCCAAAGACATGTGCAGAACCTTCACCAACCTGAAAGTCCATCTTATGGTCGGTATAGGGGGCGGTGCTCCCAGTAAAAAACATGACATCCGTCTAGGCGATGTCGTGGTCAGCACGCCACGCGATGGCAACGGTGGAGTGTTCCAATATGATTTTGGAAAAACCATGCAGGATTGAGAGTTTCAACCGACTGGATTCTTGAATCAGCGAAATTGGACCCGTCTAGCATCCAGACGATTGACAAATCTGGTTGGTCGCCGTTGGCGTTGGCTAGCAGAGGGGGACATGTTGACACTTTCAACTTTCTATTCACGCTTGTACATCCTACAAAGCGCTACGCGGAGACAACATCCTAATCCTCGCCTGTAAAAGGTGTCCTGATACCAGATGGCACGTTTGTTTCTTTCTACAATCGCTGGGACCCATGGAAATAGAGTCTACACGTATGAAATAGGCGTCAAGTTTTCACAGATAAATAAACTCTAGCGGATCGTCAGACATCATCAGAAGCGCACTGTGGTTGGACTTATTATTCATAAAAGTCGCAATGCGAAGTTATCGATATGGTAGTCTATATTGTCTTCTTAGCTACGCCTTGGAAAACGCATTTCAATGATCATTCTTTGTTCATCTATCGTCCGTATGATTTGTGTTTGTCAATTTTGTGACTTTTGAATTTCTGATCTGGGTGCCCAGCGGAACTTGCCTGAATCAACGATCGAATTCTCAACTCAATTTGTAAGACTTAAACACGAGAGTTGGGCGACAGGGGTGCTGTTGTTTGCTCTATCAACAAGGACATTTGACTTAGTCGTGAACAAATCAGAAAATTTGTTCAATTAAAAAATTCTCAGAATGTGTAACGAGGTACAGGTTCTATAGGTATTTGTGCGTAAGGGGGTAGCATTGAGTTTGACAAATTATTCATTGAATTTTGTTACATAGATTCTGGCTACATTCGCTCGCACAGTCTCCTCATTGAGCCGCAAACTTCTCATGGAGATACAAGCCTTTGGATATCAGCTTTGTGTGGTACATCAATTAAGTGGAAAAGCTTTCCTATAAGTTCTTGGCAGCTTCAAAGATCACCATTCATTCTGGCAAAAGTCACTCTCGTCACATTGGCCAGGTTTGCATTTCCGCACATACAGAGGACGAAAAGTAAGATTTAATAAGACATCTTGATGCCCCCAATTTTACTTGCCAACCAAAACTTCATCACAGCCTTTGGGTTATGCATTGATCTCAGACCGCATACAGCTCGTTGACACCGAGGTCACAACACACAGATTAAAACATTATGTCAGGGCCTCTGGGATTTACCTCGAATCCCTATGGCAAGATAACACCTTCTTTTTTCTTTTATCCAGATGCCATTCCGAAAGCGAACACACCCATAACATGGGGTGTCGAGGATCACGAAAAGATACCTGAGACATGGGTTACTATCACATTAGGCGACGGGAAAAGATTGAACAACCCACAAGGCAACTTTCCATCCGTTGCTTTATGGAATGAAGAGGGCGAACCGATCGCCAGATTCACCGGCAAAGGTCCAGTGAAAATTGGAAAAGGAGGCCACAAGACACAAGTAATCCAGCAGACCTTGAACGGAAGAAAAGACGAAGATCCTGGGTACATCATGCTCAGCGCAGACGAGGACGCCATATGCATCGCCATGATTCAGGTATCAAACGGCAGGCATTCTTCAGTTTTCTTTGGAGACACTGGATATGTGTGCGGCCAGACGTGGTACTACAGCTCGATTCGAATGTCCGAGCAACATATCAACTTTCTCGCCCCAGTGGACTCGCTTTTGAACTCGAGATGTGCTTGGCTGGATGCCGACCACTCCGGTGAAATCAATGCACGGGCGATGAGCTATCACCTAAGAGACATGATCCCATCAAATGACAAGCTCGCACTGTACAACTTAGCGGATCACAAGTACCTCTGCGGTTCTACGCGGCGCTTCGCGTGGTGGAAGAACTTAAGGCCAAACGGCAAGATTCCGTTCTTCAACCCACCCTTGGAGTACATTGCCGACAGCGAAGATCGCAGAAAAGAAGGTGCAGATAAATTTCCGACTCTTGCTCTCGATGATATTCACTACAATAGGGATGTATACATCGAGCAGGGAGAATCTCCCGATGTTGCAAAGTACTACGAGAAGCATCCATATGCGACAAATAGGAAAAAACGGAATGCCAAGCTGCAGCTGAGCAAGAGGCAAGGTTCAAACATGGACACGGAGCGGATTATTGTGACAGAGATTCCCGGCCAAACTGCCCGAGAAATCTGTGAGGACCCAAACTCTGCCGGTTACGACATTGCGTCTTACGTCGACATGAAGTACTGCGATCTTTCGGAAAGAAAACTGTACGACTTGTGCAGTGGCACCATCACTAGCAACTGCTTCGACGCCAACAGCACGGCATTTGTAGGTGTCATCAACGCACGAGGTGAGAATTCTGCTCCACTGAAGGAGTACAAGGAGCGAAGTCATTGGAAGTGACAGTTTTGAGCTTGATTGACCTTCAATTAAGGTCTGATGACCTTTGCTTCACAACAAGCATTGTAGGGCAGTGAACGGGGCGATGTTCATCCGTAAGAATATCAATAGTGATAATGGCTACCATTTCTTCTATATCACGGGAATACCAGCACATTCGTAACTTATGATAATTCTGACTTAGTACAGAATCCGCTGCCCGTGTTATTCAAGTTAGTTGTTTGTGATGAAGGGCGGAAGTTTCAAGTAAATTGCGCTTCGTGGACGGCTTAGTCTCTATGGGTATCTCAAGGAAGTGGTTGAAGCCCCCTTGATGATAAGCAAATTGCAGCACAAGAAAGAGCCAATATGAGTCAACTCAGGGTCATATACAATTTACATCCTGCTTACAAAGTCGCGATTCTCTAAAAAGGAGGCAATACCCCTTCTTCTTCCTCAAGCTGAATGGTTAATCCTACTAGGGATTAGTAGAAGAGATGCTGACACCGTTTGCCCCGCCACTAAGTCCTACCTAGATTAAGTCACCCAGCTTCTGAGGTGGCGAAGCAAACCTTCTGGGCAATGAGAGCTCGTCAAAATGTTGTAAAGGAACGTAACAAAGTCCTCCGATTGCATACAACACCGAATGGTGAATAATATGGCGCAAGGCTTCAAAGAAATTCGATATGGGCTCATAAGAGACACTTTATACCTATTAGGTACCTTTGTGGTCTAGCACTAAATGGGCTAGTAGGTGCTGGCTGCGAAATAAGCCTCTTTTTTACAAGGAACTAGGCTAGCTGCTTGTCAGATTAACTTTTATCTCCCATAATTGTTACTCCATTAAAAGAACAAGCCCATTTCAAAATAGATCATCACGTCTTAATGCTTGATATGAGATGTGATACAATGCCGTCACAAAGAGCTGCTATCGTGGAAGCTCTTCGGGGAGTCACGTGATAACCTGCGGACCTGAAGTTGAGATTGTTGTTTATACGCTTAATAGTGGGCATCAGCAGCTAATAGAAAGAAGGCAACGTTCCCACTTGAGAGAGTGATCACTGTGGTTTCGGAGTATCCTGTTCGTGGCAACTGCATAAAAGAGGGTGTTTTAGCTACATATATCATTTCCTTCTGAAAAATAAAGTAAGCTGATTGCCAAAAGAAGCAGGCTTCCGAATTTTCCCGCACCTATCACCCTCCTCCCCCTCCTCCCCTCCTCCTCTTCCTCCCCCTCCTCCCCTCCTCCTCCTCCCCTCCTCCTCCTCCCCTCCTCCTCCTCCTCCACCTCCACAGTGATTAGTCAACTCATCACTCGTGGTCTTGGCAATGACCGATCGCGTCCTGGTGCTTAGACGCGTCTGCACTCAGGCAGCAGCTTTCCCGTCTACAAAACGAACTGCTTGTCTCCCGCAAGAACCCCATTTTGGCTTCCCCTGTCTTTTACTCTCTCAGATACTCTCTCAGACGACGCTTTTTAAAGTAGAGCTATTCAACTACGATTCTCCAAAATCACACATCCTTTTCTTTTACTTCTTGCAGTCAATAACGAAACGTTCCGCAACTGCCCCCGCAAGCCCTCGACTTCCCAGTCCGTTGAAGACGCAATGTCTGACACGATTCCACCGCGATCGTACGTTGAGGGGAACGCCGCCAGCGAGGAAGAGGTTGCTGTTCTTCGCAACTCCCCGTACGATGAGCACTCGTCCTTTCACGAGCCGTGGTTCACGGAGATTGCGGCCGACCAAGTTCCTCCGTGAGTTGTATACCTTATATTGTCGAGTTCTACGGGAAGGCGGTGTCATGAGAAATGAGAACTAAAACTTCATGCGCTACCTTCAATCCATAGAGAACACACCAAAGGAGACGGCCGAGCATTCCAAAACTCTATAAGACTCGAGCCAACTGCCCCTAACTTGCTGTCTATAAAAAGATAAGCACCGCCGATCGCGTTCAGTCTTGGATGACTGTCGTACGAAGTACGAATGAGCTGAGAAGGAAGGCGCATTATATCATACTAAGAGCTAAAAAACAACAGGGGCAGTCAGGTAGGTCTGTGGACTTTCCTACACCTCAAGGAATAGTCCACACGCAGCTCTTGCTTTAAGAAAAGCAATAGTCTCCTCCTTGCTCGGCGGCTTTCCGCTTAAGGTCAACGCGATCCCCAACGAGAACGGTTTTATTACCGATGGGAACTACTAACCATAAAAATACAAGACTTGAAGATACATGCGGTCTAGAATATCTTTACTCGACTGGCTCTTTTCAAGAAGCCAATCTCGTCGTGTCGGATGCAAATTCTAGTGTAGGCATCGTCTCTGTGACTCAAAGCATTATGCCTTCATGGTTAGAGGCTGGCAATTCGGATAGCAACAATGTTTCAATTCAGCTAGAGAATCCCGAGCCCCTTCAAGATATTGGGCTTCACCTAGGAGAACCCCTTGGCGACACATCTTTTTCGGCTTTTGATTTAGGCACGACTGAATTTACCTATGGAGATGGTGAGGCGGTTATACCATCCCTTCACACGGTTGACACCCAAGACTACTATGATACTTTTCCTCTGTATGTCCTTACGCTCTGTCTCTGAGACCTGAATACCATACTAACATGCCCCAGTGATACCAAGATCGAGCTGGCAGAATCGAAGGATTTTTGGTTCGTACGTAACGGCGACAGCTTCACATGTAGTATATGCGGGACAAATATTTCTAGACCGGATAATTTCGGACGCCATTTGAAAAGCAAGAAGTGCAAAGCAGCATGGGAGCATTTGTAAAATGTACTGCGGAAGAGCGTCTTGCACATGGCATTGTCAGAAGAGGGTGGTCGGCTGAGATGAAGAGGGATGTAGGTACTACAATGTTGTCTCAATGGAACTTTTCAGGTGGGAATCAGGGATGCGAGACTGAGTTATAGTGATAAATGAGTGCAGACGCAGACAGCAGTTGGTTGATCACTCATCTAAAGGAACCAATTGACGCTGAATACTATGCTTCAACCATAACGACCATCGATTACATAATGTGACATGAACTTTTACATTCTTGAGGAACGGGGGTTTAGCCACTTCGAAAGATCTTCTCCATCTCACCTTGCGCCAAGCTTGTCCTTACGTCGTGACTTACACCATAGGCTCTTGCTATAGAGAGAACTCTGGGAGAAACTGTGAGGTTTGCTCCTCTATCTGCAAGTAGCTGTGCGACCTCTATATTATTGAACACCAGAGCCGTCCAGAATGGTGTAAGCTCTCGATCCACAGCCTTAGCTTCCAGGTTCGCCCCAAGACTGGTTAATAGCTCCGCCATCTGAAGCTGTCCGAATCTCGCAGCAACCATCAGGGGAGTTTCACCATCACCTTCGGGCTCCAGGTCTGCCCCTCGACTTGCCAAGAGTCTCACTATCTCCATACCCTTCATGATATCAAGATGTTGAGACGTTCGAGGTATAGGGCCTTCCCAGATGCCGGATGTAGCCGCGATAAAAAGTGGCGCACGGCTGCTCCCAGTCGAAAGATTGACATCTGCTCCTGCATCGAGCAGGAGTCTCACTACTTCTATATGGTGCCCTTTGACAGCGGCTGTCAATGCCGTTTCAGCCCCCGATGGACTTATCGCGTCGGGGCTCACGCCCTTCTGTATGAGTAGTTTGACGGCATATTCGCTGCCAAACTCAGCAGCATACGCCATACGTGCAATGTCCCGACTCTGCAGCATGTGACTGTCCACATGAGCGCTGATCGGGGTAGACAGCAGGAGGTCTATCACTTTATTATTTCCTGCTCGAATAGCACGTTCTAGCGGGGTACTCCCATAGGGATCACGCATGTCGACGTCCAAATCTAGTCTTGATAATAAAGCCTCGATGACGTTGCATTGATTGCATTCTGCTGCGCGACTGAGAGGCGTATAATCTCCCTGTGGTCGGTGAATATCAAGGTCCATGCGTTCCAGCAACAAACGGATCATTTCGATGGATCTGTTGGTAGATATTAGGTAGTGCAGTGGATTTTGTTTGTTGCGCAACCAGGTGTTGACGTCGACGCGGGGGTTTTCCAGGACGAGCTTCCGAGCAAGGGCGATGCTGTCGTCCTGGTGTAGTGCCCATTCGAACAATCGATGCCTTAGTGATGGTAGTGCGCTACGAAATTCATCCAAGTCCCAGAGTGGCAAGCTGTACGTGCCGTCATCAACAATCTCCCCGAAGGCCAGAAAGGTAACCGTTCGCTGAATGGCTTTTCGTAAATCGACTTGGTAATCTGGTTGCAGCGAAGCTCCAGGTCTCTCAGAGTCAAATGCTATGCCGAGAAGTGCAAAAATCTGATCCCTTGAGTCGGAAGATTCGCAGTGACTGAACTTCTGAAGCAGGGTGCAGAGGCTACGGTCGTTGTTCCACCATGAATGCTGTCGTAATGGGCCTGGCATGACTTCAAGTAAAGCCTGTGAACGAGATTCGGTTGTCAGACCCAGAAGAGACGGCATAAGTGCGAAGGCTCTCGTTGGCACTGCGGTCCACGAGCACTGAATTATGGCTCTCGACGCATTGGCAGCTTCCTGCACAACCCATACTCTCCGGAACCAGGGTCTTTGAATCAGTTCCTCAAGAGCTTGCTGCCTGAGTGTGTAGAAGTCTGGATTGCTGCGCTTCATGTCAGCTAGCAAGAAGTGACCTTCATCTTGCCAAATCTTAAGGGGTTCAGGGTCGTCCCGTCTTTTTGGACGAAGCCTAACCCTTTTATCGAGTGTTTGGACCGTAGCCAAAAGAAGATCAATTTTCGGGGTTGTGGAACCAAGCCATATGATAACCTCTTTTGCTTTCTTGTAGATGAACCCCATTTTTGCTACCTGGTGGGTGCGCTCGTAATCATCTTTCTGATCGATGCATATGGCATCCACCCAGAGGATGCGGTCTTGATCCGGGAGCCGTAAATGATGCAGAGCTTCATGCAGGTTGGCGGTAATAGGTACGTGCTTGTTGTTTACGACAATCTCGACGGTCCGCTTTGGGTCACCCCATGTGTATGAGAGGGCTTCATAGGTGCCATCGTGCTCGTCTTCGAGAGGCAGTGGTGCCTCATACAGCTCACAGCGAACGGGACTGTCATCATAGTATCTGCGAGCTTTGAAAAGACGAAGTAGACGGATGTTATTAGAAGAAGGTTCAATGTGTTTGTATTCGAGATTGGACATGGTGTTTTTGGCCGCAAACAGAATGAAAATTTTGAAAACTCACACGATCAGGAGCTCGGGTTGGGATCTCTGTATCTGTATGGCAATTGCTGAGCTGAAGGCTGGGCGACGATTGCGGGGTAAGTGGGCTAATACTAACATGCTATCTATTTAACGCGATTGGTCAATACTAACTGTCAGAATCACACCCGAAAGTATTTTTACAGGTCAGTTGTTTTTCCGCTTTAAAGCGATGCGCAGCTAAACGTATATGGAAGAGACTCAAGCTAGTTACTGGGTGCTGACAAGGGCATAGGTAGATACTTAAACCCTAAACCTGCCTTGTACCCATCTTGTGATCGCCCTTGGAGGCCTAAGGCGTTTGCGTATTATAATTCGGCATCCTACTTATTTTAGGTATCTTTTGATTCATGAGTGCAACTATCAGTAAAAGGGAAACTGTTGAAAGTTTGGTATGAAGTCTTGAGCAACTAATTGGTGGAGCAGTTGATGAGATACTACATGTGTTGGAATCCGTGATATATTGTGCGGCTTATTGCTGCCCTTCCGCAACGAACAAAGTTTCGATCACTAGTAGATACCATAGTTCACTATCAAAAGTAAAATATCTTTGCGAATTGGGCCATTGATGGAACGCTTGGATAGCGGAGACATCTGATCCTCACTTTTCTTCGAGTCTAAGATACATTAGATTCCGTACCTCACTATCCGTCCCTCTGGGTACTTTATTGTTTCACATTTACCAAATCAAAAGTTTTGTGTACTTGATATCAAAGAAATCAGTCACTGGAGTGGCTTCTCTCGAATAAACAGCGAACTAGCAGTTGACTTCTAAAGTGTCAATCAAGCTCCAATCATGAATATCATAGCATCCATTGCATCAATACTACGGCCAAGGTGCGTATCGACGTGCGGGAGTTACTATTAAAGTTGAGGATTTCGCCAATTATGCCTACTCTTGGCATTGAGGTCTTTGTAAAGCATGCTCCAAACGGGATACTGGCGCGAATGCTGGGCTTTTAACAACTCAGATGGATTTTGGGTTTATGAGCATCACTCGATAACAACTGTATGTCAGGCAGAAACTAGTATCAGATGCGATGCTGAGACGTTGAAATGAATTTTACAGGAGCAGTCAACGACATTCTTTCGTCAGATTTCAACACGACAAGCATACGAATTTGTCGGAACTAGAAGTTTCAAGTAGGCATGAATGTAGATAAAACAAACTGCAATGACAGTCAAATACATTGATATCCAATATATGCATCACGGTCAGTTATGACAGATCTAGGTAGGAAAGCAGCTTGATCGGGGATTTTGGCTCTTGGGAAGTTTGCCATCGTAAATCGCCTGGATTCTTCCATCGTCGTCGGCGTATCTATGTCGCCAGCAGACTTTCCTATGACATAACCACATACCTTGTCTTGTGGGAGATTAAGTGATCCTTGTAGGTGAGCAGAAACGGCGAGGGCAAGCCAAATGGGGCGGCTGGCTGTTTGCTGAACAAGATACGATGTTTTCGTGCTTGATCCAATAATAGTAATTCACGGCGGTATGTTTGAGATGTTTTCAAGTAGTCATAATACGAGAACGGGAATTTTGTCTGGGCTTCCAACTCCACTGCGCTTGGTTGGAAATCTCCCGAGGTTCTGATGGCCAACAAATGATCTGACTGACCAAGAACGCTAGCCGATGTTGACCCTTGGAGTTTTCTATTTTTGCCCATTGATTCCAGTCACGATAGTGTTTCAAAAAATTAAAAGTATTTAACCGGTTAGAAGAAACGCTGAACGCCATGTTTCACCTCTATATTGATTAATCTTAAAGAGCTTACTTTCTAGAACAGGGGGAAAGTCCACTAGCCATGTGGAGGATAGGTGGGGAATGACACGGGAGGCTCACCGTCCACTGCGCCTTCTGTATTTCAGCGGGCCTTCTAGACCGCCGTGTACTACCTAATTCAGTGTTTCAATGTTTCAGCTATGCTAACTAGACCGCCCGGCTTCCGGACCGCCATCGACAAACCCTGGATATGACCGGCGTGATGGACTAGAAATCAATGGAAGCGGTGATAACCTTATTCGGAGAAGAAAAAGAGTTGTCTTGGTGTTCTATGGGAGGAAATTCACTAAATGAATAGGAGTTACTGTACAATATTTTTCTCCCATATCGGACTTGAGCTCTATTCTAGTCAGCCTTTTCTGCCCTGCCAGCAACCGGGAAGATGGCCGAGGAAGGACCAAAGACGGCGTGGTCTTTGGGCGCTGCTAATATGTAACGGTCATCACAACCCTCGTGGTGGCTTTCAACGTCGGATTAATGCGGTAATGAATTCGGCTGATGATCCAAGCGACAAAAGATCGTGAGTGTTAAGGGATGGAAAAGTGGACTAAGAGGAGGGCCCGGCGTTTTGCTATCCGGGCAATTCCCCACTTTAAAGCCGGCCGAACGGTATTATTAGCTCGACAGGACGACCACCGCAATTGAAAGGCCTAGTGACCGCTGTAATTAAAGTTAGCTCAACTCCCAATGAACTATTGATGTGCCTTAACCGCATCTACGATGGTCACTGAGAGATGTTGGTCCCCCACTCAATTTGGCATTAGCTCATGGTTGTGATGAAGATCATCCGCAACCTTCCTTGACGAACATCATTATGCAGATCAGAAGTCTCCGAGCGGGAGGTGATCTTGTTGACATCTTCGAATCAGAATGCAGGGAAAGTTTTAAGTTGGCTTAGATCCAAGACACGGTCGTCAATAGAACGGTTGAATTATTGTTGGAAAGGTGCATTGGCCAAACGAAGTCATTTCTGAACGATTGACCTGTGTCATTGTCATATGGTGACGGCATGTCAACCCAAATGACTTGCAGCGTTTAAACACTCGGACAGCTTACGGCTCCCATTTCGATGGGCAAGTTTGCACCGAAATGGGAAACTCGGGGGACCATCCGGCTCGCAAGCGCGGAGCTCGGGCGAGGGGTTGTCGGGCTAGTCCGCCGTACCAAACCGAATTGATACTGATTCACATCCAAAATAGGAAAGATGAAGTGCCGTCCTCTTCAGTCACTTTTTTTTGGGCTATGGGTCCTGGTCCTTGAACAAATTTCGCTCAGAACACCAAGGCTGAGCAAAGCTGGAGTGTGCTGCTTGGACAGTCATTTCCTTTCAACCTTTGGAAGGCGGCTGGGAGGGCAGCTAATCGTGAATTGACGACGGACTCATCGTGTACTTAAAGAGACGTTTGAATCCCGCTACAAGTCTGTTTTTCTCCATCATCAGCATCCTCACTCAGTCTTTCATTCCACAACTCCAACACACACTCGTCACTCTTTACCCAACTACTACCACATTCTTTCAAAAATTTTATATATTTCATAATACCACCGCAACCATGAGATTCTTCAACTTCGTCGCCATCTCTTCCCTCTTCGCCACCTCCTTGGCAGCCCCCGCCACTCAGGGCGAGGTCAGCATCGTCAAGGCCCGCGATGTCCCCGCCGTTGAGCTCAACGTAGTCGAGGCTCGCACCGCTCAGATCGTCTGCGGCAAGCTCCAGACCTCCCTCATCGATGTCCGCAAGCACACTTCCGCCATCAACGCCACCGTCACCGGTGTCTGCAGATCTTGCGTCGCCCAGCAGAAGGCCAACATCATCAAGTCCGTCAAGGGCGAGGTCACCCTGATTGTCGGCGTCATCCACTCCCTCACCGGTGAAGTCTGCGGCCTCCTGTCCGGAAGCGTCGAGATTCTCGCCGAGGAGAAGCAGCAGATCATTTCCCTTGTCTTTGAGCTCATCTTCGAGCTCCTCTGCACTCTCAAGCGCGTCCTGGCTCTTCTTGGCTGCAGTAAGTTTCACGGATCTCGCTTCAATTGTTGCCCCGCACTAACCATAATTCGCCTCAGACGTCTTTGAGCTCCTCGGTCCCCTCATCTTCACCCTCCTCACCGTCGTCGGCCACCTCCTCTGCACCCTCAACGTTCTCGTTGACGGCCTTCTCAAGCTTGTCTTCGGCCTCCTTGGCGGTGTCATTGGCCTGCTCCTTGAGGTTCTCAAGGGTCTCCTCCCCACCGTCCTCGGTATCTGCGGCGGCGTCCTTGGCAAGCTCAACCTTAGCAGCCTCCTCTGCGGCTTCCTCGGCAGCATCTTCTAAGTTTAAGATTCTGTGCACAACTAAAACTTGCTTGGAATTCTGGACGCCCTTGATGGTATCCTAGAATTCAGCGCAGCATTTGGGGATTAAACGCGATACAATAGTATCCAGTATAGCTCTCTATCTGTATTACACTACATTTTAAAAAGTACTTTAGTCACTTATAATCGAAGCATTTACTTCATCAAGCTGTCCCTTATCGATTCTTCTACTCCCCAACGCAGTGAAATATATGCATTCTTGAACATTCTGTCAAACTGAACTACATAGTGATTAGCAGCTTTCGACGGCATCGTTTCAAAAGCAGAAAGTGAACTAACGATGTTTTTTTGCCTGTCCTTTCCGTCAGCCACGTTGATTGTCGCGGTATTGCAATGCGTTTTGCTGTTCGTCGTAGCTCCAACGCTCTTAGCTCTATTAGAAACTGGCTGGCATGGTGATGCACAGACTTCGCAAGCACATCTACGCCTGTGTCATAGAAATCTTCCACGGCCAACCCTATCTGTTGCATCGAGATGACATCTTCAAGTGTGCGAAAGAATTTTAAAATTAGAGTTGGAAGAATGAGTAACAGCTTAAGTGCAAGTCAGAGGATTTGGCTCTCTCGACAGCTTCGTGTAAGCCAAACTAATCATGCTCTTTACTATATATCACTTCTGTACTTCAACTGTATCATTACATTCATGAATACCTTATTATGAACACGAGATGCCTAGTGATGAGTGAAAAAGTGTTACCAACCAGATGCGCGCACCCATACATCCACTATCTTCGATTGACTGCTCTCCGCACTGGAGTCAACCACGAGGTACCACCCATACATGGCTCCTGTAACACATGCATGGTTGGGATAAATCCGGACACTCTGTCCAACTTCCAGGGGTACTGGTGGCAACTCGTTGGCCTCGTCGCCTTCTGGTTTAGTATCCCAGGTCAGAATCGAATGTTCCTGGCTAATTCTGCCTACCACAAGTCGATGCTTTGTTTCAACATCCTTGGCGTATGACTTGCGGCTCACGATTCCCCAGCCAGTGTATGAAGGGCAAGGCTCTCGGCCAAGACCGAGGACCCCAACAGCTACGAGCGCCTCTGGCTGCTTTCTCTCGCCATCATTATACACGCTGCAAACCTCGGCCGCCACAAAAACGGCAACTTCCTCTTCCTCATCGCTAAGAAACGTTCTGGCATGGGTAGAGAGTTGCTGGTTGTCGAGGACAGTATAAACGCCAGCGTGCAGTTCGAGATTGACCCGGAAGCCAAGCAGCTCACCTTTCGTGACTTCCTGGATGGTGGTTCTGAGATGCTCACTATCGGAACTCTGTTCCGCTTGCGCACCTGCAAAGTTCTGAACTGCAGCCACCTGCGGCGACGCCCCAACACTGATGGTGAGCTCCTTGTTTTGCGGGAAGTGCTTCGAGTTTTGCTGGAGTGCATCAACACAGCCCTTGATCTCGGCGGCGAGATTATCCATAGCCTGCTTGGCAGTCGTGTCAGCATAGCTAAGGCTGCTATGCGAATAGAGACCGGTCAATGTGATCTGGCCAGCAGCTTCGAGATGCATGACCTTTTCAAGCAGACCATTCTTGTTAAGAGCAGAAGGAGGGAGGCCAGCGCGGTGATAGCCGGTGTCGACCTTCAAATAGACTCCGGCTGGAAAGCCAGCCTTCTGGAAGAAATGACCAACTGCTTCAAGTTGATCAGGGTGGTCAATCATGAAGGTTATGCTGCCAGGACCAAGTTCGCGGGCTATCTCGGCGACTCGCGTCGCTTGAGATGGCGGGAGGGGTATGCCATATAACACATCAATTTGACGTCCATTGTCTTTAAACTCCCTTAGGAGCGGCAGCAAATGTTGCAGCTCGGGAACGGTGGAGACGACAATTTTCACTTGTGATGAAGTTTCGCCTACTTGTAATCTTGCAAGCTGGGTTGTCTAGACCGCATGTTAATATGGTGAGTTACAACAGACCAGCAATATCGGGTTGCAGGTCATATGTGGTGGCATCTTGTCCCGACTGACCTTGTGGGTCTTGACATGAGCTCGGAAGCCTACTCCAAGGGCTTGTACGGCATCGAGCATAGATTGGCAGTGCCTGCGTGCCTTGGCGACATCTAGAACCAGAGCAGGTTTCGGGACATCCTCAACGGTCTTGCCGACATAGAATTGCCGGAGTTCATCGATTGAGGGAGCTAGACGTTGCGGGGAGCTCATGATTGCAGGCCAGGGTCGAAACCAGACAATTTGGGGACGGAATGGCGCAATGGCTGGGGTGTGGATATGGCCAATCAGGATGATCAATCTGGCTTAAGATACGAAGGCTGAAGCTGTCTTGGGACTGCTAGTTAACGGGAATTCCGGAGAAGGTTGGTGATGATATATCGCGCCCTTTAGCGGGGTCTCTACTGTGGAAAGGGCAAAGGGCGTGATTGATGTCAACCGAAGTCTGATCCTCGGGGATAGTAACACCGCGGTAGATATTACAGCCGCCGACCGGCATAGTGGGGACGATATCGGCCGTTATCCCCGCACTTACCCGAAAAGGCAGTCCTTTATTGACCAATCATCGGAGTTGGTGGAACAGATCTCAGCGGCTGCAACATTTTAGTTATGTTTAATTTGTTAGATCTGGGAGATTCGCTAATAATGTTTCACCCTTTGTGTGACAGTGATGAAATCAACAACGAATCACATATAAGAAGAGAATCGCAACATAGAGTAAAAAGTCCTGGGTCAGCTTACAATGCCATGAAAGTGGACTGACTGGTTTTCAATGCGCTAATGTACATACTACTAGAATGCCGTACATAAGCGGGCGTCACGTGTGTTACGGTCCAGCCCCTTCGCCGGCGCCGGCGCCCCGCCATTGCCACCCTTCCCCCCTCCCCCCGGCCATCAAATTTTTTGTCGATAAGATGACCAAACGCGTGGGGCAAGCACGCAAAAGCATTGAACGAAGGACCCTTTGTCCCTTCAAGGTGTAGCTGCTGCCCACTGCAACCGACTCCGCCGCTGTTGTTTTTTCTCATTAGTCGCTGAAGTGATCCATCATCGTCTCTTCAACCCCCCAAGCCACAAATCAACACTCAACGACACGATAATCATGACTGAGAGCCAGCCGCTGCTCGAGGATCCTCTTTGTGAGGAAGACGTATCGAAGCATTTACTTGATTTTGACCCCAATGGCGATCCGGAGAACCCAAGAGAATGGCCGACCGCCTTCAAGTGGACCATAGTCGGTCTCCTGGCTTGCATGGCCTTCACTGTGTATGAAGCCCCCCCGGCTTAACTTTTAGCCAACAAACTCAATAGTTTGGACTTCAACCGCTGACCTTCTTATAAGGACTTTTACTTGTATCTCTGTTGTGCCTGTAGCTGCCCACATCATCGGTGATCTCGACCACACTGATGGCACTAACTCACCAGCGAGCGCTCTGCTCGTCACCATCTGGGAGTTAGGCGAGGCTGCCGGCCCTCTTCTCATTGCTCCCCTTTCCGAGATCTATGGCCGAGCTCCGGTATTGAATGCTGCCAACATCCTGTTCGTGACGGCCACTGTCCTCGCTGCTCTCAGCACGAGCACGCCGCTCCTCATCGGCGCCCGTGCCCTGACCGGTCTTGCTGTTGCTACCAACGTTTTGAACCCCGCCATCATTGGCGATATGTTTGAGGCCGATCAGCGTGGCTCCGCCATGAGCATGGTTTCGCTTGCCCCTCTCGTCGGCGGTGCAGTCGGCCCCATGATTAGTGGCGCTATCGCGCAGACTCTCGGCTGGAGGCGCGTTTTGTGGATGAGTGCATGCTTGGCAGCTGCGTGTGAGGTTCTATTTCTCTTCTGTTTTAAGGAGACTTACAAGATGACCATTCTGAGGCGTCGTGCCGCCAAGGCGCAGCATGAATCCGGGGCCCCTCTTCATCCGGCTGGTGTTGATGACCACAAGAGCATGTTGCGGCTGTGGGAGTCGATTAAGCGCCCTGGCGCGGTGCTGACCAAGTCTGTTGTTCTTCTCGGGCTGTCGTTCTTTGGCTGCATTACCTTTGCCTACTTTTATGTCATGTCCATCACTCTTCCCAACATCCTCCAGGAGGTGTATGGTTTCTCTCCTGCCATGACCGGACTGTCCTTCATGACCTTCAGTATGTTATCCCTCTAGACCGTGCATTTGCTGTGTAAGCCATCCTCTAACATACTGTAGGCGTCGGATCTTTCATCAGTGTTCTCGTCAGCAACTTCTTCCTCGACCGCATTTACATCAAACTCCGCGGCAACGACCCTGTCGGCCGCCCAGAGTACCGGCTTCCACTAGCCATCATTGGTGCCTTCGGTCTACCCATAACCATCATTGCATACGGCTGGATCACCCAATTGCGACTCCCTGTTGGACTGCTCCTTGCGAGCGTTGCCCTGATGGGTTTCATGCTTCTTATTTGCTCCCTGCCTTTGTCAGCTTACGTCGTTGACGCAGCCGGTCTCTATTCCGCCTCCGCCATGACCGGTTTCATTGTTACGAGATGTTTGGCTGGCACTTTCCTGCCGCTTACCGCGGGACCTCTGATTGAGTCTTTTGGGTACGGCTGGGCTTTCACGATGTTGGGCGTTGGTAGCATCTTTTTAGCTCCTATTCCCATCGCTGTTATGAGATACGGCCACGTCTGGCGCCAGAAGTCCGAATACACGAGAGACGCTTAGGATTATACGATTTCATGAATGTTTTATCGCCGCATACGCATATCACGGAATGGAAAAGCTCAACGAGAAAAGTTTTGATATTATATTTTTACGTCTTGTACTTACGACTCAACTCAAGTTTAGGAGCATTATATGGTTAGATTAATGGTTTTTAGATTAGACTTGGTATTAATGACAGTAGGTAGCTATGTGGGTATTAGGTTTTTTCTGCCTCACTTGACTTATCTACCGCTGTCTAAGGATGTAGCTACGGCCTCTGGGACTTCATGCACGAGAGGTTTCCCATGCCTTAAAGGCCTCGACAGCTTCGGCCACAGAATCGTGTCCCAAGAGCTTCTGTTGGTAATCCGAGTCAATCCAACTCCATCCTGTTGGCAACAGCCCCTCTCCCAAACTTGAACCTGCCATCTCAGCATCTCGAGCCTGCTGCTCAGGTCCGTCCGGTACACGATACCACTTATGATTCGACCTTGCGCCTTGGACGTTGAGTGTGGTTCGCGATTTGCGTAGCGACTCGTACAATTGAAGGACCTCTGGGATCAATTCTGTCAAGCTTTCCTGTGCAGAAGTGTTAAGCATGCCCAACAGCCTTCCAAGCACAGCACCATCTTCGATAGCCATGGCCGCCCCTTGCGCCTGGTATGGAAGGCTTGGATGGCAAGAATCGCCCAGGAGTGCTACACATTTCTAAGAAGAGTTAGAAGACTTTAATTCCTTTGCAAGTGAAGATCGCTTACTTTGGTCCACGTCTCCAACTCTGGGTGTGTGCAAGGCTTCCACTTCTGAACCCTCGGTATGCGAGAAATCAACTTCACCAACCTAGAGGAATCAGTATGGTGTGGAAGCACACGTAAGGAAAGGGGGAATGCATTTACGTCTCATCCCAACCTTCATATTCTTGCCTCATCTCACCAACTTCCCCATCAATGTGCCTTTGGCCATGCGGCATAACATCAGGCTTGAAGAGGACAAGATTGAACTCCTTCCCTCCTCTAACGGGATAGAATAATGTGTACTTTTGAGGGCCAACCCATATAGTTATTCGTTTTCTGCTGTAGAGCTCCTCAATCTTCGCGTCGTTAAGGCTCTTGAGATACTCCAACGGAAAGCTTGCACGGTATGCAACATCACCAGTCTCGGCTGCGGGGGAAGGTTTACCAAGCAATTGGTTCCGACACACCGAGTAAAGTCCTATTAGATTTAGCACGGACATCCTCCATGTGTGGCTACACGGCAAGAGGACGAAATCTTGAAATCACACATACCATCCGAACCAATAACAACATCTCCGGATATGTCATCACCGTCCTCGAGCCACACAGTGTTGTTTTCAAAATCAATACTCTCGACATCCAAATCCAAACAGAGGTCCACGCCGAGGGCTTCACACTCGTCCCACATTACGGCGTGAAAATCAGCTCTGTGCACCACCATCCACGGATCCCCATACTGCTCCTGGTAGCTTTTCTCAGAGAGCGGATGCAGTGGCTCTCCGTTGGCATAGCGGCGCAACTGTACTCCGTCAATCGCGACACCGCGCTCCAGCAACCTGTCCAGGAAACCCAACTGCCGGGCAATCCTGGTCCCGTTGGGAGGCACCTGGATACCTGAACCGATCTAAAGCGACAATTCCATGTCAGTGCTCTTCTCAGATGACATCCCAAAGCCAGGACATGATTCAATATCTTACCGGCACAATCCGATTCGCCCTCTCAAGGACAACGACTTCCAGCCCTTCCTTCTTGCAGGCAATCGCACAAGCAAGGCCACCCAGGCCAGCGCCAACAATAAGAACCTTCATCGTTGCTGAAAGTTTCCGCGCGGGCGACGTTCGGGTGCACGGAAGTTGGAGATCGAAAGGGGCAAAAAAGATCTGTCCTGAATTGGTACGTACGGTCATTGGTCTGTCCAAAGGGGGGGGGGGGGGGGGGGGTCATCATGCACGGCGTTGCATGGGCGGGGCCCCGCGCGGCCCGAAACCCACATCGGAATCGCTATCGGCTGCCAAGCCGTCGGTAACTTTAATCGCTGCCTGGAATTTCGGCGATAATGGTTGCCAAAAACATCTAATCAAATTCATGGTGCCCAACGTCTGTGGTTTTTATCACCAGTCTACTTCCTGAGCGTCTGGGTCTCAGGCAATTATGGGCCCTATCGCCGGTCCGACGCCGTGCCCTTAAAGCCTAAACTGGCCTCAATCTCATCTTGTCATTTTCTTCTGTTCTTTCAGTTCAGTTGTTTTTAGCTTAGATTTGGGCCCTGGAAGAAAACCCAAAAGCACACTCATGTATAGTTGTCTGTCGTATTGTGCTTTGTCCTCATGTCATGTTGCAGATAGACGTTTCCGACGCATGTGACGGGCTCTGCAACCAGTTTATCTAAAACATCCTACATATGTATGCGTTAGAGTGTAGGAGGTGTCTGGTGATAACTTGTTCTCTTGCGATTAGACCTACGGTATGATTTTCTGGGCTGATGTGTCATATGTGTAGAAGCACTTTGACTGCAATACCTCCGACAGTGTAGAACTTAGCACAAGGTAAGATCCTTTTCTTGCCAAATACGAAGCATTAGATATACTCTGATCATGCACAAAGCTCCATCCTTTTTAATCCTGGACTCTTTGCAGGCGTTGTAAAGAAATTTCCTGTGTAGAAAATCCCGGATGAAAGCACCTCCTAATGGAAATCAATATGCTTTCCTTACAATAATATGGTTACAAGTTTAGTCAACTGACATGTCTAGACATGCTCAGAAGGACTATGTGTGCGCGATACTTGCAACAATAGCGACTGACATTTAAGCGTCCTAAACAAAACATGGACAACTTCGTGCAATACCTTACGTTCGAAGCAAATAACACCGAAGTAGCAAAATACGTAGCAGTGAATAATTTTGCAATTATATTAGATTTGATTTATTCAATAATGGCGTCAATGATCAAATTACTCTTCCGCTTAAAGGTTTCGCTATACTACAAACATAGCACATCGCCAAAATTTCTGGAGAGCAGCCTCCATAATTAACGTCTACTAAAATATTAGTTAGACATCTGATTCTTCCTCTAGATGATTAACATGCTTTCTCATGCAAAACAAGCAAATCCCTGAATGTAGAATGTAGAGAGTACAGCAGATCTCAACGATTGATGTTTCAAACGCATTTGGAATAAGGCTGAGATGAGGGATACCCTGTGATTGTTTCAAGGTTTCAATGATGCTGTCCAACGTGTAAATAGCTATAAATATTTAACGGCTTAGTTTGCATATGCGATGTTTTAGTCCGTGGACCTGTCAACATCGGTCAGTGCACCGCCGATCTAGTTCCCGTTGGTCAACGTTGCAGATTACCCGCATGTATGAGCGGTGTCATAGCTAGTATGGTATTGCTTTGGCTCACTGATTCCATCACACTTGCATGGATCTAACGGTATTTATGTAATATAAGGTAATACCGTAGGGCTAGCTAACGGCTGGCAAATCACGCACGCAGTTTACGGTTGAGTTGATCGTTGCATGGTACCACATTGCATATGTCGTGCCCTGCAGTTTCCTACCCAGGCGCGATTCTAATAATAGTCAGCAGTATACATCTGTCTAAAATCACCCAACGAGCATAGGAAATGATCTTGTTATACCTTAACCACCAACGCCCATACGATGGCTTTTGGACACTAAACTAGACTATACTGGCATAGGAGTAAGACGTCTTCCCCAGTACAGAGCATGCTACTAGATATGGACATGCAAATAGACTTTGTGACATTGTTTGAGGTACCGAATCTGCCAACGAGAGCTTTGACGTCCCTAAAAACCCCTCAGCAATACGTCATTAACATTGGAAACTTATTTTCACCAAAAGCAATGGCGTCCAACTTTCATCTCACCTTTAATTTCGTCAACAATTCGTAGCCGAGGTAGATGCTCTTTTTTCCTCTAATGGGAAGTGTGTAAGGAGTGTTGGAGTTCACACATCCTTGCTGGAAGGGTAGGGAACAGGGTCAACACCACGCCCAACTTGTTCAAACCTTACAAAGGAACACTAAACATATGGCGATGAAGATTTGGGGTTTGATTACGGATGATACAAATGCATGACTAATATTTGGGTGATGTCCATCTAAACGTGGCGTCGACGCGCACTGTTATTCAAATAAGTTGTCCGATCTTGCCGGTGTATCTCCCCGCAGCTTGACGTATAGACCCCCGCAGGGTGGAGGATGTGCATGCTTACGTTTAACCCCTATTCCCGAGAAACTATGTGGGAATCCGTTTCGGACGAACATTCATTGAAGCGGATTTCACGTCAAGATTGCCCGAGGCTTCTTGAAGTCCGCCCGTAAATCCCACACCCCGATGTCGAAAGTTCAAATTGACTTGCTTGCCCGGGACAACCGACGGGTTGGTCGGGTATGCAAGGTCCGGTGGCGGTCATCACACAGGAGTTTATATCCATACGGATGTTTGCCTGTTTTGCTTCTTCTTAAAATCGTACGGGCCATTTCATTTTTCTTCAGCTATGCTCAGATGCCGTTCATCGACGAGAAAAGCGCACCCCTCTCCCGGATGGCATTTCAAGCCCTTGTAAGATACAAGCACGACGGACAAGCCTTTTACGGAAACCTCGTGCGTAGGAGTAGGAGTGGGTATGTTGTTGAGCGGTTAGGGGGGGACATTGACAACGGATTCGTCAATACAAGAGTGAGAGATACAGTGACAGAGGTAAGTCGCAACTTGGGACACATTGATGAATCGATGAAGGCGCATGAAAATGATGGCAAGGACTGAGACTAAAGTTTTATGTGACTTAAAAAGCTTCTCTGCCCTTTGGAAAGGGCGCCGATGATAATCTGTCTCGGCCTCAACTTCGTTCGATTCGCGGAACTGGAAAATGTAACAAGCAGCCTTCACTCGGATTTACAAGAGACCAACAGCGCTGACAGCATTCCAGCTTCCGATTGCAGCTTATCCAATAGTCTTTACCAAGCCCCCAGATGCCCTTTCGGGTCCCAACGACCCGATCAGTGTTCATCCGGATGCCCAAAGCCACTTGGATTACGAAGGGGAGCTTTGTGTTGTTATTAGCCGAGACGCGAAAAATGTGTCAGAAGCTGATGCGCCAGACTATATCCTCGGCTATGCCGCTGGTAATGATGTTACCGCGCGAAATTTTCAAATACCAGATGCCTCTGGAGGACAGTACTCGTACTGCAAGTCATTTGATGGCTTTGCGCCGATAGGTCCGGCAATCTGGTCACCTGCGGTCATTCCTGACCCGCATGCGCTCCGGTACCGTACAATGGTCAACGGGAAGGTTGTACAAGAGACAGAAACGTCCGACATGATTTGGAGCGTGTCTCAGGTAATCGCCCATTTGTCGCGGGGAACAACGTTGAGGAAAGGCACGGTGATCATGATGGGCACCCCTGTAGGTATTGGGTACTCTCAGGGGAAGTTCTTGAAAGATGGGGATATTGTGGCAGTGGAGATTGATGGGTTAGGCAAAATCGAAAACAAGATTGTTTTTGAGAAGCCGGTTTCCCAGTAGTGTTGACGACCCCTTGTTGAGTTGAGGCCCTCCAAAGACTTCGTTGCTGAAGCACTACACACTGATGAGGAATATCGGTCTTGACAATTGCGCAACGTCTAAAGACTTGATGTACATTGCTGATAATGTTGTTGATAATGTTGCTGATACTGTTGCAATTCTGGAGAACTATTGTTTAAGTTCAAGCATGATTATGTCACAACTATGATGGCTTGGCCCGCTCTGTGAAGAGTAGTATATCTAGAAACACGGTATTGTACATTTATCTCTTTTCAGCCGACAAATCATAAGCTGCTGTATTACAACAGACCATTATTTTTCTTAAATTCCAAGAACCACTCTTCAACATCCGCGGGTGTTTGATTCCAAGGATCGCCGCTGAAGCCTTTATCAGTATCGTGAACTCGGTGATGAAAGCGAAGGTGTTGAAAAAACTGGAAAAGACTTACTCGTCATATAAAATCCACCTTGCTTGATGTCTGATTTCCTCATCAGTGGGTACATGGCTGTTGGGATTATTAGGGGACATGGTGCTAGCTACAAACCGGGACAATTCTTTTGCCAGATGACGATATCTATTCAGATCGTTAAGGAAAAAGGGCACCGCACTTCGAGATGGGCGTTCTTCAAGGAGTGGATACCCAGAGCCATCGAAGAGTGTTTTGGCAGTCTGCAGACGCATGTAAAAGTCTTGGGCTGATTCTCCTGAATTATCAGTTCCCAAGACAGTAGGATTCTGTAAAGAGGCATCTTGTGAATTTCGGGCTGCTGAGGCTCCAAACTGTTGAAATAGGTTGCTTGAGCTTGCCAAGTTTGGGTTACTCTCAGCCGTGCAACTCATTTGCCCGAAACTCGCAAGGTCACCATAGAAGCCATTAAGCTGATTCGGATCGTCTCCATAGTTAAATACTGACGCTTCCTCCTGCGATAAAGTACCCTGTGAGTACTGGCTCCCCCTTTGCCGCAGGGGATTGATCCAATCAGTGGACTCCCATATCAGACGGACCAAAAAGCCCGCAAACCGTCTTGAAGGATTTATGGAAGACGACTCCACTTGGCTCAATATGACACACGCTGCTTGTTGAATCTCATGATTTGGAATTACGCGTTGCGTGGATTGTATCGCAACGTATCGGCAGAGTTGTGACTCGAGCTCGCAGTCTTCAAAAATGTTCATCTTTCCATTGATACGAAGTTGGCTCATTCGGAACTTTGCCAGTTGGTTCATAGGTCGAAATCGAGCTCTTGTGGCGATTTCTGCCGAGCGCATGAACAAATCCCTGAGCCAAGACGGAGACGAAGGGGCAAGTGCAGGTGCGAAGAATTCAGCACCGAAGATAATGCTGCAGCCTTCATATTTAAGCTCATCATCGGAAGGCAGGCTTTGCTTGCTTTCATAGTAGTTGCGTACATAGTATTCAACTTCAAGTTTGAGAAGTTCGTAGGCGCTGGAAGACGTATCTGCTGGCCCAATACTTGCAGCGTAAGGAAGTGGTGCGGATAGCTCGAATCGAATAAGGTCTAGTGATAGTCAGCAAGAGAGAAGAGGTTAAATGATGGAGTGAAAAAGACGTACACGGTGGCATGGCATTGTCTAGCATGTCCACTACAGAAGGCTCGAAGCCCCAGTCTCCCTCCCATTCTGCCATTGTACTCCCATTCTTAAAATGATGTGCAAGGTGATCAACTCTACTTGCCCATGTTTCAAAGCGGGCGCCACAGAATCCGCACCTTGAGAGAATTTTGCTGGTGGCTGATTTCCACTTATCTGTCATCAGTCGTGTTATCTGACTCGATCCGTGTACGAGCTTCAGGTGTTGCCGCATGTGGTCTTTTCTGTAGAATGTGCGCTCTTCAAGAGGCCGCTCTGAACATGCAGCTTGATGGTGCCCGTCCAGATGGGACGTGGCAGGATCCGACTCTTCACAATAGACGCAGACCTTGCCTTTCTCGGGGTGAATCTCCGTTGGGCCATTAGGTGAACATACCCATTGCTCGAGCGAAAGATGTAAGGATTTCTCATGTCGCTGCCAGTCATATTTCGTTTTGAATGTCTCCGTACAGAACGTGCATTGGTACATGTTGCGTACTTGCTGCAAGCCAATCCGCTGTACTTTTTGAGATTTTGTAATCCCACGTCTTCTCCGTCGATTCGAAATCTTGTTTGAGTCTCGCGACCCAGCAGACCGTCTGGAACCATACGAGTATGCAGAATTGTTCGACCCTGAGCCTCTGCTGGAGCGTGATGTTCCAGTGCTACCGATAGAGGATGCATTCTCTGACGACCTGCCCGAAACGGGAGAACGACGTGGAAAATCCGAATGCCCAGATGATGCAACAACAGCACGAGAGATATCAGATACAAGAGCAGGTTCGTGTTCCGGCGGCGAATTCTCCCAACGTTGTAAAGGGTTCATGAGCTCGAATGGCATTGGCGTTGGTGTCCGAGCGGGTATGTCAACAGGCCCCGCAGTACTTTCAGTCCAGGATGAGACTTGCGCAGCAGGGGCAGCATGTGATTGGAACTTTCTGCGACGACGCGTATTGGCAAACCAGTTGGTAATTTGCTGTCTCTCTAAGCCGGTTCGGTTCTGCAGCCTGTCGATTTCTTTTGGGGTCGGATACGGATTCTGTTCGTGGGTATCAAACCAGGTTCTCAAAGCCTTGACAGCGCTGGATGTGAAGCGGCTGCCAACTTTCACCGGTTTGCTTTCCATAGGCTTCTCGGCCTTGTCTAAGGACGTAGACTTGACCGCATCTCCTTCTATGTCTTCAGCCAAGGGCGCCCCCCCGGATGAATTCGACGAAGGTGATGCAGCATTATCGGCAGATTGGCCTTGCAACGCACTAATTGGATCCTGGTGACCAGTAAGATCTATAAACTGTTCAAATTGGCCAAAATCTACACCAATTTCATGGTCTTGGTCTTGAGCAAAGGAATTCATGTCGAAGGTGGCACAACCAGCTTCTTTAGTCATGACTCAGCAAGGGTTGCAGGGATTCCAGACAGGGATGCAGAGCAGTCGAGATTATCTAGCGAATCGACATTGGAAAGGTGCTAAAAAAAGAAATGCGGGAAGAAAAAAAATTGACAAATATGTAGAAAATGAAATGAAAACCCTAAGAGAAATGCAATCGACTATAGCGGTTGAATGAGAATAATGGCTGATGCAGAGCACGCGGGGTTGTTTGAGGCATTGTGGATAGAAATGGAGCTTGTCACCAAAGGGCGGAACTTTAGGCACTGATTATGCAAGACTCCCACCTCTGTTTCCAAAGTGATGAAACAAAGCTCACGGGTTGATTTCGGATAAACTGGCCTAAATAGGCATAATGGGCTTAGTAATTAGTCCGGTATTCCGCATCCTTCCTCCAGGTAGTTAGAAGTTGAAGAGAAAGAAAAAGGTCGGATATCTGGAATGATTAGTTGTCTTTGAGTTAGAGTTACTCGTTATAAAACTTGCTTTGTTTACAAGTAGTATACTATTTCTCTTCCAATCTCTACCATCAACCTTATGTGGTCAACAAACCGCGGGATAGGACAGGGACTACGCTGGTGCGCCAACAGCGCTGTGCGCAATAATTAGGTAGTCCGTGCTGATGTGACAATAGGTGGTGCAAAGGTGCAGAAGGAAAAGTTAAACACTTGAAAACACAACATGTCGGGAAAACTGCAGCTTGGATGGTTCAAGATATTCTTTTTCCTGTATTACGTCTACCCGCATAAGTGCAATAAGACATTGGCTAGTAAGTAATATATCTTCTTTTCTTCTCTCTGTTGCCTTCACGTAGTGGTAGCCCAAAAGGTAAGCGACCTAAGCCTCTTTCAGAAGTTACCCCGTCGGTATCCATCACCAGGTCGACTTTACGCAAGCCAATAGCGTAGTTGTCGGACTACTCCTGAGCAACCCACCCGGGGCATTATCAGTTTGTGTAGATCTCACCGAATGCCACCGGGCTACAGTAACATCAGCATAAGGCATACAGCCACCCATAGACCAGTCAAGGCTTCGCTTTGGCCAACCAGAAAACTGAACCTTCCAGGTACTTTTGACCTACTATAGATTCTTGCCACAGCAGAAGTACCTGGCACTATCTAAGCTACAACTCATGTCACCCTCGTTGCCAACAGTCTCAATGTACTATTGTTGTCGGCGGGAAGGGTGGGTAAAGGAGGAGGAGCTAATGCACCGGTAGCATGGCGGTAGTCGATGGGGTCCTGCTTCGCTACATTGGTTTGCGAATGTAACGCCCACACGTCAGCTTTCCCCAGGCTTTGGCGCGCTTATTATTACGCTTAATTTTCCGACGGACTGTTCCTTACATAAATGACGAATGACTGCCCTGAAATAGCTTACACAACTAACAGTCCTCCTGTCAGCTCGGAGATGCATGTCCCGAATATTCCTTTTCTGGAACTCCAGAAATCATTCCAGGCAACACGGTGGGTAAACCCCACCAACTTTATAGCAACCCGCAACTCGTCGCCTGGTTAGGACGACCAGCTCGATAGGACTGGCGGTAAAACTCCAGGGCATTTCAACCAGATTTTCGGCTGGCGATGGCCCGAATTCAGCATTCAATAAGACAATACATATGGATTCTGATCTTTGCACAAACTACTTAATCATGATGACCTTACTTGCAGTTGATCATGAGACAAGAGAAACTTTCGAACAGTAATTTCCGTGTCGACGGAATGCCCATCATGATGTTCAAAAGCATTTTCAGCCTTCTCTGCTTGTGGCTTGCAGCAGTGACGGCCATCACTGTTACAACCTCTACCGCTTCATATGTAGTCGATACTGAGAGCTCATACCAATTTGCAGTTACAATCAGCCGCACAAACTGCGATATCACTTCTATCAAGTTCTACGGCGCTGAGTACCAGAACCAAGGTACTTTCAGCCACATTGCCTCGGGATTAGGCACCGGAACTGCGGTGAGTAGCAGTTTTTAAATTTTCTGTTGGCGAACATTATTTTGACTGGACGAAGGTTACTTACTGGACGAGCCCATCTGGTGACACCGTAATCTTCCAATGTACCCAGAACAACGCCCAATTCAATCTTCAACATTATATGGTCTTCCGTAACGGACAAGCCAACATCTACATGGGTACCAACACTGTCACAAACCCGACCGTAGGTGAATTGCGATACATTTTCAGATTGAACGGATTGGATGTTTCTTACCCGCACGGTGATGTTTCCAAAACCGCTGGTGGCACGGCTATTGAAGGAAGTGATGTGTATCTCGTCAACGGCCAGACTCGGAGCAAGTTTTATTCCTCGGACCGCTTCATCGACGAGAGAATCTACTGCGTCACCAACTCTGGACCCTCGGTCCACGCTTGCTGGCTTCGACCTAATCACCAAGCGACTGAAAAGAGCTCTGGCGGTCCCTTTTTCCGCGACATCAGCTCTAATGCGGGCGGCGCATACAACGCTTTTACGTACTATATGAACTCGGGACATGCGCAAACCGAGGCCTACCGCACTGGCTTTCATGGGCCTTACGTGTTTTCAATGACACGAAGCGGCAGGCCTGACCCTGCGTCTGTGGATGTGTCCTTCTTCGACAGCCTTGGATTGTCGGGCTACGTCCCCATCAATGGCAACCGTGGGTATATCACTGGTACAGCTTCCGGCGTTTCCACAAGCTTTCCCAGAGTGGTACACTGGTTCAACAGCAACTACCAGTTCTGGGCTTATACTAACTCAGCCGGTGTCTACAATTCTCCCCCAATTCCGGCAGGCACCTACACTATGAGACTGTACCAGGACGAGTTCCTTGCGGCATCTCAGTCTGTCTCGGTGACGGCAGGACGAACTACGACTTCGAACATTGCGGCAACCCACGCTGCGATAACACAGTCGCGAACCACGATCTTCAGACTGGGCGACTACGATGGACAGCCAACCGGGTTCCGAAATGCGGAGAACCAACTGCGCATGCATCCATCGGACAGCAGGTAATTAGAGATTTTCCTTTGATATACGATACACCTCTAGTAACTGCAAATGATCTGACTTTTATCTTCCTCCAGAATGGCGAGTTGGTCTCCTGGCACAGTGGCCTCCACTGCCACTTCAACGTTCCCGATGGCCATCTTCAAAAACGTCAACAACGGACAGAAGATTACATTCTCACTCGGCAGTGCACTCACACGGGCGGCAACCCTGCGGATTGCGACCACCTTGTCGTTCGCAGGCGGAAGACCCCAGCCGACGGTTAACGGATTCAGCTGTCCTGCACCTGCAGCCCCTTCCAAGATCGACAGTCGAGGTGTGACCCGAGGCGCCTATCGTGGACATGGTGAAATCTATGAATGCACCGTTCCTGCGGGTACCTTGGTGGCTGGTACCAACACCGTCACCGTGACTGTCATTTCCGGCAGTGATGGCGACACATTCCTTAGCCCCAATGTTGTAAGTTCTGCCTGTGCAATGGTCATCCAATCAATACCTTGTTAACCATAATATTCAGATTCTCGATGCTATTGAGTTATTCTACGTTTAGGATTGAGTGGTAAAGTATATCACAAGCTGAACTAAGGTCTTCACTGGATGAGATAACCTTCTCTGATTGGCGGCGTCAAGCACATGGAGAGTTTTCTTCGAAGTCTACTGGACATCCTGTATATATATCTTCAAGTTCAGGCCAATTTAGGTTCAGTTGACCTCGGTAAATGCTATTGAAACAACAACCTTTCGTACTCGGGCAGATAATCAAACCACCAGCAGAAAATTATTGCCAAGAAAGGAAGCTGTGAAAATCGAGAATGTGAACTTTTTGACCAATGCCTCCAAAGGACTTGGTGTTATTCTTGTGGATGACCAAAGCATAATAACGATCTTAGGGCAAGATTCTGTCAGGTTAAAAAGAATGCTAAATTGATGCAATCTAACCCAGAAAACCGGAAAAATTCATTTGTGACGTCAGTCCGCATCGATTTTGCTAGAGCTTCTCACTGAAATTTCCCCATAGTGGATAATTCTGCCACAATATGCAGTTATACACTGACGCGCTTCATGATCCTCTTCTTTGCGAGGTCTCCGAAAGCGGGGCCGGGTGGGGCCGCAATGCGCACTTTGAAGCCGGGTAGAATGGGACGTGCGGATAGCCCGGGCGGATTCCTAGGTAGACCCATCATGGGACTACGTCTTATGTCAACCTGGTAAGTCCGTTTTCGCGAGTCGATAATTGCATACAGCGTTTCGTCACCTTTTTAGCAACTGGCCTTGCAGATAGTGTGGTGTACACGGCTCGCTCCGCGACGGACATATCGAAAGCCTCCGTAGGCAACCCCCTCACACAGAATTTTGCCAGGATGTGTTGCCTAAAACATCGAAATTAAAGTTCTTAATCAGGCCAGGACTTGCGAGTAACTTAGTTTGTTGTATGCCGAGGGATTTCAGGGGTCCAGAAGGTGAGACAATTCACTTTTACTTGATCGACCAACGAGGACACCGAGATATGTCAAAGAAAAGTGCCTAGCCCTTTCACTAGGAAGCATTTCTTACTGGATCTATCTGACTTGGAGATCAATCACAATTCTTGAGGCCTTGGAAGTTTAATAAACTGGAAAATGAAGACCTGAAAAATTGCAGCACGCCGCCATGGTGCAAACCGTGTTCTTTGGCAGTACCAATATGAGGTGACCGGCTTCCCAATATTCACGGCGCTATCTGAAAGATAGAATGTCGAGTACTTTCATGAATTAAGAGTGTAAAATGGTTCAAAAACCCTCATTAAGTCACGTGTGTGTGCTTGCTGGGCTCACCAATGTATGACAGCACTGACACGAGAGAAGGTTGATTTCAATACTGTAGAGGAAACACTCCATGAACAGTGGTACACAGGGAACGTTATGCCATAAACTCCAGTTGAATCTAGTGTACCTAAGAATAGGAAAGAAAGTTGCAGTAGCAACAGCATTCTATATCTTCATCCTTATGGGTCCACGTATTCCAATAGACGTCTAATTGCAAGTTGCCAATGCAGCGTGGTACTAACTACTTTTGGGAAGAAGCGACTATTGTATCAACAGCCCCAATTCTTGAATAGTTTCTACAGGACCTCAGTTATCCCAAGTATGAAGCGGCGGTGGGGGAGGGGGTCTCTTGGAAATAGCAACAGGGAGTGTATTATTGTTCGGGACCACGGTGAAGTTGTAGCTGCGAGTGTCCCAGTGCGAGTTGAGTGAAGGGTCACCAAAGGGAATGAGAGCAGCAATACGCATTCTTAATTTCCAGCGTCAGCACGTGGAAGGTACTCTAAGGCTGTGCAACTTACACATATTTCCCTGGTTTAATTTTGAAGCCGTCGGCAAGTCGCCCAAGCCACCAGAATCGATACGGAGCGTAGCCGTAGACATCACGAGACAACTCAGTGAGCGGTCCCCTGACGAGGTTCATCTCGCTGTGTATCTCAGGGTCAAAGTAAGGAACGGTCCATTCGTTGTCCTTTATGAATGTTAGATGGTTAAGATACTCAGTTGGTGCTTGGTGCAGAAATCTTACCCAGGTTGCAGCCATGCCAACAAAGCCATTTTCGCCTACGACTGGCGGGTACGTCCAGTTCTCTTCCTGCCAGCCGCTTTCAAAGATGTCCCATCGGACTATAGAAGCACCCCAGCTTGTTCTCACGTAAAGCTTCGGAAAGTCTTGCTGTTCTGCGCTTATGTCAAATGAGAAACTAAGGTTTTGTTAGGATGAATCAGTTGAAGCAAAGGAGGCCTGAACACTCACGTGGACTTGTCTTCTATCCTAGTAATGTTCCTTGTCGAAATGATGTAGGGATAAGATTCTTTGAACATTCTCTTGAAAGTCGTCTGAATGTCAGATTGAACGCCCATGTATGGGACAGCGAGCTGTTCATTATTGGATCCAGTAATAAGAATCCTGCCAGTGTACACCGGCATTAGGTCCTCGTTAAGACCTACAGGGGCTTTGAAATGAAAACTGTAGGACGATATCAGCAAGAAAATCCTTGAAAGTATAACAGAGAGAAATAACGAACGTTGCCTCTTTGGTCTCGCCCGGATTGACAATGAACTCGCCCTCAGGAAAGATGACATTAGGTGTCATATCCGTCGGAAGTAGGGCGACCTCTACCGGTCCAGGGTTAAAGTCCGCATAATAATCAATCGCCTCGACTCCTCCAGCTGGTTGAAGAGAGAACTTGTAAGTAACGGGATTGATGCAGTTGTTGGTGATGTTGATCTTGTGGCATGGTTGGAAATGAGCCGTGTCATTGAGCGCAAACTTGGGCCAAGACAGTTCCGTGCGATAGTCCAAAACTTTGGTGGCATTGACCAAGCCGTTCCCAATTTGGAAAACAGGAGCCCAGGCATCGTAGTCCGTCATATTGAAGCCATCATTCCATTTGATGGCCTGACCACTGACCATGATCTTTGCAGCGAGCCTCTTCCCGAACTCTGGGCCATGAATCCACCTGCCACCATACTTGCTAATGTAGAGGGCCGCGATGCCGGCGACGTACGGAGTTGCCATCGATGTACCAGATTTAAGACCGAATTTTCCACGCGGCAGGGTGGAGAAGATGTTGCTACCGGGGGCCGCTATGTCTGGTTTGATCTGCAGGTCATACAGACCACCCATGGAGGTGAAAGAAGAGGGAACGATGGCCGGGTTCTTCATATTGACGAGAGGTTTCTCGGTCTCGTTGAAAAACCTAAACGTCACATTAGTGCCTTCCGCCAAGGCGTTGATAAGAGCAACACCCTCATCGTGTCCGATTAAACCCTCCACGCCTCGGGTATCCCAATTGCTCGGCATCGGAAATAGCTTGTCGTTGTTGAAGAGAAGAACATGCTCAGCTCCGGCTGTCTTCAAAACATAGCGCTTGGTACTTCCACTGCAGCCACCTCGCGGTGCTACGACGAGGGCATTGGACAGGTCGATATCGTCCGGGAGCGTTTCACAGGCGACTGTGACATTTTCAGGGTCATATGACAGCATAGCAACCTTCAAACTGCCATTGACGGGGAAATCATGAGAGAGGGCGCCGTGGAAGAAGCCCCATGTTTCGGTGTTGCTGTTCTCGCCGTCATCGAAAGTTACCTCAAAGGGCATGCCAGGAACGAAGCTAGGCTCGAGAGAAGCAACAGCAAGAACACTTTCTCCGGACATCCCATTATCGGGAAAGAAGAGGCCAGCATCACCGTCATTGCCGGCCGATATGGTTACTATGAGGCCTCGATCCACTAACCGAGACGCAACTTCAGCCCAGGCATTGGTTGAGAAGCCTCCGCGGCCTCCGATTGACGCCGTGATGATATCTGCCTAATATGCAGTTAGTAAGAAGGTATTTGTGTTTACTAGAAAAGAAATGCAAACGGACTCCATCAGCGTGTGCCCTCAAAAATGCTTCAATCAATGTTTCCTCGTCTGTGCGGCCCGTCTGGAATGTTTCTTAGTTTTCAGCTTATTCACGAAGCGGGGAGCATACATCGTCGTCTCCGAAAACTTTATAAGACAAGATACTGGCTTCAGGGGCAACTCCTTGCCAGCTGGACATTTGTAAGCAAACGTAAGAACTGCAACCTCAAAAGCCAACTGATCGAAACGCACCTGCCTGTCTTCCCTGCAATTATACCAGAGACGTGGGTTCCGTGGCCCAGACTTGCGATTTCCATCGGGTCGCCGTCTGGGTTCTTTGCGAATCCTTCATCAGGCCAGACTTCCATCACAACATGTCAGCCACGTTCATCATGGGTTTTGGATATCTTACAAGTTTCGCCGACCAAATCGTAGCCGCCAATAACCTTGAAGTCGGGGCCAAGTCCACCTCCCAGCTAGATTATCAGTACTTAGCGTCAACAGGTTGAAGTATGAGAGAGCACATACAGCAGGGTGAGTATAGTCGACGCCGGCATCCACAACAGCAACCTTGACACCTTTGCCCAGAATACCGGCATCATGAAGCTTATCAACGCCAGTCATGCTGTGAATGGAATAGTTGGCTGCAGAAGTGTCTTCATTGAACGTCTTGCCATTCAGGACTGAAGCCATTTGGACCTTCCTCGAACGCCACACATTGCTGACACCTTGAAGAATGCGAAGGGTCTCTGCGTTCTCAATGGTTGTCTCTATACTAAACCCAGTGAAGACTTCGCTGTGGAATGTCTTGTACAGTTTTGTGCCTTCATGGGTAGCTAGTTCCGAGGTGAGCTTCTTCAAGTCCGAGTTCTGTATAACATCGCATCAGCATACACCAGACAGCATCATCCTAGAACAAAAAGACAGCTGCTTACCTCAGCAACTTCAATGATGAATCTTTTCGTGCCAGTAGAAGGGTGACTTTTGAGTGAATTATCTGCCACGCCGAGACGGGCTGCGCCCAGTCCCGTCAGAGACAGCATCGTCAACACAGTCGTTAGATACATGTTCGATAGATCACAAGACTGTCTTTGAAAATGGTCTGTTTTCCAGAATTCAAAAGGTTTCAAACTAAACGGATGTCGAGCCTACATATGGGACAACAGAAATTCTAGATGCTGGCCCAAGCAGACGCGTGGCATCAGTAGGCCATGTGGGCGTCCGGGATCGAGGGAACCTGCATCTTCGCATCGGTTAAGGTCTTATGTTGGAACAAACAGCAATATAAGGACATTGAGCAAACGAAAGGGTCAGGGACTTCGTATAATGCGATTGCAAGCCGGCAGTATCGAAAGATTTTCACGGCTCCTGAAACCAGGTTTCGGTGAGCCGGCTGAAAATCCATTGCTAAACTATAGCTGAGATTATCTATTATTATCATGGTTTTGTGATTCCAGAAGATACAGGAGGTCATCTGCCTGTTTGCCTGCCAAAAAGGTCATCATCATATGCATGTAATGGGTTAGAAGGCTCATGACTCTGTCTCCGCGTTGGTCTTAATCACATACTACGGATTTCGCTGCTAGTCAATATGCTCTCAAGCTCGATAGTTGTACGCTTGTGTATCCAAGGTCGAATAACAACACCAGGAAGCATATACTATGATAAAGTACCCGGCGGGAAGGCACAGTAGAGCCGTCGGTACAATAGATCTTGCCACGCATTTCCCGGCAGTCTGCCTTGTCGATCGAACGAGGGGGACTGGTGTATGTTGTACATGTGCGTTGGGGATGCTACAGGTAACATACTTCCCATCAATGTGCCATGTCATACTCCCACCGCAAGGAACCGCGAGGGACAGCATGCGCGTTGTTCTACGTTGTGTTACCTTTTGTTTGCAAGAAATGCAATACCCGAGAGATGGCAAAGTTGTGTGTTTGGCAGTGAAACTGCGCAGCGGCCCGTTGCTGAGTCCCTTTGAATCCAAATTAAATTTCCGAAGGCCTGGAAGATGACAGACCGAAGCAAGATTCTGCGGGCAACTCAAGGTAGACAACAGTATCATGTGCGAAAAATAAACTTGTATCTCTATTCTTTTCTCATGTTCTACCCTTGAGTTTGCTCAAAAGGTTGCCTAATTTGGCCTTCAGCGCCGGGCTAGGACCTTCGTCTGCGCCGACCAATCTCCGAACTAAAATATTATACATGCCGCCGAAAGCAAGAGCGATCGTTGTCGACGTGAAAATGATGACATTATAGGGCATACTGAAATCCGGCGTTGGAAGGTTCAGCAGCAAGGTAGTTGTCCGCGTGCTTTGCGTGCGCGGGCTTAGGGTAGTGATCACTGCCGCAGCAATGTCGAAGCCGCGGTTTGCGTCAGGGGGGTATTCGGTGTATCTCAAGATAGATTTCTCAAAGTCATAGGTGAGGAAGACAGTAGAGGCGGGAGGGATGCGCATGCGCAGTTCCAGTTGCGTACCCCTGGCGCGATCGACAGCGGGGCGGTAGTAGATATCCTCGATGATGGATGGCTGAGAGCCCGATGACCCCTCAATTCTTGCGTTGAGGGTATGGAGGTATACTCTCATGAACCAAGGCAAAGACTCCATATAGATGAACTCAACCTCGGTATCTTTGCTAGGATTCGTAAGGATGGCCTGCATTCCACCATGTTCCTGGCCATGCCCAGTAAAGCTGCGTTCAGCATAGATTAGTGGGGTTGCAGGCTCAATCAGCTCGTTCGTAGCATCCTGCCCTTCCTTGTTCTCAAGAGGGAGAACAATCTCGAGCTCCGATTCCGGTCCAAATTTGAAGCATCGAGACGCCCCATTCGGGTTGAGGTGCTCTGTAGCACCGCCAGAAGTGAAGACGCCTCTCGAATGTGGGACCTCGATGCACACCGGGGGAACATCTTCATCCGTGAGGGGGCAAATGCCCTTAACTGGCTTTCCAAAGAGCTGGGAAAGATTCCACTCTTGGCCGAGGGTGTGGCTAATGGGGTAGCAGGTGTCGTCGGAATGGTAAGGCTTCGAGGTATCACACTTGAGTTCGTGGCCCGGCGGGGGGCGGGGAATCGGATTGTCTCTAGGGCGCTTAGATCGGTCGATGTCCAGAACCATGTCGATCGTCTGCTCGATTTGCAAAACACAATCTTGGCCCGGAGGGCACACAGGCTTGATGTCAATGGCCATGCTTTGAAAGGAGGAGTCGAAGAGCTTGTGGCCGTCCAGCAGGCTGGAGATACCCGCCTTGCCCTTGCAAGGAAGCAGCTTCAAAAACGGGGTCAAGTTCTCCGTACAGACCACCTCCTTCGGAAGCACACCATGCAGAAGCTGCATGTTCGGTATAGAAGCTTCCGGGTGGTCGCCCTCGGGCTGGAAGGACATGACTGGTCGGGTGGTTCGAGTTCCGTCGACGAAGTTCAGCGAGGCGCAGAAGAGACCCGAAAGGGCATTGGTAAGGGTCAACCATTTCTGGTCGGCTCTATGCATTTGTTAGCATCGGTCACACTCCTCGAATGACGGTAGCCATACTCTTCGTCTGTCTCCGCCTCGAGCCAAGCCCAGAGCTCTACGCCCGTTCCACCCTCGCGCTGACCATCCCACGGCCGGCTGCCCCAGCTCTCTGCGTCCCATCTCCCCAGACTAAATCTCAAATGCAGTTCGCGAGTGCCAGCATATTGCAGAATCTGTCCCAGCGACCGAGGAAAATAGCGGAAGTTTTGCGACTCGAAATCGGTCAGCGACGTGTTGGACCGGAAATTGAAGCTCGCCAGCAGTGCGGAAAGGGGCAGCGGTCGCAAGTTAAGCTGCTCATGGTAATCCGCAGCCGTGCCAAAGGCAGCCAGGCAGAGGAAGAGAAGGGCCGCCAGAAACTGGCGCATTTTGGAAGAAGAATCGCGGCCCCGGAGAGAAAACGAAAGTGACGTCTGCTAGCTTTCGCTCTCCCCTGCTAAGCCAGCGCATGGATGGCCTAGGTGTCGACTCGCGAGGGTGGCTACCTGGAGGGACGTACAGGGGCGGTGGGTCCCGGCAGAATCCATCCTTACGTAAACCGAGCTTGAAGTTTACCCTTGAATTTACCATGGAGCAGCTCTCCACATTCCGCCCCAATCCCATCCCGCGCGTCACCCCCCAGAGCTTCGCGAATTTCCGTAGACACACCCTTCAACTCACAGCAAGAAATCTCAACTACTCACGACACGACACGACACGACACGACACCATGGCTGCAGAACAAAGAAAGCTGCTCGAGCAGCTCATGGGTGGCTCAGCCACTACGCGATCGGCCTCGCTGTCCATGACCGACCCCAAAGTTTGCAGATCCTTCCTCGTCGGCACATGTCCTCACGATCTCTTCACCAACACCAAACAAGATCTGGGCTCCTGCCCAAAACAGCACTCAGAGGCTCTGAAGGCCGAGTATGAGGCATTGTCGGATAAGGAAAAACAGAAATACGGTTTCGAGTACGACTACATGCGGGACCTGCAAAAGTACATCGACGATTGCAACAGGAGAATAGACTCGGCACAGCGCAGGCTTGAAAAGACACCAGACGAGATCAGGCAGACCAATGCTCTGGTATGTGTTTTGTAGTTTACCCACTAAGACTCCAGACTAACTTGCTACAGTTGAAAAGTATTTCCGAGCTGTCCTCCACAATCCACAATGGCACCCTCGAAGTTGAAATCCTCGGTGAAATGGGCGAGGTATCCCGTGCGATCGACGAGTTTTACCGTGTGCGCCAGGCACAACAGACGAAATTGGATCGCGAGAAGGAACTCAAAGCTCTTTCTGACACTTCAGGTCCGTCCGGCCACCAGAAGCTTCAGGTGTGTGATGTATGCGGCGCCTACCTTAGCAGACTTGACAACGACCGTCGCTTGGCCGACCACTTTTACGGAAAGATGCACCTTGGATACGCACAGATGCGTAAAACCTACGACGCGTTCCCCAAGGAAATGCGCCATCGCATGCGAGCGCCAGCAGACGACGACGGCATGGGGTCCGGCGGACCAAGGGGCTCACGAAGCGGAGGCGGCTACCGCGGACGTGGAGGCAGGGGATACCGTGGAGGATGGTAGAGCGCATTTCGAAACAATACTCCAACTTTGGAAAAAAAAACCACAAGGGCCGTGAGGGGACGCCAAACTGTGTGGACGTCTTCGTAGTCAAGACGCATTAAAAATAATGGAATGGACAGCCACAACACACATCAGCCATGGCTCGGTCTGAAATTCCGGATCTTCTGCCGCAGCCACCACCACAGGAATCTACACCTTTGATCTCTACGGAAGAGACGCAAAAAATGGTCAGCTTGGGGGATCGGGTTGGTCACGGACCACATGAGAATTTTCAGCATCAGTTTATATCAGAATGCACAGCAAAGTGGGTGACGAACCGCTAGAGTTCACTCTTGTCCATACTAAGTCTTTTAGGCCTCGAATCAACCACTAGAGCACAGCGCAAACCTATTTGGGTAGCGGCTAGCGTGAAGGGAATGCTCTTCTTGGTTATGAGGGCGATAATCGGATCATCTAAGCACGAGAAGGAAGTCAAGCATGATTCGGCCAGAAGAGAGGATTTCATGGGCAACTTCATGTATTTACGCTAATCGTTCGGGCTTCTACATTTTCCAATGCCCAATGCCCACCTCGAAGGGTGCAATGCTAGAAAGCGACACGATAAAAACTCGCCCACAAACATGGTGCTTTCTTTTTCTTTTTTCTCTTTCTTCCCCTCTTCTTCCTCCATTGGTGATATCCAAGATGCCGCGTCGCTGTTTTGTAATCCAATCCCATCACTCCTGACAAGCCGTCGACTACGCAGTACCCAGCCCCCCCCTATACCGTTATAACTCCCCCGCAACAACACCAACACCAACAACAACAAATGCGTTAAGCCTGAGCATCGCCCTTCATCCTGGCATCAAAAGCCTCCATTTCGTCGTCCCACCTTCCGAGAGGCGACAGCACAGGTGGTGAAGTCTCCCCGGTCTTGCCCTTGCTGGGAAGGGCGGGGAACTCTTCGGTGCTGATGGCGGGCACCTTGGGCTCGGGCGCAGAGGGTTTCGCGTGGCGGCTGCCGTTCGATGCGGGGTCTCTGGGTTCGGAGTCGTTACCGTATCCGCCGCGGCCGCCACGTCCACCCCGCCCCCGACCGCGCCCGCGACCACCCCTTCGGTCTTCGCGATCGCCATGCCGGTCGCCGTAACGGCCACCTTCCGCATCACCCTCGTTCGCAAACCTGCTACCCGAGAGTCCGCCGCCGGATCTGGCGCCTCTGATGCCGCCGTTCGCGCCCCGGAAACCCCTCCTGTCTTCTTCCGCCGCAAGCGCTTCCTTGCCCTCGTCCCAGCCGCCTTCCTTCATGCTCATGGCCTTGAGCTTACGTTCTCTATTCTTGGCGCGCTCGTCGTCCATGCGCTTGCGCTCCTCCTCGCCGCGTTTTCGCCGCTCTTCATCCATCTGCTTGCGCTTGCGCGCCTCCTCCATGCCGCGCGCGTAAGCCTCTGCGTGACTGCGCTCATCCTGCTCCGCCTTTTCAAACTTGCGCGTCTTCTCAGCATTCAGGATGCGCATTTGCTCCATCTTGGCCGCCAGCTCGGACTCGGTGAGCTTGGTCCGTGGGTTCGCACCGGATTGGAGACGCGCCTCCGCGTTTGGGGCTGTGTTGCCGCCAGTCGCAGGCGCATGTTGCTGTTTTTCGCGATGCGGCGCCTGGCCAGGCACAGGCGAGCTTGTCTTGCTGTTGGTATTGGCGGGCGCAGTGGGAGCATCTGCTGGTGCTTGCGATTGCGCTGCTGGACCGGTTGGCGCTTGCGGGGGGGTAGTCGTGGTGTTGGTTGCGCTGGTTGAATTGGTGGGCGCAGGGGCCGCTTGGCGGGGAGGACGCGGGGCAGCTGCGGGCTTATTAGGGTTGAATCTGGAGTTGGCGAGACCGCGTGGCGCCGTTGGGACAGGTTTCGCTTTGGGTTGTTGAGGCTGCTCGACGGGCTTCTGGGCGACTGGTTCAGGTTTGGGTTTGGGGGGCTCGGCGGGCGGTGTTGCGACAGCGGCGGGAGGGGGAGGAGGAGGAGGGGCGACTGTCTCAACGGTGTCGACAGGCCGAGATTCGTTCACGGGCTCAAAATCGTCGAAAAACAGATCGTCATCTGTGCGACCGCCAAACTGATCCTCCATTTTTAATATAGAGAAAAGGGGTATCGGGATTCTGGAAGGAGAAAACTAGGAGGAGCTAACAATTGGAGCAAACAAGAGGTTGGTGATGTCGACTCGAAGCTCTGTGCTGGATTGGAGGGTAGCAAAAGCCCATGTCAGATTGGGTAGGTGGGGAGCACTGGGCGCGGATTGGTAGTGGAGAGTCGGGGACTCCTCGGCCCGACACCGTTGGTTTCTTGATCTGGCAGTGCTCAAGGATTACGTAATCTCACTTTTTGCGCCAGGTCGTTGGTGCTTCAAGAGTCTGTTCTAGTGCGTATTCCAAGTTTGACTCAGTCTCCCTCCGATTCGCGTTGTGCATCAATAAATGTTGCAATTAATGTTTATCGAATTAAACTGTCAAGTCTGGAGATCAACGCGTCGCGCAGAGCTTCATAGCTGTCCAACAAGGGTATATCAAACCTGGCGCACACAGCCTGAACGTTTCCTCTTTTCTTGTACCCCTGGGGACAAGCGACGATGGCTTTCCCAGAGCGAGCACAAAGCCCCAGCTCAAGTAAGCTGATATGTGCTTCTGTCCCTGGCTGAATGAACATGGCGATGATGTCAGCCCGATCCTGCATCTCCAATTCCCACTCGACCTGCTCCCTGAACCTGGGGTCGGAGATGTCCTCCTTCCACGAGCTATCCCAGTCTGTCCGGAGGGGATTGAAGATAGTTATAGGGAGATGAGATATGGACTCGGACAAGTCCTTGCGCCAATCCCCTTGGCTGGTGGTTCCCGCAAGAAAAACAGATTTTTTGGCTGCACCAGTCGCAGACGGCCTGTTTAGAGGCAGGATGACACTGCTTGCTGCTGGCGTTGCCTCCATGCTGACGTGCTGATGGCAGAAGGCGAAAGTACTTTCTTTGGTGATGTACAGTAGGTATGCCGCCTTGATCTCAAGTGAAAATGACGGAAGCTGTCGCAGAATAACGCTTCAAATTAGTAACTTGTCTGAAATGCATGAGAGCTGAGCTTCTGACATTGGCGCATGGGCGAGAAAGCAATTCAGCCTTAAACCGGCAAGCCGTTGTTTAGCAGCCTTTCCATTGGTCACGGTCTTCTGCGGGCTGAGAGGAGCCGAGCTGAGTTGCCTAACGCAGCTTGTTATGGGCCAGCCCAACGTTCTTTCAACGCCTCCCGCCCACCACCTCCCGCAGTATCTCGTCATTTCCGAGACCTTGTTCTGCTCAATAAGATGCCACCATGAATGAAATCAAGTAGACCTGTACAAGTGTCTCTTCTTTGGATCGATATTCAGACTCAAAAAATAAAACGTAGGGTTTATGTCGAAAAAGGGCCATTTACTCCTCAGGAGACCCACTGCAATATCTCAAGAGTGTCTATACCGCTTCCCCTACCCGCCAAATTTCCTGCCAGGTCTTCTTTTTTTCTTCTCTTCGTATTCAGAGTCAGCTGAATCATACAGCCATCATGGCGTCTGATAACAGATGTAGAAAACGGTCTCGTGGGAAGAGATAGCGGCCAAATGGAGTATCGGAAGATGACCTATCAGCGCCAGAACAGGAGGCCGCCTCGACTGCGACCCCTGCACGGCTCGATTTCCCCTTGTTCAACAGCCTGTCCGTGGCTCCGTTTGCGTCTACGCGAACATGCGTGGTTTCCTCCAATAGGGCAGTTTGGCTCGGGGAACCTCTCGGAAGATCACCATACGTACCCTAGATTGGGGCGCACTACAGCCAGACCGACCACCACCATTATCTTGCGGTGAGCCAGTCCTGTCCTTGCTTCTGGCATACCGATAGGGAGCCAAGGAGTGTCGGCGAGCTTTCCGAGCACTGTCTCGGTCGGGAGTTGCTGCTGGGCTCGACAGGGTACGGGGCTGGCTCCAGCAGGATGATGGCTGGGGGTGTGGAAGAAGGGGACGAGTTCAGGTGGTCCCTTGGCGCCTGAAATTCCCCTATGGGTGCTCAGATATTTAATACAAGTTATGAAATCACGCAACCCGATCTCGGCACCCTCTCGTGTGTGATCCTTAAGTGTTCGCAGCAACCTTTCTTTTAATCTCGTTTCTGGTCTGAATCATACCTAACCGTGTTCTTCTTCTTGGAGTATTTGGTTGACTTACTTGACTCCCCCCCCAGCTCATGATACCATCCTCTCCAATGTTGCGTCATGAAGCGGTGAGAAAGACAAAGCGTTTACAGCCCCCCGTACAAATAGAGAGCTCTCCACCGAGCTGAACGAGAATAGCTCCAGAGAGCCACACGAAAACTCAGTTGGCCCCATTGCTGAACTGAAAGAGGGAAAAAGGGGAGTCATCGCACGAAGCAGATGGCCTCGCATTTTGAGTCAGGGGAGCACGCTCCGGGAGACGATTGCGAGGGATGCCGCCGAATCCAACAAGAGCTGGTCGAGCTGTCGACAGAGTCCGAAGAATCTTCAGACTACGAGGATGGTAAGTCCAGTTCGCTTTTTTCCGTTTGTTGTTGGCGTTTTCAGTCATCGTTCGTGGACTTCTCCTATTCTCTGCCCAACAGACAAGTGTCCAGAGAAGAGAAATTAGGTGTCACGAGATGCCTGTAACAAGAGAGTTTGGCCCTTAAAGCATCCCCTGAAAATACAGGTGTGGACCTGGTGGCAGCGGGAGCTAGAGCCCAAGAACTGCAACACCGATCCACCCCATCCCAAAAGTCTGGAGTCTGCGCTCCGGGGGAGATCCACGCTAGGGGTATTAGGCGAGCGAAGTCCCCTTAGCGCATTTCGTCATTCGTCATTTTCTTTGCGATACCGCAGCTGTGGCATTTTAGGACCCTCTTCTGTGAGATGCGTCACACCACACTGAACCAGTTACCTCGTTCATGTCTCAACTGTCTCAACTTTCCCTCCCAAATCCGTCTGAACAGTTTTCCGCCGTTATTCTCAACAAGTGCCGCACGCATCTGCTGATCCCCGCGACAGAAGACACGATGCCGTCCGCAATCGCGGCCTCCGACCTGTCGACGAACCTGAGCGACACGGACGATTGCACCCAAGTCGCCCCCGAGCTGTTGCACAACTTGAAGCACGACAGCTCTGTTCTCTGCCTTGCCGTCAGCGCTGAGAACGAACGCATATACGCCGGTACCCAGGATGGCGAGATCGTTGTGTGGTCGCTGGCCACGTTCCACCAGGACCGCATCATCCAGGCACACAAGCGGAGCGTCCTGAGCTTGTTCCTGTCGCCCGACGGCTCCATGCTGTTTTCCAGCGCCGGCGATCCGCTCATAAATGTCTGGTGCCCGAAGACGATGAACCGGATGTACGAGATTTATAGTACATACGACGTTGGCGATATCTTTTCCGTTGCCTACAGCACCCAGCACGAGACCGTCTACATCGGCGCCCAGAATACCTCTATACAATGGGTCAGTCTATCGGACCCGAACAACCGAGTTCCACACGACTCCTCGCAGCATCCCGACCGGCGCAATCACAGGTTCTTCGACTCGCGGGCGGTAGGAGGCACGTCGACCCCGCGCCGCAACGACGAGCGGTGGGGGCTGATTCCCAGGTCCGAGAATGTTGTGGAGATACACCCCGGGGCTCTGCAGATGTTTGCCCATTACGGCTACGTATATTCGATGCTCATGGCGAAAGGGCCGACGGTCTTGGTGGAGCCTGAAGAAGAGGTACTCATCTCGGGTGGTGGCGACGGAACAATCAAGCTGTGGAAGCTCGGCGCAGAAGGTGATAAACAGGCGGAGGAGAGCGACCGCGAGCCAGGTCTTCAGGAATTGATGTCTCTGGGGTCTGACGACGCGGATTCGGTCATGTCCCTCGCCATTGACGGGTCATTCCTGTACGCCGGCAAGCTGCAGGGCATCATTGAGCTGTGGGACCTAGACACCAAGTCCAGGTTGAGAGTTATCAAGGGACACAAGGGCGACGTTATGACACTGCAAATGAGCTGGGGCTATCTCCTGAGTGCCTCTAGGTCTGGATCCGCCACCGTATGTCTAGCCTCCCCCGAAACTATTCCTTGCTCTTACTAATGACTTACAGAAACACACTACTGTCCACTATGGCAAGTACCAAGACACCCAGACAGCCAACATCAGCCAAAAGTACCAGTGCATAGCTCGCTGGAAAGCACACGAGGGCAAGGTCCTGGCTTCCGCCGTTACAACGTACAACAACAGGCAGTACTATATCACGGGCGCGAATGACAACGATGTGGCTATCTGGAACATTGACTGCTCGTCGTATGAACAGCACCAAGAGGTGGATGAGGTGAACGACGTCATGATCAAGTCCCTTGGGGATTTCGTCTCGTACCGAACAGTTTCCTCGCGCCCTGAATTCGCGGAGGACTGCCGAAGAGGAGCAACCTTTTTGGGATCCTTGTTCAAGCGGCTAGGCGGCCACGTCGAAATGCTGAGCACAGAAAGCAGCCCGCACAATCCTGTTGTCCTGGCCAAGTTCAGCGGCAAGCTGGAGCCGGCAGAGAAGCGGAAGCGGATCTTGTTCTACGGTCATTACGACGTCGTCCCGGCAGACACTAAAAAGGGAAAGTGGTTGACGGACCCATTTCAAATGAAGGGTATCAACGGATATTTCCACGGTAGAGGTGTCAGCGATAACAAGGGCCCCATCATGGCGGCACTGTACGCCGTCACCGATCTTATGCAAGCAAAGAAGCTTGGAAACGACATCATCTTCCTGATTGAGGGCGAGGAAGAATCTGCCTCTCGTGGTTTCCGGGAGATTGTCCGCAAGAACAAGGATCTAATTGGCGATGTGGATTATATCCTTCTGGCCAATAGTTACTGGCTTGACGACGAGGTTCCTTGCCTCACGTACGGCCTGCGAGGCGTTCTTCACGCCACTGTGTGCGTCGACTCGCACCTGCCTGATCTGCACTCTGGTGTCGACGGCTCGTACATGAACAACGAGCCACTGTCTGACCTCACATCCACACTATCAAAGCTCAAGGGGCCCGGCAACAAGGTTCTTATCCCAGGGTTCTATGACAGTATCCTCCCCGTCACAGCCGAGGAGGAAACGCGGTACGACGAGATTGCCTCGACGCTCATGCGACAAAACCCTGAGAAGGGCCCGGAAGATAAGCTCAAGACTGCGCTGATGGCACGTTGGAGAGAACCCAATCTGACAATCCATCGATACAAAGTCTCGGGACCGGACGGCAGTCTGGTTAGTAGTCACGCGAGCGCAAACATCAGCTTGCGCCTGGTGCCCGGCCAGGAGGTGAACGACGTCATCGCGTCTTTGACCTCTTATCTCGAGTCGGAATTTGAACTTCTTGAATCAAAGAACTCGTTGTCAATCAAGATCGACAACAAGGCCGAGCCGTGGCTGGGTGATCCCAGCAATGAGATCTTCCAGGCGCTCGAAGAAGCCATTGTCAAGGCCTGGGGATCCGTCTTCGAGGGTGGCCAATCCGCCGACGAAGGCGAGGAGACGGCCGAAAAGAAGAAGGCTCAGAAGCCCAAGAAACCCCTCTACATCCGCGAGGGCGGATCGATTCCGGCTATCCGGTTCCTTGAAAAGGAGTTCGGCGCCCCCGCAGCCCATCTCCCGTGCGGACAGTCAAGCGACGGCGGACACTTGGATAATGAGAAACTAAGGGTCCTGAATCTGCTGAAGAGCAGGGAGATCATGGGGTCTGTATTCGCGCGTCTGTAATAAGATATTTAAAAAAAAAAAAAAAAAAAAAAAAAAAAAAAAAAAAAACCACGAAAAGGTGAAGCATGGTTTTAGGCGTTTGGCGGGGGGGTTAGTTGGTGCTTCGAAAAAGAAAAAGAGAACATTGGATTGTAAAATAAATTAGATACCCAAAAAAAATCAATAGCATCGCCTACATGTCTGTTTGCGCGTAAACTGTGAAGGGTCAGGATTTTATGCCATTTCATTAAGAGAGTGCAAAGCTCGCCTGACTCGGTGACAGATGTCGTCTCAGACACGTCCATTGACGTGATCCGAACTTCGGCCCCCCCTCGATGCCGATGAGTACCGGCGAGCTTCCCTATTCGGCATTCCAGCTTATCTTATCTTATCCACGACGTTTCCCCCAACCTCATCTCATCTCACACACACATACACACTCACTCACACATACCTTAAAGACGGAACCAATTCAAACTGTTTTCCTTTTCAAGTTGCAACTCATAATCAATTCTCACCGTCTTTAAAGGGTCACAATCATGGAGTATAAGCGCCCATCCCCAACGGCCGTCAAGGTCAAACCTCGCCTCATCATCCACGGCGGCGCAGGCAACATCAAACCAGCCAACCTCGCGCCGCCCCAATACGCAGAATACCGCACGGCGCTCTTGACAATTGTAAACACAACCCACGTTCTCAAAAATAAAAAGATAAAGAAATCTCAAAGACAATTAACACGTTACGCAGGTCAGCAAGACAAACGCTTACATGACAACACCAGTCAGCGCCAACAAGCTCCCCACCGCCCTGGAGACAGCAACGCACGCCGTGACGCTTCTCGAGAACAACCCGCTCTTCAACAGCGGCCACGGCGCAGTCTTTACTCGCGACGGCATCAACGAGCTGGAGGCATCCGTGATGGTCTCGCGCGGGTTCAAGAAGCGCGGCGTAGGCGTGACGGGCCTGCGGCACGTCAAGAACCCCATCCTCCTCGCCAAAGCGCTGCTGGAGCACGGCGAGGAGGACCTCGGCGGGGGCTCGAACAGTGGGCACCCTTCGTCCGTCGGCGCGGACGGCCGCGGGATCGACGCGCCGTCTGCGCAGGGGCATACGTTGCTACACGGCCCGACGGCGGAGGTGCTCGCGGGGAAGTACGGGCTGGAACTCGTCGAGCCTAGCTATTTCTTCACGCAGAAGAGGTGGGATGAGCATATCAATGCTCTAGAGAAGGAGAAGAAGGGGACGGGGCTGGCGACATGGAGTGCGGAGGAGTTTCTTCCGCAGGGCACCGTCGGTGCGGTCGCGTTGGACGAGGACGGCGTCGTGTGCGCTGCTACGTCGACCGGCGGGCTGACGAACAAGCTGACTGGACGGATCGGGGATACGCCCAGCGTCGGTGCGGGATTCTGGGCGGAGGAGTGGGAGGAGGAAGGGGACCCGACGGCGGTGTTTGCGAAGGGTGGTGGCGCGTGGGGGACGGTGACGTTGTCGGATGGCCTTAGGGGCCTGATGGCTGACTGTTTGCCATCATTGAACGTTTATTCCCCTGTGCCGGGGGTGTTGTATGGTAAGGGTTTGAAGACGACTCGTTCGATCGCGGCTTCCGGTACTGGAAACGGAGACTCGTTTCTGCGCGTGGCGGCCGGCAGGACTGTCGGGGCGGTGGCGAGATGGAAGCCCTTGTCTGGCAAGGATGCCGTGTCGTTTGTTTCGGGTCCGGGAGGCGAGCTGCAGAAGAGCGCTGGCGATAGGTGGCACGTCACCGGCGAGGGCGAGGGAGGTATTATCGGAATTGAGATTGCGGTAACCCGTGACGAGGAGGGTGCTGTTGTGGGTGTGAGGTCGGAGGTTCTACAGGATTTCAACTGCAATGGTATGTACCGGGCGTGGATTGACGACGATGGGAACGCGCATGCGAAGATTTACCATGACGAGGTTGAGGAGGGAGTAGATGCTCGATCGTTTGCCGAAAAGTGGTAGACTCAAGATTGTGGGCGAGAAACAATCGGTCAATATCAGTTCAAAGACCAGGGATGGCTTGGCGCGATATCAGTGACAAATAGAGGGAAACATATTTCGCTCTTCGAACTTGGAACAATGTAAAATTACAACCAGATATCTACATGAGAGCAGGAGCATTGGGTGTCTAACAGCCCATCTGGGTAACTATCAACAGATATATCGCCGATCCTCGACATCAGTCAAACAGCGCACCTGCACGTTCATTATCCTTCAAAAATCGTATACTTGGGTCCTGCGGCCAGGGCATATCCGCGTAATCACTCCCCACGTCGTCAAACCCATCGCACCAGAAAGCGCCGCTAAGATCGATGGCATTGAATCTGCTAGCCGGCGGCAACGGTAAACAGTCACCCAAACATGACGGCTGCAAATCAAACAAGTACTTGGGTGCCCCGTGGCATTTTCCTCCCGCCCAGATGGCCATCTTGGCATCGGTTTCATTGGCACACTTGGCGTTAGAGTAAATCTTGGGAAACCGGTCCTGGCTGACTTTGAACGCAAAACACCTATCCGCTTCCAATCTCGTATATGTTGTACGCGTAACATAGCCCCTACCGGGTTTCTCACACTCGTCCGGGCTAAAGATGGCTTTCTTCTCTGTTTCGTCACGCTCTTCTGGCTCGGTGCCGTTGCCTTTACACCAGTACATGTAGCTCGAATCCCGGTGCGGGTCGATCGGGAAACACTTGGCAAAGGGGCTGAAGTCCGTGCTGGTTATGCGGCCGGGCCAGCCGGGGCAATCGGGCTGCTGCCAACCGGCTAGGCGCGCAGGAGTTCCATCGGGGCAGGTCGGTGTTTGATAGGGTCGTACCGAGTGATATCGGGGGATGTTAATGCAAGTGCCGGGTGCTGGGTAGAAAAATGTCGGGGGGCGGTCGGAATAGACGTGCTTCCCAGGAGCCTCTGTGAGCTTTGGACAAACAGAATGAGAAACCATTCCAACCTCATGGCTGAATTTTTCCTTATTTTCGGCTTCTGGTGCATCCCCATCTTCTCCCGTAACTTCTTCTCGGGATGATATGCCATCGCAGTAGAACATGACTCCCCAGGCCTTGCCTGTTCCTCCTCGAGAAAGTGCGACATCTTTCAAGTCAATACAGTGGCCAAGATCCCCATCGCTAATGTCGCGCATTCCGTCCTCAAACGTCATTTTGCCACCATTGCAATTGTGCTCCTTTGCAGCGGCAACAGTGTACGTGTCGCCGGTGTACTCGTACAGAGCAAGCCTGGCACGGCTTCCATCTGCGCAGATGCCAGGCGTCACAACCTGTAAAGAACTCCATGGCTCCGTATCCTTACCATGGTTAAAACAGTCGTCGTGCTGAGACAGACACTGATCGGGTAGTAGATTGTGCGGAAATCGCAGCATCCACATTGGGTCTTCGCAAGTTTCCGAGTGATAAAACTTCACTTGGCCTGCAACAGGCCCTGATACCTTCTGGGCGACTAATGGAGGCACGGCATCCATGTGATGTTCGGCGCCGTCTTTTTGATGGTCCTCGCACCGGAATATCATGGACCAGTAGTACGATGGCGTCTCCAGGTCGCTCTTTGACCAGAGGCAGTCCCCTGGAGTAGCATGAGACCATCCCAAAGCCGTTGGCTCACCGGTACATCTTCTCCGGGGGTAAAAGAACATTTCAGGGCTGGATCCGTCGGCGCACTTGGGCTTCTGCAAGATCTTTATGTTGTCTCTCGCGTAGTAATCCCCGGAAAGGCAGACGCCAGGCGCCAAATCAACCGTATTGGCTGGGCCATCGCCAGGGCAGGTCGACAAGCTGGCTCTCAAACTGTCGAGATCATCGGGAAATGTCCTGGAGCCCGGATAGAGAGACAACTTTGCAACATTGCTGTCGCTGTGTCCGTCATCAACGATCGGCTTCTGCTCTGCAAGATCCGATTTGACGACGTTTAAGAGGCTCAGAGTCGCAAACAGGGTGGCAATGCGACAAATAGCCATATCTTTGCCTTGGAAACATATGGCAGCCTCAAGCACCGGTTCCAGGCATCAATTGCGGTTGTTGACGTTGGTTGTGAAATTGTCAAAATTGATCGGGAGTCGGACGCTGTTGCCTGTGCAAATTTCAGTCAAGGTGGTTCCGGCGCTGCTGCGCCGTAAACGGATTTCGGCAATGTAATCTCTTTTCACTGGTGATAACACCAAAGTCCCCATTTGCAATCCACTATTGTCTCAATAGTCTTATTCGAAGTATCACACCCTTCCGCGATGTTCCGTAACCCAGAATCCCTGCGCATAACACGGGCTGCCGTTGACTGCTCCACAAACGCGGCCTCGCCAAGGCCGATCGGCGACCGTTCCGTCCGGACCATTTGCCGGAATATGCCAAGATACAGATGCATCCCGCTACTTGCATGTCTATGATGTGTGTTCGCAGTTGCAAAATTTGGCGTCCGGAGAAGGCTTAGAGGCCATCAACAGTACCGAGTCGCAAAACAGCGCGGGGTTCTTCCATCGTCAAGTACACCAGTGCAGTTTTGCAGAGGCGTAGTCTTGACAGACATAAAACTTGTTCGATTTCCAGGAGACTTTGAGCTTTTCAGACATTAAGCTCACCTCACAGAGTGTAGGTGTCCGATGCGAAAGCCAACTGAACCAGCGGGGTTGGACTAATCATACTCTGGCTGCACCCCGCAGAAAAGAAAAGCTTACATCTGCAGGGAATTCCTGACCTGACCCCTCCATCAAACTATCAAAAGATAGCCAATTCCCTTTTAACTCTGGCGAGAGTGAAAACCTCGGCCATATCGGGGCCCGGGGACTTCTGCTGACGAATTGCGACAGCCTCGCGTTGTTCGTGCTACTAGGGACGTAAGGCTGAACACGACGCTGGCATTCCTCCGACGTAAATACCCCTCATGCCGATCGTGCCACCGCAAAAACAAGAGCACAAAACCCTAGAGAACACGCACACTGCTGGCTTTTCATCCTTCACGACACGCAAATGGTGAACATAAAGGAAGCGGCCCGCGCCGCCGTCACCGCATATGGCCTCGCCTCGGAGAAGGGCGGCAACACTTCAGTGCCACTACAAGAGGTCGCCGAGTCCCTGGCGTCATTCTACCTCACCAACTTCACCAGCTTCACTCTCGGACAAGTGACGACTCTCCCGCAAGATCCGGCACCGGGTGTCTTGAAACAGCTCCAGCTTCTCAACGAGAGCGGGCTCGGCACTGACATTCGGCCCTGCGCGGCAAGGATCGAGGTTGTGTCCTCGCAGAGCGCAATGTGTTGGATCACGTTTGAGATATTTCCTAGGACAAAGAAAATCGACAGATGGACTTGGACAAACATCTACGGCTTCAGGCTGGGGGAGCCAAGAAAGAACGGCCTTGACGGCGGCTGGGAGTTCACGAACGCGGACCAGGAGTTTCAGAAACTGCTGGAGCGAGTGCCGGATTTCTACACGGGTGGCAAGGTTCCGTAAAATGGCATATGAATTTTTGTATTATCCGATTATCACGGCACCTGAATTTAAAGACATGACCATCTCTCATCAGGACTGAAAAGGCATATCATGATACAACCATGGCCGAGAGGCTGTTTACAGCAAAACAGCCGCTCCCAGTGCTACACCTGCCGCAATACCATACATGTGCGATACACCGACAGGGGCGGCGGCGTTGGGAACGCTGGTTGCTGCCGTCGTAGCTCCAGATGCGCCGTTGGTGGCAGTCCGAGTTCCAGCTTTGGCGGTGACGGAGAGCGTGCCGTTGCTGGGCTTGGCATCAGATGTGGCGACAACGAGAAGTGTGTCGGTACCCGTCACCGACTTGATGTCCTCTGACTTGATATCTTTCGCCGTGCTGCTTTCTACAGCAGCGGTGACGCTGGTCTTTCCGGGGGCCGGGGTTGTCACAGGGGCTTGAGACGTTTGGGCCGGGACTGAGGCGCTGGTCTTGATAGGCAAGAATGAAGGGGAGTAGGTCTCGGTGCCCTCGTAGGAGGGGCAGCCGGGCACGGTGGTCTTGGGCGGAGCACGGCCGCCACCGCAGTCAAGAGCAGCGCAGATCTCGCCGGTGTCGGGGACAAAGTAGACGCGGGTTGCGTAGGGGGTGCCGCCGTTGGCCGGGGTGACAACCGAGTCGGATGATGTGCAGCCGTCGAGGTCAGTCTTGGCCAGGGCGACGGAAGCCAGAACGGCGAGGGTGGCGAGGTATCTGAAAGACATTTTGCGGAATTATTTTTAACTTGGAGTTATCGTAGGAAGTGTAAAAAGAGCGTGTTGATTACTGTTTAGATATGTAAACGAATGTGTGATTGCCGAGAGGTAAGGCTTGAGAATCGAACACCAGATACGGGATAAAGAGGAATTATAAATGGATGGAGAAGTCTTTTCGTCGTTCCAGAGTCCCTCTTATCAAGGATTTCGAACAATGAGCCATCGATGCCTTGCGACTTAGCCCCGATCCAGCGGCACCCCCTAAGTGGTACTAAGCGGGTCTGCGACGGGATTCGCAAGCCACCTCATCTCGGAAATTGTCCTAGCGGTCATTAATAGCAACCTCTCACGGACGCTTCAACGGTTTTCGTGACGATGTGGCTGAGATGATCTGTCTCAGATGGCTGCCGAATAAGCCGTCCTGATGTATTCTGGGCGCTGATTCAGCACTGGACGAATACATATTGGGGGAATTCTCGTGTGACAGTCCGTCAATCGACTAGACTGGGAAACTGGCAACTTGAGCCATCTTGTAACAAGGGACTGGGCCTTCGCTGACGGAACTCCGCGGTCCAGAAGGGGCGAAAGAGGTGGGTAAGCGTGCCGGGATGTAGATCCTTGCATAATGCTGTGTGGCTCCAAATTGTTGCCGTTTTCTTTGGAACGCCCAATGATTGATGCTCTCCTTGGGAAAAGCAAACAAGCTAACAGCTGGCCACTGAGGCGTTATTGCCTGTTTGTTTTCTCCTGAATGAAGCGAACTGAGCTCCCTTGCTCGGACGCGCAGTCGTTAGTGTAACCCTATAAGCTCAAAGGCTTGTTTGCTTATTGCAATTTATATGCACGGACTCGAAGCAGATTGGATTGTTTGGGGCGCATCTACGGATTCTTTCTAAGCACCCGTTGTGGCTGGTTTCGATCCCTTGGGGGTTTTGGAGTGATTCTGAAATAGGTTGGCTTGGGTCGACGCGCTACAGATCGGCTAATCTGTCGCACCAATTCTGTTTTCGAGATGAAAGGGTCAGAAGCAATTGTTCAGAGAATACTTCTTTTATCCCTTTCTGAGTGTATTAGTGGGAAGCCTGCTTCGTGGAAGGTCTTTTTATGTTTCTGAATGCTATTGCACGAAACAATTCCATGAGTTGGCTCACCAGGGACGTTCTTCCTCGCACTTGTTTCCTTCGCTGATAGACTTGGTTCTATGCCGTTGTAGTTCCATTTTTCTTAGGAGGCGAATGTCGACCTTTGGGACTTTCAAAGGCTAAAAAGAAGGAAAAGGTCAGTAATGGAAGACAAGAGGGAGGAATTTAGATGACGCGTCCAGAGTTGTAGTCGAAACATGACGCAGGGCTTTTGGACTCACTGGGATGATGTTCAAAACAAAGTCTAAAAGGGGACATCACTTGATTGATTGTAATGAGTCGGAACGACACAATCAGGTGGATTATCTCGGCCGGATCAGCCGACCGAAATTCGGTGATGTTGACTCTCGGCGGTTTGGAACGATACGGAGAGGGGCTACATGCGTTCTGGTGGCAAGCCCATTCAGGGAGTTCGCTGTTTCCAAAAGGCTTGTTTTCAGCGCACCTTCCCACTACAATCGCTATCGGCCCCACCTATTTCTCCTACCGCCCCTGTCCTTGGCACCGGCATCCCTCCCGGCACCGATAAGCCACCCCCGCGACTTGCACAGCTTCCGCGTCTTGTCTTTAATCTACATTCCCCCGCATCCACCATCACATATTGCCGAACACTAAGTCTTGGTATTGATCTCTCAGTTATTTTCTTTAGCTTTCATCACGCAACAGTCATCCATCATGGCATCGCGTGCTCTTTCAGTTCGGCCAGCCACAGCTGCCCCTGACGGCGATTGGGTTGATGTCGATGAAGGCAAGCATCCAGTCATCACTCCTGAGACAGAGTCGATGACCGAGCGCATTCAACGAGTTAGCTTTGACGAGAAAAATCTGTTCAATTTTTACAACATCAAGTTTTCTTCTAGCCGATATCATCGCCTAAAGAAGTACTATTCTGAAGAACTTGAGAGCTTATTCAAATCGCCCTTTGATACTTACCATCAAGAAGACAAAGTTGATTTCCTGTTACTTCGCAACTATCTCCGGCGAAACCTTCGTGTTTTGGAGTTGGACCGCCAGCGAGATGAGCAGGTTCAGCCAGTTTTACCTTTCACTCAGACGCTCATCGACCTGGTCGAAGCTCGCCAGCGCCTGGTACCCGTTGACAGCAAGAAGACAGCCATGACGTTGAATGACACCGCCAAGGAGGTACAGGAAACCACAAAGTCAATACTATCAAATGAGATCAAAGCAAATGGATCAACTTTGGCCAGAGCTATCAGTACCGTCGATCAGCTTCGTAGCCACATTGACGAGTTGTATGGTTTTTACTCTCCGTACGATCCGCTATTCCCTTGGTGGTGCGAAGCACCCAAGAAGAGTTTCGACGATGCCCTCGCCGCTAACAGGTCGGCACTGGAGACTAAGTTGAAGGAGAAGACTGGATCCAGTGCTGTCCACGCGGCAGTCGAACCGATTGGTAGGGATGGCCTGCTGAACGAGCTCGAAGCGGAAATGATTCCCTACACGCCTGAGGAGCTTCTAAAACTGGCCAAAGAACAGTACAATTGGTGCGAAAAGGAAATGAAGAAGGCTTCACGCGGCCTTTCGAGCGACCAGGGCGGTTCCGTTGGGCCGAATGGGAGCGCATCGGAGTAGGTGAATCCGACACCATTTCCAAAATGGGAACTAACACAATTTTCACAGCCTTAAAGCTGCCAGCTCCTCGCCAGACTTTGGCGACAACTGGAAGGCTGCTCTCGAATATGTCAAGAACAAGTATGTTGAGCCCGGTCAACAACCAGAGCTTGTTCGTCAGCTCGCCCGCCAGGGAGAAGACTTTGTCGTCAAGCATGACCTTGTCACTGTCCCGGAAATCGCTGCCGAAACATGGCGCATGTTCATGATTTCACCAGAACAACAGAAGGAGTCGCCATTCTTCCTCGGTGGCCCATCTATACTCGTTTCTTATCCTACTGCCACGATGGACCACGACTTGAAGATGATGGTGATGCGCGGCAACAACCCTCACTTTTCTCACGCAACCGCTTTCCATGAGCTAATCCCCGGACATCGACTTCAGCTTTTCATGGCAAAACGCCACCATCCTTACAGGAAGTTATTCGAGACTCCATTCTTCGTTGAAGGATGGGCCATGTACTGGGAATTCGTATTCTGGAACCGGGGTGACTTCTTTGTCTCTAACGAGGACAAAATCGGAACCCTTTTTTGGCGAATGCATCGTTGCGCTCGAATCATCTTCTCTTTGAAGTATCATCTGGGCGAGATGACGCCGCAGGAGTGCGTTGACCTGCTAGTCGACTGGGTTGGACACGAACGCTCCAATGCTGAAGGAGAGGTCACAAGGTCATTCGGCGGCGACTACTCGCCGTTATACCAAGCCGGGTACATGTTGGGAGCTATCCAACTACACGGGTTGCGAGAGGAAGTCCTCACGAAGGGATTGATGGGTGAGAAGGAGCTGCACGACAAGATTCTGAGGGCGAACACGATGCCCATCGAGCTATTACGAGCGTTATTGCTGAACCAGCCCCTCAGCCCAGACTACACCTCCAAGTGGAGGTTCTATGACCACTAGCCTTCAGTGGCAGCATGCCGTGGCGCCCACTACGGTGCTTCTGTATGTTACTCTTTGTGATCTAGATAGCTGTTTGTAAAGACAAAAATGGTAACCGTAGACAAACAATCTCCCACTTTCCTCATCCCCAGATTCCCACCCACATGGCCAGTGGCCCATGGGGTTGGGAATGCGGGGGGCGTTGTGGGGTATCTCGGCATTTCGGGCCATCTCGTGCGGGAGGCGGGCCATTCTCCGTGGAATCATAACTACGCCAGCCTCCGCCCTACATCATGCGAACAACTGCCAGAACCCGCAATCAATCTGTGGCCCATTCGCTCCGCCAATGTCTGACCATGGATAATGGTATAGAGCTCGCTCACCAAGGCGAAGCCACAGATGCAATCCATGACGACTCCGGGGGCGTCTCGGAGGCCGCTGCGGCCCTCGCCTGCAACTGCTGCCGGCGCCGTAAGCTGCGATGTTCCCGGGAGGTTCCAACATGTCAACAATGCCGAAAGACAGGTGGGTCTTGTTTTTTTGATAAGAAACCTTCCCGTTTTGGCAACTGACTCGCAGTAGGAAGTGACTGTGTTTACGAGTCCAAGAGGTCTAAGCCGGGGATGAAAGCCGGTGCGATAGAGAATCTGCATCGAAGATTAGGTTTGTCCGAGACTCAGAGGATAATGTAATCATCATCAGGCTGATTATCTGGTGTTAGATGCTTTGGAGAGAACAGTTCACCAACAAAGGGTCAATCCACCAGACAGAGACAGGAGGCAGTCTGGGACTGATAGCTCACCCATCCGTGAAAGCCCTCATGGCAGCTCCGCTGAACTTGAGAAGAATGCATATAGCATCATGTCATTCTTCGCAAAAGAGCTGCAGAAATTCAACTCTAAAACCGCAGGTTCATTTGGTGAGGGGAAGACCTCGCACGAGACAGACAATCAACCTCCAAGGGCCAAACGGCGCCGTTTAGACGATCATGATGAAGTTCAACCTCTAGTCCTTGGTATTGGCACACCGTCTTGTCCAGACGAGGATGAGTTACAAACCGTCTTACAAGCATATTTCTCACATGTCCACCCCTGGATTCCCATCCTGCACGAGGCGAGGTTCCGTCGCAGACTCGCCGAGCCAAGTGAGTTTGAGGCACTGCGGGTTGTGTTGCATTCAATGATACTCTCTGCTTCGAGGTACATTAGTGACGAGGAAGTTGCTGCAGCCGTATTCGGCTCACCGCAGCAGCGAATTGGGGTGAGAGACTGGATCGTGTCACAGGCAATGAAGCACCTTACCGTGGAGAGTTTGCAAGCTCTCATCATCGTCGCCTTCAATGATGTAAGTGCTCCTGTCTTTCCGCTCTATAGCAACTACTAACTGTCCCTTTAGATTGGCAGTGGGGAGGCATCTCAAGCCTGGTCTCTTGTCGGCTCACTTACTCGGACGGTGGAGTATCTACAGCTCACGGTTGAACACGACGATGCCGAGAGGCCGTCATTATCTCAACCGTTCGTGTCACTTCCTCCGCCCAACAACTGGACCGAGGCCGAGGAGCGGCGGCGGGTGTTCTGGAACGTGTTCAAACTTGACCGTTTGATCTCTGTCACAATGGGCTGGAACACCAGTCTTACCTCTGACGACGTCCACTGTCGACTGCCATGCGACGGAGTTCTTTGGCGGAAGGAGGACCGAGTGGTCACCCCTTATTTTGGTATATGGGACAAGGCTGCCGGTAGAATCGGAAACCCCATTGCCTTCATACCGTCCCACTATGCGCAAACATCACAAGCAGTCGCGGAAGAAGAGACCCAAACACCATCCGAGGCCGGCACCTCGCCGGGAGCGCAAGTTACTAGCGTCGACATGTCGACCGTCGGTGCGTTTGCTTACTGTATAGAAGCGACCGAGTCTCTCAGCAGAGTCACCAGCTACTTCCTGCAGCAGAAGATCAACATGCGAGATCAGAGAGACATAAGTAGCTGGCTTACCAGGTTCAAGGAGCTCGACCTCCGTCTTGTGCACTGGAAGATGCTGCTCCCTCAAAAGTGGAAGGCGAACATGGCCCGCCAGTCAACGCGCATGGATCCGAACCTGACTCTGGCGCACGTCACACACAACACCTCGATGATTCTGCTTCACCAGCTCATCGCCTTCCCGCCAAGAGATTGGTCTTTCCGGGCCCGTTTGCCAAGTATTTTGAGCATTGACACGTGCCAAACGGCAGCTGTGGAAATCGCTATAATCGCGGAGAACTATCTCAAGCATGCGCCTTCGACAATGCCAGTATCCAGCCAATTCGCGTTCTGTATTTATGTCGCCGCCAGAGTACTGCTACTACGGTGGAGGTATGACCTCGGTGGAGAGCTTGTGCCTGAATTCTGGTCCCTGGTACAAATCCTAGATGAGATGGCTAGTCGTTGGGCCGGTCCTCACAGCCTGGAACCGGCGAGGGATAACCTCGCCGGCAAGTATTCCCGGAAGCTCACCGAGATGCATTCTAGATGCCGCGACGACGCGTCTTTCAACATCAACGTGTTGGGCTACACGACTGAGATCGACCACACCAGCTTCATGAATCCGCCCGCCTTTCCTCATTCCGCACGCAGTGGCGCCGTCCAGCAAGCAATACCAGAGGCTAGGTCCAATGGTGGCAGGACTGACCAGCAGAATAACGGTATTGGGCCAAGCAGCAACGTCGACATGGTTGTTACGCAGCAGTATGTCAACAATAGCTCAACAATAAATCCCAACCAGCCGCCAAGTGCGATGCTGGTGCATCCTCCTAGGATGGAGATGAACGGCGTCGAGCCCATGCCTCAGCCCAACATGTATCATAGGGGTAGTGTCGGAAGCGGCGAGCTGAGCAATATTTCTCAGTTGCTTTTGGATCAAGAGTTTGTCGATATGGACAGGATCATCAGTTTTGACGACGGCATCTTCGGCACGGAATACGAAGGTGGGGGATGGTAAGTCTAATGCCCTCTAATTTACCCCAAAATGAAAACAATATACGCCTACTTGTACAACCAAATCTGAAATCTAAACCAAACTCATGTTCAAAAGCCTGTTTCCAAACTCTACGAGATAGTAATCCCCGTATACCAAGCTGTGGTTAGCGTACCGGCGTCGTGCATTCTCGTTGTTGTTGGCCGTTCCGTGCTTGAGAACACCTTCAAAGGTTCTCCCGGTGATCACGTCCTCGACAGTCACGCCTGCATGTCTGTCGTTCCTAGTAAACTGGGCCTTCTCCGTGGCGAGGGAATGATCGAGGGTGTCTCTGACTATGCCAATTGCAGCATCAAAGAACCTGCGAGCCAAGGCGTGTTGCTGGACGCTCGTGAGGGCCTGTGACAGAAGTAACAAACCGTTCGCGGTGATCACACCCGCGGAGGAATCTCTCAGAGGGTTCGAGGTGTCTTGTATGGGTGCATCAAAGTCCCAGAGAGGAACTCGACGTCCCTTGGTCTTTCCGGGTAAGCCTTCTCGCAAAGAACTACCGCCATTTTGGTCGCTGGTAACTGGTATTCCCACACAAGCTGGCGCAGTGTCGAGCCTGTACAAGAAATACTCCGCGGCGCCACAAGCTGCTTCGAGGAAAATCTTATCCTTCGTCCACAGGTACGTTTGAGCATATCCCAAGATCGCCCAACTCTGCCCGCGAGCCCAAGTAGATTCGTTGGAGTACCCCTGTGCCGTCCAGCGCCATTTGAGATCTCCGGTGGCAGGGTCAATATTAGCCACATGGCAGGTTGAGTAAAGTTGGCCCCGGTACCCATCCTTGGCCAGAGTCTTCGCGGTCTCAGGCCGTAGATGGGTATGCAGCAGCGTACGTGCGTGAGTAGCGGCGATGTCTGCAAGTGTAGTATCCCCGGTGTGTGCGGATGCGTAAAACAAAAGGTCCAAGTTGCAGAGGCTGTCGATGATGGCCAACAGATTGGTGTTCATATCAGTGACGGTAATGTCCTTTTTCAAGAGACAGTCCCAGCTCCGGATCGCACCAGCAGTGGGAATATAGCGAGTTGCGAGGCTTCGAGCCGCTCTGACAATTGAGTCGAAGCTTTTTCGGTTTCCAGTGAGCTCCCAATCTCTTTGGAGAGCGGGCATGATAATGAACCCGATATCATGGGTATCCGTTCTGCTGGCCATGCTGTGGAGTGGATCTACCCAGATATCACATAGCTCCCGCAGATGGGCGCGCAGACCGGCGACATTCAGCTCCGGTCCTACGTTTGAGAGATGCATGGTTTGTGGGTGTTTGATGGTTCGCTCTAGTAGAGCATAGATGGTTCCTGGAAAGAAGCCACAAGTCCAAAAGTCCGGGTCGCGGAACTCATATTTGCCCGCGTTGGGCCCCTCTTGCGGGACAATTTCCGGGAAGGCGATGGGAACCTTTCGGGTCGTGTTAGAGTTGTATACGAACTTTTCTTCCAGGGATTTCGTCGCGGTGCGGCAGATTTTTGCGGTGATGTTCTCCTCGAAAAGCTCGTGGAGTCGATGTGCGAGAGTGGCTTTGGGGTAGAAGGCGGCCCAGTCCTCCGCGTCAGCTGCTTCTTCAGACCAGGACGTTTCGCTGCTTCTGTCCAAAGACAGATCCTCTGGCGCCTGTGTCGAGCTTGAAGCCGGGGGCTCCGAAGATATGCTATCATGGCGGGAAACAACCGTCTCTCTAGGTATTGTTCCCAGAGGAGCGTCAGGGCTTGTTTCGATAACCATGGCGTCGGTTTCCTGTCCGGACATGATAAAAATCAAATGCACGTTGTAAGATCAAGGGAAAATTGATGCAAGACAAGAAGATTTGATGAATGTTTTTAACTTGGAGGTACTCAGCTATGAAGCCATAGTTTTGTACTTCTGTACTGAAAATCCCCGGGTTAGACGGATGATAATCATCGCAACCTGAAATTAAAGATTGACATACGGTATACGCCCCTTCGAAGCGAGTTGAAGAATTTCCTTGATCGGATTGCGGTCCATCTCTCGGCCAAAGGCTTTTACGATGTATGTTGGGTCGATCGTATTCTTCCCGACGCACTTGTCGGGGTAAACATACCCCACTATCCCGAGGACTTTCACCCGAAGGATTGTTACCTAGTCTAAACAGTGGCCTGCTAAATGGCATTCTCGGTTCTCCATGCGCCGTGTCGTAGAGAATCTATTAGTAAAGAGAGCGATTTGCTGAAAGAACTTTGCGTAATATAGGCCGGTCATGTCTGCTACTGTCTACAAAAACAATTAAGGTCGCGAGGCTGTCCTGAATCTGAGAAGGTCCTCAGTCCTCGGTCCATCAGATGACAATCAAGAAGCAAAAATATCATTCGACTGGCCAATCGTCATTATGTTAGTGGCTTGTTTCAATTCAATCTTATTCATCATGGAGACGGTCGGTGTTATCAGCCATACCTATATAACACAAAGAATTGAATAGCCAAGGGGCGAGCTTTTAGGCGTCTTCGGCCCGGCATTTACTTATCCAGAAACCCATTACCTGATGGAACCTGTCACTGTAAGTTTTAAGGGGTGAGAACAAGATGAAAGCTACCTCAGAGTGTAACAGTAGTGCTTGAAGCTGAATACAACGAGACCCTCGGGATGTGTGACCAGCCGGCGCATTGCCGCATGACCGCATGAAGAAAACCGGGTATGGCTTTCCGTCGGCCTTCCGCGGAAGCCGTCTAGATAAGCCTATTACCTCGAATTCGTGCATGTCCAGGTCACAACTATTTCTCGAACAGGGTGATATTTGCTCGCTTCCAATCCGCACAAATCATTCTTCATAGTTCAATGCATGGCGCAGCAGAAATGACGGCAGGTCTGCCGAGTATATCCTTGGCAACATAGCATAATGTGATTGCGGCACCAATCCTTGGGACCTTTCGTTCGTGTAACATACCTAGACAATCAAGGGTCTCGAGCTCTGAGGGTATCCAATGATTGATAAGAGCCTTGTAATAGGTCAGTGAAATGAGAGCAAAGGATTTGCACTCGGGTGAGTCGCATTCGCGTAGACATTCGGTTGGGATGTAGGTGTTCACCCCTACTCCTGAAAAACCAATCACACCAACTTCTCGAAATAGAAATACATTACCTCTCCTCATCTTTAAGTCAGTAATCACCCATCTCTTGTTTGCCTTAAGACTAAATTTCCAACTCTTGACCTTGCGAGTCTCCATCATGCATCACCCCATAGAACTTGTTCGAGTCAACTCGCTTGACCAAGTCAAACTACTCACAGCTCTCGGATCCAAGACATGGATTAATGATCCTGTGTTTGAATTGTTCTGTCCAGACCGTCATAAATCACCCAAGAACTATCATCAATTGTGGAGAATCATTCTCAAGGACGAGTTTTCCCAGCCTGGTACCGTCATCATTGCCGCTTGCAAGGATGGATCCAAGGATATGCGCAACGCAGTAGGTTTTGCAGTATGGCGAAGACACGGCAAAGGCGACATCGCCCGAAGCTGGCGAAGTGACAGTCTTGGAAAAAGTAAGATCCTCCTTAAAGCAGATCACTATCTCTGGAGATGTAAATCTGACATGCGTCGACAAACAGAACTGAGTAGATTGGCGGCTATTCTCGAGCTGGTCTATTGCATCATACTTGGGCGATTGCCTCTTGTTGGCTTAATCGACCTCTTGTTGGCACACCGAAATGTCGAGAAGCTTTACCCAGAGGAACGATGGCGTCTCTCTTACCTGGGCGTGTCACCAGATTCACAGAACTGTGGCGTCGGGAAAACGCTTCTGCAGTGGGGGATTGAGCGCAGCGAAGAGGAAGAAGCGCCTGCGGTACTCGAGTCCAGCAAGCCTGGCAGGGCTTTGTATGAAAAAATGGGGTTCAGAGTAATTGGTTGGCAGAAGATCAATGGAGGTAAGCTGCAACACCCGGCAATGCTTCGGGAGGCACGAGGGCACAAGAAGTTGGTTTGATATTCTCAATAGAAGAGTGGCGGCACCTTGTAGCGTTCTAGTAACTTGATTTAAACCTATGGATTTTGGGTGTTGCGTCCCAGGGCTCAAGTAGCCGGACTTCCCTCCACAGGACCGTACCAAGCAAGCAACATTGAGCCTCTATATATCCATAGCAATAATCAGCCCCATAAGGCTCACAGATCAAATCAAACCATTAGCATGGGGTAAATGAAAGGTAAATGGGGAGGGATACTCTTCAAGTGGAGATGGCCGAAAACCACAACCTCATCCTTGCCAAAGTTTGGTTCTAAACTGATTCATAATGGGAATGGCTTCATTCCCGAACACCTTGGTTTTCATCGCCTCCATCACAGAGAGGTGATGGGTTTATAAAGCCAGCATCAGCAGGGGCTTCAGAAAGGGACTTAAAATAAACCATTTTTTTAATATCCGAGGAAACGCTGACTATGCGAAACACATCTCCAGCGATCAACTTCAATTGGGGCGTATAGTAAGGTAGGTAACTTAGAGAAATGACATGGTTCCCGAGGCCAGTTAGTGTAGATAGCCTTGCATCTTTCCTCAGCAGTCAGAGGCACTGAATTCGTTGGTTTGAACTATGGAATGTACAAAATATGCTCCCAAGTCCCCTAACTTCTGTGAAATCCATGATTGGGCGATCAAAAGACTGATATAGGCATTGTATTAGCTGAAGTTAAATCAATGTTTAAGTTTCCCCTTGACCCATCCTTCAACAAGTGGTTACATGCTGTGACTGCTATGTTACATAATTATACCAAACTTTAAACCATGTTATACCTGTTCATCATCCCGAAAAAAAAATATTTAGGCTACTACGTGCTGCTGATATGCTGCCCAGAACCTCAACATTTTTACCGAAGAATGAATGCCTGACGAGTTGGTCGAAATGTTACCGTTTTATTACCATTAAAATGCTTCCTTATAGACATAACCTACCCTGTCATGAGAAATTCGCTTATCAGACGTTGGATTATCAATCAATCCGCAAGTTCGGCTGAAGGCTATGATATTTCAAACTCCGCCCGCGCATAAGCTCCGCCAACCACTTCTCCGCCAACTCAACGAGGGTATGGTCAAGGCGACCATTGGGGGGGGGGGATAACCTGACCAATTACCCACTTATTTAAATGAATTATGGGTCTATCTGACCAATTTCATGATTGGCTGTATTGAGGTGAAGTGGGTCCACCTGACCATGGAATTTTTAATCGGTCAGGTGCACGGACCAGTTACTGATTGCGTCCCACTACTGATTAGGGTGCATACCCCATATTAATATTTAAATCCCTATTCTATTCTGATTCTCTTCCTTTTCCCTCCGTAACCCTTTCAAATCGTATGCGCCCCCCCCCCCCCCCCCTGGCGCACCGATTCCTAATTACTTCCGAATCAGTTCAGAAATCCGACATCATGCCTTCATACAAGGATTCTGTAAGTACAATGGAATCGGTTTAGGATCGATTCAGAACTGATTCAGAATCAGGACGATTACAAGACCTACAAAGAAGGTCTTCTCCAGGGCGGCAAGAACCACCGCATGGAGGATCTTCCTCCCTTCGAGTTCAACGAGGTAAGTGATTCAGAAGTGATTCCACAACGATTCAGAAACAGTTCTGAATCGATTCAGGCTGGCGAAGTCAAGCTCGCCCCTGGCGAACTCTACTGCCGCTGGGTGGTAGATCCAGCAGCATCACGTGCACCAAGGTAATTCAGAATCAGTTCCGGATCGGTTCAGAACCAATTTCGAATCGATTAGACGGAGCGGTTCTCGAGCGAGTCGAACCTCAAGAACCACATCAAGAAGCACAAGCTCGACGGGGTCCCGGCCAAGGTTAAGAGCCGCAAGTCCGGCGCGAACTCCGTCGAGGAGAACGATGATGCAGCTGGTAAGTGATTCTGAACTGATTCTGTACCGATTCTGAACTAGTTCTAAACTGATTATGAATAGAATTCTACGACCGCATCCACGGCATCGCCATCGGCGCTCGCGATGACAGCGAGCTGCAGACTCCTTCCAAGAAACGGAAGGCGCAGACCCCTCCCCCCCTTCTTGCCGTGCCCACGCGCAAGCGGGGCAACCAAACTGTGGTAAGTGATTCTCAATCGATCCGGAATCCTTTTGGAACCCATTCTGAATCGATTCTGCAACAGATCAACTTCGCCGAAATGCGTCGCGCCGCCGGCTTCCCTGCCAAGGGCAAGTGCACCTACTGCACCACTGCCCGCAATGCTAGTAAGTTTAGAATCAGTCTTGAAGCAGTTCAGAACTAATTACGAATCGATTCAGAATGTCCTCCCGCCCTTCGCGATCAGGAATGTGAGGTCTGGGCCCGCTTTGAGGATGATGAAGAAGATGAGGCCTGAATCAATTCAGGATCGGTTTGGAACCAGTTTGGGACTTCTTTCGGGACCGATTTGGAACCGCTTTAGAATCAATTCTTTATAGATACCCGGGGCGTTCGGTTTTTAAGCTTTTTTTTAAAAAAGCATTTCTAAATCAATATAGAAATGATTTAGAATCGATCCTCTACCTATCCTATATGCTATCAAAGTCCTAACCTTCTCCGCCGCTCTGCTAACTCTAGTTCCTTTTCTTGTAGTTCAAGCTTCTGTTTTTCAACTAGAAGTTTTCTTGCTTCTAATTCTAATCGCTTTTCTTCTAATTCTAGACTTTGCTTCTGTAAGTCAAAGTCATCTTGTTGTCCCTGTCTGATTTCGTTTCTTAAGTTAGAAATAGATGTTCTTTGGAGAGTATTTGACCTAATAACCCCAGAAGATGAAGCATGGGAAAGACGAGGGGATCGATTCCGAATCGCTTCTGAAAGACTTCGGGATCGATTCGGAATTGAGGATGGACTTCTTGAATTAGTACCCCTTGAGGGACTAGACGTAAAGAGTCGGGTTGATAAAAGCCTTTCAACACGTTCATTATCTAGTTGCTCACGGGATTCCCTCTGGCGTTGGCGTTTAAGTTCTAAAATAATTTAGAAATAATTATTAATAAATATTAAAGTATTTTTAACTTACGTAAACGGCTTGCAGCTGTATTATAACGGCTAATAATAGAAACATCTTTCCAGGAAAGCCGGATTCCTAGTGTTGTAAACACTGTATCCTGCTCTAAAAGATGGCGATCGTATTCTGCACATCTAAGTACTTTTGAATTAGTTCTCAACGCATTCCAAACCAATTCCGAATCAATTCAGAAGGGATTCCAAACTTACTTCTGGATACATGTAAGTAATGGTAAATACCGATTACTCCAAGTATATGAGGCTTCATGTAAAACCTCAACAGTATTTGTATTAGGTATGAATTGACTCCAATCTGATAAGGGGATTTTAGAGCAGTTCTGATTAAGTCCAGCTGCAATTGTTTTTCGGGCTTTATGTTGAGCCCATGCTTTTATTTGAGGTTCAGCTAAGTAAATTAGTTCCCAAGTGACTCTGAAGCGATTCGGAAGCGATATAGAATTGATCCTTACTCTCAAATGCCTGACATAAAGCGAAGTAGTCTTCTGAGGAACGGCAGAATAGTAGGCTGCGCATTTGATTCCATAGAGAGTCAGGGCTACGGTCTTCTGTACAGTATGCCTCAATCCCTCGTTGGAAATGAATTAAACAGAAGCGTACAGAGCGTTCAACCTGCCATGCCCATGGTCTATGCTCTGGGTCACATTCCAGAGATAGATATTTCCCAAACCCTAGATAATTAGTTATAAATCGGTTCTGAATCGGTTTAGAAACTATTAAGAACCCATACCAATAAGGTTTTTATGGTCTTGATCAACTGTAATACCTAGTAGACCCCTACCATGAAGGTGTTTCCACTTGACTTTATATCCAAATTTCTTATAAAGTAGTTTAAACACAATTGTATACATCTGCTGATACATTTCTGTACTTTCAGAATTGGTAAAAACTCGGATAAGTGGAATTGCTAAAATAGTTAGGAATCTGTTAAGAATCCGTTCTAAATCGATTTAGAAGCGATTACGCACCTTTCGAAGATATCGAATTATACCATCCCCAAATAACCTCAACTTCCTCCTTTCCAGCTAGATGTTTATAGTTTGTATCTACCTGGAAAGTATTAAAAGCCTCTTTCTTCCATAATTCAGCTTGCTCTGCATGAAATACAATACATAGGTATGTATTGCCGTCATCATTAAAGTACTGAATATACTATAAGTAAATTAGTATTGAACCCGCTCAGAACCGATTCAGAATCACTTCATACCCGAATTTGACGCCTAGTTTGAGCATACTGGTATTCATACCAAATCGCTAGACGTGAACAGCCTGCTGGAAAGCTAATTGCTTCTTGTTTACGGATAATTGAGCGTAAGAAGTCTGTATTTGCTAGACTTTGATGAACGCTTGTAATAGTCTGGCTATTATAAGTATCACAGAATTCCTGAAGTTCGCGAGATTGTAGGAATGCATCTAGAATCAATACTGGATTAGTTCTGAATCGGTTCGGAAACGATTCTAAAAGGATTCTCACTTAACCCCGTTCTAGGTTGATTGATCTTCTGGACTACCTGTTGCAGCCTAGATATAATACTAGCTGGGGCTCTAACTGGTGGTGGTGGTGGATGTAAATGGACCCCATGAGAAGTTAGAAGAATAACTGGGGTAGCTTCTAGATCAAGCGGGACCCAGAAGTTCCATTTTACTGAACACGTAATTTGAAGAATTGTTTCAGGAACGATATGATTAGCGTCTAGATTGATTCAGAATCAGTTGGGAACCCATTTGGAATCGATTCGATACTAATTTACTTACCGCATCGTGTAATTCTCCTCTTATTGCTAGCAAAAAGATAACAGCTATCAGTAGGGGAGCTTTCTTCTATACTTCCCCCTTGAAGTATAGTTTTGATTAGAGGTAAATATAGCTGGAATTCGATTGGAGGAAAGCCAATATAATGGTTTTCTCCTTGGAGACTTTGTGACCAGCAGATGCAGCGGGCTGTAATCTGGGAAGTTCCTGGAATATACTAAAGTGATTCCGAATCAGTTCCAAATTGATTCCCAATCCATTCAGAAAGGCTTCTTACCCCATACTCTGTATTAACTACTTCAAGACTACATCTTTCTGTAAACGGTCGGCAGGCGGTATGTTGTTGGAAACGTTTTATCTGTGCTTGTGCCCATCTATTTATAAGTATTAGTATATTATTTCTAAAAGGGTTCCGAACCCGTTCGGAATCGATTCTGAATGCTTACGAAACTGCTTTCCGTTTGAGATCATACTGTAGTACCTCTGTTCGTAATGCTTCAATACTTTGCAAGATTTCTGGGGTAACTTTCTGATGCTTCCAGCATGGAAGATTCTGATCGAAATAAGAGCATGCCTTTCCACCTGTACAAGTGTAAGTTGAACGTAAACAAACAGCATTTTGAAGGAATGCTGAAGTCGTCCGTTTTGGTGGGAATTGCCGGGCATGGTTGTACTGAATCTGTGATGTAATTAGTTCTGAAGTAGTTCGGGATCGATCCCGGATCGATTCAAAAGTAGTTCGTTTACCATTCTCCAAGGCGATTTAATATCCTCCTCATTTAAAGTCCTTATATCAATAACATAAAGGACTCCATTCTCACTTGTTTCTGGATATTCTATAAATGTAGGTAGAAAGATTACTTTTTGAGCAAGTACATGAACATCCCTGAGGCTATTATGCCCAGAACGGGTTGCCTCTGATGAAACAAGTGTTGGAGGTATTTCTGAATCGGTTTCGAGTTGATCCTGAATCGATTTAGAACTAATTCCAAAGTCGTTCTCATATATCCCTACCTCCTCATTTACTGGTAAGCCAGACTGGGCCTGGGCTGGTAGTTGATAGTAAAGATTTAAGTCTTCTTCAGCTTCTGCATCAAGACTAGTAGGTTCTAATAGAGGACTTATTCCCTCTAGGCGAGGGAAGAGATTTTCAATCGATTGAAGAGCCATTGTAAATCGATTCGGAACGGATTTGGAAGCGTTTAAATGTCGTATGTTCTTACAAAAAGTATGTCAAGGGTGAGGTTTCAAACCGCGCTAAGGAATTTCAACCTGACCATAGCTAACTAGCTGACCATGGTCAGCTGATCTCAGGGTAGCCCCACAAATCACAAAATAAGTGGGTAATTGGTCAGGTTATCCCCCCCCCCCAATGGTCGCCTTGACCACACCCTCCAACTCAACATAACGCGTTATGTCTATCCTCGCCCGCGGTGGGGCTACTCTAGTTCCACAGTTCATCTACTCCGCTCACCGTCAAGATCAAGACCTTTACCACGTATGAGGTCAAATTGTAGGGTTCGCCATCATTCAGGCAATGATCGCTGGTAATTTTCAAACCATGAAACACTAGTGTCTGCTTATCCCAAGAATTGTTCATGATTAACCCTGTATTTTTCAAACTTTATAGGTGTTCGTTACAAATCAGGCTGAGTATCACACATGGCTGTTCATGAGAACGGTTGGTGTCAGCTCAGCGGACTTTGGGTCGCCTAAGGACCGACTACAAGGGATCGTGACTCCGCGGAAGGATCCCGTCAGGGCCATCTTGGCTCTGGCAGCAATGCCGTATTAATCCGTAAGAGTGAGACAATCTTCTTCACTCCGCTCAGTGTGATGGTGACAGAGAAACCGTTTGGTGAATTATGCCAAGGCACGCTGCGGAGATTGATAATCATGGAAACAAATAGGAAAACACCTGGGATTCTAGGCGCTGGACTTCTCAACTGATGGGAGCGGATGAATCCTCTTTACGACGTCTTTGTTAATAGACACAGGTGTAATTCCAAAATCTCCTGCAAACTACTTATAAAGCCGTGTTCCGACCTCTGATGCTCAAGAGTTTAGATACAATTCAATCACAGCTACTTTCAACCTTGGCCAGTTCTGCAGTACTCTTATCATCATCATCACCATGACTGAAAAAGCCAACAATGACGCGCCGTGGTCCCTTCACGGCAAGGCCGCTGTCGTGACCGGTGCCTCAAGAGGTATTGGAAAGGCCATCGCCATCCACCTGGCTCGCAAGGGCCTCGCCAACATTGCCATCACCTACGCAAGCAACAAGGCTGCTGCCGATGACACCATCGACAAGTGCCGCGCTCTGGGGGTCAAGAACGCAGTTGCGATCAAGGCGGACGCCCTCGATGGGGAGGCATGGCCTAAAGTTATCAAGGAATCCCTCAGCAGCCTCGGCATATCAACAATCGAAATCCTAGTCAACAATGCCATTGTTGGGGCAGTTGAGACCTATAAACCCACGACCGAGTTCAGCCCCGATAACTTCTCCAGTATAATGCTTGCAAATGTCTACGCTCCAGTAGCTACCACCCTTGCCTTTATGGAGTACGCGGCGCCTAAATCCGGCGGGCGTGTTATCAACATTTCAAGCGTTGCGGCAAAGGGTTCCAACAACGACCCTTTGATTACTTATGGTGCCAGCAAGGCGGCCTTGGACAGCTTCACGAGGTCGTTTGCTGATTCCTTCGCGTCCGAGCGGGGTATGACTTTCAACAGCGTCATTGTGGGACCAACTGCTACGGACTCTTTGTTGGATGGAATGTCCAAGTTACCTGAAAGTTTTAAGCAGCAGATAATGGGGCAAGCCTCTGCTGCTCCGCGACTTGGGGAACCTGAAGATATCGCTTATGTTGTCGGGTTTTTGGCCAGCGAGGAAGGGCGTTGGGTCAATGGTGCGGCTATCAGTGCCAATGGCGGTTTCAGGTCGGTCTTGGCTGCCCTTGGTTGAAGCCCCTTGAGATGCAATCTGTTAGTCATGGGCTTAAATCCCTAGGAATAGGGTGGCATTTAAGACTCCTACTCGATGGGTACCTGACCTATTATGGTCTGTTGGCTGTTCGTTCTTATGACTGTTTATAGCACGTCTTGAATACAGATATGGATTTATTCCAACTATTTTTTTTCACGTTTTGTTTATACAACATTCGTCTTACCATACAAACACCGCCACGCCTTTGGTCAAGTTAACGACAATTATAGTCTGCGTTGACCTGCAATTGTTAACAAGTCACAACGACTGGTTGATTTCTACTTTGAATGAGATTTTTAGATCCATTTTATGACTTATCTGTTTCTGCATGTTGCCCGATTATGTTGGAATTATATTACGCTGGGTGTGTCACCAAACTCGATTTGATGTCCAACTTCCCACTTCTCAGTAGCTTTGAAGAACATGACTAAGTATAGTCAATTTCAGTTGACACATTTGTCTCTGTAATAATCCATTTCCTGCACAGCCAATCTTATTTCGATATATACTCAGCTCGCAAATGCGGTACTTGAAGAGCCGCTACAATAAAGTAGTGGGGACGCGTTGAACGCAGGACCAGGAGCATGGACGGACTAACCCCGACGCATGGCCTGTGTAAGTGGCGCACGGGATTCTCCCGCCTCCCGCTACCCACAAGTCTCTTCAACCAGAGCTATGAGGCCCGATTGAACCAGGTGATAAGTTCTTGTCCGCTGGCCCATATTTGACCATTGATATATTTCATGTTCTCTACCTTGGATCTGTAGGTATCTGTATATACCAACTTTCAGCATCATCACAACGTTCAAAATGACTGTCGTTCACATCGGTAAGACGCCCGACATAGATTCTTGTATTTGGCCTCTTGAGCCTGTAGCCTAATTCAAATTTCACAGTCCTCTTTAAGTTTCGCCCGGAAGTCACAGACGACCACAAGGCGACTTTTGTTCGAGAACTTAAGACCCTCAAAACTCTTCCCTGCGTGAAGGCGCAACGTCTCGTCGTCGGCGGCCCATCAATCACAGACCCCATAGAGCGCAGTAAAGGGTATCATTTCGCGCTTCTGAGCTTCCACCAGGATCGTAAAGCACTTGAAGAGTATCAAGCCAGTGCAGAGCATCACAGGTAAACACAACCTTGACTGTTCAGAGACCTTTCGCTAACACGTCATCAAGGGTAACTAGTACATACCTATGGCCATTCAAGGAGGATGTCACCAGATTCGACTTTGAGGTTGACCAGGAGGATGAGCACATGTGGGATTTTGTTGCAAAGGGAATGGTAAATGGTTCTTCGTAGTGCTTTTCGGTTCTCATTGGCGGCCATACGGTACCCGAGTGAAGTCGTGGCCTCATAGATCTAGAATGGTATATTATATAGAGAAAATCAAGGCTGGTTATAGAGTGTTCATTTGTTAGATCTGTCAATCTGAGTTGATTCAGTTTACATATTAGCGCGTTTTGGTTTATATTCAGCTCTTAAAGAAGTTTTCTGTTGGCGACAGATAAGTCTCAAGCTCTACAACAATATTCAATGATGAATACTTTCCGGGCATGTTTTGAAATTGAGATATCACCCTACGAGCAAACAATCCTGGCTGAAACTGATGTTCTCTGAATCTATGTGCGTCCAGTAGACGATGTAATACCACCATCGACGACAATCCTCTGTCCTGTAATGTACCTTGCTTCGTCCGAAACCAAAAACGCCGCCGCATTCGCAACATCCCAAGCATCTCCCATCCGGCCCATTGGAACTTGATCGTCTCTCATCTTTTTGAACGCTTCATAACCACCCTCCATCGGAAAACGCGACGCCAAACTCTTGGTATAAGGCGTCTCCATCAGCCCCGGCACCACTGTATTCAGCCGCACCTTTTTCGGCGCGTAAATGACGGCAGTGGCTTTGACGAACTGCATAATGGCCGCCTTTGTCGTATTGTATGCAATCTGAGGCTTGCCGATGTACCTCAAACCCGCAATGCTTGAGATGCACACGATGCTCCCTCCCGTCTCCTGTTTCTCCATAACAGGCAGAACGTGGTGACATGCGAGGTACACGCTCTTGAGATTCAATTCAATCTGAGAGTCCCACGTCTCCTCAGACATGGTTGCGGGGCACCCCGGCTGGGATTGGCCTACATTGGCGAGGAGAATGTCGATACGGCCATGCTTGGCAAGGCAGGCGTCCACGAGCGCTTTCACAGACGCAGAGGATGTGGCATCTGTTACGACAACGTCACAAACGCCGCCGGCCTCCTCAATCGCTTTTGTAGTCTTGGCCGTCGACTCAATGGTACGGTTTCCGCCAAATATGATGGCGCCCTGTTTTGCAAAGGTGATGGCACAGGCAGCGCCGATTCCCCAGCCTTCTGAACCTGTTTGGCCCAGTCCAATGACCAGGGCCACTTTTCCTGTAAGGTCGAGCATGGCGATGTAAGTGGCGGCGGAAAAGGTTCGGAAAAGATGGGTCTTCTTGAAAAGTTCCGAGGTACAATGCGGTCGAAGAGAATAAAATGTTTAAGAGAAGTTATCTTCAAAGTGAGCACTTCAAGGTATTGCTTCAACCTTTGTCTCACAATTGACAATATAAATATGCACTACTTTAGATGCGGTGCCTAGGCTATTCTAGACAAGATGTTTAATTATATGGTGGCATGAGTTGTGGCGGCAGTGCGACGGAGAAAGTCCGTCCGCAGCGGACAAGAAGCCGAACCTTGCGGCCGTCCTATTGCCGTTGGCGATCACGACATGCGGAGTCCCCGCACTTCATACGGACTCGGATAAGTGCTGCTGGCCAACCATAAAAGACTGAATAGTAATTCCCGTAATTGTGTCATTGCCCTTGACTTTCAAAACTGGTAGGAACAAAATTGAAAATGGCTGAACAAACGACGACATCAAAACCCGAAAAGAAGCCGGTAACTGGCGACTACGACCTCTCGACGCCAATTGACCCCAATTCCACGGGGTTGCGGCAAGGTCTGACGTCGTATGGCGACGCCCACTTCTCCCTCTTCCTTCGGAAGGTCTTCATTAAGGCCCTCGGTTACAGCGAAGATGCCCTCTCGCGGCCCATCATCGGCATTGTCAACACATACTCCAGCTTCAACCCTTGCCATGCAAATGTACCACAGCTGATTGAGGCTGTGAAGCGCGGCGTCCAGCTTAACGGCGGCTTGGCGATAGACTTCCCCACTATCAGTATTGCTGAGAGCTTCGCATCGCCGACGAGCATGTACCTGAGGAACCTGATGAGTATGGATACGGAAGAGATGATCAAGGCCCAGCCATGTGATGCTGTTGTTCTTATCGGAGGTAAGTTACCTACCCAGCATGTATGGCAAAATTGAGATTGGGATCTAAGACCTCACAGGATGCGATAAGACGACGCCGGCTCAACTAATGGGCGGCATCTCCGCCAACAAGCCTATCTTGCATTTGGTAACAGGTCCTATGATGCCTGGAAGCCATAAAGGTGTAAGAATCGGCGCGTGTACAGATTGCCGCAACAACTGGGCGGCATACAGAGCCGGTAAGATTGATATCGAAGACATCTCAGCCATCAATGATGAGCTTGCGCCAACGGTGAGCACTGAAGAAAACCTCTAAATCTGCGCATTCGCTAACAACAGAAGGGCGGAACCTGTGGCGTCATGGGCACCGCATCAACGATGGCGTGTATCCTAGTCGGTCTGGGCATGATGCCTTTCGCCGGCGCAACTGCGCCAGCTGTTTCCTCCGCTAGACTTCGTATTGCTGAGCAGACCGGTGGCCTTGCCGTGGCGTTGCACAAGCAGAGACTGAAGCCACAGGAGCTGCTAACCCGCGAGTCTTTCTTGAACGCTATCACCGTTTTACAAGCTATCGGCGGCTCGACCAACGCCGTCGTGCATTTAATGGCGATCATCGGTCGTCACCCAGCGGTAGCTGGGACCATTACACTCGACACATTTGATGAGATCGGCCGCAAGACGCCACTTATTGTCGACCTGAAGCCAAGCGGAGACAACTACATGACTGATTTCCACAATTCCGGCGGGATGTTGGCTCTCCTGCACGAGATCAAGCATCTCTTGCATTTAGATGCCATGACGGTGACGGGTAAGACTCTGGGAGAAGAGCTGGCCACGACACCATTCATCCCCGTTCCCCGAGATAGCTTGGTGAACTGTCTGCAACCTTTCAACGATCCTTTGTACCCCGCTTCTGCGCTGGCCGTTCTCCGAGGAAACATCGCTCCAGGAGCTGCTATAATCAAGCAGAGCGCGTCGAAATACAAACACTTGTTGAAGCATTCTGGTCCTGCTGTCGTGTTCGCCGGTTCCGCAGATCTTGCCCGCCGAATCGACGACCCGAACTTGGACGTCACCCCTGACAGCGTTCTTGTTTTGCAAAATATTGGTCCCGTGGGTAACCCAGGAATGCCAGAGGCGGGACTTATTCCTATTCCCAGAAAGCTTGCCGAGCAAGGCGTGCAGGACATGCTGCGTTTGTCTGATGGCAGAATGAGCGGCACAGCTGGCGGGACTATCGTGTTGCATATCTCGCCCGAGGCAGCGGATCCAGAATCTGTCCTTGGCATTGTCAGGGATGGCGATATCATCACTTTTGACGCGGAGCAACGGATCATCAAGGTTGAAATATCTGACGAGGAGATACGCAAGAGAATAGATGAAAGGTTGCAGGCTCTGGAGAAGGAGGAGGCAAATGGCGGCAGTGATGCGCCCTGGGTCGCTAAGAAGCGAATCAGGGGCTACCGCGGACTATACCTGCGTTCAGTCAACCAGGCTGAGGGTGGAGCAGACTTTGACTTTTTGACAGCAAACGGACCTGCAGGGGGTTATTGAAGGAATTTATGGATCATAAATAAGACTGCAATAAAATGTATCAACACTTAATCATACATGCTATGCTAAATCTCCTTATCTAGGTGAAACTGGGGTATGTTGGTATGAAATCGTCAAATAGCCCGCGCATGATGTTATCCAGGTTGGAAGTTTCTCCCATTTGCAATTGATCCCCAAATGTTGTGCTGGCCAGGAAGGATTCGAATGGGTCTTGTGGAAGGTACGCTTCTGAGCCGCTGGCCGTCAAAGCAGCCATGGTCATTGGATGCGAGAGGCCTTCAGCATAGCTCATCCTCGGCGTTCCTGTACCGTTCAGACCGCTTTCAAACGGATTCATAGGTTGGGCCTGTGATGGATCTAGCCTTGAAGAGCGTCGTTGGTGTTGAACATCCAACGCAGCCGGTTGGCTAGGAAGGTCTTTGATCCAGCGAACGGTTGCCCGAATCATATCATCGAGTATGTCCCTGCAGCGCTTTGCTCCGGACCAATGCTCTCCTGTAGCGGCCAGAACTCCCAATCCAGCACTAAAGTCAGACATCAAAGAGTCCAGCGGTGTCTGTCTAGCGATCTCAGGCACCATCTTGATGCAGTATAGCATAGTGATGACGCTCAACACAATGGAGTGGGGTGTGTTCCATGCATGCATAAGTAGGTTCTGTTTGTAAAGTTGATCCAGAAGGCGAATGCTTTGAAAAGCAGCATCGAAGCATTTGCGCAACGATTCCGATGACGGATTGGGAATGGCAGGGCTTGGGCGCAGCAACAGCATTCGCAGGCCGTGATATCTGATTTGGCAAACGATATGAATGTACTCAAACCCTGGAAGTTGAGGAATACCACCGTACCAATCGTCCAGTTGCTGAATCATGCCGTTTTGCCATTCGTGGATGTCAATGACTGCTGGGTATGCGTATCGAGGGGTGTCGCGAACTATGCTATTTGCGACGTATTTGAACTCTGAGTTTAGCTTGGCTAGACGGAAGAGATGAATTGAAAAGGCCATACGGCCTGACTGTACTGAATTAAGAGGTTGGCCAAATCCCTGAAGCGATATATCATCAATATTTTGTGGAAGCTGTAAAGTGTTAGTTTACCTGCTGAATCAAAATCAGGCTCACTTACTCGGAGGTCGCAGGCTTCGTCACGTAGGCCAATCGGTCGACCCATCATTGTTGCGATCATTCGATCCAGAGTAAGTACTACCCAGAAAATTCTTGTCCTCATTTCTTGTTCCAGCAGAGAGATGCCAGCATTAGTGTTGATATCGCGTTGAAGTCCTAGATCTAGCACGGCAGCAATGCATTGATAGTTAAGATACCACACGTTCAAGCGCATGGATGCACTATGCATTGTGAATATAGTTAGTAATAGGAGACATTGTAAGCCACGAATAGAGTTTTCAACGTTGATGCGGTCGAAGTATTGCAGTGCCGATAGGCAGTATGATTCCCCGGACAGACGTGCCCTGGTCCGGCGGGACAGGACGGTAGCCCCAAGTGCGAGCACCATAAAGACTTGGAATACGCCAGTGGGGCCTTGATCTGCCTCGGTACCATTCTCATAGACTTGGTCTAGGAGCATCATGAACGTTGGTTGATGAAGTATCGGATACTGTACGTTGATAACGTCGAAGTACATTTCTGCCAGTTGTTTTGCCTGCTCTTTGCCAGGTAATGGAAGGGCACCTTGCATAGCTTCGACAAGGGCAGTCGGGAATGGGCTATTTGATCCTGGGGTTTTAGACGGCCAAGCCGTCTGATCTTCTTGGCGAGTCGAATTAAGCATTAATCGGGCCAAGAAGTATCCACTGGAAGGCCCTATATACTTAGGGTCCTGGTCACTCCCCAGAGACACCATTCCGATTTCATGTGAAAGGGCGTTGCTGGCGGATGGGTCAATCAGACGTGCTTCTGGGCGGGCATGTGGAGGAACAGGCGCAGGCTCAGACGAGACGGAGTGCTGAACTCTCGTTTCGTTATCATCTGCCTGACCTGAATGGTCCTCCCTTTGGGTAAGACCCTCATCGACGGTTGACTCAGCAGCGAAGGTCTCGTCACCATCCAAGTCCATGTCGACATCACTAGATGGCCCTTGGCTTAAATCAACATCCGGACATCGTTCCCGCACAATGCTTTCAAGCCATTTGATACGGTCTTTCAGATGGGATATTTGCCTAAACATTTGTTAGGTCAATGGGATTGAGACACTTCTTAGACCCTGCTCACGCTCTCGGTAGGTCTCGGAGACGAACACTCTCGCCATCAGTACATGCCACAGAGGCTTTCTTGCAGTTGTTACATGTCGGCAGCTGGCCATCACACTGCATCCAATCAGCAACTGTTCCGCACAAATCGGCCGGCACAATGATCCACACTTACACGGATCTTCCGTCGCTGGCAGCGAGCGCAGGCCAATCGTAGCCGGGCTGTTCTCCGCGGCTGGCGGCTCGATTGCCGGGTAATACTTTGATCGGGCATTTTCCGGACTCAAAGATAAGACCCACGAACCGATTCCACAGATTCGGAGGCGACGTGCTTTGGTAAGAATCTGGAGGATGAAGTGATTCGGGAAATGTCCGATGTGGGACAAAGGAGTGAGGTTGAAAAAGGTTGAGGGAAAGACAGATGCGGGGAAACCCCGCAACCAAACTTTGCTGAGTCGGTGTTATTCCGCACAGTCGAACAAACTTTAGTCTAACTGTGTGCTCAGACATCACCATCGCAACATCTTTTGAGACACTTTGAAAGAGACCGAATCTCCAGCTTCCTTACTGCACTCAATTACTCTCATACCAGCCTTTAATAAGAGTCTTCCAAGGTTTGACTTGAAAGTTTCTTTCATCGAAACACCAATATCATCTTGTTCCGGTTTTGGCATACAGTATCGAAGACTCATCCAACATGGCAGACTCATCAGAACTCAAGATCCATGTCTCAGCTTCCGAAGCCAAGCGTCTGGTAGAAGACATCCTCAAAGGCAACGGCGTGCCGTCAGAAAATGCTGCCACAGTGGCCCGTTGCCTCATCGCTGCCGACCTCCGTGGAGTGGACACTCACGGCATGAACCGCATTCCCTCCTACATGGAGCGCATCCGTCAGGGCGTTCTCAACGCCGCTGCCCAGCCTGAGCTGCGCCAAGTTACCCCCGTGGTGGCCCACATCGACGGCCATAACGGATTCGGCTTTGTCGCCGCTAGCATGGGTATGGCCGCCGCCATTGAGTCCGCCAAGACTTACGGCATCGGCATGGCAAGCATCGCGCACTCGAACCACTTCGGCATGAGTGCCTGGGTCGTCCAGCAAGCTATTGATGCGGATATGATGAGTCTCGTATTCACCAACTCAAGCCCTGCCTTGCCAGTCTGGGGCGGTAAGAGCAAGCTCATGGGTGTCTCACCAATTGCGTGTGGTGCCCCTGGAAAGGATAAGCCTTTCATTCTCGACATGGCTCCCTCAGTGGCGGCCAGAGGCAAGATCTACAAGGCCAAGAGACGAGGAGAGAAGATCCCCTTGGACTGGGCACTGGATGCCGAAGGCCGGCCGACAGATGACCCTGCGGCGGCGTTGGGGGGTGTTATGCTTCCCATGGGTGGCCCCAAAGGTTCGGCCTTGTCCATCATGATGGATGTGTTTTCGGGTGTTCTCTCGGGCTCTGCCTTTGCCGGTCATGTGACGAATCCATATGACCCCTCAAAACCCGCGGATGTTGGCCATTTCCTCGTTGCCATCAAGCCAGATCTATTCATGAGCCTAGACGACTTTCGCGAGAGGATGGATTACTTGTACCAGCGAGTTGTTGGCTCGGACAAGGCAGCGGGGGTTGACCGTATCTACTTCCCGGGTGAGATTGAGCAACTGAACCAACAGGAGAGAGAGAAGACCGGTATTCCCCTTGTACAGGCTGAGATTGACGCCTTGAATGAAGAAGCCAAACGGGTTGGTGCGCAACCGTTGTCCTCGATAACAGCATAGAGTATAATTATGATGCGCAAAAATTGATTCTCATTATTTGGTTCATAATTCTTTCAAATACTCACTGCGTCCCTCTCCATGCTCTTGATTTTCTAATTTCATTCAATACTGTTAATTTTGGACTTGATACTCAATGCCTTTGTCGCCCTTCTCTATGATTTGATTTTCGATGTAGGTACACAAGCAGAACATGGCTAAATAGACAGGAGCCCAGCATCTACAAGCCTCGATCTGTTTTCAGTTAAGCAGTCTAAAATTTTCACAAGCAGCTTTTTGTATCGTTCCCTGACTTTCACTTTGAGCGAGCCATTAACTGTATAATAAATATACTACGCATTAGAACGGACCGATTTCATTCTCGATGTTTGCAACTGTTCCTGCAGATGGCCTCAATCCTTGTTTGTAGTAGCATGTTTAATGTCTCAAGAAACTTACTGTAGTAACTTCGACTTCGTGGCTTGACTTTGCGAGAATCTACGATACTGAAAGACACAATAACGTCCCACACCCACTTCTGGGCACCCCCCACATTTGGGCACCCCATTTACACCAAAAACGCCGTTTTTCGAAATTCTATATTAAACTAAATACTTTACTTATTAAAGAGAATAAATATATGTTAAATAGATTAAGACTTAATTATAATACTTAAGTAGCTATATACTAGTATTATTGATAATAAGTATTATAAATTCAAGGTTTAACATTTATAATACTAATTTACCTAGCCTATTGTTACGACCCGACAGTTAACAGACCACTGACGACGACCCCGCAGGGGCTCAGCGGTTATAGGGACGGCCGTCAGCCGTTACGTCGTAACAACCCCCACGGAACGGAAGAACTAGGATACAGGTCACGTGACGATAAGCAGGACCGACGGACGATAAGCGGTCCTGGGACAGGACCGACGGTGCCAAGGGCGGTCCATGGCGATGGACCGACGTCCTGGGTGTCGGTCCCCCAGGATCAGGAAGTGTTCAGCATGGAACCAGACTTGTATATAGTTGGGACTCGAGTCCTCTCGAGTCCTACCTTTCCTAGTTCTTCAGCAATCAACTTTGTGATTACCCTAACCGGTACTTTCAGCTATACCTAAGTGACGACTACTCTACGACTCTTGTTGAGGCCTTGACTGATCACCAAGACCTTTGAAGATCTACGATCTATTCGACCAGGACCACGGAACGACTGTTACTACTCTCAATCCCTGGCTTACTGTTAACACAAACCCACTGTTAGTTAGCTGGCCGTAACACTTTGATTGCTCCTGTTCAGTAAGTCACCTTTTGAGAACTACTAAACAGTATAGACAAGATGTCTTCTCGCGCTTCTGCCAAATCACCCACTCCAGGATCCTCATCCTCTTCGCGCAACCAGCCTCAGAGCCTCGCGCAGGAGCCTGCCAACACTGAGGACTTCGACATGCCGGACCTCAAGTACGACTCCGATGGAGATGGCTCTTTCACCAAGGAAAGCTACGATAAGCTCCGACGCATAATCCAGAAACAAGAAGCCGAGACAAAAGACATGCAGAAAATCGTCAACGAAAACCGACAAGCAATGGAAAACCTCAACGAGCAACTCCAGCACGCTGGACAGGCCTACAAGAAGCTGGAAGAAGACATCAAGGGGGACGCCAACCTCCGGAAGATCCAGGAACTCCAGGGGGAAATCACCACCCTCCGGGCCGCCGCCAACATCGTCACCACGCCCGTCCACGGAGGACGACAAAAGCTCAAGCTCAGTGCGCCTGTCACCTACGACGGAACCCCCGGGACCCTTAAAGGATTCCTGATTCAGGTCAAAAACTACCAGAACTTTCACCATGGAGATTTCACCAACGAAACCGAAAAAGTAGTACACGCAGCCACCTACCTCCGAGGAAAGGCCCTCAAGTGGTTTGAACCAATCCAGGAAGAATACCTCAAATGCGAGACCCTCGACGAGTGCACCACCGAGACCCGCGACATCTACGCCAATTTTAAAGGATTCGAGGATGCGCTCAGGTCACTCTTCCAAGACCCCGACGAAAAGCGACAAGCCGAACGAGATCTGGCACAACTTAAGCAGACTAAGTCCGCCAAAGACTACTCCGCCAATTTCCGACAACTTAGCGTTCAACTCGACCTTACCGAGGAAACCAAGATCTTTATGTTCTATCAAGGACTAAAAGACGAAGTCAAGGACGAGATTATCAAGATTGATCGACCTGACGACTTTCTCTAGTACGCCGAACTCGCTATCAAAATCGACAACCGGCTTTTCGAACGACGAAAGGAAAGAGGCGAAAAACGACAAAACCCTAACTCAGGACGTAAGTACCAGTGGCAGCCTCAGCACCAGTTCAACAACCAGCGAAACGACAATAGACCCCGCAACAACTGGAACAACCCCCGACAAAGTACTGCCTATGGTCACCACAGTGGACCAATGGACCTTAGTGCTACACAGAGAAACGACAAAAAGAACGACAGTTGGAAGAAAGATAGACAGTGCTATAACTGCCAGAAGATTGGACACCTAGCATACGAATGCAGGTCACCTAAGAAGGAACGCTTCCAACCGGTACCAGAGAAACGACAAGCGAGTATCGCTACGAAGACGATCCCTCATGAACAACTCAACTGGACCACCTGCTTCGATGACAACTGCCATATCCACTCTAGCAGTAAGGAACACGCAGGATGGTACCCCCAGAAACCTCAAGAACGATCTGGTTACGACACCACCAACGCACCTAAACGGACCCTCGCTGTGGGATATAGAAGCAACAGCAAAATCGAGCGCAAGACAATCGAACAGCTCGACAGTATGAACGACAACGAGGAATTAGAACAAGACAATCAGCGAAGACTAAACCTCCTCTACGCAGGACGACAAGCCAACCTGCAGCGGATTCAACAGGACTCACAAAACCCTATGTGGCAACGACAACTCGGTGCGCTGGACGCACACATCGAACGACGACAACATGCACAAGGAGATCCCGCACGGATCCGCCAGATCAACCAAGAACTGGAAGAACAGGTCGAATCAGAAACGACCAAGAACACCCCCAACGACTCGGAAACACCTCGCGATGTTGCCCGCCAACATGCCCAACTGGAAGTCGCCTTTGAAGTCGCTTCAGTCAACGACACCAGCTCTGGAGAGGACTCTGACGAAGAAATACAGTGGTATCACTGCTACCAAGACCAGCGCCGAGTCCACTATATCAAGAAAGACGAAGCATGGAAGAAACAGCAAGAAAACGACGAACAAGGAACGGACGAGCAGTCAAAAAACTAGACTCGCCTACCGAAGACAAGGGACAACGACAGGCAGTCCAGACAAGGTCCCTATGTAGCGCAACGACGCCTACGACACAACGACACGAGCATGTACAAGTCCAAATACAGCTCAACGGAAGAACAGCTACCGCCATGATCGACAGCGGAGCCCAAGGAAACTTCATATCACCAAGAACGGTGAATGAAAGAAAGATAACCTGGAAAAGAAAAGCAGCCGAAGACTGCTACGAACTCAGCACCGTTGAAGGAGAACAAGTCCAGTACGGCGGAGGACGCATTGCTATGGAGACAGCGCAACTCCCTTTGCAGATCCATGGCCGGAATGAGCGACTGAACTTCGATATTACGGAGATAGGAGACAAGTACGATGTCATCCTTGGAAGACCATGGTTATACGACAGTAACCCACGGATAGATTGGAGAACAGGCCAACTCCATTGGGACCAGGATTCAGTCACTGAGAAGCAACCACGGAACGGTGCCTCAAACGAACCTCTCAAGACTCCTGAAGCGAAGAGATTTCTAGCATACCTACGGATAAAGGATGCAAACGCCAGGACGTTATCAGCAACAGACATCGGCAAGGAAGACCGACTTCTGTCTATCCCAGAAGAATACCGGCAATACCAGAAGCTATTCGCCGAAGAACTCGAGACCGGACTCCCGGAACACAGCAACTACGACCACGAGATACCCCTTAAGGAAGGGAAGGAGCCAAAGCTAGAAGCAATCTACGGACTCAACCAGAAAGAAATGGAAGCACTCGACGCTTACCTCGAAGAAAATCTACAGAAGGGATACATCAGACCCTCTACATCACCAGCGGGATACCCAATCCTGTTCGTACTAAAAAAGAACGGCAAACTACGACTCTGCGTCGACTACCGGAAACTCAACGACATTACGATCAAGAACTGCTACCCACTACCGCTCATCTCCGAACTACGAGACCTGTTGCACGGAGCACAGTGGTTTACAGCACTCGACCTAAAAGGAGCCTATAACCTGATCCGGATGAAATCAGGTGAAGAATGGAAGACAGCGTTTCGAACACGCCGAGGACATTACGAGTACCTTGTGATGCCCTTCGGACTTACCAACGCACCCGCGACATTCCAGACGATGATCAACCACGTCTTACGAGAATTTCTAGATGTGTTCGTCGTAGTTTACCTCGACGACATCCTAATCTTCTCCAAGACTCTGGAAGACCACAAAAAACACGTACACCAAGTACTGCGGAAACTGCAAGACGCCAAACTCCTAGTGGAACCCGAGAAGAGCAAGTTTCACGCCAAAGAAGTCGAATTCCTAGGTTTTACGATAGCCCCAGGAATCCTCAAAATGTCCAAAGACAAAATCGCAGCAGTACGAGACTGGCCTACACCACAGAACGTTAAGGACGTACAATCCTTTATTGGATATGTGAACTACTACCGACGGTTCCTAGAAGGGTACTCAGACAAAAACGACCCTCTCACGAGACTCTCGAAGAAAGATGTTCCCTGGCAATGGGAAGAAGAACAAGAACAAGCCTTCAACGAGATCAAACAACAAGTCACATCGGAACCAATACTTGTTATACCAAACCCCGAGAAACCATTCGAAGTCGAGACCGACTCCTCAGACTACGCTATAGGAGGACAACTAGGCCAACGAGACGACGAAGGACGACTATACCCTTGCGCCTTCTTCTCACGCAAGTTACACGGCCCAGAACTCAACTACCAGATACACGACAAGGAACTTATAGCAATTATCGAGGCATTCAAAGAATGGAGACCGCAACTCTCAGGAACCAAGTACGAGGTCAAAGTATACACCGACCACAAGAACCTCGCACACTTCACCACATCGAAAGATCTCAACAAACGACAAATTCGATGGTCCGAATTCTTGTCAGAATTCAATTTCAGAATCATCTACCGGAAGGGCAAGGAGAACGGCAGGGCCGACGCCCTCAGCCGACGACCGGACCACGAGGTCCAGGTACCTGAGGAAACCCGAGTTATCCTCAAAACAGACAAAAACGGAGACCTTGTGCCAGCAGCCAGACTCTTAATGATGGCCAGAAGAGACAGTACCAGCACGCCTGGAAGGATGTCTCCTGAAGCCATTAGGGAGATACACTCCGCACCCGCACATGGTCACCAAGGCGTAACCAAAACGTGGAAACGCATCCGTCAACACTACGACAAAACGGCTACACGACAAGAAGTATCTTTAGCGATTAAGGACTGTGAGGTTTGCGCAAAAAGCAAACCCAGCCGACATCAGCCTTATGGAAAGATACAGCCGCTCCCAGTGCCGCAAACCGCATGGGAATCCATCTCGCTGGACTTCGTCACTAAGTTACCTAAGTCCCGAGAACCGATGACCAACGTCCACTACGACAGTGTCCTCGTCATCGTCGACAGACTCACAAAGTACTCATACTTCATTCCGTACATGGAGTCAAGCACTGCAGAAGACCTCGCCTACAAGTTTCTGCAGGTGATCGTAAGCCAACACGGAATGCCGAAGGAAATCGTATCCGACAGAGACAAGCTGTTCACTTCCAAGTTTTGGAGATCCCTGATCTCGCAGCTAGGATCTGACCACAAGATGTCCACCGCTTTCCATCCGCAAACCGATGGCCAGACAGAACGAATCAATCAGATCATGGAAACCTACCTACGCTGCTACGTCAACTATCAGCAAAACAACTGGGTCCAACTGCTACCTATGGCCTAGTTCGCCTACAACAGCGCAGTAGGAGAAAGTACAAAAGAATCACCATTCTACTTGAACTACGGATTCAACCCGACAGCCTATGGACAACCCCGACAAGGCCCAACAGCTCTGAAAGCTGTGGCAGATATCAACAAACTCAAGGAAATCCAACGAGATCTTCCTAGAGACCTTGAATTTGTGCGCGAACGCATGCGCAAATACGCTGACAAGACAAGAGTTGAGGGACCAACTCTGAAGGAGGGGGATAGCGCATACCTTCTCCGCCGGAACATCAAAACAAAACGACCAAGCGATAAGTTGGACTTCAAGAAACTTGGACCCTTCGAAATCACGAAGAAGGTATCCAACGTCAACTTCAAACTCGCACTACCAGACACTATGAAGTGTCATCCAGTTTTTCATATTTCACTTCTCGAGCCAGCACCAAAAGGATCACGAACTATGGACCACATCGAAGTCGACCCGGAACAGGACTACGAGGTCGAAAGGATCCTCGATCACATCGATCAGCACGATGACACAGAAATACAATACCTAATCAAGTGGAAAAACTACGGACACGAAGAAAACACATGGGAACCCGCATCAAACTTGGAGCACGCACAAGAGGAACTTCAAGAATACTGGACGCAATGGGAAACACGACAGCACGCCAAAGTCATGCAAAGACCAACACACAACCCTCGCGTCAGAAACCCTCAACCCAAGTTTCGACCAACCAAGAAACCCCAGGGCAACAAAACGTTTCTTCGCCTAGGAACACCTAGCCCTGAGTAGCCGAGGAACCTCCAACACTCCCCGCACCCGCGCCATCCACCAGAGGACCCAAACCCACAAACTCGTCACCAAAACCAAAAAGGGACCAAGGAGGATCATTCCCGAGACCCACTGCCTGGAGGTCACTAACGACGAACCTCTCGTGAGCATCCAAGGCAGGTAGGACTTCGTCGTCCGCCAGGACGCCATCCTCCCTGTCAACCTCCTGCATACCACGCTCAAAAACTTCGGTCTGCCGCTCCCGAACTATCTTACGGACCGTCCGAATCCGTTTCAGACGACCCGCAGCATCCGCCATTTGAACTTGCAAACGAGCAAACTCTTGATGAAGCGCGAATAGCTCCTCACCCGCTTTCTCTTCTTTCTCATCCCACTCCTTTTGCTGAGAGTTCAACTTCTGAACTAGAAGCAAACATTAGCAACCCCCAGAACAGCGAAAACACAAAAACACGACTTACGAGTAGACGCCACGAGGACGCCGTCACAAGGTTTCTTCGCCTCGATGCAAGTCCTACAGCGTGTAGACTTCTCGCCAAAACGACACGGGACCTTTGCACGGAAACAACGAGTGCAAGGCATGTCGCTAGCAATCGATCGGGACTCCACGTATTCAATAAGCGCAGCTCTCTCACGATCTTTTATCACAGTCAAGTGCGACTTTGTCTTTCGAACGCGACCTGACATGGTGTCAGCATCATGAAAAACAAAGGAAGCAAATTTGTGGATCCCCAACCTGGGACCAACGACCTACTTATACTCAGGTCTCGAGGACAAGACCTTTAAGAGGGGAGCTGATGTTACGACCCGACAGTTAACAGACCACTGACGACGACCCCGCAGGGGCTCAGCGGTTATAGGGACGGCCGTCAGCCGTTACGTCGTAACAACCCCCACGGAACGGAAGAACTAGGATACAGGTCACGTGACGATAAGCAGGACCGACGGACGATAAGCGGTCCTGGGACAGGACCGACGGTGCCAAGGGCGGTCCATGGCGATGGACCGACGTCCTGGGTGTCGGTCCCCCAGGATCAGGAAGTGTTCAGCATGGAACCAGACTTGTATATAGTTGGGACTCGAGTCCTCTCGAGTCCTACCTTTCCTAGTTCTTCAGCAATCAACTTTGTGATTACCCTAACCGGTACTTTCAGCTATACCTAAGTGACGACTACTCTACGACTCTTGTTGAGGCCTTGACTGATCACCAAGACCTTTGAAGATCTACGATCTATTCGACCAGGACCACGGAACGACTGTTACTACTCTCAATCCCTGGCTTACTGTTAACACAAACCCACTGTCAGTTAGCTGGCCGTAACACCTATATCTTAATATATAAAATAGGTAGAGATATTTAACTAATATGATTAGAATTTTTAAGTAAGATATAGTAGATTTATATATTCTTATACTTAGTAAAAAATTCTTTAAGCTTAGAATAATATTTTAAAATTTCCCTTAAGAAAAGTTTCTATTATAGAATTTTAACCCTTAATTATACTATATTTACTAAAGTAATACTTTTAAATCTCTTTTAGATATAATTATATACTTTTAATAAGTATAAATATTAATTTCCTAGATTTTTTAAATAAGTATATATGAGCGAAAATATATTTTTCTAATGTTAAGGAATACTAGTAAGTTACTAGTATCTACTAACATTTTAAAGCTTTTAGTTTTAAACTTCTATATTATAACTATTATTATATTTAAACCTTTATAAAAAATTAGATGGCTATAATTATACTTAACATAGTTTATATATATTTTATTTTCTTAGTAAGTATAGTAGTTAGTTTAATATAGAATTTCGAAAAACGGCGTTTTTGGTGTAAATGGGGTGCCCAAATGTGGGGGGTGCCCAGAAGTGGGTGTGGGACGTTATAGGGCACTTTTGAGTTGTGCGTCATGTTGTAGGCGATGATGCCCTACAGGTGATACTAGCTGAACCTAAGTTACTGAGTTGAAGAAACTTTAGAGAAGATTTTGACGATCAATATAGACGAATATTTGTTCAAGCTATGTGCACAGAATAGACCTCAGTTCTTTCCTTTGGATTCAAAATATGCATCCTTGAATAAAGAGCAGGTGGGAATTTTGCAAATGCCTTCTGCTTTCTTTTTCTTCGCTTTTCCATCGTAGTCATTTAGGCATAAATTTCTGTCGGGACGCAGTTGAAGACAAACTTGCACATTTTACGGAGTGTCATGTTTAAAGCGTTGTAAGGAACTTGTTTCTCTTTTGTTTTCACCAAAGGTCACTATTGGATGTCTGCAACGCTTCAATGTATCCTCTGTATGTTGTTTAACCGTGTAAATCATCCAAGATGGATTTTATAAAGGCCTGAGAGAATAAAAGTCTGGTCAGTTAGTCTTTCGAGCTCTCATTATGGCCGCTATGTCTTTCTTTCAACCCGAGGTAAGGCCGACCCAGGTCACTTTGTTTTTGGTAGGATCAGTGATGCAGGAACCTTTCTCTGGGTACCTGCATAATGGACAAGCAGTGCAACTATCACCTTACCACACTCTGTGCGTCCAATAAGGAGGCCCTCCCATGTTTACACACAGACTATCCCAACAAGGCGAGAAGGGACTACGTCCCTTCTGAACGAGTCGTTAACCGAAAAGACGACACGCCTCCCAAGCAAGTATATCTGCCCTAATTCTTTCCTAATTCTTCTGCCAAAGCCAACCTCCTTCTTTGTCTTGCCTCTTGGCTATGAGAACTTGTCCGCTTCTTTTGGCTCTTCTCGATCTCCCCAATACACCCACATCCCAGCAAGATCCCCATCCCATCATTACATATCTCATCCATTCCTCGTTCAACTACAATTTTTCCCACTATCCTTAGAGGTATACCCTGCTCAATATTAACCCATCATGCTACATGCCATGATCGCCGCTCTTCTGCTTGCCATGGTGGCTACCACCGTTGTTGCAGCACCCCCTCCCACCGAGCTCACATTTCCGAGATCTTCTATCGTCTACCACGAGGAGCCGCAGGATGATAAATGTTGCTTTGCTCTAAAAGCTGTCCACATCATGGATACCGGCGAAGTCAAAGATGTCGGCATTGTCAAGCAGAGTACCATTGGAGAGCTTCGTATCGGTGGCCCCTTCCAGCAAGGATTCTTCTGTGTGAACCCTGATGATGGCGCCATCAAAGATGGTAGAGACAACACCTGCTTCATCAATCAGGAGACTCAACACTTTCAGTGTTTTCGAGGTCTTCATGGCACCAATCTTTTCAAGTTCAAGGAGTTGGATTTGCCCAATGGTGCTGTTGTTCCACTTCTCACCCAAGACGGAAACGAGTCGTTTTTTATGTGTCCTACAACCAGAGGTGTCGATCCTGTCTCATCGACCTACAATATCTTTTCGGCAAGCATGCCACAGAGAATTGATTGTACCCAGATTGTACTCTTCCAGCATCAGCAAACACCCGACGTTTGTCACATTGACCATGACGACCATTTTCTTAAATTCTTGCACAAAAGAAGATACAGTTTGTCACAAGAGCATTTCTGCAAAGCCTTTTCGGGAAATTCACCACTCAGTCCCCTTATCTTCCCGAAGAACTCGGCCGAAGTCAACTGGCAGTACGACTCTGGATTTGTCACCATGCCCAATCCAACCAACGCTTTGAATCTCCATCTCGAGTTCCACATACCTGCGTCTTATGTTCCTGCCGTCGCAGACTCAGCTCCTGGTCGTATGTGTGCGCTTCAGTTCCGTATGCCTGTCTGCCCGGAAGCCCCCGCTGGATACCCCTGCGTTGGTGAAAAGGACACGTTCTATATGCTTGTGCGTCTAAGCAAGGACAGTCATGCGAGTTACAATGGATCGAAGATGAGGATTCACCATACGATTCGGCCTGGAGAAAAAGTCACACTTTTTCAGTTCAGCTGTGACGTTGACATCAAGAAGAAGAATCGCGAGATTACTTGGCATGTCATTGGTGGTCACTTCAAATCTCGTAGTCCTGAGACTACTATGGGATACGATGTTCTGTTTGACGACGAAAAAGGGGATTGGGCAAGAAATGCGTTTTTCGTCGAGGCTTGTGAATGATCTGAACAGTGAGATCGTGAGGTGGTTCATCAAATGATTCGATGGCATGGGGGATCCGCCCAGAGCACTACCGAGTAGATGTATGGCTCCACGACACAACGCCTTAGGCGGACCAAAGAGAGGACAAGCAAACGAAGCATAGCTAGATACCTAAAGGAATGAGTATGATAGCTGCCTATTGCATAACTGGTTCCTAGCTGAAAGCATGTCCGCATCTACAATGTGACCTGCCTCACGAAGTCATCGACTACTCTAAGCCGATCACAGCAAGCAATCACTCTTACTTGATAAAGCCGGGAGTGCAAAGATCGTAGAAAAACCGTGCTTTAATTGAATCTTCTACTTTGTGAGTGTTCCAAATATGTGAGGCACGAGTTGGTACCATGGCTCCACCGGTGGCCGTGCAAGATCAATTTTTTCCCATGGTCCTACTGATTTGATGGTCTTGCCAGTATTCCGGCAGAGCTGACAGCCATTCAGGGCGCGGGGCCACACAAGGTTCACGAAGCCTACGCAGATTAGCTTCCTTTTCTGGGACAATGGGTTCTTGGGCCAACTTACGTTGATAGAGTTGAAGGAGTGGCCACTTTTGCGACACTTCAACGTGCTCGTACAAATACCATCTGCCGCCCTTCTTCAGGTAGGAGTATAGCTCAGCTATGTTCTTCTCCGGCTCAGGGATGCTACATAAGCAGAGAATGGAGAAGATGCAATCAACGCTACCCCTCTCAATCTTGCCTTCCCACGTCGTCGAGTCAGACAGCGATTCGATGCCGACAGGAACGATCTCATATGTCCCCTCCAGTCCGGCCTCCGCTATATGCTTTCTCAGAGCGGGGTGCACCTCGGTGTTGGGTTCCACCCCGTAGATTCGGGTCACGCCGTCGACGACCTTGCGTCTCACTCCCTTTGCGCCCGAGGCGGCGGGCTTGTCGACCTTGGAGAAGAGGTTCACCCACATTCCAGAGCCAGGTCCGACTTCCAACACGACTCCGCTAACCGGCGGGTGGACGGGCTCGTCAACCACATCGGCCTCTGTGACGCGGCCTTCGAGGAGCGCAGCGATACGATCACCGTTACCATCGCGGATGTTGGGCCCAGCCCAGCCCCAGAAGGCGCTGAACCAGGCATCTTGGATGCGCGACCAGGAGCGCAGTCTGCGGAAGTCACCAGCACGGATCAGACGAAAGATGGTGCCAGGAAGATATGAGAATGATTGCGAGAGGAATACCCAGGGGCCTACTAAGCCCCAAAAGAGATCAATTACTTCAGAAAACGACGGCATGGTGGAGGACTCGACCGAGAGAGCAGGCGACCACGGGGGATAAGTGGATGAGGGTTCCGTACAAGGGTGGATTGGATAGATAATCTTGGTGAGCCAGGGAAGTATCTAACTGGAATTTATAAGACCATCGGCGGAAATCACAGAAAACCAGACATCTCGGAGGGGAATGCGGAAAGCTGGAGGGGCAGGTGTTTATAAGTGGAAAGTAACGCCGACCCCTAATGAGAAATGTAGTATACTGACTTAGAAGATATAATCCTGTATCGGGGCATCAAGCAGCCCTATGCCATTATTGTACACAACCTCCCCTTTAGACTCATCCGCGGCCTCTAAAATACTCCCCGGCAGAGGAGCCCATTGACACCCCTGCCGTGTCACGACATCATATAAATCCTTCCATGCCGCAATATCCCACACAACTCGTCAATTATCCGTCTAATCTTTGCGTGGGGCAATCGGCATGCCTGCTCATGCACAGGATTGAGCTCAAAACGGTTCGCCATGCACCTGGCGGACCGCCTTATCTGGTACCGATGAAGGCGGTCGTGAATACCGTTTCTACACCTATTGGCTGAGCTGTTTCCACTTCGTATCCCATACCGCGACGCCCCGCTGAGTGTGGTTGAGCCTCTCCAACGCAATCTGGTTGGTTGGCGGTGAGTTTTTGGCGATATAAACCAGCCTGTCTGATAGCTCTGGTGGGCTTCCGAGATATTCTCCTAGCATTGAAGCTGTGGGGGTAAAGCATCTGAAGGGAATGCAGTCAGCACACCAGCACAATCCGCACATCAAGACCAAAGTTACCCACAGGTCGTTTGACGTAGTGGTGGCTGATGGAGAAGAATTTTGAGACATTGTCGAGCAATTTGTAAGGGTCCTAGGTATACAGATTGGCTAATTGACATTAGGACAAGCTTCGTGGCGCTTGACACTGGCGATAATGTAGATGACGATGTTAGCTGGTGCCCGATCACTCTCCATATCTTCTCCATCATCAGGTCCTCTTCGATTGATATACAACTCTGAAGGCATCGCCTTTGGCTCTTCAATCCATGCGGTCTTACCACGACAAGTTTTGCTCAATTGAGGGGATCCAAAGGGCACATACGCGCTGTTCAAACCCATCTCGACTCTTCGCAGGCCGTTTCCCCAGCCTGCCCCGGAAGTCGGAGCTAGTCATGCAAGCTGCTGCGCGACGCTGCGTAAAACTGCAGGCTGCGCAGGCAGCATCCCCCCTCGCATCACGAGGAAGCCATATTGGTGAGCAACTTCGCCATTATTGGTTACTTCGCCAGTATGCCCCCGCCCTGCGTGCTTGTAAGAGCGCAGCCCCGTAGGCGACGCAGCTTGCAATTCGAGAAGAGCGCAAATGTGCCCTTGCAAATTCATGCGGAAGGCGTTGCCTTTTGAGGAGTTGGATGTCTCGCCGTTCACTCTCTTCTGCGACTTCCGTTTCCAATGGATCGTGCTTCGCATTTGCGAAGTCATTGACAGCGTAACTCTGCCACCATGGGAATCGAAAAGATGGGCGAAAGCCAGTCAATCGGAGTCACATCTTCAGGAGGCGACGTCGTCGCATGCCGAAAAACATTAGCAGACACTTCCATACGTCCCGACGATGTCTCTGTGGATCTGGCAGCGCAGTTCTTTCGTATGCGCCGTTCAAGTTATCATTCGAGTCCCACTCAGCATGCATTTGACGATCCTCTCGCTCCGACCTCAGAAGACCGATCGCATATGACGGTCAGTCGCTCTCGTACAGACAGCCGCCCCTCTTCTTTTGAGCCGGTAGCACTATCAAACATACCTTATCGCGTTAAGGAACCGTTGCGTAACCCGGTGAAACACTCCAGGGGAACCACTTTTGCCGATAGCCATGGTCGCACCAAGGAGTTAAACGGGGATGGCCGCATTCTGAGCAAGCGCTTCTCGGGAGACTCTGGATACAGTACGGATATATATCGTCACCAGACGTCTGTCAGAATTTTGCAGGATACATATAAACATGGTCGCCAAAGACAGGAGGGTCTAGGGGCGGTCGGGGCCAAGAAAACACCCAAAGCATGGCAGCCAATTCCTGCTCTGCAGGCACCATCAAATCGACAAAAGAGGTCTCTCAGGTCCATGGAATGCTACAGCCCAGAACCGGATTCAAGCTTTCCTAACTCTCGACCCTTGTCAAGGTATACTGACGAACACAAAGCTGTTAATGACATCGACAAAACCAAGAGCTCGTCGCCCCAGAAAAACCTAGGTTGTGGAACTAAAGAGCCTGTTAGACGGCCTGTATCTTATGAAACTCCCCAACCAAAAGGTCTGAGGAGAGTAAAAGCCAAGACGACCTTGCGATCAGAAAATGCCGTCGCTCAATCCAGAACTCCAAGGCCGGAAATTCACGTCTCTTCTGGGTTTTACGACAACCCATCTGAAGACTCTCACATACCAGACTGGAGTCTGCAATCTTTGCCCAAAACACCCAAGTCAACTGCTCGAAAGAACACGCGGTCAACTACAAGCAGGGCATCTCAACAAGCCCCTGGGCAGCCAACTTCTCCAGTCGGCCAGTCCACCGATATATCTGACCCTTATTCTCGCATTTCCCCACTCGTCGAAGAACACTCGGGGTCAGCCACAGAAAGCGACAATGACTCCTCCATCGAATCGAGCGTCTTTTCAATTCCCGACTCGCCATTCCAGCCCCATCAGCTTTCAGCCGATGACCCCTTCGCAACATACATTGATGCTGTCGTTGAAAGAGTCTTCTTTCACTTCCGCGTGTGGCAAATCCGCCAAAGGGGCGGTGGGCAAGGCGGCGAAAAGGAAACGCAAAGAACCAACGCATCCACACCAGACTCACCCCTCCGCTCACGAAAGAGATCGCATTCAGACCACCCAAGTCAAACACCATTAGGGGACGACGCAGACGCCACTCCAGACTCAAAACGTGCCAAACTCCCCGCAACCGCCACAGGAAGAATGCTCGCCTGTCCCTTTTGGAAGAAAGATCCAGAGAGCCACCGCCACTGCTATAAAAAGGTTCTCAGCCGCATCAAGTACGTCAAACAGCACCTATACAGGTTCCACGAAGAGCCCATAACCTGCGTCTGCTGCGGGGCGGAGTTCGAAACCGAAAGCTCCCGTGACGAACACCTCCGCGCCCGACGCTGCCAAGTCGTCGAAGGCGGCTCTGTGCCCGAGGGTCTAACTCGCGCGCAGCGCCGCGATGTCCAGCGCCGCGCGGACCCCAGTAAATCTGAGGAGGAGCAGTGGTTCGTCATATGGGACATAATCTTCCCCGGTCACCCGCGCCCGACGTCCGCGTACATTGACAGCGACTTGTCTGAGCCCCTATCCAGCTTTCACGAATTCTACACTAGTAACGGGCCGGACATCATCATGGAGCACCTGGAGATATACGAGCCCGAGATGCGGCGGGTATACGAGCGGGTGGTTTGGAGCCAGGTCCTGGATAGGATATACGAGCAATGGGCGAAGAGGAGGGGACTGCGACGGGCTGCCGTGGGCATGATGACACCGCCGAGAACCGAGCCTTCTTCCGTTGCCGCCGAGTCGGATGGTGCGGCGAGCTTCCGTTCTATCAGTTACTACGGCGCTCCTCTTAGCTACGGGCAGTCGTCGTACATGGCTGAGACCACACTGCCCGTGTCGACTAGCAATCTGCAGTTCGCGGGTCAGGGGCTCGAAGTGCTTGGGTCCAGGGACGGAACGGACCTAGAACCGGATCCTCGAGAGCTGATTACTGACCTTGATTACTTGTTCGCGGAGTATGCCGGGAGGGACCACTCTGGGCAAGGGAGTCAATCCAGGGTGTCGTACCCAAGGTAAGGTCTAGTTCGTAAATCTTCTCGTCATGGGATAGCCGGAATGTTAAAAGTCAACTCAGAAAGATTGCGTGAACAGAGTCAAGGCCAGCGCTATAAATTAAAATTTGTGACAATGACGCCTTGTGCATTGATTTACTACTTGTCCAGTCACCCTGAACATAGGGGGTGGGGGGGTATCATATCCTCGCATAACGCCTTACAATTCGTCACCATCGTCGTCCGTGTCATAAATGAAAATGGACGTCCTGGGAGGAGTGACGTTTGCCTCGTCTTTGGCAGGCTCCTCTCGCTTAACTTCCTCTTCCTTCTTGACTTCATCCTTGACATCGCCATCCTCGTCCACAGTCTCCGCGTCGTCATCAAGAGCGACATCTTCAAGCTTGCACTCCGCCTTCACAGCTTCCTTCTTGACTCCCTCCTCCAACTTCAGCTCCTCCTTCACCGCATCCTCCGCCTGCGTCTCTGCTTTGACGGTCTCCTCTGCCAGCAACTTCCCCTCACGAATCTTGTAAAAGGCCTCGAGGCAGTTTCTCCTCTGCGCCTGCGTCCAGCTGCCGACGACTAAAGCAAACTCGGTGGCGCTCGCGAACCCGAACTCGCGCGCCATGGAGCAGAACTGTCTGCGCATGACGTCCTCGGGAGGATTATACACGTATGAAAATCCCTTGATCTTCTGCGCCTGCGCGTCAAATACCTGGCTATCCGCGAAAAGAGCGCTGTCGCCTTCAAGGTCGACGTCCGAGCTGGCCGCCATTTCCGCCTTGCGGGAGAGATGTTCCTCAATTTTGGAGGTGCCAATGACCTCCGAGTTTTCATGCGTGTACTCGACGCCTGCCGATGACAGAATGGCCTGGACCGCGTCGCTCTTGGGCTGATTGGATTTGACGGAGTCGAGGTACGCCTTTTGGTTCTTTGCCGTGAGGACAGCTGCCAGCTGGCTCATGCCGCCGTCTTCTGTGTCCGCAGGCTCTTGCTTCAGAGCGTCACCGAGTTCTTCCTCATCCTTGACCAGCTTTTCCATGTCGACGCTGGTCAATTGGATCCCGCTACCAGCTTTGGCTTCGGCAATGTTGGTTTTGTTCACGATGTCGCGAATCACGAGTTGATTCTCACGGTACGCAAACAGGTTTTCCAAACCAAAGATTTCTCCTTTTCGATCGACGTCTTGTTGGACACCTTTGAAATACCGTCGTTCAGAAGATGCCGTATAGCCGATATTTGCCTGTTGCTGCTTGTAGATCTGTCTTGCATATACGATCTCCTCGATGGTGCCGGAGGAGATGAGGCGGAAGACGTCAACGTCGCGGACCTGTCCAATTCTGTATGCTCGGTCTTGGGCTTGGAGGTCGTAGGATGGGTTCCAATGCGGGTCGACAATGACAACCTTGTTAGCCGCTGTGATGTTCAGTCCGACGCCGCCAGCTTTCGTTGAAATCAGAAAGACAAACTGCGTCGGATCAGAGTTGAAATCATCCACGGCCTTTTGCCGGTCCTCATAGCTCAGCCCACCATCCAGGTACGTCACGCTGTAGCTCGTGTTGTGGAACAAATGCTGCAAAGTACGGAGCAGCCGAACGCTGTGCGAAAAGACTAGCACTTTGTCGCCGTTATCGTGCCAGAACTTTAGCAGCTTCTTCAAGACTTTCCACTTGCCACAGAACTCGGGGTTTGCCAGGTTCACGATTGCATCTCGGTTCTCGTACAAGTACTGCCACGTATCTGGGCAACAAGTCTGCAGTGTCCGCATCTCTCTCTTCTGCTTGTCTTCTAGGTCATTTCCTGATGGTATCAGCAAGGTGAGGTGGTTTGACAGCTTTTGAAGGGTGGTGACACAGGGAAAGATGATTGACTGCCACGACGTCCCATCATCGAGCGTCTTCTTACAACACCAGCCTTGGCCAACACCTGATCCACACTCGCAGGGATCTGAAAGCGTACGAAGAAGCTCTACATCAGGTCTATTGATGAAGTTCTTGTATGCTTCCCTCTGAGCGTCGGTGAGGGGGCAGAAGACGACACGATCACTCTTTTTCGGCATTTGGTGGGCAATGAGAGTCTTCATCCTGCGCAGGAAGAATCCTGGAAGCAAGTTGTTGACGAGTTTTCTCGCGGTGACTCGAGCATCCCTCAGTTGATACAGCGTCGCATCATGCGATTGGCCTCTGGTCAAGGGCTTGGTGATGGTATTATTCCACTCAGAAAGCGTTCCGAAGTGGCCCGGGTTCGTCCAGTTCAGAAGGGTCCACAGCTCCTCGTACTTGTTCTGGATTGCGGTTCCTGTTAAGCCAATCCGACACAAGGCATTGACGTCGTTCATGGCCTTTGTGATCTCTGAGCTCCTCTCTTTCATCTGGTGACATTCATCGGCGACAACCGCATCCCATTTAACCGTGTTGACCAAGCTCATGTGGTTCTTGTAAGTCATGTAGGTCGTAATCATGATTTCTATCCGACCCGCCTTGGCTGTGGAGAGCACATCTTCTTTGCCTGGGCCATGGAAGACATCGACTTTCCACCACCCCCAGCGGTTCAGCTCGTTCTTCCAGTTCTGTATGATAGATCCTGGGCAAATGATCAATACCCTTGGATACCAGCGGCCGGGGTATTCCCGCACCTTCCGAAGTCGCTTGCGGTCGCGCTCATCGCCAGTCTTTCCAAAGGCAGCCGTGAGAAATGTAACGACTTGAACAGTTTTGCCTAGGCCCATATCATCTCCCAGTATACCGCCTCTCTGGTACACGAACAGTCGGTGTAGGAACTTGACGCCGACAATCTGGTAGTCTCGCAGATACTGCGCAATAGACGCCGGTACGATACCCGCGGAATACTCCAACTCGACCTCCTTGTACGGTCGACACGGCTGGATCTTGGCGCTCTCCTCGAATTTCGGTCGTTTCTCTAACGTCCGCACTCGCTCATCGTCGGAGAAGTTTATGTCAGAGTATTCCGGGGGAAGAAGAAGCCCAGCCTCCTTGAGCCTTTCCCGGTTGGAGTCGAACTCCCTCCTGCGGTCTTTCAAGTAGTCGGGAGCCTTCGCCACATCGTAATCATCTTCGTCCGTGGCGTCAAGATCATAGCTCGCAGCAGCACTTTTCTTGGTCGACGTCCCTTTGGCCTTGGTCTTCGCCTTTCCCTTTCCCTTTCCTTTCCCGCTGGAGGCCCGTCGACCCTTTTGTTTCTTGTGCTTGGGAAGCTCTTCGTCCGAGTCAGCGTCCCATACCTCTTTCTCCTCGAAGTCGATTTCGACCTTTCTTTTTCCGAGAGCTTTACGACTGAGGTGTTTTGTCTCGCTCACGTCTGATGCGGTATCACCGTCGGATATTACTATCGCGCTCGCCTTGTCGTGCGACCCCATTGTATGGGAGTCACATGGAACTATTTCGCAGGCATGACGCAGTTGACGATGGTGGGGTTGGAAGACGCGACGACGCGACGTGAGATGCAGCGGCTGGCTGCACTAAATGCGCTGAAGGATTGCGGCGGGTGCCTGCCTGCCTGCCTGTTGCTGCGGGGGCAGGTGCGAGAACAGTGACATACTCTTGTAAAGGAACCACTTTTAATAGTACCTCCTTAGGTATCCATCCGTATTTTGGTTTGATTGCATACTACGTACATAAACATTAGATATGCAGTGAGAGGCGCAAAGCTTTCTGCTGAATTCGCCCGGACCCCACCCCGATGTGAACCCTCCAAATGAGCGGCCATCGGTATAGTTCCCGTAACAACCACCGAAACATAGGCACCTCCATGCACCCTGTCGCTACCTAGACACAACAGCGAAACGAAGCATCGCACGAAAACCTGCAAAATAGACTTTCACTAGTCGATGATCGAAAATGATGGTTTCCATTCTCTGGGCCGCCTGGAATTAGACGCCATTACCCCGATCCCTGTTGACATGATTCAGGAAACCATGGGGATATGTACTATACATACACGCTACACAGCTTAGCGCAGTGAGCACAGCTTATTCGAAGGTTCCAACGTTATCGAGCTAGGACGAATTAAACGGAGCCGGCATTTAGGATTTGGTCCTATCTTCCTGTACATTGAAAGCTGTTTCGAGTCTGTCACCCTGCCTTTATGCTCACAGGTTCAGTGAGGTCCAATGATGGCTCTCACTCTCTGCATGCATGGCTTCAACTTTCACATGAGCCGAATGATGGTCGGGTTATGCAGGGCCTGGAGCGAGGCCTGTTAGTCGAGAATGTGCCATCCTCAGTTCACATAAATATTGTTCCGAGGGCACTGCGCTCATGTCGCGAAACATGACAAGAGGCGTTTGTCGATATTCATCTGACATTGCAGGTTCGGTATTTAAATGCTACTTGCGATTGAATAATGCCGTTCATACGGTTTTTTGGGTATCATCATTTCCATTACCATGTATCCCATGATACGAGGGTTTTCCATCCCGTTCTCTTGCGCCAAAATGCCCATAAAACCCTTTTGTGCGTGTGCGCCAAATCATGCAGTTTCGACACCCTTGATACTTTTCGTGCTCGTGTCGCCACTCCGAAGCTCCAATTCATAGGTTTCCTGGCTTCTCTTCCTTCCAGCATCATCTTGTCGCTGGACCCAATCCACATATCCGGCCTCCTCCAAGGCCTTTGCTGCGTTGGGGTCTCGAAAGGGCTCACCCTGTTCCTCATCAATGTAGCGCAAAACTATTGTTCCAAGCCAATTACCAAACCTCGCATTATTCGCCGGTGACCGAGGCTGTTGTAGTCGGTCATAGTAATCTCGTATATAGGCTCCGCGACGCCAGAATGCCCTTGTGAAAAGCGGGCTTAACGCTGGTGCAGTGACGGTGATGAGGCCGACGGCGAGTTCGCGGAAACCCCAGCGGTTGATGTTGATGACGGACGGCGCTCCGGTTAGTGTGGAAACAGCTCGCACGACTGCTGTTGATATGACGAAAAGACCCGATGACAATAGAACGCCGACTCCGATCTTGCGTCCAAGAGATACTCGAAGATGCCACAAGATTGGAACCGGGATCGAAAGGAGGGCAGCGTCGGTAATCACGTTCAGCCAGAGCAGCATCCAGAAATTTTGCGGTCGGAACGTGCATTCTGGTCCTGGCAACGGTCGTATTCGCCAGTTATCGGAATACCTGGCTTTCCTGTCAGTAGCTTCATCACTCCAGACCTGGGTGGCACTCACGGTGAACAACTCAGCGTAATAGTCAAGCACAAGGCTATGTACGACAGACCACACAGCCAGAAGAGCCCGATTAGCGTCTTGCGTCGCAGGATTCCGAGCGTCAAGCGCTTGTAAAAGAACAAAACAGTAAACTTCAATACCCCTAAGCAGACGTTTTGTTAGAGCATGTCTGCTGTAGTATGATGATGAACTTACAGATGCATCCCGGATAAGAATACCAGGACATAAACTCCAGCTTCGACCCAAGCTCGAGGATTTCGACGTCATGATCCGAAAGCTTAGGGACCATCTCGGGAGTAATGTCGATGTTCGCCCCAGTGTGATATGTAATCTGAACAATATAAACATTCAAAGTGTATAATATGAGGTACTGCGAGCGGTCAACAACAATCAACGGTCAGAATGATCGACAAAAACATACAGGCAAGGCAAGCCAGTCATCACCGCGGAACCCTCTAATTCCGACAGTTCGAAGGCGCACCGCATATCGGAGGAGGATCACAAAAACGCCAATGGCGTACCATGCCTAATGTCAAGTCATACCATCAGCCAAAAAGCCTTTCCTGCCAAGACATGTGGGGGATGGACTCACCCAGACCTCCGGTAAGTAAGTGTCGTCCTGTTCCAAGTGCACATCTGGACTTGGTCCTCGCATGATTTCGTCTCGACACGGTCGCGCATCCGCATTTCGTCGATGGCGGGAATGGGACGTGAAGCTATGGTGGAGATGCAGTTGGGAAGATGGTCAATCAGAGCAAAAAATGCGGAAGATCCAGCAAAATTTGAGAGCCGGGGAGGGATTTGGATTTTGATTAACTGAGGGGTGATCGGGGAAAGGGATTTCCGAGAAGTACACATGGAACAAATCTCCTAGTCAAGGGGTCCAACATTAGGAACGAACAAAGAAAACGCCATGGCGCATTCCACACGTTTACAGGACAGTTGATCGATCGCCGCCCGCACTACAAACTCTAATAATCTGCCACTATCGGACAAGGCCCTAGCTTCTGGGTGCTGGAACATCGAGAACATGACACTCGGGCCTCTTCTTACACAAATCGGGACATTAATCAGCGACCGGGTGCGGAGGGAAGAGGGCTTTTCCCAGACTAGCAACCAGGTCATGGATTAGGTATATGGGACGGAGTAACCAAAGGGGTATAGCCCGACCCCGTCGTTTGGGAAATACGATTCCGAGACTTCCCCAAGTATGCCTTTGTTGTAGTTTCCTGCATGGACTCTCTGTAGAATTAACTATGCGTTACTGGCTTCTTGGAGAGAACAGCCATCGGGACGCCATGTGGGGGAGATCGGGAAACATGGCTTTGACATATGTTCAAAAATAGGAGAACGTTTATACACACGTGGCCTATCCACATTGTTAAGGCTACACTACAACTTTGACGGTGCCACGACTGGCTCTGTCGTCCCCTTAGCCCTGCCGTACACGATTGCAGAGTTTCTGGCCAATCTCTCCCTACTCCCCTGTGGCTCATCCGAATGCTCGGCCGTTCCACCAAGGTTAAGCTCATGGATCGAACGAAATTTATGGCGAGAAACTATGTCGAAAGCTGCTTGGCTTTTGTCCCTGTTGGCGTCTGCATATAGTAAGACGCCAATGAGAGCTTCAGCAACAGTCCACAGAACATGCCTTGCGTCTCCAACGAGCTCCGATTGCGGTTGCCGAAGCAGAGCTACCTTGACAGCCTTCCAGGATTCGGCAGGACTCCACCTGTCAGCTTTGCCCTCAGTTCTCTCAGGCCAGTTATTCTTTTGAGTCAAGAAAGCGTCCAATGCCCCGATGGACTCTTGCCCTCCCTTGGGATGCTTCAGTGCTCGTAGGAAATCTGTTGCGAGAACATCGGTGGTGCCCTCCCAGATGGATAGCACGCAACAGTCACGGTAGAGTCTTGAGATGTTGAGGTACTCCGTCTCCTCGTTCACGAGGTATCCGACGCCACCAAGAGCTTCCATACAGCTGTAGAGTAGCGGGATTGACTTCTTGCAGACGTATGCCTTACAGAGAGGCGTCAGAACACGCAAAAGAGGTGCAATGTGTTTCTGGTCAGGCGTGATGGAGGCGAGTGCGGGTGGTAAACCAGACCTGTCTGCTTGAGGATTTTCGTCCAAGCCCAGAAGATAAGAAGTGAAGAAGGTTAGTAGCATCAAGCCATGATATTCCCCCGTCATATCTGCCAATGTTTGCATGTGCAAGGGGCTATCCGTCAGCAACATACGCCTTCCTCGTCCAGCGCCGACTTGCCTGACCTTGGCATATGCCCTTGCGATGCCCAGACCGCGGCCAACGTAACCAACAGCAGCTACCGCCGAATGAATTCTTGTAAGCGTGAGAATTGTAGCGATCTCGTTGATCCCGCGGCCCTCTTTTCCCAACAGCCATGCTCGCATACCCTCGAGCTCGAGCTCGGCTGTAGGCAGGGATTGAGTGCCGAACTTGTTCTTCAACCTCTGGATCCTAATGCCGTTGAGCTCCTGACCGGCTGCTCCTTTGGCCTTTCCAACCATAGTCTTCGCAGAAGGGTCGTGTCGCCTCATGGGAGCAAAGAAGGCACTAATGCCATTCTGAGTTCTGGCAAGTAAAACGGTCATGGCTGAGTCTGTGGCGCTGGAGAACCACTTGAATCCGGAGATGGTCCACGGCCCGAGGGGTATGTTTTCCTTGGCGTCGGCCAGGGCCGATTCCGCAGGCGGTTCGTACCGGGCGACGGTCTCTGTGAGGGAAACATCGCTACCGCCAGTCCTTTCAGTCATCCACTGTCCACTCGTCCACGCCTCATTCGGGTCCCTCGAAAGCAGATGCTGCAGTGCATTTTCCAACACTCGTCGCTGGGCCGGATCCAGGTTGCCATCGGCTAGGTGTAGTTGTATCAGCCGCGCTGCGCCATCTTGCATAGCTGACGGGCAGGGAACGTTTGATGCAGAGCCTTCCCATAGGTGCAATCTCAAGAACTGCACCACGCGCGCTGATGATCCGAGTGATGTGTCGTATCCAGTGGCGACGATGCCCTTGGCGATGCCGAAGTTTTGCAAGCTGCGCCAGCCCTCGCCGACGACAAGCTCAGACCTTGGTCTGCCGAAAGCATCCCGCCCGCTGCCTTTTAAGTAGGGCTTGTTCTTCTCGGAATCAGTAACCCAAGAAAAGACCTGATCGGAAAGGACATCCTCGCCCAGCTGGGCGATTTCGACTTCAACGCGCTCTGTCACATGGCTAGGAACGAAGACTGTGTGCTATTAGCTTTATAAATGAGTTGTTTATGCATTATTCTCACGTCGGAATGCTCTCTGGAAGCTGGCATCATCAAAGAACTGATTCGGTAGGGCGGGTAGCTCCTGAAAGAAGCCTGTGTTGGCACCGGAAGGCTTCATGATCGACGGGCTTCAAATCCTAGCGCTGACCGCGAGTAATTCGGGCCACCTTTTTTCCTCTGGAGGTTCCGAAGGGTTGGGGTTTCCAATTCCTGCAAATTTACAAAAAGTAGCCTATATCTGGCAGTACCGGATAGATGATATTAAGGTCAACTCAAGTTCCCAGAGGATTGGGAACCACGCGGGGTCGGCAACTTGTGGAGACATTACAGGGAGCTAAAGCCCCATCCGGCTCCGAGTGTGCGGAGAAGACCCCACAAAGTACCGAAAATGACCGGCGCACCGAGGTTCATAATGTGCGGGACAACCCCATAAGTCTGCTTACCTACTACTTACTACATCTCCTTCCTCCACAACCTTGAAAAGACCACCAAGTGGACGGAGCCCGGATGAACAATATTTCCCTATAATCATATTTCTCCTGGTGTGGGAAGCCGGCACAAAAGTTGCCATTTCTAGTCTTGGACAACATCATTCTCCCGATCGAACGCGTGGCCACGATCCACTTATGATCGCCAGATCGAGACCTTACATCGAAGCGACTGGAACTAGCCAGCGCAAACAGACGCTTGGCCCTGCGTAACAACAAGAGGCATCGAAGCGGCCCCAGCGCCCAAGTACCGACATGATGGCGGCGTCCTTACGGTCTCGATGCGCTGCATGAGGAATGCCACGGCGCGAAGCACTACGACAAACCGATGCAATCGAGGGCACACCGTTTCATGAGCTGCCAGTAGCTTCTTTTTTTCCGCCAGGGGTTCATGGGGTGGGATGACGGCCTCATTCGCGGGTTGAGACGGCTCGAGAGGCTTGAGATTGTGTGGCTGAAGCTGGTTGGGTAGGGGAGATTTCTTCCCACCCCCTGAAGATTGAAAGTGACGTCACATCGGCCTTGGTTAATGAGGCCCTGCTTTTTCGGACGACAGCACGTCAAAATTCTTTTCCAGTCACCAGGCTGACACTAGCCACACAGCTCACTCCATTTCGTCCTCGTGATGCGCCCATCGCTCCCGTTTACCTGCTTGTCTGTGCTGATCAGAAAAATCTGGGTCCTGGAAAGCCACATCGATCGCCACAGAATCACTATCTATGACTGTTTCTGTTGGTCGCGAGCGATGCCCTGCTTGCCGACCTTCCGACTTGTATTACTCATTTGAATACTCTTGGTTCGCCTAGGGAAGATTACGACGCTGCAGGTACCTCAGGCGATTTCTCTTGCGATGAGGTCACACCATTGAAGCGCATTTACAACACGCCATGAATATGCGCTATGCAACACGCTTGTGTTAATCTCATCACCTCCAGGCTACCTCCTGCTGGCTGAAGACCCATTGGCTGACAGCATACAAATTTCAAAATTTACCTACCACCCTAGCCTAGGCTGGGCTGACGGCGCAAATGAACGATGGGGTATCTAGTAGAGCCCAAAATAAAGGGTAGCCGTCTCATGCAGGGCAAACTATGGTGGGCATCGAATCGCAGGCCCCGCAAAGGCTTGTTTGAAACCTCACAACCGGGAAGAATATCCTCGGCGTCCTATCAAATTTCTTCTAGTCTGGTCCTCACCCTCCTGTCTGGCCATCCCTCCCTAGCCATATGACCTCATTAGGGGCCAAACTTGTAGGGCGACAAGCCGCCGTTTGCTCGTTGGCTGGGTCTCGACTCTGTAACAAAAAATGTGAACGGACTTTTAGCAGCGTGCCACGCAGCCACACGTAGCCAGCCCGGTGACGTTAATCGGCGTCTCCCTTCCCTTGTTTCCTCCCGTTTCTCTCGACGGCTCAGGTGCCGGACAACGCGAGCCATCTTGGCAGGGTCTCTGCGTGTTGCGTCCTGGCCCTGCAGGACAAGGACCCAGGGACTTGTCGTTACACCACTCTTACCTATTCGTTTGCTTTGCGCCGGCGTTCTGCGCATGTAGTGACACACACATACCGGTACATGCACACACCAAGCCGGTGAACCAGCAAAAAGCAAAAAAAAAAAAAATATGCTGTTGGTTTGCTCTCGGCAGCTGTGACGAGATGACGCCGTAGGCTTGTCTAGCCCAACAGCCAGCCCCCCAAACCTGCTTTCCAGTGAGGTCGTCATCCTGATGTGGTTCCCGTCTTTGCTCAGTTTAGCTTTCCAGGTGTAATCACACCATGATCTCCTCCATTCTTGGCCTATCCAGTGAATTTTGATAAATAGACTATCCATCTCTTTCCCCATCCGTTCAGACATTTGCTACTTATCAGACCAGCCAACAAGCAGATCAGCAAACCTCCCGCTCACAACCACCAATCATCCCAACTCTCAACAACCAACCAAACCTTTTTTACTCTTTCTTGAGAGAGAACTCAGTCAAGATGGCCTTTGACCGTATTGCCCAATTCATCCTCCGCGCCGCGGAACTGGCCTTCGCCGCCATCGTCACCGGTATCACTGGTGCCTACCTCCACGCCAACGACCAGGCTTCGTCGTGGGACAATGGACGCTTCATCTACACCATTGTCGTTTCCAGCATCTCCATGCTGTTTGCGCTGATCTGGCTGCTCCCGTTCTCCGGCAGCTTCGTCCACTGGCCCATGGACTTGTTCCTCAGCATCCTCTGGTTTGTCTCGTTCGGTCTGCTCGTCAACGTAAGTCGCTGTCTCCTGAACTCCAAACCGTAACCTGCTCGAACAACCAAAACTAACGTACACTTTAGCTTATTGGTGACGGCTGCGGTCCCGTTTTTGACTGGAGCAACGTCAGCCCCCGCGGCGACTCCTGCGGACGCCACAAGGCCAACATCGCCTTCACCTTCCTCTCCGCCATCTGCTGGCTCGTGTCTGCCCTCATCGGCCTCTTCTGGGTCCGTCGCCGCACCGCCGTTGCCGACAGCCGCCCCGTCCACTCCCGCCGCCGCTGGTACAACTCCCGCGTCTAAGCGACGAGTGTGACATTGAAAGTCTTATCTCGCAGTGACGCTTTTTTGTGATTGGCGTCATTCGCTTGCAGGAGATACGCGGCGATAATCAGTATTTCATTTTCACAATGTAAAAGATTTGAATCCTTGATGGATCGGGAATCTTTGACTGTGGACGGAGTTGTATGATTTTACTTGGAAGTTGTTTCCTTTGTTGTCTACGAAGTATATGAAAGGATGGGCTTGAGGCTTCTCGGAAGACTTGATACCCTGTAATAGCCGCGCCCTTGTAACATACCATTTACTTAATATCACCTATTACTCTATTTGACTTGACTTGATATCGAATGCTAGTGACATTGATTTTAAAATATCACAGATTTCATATCGCCAGTTGGCCCGCTTACTGAAACTTTACTATTCAAACCTATATAGTTTGTCTTTTTTCACTTATACCTTTGCTACCAATAAATAGATTGTTGAAAATAATAGAAATAAAAATGGTGGATTATTTGTATTGTATTAACACGGGATACAATCGAGATGCAAAAAATTTTTACAGTGTATAATCTTCTCCGCTTTTTATGATGATTTCCTCATTTTGATTATTTGTCCAAAGTGTCCGCAGCAAGCCTAAAACGAATGCTGCACACAAGTCATGTCCAGTTAGACTTCAAAGGGCCCCGCCAAGACATCCACCGACCTGGTGGAGGACAGTGGAGGGGGGGCCCGACACCGATACTATAGTAAAGGACGGCTCCACACACGCGGGAACGGGTAGGGCTTTGCGGCGCTGACAGCTGGGGCGATCCGGGAAAGCGGGTCTCGTCCCCCCGGGGACGTGGCTTCTGCGGCTTCTCAACGTCGCCGTCTACACTACATCCGGCGAATGCTCTGGATGGCCCTGTTTAGCCCGCTTCATGCAGGAGCCCACCACCTAGTCCACCTTCCAGCATGCATACCATTTGTTAAGATGGATGCACTATGCTACAGGTTTTGCACCCACAGGATGATTATAAAGGCAACTTGTTTGCAAGAACTGGGATGGATAGAGCTAGTGTGGTACTATGAAATTGATCGAGATCGATGTTGATACACTTAGGCTATGAAGCCAGAGGGTTCAGAGTAAAAAGCACAATCCTGTCTGTCTGTGGATACCTCCAGAAGCAAAGGACGTGCTGTTTAAGGACCGAGGGGGCTTCAACTTTCCAGCATAGTTAGGAATGCGTCACGTAGCTGATGTACTCAGGAAGCTGTCGATGTTTCCTTTTGATGGAAAACAGTTTCAAACGGATCATATCAGTCTCCTATCACAATGCTTTCATCACGCGAATGTACCAAGGAGGAGGGGACACTTGATCAGGCGGACAGTCAGTCCGGCGTCATTCGCAAGCTTCAACGAACTGGAACGAGACCATCACAGATCCAGGTTAATGTATGTTTCGGGTGCTGCCGCTTAAGCGGTTGAGAAAGGTAATGGCGCACTGAGGCTGTGAAACATTTGAGCCTGGTGGTCGCAGGCGTTTGTTCCACGTCAACCGCCACGTTCAACAAATGACGTACATGCGAATATCGAAATGAAGAACAGAGGCGGGAAAAGACAGGAGGCGGCAAGTTTGAAGCCAATCGCAACAGGGGGCACACCTGTCGTAAGCGAGATGAAGAGTTGGTGCAAGTGCCAGAGGAGACCAAATTAGGCCAAAGCAAAAGGTCCAGCCAAGGCCCTGTACCTGGACGAGAAAATGGCGCTGTCGGCCCTGGGGGGATGATGGGGGGCCACGATGCCTCGGTTGCATGATACTCGCTGACCGCCTCGTATCGGTTGCCGCCACGCCGTTCCGAAAGCAGCATCCCATCTCCGCGAGGCATCTTTGCCGCTGTGGAGGAGGATTGCCGATGAAGATGGCTCTCGTGACTGATTTCCATAAACTTTGGACCGCTCCAGAACGTAGGGCATGGCATGTCTCGGACACCGATGGCTGGCGTCAAACAGGTTTCCCCATATTCTTGCCGTGCTCTTTTCAGACTAGCCCGCTTGGAAGGGGCTAGGCGGGTTTACCAAGCCTTTTTTTTTTTTTGTGCTTTTGCGTGAACCGAGCCATTGTACCATTTCTAATGGAAATTACGTGGCATCCCGCGAAAGCAGCAGGGCTCACAAGAGCAAAGACCAGGACCCCTGGACAATTAGTTGAGATCTGTATAGAATTTCACGATCCACGATCCGGAGAAGGGATGAGACGGGTTCTCTGCGGCTGGAGTGTGCAATGTACCAAACCACTTCGAGCTATTGTAACGCCTTGGCCTTTTGAGCTTTGACTAGAAAACTCACAAAATGCTGGAAAAAAGCGGAGGCTTCCTAGACGGCCTCGTTTTAGAAACGTGGATTGGCATATAGAAAACGGTGTGCAGTTTGCATTGTCTAGCTTGGCGGCAAAGGGAGGGGACAAAACAGGTTACGCATCGACGGATTTGGATGAAAGAATGCGGGGTGTTTGCGGAAAAGGGGGCAAGACAGAAAACAAAACAAAATTAGCATTATTGGGTGCTAGAAAACAGTCTCTCAGTTAGTGTATACATAGAAGAGAGAGAGGGATGGGAATTGCGCAAAATTCCGTTCACAATGACCCAATTGTGGTCGATCGTGGTACATGGTAGCTATTTCTGGCACCCGTCAGAAAGATGAGTAAGTGTCAAAGTCGTACGCAAATAGAAAATAACAGCAGACAGGTATAATGGCTAGTACAATTGATAGGATCGGTACCTTGGCAACGTCAGCAGCAAAAGGATGGCAGAAGAACCTTGCTGTGCTTTGCCTGGTGTCCTTCCCTTTCCTATTCATTATTTGATGAGAGCCGCATGGCGTAATGCCCCACAGTTGCCGCGTTAAAGCGGGACCAGAGCAGGCTCGAGCTCGGCGCTACGGGGCTGAAAGGGGGGCATGAAGGGGGTTGCGCAGCGCTGGAAAGTCTATGACAGCATCGTGTGGGGTAGGTGACGCCACAGTTTGACCTCCCTTTGGATGGTTTTGGGGGCCAAGGCCACTGAAGACAGCAGGCAATGTAGGTCACTAGCCACATCACAATATCCCCTCCCTCTCCATGTTGCTCAGACTGCTACAACTAGCAACCGCCCAGGAGAGCTTACGCCACAGGCGGGGCTGATCAGCCCTCCATCCGCGCTGCGTCATTGGCGGGGTTTCTCCCCGTTGCCTTGGTTCTGTGGAAATCACAAACGCCATGTTGCCTTTGGGAACGTCAAACCTCACAACCCTTGTAAGTTTTGCAACCAGCTTCCGAGCTCCCTCATTCTGAATCCAACCCAGACACACAAGCACGCCTTCTGCTGGTACAACAGCCGCATCGAATTGCGTTTGGCCTTGATTTGCTTGTCCAACAAGCCCCCGATGTCTTGCAGCTCGTACCTGATTAGCCTGTGTGAGCTAGTCGGTGAGACGCGACGCGCGGCAACCTCTTTTGCTGTTTGTTCTTGGGTATGCTGCCAAAGTGTATGCTACGTAGTAGCTGATAATCCATCTCTCCGATGCCGTACTAACCCGCTCGGCCATCCAGCTCGCATGTCTAGGCAAAACGGGTAGGCAATGCAATGAACAGAGAGGCAAACTTTTTGGCCCTCTAGGGGTATCTTCTCCACGTGTGAAGGATGTGTACCTGATCGTAGGCAAGGTGTACAGTTCTAGACAGGCTTGGACTGACTTTTGCCGTTAATCTGCACTCTCTCTACCAGCCCTAAACGTCACTAGCCACAGATCTTCAATCCTTCTCAACCACCGTGACCCGCCATCCCTCCCACCTATGACGAAAAACCCTTGGTTTCTTACGTTTATCGAGTATCCTTAGGGGACATGTTGAGACCCTTTTGAATTTCATTACCCAGCCCGGGAGATTCTCATCATGCAGTGTGAGGCTTGACAAAAATAAGCGCTGTGTCACGCCAGAGAAAGATACCGGGTCGTCATCAAAGCCATGGCAAACTGGGCCTAGCTCATCCGTTCTTCATTGGCCCAGGGGTGGCGGGGGCCCGTCTGTCTCCGCCGGAGCATCCGCACCGGCGTATCAACTCCCTGTCCCAAGTGGCCGACAGTTTGAAGCTTGTATTTCTGTGATGAGACAGCTGCGCCCAAGACCTATGACGCCGGTATGAAGTAAGGGCACAATTGCCTTCTACTCACATTCTGCCTGTGACAGTTTCTCCAGCCTGCACGTTGGCCAGTTGGCATTGACGTTGGCCCAACCAGGCCCGCAAAACAGGCAAGCAAGCCAGCATCATGCAGAGCTCTTCCTTGCTCGTACCGAGTCACAGCGTTGCCTGAGGGAAGGGGGAGGAACAAGCTGCTCAGCAGACAGCCGAAGCCGTGCCGTTCCCAATCGAGATCGTAATTCCCTGATCTACCATCAGGAAAAGAAAGAGAGGGATTCTGTTTCTCGATGCCCTCCAGTTCTATATAACCTCCTCGCCCTCCCACCCTTCCAACGTCTTCTCTTTTCTCATCATCATAAAACAAGATACCCAAACAAGCAAACCACTCAAACACAACACCACCACTACTTTAATAACCAAATCTCATCCTTTTTTTCCCTGATACCCCAAAGCGAAAAAATCATACAAAATGTCTTCCATCGTCAACAAGGTTAAGGAGGCTCTCCACTCCGACAAGAAGCACGAGGAGCCCGAGGGCACTCACGGAACCCACAACTCCCGCGCTGCCAACGCCGCCGACCCCAGAATCGACTCTGACCGTGACCACCGCGCCAACCCCGCCGGCACCACCGGCACACACACCGGTACTACTGGCACTCACACCGGTACCACCGGCGGCAACTACACCCACTCTAGCAACACCACCACCGGCTACGATGACCCCTCTGGCACTCACGGCCCCCACGGCAGCAAGGTCGCCAACAAGGCCGACCCCCGTGTCGACTCTGACCGCGACCACCGTGGTGCCCCCGGCACTACTGGCACTCACACCGGTACTTCTGGTCTGACCGGTACCCACGGCACTTCCGGCCTTACTGGCACTCACGGTACCACCACCGGCACCTCCGGTCTCACCGGCACTCACGGTACCACTGGTACCCACGGCACCACTGGCCTGACCGGCTCTAACGTTACTACCGGCTACGAGGACCCCTCCGGTACTCACGGCCCTCACGGCAACCGTGCCGCCAACAAGGCTGACCCTCGCGTCGACTCTGACCGTGACCACCGCGGTGCCCCCGGCTCCGGCCTGACCGGCACCACCGGCACTCACACTGGCACTTCTGGCCTGACTGGTACCCACGGTACCACCGGCACTTCTGGTTTGACCGGTTCTCACGGCACCACTGGTACCCACGGCACCTCCGGTCTTACCGGCACCCACGGTACCACTGGTACTCACGGCACCTCTGGCCTGACTGGCTCCAACGCCACCACCGGCTACGAGGACCCCTCTGGTACTCACGGCCCCCACGGCAACCGTGCCGCCAACAAGGCTGACCCTCGCGTCGACTCTGACCGCGACCACCGCGGTGCCCCCGGCTCCGGTCTGACCGGCACTCACGGCACCACTGGTGCTCACACCGGCGCCGCCGGTGCCGGAGGTGCTCTCGGTGGCTCCCACGGAGTCAACCCCGGCCCTGCCCCCAACACTGCCGGCCCCCACAAGTCCGACGCCTTGAACAAGGCCGACCCCCGCGTCGACTCTGACCTCGACGGAAGCAAGACCGTCGGCGGTGACAAGACCTACGCCCAGTCGTAAGCGAAACCACACTCCGAGCGCGATATTTAGAGCCCCTCCGATATTTTTGGTCAGCGGCCAGCAGATAAAAAAAATAAGAAACTAACTTGCAACGCTTTTCCCTCAGAAACACTACGGGTGTTGCAAAGGACCCTACCGACGCCGCTCAGGTCCCCCCATCTGTCCTGGCTAAGCACATTGGCGAGCCCGAGATCGCGCACGACGACCACGGTCACAACCGCGCGAGACGCAACAGCAAGGTGTCTGCTCAGGAGCTGCACCGCGGATTGTAAACTGGATTTTTTTCCCTCTTATTTCTTGTTTGTTGAAGCGCATGGATTATGGAAATGATACCTAGTACCTTTTGTACCATATCCTGAAATGACCCTAATGATATTGGCATTGTCAAACACTCATCTGCTGAAACCTATCTGATTGTGTGAGCCTAGAGTGAAATGATTTGTTTAAACTTACAATAGTCCCTTTCAAAATAGCATCAAACGAATAGTTGAAACAGTCTCACAACGCAAACGCCAAATGCTTCCCACTCCCGTGCTCATCATCTCACCAATCCACAGCTTACATCTTTTCATCAGCCACGATCGGTACCAAATACTGCACATCCTAACATCATCTGCCCATCCACACCAAATACATATCAATACAGTCGTACAAAGATGCAAAGACACATCACTGCCGAATCTCGCATGCCCCCAAACAAAAACAAGCCACACTAATCCTACCTACCAATCCTCGCCATCATTCATACATCACCATCAGATCATTTACAGCGAATCAATACGTCGCTGGGCAAATGCCGGCAGATGTATACCTCCCACCCACCTGCCACAAAGTGTTCCCGTTCAGAACCCTGTCGTCAGCGCGGCGTAATTACTTGCAACAACTAACTCCTTCAATCGCTGTAAAATATCACGAGAAAAAGCAAAGCAAAGAAACACTCCGTTCCGGGCGAACGGCATCAGTGTGTCATCACATTTCCCCCCCTCCACAATTTTGACACGTCTCAAACAGCAAGTCACTGCGATACGACCATGCATTGAAAACCAGACATGTGAGAAATGCTAGCGGACATGTTTACTGGGGGGAGAAAAAGGGGACCAGAGAAAATGACCGATAGACAAAAAACCGGCCCCCAGTCACCAATCGACGACGCATGAGATGCCTGATTTGGCAACGTCTTATTTCCGGGTTAGAAGAAAGCCGTCTTTTTCCTGCAAGCCATCAGGGGAATCTCAAGGACCCTTACGTGCGCAAAGCATGACGAACACGAATGCAAGATGAAAGAGGAGTTGGTTGCAGGGGGGGCCATCAAGTTGAAAAAGGACATGTCGAGTCTTTCTGCGCTTGATTGTCACCGTAGAGGAAAGACATATTGGCAGTATCACATGATTGTGGTGATGAAAAGGCGGTAGTGCACACACCCACTACCACCAAACAATGTGATCGATGGTGCCCGAGGTCTTGGCGGAATGGCATCGTCCCGCTCGCCAACGTAGTAGTATCTTTCTCTCTGCTCTTTCGTGGCTGCTAATTAATCCGATGATTGCCACCCCCCCAGCCAGTGACAGCAAGGTGGTGTGGCTAGGCTAGGTTACCACTCCGCCCGCCGCCTTGCGTTACACACCCACTCATCCGTCCAACAGCCAGCACCAGGGCCCTCATCCGCTCAATCGCCGTTTCGACGTGAGGCGGGAGATAGAGAGTAGCTAGTCGGTCTAGGCCCTATGGGCTCTGTTCCCTTCACCACCGTTCCGGCGTATGTATTTCAGCGGCAGCACTTCACAAGGCTGCTGGAATGCTCTGTGTGCATGGCAGATACGAGTGTGACTTGAGGTGGTGTACGGCCGGCAAGCTGATAGGATGGCAACAGTGGCGGCAAGGCAGGGCGAGGCAAGGCCGGGAACGTTTCTGTATTCCAGTGTGGTAAGCAAAGCAAACGCCATTCGTGGCCGGGCCGGCGTCGTCCTAGACCGCGCCATACTCATGTGCTAGCTGGGTGTTCTGTTAGTTCAGTAATCGGGACATGATCACAGCTGAGAGAGAAATTTGAAATTTGCGGCGGGTGGGAGAGGCGTTTTTGTGTGATGCTGGCGTTCTGTCGCACGCAGTGGCGTGTCACGATCCAGGGACAACGAAGATCTCGAACCTCAGTCTCGGAAGGTAGCCAAAGGGAGGACCCGGTGCCATGGAATTGTCTTGAGCGTCCTCTGCTGGGATGACGGGTAGTGGTAGTGGTAGTGGTAGGTAGCGGTAGCGTAGCTCTGGGGATGGAGGTGGCTTGCTTGCTATGCCTGGGGGCTTGCTCGGGGGGGCAAAGTAAGGGCTTCTCTGTACGGACGGACGGTGTCATTAAAGACTGGGATGACGGGCGGGACGGAGGGCTGGGAGGTTGACTCGACGCAGGGCGCGGATGCGGGAAGGGTGTCGTGGGAAGGTAGTCTAGGCTTAATCGGGGTCGAAAGGGACGGACAGCGGCGCGGGAAGGGCCATTCTAGTGCTCGAGGAACCCTTGAGGCGGTAAGATGATTTTCATGGGAAGGGTGTGCGTCGCGATTTTCAGATTTCCGACGTTTTGCAGCCATCGTGGGCAAGTATGGGGAAAAAAACGTAAGGTGATGGGAAAGTGATAAGGAGGAATTGGCAGGGGTAGTGCTATGTAGCCAGCCCAAAGGGGCGTGTGTAAAAGATGAGAGCTGTACCGACAGGGGTCTGTCTATGGCTGACAGAGAACCGAGGTGTAGTGGTGTAGGTGATTTGGCCCTTGGCGACGCATGTAATGAACCAGGCTTGCAGAGCGAACCAGCTTTCGGTCGACGCAAGTCACGCAAAGTTGTCGACAAGTCACTCGACTTGGGGAGTACTTTGGGGGTGGCCACAAGGGTCGCAAGGAGGAAGAAGAAGGTCGCAGCGCATGCGTGCTGCTGCGGTGTGCTGCGCAGCCATCTCGTTTGAGCTGTCCTGTCAAGAATGAGAAGTGACAAAAGTAGGGGGTCGGACATGACATGCCAGATATATCAGCACCCAGCGAGACGAGAAAAAGCAAAAGGCCAGTACGCCTCTTGCTATAACCGCAGGGAAGCACCTTGATCGATGTTGCTTGTTAGCAGCAAGAAGCTCAACGCTGACAGGGGTGGGTTTGTTGGTAATCTGAGGGAATCTGATAGCGTGGTCTCGATTACCGATTAGTGAGCTGCATCAGGTTCAGGGTGGCACAGGGCGCGCCAATAAGGCATTCTCTTCGCGAAACTGGAAACGAGATTGGGAGAGGTCCATATATCTCGGTTGGGAGCTGCGTGGTTTTCTTTTGAATCCTGTTGCTACCTTCAGGCATTGATTTGACGCGCATCTGAGGCCATGGTGGGTTGGCCGCCGAGATGGTAAATGTGAGATACTGCAGTCGAGCCTGGTGCTGTCTCCGTAACCTGCGCAGATGATCCTTGCAACCTGTGCAACAGCAATATTGATGTCGGCCCATGCGTAGTATCCTTTGGTGGGATTAAAACCTCGTGCTCAAACGGGATGCTTGGTTGGTGGTATGTTTTTAGGTGGATAGACCTCGTCTAAGTCGACCCCATAATGGTAACGACTTGACTTTAACAGACGCATGGACTCGAATCCAAGACTGTGGGAAGAATTATGAAGAAAAAGCAAAGATATGGAGGATTTGTTCCTGAGAAGCAGTAGCCGAGGCGGAGTATTTACTTTCTTTCTTTTTTCTCTTTCGCTCGTCGGGGGGCGTGTCTGCGGAGATTGTGCCCTGTTGTTGAGTGTTGGTTGGTAGAGACTGCTGGGGGGCCGCCTCTATCTGGGCTCTGCATTGAGGCGTTGCCGTGTAGCCCACTACTTGGTCGATTGTTTCGGAGCCACAGCGTGGCACGCGGCGTATACTTGCTTTTCCTGGTGGTGTATTGTACTCACTTGGCCTCTTGCGCATGCTGCGTTGTATCGGCCCGGGCTAAGGTGAGGGGGCGTGTGTGTACAGATGCGTGCGTTTGTGTGACAAGAGGAAGTGTGTGTGTGTGGTGACTGAGTGCCTTTTTTGTGTGAATGGCAGAGCAAATAAGAACGCGGGAAAGGACCGTCTAGGTGACGGCGAAAGCATGTCAGCGCGCGACGATTCGACGGTTTGACGACGTGTCGTAGGCAAAGCGGGCGGATCAGCTGGGTCATGTGCATCTCTACGGCCACGACATATCCCTCTCTGGCATGCGTGATGCAGCAAGCGGCGAGACGCCCTGGGATAGAAAGGAGCAAAGCGGTCCTCGCCCGCCTCATCGATATGCCTGGTCCATTATTCGAGGGCCCAGATCCTCAGGGCTCCGGAGATACGTAAGTATGTTGAAGATAGGACGTCTTCGATGCGATGCAATGCGCGTTGGATACGGAAGACGAAAGACGCCTTGTAAATTCAATATTATGTAGGCGGTAAAAGCGACCAGGTTGCCTCGAGCAGGTCGGGCAAACTCTTCAATGTGACGGGGCGTGTGTCTTTGGAGAAGATGCCGCCGTGATTATGCCGTCAGAATACGGAGTAGCCATGTTGCCGTGAGAAGCTTGAAGGAGTCATGGATGAGGGTGTCTCGGTCGGTGTCTGACCTAGGTGTAGGCAGGCCATACCAGGTTAGAGTGGTGTCAGGTTTCATGGTCAGCAGATGGAAGTGTTGAGCCTGGAAGATGTGCCTAGAATAAGGCAGTGAAACCAGTCAGTCAGTCAAGCAACGTAACAATCCATGCATTTTGTATGATTTTCTCAGAGAAGATTGCTCCACGCCCAAGGGCCCCCGGTGGTTTTGGTGTTTGCCTTAGTGGGAGGGAGAAGCCGCTGTCAGTAAAATAAAATAAAAACCCCCGGCCACATGGACCTGAAGTTGGGTGGCACGGGGATAGAAGGGGGGTAGGGGACAAGCTCCCTTTAGAGAGCTTCAGGCAACTCTCTAGCTTAGGCTCTAATGAGCTTGGGGGGTGGACAGGTCCCCCTGGGTTGGGTGCCTAGACCAAGTCAGGGAGGGTTGACCCGGGTAGCTGTAACGGGAAAGACGGCTTATGTAATATCACAGCAGCGGTAGCACCTGCGACCAGCGAAATAGGTAGGCGGGGGGGGGGGGCTTTGTTTCGTCCGCACTGGGCAGGCAAACCCCCCCACCCCCTCCCCTCCTCCTTCCGAGTCCGCACCGGAAACCTCAGCCTTACCCCGGCGCAACCGCACTCCGCAACGTCACTTGTCGATCGCTGTAGAGTAGCCCCTTAGCAGTCAGTCTTCATTTCATATCGTCAGCCTTGTCAACTGGTGTTTTTTTTTATACTTATATTTTTATGAAACGCCGTAGACTCCAAGAGCCAACCCGGTTTGAGCATCGTCAAAACGACAATCTCACAATGTCCTTCTGACCGCTCTCGTTACTGACGTCTCACAACCCCATCAAGATCCCCCCTCCTCTAACTATCAGCCTCACAAAAACTACAATCTCACCGTCATTCTCACATATAATCACATCTCATCTCCCTTCCAGCATGGAATCAATTCCCCAGGCCCTCTGGAACGCCCAAATCCCTCTCCACATAATCCACCCCTCAAGCCCAAACACCCCTCTCATTACCTCTCTCCCGCGCTTCTCCTACCTTGCCTTCCTCGTCCCCCGGTGTTCCGCCTTCTTCCGCACCCCCGTATCCGCCTTTCACCATGAGGATCTCCTCCTCCGGAACCTGCCTCTGGGGCTCCTAGTCGATCTTTATCAACCATCTCTCCCTTGGCGTCTCACCGTCAGCGATGGTGATAGCTGGGACATTGGCGACACCTTTCTAAACTGCGTCAAAGAAGTGAGTTTCAATGCTTTTTTTTTTTTCTTAGCCTGGATTACCGCCAAATGTCTCTCTTCCTCAATTTCGCTTGCCTCGTTTACTCCAGTGTCTTTCGTTCCCTTCACTCGCGTTCCGAAATCTTGGGGGCGGGGAGGCGGAGAAAGAAGAGTGTGTGACTTACGCCGCCCACGGCATTGATGTCTCCCGAGAGGAGGACGACGCCCCATGTCTTGACACACTGGGGTTTTCCTTTTCAAACCGCCACATATCCTCATCTGGCGAAAAGAAAAAAAAAAAAATAGAAGTTCACTTGTCAAACAATAGACGCACTTACTAACCACTTACCCATGTTTGTAACGAAAAAAAGGCCGATTTTGTACGCTACGGCAACGCGAAGCGTATAATGTCTCTATCAAAAGCAGATACCTCAACCCTTTGGCACGCCGTCCAAGACAACGACTACGCCTCCTTCTCAAAGATCAACGCCATCCTCCTCAACGCCCCGACCCCCTTACGCCACGTCCCTCTGAGGGTCTACATTCCCTCCTCCCCGCCGCCCACGGGGTCATCTTCATCATCGTTGTCACCTGCGCCTACCGCCGCCGCCGCCGCCGCCTCTCCGAAACCGCCAGCCTCTCCATCACCGATCCCAGCCTCGCCGCAACAGCCGCTGCCACCCACTCAGACAGCAGCGCCGCCCGAGGCCGCAGGCGCATTCAAGGTCCTCCAGACCCTCGTATCTCCCATCGTCGCGGGCACCCGCAACACCAAGCAGACCCTCGGCCAAGCGCTCCGCGCTCACATTCCCACGTTGTTCCCTTCCAGTCGCGATCCTGTGCTCGCCACCGTCGTGCTCCACGGTAGTTCCGTGCCCTTCTCTGCTCCTCTCGAGGACCTCATGAGAGAGGCTGCGTACCCGGATGGCTGGATCAGTCTGGCTGTCGTTTTGTTGTGAGGCAAGATAAGGAGGGAAGCGATTCGTGGCGTTCTTGGGGGGGCGTGGGGGAGGGGGATTTGGCATTATGAATAACAGGTCTTGGTTGGGGCGTATTGGCGTGTGGGATGCGATGATCAGTTTCACCTTTCGTTTCTGCCAATGCAATTTTGCTTATCGTTAGACAAGAGGGAGGCAGGGAGCGAGAGAGAAAGAGAGAGAGAGAGAGGGAAATAGAGCCAGAGTCAGGTTCAGATTCAGATTCCGAATTAGACGTAAATCACAGACACACACTCACACTCAAAAAACCAAAAACCAAAATTGAACTTCATGCGTTTTTTTTATGAATGGAATTTCATCTTATTCTTTTTTTTCTGTGTATATAGATATAGATACATTCCGAAATGACACCAATCGTAAAAACACGTACACGTAGCCACAAGCACATCTGCACAACTGACAGCAACTTTATTTTACCTCCCCCCACGCGTAACATTGGACAATATCCACACCAGTGTAGAAAGAAAGAAAATAAATAGTATAAATAAATAGTATAATGCAACCCGTTGTGTCCGCCTGGTCTCAGACACACATACATTTACCGTCCAGTCAGTCGCCCCATCACAGCAATATCTCCTCAGAATCCCTCCATCACATTCACTGCTACCCTCAAACGGCATATTCATTCGCTCACTCACACGAAGCATAAAAAAGGGACACAACACGTCGTAATGGTTCAACTGTTATTCGATAAGAGAGAAGAAGAAAAAACAAAAAGAGGAATATAGGCAATTCCGCCTCATGGTATCTCCTCCACTAAATCCCAACCAACGTAATGGTGAGATATGAGATTGATGGTATGATGATGAATCCCCCAAAACGAAAATAGGATACCGAAAGTTTGGAAAAAAAGATGAGGAAACAAACAAACAAAAAAACACAAAAAAGCTCGTGGTCGAATAGATCCTTCCAACTGGTAAAAAAAATAGAAATCAAGACCAATAGAAAAAAAGCACGCGAAACCCAGTTCTCCGAGATGCATGATGCGGCTAGTACCAGAAAATGACATGAAAACGGATGCTGTCGTGTTGTGTTAGGGAGGGAGAGAGGGGGGGGATGAAGGTTTTTTTGTTTTTGGGAGAAGCGGCCAAGAAAGCTGTGTGAAATAAAAGAAAAAAAAACCATCAAAAAAACACCCAAGAACCAGAGGGAGGGAGGGCGCGAACCCTCAACTCATGAAGCCCGTCTTTTATATGCATCTTTCATCCCAACCGACCCCGTGTTCCCTTTCCCGGAGCCTGCAGATCCCAAAGATGTCGTCTAGTAACGACAATGCAGAGCCTTCGCCATCCCAAAAACCACCTCCTCCCCTCCCCCCTTTCCCAATGCTACCAGTTCCCCTCGTTGTTCGTTGTGACAAATATCGCAAGATGACTTTTTTTTGTTCGAGTTTTGGGTTTTTCCTTTTTTGAATATTAGCTCTTCGGGCCGTGGCCGCCGCTGTTGACCTCCGCTCGTGGTGACGCTCGAAATCCGCATGATAAATGTACGGGTAAAAGTAGCCGCGACCACGTGGATGAATTTCGCTCGAGGTTCAAAGGGTCTGGCGACGCCAGTGTATCGTATCGTAATAGTGCGGAGCGGTAAAGTAGGTACGAGAAATGAATCGAATTCGCAAAACGCCGGTTCATGGATGACGATGTTGGGTATAAAGAAGTGGTGGTCGGAAACGACTCCGGCCCGCTCATCAGCTCCTCCCCCATCAATCCCCCTTCTTCATACACATTTGCTAGCCTACCGCCCAATATGATTTTTGCCAGCCTCGAAACCCCTGTGTTTTCCTGTGTCGCTCGCTTACGCAAGACATTCCAAGTCCTTCCAGTTGTCGTATTCGTTTTACCCCACTCTACATCGTAGTCGGCTGTCCCTGGTAATGATGGCCGTGATTCTGGTTGTGATTTACTCCGTGGTTCAGAATACGATGTCCCTGGCTAGGAGAGTTGTGCGCGCTGCGGTTGGGTTCCATGGCGTATGCCATTGACATGGGTCCTTGGTGCGTCGGTGGCGGGGGTGGGGGCGGAGGAAGCGTAGGTCCGTTCATGCTTGCTGTGCTGGAGAAGCTGCTGGTCGTCCTTGGGTCATCGAAGCCGTGGCGGAAGAGTTCGCCCTCGATGCTCTCGAGGATTTTCTTGTCCACCATCAATGCGCTGGTTGCGTGGGCATGCATGCTTAACATCTTGATCGTGCGGGCAAACAAGGTTTTGAGGTGTACACCGTCGACGAATTGGTGCAGGAATGGGTCCCGATACGCGGCAGCTAGAATCAGGAGATTTCCCCATTGCCTGTGGCCTGGTTAGTCTTTGTTTCTGGGCGTCTCACATGAGATGAGTTACTTACGCATGGGCTGTGCCGAAGATGTTCGTCACGAGAAGTCGTTCGCTGTCCACGTTGTGGAAAGCTTCAGTACTCTTCATCAGGGCTCGGATGCCTCGTCGGGCATATGCAATGACATCCTCCGAGAGGTCGTTGTAACCTCCGATACCGTGCCCGATGAACGTTGTAGCGTCGTTTTGAGCAAACAGTCCTAGCCCGCTGGTGGTATCGGAGTTTGGCGTGGCACCTTCGGACTGCTGTCGCAGCTTCTCGGTGATGTCGAGGATCATCTTGATCATGGGCCTGTAAATGATGGTCTGGGTGCCCCAGTACTTGGCTCGTAGCCTAGCCTGCATGAGGGTAGGAGCCGGGGGGTCGTCCTCAGAGAAGCGAAGCTCTTCCTGCGTCCATTCGAGAGATCTCAGTGTCCTTTCCAGGCCCAGGGCGGTCTGCAGCTTCTCCATCGGCGGGGTATCTTTGTCGCTGGGAGAGTACAGGGTTGTGTGCAGCTGATTTAGCGTCTTACGCAGGTACAACTGCGCCAGGTAGTTCTTCCAGACACTGTCCGGGAACTCCTTCTCCATCGTGGTCGTGTTCGGCCAAGGCAACGCGTGCTCGTAGCTGAGCACGGTTGAGGGCGGAAGACTGAGTTCGGCAAGGATATCACTGATATACGGTTAGCTTGTCTGAGAGACGAGAGTCACAATGACCTGCATACCTTTCCAGCTGGAGACACGTCCAGTAGGTGAGGAGCACGATGTTATCGCGTCTCGACAGGGGCGGCGCCGGGTGCCCCGTCTCAACTGCGTCTACCTGTTTCTTGAAACGGTCCAGATCGCTGTATGCCACTTCTGTCAGCAACCTCATTCTATCCCGATTCGAACACTACTTACCGGCGCATGATTGTATAAAGGGATCGGTCGGCATCGAGGAAGTACGTATGACTCTCGAAGACTCGTCCAAGCTGGCCGTAGTAAAGTCCAGCAAAGATGAACGTCTGAGCGTGCTTCAGCGTGTACCCTGAACGATGTTGGCCCAAGATGTCGGATGCGACGGCCATGTACTCCAGACCCGGGATAAAGTCGTAGTTGCGTCGCAAAGATTGGCCTCCGTTCTTTGAACCGGCTCCTTGTAGAGATCCTCGCCGGCCTGGGATGCCGTTGTTCTGCTCCTTCGGGGAAGGCAGTCCCGAAGACTGAGAATGAGTGGAGTAAGATGGGGGAGACGCCTGTCCACTCGGCCCGGGGGAAGAAGGATAACCGTTCCGGTTCATCGGCGAGTTTTGCGAATTATCAACCCAATCCGCGACAGGGTCCGGAATCTTTCCCTTGTGCTGGCAAATCTTGCCCAGCGCCATCACGATCAGAACAAGAGCAGTTTCAATGGTCCTATGAGGCCTGCCTTGCCTTCGAGGGGTTTGGGTGGGGTCTTCCGACTGATCACCACTGGGAGAGCGCTTTCGCTTGTTTGACATCTCGGCGTGTAATGATGGGACGAACTTGGCAACACCTGGGGGTTGTTGAGGCTTGCTCTTCCGATCTCCCAGAGCGACATTTTCCAGAAAGCGCTTGACAAGCGTTGCCAGGTCGCTCGGCATGATGATGGGGTGCATAATTAGAATGTGGTCCTCGAAACTCTTCACGTACGACCAGACCTTCTCCTCGCTGTAATCCGGGTGACCTTCCGCCGTGAGCGTGCTACTGCTGTACCCTAGGTTCGGCGGGCTGAGACTTCCCACCTGGCCCCAGGCCTCACCTGGCGAGGGAGAGGCAACTGGTTCCCCAAAGTTGTCGTCGGTGGAATCAACAGACCCGTATGTTTCAACCGGCATGGCCGAAGAACTGTATCCAAAGATGTGACCGTTACCCTCACCGCGACCAAAGAGCCGCAGCAGCCCTCGCCTTTCTTCGCGACCAATGGGGAAGTCCTCGACGTACTTCACACCATTATCCTGCAGAGCCTTGCGGGTGAGCGCTTTAATTGCCGGCCATTGCAACAGATAGCCTTGTGGAGTGGTGTGGTTGGCAGGAATCGATGGCGCACCGGGGGCGACAGCCGGTCCCGGAACCAGGTCGTCGTCCATCACCTCGGTCGGCATTGGGGGGGCCAAGTCGGTCTCGCCAACAGCCATGGGTCCCATTTCCTCGGGTTGTCCACGGTCCTGGGGGTGTTGGTAGTGGTTTTCGGGGGAGGGGTGCGACTTTGCTCGTGGCGGGGACGGCGTCGATGCTGATGTGTCTGCCTCGAGCTTGACATGCTTGGATGTCGGTGCATTCTCCAGGGTCTGGAGCCTTCGTTCCCATGATTCAAACTTCTTCTCCATGAAAGCCTTGAGATCCATGATTCCCTCCAGGATGTCGGTTTGCGACTTATCGATCCTATTCCCGACAGAGTCAGTAAGGCAAAAGAGTATAGGCGGAATGTATGCACTAACGCTTTTGGAACGGGGTCACGGTATTTGCATTCCACGCCCTTTTCCCGACAACTCTTGCATGGCTTTGTTTCGTCGCACTTAGCCTTGAGCTGCCGACAACTATCGCAAGCCTAAGACACGGGTTAGCGCATACTGAGAGGCAAAACACCAACACTTTTTGACGTTGTCGCACCTGAGATGCTCGTGTTGCCTTTCTCTTCTGGGTTGAGGCATAAGAAATGTTATAGATCCCCTCCGAGGCGGGCTGAGCGTGATACGGAGGCTGCTCGTATTGCTGCTGGGGCTGCTGAGGGATCGGTGGCGGAGGATAGCTGCCCCTGTAGGCCCCCGGCGTGGAAGGCATCTGCGGCGGCGCGTTGTCGTAGCTCATGTGCGGCGGCGGCGGTCGTCGGTCGTCGGTATATGGAGGAACAGGAGGAGGAGGGGGCGCCGAGTGCGGCGGCGGATGAGGGCCTGGTGGCGGCAGGCTGTCAGAGGGTGCGCCTCCTGTCGAGTGTGGCCGCCGGGGGTGGGACAGGTTCTCTTCGTGGGGTTCTCTCTTTACGCCGCCGGGGTCTCGGTGGTGGAACGGGCTGTATGAAGGGTGAGCAGGTGAGGGCGGGTGTCGGTAGTGGTCCTGCATCGGCGCGTAAGGAGGTTCTGGGTCATGATGCCGTCGCTCGTCGGGGTGGTGCTGAGCCGGGTGAGGAGAGTGATGAGGTTCGGCAGAGCGAGGTGGATATGGCGGCGGCGGCGGCGGCTGCGGCTGCTGCTGCTGCTGCTGCTGCTGCTGGTGCGGGTGTTGATGTTGGTGGTGATAAGAAGGCACAGGCGGTGCCGAGTGATGAGGCTGATGAGCCTGGTGAGGCGTCGGAGGAAGAGACGACGGAGGGTGAAGAGGCGGGAGTTGATGTTGTGGTGCGCCGGTTGGTGACCACGAGTTGGTAGTCGAGAGACGGGGGCGCTTGCTATCAGGCTGCCCCGGATCCATGCTTGTTATATATGTACATGCGTACAATGCTTATGAAAAACAAGAGACGAAGCGAGAAAAAAAGGGTCAGGCCAGGTCCGAGGAGGAGAAGGTGGCGGCCATGGAAAAGCTATGGGCAACGAAGGGCAAGGTACGAGAGACCAACCAGGCCGGGCCGGTAGGGTGCGGTACAATCCACACGGTTCGAATGCTATGCTATGCTTGGGGTTCAGTTTCTGTCTGAGTAGCGGCGCAACGCAACGCAAGACAACGCGACGGGAGCAGTAGCCGGGGATCAGAGGGGGGAGGGATGAAGGGGTTAAGCAAGTGAGGCCGGCAAGCGGACAATCAATCAAGCAAGCAGCCTGTGAGAAGCCGGACGGGGAGCGTAGGTCTGGGGGGGCAACAATTGGACCTTTAGTGTTTGGATGAAAGCATGGGGCGGTGGTCCTATGGCGTGGCTACAACGTATGAAGGTTATGGATACGTCGAAGAAAGGCAAGTCGGTGTGAATGTCGGACAGGACAGGACGGGGTGTCGGGATGTGTATCGTTGGGGAGGGGGGAAAAGGTAGTGAACGCAGGAAAGGTATCCGTACAGATTATGCGTATGCCTGCGTATGCTATGCGTATCCGACGTTGGGAGGGACTCGAGAACGAGGAGGAGACGGTGGATGCGGAGGCGGCGGCGCGCGCGACGGACGAGCTTTCGAGGCCTCGTTTGAGAGATGTTCCCGGCTGTGTGGTTCTTGAAACTTGGAAAGACGGGATTTCCCACTTTCTGAGAATGCGCCCGGATGCCCAAAGGGTTCGGTACGGCAGAAGAGGGTGGGATCAGCGCGCGTTGGGCAGAGATGGAGCTTCCCTATTTTTGTTCTCCCGAATCTTCGTCGCGGACCTCTCTTGGTGTTGCCTTGACTTTTTTTCTTGACGTGACGGGGGTGAGGTGGGAGCCAGGTGGGGAGGCTTTCGAAGGGGTAGGAAAAAATAAAATAAAATAAAATAAAAAAGGTCGAAAAACGTCAGAAACTAAACGGCGGCGACAGAGAGTGATGCTGTCCTGGCTGCCATATACCTTGCCGCCGCACAGAGCACGAGTGGACAAGCGGTACAACGTCCGTCCCTAGTGGAGGTGTCGGGATAAGATACTAAGGCGAAGACTAAGGCAAGGTAGGTATGGGTACGGGTCTATGAGACTGGGTATGATGGGTATGGGTCTGCTTGTGTATTGGTATGGATTTGGTACGCAGCATGTACAACCACGCCCACCGATGACTTTGCAGGAAGGGTGTGCGAACAAAGGCAGAAACTGCCACGACGTACTGAAGGCGGTGGGAGTGATGGCGGCGTATCTTCAAGTACCTAGATCCAGGGGTTGAGAACACGAGAGTACTGGCCGGGGGGGGAGAGAAGGCAGTTGAGAGACCCTGAGAGCCAAACCAGCCAGGCCAGAGGGAGACAACCAGAGAGGGCGTGAAGACCAAAAGAGCGAGAGAGGAACAAAAAATAAAAAATAAAAAATAAAAAAAGAGAGAGGCGGTTTCTATCCTAAGAGTCCAATCGACCCTGCCAAGTCGAAAAGTCTCAGAAAGCTAGCAGGGCACAGGGGTCTTGGGAAACGGGCCAGGGTGGTGTGCTGAACTGCGCGGCGTGGTGGTATAGTTCAGAATGGTGGTGGTGGGAATAGACGAGGAAGGAAAAAAACAAAATAAGGAAAAAAAGAAAAAGAGAGCGGCGGCGACAATCTGGGAATTGTGACTAGACGAGGGATCTTCGTGGGCGAACGAGGGGGGACAGCAATCGTGGAGCTGCTCTTCTTTTTCTTTTTTTTTTTTTTTTCTTCTTCCCTTCCCTTGCGCTGGAGGACAAGGGGGGTGTGTCTTTAATAAGTAACACTGCTCCGCCGTTTCTCCCACCACGCGCCGCCCTGGACGAGTACCAGCCAAAAGAAGTGCGTGCGTTCCTGGCGAGGTTGGGGTATGTGTCTTGCGTGTGTACTAGTATAATGAATGTGTGTAGGTTGGTGTAGGTATGTAAGTAGGTGGTCTTGCCGGCCTGCGCTAGAACTCGAATCCCCATGTACACGCATATGTACAGAACATGGCATGGTACAAAGTAGCGAGACCGCCGGTACGGTACGGTACGGGTACGGCACGGCCACTCCTCCTCCACGTTTGTGTTGTGCAGTGCCGTCCGTACTGCTGAACGATGAGTGAGTGAAAAGGCGAAAGGAGGTGAGTGAGAGGGAAAGTGATCAACGACCTCATAACACTCACTATAGTACACTTTGTCGAGTGTAAACGGTGTCGGCCCAGCTCTCTTGCACATGCTTGGACATGCGTATACATAGTACCCGCCGCCGTATCCAACTTATTGGCCACAAGTCAAGGATAGGCGGTGACCGGCAAGTAGCCCGACTCAAGCATTCCCCCCTCTCCGCGACGTCGACACCGCTTCCGCGGCTGATCTGGTTAATGCGCTGCAGCCAGCAGCGCCCAGCGGTCTCTTGAGGCCATGCCACCAGAGCGGGACGCGCCGTCCGGAGAGAAGTCGGAAGAGGGGACTCATGGATGGGCGAACCTGACGGACGGGATTCTAGGTCATGCTCCATGCCAGACCGCTGGCTGGGGTTTGGTGGTCACCAGATTCGAGAAGGAAATTTGCTTTCCATCAAGCCCGAGCAAAGGAATGAACGAGGTTCCGCTTTTCTGGGGCTCTTTTCCCCCCTCCATCTCTTGTCTTTCCTTTCAATGGCCTAGCTCTGCTAAAACTCATACCGCCAGATTGGGTGGACGAGAACTTGCCGCCCCTTGCGGTGAAATGTGTGGTACATTTTTGAAAGAGCCTAGGATAGATTTCTCTCACCCTTCACGCCTGTGACGTCTGATGCCATGTCCCGAGAGGGGGGGCAAACGAATGTAGACCGTTCGATAAGTACCCCAAGTATCCGACTCAGTCAGTGTCCGGTTGACCGCCGCTGCGCAAACTATCTCCTCTCGGCTGCAAACTATAACTAGGCTCGACATGACAAGACGGGGTTTGCGGCGGTTCGGCAGTACCTGGCAGCTCGCGACTTGCGCTCCTCAGCCGCCCCTCGCCCTGTTAACTCGACATGCGAAGTTGGCGTAGAATTGTTATTTTGCCTAGTTGACTTGGTACGCCAGGGACATTCATTTACATGTACAAACGACCCGATTTTACAGAGGTGAGAGCCCCCTCTTCCTGATGGCCATTATAGTCAGAGGTCCAAGAAGCTGCGGAGTGACGGTGAATCGAATGGGCAATTGTGAGCTTGACAGACCCTGTCGACTTGAAAGAAATAAGAACAAATGGAATCAGTCATAATAAAATAAAATAAAACTATAACAAAAATAAAAAGAGTACGAAGGTGTGCGTTCTTGGTTGATTATGTGACGGAATACTCCGGTACGCAGCTGAAAGCTGGAGTCGTGCCTGTATCATTGGCAATGACGCGTAGGGAACCAAGGGGTATCAAGCTGTCTCTGCTGCGCAGTATCATCGCAACCGCAACCGCTACAGTACAGGCCATATTCCTCGTTGAGGGAAAGCCAGAGAGGGATAAGCCCTGCGACTTGGCAAGGGAATTCGAGGCCGACAGGCAAACTGGAGAAGCAGGCAGGTATGCGCCGCTCCAACGGACCGGTACCTGGAAAGTACTGTTTGGGGGACTCGGCGCTCCGAGGACTTTGCTCGCTGACCAGGGTGCCTTGGACGGTCTGAGGGAACTGAGATGTGGGATGAGATGGGATGAGGAGGGGAAGGGAAGGAGGCGGGTGTGTGTGCTAGGCGAGGGGCAAAGGGGGCGTGCGACGAGGAAAAGAGAAAGCTGACAGCAGCCTCTCTTCCTCTTGGGGGGGAGTAGGATGCTGGTGGTGGCTTGTGGTGGTGGGTAGCCACGGCACGGAGTTGCTGGGGCTGATGGGGAGATGGGCGAACAGGAGCTGCTTGCTAAGGCCGCGTGCGAGAAGCAAGGGAGCAAGGATGACTGCCTGTAAGTGGTGGTTTAGTTGCCGAAATGGTGGTGAGGGGCACCCGAGACTGACTGACTGACAGATAGACGGACGTGGAAAACAGACAGCAGAATGACCAGAGCAGAGAAAGAAGCTGGCGGCGAGTATCGAGGCCAAGTGAATGAAAGTGCTAGATGAATGCTGTCCAAAGGTCGGGGAAGAAGCGTCCAAGCGGGAGGCGTATTTCAGTTCACCATGGGCGTATCCGAAGGAGAATGTTTGCCGTCCTAGGCTGGCTTTCCCGCTTTCTGTGCGCTCGCTCGCTCGTTCGTCCGCCCTCTGCTGACTGATCTCTTTTCCTGGAGCGCCATGCCTGTGCCTTGGTCTGCTGACTTGATCTGTTTGAGTCCGAGGCCTAAGTCTCGCTCGTTTCTGGCCTCGTCGCCAGCTCCAAACCTCTTCTGGTAACGACCTCTGAGACGGATGAGGGGGAGCTTCTGGAGGTCTCCCTCCCCCTTTCGGTATGCAACGGAGAGACCACCGTTGTTGGCCACTTATCCAATCACCTGTTGTTGCTGTTTGTTAATACTGCTGCTACCTTATGTTCTTCTTTTTTTGGGGGTAGGTCTTCTGCTGGCAAGCACTATTGCTCTAGATGTATCGGTATGAAAGACCTTTCGGCCACCACAACTGCCAGCCCCTCTCATTTTCAAGTGCTCGAGTTGTTCGACGCCTATCCCGCGTAACTGGTACTTGCCAAGTCGAGCTACTGCAGCGTGACTCGCGCCGCAACGCCCGGGTCCCGAGTCGTACACGGTACCTTGACTGCCGGCCGAGCATCTAGTCGCCTGTACCGTGGGAAACAAGCTCCGGGTTTTGCTGTGTATGCCAGTGTACGATCCTGTCCCATTCGCTACACCAACCCACTCAGTCTCCAGTTTGTCCTTTCGTCGTCTTCATCAAACTGGCCGCGCTGTCTGCCACTCGGCGCAAAGGATTTCATCACTGTGGGCCCTCTCCATGCGTGGATTTTGTCCACGACGTTTGAAATTTTCTTTCTTTTTTTCCCCCCCTACACCGGCCCCCCCCCCTTCACACAACCCTTTGAGGTCGGCCCGCACTTCCAATAAGCGTCAATGCTGCACTGTTACTCCCAGAAGAGAGGGCTGTCTCGGAGTCCGCCAGCTGACGGATTCAATCCTGAGGGGTCGGCGACCACCTCGTTGCCAAAATGAAGGACTTCTACTCTCATATCCGTACTCCGTACCCCTTCACACCATTGTTCCTCTCACCGTTGACCTGAACGAAGGAGCCTGCTGGGGTCTCAAATACTAAAGCGCCGCAATGAACATGGGGAGCAGAAAGTCTTTTTGCGCCCCCGGCAGCCATGGCCGTCCCCGATTCGGACTCGGGAGCACCGGCATGGTGACGGCACGTGGTTGAAAGATACGGCCGTTTGCTGCGCACTTGGTTAAACAGAGCATTCGTGCTACTCAAAGGTCTGTTCGTCTCCGGCAACATTGCGTCTAGTCTGTGTTTTGGTATGGTTGGAACCAAAGTTACGTGGGGCGACTTTGACTGAGAGGTAGCCATGCTACAATGATGTCGCCATCTCCAGGTACTGCGCCATCATCTCAAGGGTACTGTGTAACGCGTGCAACAATGATAATCGAGGCGTCGTCGGTGCTCAAGGAGTGCGTCATATATTCCGATGACTCCCGCCCCAAACTCAAACACGCGGCTGCAAAGATACTTCAGGCCGGCCGTTCCAGCATCAGTGATGCGCCGCATCTAAGTCTAATCTAGCGGTCAGAAATGTTCAGAAAATTGACAGCTCATCGGGCCCTTTCCTGCAAAGACAGATAACGCGAGATACCTGCGCGCGACAGAAGTATGAGTGCCGATGGGTGATGCGACACATGGCCCGCATTGCCTATCCAATCGTCCCTAGCCTGTCCTGCAACCCATTCTTCTCCAGGTACCGACACGTATTGCCTGTTGGTCAGAAGCTCGTCACTTGGACAGGGGAGAGAGCAATATGAGAAGAAAGAAAAAAAAAAAACCACGCTTTCAAACCCTTCGAAAACGGGTCAAAGGCTGCCGAGCAAAGCCCGAGCGCAACTGAGAGGGGTGGTGCCGAGGGAGAATCCCTGCCCCGCCTAGCCATTGGGATTCTGCTGAGGTCAACGTGACCGCACATCGCCGCCCTGCAGTCTTAGAGGCTGGGTGAGCGGACGAGGCTAGGTGGATGTCGACGAGTGTGCTGACCGGTGACTGTACGGGATGAGATGGTACACCTCTCCGGAGCGTCTCTCCCGTAGATACGGCCGCCTCTACCTTGGGTCACATCTTGCCGATGCCGAAAAACCACAAGCGCGTCTTCGCCTGTCAACCACTCTGTATCAGCCAATTTCATACTACCCTTCGTCGTTACAAGACCTTGTCATACGCCCGTCGACTCCGGCCGCAACGCTCTTACCAAGCTTCTTCCCTGAAAACGACGTCGGCATCCAGAACGGTTTGCCAGGGAGTAATGGAATTGCCCACGATAGCCATGTCGTCGTAATCAACGCCCGACCACAGTCTCTAGAAAATGAAGATGAATGCTACCCCTGGCAGAGGCAGCCTCTCACAAAGCGCCACGGGTGGTGTTAATGAGCAGAGGCCCACGATGTAGAACATGAAATGCTGTAACAACATGAGGGCCACGCCCGCTCATGCATGTTAGTGACTTCACCAGCATTTCCTTGTAACCAATCATAGGATATCATCATGACCGAGATAATCTCCAGGCGAGCACAGGACTCTTGAGCGTTGACATGAATTGTTTGAACGTCTCGTCGTCCCTAGCGGTGTTTTTTCACTAAGATGTGTGCACTCTGACGCCACTTAGTTCAACCCGTTATCTCACGCCTCAAGGCTCCGTCTTAACTTAAACCCCGCGGTTGAGCGGGCAGGCCACCGGGGAACACTCCGCCCGCGTGGTCCGGTTTGTCAAGACGGGCCCTAAATTGTCGCAAAACTTAATTAGACCTGGGCAGAGAGAGCTCTTCCGGTTCTGCTGAGATGTTCCGCCCTCATCCATGTACTAGTTAGTACTCGCTGTACTGTTGACCACCAAAATATCCACAACCCGGCAGTATCTCTACACGCTGGCAGATAACGCAACTTGTGCATCAACTCTACAGTCGGAACATACGTCAAGTTTGTTGCATCATTCATGCCCGAATGGTATCCTGCCCCGCTTGCCCACATTCTTCTCACAGTGTACGTTAGTTGCTCTATACCTGGCCTTCTCGTCGGCCTCAAACTCAGTCACCGCCTTTTGCCGACCGCCGGGCTGAACTAAGGTTCGTGGAGATCCGCGGAAGGGGGTC